CCCAAACCCAAACCCAAACCCAAACCCAAACCCAAACCCAAACCCAAACCCAAACCCAAACCCAAACCCAAACCCAAACCCAAACCCAAACCCAAACCCAAACCCAAACCCAAACCCAAACCCAAACCCAAACCCAAACCCAAACCCAAACCCAAACCCAAACCCAAACCCAAACCCAAACCCAAACCCAAACCCAAACCCAAACCCAAACCCAAACCCAAACCCAAACCCAAACCCAAACCCAAACCCAAACCCAAACCCAAACCCAAACCCAAACCCAAACCCAAACCCAAACCCAAACCCAAACCCAAACCCAAACCCAAACCCAAACCCAAACCCAAACCCAAACCCAAACCCAAACCCAAACCCAAACCCAAACCCAAACCCAAACCCAAACCCAAACCCAAACCCAAACCCAAACCCAAACCCAAACCCAAACCCAAACCCAAACCCAAACCCAAACCCAAACCCAAACCCAAACCCAAACCCAAACCCAAACCCAAACCCAAACCCAAACCCAAACCCAAACCCAAACCCAAACCCAAACCCAAACCCAAACCCAAACCCAAACCCAAACCCAAACCCAAACCCAAACCCAAACCCAAACCCAAACCCAAACCCAAACCCAAACCCAAACCCAAACCCAAACCCAAACCCAAACCCAAACCCAAACCCAAACCCAAACCCAAACCCAAACCCAAACCCAAACCCAAACCCAAACCCAAACCCAAACCCAAACCCAAACCCAAACCCAAACCCAAACCCAAACCCAAACCCAAACCCAAACCCAAACCCAAACCCAAACCCAAACCCAAACCCAAACCCAAACCCAAACCCAAACCCAAACCCAAACCCAAACCCAAACCCAAACCCAAACCCAAACCCAAACCCAAACCCAAACCCAAACCCAAACCCAAACCCAAACCCAAACCCAAACCCAAACCCAAACCCAAACCCAAACCCAAACCCAAACCCAAACCCAAACCCAAACCCAAACCCAAACCCAAACCCAAACCCAAACCCAAACCCAAACCCAAACCCAAACCCAAACCCAAACCCAAACCCAAACCCAAACCCAAACCCAAACCCAAACCCAAACCCAAACCCAAACCCAAACCCAAACCCAAACCCAAACCCAAACCCAAACCCAAACCCAAACCCAAACCCAAACCCAAACCCAAACCCAAACCCAAACCCAAACCCAAACCCAAACCCAAACCCAAACCCAAACCCAAACCCAAACCCAAACCCAAACCCAAACCCAAACCCAAACCCAAACCCAAACCCAAACCCAAACCCAAACCCAAACCTTGTTTATTTGATAATTACAAATTCTTGGGCTCACTGAATGGGCGATATTCTCATAACCAACCCTATAAAAGATGCACTTGAGTAACAAAAATTCTTCATTGATTGAACACTAATGTCTCACATGATTTTGTATGAAATTTTAATCAATCCTCCTTGTTTCTTTACTCGAGTAACTTTGAACAATCCAATTTCTTTGAACTTGTCAACATGAGTACCAGAGCAAGCGCATTCTACAGATCCATACTTTACAAATCGAACATGTTGTCCTGGAGGAAGATAGGGTGGAATTTGATTATTGAGAAATTTGGAAGCTAGTTCTTGGTTGGGCTCTTCGACATGGTAAGGCACAAAAGTTTTTTCGACACTCAAATCTTGAAAAGTCATGATTTCTTCAATTTCCTTGTTAAGTTGATCCATTATTATGGTTACCATTGATTCATTTGGAGATGGTAATTGGTTACAATGTTGATATTCGCAATATGGAGCATCTGGAAAATGATATCCTCTACTCGATTTCTTTTATGATAGATGTTAATAATCAAAAGACCATTCCAAACCTTACCCATTGGTTGTATCCACAATTTACAACTGCTAAATCCAACACATGGCCAGCACTGTGAATCTTTGTATACAAAATTCTTTTTTCCAAATCAATTTCCAAGTTTGCCAAAATTTCAACATGATGCATTGTCTTTTCGATCGAGCTAATTTGTCCTGTGGTCATTGAATTTCCATGTAATTGTTGTTTCAAAAGTTCCATCTCATCACTATTCTCAAACCATCCATAATGACCAATTTGAACTAAATCGTCTTCCAATTTTACTAATTTAACATGAAATTTAAATGTTGACAATATTTCTGAGCTTTTGACAATTAAATAAATAACTCCTTCATCACATGGTTGGCCTCCTCCTTGTGGATGAAAAATAGTCTTGTCCAAAATAATTTTATAAAATTCCTCTTTATGTCCACATAATTTCTGTAATTGTTTGGTGATATTATTACTCGTCAACAAATTGTGGTCCTCTCTCACATTTCTCTGTTCCGATATGGATATCAATTTGATGATGGAAATTATTTTTACGTTGGCAAGTGTGTTTTGATAGGTTTGCGAAAGATAGATTTTTTCGCACGGTGATGACATTTTTTTAATTAATCGTTCATGAATGACCCTGTGTGAGAAATATTATTAACAACAACATCCGCTAATACGGCGTATTAACATGTTTCTTTAGATTCCCATTCTTTTTACAGCAATAACATCTAAAACCAAATCGACAAACAGCAATGATTAAAGACACAATCACGGCAAGATAAAAACCAATAACGTCAATAAAAAAGAACTGATACCAAGTCAAATGTTTGTCAACAACAGCCCAAGATAAATCTCCTTCGAGTTGTGCCATCATTTCAATAATTTCGGCTGCTCTTTCAACTCCACCAGCATACCTTGATAAAGTTTGCATTTTGTGAACTTGTATTCTGAAAGTCTCACTTTCATTTGAAAAGAGTATTGTAGTAATAGCATTATATACTGTGTCAGATGTCCATTTACCTTTTTCCTCTTTGGAGCTAACAATTGAAATACCAACACGGGTTTCTTGAATCATATTCGAAACTCGAAATTGATCATAATCATATGGAATTCCAATAAGACGTTTCCCAAAGTATATTGCTTCGTTGACACTACCAGCTCCACAATGTGTAATCATTACTTTCACGTTTTGAAAAGAAAGAAGAGCTTTTTGTGGGACGAAATTTGTAAGCAACTTGAACCTTGGATGAGATAACAAATTATCAATCATGAACGAATGAGAGTGTCGTAATTTTGTGAAATTGATCAAGTTTGTTGAGCTAAGAGCCATAACAATAGAAACAGTAGTGTGTTTTAAAGAATTATGGAATGCTTCAAGCAACTCCTTCAATTCTGACTCCTTGAGTTTCATGGTTGATCCGAAAATGGCAAGCAGTATTTCATGTTGATCATTCATCCATTCAACAATTCTATAATATTCCAAATTTTCTGAGTCAAGAGATAAATGGTTGAGCTTTTCAACCTCTAATTGTAAATTCTTATGACTGATAAAAGCTCCCACCAGGAATGAATTTGGTTGTTGTGTGCTAGATGAAGCATAATTAAGTCCTAGACTACTTGTTTGAATTCTAGTGCATTTGGTGTCACTTGATTTTAAGTCACCAAGATCAAAGTAATGATTACCAATTCCATTTCTTATTCGATTGATAATTTCAAGATCTTTCTTGATAAACAAGGGAATTTTCAATCGGTGAATGAAATTTGTAAAATATTCCAATTTAGGAGCATTCAGTGTTGGATGTCTCAATGGATCATTCATTATAGAGCTGAATATTTTTGTACAGGCTATATTGTATTTGGCGACAATTGCAGAAAGAGCTGTGAGAAAATTATCTACCACAACATACTCAAACAAGGTTTGAGAAGGATCTTCCTTGATTCGTACAAATCTTTTGACTTGTTCCGTGTTGGATAATGCTTCAGGAGTGCCTAATGCGAGTACCTTCAAAAGACGTCCATCATGTACTTCAACAATTTCCAATTGATGTAGTAGAAGCCTTTGATAGGGTACCAACAAACGGTGGATCATGATCTCATGCACCTTGTCTTCTGGTACTGAATCCATCTCTGTTGTGATTTGTTCATATCTTGCAGGGGTGTTGAATTCCAAATTGTCATCATTGAAAAAGTGAATGTGAATTTTTGAGAGTGCGTTGCTCGCTTGAGTCATTCTTACAGCATTGATCTTCTCTATCAATGATCTAATGAATGGTTTTGAAAGTTCAATGTTTGCAAAAGTAACATTTCCGATTTTTTCTCTATGGGCCAGACTCTCTACAAGTTCGATGTGGGGAGTAACATGTCCTGCAAATGGTAAACACAAAATGAGAATATTCTTGTAGCCAAGTTGTTTGTGTTGTACAGAAGAGGAGGAGAGAGAGAAGGGGGTTGGAGTTGCTACAGCAATGAGTGAAAGGATACTAGAGACAATGAGCCATATCACAACAAGTTTTGTGATAAAACGACGCATATCAATTTTTTTGTATGAGCTGTATTAGTTGATCCATCACCCATGGCCAGACAAAGGACTCAAAACGTGCACGTTTTTCATGACCAGATTCTCTTTCCTTTGAGAGTAATGGTATGGCAAAATACCACCATGTCCCTTTTAAACTGTGTTATCCATAGCAACACCTTCCGATCCAAAATTGAAAATTTATGGCATTAAAGAGTACCCCCTGCCCAAGAATGGGTACGGATGGTTAAAAGAGACTCGTTCAATCGATAGCAATTATAAAAAATAATTACTCCAAACACAGAAGAGACTTTCGTGTTGAACAACACATTAGAGAGAGATGAATACGTTCCGATGAAGGTACACATGATTTCATCATTGCGATATGATGGGCCAAACAAGAGTTTGTAGCAATCTCTCCAACCTCAGGCATTTTTTTACAAATATGGTCGGTGATGACCTGTTTAATACGTATTCCCTCTTGGGGTGAGTGTGGAAAGAGTCAATCGGGTTGAATCGGAGTGTATTTCATTCATCTGTGTTATGTGTGGACTGGGGTGATTCTAAAAATCCATCCATAGTGTCAGATTTTCGGCAACAAGAAGAAATATTGTGCTCAGTATTCGCTGAAGACAGGAAATGTAGCACCCTTGTGTCCCTGCCTTTTACAAAGAGGGGAGCATTTACCAGTTGTCAACCATTCATTTGGCAAGCTATTTTTCCCACGCATAATTTTTCCATCCCAAAAGGACCATTGCCAAAAGATATCAATCTTTCCATGACAAGAAAAAAATGTTTGCACTTGGAAAAGCACATTCAAATATCAAAGTTAAGCCACTGACCATTGTTACATGGTGTTGGTCCATCATAGTATTATTATTATTGTTGAGTCTCCATCTATTCAGCTGCGTATTTGCAATTCATGTCTCACCTTTTCATTCCTTCCTATCTTCTCGATCTTTGGAAGCCCACAGAATGAATTCTCACGTTCATGTACAAACTCAGGGACTCATCTCCCTCTCACAAAAGAATGTCCATCACGCTAGTCGTCTTGTCCGGCCAATGCAACAACAATCAACTCTTGTTCCTTCTATTGTGTCCATCACCATGAACGCTTCAACAAGTACAATTTCATTACCAACAATGACGATCATTGGCACTACCTCCTCGCTCATCATGTCAAGCTTAAAAAGAAGAAATATCGCAAATAGTGGTGAGAATTTAGGATTGAATGGTTTTGAATCCATTCAACAATTGCAACAAGTGGCTTCCAAGCGACATGTTGTCATTGGAGTTCATACCATTATTGGACTGCAAACATCGTATGTGGAGAAGTTATTGGGATTGAATGCGTCACTTCATGAATACAGAATTGAAAGAATGGACCGGCCTGAAGCAGATTGTTGGATGGGAAGTGTTTTTGAATATTTTGATGCGGTAGTGACCACGGATTCATTTTTCACCATCATGTTCCGACAAAACAGAGATTGTTTTTTGGGAGAGAGAAGATTTACATCACTGTCAAATATCTCGAATGATATTAACCTTGTGAATATTGGTCCCTATGAGGTATTGATGCTTTCTTCAACAACCAATGATGCAAGAATGATGGAGCGCATTGCCTCTCAAGCATTATACGACGTGATGAGACAATTTGTAACTCAAATGTTTATTCCACTGTCATTGTGCAATTCATTTTACATTTCGCATGATTATGCAGTAATTAGAGCAGGTTATGGATTTGTGAATACAACAGAAATGGACATCAATGCGTTTTCTTGGTATTTTCAAAATCCAATGAACATCAATCGCACCTATTATGAAATTGCACTTCAAATGTTGAAATCAAATCTCACCGCTGAAGTTTTTGATTCCTTAAAGATTCAAACAGATTCTTCACTAAGTGCTGCATTAAGCGCCAAGGTGTTTCCTGCTTCATGCTATTCTTGTTCTACCTCTCAATGCATGTGGGAAGACACGAATAATCCAACTCCTTCCAAACAAACAGATCCCATTGCTGCAGCCACCGGAGTTTTTCTTGGACTTTCCTTTATGATTTATTGGCCTTTATTAATTCTCTTTCGAAACAAACCAAGTATTCGAAAACGATTGATCATTCCCTACATATGTCCCTTATTGCAATATGTGTTCATGATCTTTCAACTCTTTGAAGTCGCAAAACCATGTTTCTTATTTCAATTCATTGTCATTTATTTCACCTCTTCCTACAGCATCACCATCTATTATACCATCATGGCAAGATTTTTAATTTTGAGAAATTTGTACAACATTTTGAAGAAATGTCGCAATGAACAACAAGTGTTTGGTAAAATGCAAGAACCTTTACCACTGCACACACCAGAATTGTTGGAAGCAAGTCCATAACAGATTGGAAATTGGCATTGAGTTCCCGTGTAGGAAAATGGCAGTTTGCATTGACAAGTGTTTGGATTGACACAAGTTCCATTTCCATAATTGCACACTGAGGTCATATTAGCCAAAATTCCATAACATTTTGGTATATCACAGTTTGAGCCACCCCATTGAGAAGGAAAGGTACAAACACAAACATTTGGAGCATTGCAGCTTCCTTGACCATTACACACCAAAGCTGTCTGATTCTGTAAAATTCCACTACATTTTGGAAGCTCACAATATTGACCTCCCCATGATGACGAATCTGTGCATTTACATACATTGGGAGCATCACATGTACCCCTTCCATTACATACCCCCGCTTGCCCTTGTAAAATACCATTACATTTTGGCAAGTCACAATATGTGCCACCCCAATTTGAGTTACAAACACAAGTGTTTGGTGAATTACAAGTACCTCTTCCGTTGCAAACAGTTAAAATGTCGTTGGATAAAATTCCATTACATTTTGGATATTGACAATATGGACCTCCCCAGGATGTGGAATCTGTACATCGACAAATTTCAGGTCCATCACATGATCCTCTTCCATTACATGCTCCTGCTTGGCCTTGTGTATATCCATTACAAGTTGGCAACTGACACTGGTTACCACCCCATGATCCTGAACATGAGCATGTGTCAGGAGAATTGCAACTACCTCTTCCACTGCACACTTGTGACGTCAAATTACCTAATATTCCAAAACACTTTGGAATGTTACAATATTGACCTCCATAATTGGAGTTGCAACGACAATTTTCAGGTCCATCACAAGATCCTTGATTGTTACAAACTCCTGATTGACCTTGAGCAATTCCATTACATTTTGGAATGGTACATTGCGAACCGGTCCATGATCCCACACAAGTACAAGTATTTGGAGAAGTGCAAGATCCTCCATTTTGACAAGACGGAGTACATGTAGGAGTACAAGCTCCGTTAAATGTACTTCTCGTATAACCTGCTTTGCATGTGCAAGGAGGGAACGAATTGGTGGCCACATCTTCATTGGTATCACATACAGGATTCAATTTTTTAATGTAATAACCTTCTGCAAAGTAAATAATGCCATTGCTGGTCACAACAATTCCTCTGGGATCAATGGCCACAGAGGTTGCTGAGGTTGTGATGGTGGAAACCGATGAAGGAACGACTCCGTTACCAGCAATGGTTGCAAGAATATTGTTCGAAATATCATACACTCGAATTAAGTTCGCATTAGAAACGAAAATCTGAGAAAGTGGAAATCGTTCAAAATGATGTGAATGTTGTGGTCATTTACGTGTTGCAAAAAACAACTTACGTAATTATTGAAAATGGATATGAAGGCAGGAAGAGAACCAAATGAAGTGGATAGTGTAGTAATTGTGGCTCCACTTGGATTGCTTACTGGTGAGAAAACTCTCAACTTGTTTGGCTCCATAAAGAAGAGCTAGTTCACATTATGACAAGTGACAAGAATGCAACGAATAAGAAGGCTAATCTGAAACTTACCTGATCATTGTAATATTGAAGGTCCTGAATGTCAGTTCCGGGTACATTCACACTTGCAGTACCTATGGCTCCATCAGTACTTGAACTTGTACTCGTTCCAGTAAAGAGAGTCGTCGAATTTGTTGGAGCTTTTTGAGTGACACCAAAAACAACAGTTCCTGAATTCTTGGTCATAAAGTATGTTTGATTGTACTCCATTCCTGATGGATTGGACCCTAGCTGAATATTGGAAATCTTTAAACCATAAAGTCCAGTACCAGTATTTCCATAATTTGTTCCTGTACCTGTACTGCCGCTTGTTCCTTCCCACAAATAATATGAAATTGGAGATGCTGTATTTCCTATTGCGGCAAAATATCCTAAATCAAAATAAGAAGCAGCTGTACCATCCGTAGTGGATGCCTCTGTGAGCAAATCAGCATTATCTGATGTACTCACTAATTGAACTATGGTGCTGCCAGAGAGTTGATAGATTGTTTTCTTTGAACCTCCAGCAATATAAATCTTTTGAGTTTGAGGTCCATAGGAGATGGATTGAAAGGTTGGATTGCCAGTATTATAACTGGCTACCATGGTTTGTTGGTAAGACCATGCGGTGATTGGGCTTGTGTGAAATAGGACTAGAAATAACGCCACTAATGAGACACAAGAGAATAATATTACATTAGTTTTCGCACAAGGTTGCTGTGACAACGCCTTGACTGTAGGGTTGAAACAGCCAACTTTTGAAGATGATCTTATTGTCATGAGATCTTGTTGACACAATGGTGGGTGTTGGAGGATGATGAGATTGCTGCTGGTGAGACGCTGGAATTGCTGTGTGAACAGAAGGGACGAATCGCTGCAGAATAAGGGGAGCAAGAGGGATTCAAGCTTGTTACACCATGTGTTGTTGATTTTTTAAATGATGATAATTAACGGACGCGATCCACTAATTTTTGGATATTGCATTTCAGTCATCCATCCAAACCTGTCACTGAAAATCCGACGTTTCGTGCGATAAAGGAACGATCTGTTGGAAGGTCTGATGAATGGACTTTTTTGAGCTCAAAAAACTGTCGCTGTTCTGGCCTAAGGGTTTTCTTTGTTGGTTTTGCTGTTTTTGGCTCTTTGTATCAAAATATTCAAATTGCTTGTAATTTAATCAAAATAATTCCAGTGTCAATAATTAAAGTGTCATGTAGAGTGGGTTTTCAAGAAGTGTCTTGAATTCTTGCAACCATTGAGCTCCAACAGCTCCATCAACAACACGGTGATCACAGCTCAAAGTGACCTTCATGGTTGTCACAACCTTGAACTTGTCTTCTGGCGAGGTTGGATTATCATTAACAACAACCTTTTTTTGAGATTTACCAACTGCCAAAATACATGCTTGAGGTGGGTTGATGATTGCTGAAAATTCATCAATACCAAACATTCCAAGATTTGAAATAGTGAATGTACCTCCTTGGAATTCTTGTGGCTTGAGCTTATTCTCTCTGGCCTTTGCTGCAAGCGCCTTAATTTCATTTGAAATTTGTGCGAGTCCCTTTGATTCAGCAGAGAAAACAATTGGAGTAATTAAACCATTGTCTGTTTGAACAGCAACGGAAACGTCAACATTGTTGTATTGACGAATGAAACTGTCATTCCATGAGCTATTCACTTCTGGAGCCTTCTTCATTGCGAGAGCAGCAGCCTTAACGAGCATGTCATTAACAGACAATTTGAACCCTCTCTTTTCACCAGCCTTATTCAACTCTTCTCTTGCCTTCAACAACTTATCAACTTCAATTTCAACAGTCAAATAATAGTGAGGAATATTTCTCTTTGACTCAGTCAAGCGTTCAGCAATGACCTTACGAATAGTAGATACTGGAATATCAACATAGGAAGCAGTTGGAACTCCAGCTTGCATAACTTGTGGTTGGGCAACAACAGCTGCAACCTTTGGTTGTTCTTGAATAGTTGGTTTACGCATAAGGAATTCCTCGACATCAGCTCTAATAATTCTTCCCGAATCTCCACTTCCCGATCCAATTTCTCTCAAATCAACTCCTTTTTCAGCTGCAACCTTCTTTGCCAAGGGAGATGCAAAGATACGACCTCCAGTAGCACCTTGTTGTATGCTTGTAGGTTGTTGAGGTTGAACTTGTGGTTGTGACTGTGGTTGTTGTTGCTGTTGTGGTTGAGCCTGTTGCTGTGTTGAAGGAGCAGCAGTAGCGGCAGATGGTGTGTAGGAGGCACCTGTTGCTAAATCTTCCTTCTTATCAACAAGGATGGCAATAACTTCTCCAAGAGATGTTTCAGTACCTTGTGGGGCAACAATCTTTGCCAAATAACCTTCTTCTTGGAATTCAAAATCAACTGTGGCCTTATCAGTTTCAACAGTACAAATGATGTCTCCTGGTGAAACCTTGTCACCAACTTGTTTAACCCATGATCCAATACGTCCCTTTGTCATTGTTGGTGAAAGCATTGGCATTGTAATTTCATGAACACCCTTTGGCTTTTGAGATGTTGTTGATGTAGTAGGTGTTGATGGAGTGGATGGTGTTGTTGATGGTGTCTTTGAAGGGGCACTAGTAGCAGAAGCTCCTGATGAAGCTCCCAAATCAGCCAATGTGATGTTTTGAACAGAGGAAATCTTTGAGGCATCATCAACAAGAATACCGATTGGACTTCCAAGTGCAACGTCCTTAGAACCATTTGGAGTTAAAATCTTTGCCAAATAACCCTCTTCTGGGAATTCGAATTCTAAAGTTGACTTGTCTGTTTGAACTTCAACCAAAAGATCTCCAGCATTAATCTTGTCACCTTCGTTTTTCAACCATTTTCCAATATTACCTGTTGTCATTGTAGGACTAAGTGCAGGCATGTTAATGACAGAAGCTGTTTAGTGATATTCAATAGAATTCGAATCCAAAAATGATCATTAACGCATTTCGCCATACGATTGGTGTTTATATTAACACATGTTGATGATTCATGATAGCAGATGATTTGTATCAAGGCATTGTCGTAATACAATCGAATGATGACAATAATAACAATGGACGCAATAGCAGTAAGCGATGCGAATTAATTCATCCGTTTCATACAATAGGAATCAAAGGCATACCATCATTATAATTTTTACACAATATTCATACATTCCAAATACGGCATCATCGGCAGGGCCATTTTCATCATCGTCATATTAATATTAATCAGTACATAGATTGTAAAACATGATTCATTGAAAAATAGTGCTAAATTACTTACCTCCCTTTGGAAGACTAGCATATCCTCTCATTTGTTGTTGTTCCAAGTTGTTGCTCATGATCATCATCATTGACTGATTCTTCATCTTCATTGAAAACTGATTAGCAGCAATGAAATTCATTCTCTTCAAGTTACTAGAACGACTATAGTTTCTCTTGGCACATAAATTCATGCTACCCGATGACATGTAAGCCAAGGAGGCATTTGATGATAGCACCTTGTTGATGAAAGCCTTCTCAATCAATTTGAGGGCGGAACGTGTATTTTGAGAGGACAGCATTTTTTAAACAAATCGATTTTTTGAAGAATCATTCGGAAAGGACAAGTGCTTTCAAAAAAGAAAAACATAGAGGTTTTATAGAGTTTTTGAGCAAAACAAACAAACAAGAGTTTATTTGCAGTCATCAAGTCATCATTGTGGTGATATCAAACAAGCTGGATATTAGAAAGATCAATGAATGTGTTGTGAGTGAGGGTTTTCAACAACTCGCAGAGGTATCTTTAAATGAAATAATTTCCAAATGTGGGTAGATTAACTAAACCTCTCTAACAATATGTGGAGCTGCTTTAATCTTGAGATTGCTTGGAGTAACTGTTATACCAACGACCTCACCAACCAAATGTGCATCCTCAATGTCGAATTCATACTGTTGCAACATGCGACTAAGGATCATGCAAATTTCCTATTCACAATGATTGATTAGAAATGAAGTGTCACAGTTAGCTAACTTACCATCTCAGCAAACTATTTGTGAATATGTCAAAAGTTAGGAACCAGCAATAAATATTGAGAATAATCAAAAATATAATAGACAAAGATAACATACCCTATATCCAATGCATTTTCGATGTCCACCAGAGAATGGAATCCATGAAAAGTCATGCTTTGCTCTTGATTTGTCCTCTTCTTTCACAGATCTCTCTGGATTGAATGTATAAGGATTTTCCCAATATCGAGGGTCTGTATGTACTCCTCCAATGAATACATCAATTTCTTGTTAATGAGACCATAACGTTGTATTATTTCACATGTGAAATGAATTCGCCATGTTTAGCATGAGCTTCTGATCAGAATATTTCTCAATGCTTACCTGTTCCTTTTGGAATTGCTATTTTTCCAAGGGTGGTCTCTTTCTTACACACTTGCTTGACCACAGATGTAATGGGAGGGTGGAGTCGCAACGTTTCCATAATCACTGCATTGAGATAATGAAATTTTGGATAGTCACCAAACGAGGGCTTGTGTTCAGAGTCGAGTATGCTTAACACCTCCTTACGTGCTCTCTCTTGAATGTCCTTATGCTTGGACAACTCAAAAAGAGCCCATTGACAAGTTGCACTACTTGTATGATAGCAATGGACAACACGAAAGCATTACTAATCAGCATCTCATCCGTGAGAATCTTATCTTGCATATTGGCCTTCACTAGCAAGCTTAGTACATCACGTCTCTCGAAGCTCTCATCTCCACTTTGTTCGAGCTCCCTCTTTCTTTGATCGATATTTCTCTGGAGAACGTTTCTTGTCTTTTCCTGAGCTGCCTGAACGCTAGTGATCATGGCCAACAGTGGATACAAGAAGGGAATGTTCTGTAAGACGTATCTTCTCAAAATGAGACCATCCAAAGTCAACTTTTCTAAGGCTTTTGAAAATTCTCTTCCCTCCTCGTTCTCTTCATCAAAAGAACCAAAAGACAATCCAAAAGCAGCCTCTCCCAATACGTTCAAAGTCAGGTTTGAAAAGTCAGCACTAGGATTAATGAACACACTCTTTCGAATGGGGTCCACCAAAGATGCCTTTCTCCATCTCGTGTTGAAGAGAGTATCTGTAGAGTTGACAGCCATATCACAAACATAGCGCAAATTGTCATCAGAAAATGCAGCATAGCAAGCACGATGATGAATTTTCCATCTTTCAGTGGTCAATGCTGTCAGTATATTCTCTCCAAAGAGTTGGCCATAAATCATTGATTTGATCCAAAGCAATTTGAATCATCATGATGATGGCTAGAGGACAAGAAGAAACAATATTGGATGAAATGATTTGAATAATGCTAATATAAATGGCAATCAATCTACTTGTGATGATGTTTCTTTTTTGCTCTCTTTGAATTCTAGTTGAGAGAAGCCTAATTTATCTGTTAGAAGAGAGAACGTTTTGATCAGGTCAACCTCGAGCAAACATCATCAGGACATTCGCTCTTCCTTTTTGAATTCATCTACGCGGAGGTCCAAGTCCGAGCATATCCTCTCTCGATTTGACAAATCCATCAATGGGTGAATTGGAAACTGTTGACACACTCCATGTTCTGACAAATTGGCATTTTTATTTGAACGGATTCACCAAGACATGATTAAAGATTTGTAAATGATCATCATCGGTTCTATGTTGTATACATGTGAAAAGGAACAGTTCAAAAAGCGAGTAATCAATTTAGATCACGTGTTGTATGATCGACTGGCCAAATCAGTCCGACGATCATCTTTTTTTACAAAAAAAAATATTCAACACACAAGAGTACAACCAACCTCTCGACATTATGGAAAGTATTACCTCTGAAACCTTGAGCCAGATGTTGAAATCGGCTCCATCCGAAACCACAAAGAAGAACGGACAAGGTAAAAAGAAGCCACAAGGAAAGAAACAAGAGAATGGATCGTCATCCAAAAAGCCATCAAGAGAAGGTATGTACTTTTCATCATCATCACTTGATGAGAATGTATACATTACTAATTTTTCAAATATTTGCGGACTTGTATTTTCCTTTCACCTTGATGGTAATTTTAATAATAATTAATCATCACACGGTTAACATGGATTAATTTTCCAAACTCATTTAATCTTGATGTTGCATCACTTGTAATATTTAGAAAAATCAACAAAGAAAGTATTCAAAACTGATAGAAAGAACAAGAGCTTGGATCAAAACAAGCCAAACAAGAAAAAGAAAGATCCAGCTCCTGAGGATCTTGTTTTTTCAATCTCAGTCCCTAAAAGCAATAGAAACACCCCTTCAAAGGGCAACGATAGAACATCATTCGATTACAAACAAAACAAAATACAGAAAAATGCAAAGAAAACTTCAAAACCAACAAGGAATTATTCATCCGATGAAGATACTGGTAAAAAACGACCTTCAAAGAAGGAATCTGATAATTCCAATGTAAACTTGGAAAAAATTGTGAGACAAGCAGTTCAGGAAGCATTGTCACAACAACAACAAGTATCACAAAATACTCCTGCCTACACTGCTCTCTCAATACCAATCACCGGAAATCCTGGTGGATATCTTCCTCCATACGCAGGAAACAATCCAATAACTTTAGTATTACCACAACAACCTCAAGCATCATCTCAACATTCAGAAAAATCTGAAAGAATCTCAAAGTCAACTAGGGGAAGATCTGATCGTGACAACAGCGACAGAGATGATTATTCCAGCGATGACAACAACACTGCCCATAGAAGAGAAAGAGGCAATGGCAGAAATGGAAGTTATAAGAATCGATTTAACAAAATTCCATACAGTAGAGACAAAGACAGAAATGGTAATAGAAATCGACAACAAAGCAAAAATAAGAATTCCAAATTTGATGACCTTGTCATTAGTGCCGATAGAGGAGAACGTGTTGTGAAACAATCCAACAACACTCGCAATGGAAATTCAAATAGACGTAGATAAATCATGCACAAGAAAATCTCTAGGAATTGATCATAATTGCATCTTGTTAAGATTCTTTAATAAATAAGCGATATCTGAAAGACAATATTGTGCATTTATTGAAAATTTCAGAAATGAAGAGAATTTAGAATTAACATCTTACAATCCAGTCAATCCTTTCTTCAGGAAGCTTGATTAATAGTTTGCTTAAAACGCTCTAACTCCATAGATTTGATAGGAACACGTATTATCAAATGACTTTTGAGAAAAAACGAATCCACTGGTGGAGACCCCCAAACAAAGAATATTATGAAGACCTCCTGCAGAGATGGTCGTTTCTAAGGTAGTTACACGAACGTCACTGTTATTGGGAAGTGTTCGAGAAGAGGAAGTGGTTGGTCCTTTGTCTGCTCGTTGCAGCCCACAGCGAGTGTTGATATACCTTGTAGAGTATGTCGAGTCTGGTGTGCTAATTTTAAAAACACAATCTCCTGTTGAAACGAATGCAACGATATGGAATGGAATGGGAACAGTGGACGCACAGTCTTGATTGACGATATCCATCTCCACCCTAGTGATATTTGTGTCGAAAGGAAAACGAACACACAAAAAATCAATAGCCGAAGATGCTTCCCTGGTATATGGATAAGGATCTCCCCCCGACGTGTACTTGCATGAGAAAGGTCTTCCTTGAAGTGTATATTGTTGGAAACCATTAGTACATGATGATGATGTGGAATAAGGTAAAGGTAAATAAAAGGGACGAGTACCTTTAGAAGTGTCAATTTTGTTTACCTTACTGTCAAGATCTGTCGAATCACCATTTCATATTAAAATAATTGTCCAATTTCAATATCATACTTACACCACATCTTGTCCTTCAAAGATTTAATCTCTGTTCTCATTTCGTGAAACATCATTTCAATCTTTTGTTCAAAGGGCAACTCACTTCTCTTCATGTGGAAAGAATAGGTAATGGCTGCATCAGTGGGATCGAAAATCTTCAAAGTGATTCCACCATCTGCTCGATTCAACACTCTGGGAGGTACATCGTTGATACATGTCTTGTAATATCTAAATTCCATAATATTGGAAGAAAGGACATCCAATTGGTACACGTAAATGCTCATGGCAGATTTGAATGTCAAGACGGTTCCATTCAGAATCATTTCAGTGGCAAGATTTTCATTCGAGGCTTCAATTTTTGCAAAGAATTGAAATTGTTCGACACTTCGGGAAGAGGTTAATCTTTCTCTGGATGGATGGTCTTTCAATTCTTTGCTCGACAAGACTCTTTCAATGGCTTGTTGTGTGGGGTGAGTATTTGGATCGAGAGATTCACTCTGGCTAGTGGTTTGAGATGAAACGGCTTCCACGTTTGGCATCTTGTTGATGACATCTATGGGTTGCCATAACAACAAGAACACTACTGTTAAGAACAGCAGCATACGACTGCGATCTCTCATTAAAGACATTTGTTTTTTTTTGCAGTAAGAGGTAGGAAGGGCAATTCTCTCGCGAATTCAGAAATATGTCATTGTCAAAAACCGAGTCAGAAATGAAAGGCATTGTCGTTCTTGAGAGATACCCATGTGTTTTTGTGATATGAATAAGTACTCCTTAGAATAGGAAATACGACCACTCTCTCAATCAGAATCAATCATCTCTTGTCCTATTGTGATTTTCGAAAAAGTTGACCGAATTTGAGCAAGTCGTTTTCGAAACTCACAATAAACGTGGTCAGACTCTTTCAGTGTTATCTCTAACACCAATAATTTTTGCTATTCAAGGAGAATTTCATGAATTTACTGATTAGTGCTTATTAAGGTGGTTGACAAACTGCTTCATAATAAGAGCTTTAGAACGATGACATTGCCCCGATAAATATGAATACTGAAAATCAGTGCTGTTCTGAACTGACTCATGGCTAAGTTGTGAAGCAGGAAGAGTAAATGCATAAACTGTAATGACAGCAACGACAACCCCAATATTGTAAAACACACATCTATGGATGGTGAGCAGCAGAGATTGTCATTCCTAAAGTGATAACCACAAGATTGTTAAGCATTTTGGAAAAGAAGATGTGAAGAGATTGGCTCCCTTGTCATTTCCACAAAAGTTGATGTATTTTCCAAAATTCCAACACGCTACATGTAGAATCTCACTCTTGATCAAGTACAGTGTTTGAACACCTAACAGTTGGCGTGTTGATTGTTTTTTGAAACATCGGAATCCTCATCCATACATACACATGCATTCGTATTCGAGTTTACAACACTCTCGTAATTTCTGATTCAATACTTCCTTCTTGTTTTGGACTTTCTCGCAAGAAAAGTTTAAATAATTAATGGACCTCAAGATTTGAAAGAGTTTTTGTAAAAGAAAATGAAAATACGAACCGAGAAGGGATGATGATCATTTATTATTTGGAATGACGTTGATGATGACGATGAAATATCAAAACACATCTTCTCTCATGAATTCTGATTATTATTAATCCGGAGAGGAGAATTCAGTAATGTTCTTGAACTCACCTCTGGTAATCATGATTCAACAACCTTATTGGCCAACAACAAGAAGAAAAATTCTAATTCCGGAACTCACGAGTTGGCGCCTTTTGGAGGACCTTCTCGTTGGCTTCAAGATTGAAGGAAACAACAACAATCATCATCACCACGTAGGAAGTTTGCAAACTGAGTTCTTCCCATCTTGCAAGATCGATCCAGCAGCATGATGGGTGGTAGCCACCTGAAGGTTGGCTTTGCCTTGATGCCAAATGGGTTTCACATTTTGTGTAACGGAAATTCAAAAAAAACAAACACTCGTGAGAGGAATCATCATCTCAAACACACTTTTCTCACCACCCCAACAACAACAAGATGGTCGATCCAAAGGAACCAGTCGAAGAAGGAGTCGCTCCAACCGAGGAAGAAGAAGAAACCAAAACAACCAAGAAGGGAACTAAGAGAACCAAAGAAGAGGTTGAACCAGAAGAAGTTCCAGAAGAAGAGGAGGAGGAAGAAGAGGAACCAGAAGACGAAGATGATGAAGAATATGTGGATGAAGAACAAGACGAGGATGAAGATGAGGACGAGGATGAAGACGAAGATGAGGATGAAGACGAAGAGGAAGATAGAAAGAGGTCTTCTAAGAAGTCTAAGAAGTAAATATGAGAGACTCTCTTTTCAATTCATATTTAATATCAAATATATTATTATATATTTCATCCTAAATGACAACAACCCACTTCCTCTAAATATTCCACACTCTTATAAATTATAATGATGATGATTAAGAGAATTTTGTATAAACTCTCTTGCTAAGCTTTACATTTGTTGTTGTTTATGTCAGCACACCGTCATCATACAATATTGATCGATGATTCGAAGTTGTTCGCGCTCCATTAATCTTACATATGTCGATGGATGGTCGTCATCCACAACAACATCATCCTCACTTCACAACAACATCCATCGAAACCTTCATCCTCTCTCTCGTAGCTTGTTCTGATCATCACAACACACTTGCTCGATCATTCACCATCTTTGCATCATTCCAAAGAAACCACCCGTCGATGATGTATCGAACGGACTTGTTTACTTTATGTCATTTCGATAATTCGCGTTTTCACAATTAAAAAATACAACGATTTGCCATTCAATGTCCAACAGATTTACAGCAACATTCAAGAAATTGTGGGATTCTCCTATTGGTACGTGATGATGAGAGAGAGCATGATTACAAATTACATGTTGTGATTACTCAATGCTGTTCACAAAAAAATTCACCGATTTGGAAATTTATTAAAAATAATGATGACAACAACAATAATCATCCATTGAATCATTTATTTGGAAAAATTGTCAAAATTAGGATTGAAAACAACCCACTTTTGGGGACCAGTGGGTATGTTTTATTGAATGACAGTCATTGCTGACTTGATGATATTGTTCAATTTTCAATATTTGATATTTGAAAAATCATTGATCTCACATTTGTAAACTTTGTAAATTTTAACTTATTCACAACAATTGGATTTTTCATGACATCCTTTCTCACCATCATTGCTTCCATCATTATTGTCATCATCATGATGAATCTTTCCTCCAACTTCTTTGAATTTCACACACCAATTATATTCAACAACAACAACAACCATTTCACACTCTGTGACATCATTACCATTTTCAGCTAACTGGGGAATTGCTCTTGCTGGATTGGCAGATTACAAACGGCCCCCAGAAAAAGTTTCAGGACCAATGACTGTTGCTTTATGTGCATACAGTGCAGTTTTTATGAGATTTGCATGGATGGTTAAACCACGTAATATGCTTTTATTGTACTGTCACGTGGTTAATGAAAGTGTTCAAATATATCACTTGACAAGAAAAATTCATTATGAATTCACAAAACCAAAAACTCAAGTTCCACAAACTCCAACTCAAAATTAATCTTTTCGAAACATCCTTTTAACTCGATGCAAGATTTGCATAGAATTCAAGAACATTTATTATTGATATTTATTATTGAACAATAATTTTTCACAATTTTTGAAAGACCATTATGTAATCCATTTGATAAAGAGCCAGTTCACATTCATCGACTTGTTACCAATATCTTTCAGTGGTTCAATATATTGAATTCAGTATATTTTTGGCAGTTTAGGTATTCAATAACCGGTTGAATTCAAACAGTGCTGACGTTCAATGCGAATTGACGAGAATGGCGGAGAGAGCGATTCATGCATCTTCGTCATGAAAGGATTTATTTGTCGCATTACATTTGAATGAGCGAATTTCAAAAAAAAAACGACCATCCTGGCACATCTCTAATTGCTAAAGGTTTGTAGCTGCCAACCACAAAAGACGATCATCTTACGGGATATCAGTGCGTTTAATCGGCACTTTGTAACTTCCATTTCCTTTGGTCCTGTCAAACTGTCAAAAGTCCAAAAAATTTGCGAGATGTTGATAAAATCGTCACCTCTTCCTTCGTTCTTTCATTCCCTATCCACTCTGCTTCTCCTCCAACAGCAACAAAACTCTTCTCTCGTCACCAACAATTCCACCAACATCAATGACACTTGTCATCCTATATTATTTCAACTCGGTTCCTGGAGTCGAGAAAGCAATCCCAAACTCGAATACGGACTCTGTCCCGACTCGATCGTAACTCCCATTTTCTCGGGTGTCTTTTTATTTTTCTACTTGTTAGTGGTGTCATTTTCCTTTTTTGGAATATTTTGGAAACGAAAGAATGGACACATTGAATTTCGAAATCCAATGTATTTGGTGATGACTTTGATTGCATCCATGATTTTGGTGGTTGGAATGACATTGCGTTTTCTGATTGGAAGAAAAATATTTCCTTGTGGAATTTATACCTTGTTGTTTTTTGTGTTACCGGGAATTATTTTGTTACCGACTGCATTTAGATGTATGAGATTGTTCTTTATGTAAGTTGTGATGTGTTTATTGATGATGAAATTGGTGACGATTAATTCATGGAAATGTGTCAATGACGAAATTTACATTTTTGGAAAATTGTAAACCATCAACCCTATTCCACATACCTGCTTGTCAACTCTCTAACAACCCTTCGACAGGTATCGACTCAATTTACAAAAAACAAACATTTTCGAAAGGGCTGTCATTGCCCAGTCAAATGCCAAAATTTCCAACGCCATCACCAGTATCATTCCTGAGGAAGTTCAAAAATTAGAAAATGACGGACTGGTTCCAACTCCAAGAAATCCATCTCGAACCAATTCCACTCCTTACATTTTGGATTCTCAAAAATCTTCGAGTCATTTAGTGATTCAAATAGATTCCTTGAATCTTGAAAAATCAGTGGAAACAAAAACACCTCGGGAAAATATTCCTAAAGAAGATACATCGATCAAAAGTCCTTCTATGAATGCATCATCTCAAGAGGATGCTACAACTGTTCCTTTAAATGATCAAATTCTCGATAAGAAATGTATAGAGTCACCTCCTACGACAGAATTTTCTACTGGTTTCAAATTTGAGGATTATGTCAGTACTGAAGTCACCGAAGACACGACTGCTGACATGACGACAGATGCCAGAACCACTTGGAATGGTGATCATTTTCGTGACATTTTAGAGTTAAAATCAGAAATTAACAAATTCAAATTTTACAAATTCATGTTAAGCTACAAATTTGTCATCATGACCTACATTACAGTTTTGTGTATTCAAATTATCATGTGGTTAATTTTTGGAGGAGTCGAAGAAGCAGTTTACACATCGGGATCGACCGTTCCAGGAACGAAAAGAATCTTTTTATTGGAGGGTGGAATGCTTGTATTTGAAAGAGGATGTTCCATGTCAACGACAATGGTGTTAATTATTGCAGGAGAGTCGGTGTTTTATATGCTTTTTGAAGTTGTGTCATTGATATTGTGTGTGAAATCGGATCGAGACACTTGGGCCATTAAGAAGGAGGCATTGTCTTTGATTATTTTTCAAGTGTTTTTTGTGATTGCATTTGTGGTTGCTGGATTGTTGGATATTGTGGTGGTGTTGACGGATTATTTCATACCTTATGGATACACATTGCTGTTTTATTCGTTTTTGGAAGTAATTGTGACTGTGGCATGTCCAGTGCTGTATGCCTTTGTGAGGGATTACAGAGAGGAGAAACGTTCTCAGTATCAGAAAGAAACAGAGTTGGAGGCCATTTTGAGAAATAAGAAAATGTTTGAAAGATTTTTGGACTATGCTCGGAGAAGTTTTGCACCTGAGAGTGTGTTGTGTTATCGAGATATTCAACATTTTAAAAAGACGAAAAGTAATCAGAAAAGAAAGGCAGCTCAATTTGTCGTTAACACCTATTTGCAACTGGGCTCTCCTCTCGAACTTAATATTGACAATGTGAATGAAAGAGGTCACGACTTTACAAGAATTCTCTCTGAATATAGTGAAGATGCCAAAATTCCAAAGAGCCTTTTCGAAGAGTTGGAGATGGCTTGCTTGGTGGATATGCGAGATGTATTCACGAGAGCTCAAGTCGACGACAAGGAAATATTCAACGCTGTTCAACAATGGAAAAAAGCACAAGCAAACATCAAACTAGAGGAGGTAAAGTGATGGCTTGAGGACCTTTGGGTTGAAAACAGAACGATGATTTATTACTTATTTACAATCAAGCTAATCTTCTCATTACTCTCATCTCCAGAGTTATCAGCATTCATAGGCTCCATTTCCACATGCACATCCACATGGTCTCGAGGTACTTGATTGACAGACATTACGTTTGTAGTGAGGATGGATTGTTCGGAATTTTCAATTGCAACAATTTCACTTTGTTTTGGTGTCGAATTGCCAACTCGTGGTAACAAAGGCCACAACAATATGGAAAAGGCTGAATAGAGTTGTGTAAAAATGGTGTACACAATCCAATACCAAAACATGTCAATTTCTGAAAATAGAGGTGTGAAACTCATGTACAACACTCCAAACACAAGTGCAACAATCCACAAGAGTATTGTGAAGGTAAACATGAGATGATTGTACCACTTTTTCAAAACGAAAAACATTGGTAGTACATAAATTAACCTTGATATATGCAAACCAAGCATTGAAACAAAAGAAATTCCCCAAATAGTATTTCCAAACAATTGGAATTTCACATGTCCCACAGATGTCTGGATAACCACAAACATCACATTGGAAAGAATAAAAATAGGTCCGTAGAATGCAACAAACCTAGCAACATTTGTGTTTGAGATTAGGGAACTCTTGAAACTTAAATTGAGAGCAATAAGTGACAACAACAACAATGCATAGGCAGTTATGGAAGCTACTAATATTGGGATTTCTGTGGTTTGATCGAACATGGCAAGAAACACAATACATGCAGCGGTTTGAACAATCTTAAATAAAGAAATAGCAATCTTGAAATATTTGTTCTCTTGAATCTTCTTTCTAAATACTACGAGACCGATAGTTACACAAATTGACAATACAGTAATTGCATACAATGTGAAGTGAGGGGCTAAATGAATTGCTGTCATGTCATCACTAATCCATCCTGTTCCCAAATACTGAACAGCATCCTTGCAGGCATCTATTAGAGCCCTTGTGTTGAACGACCATGCAGAGGTGTCACTCGTTACCTTATCCATCATTGCGGCTCCCAAGAAGCTTGTTTGGCCAACGTCAAGATAACCGAAAAGAACAAACAAAATAGATCCACCAATCACTGATATTGAGTACCACGCATACACCAATCGTTCTATTGTGGCTGGATAGTTCAAATATTGAGTATTCATATTTGGTAATGTAAGCATGGTTGAATTGGATTGTATGCTACAGCTGAATGGTTGTAAAGTTTGAATGTTCACAATGACAGTACTCAGGCAAGCGTCATACAGTGGTTTGCTCAGATATCCGTCTCTTCCAAATACATGAATATCTTCCCAGAATTGAGATGAGCATTGTATCTTAGGGAGTAAACATTCATCGTTAAGCGATTTCTTGTTTGAAATAGCTCTTATGCTGGCATCGTAATCAAATGAAGACTTGAGGAAGCGAGCGGATGATGCTGTAGGTAAAGAAAGCGTCGCCTTGGAATTATCCATTATCTGGATATTGGGTAAGAAATTGGAGGGAACCAGATCTGAGCCAATTCGAATATCATAATTTTGATCTGAAAACAAGACATTCAATGAAACATGATCAGGATTTGACCAAGAAATGTCAATGAATGGCTGCTTGTTGTTCTGATATGCTACCAACTTTGAGGATGCTATTGCTGTTGTAATGTATTGTGAGCTGTTATAGTTTGGCATGGTCCATTTAGAAAGAGAGATGTTCAAATTCAAAGGAGTGCTTCCATTTGAGAACGTAATGAATGGGGTTGTAGAAGGGTTACAGATCATACCCTTATGATTGAATTGATTCCAACTCAATAATGTGAAATTGCCATTGTGACAATTAAACACAAAGGTTGTCTGATGTTGTGGTGAATCAACGCCGTTCAAATCGTCTCTAGACGCAAATAAGTGACTGTTCTTGGCGAACGAGTTGATGACAGAAATGCTCATTCCTTGAGTGACAAACAGTTTGAAAAGAGTATCAACCTTTAAACTTGTCGAGTTGAAAGAAACGTCGCTCCAACTGTTACTATCATCAAAGAGCGAAACTTGACCTCTTTCTACAAATACTTCTCTCACATTAACTTTCGAGTTTAGATTCCTCAAAATTGTATTTTGCACTGATTGGATTCTGAACTTGTAGGTATCAAGAAGGAAGAGGGAACATTGAGAAAGTGAAGGGTATGATATTGAATATTGTTTCAATGCCTCCTGGAACCATGACGACATGATCACTGAATGATTTCTATTAGTCCTCAAAATGCATCCCGAATCATATTCAAGAGAAGTCATATTGCTGTTCAATGTTGTCTCAATATTATTTCCAGTGACTAACAATAGGTAGTCATGATTAAGCAGATTGTCATTCACATCCACAATTACGTTAGACATGATCATGTTGTTCACAACACTTTCCATTTCCATATAACTAGTTTTCTCCGATCTAAATAGAATCTCAGCGTTACCAGGAACACCGTTAAGGATAGTAGTGACATGACTGAGCATGTTAAACGAGATCCTATCTGGAGAGCACAAAATATACATGCCTCCAATTTGAATAAGTCCAGGCCAAGTAGCACCGTTCATGGTCATATCAAGGAAGCCTTGAGCTTCTTCTGGCTCAATGATATTCAACAAGGTATCACTTCCCTTAGATGATTGAATGGTGAAGGTATAATTGTCGTTGAAGGGGTGATTTTGGAATGTAACTGATGTTCTGATTTTACCATTAACGTCCAGTATAGAGTTCAATGGATGGCGATACCAAACAATGTTCAACAGAGTTAAACTATTGCCAGAAACTTTTAGGGAATCTCGTTCATATACAACTTGTAAACCACTGCTTGGAATTACTGGAATGTTATTGGAAAGGTGAGTAGCCAATGAAAGTACATTATTGAGAATGTAAATGTTTGGCAGTACATAATTACTAGAGGGGTTAACATAAATGTGATACTCAGTAGTATTCCACTCTACCAGTGCGAACTGTTTGGGTGAGAAATGGTTGAAGTGCATTTGGACTGGATTTTGGTTGTCACTGACATCACCAACAAATGTTATCATACTCGAAACAGAAAAAGTGGAGTTGATGAAGGTATGAGTATTCACCAACGTCACTTCGTATCGACTGTCAATAGAGAGAGTATTGTTTGTGAGTGTTACATCTGACCATGGGGCTTGGTTGTCAATAAGGGTTAACACTGAATTCCTAACAAACAGTGATTTCAACAGTTTGTCAATGTTGGTTGCCACTAAGGAAGGTGCTGAAATATCAAGCAAGTTAATGAAATTGGTAAACATGGAACACTTGAATGCTACTGAATCAATGGAAAACTCTTCCAAAATTGAAGTTAACCATTCTGATGGAACATTGTTGATCGAAAGATCTGCAGGTTTAAGACAACCAGCATTCAGGACCATATTAGTAGAGGTTTGGATTGTTATCGTAGAGCTTGGGCCATTTACCACTAGTGTTTTTGACAGGCTGTTGGATTCAACGGTGACATCCGCGTCATTGACAACAAGTGATCCACTCATGCTCTTCACGCGTACTTTAGAGCCGCTTGTAAAGTCAAACACAGTTTCAAGTGTATCTGGAGTGCTTTCTACAACTGCATGTATTGGTTCCTCTTTTGAATTCACTCTTAAATTTCGAACTCCAAGAGCTTCAACGTGGAAAACTCCAATGTTCAAAACGGCATAGTTGATTGGTGTGTCAGATAAGAGTCGGAGAGGATAGTTCTGTATAGATCCATTCTCTTTAACATTGGCTAGAATTGTACCATTTGTAGATGGTTTTGTATCTATGAAAATTCTCGACGGTGTTGAATAATCTGGTAAATCAATATTAACGATCCAGTTTGTTGCGAATGATCCTGCTTGGTTGACTCCCAAGAACACAATGTTTGAATCGAATCCTATTTGTGAAACTTTAAACACAGTATCTGTTGAGAGTTCAATTTGTCTTGTGGTTGAGGTTTCTGTGACATTTACCCATACGGTTCTAATTTCGTTTTGAAGTAATTTAATCTTGCCTCCTCTTAAATTAGTATCAGAACTAGGTTTATAGTTTGATGGATACGAATGATGTAAAGTAATCAAGTCAAACCTGCTGCATGTTATTTGAGCAATATCTGTTTGAGGATTTGGTCCAATATTATCAATGGTATTACCATACATCGAAGAAGCAAAGTTTCCTGTAAAGAATTCAATGATATTCCGTTTGGTAGGAACGCTGAGCATTGTCAGTTTGAGGCTTCCGCTTGGACTGACTTCGACAAATTTGCTTGCCCCGTTTCCAGTTTTATAGCTAGAAGGTGTGTTAGTTTCGGCATGGAAAATGTTGTTTTTGCCATCACCAAGATCAACTGCCAGCGAGGAGGCAGTAACTCCTCTGGTCACAAACGTATCATCTCCTGAACCGGTCTTAATGTTGAAACTTGAGGTGTGAGGGTTGTATGCCACTTGGCACAAAGTGTTAGAGAAACCATTTGCGTTTAACAAAGATTGCATCCATGAAGTAGGCGATTCAACTTGAGTAAGGGGTTTTCCGTTAAAGGAGTCTGTTCCAATCAGACAACGATCATTCATTGAGAAATGTTGATTTCCATTGTTGTTGTAATTCCATAGATCGACGTTTGTAATTTGAGAACTTCCTGAAATTGCAATCATACTCATAACGTTTGCCAAAGGGTTTGCATCTGCATGGCTGCACACACCTTGTTTTGGTCCAATAGAAATTGCAGACTTTCCAGATATCAATATGGTAGATTTGACAGCAGTTGCACAGATGGATACCGTTGGAACAACGTCTGGAGTGGAGAAAGTGTCAGGGAAAGAGAAATAATATTCTGTTTTGATTGAACCTTGTATGAACCTAATTTCTGAATACTGCTTCTCACTAAAGTGAATTTGTAATCTAGAGATTTGCCTCAAATAAATATTGGTCATAAAATCTGTATTGATTGGATCATCAACAGTAATTCGACCATTTTCAAATGCATATCTTAAAGGACGTTTTTCATTTCTTGCATCAATCACTACGGTATAAGCTTCATTATTGGTATCCACGCCCTGTATGTACATTGAGCATTGAAGAGATGAAAGCTCTCCATTTTGGCTAATGAAGACTACTTGGTCGCCTCCTCCTTTCAAATCAAGTCTAAACTCATTTCGAGTTTGACATGAAGAAATATTGTGGTAGATTGCTCCTTGAGGAGAGTTGTCAGTGGCGACATGAACTGAATTAAAATCATCTGGTGAGAAATAGGAAACAGTCACAATACTACCATCATTCTTGTTTACAATGTTATACTTTCTATGTTCTAAATTTGTCCAACGAACAGTATGATTTCTACCAAGAGAAATTGATGAACTTGTTGCGAAAATTTCAGAATAGCCGGCTGGAACATTGATTGATACCGTTCCCAAGTTGATACCTCCGCTACCCCCTGATAGATAGAGGGAACCTTGGATAGCTGCCAAGTCTGTGACATGGAATTGATCGTCTGATTCTCCTCCAACAGCAGTAATGGAACTTCCCATAGCCACCTTATCTATGGTGAAGATCGATGGTTGATTTTGTGCAAAAACATTAATGACCGGCATATCGTTTTGTAGTTGAATGAAGTTATTGTTTCCCTCGAGAGTAATGGAAGATGAGGATAATTGATATTGAGAACTTGGAATGGTAACAGTTAATTCTCCTGGTCCTGAAATGTGAAGTGGGCCTCTGTAATCGACAGCTTGAGAATCAATGAAAACTTGGGATTTTTGGGCAACAGAAAGAGAAATAGTACAAGGAGAACCTTTAAGGTTGAAAGATGTTCCAAAATCTGGCTCTTCGAGAATTGCTCTCGAGCATCTACCTGGAGTAAATTGAATACCCATACCATCAATGTTGGGAGTGATAAAAGTAGGAGAGATAGAGAACGATGAAGACTTTTTGAACGAGTTCAGTGAAATTCTAGGAGTTACAGTATCCAGTGGTGGGATTGTCACGAGACCTTGATATCCCTGAACATGAATTTCAAATGGATTCGATCCTGGATTTCCATAAAAACCGATTGAAGAAGCTCCTCTATTTGGTGCTGTGAGTGGTGGAGCATTTTGGGCAATGGATCCAGATGGTGTGGTAAAACCAACCACGTGTGATGCATCTTTAAGCGAGGTTGGATAAATTCTAAAAACGGATGGATTGCTTTCTGTGGAAGCATACTCAGATACATGAGCAAGGTTCAAGTTGCTGTTCTTATCTGCAACTGGTGCCATGGTTTTCCCTCCGAATGTGATCTTGGGGAAAACTGGAACCTTAATCTCTTGAGAAACAATGGTCCAACATTTGTGGACGAACCACACATGAATACATGCCTGAATGTTGAAACCAAATCCAGCAGAGATTTCCATTTGGAATGTCACAGTGTTTAACACACCATATTTCGATATCAAGTAAAAGAGCTCGTCAAAGGTAACCATTTGATTTCCATTAATATCCAATATAGTAACACCTGCATTTGCTTGAAGAAATGCATAGGCACTTCCTTTGAATATAAAAACAGAGACGGACACTCCACCGGTCAGTCTGGCATAACCTGAAACAATCCAGAGTGGAGATCCATCTGGTTTTCTTGTGATCATTCCCATACCTCGTACTAGATTGGTGATTTGTTTGGTTTGAATGGCATCCCTAATTCCCTTTGTTGAATAGGCGAGAGTAGGTAGATCAATAACAAGACCAGCAGAGGCCTCAATATATAGCTCGACATATGGCCAGTCCCAAATGGGGAATCCAAAATGAGCAGAATATGACATGACCATTCTTGGTAGAACAATTTCAACCAAATCAAAGTCTTTTCCAAATATCAAGCCCATAACAGCTGATGGAATTGCTTTTGGATTTTCAAAAAGTGGTACATGGAAGCTATAACTTCTTGTTTCAATATTTGACCAAGTGGAGGAAATTTCGATTTTCATGTTAGGTGGGACATTGTCGTCGAAAATAAGATTTTGATCTGGCAGATCACCAACATGCAACACGGGGTCTTCAGGCTTCTCAAGGTCAGCAATGAATTGACTAAATTTACGCCTAATGCCGCATCCATTCATTGTAGAAAGGAAATTTCTTATAACTTGAAGCTTGTTCATCAAATAGTATAGCTTGTTATATGCATCAATTATTTCTTCAACATTGATGGCATCACAACTTCCAGAGCAAAAGTGTTTCGCCAAGAAGATACCAAGCTCAGCCACATTCATCTTACGACCGAATATACGAGAGAGTACAGGCACTTCCTTTGTTAAGAAGGCATTTGGGCCTAGTATTTTGTCCAAATTGGATAGTACTTTCTCTGCTTGTTTTCTTGCTCCATCTGCCATTCTTGCCAAGAATGTACCAATACACAGAGTTGGCTCAGAAATAGAAAACTTGGGTGTAGTTGATGTCGATTTACCCATTTCCCAACTCCATTTGAATTCGATTGTCATTTCAAAATGAGGCAAAGCATCGAGTGGGTCTTGGACATTTTTCAACAGCTTCTTAATAATACCTGCAAAACCAAGCTCTGCTTTTCCTGCTAAGATTGCATTCACTGTAAAGAACGATGTCCAGTCGCTATTCACTCCAAATTCTGCATGAAAATCACTTTGTGGATCTGCAATAATCTCGGCTCCAATAAAGCCCAGTTCTCCTTCAAGAAGAGCATTATCAATTTTAAGATCAGCAACTCCTTTGATAACATAACCATCTTCAAAAGTGACAAGTATGCCTTTTGTCTTGCTGAAAATTAAATTAAATCTGAAATCATAATCTATTTCTGATTCAAGTTCAGATTGTGATTGCAATCTTGCACCTTTGGAGGAAGCGCCAAGATCAAAGTGAATGTCAACAATTGAATGCTTGACCAGTCGCTTAATTTCAAACTTCCATTCATATTGATCAGAGTGCACATTTGGTGCGGGTGGACATTGAACTGGTTGCAATTTATCGCATAAGATTTTAGTAAACTCGTCCAGAATAAATTGTTCAATGGAGTCAAATTTAGGAGTCTTTCCTTGCATAATATCATTCACCATTTGTGTAATATCAACAACCAATTCATTAGTCATCTCTGGTCCAATGAGGTTGGTAAATTCTTTTTGAATAATCTTTTGGATTTCCTTATCAATAAGTGGCACTGCGACTGTCTGAATTAGGCCATTAGGACCCATAAATAGTCTCTTAATCAACTCAGAAAAATTGCTTTCCCATTGAGCAATGAAGGTGCTAGGATCTTTAAAGAAATCTAACAAACTATGATCTTGCAATAAATCATTCACGGTCTTTGAAAAAGATCCTGAAGGGCATGTATGTTGATCAATAATCCATGCGTTCGGTGCTCCATTCAAAAAGTTCTCAATATTGGGAACGTTGATGGATAATTGGCAAGCAGATAAATCAAAAAACGACACCATTGCATCGAAACCAGCATTTCCTGACAATGAATAATCAATAGCACCATTCTTTAAATAGATTGATAAAGCTGTTGGGCTTCCAATGAAAACATCAGCACTAGCAAGCATAAGATTAAGGGGACCTAAAGAAGCCTTCAAATTTCCATTCATTTTGAAATGAGTGTCAATGTAGAAAGAGGTACCGTCAAGAATTTCAAATGAAATTCCATTACTCCAACTGCAAGCTAAGTGAATTTCAAAATTAGCATTCGAGTTCAATGAAATGCTGTCTTTTGTACCAAGTATTGATGGTAAAGTAGAGTCACCAAAAACGTTAGACTTGACATATAATCCTTCATTCGAGATAAGAGGATAGTTCAGCAATTTCAAAGTGACCAAAAACTTCTTATCGCCCACACTGACATCATAGCACACTTTTTGACCCCACGCATGCTGTAATAAATCACAAAATTTTCCAATCGAAAATTCAACAATTCCATTGCATACACTTTGTTTGGCAGAGGAAAATTTGTTGACAATAGTAGATTCTAATAAATGTTTGAGGGATCTTTGGACAAAGGGTAGAGGAGCTTGTATTAATGATTGTCGCCCAATTTTATCCGTTGTTTGCATAATTGAATCCAAGAATGAACATAAGGAGGTTGCATTGGTTTGAGAAAGTCCAATATAGGTCTCTTTAACGGCTGAAACTGAAGAAGTGAACGTAGTCTCTAATTTGTGGATTTCCATTGAGATTTTATCCAATATTTCACTAGAAGACACTTTCCACATCTTGTTGGAACTTAATGAAAGACTATCTAAAGGAGGTAAATCGCTCCTGGCCTTAATACTGGGATTGGGTAATGTCAAACGCCCATTTGATGCAATATTGATGTCATAAATGTTGAACATTGTGGTGCTATTGGTGGAAGCTCGAAGTACATTAAAACTAGGAACAACGTCCTTATTGAGTGATATATCGAGGTTCAATGTACCAGCTCCTGATAAAGCGGAATCAGAGGAAGTGCTTTCAATATCAAAAATACCAATAGATCCTGAAGAGAGTGAAATAGGTCCGTCATCGGAATGTTTGAAGATTATTTTTGACTGTATTTTGATACCAGAAGTAATGGGCATGGATGTAGGAGGTATTTGAGATGCCAAGCATAAGATTGGCACAGAAGAGTCCGAAATGCTCATCGAAATCGGTAATAAATAAGACAGATCATCTTTTTGAAAAGATTTCAATGAAATCTGAATCTGATCCAAAGATCCAAATGTTTCACTTCCCTCATAAACACCCACAGAAAACATGGGGCGAATTGCCTCATCAATGTTCAATGGTAATACATTCATCATAATGTCTTTAAATGTTCTTCCTGTTGGAAGTTTAAATGTAATTTTAGATGTCAGTGATTGAGAATGTTGACCATCAAAACGTTGCTGAACTTCCATCAGTAAGGTAAACTCATAGGATGCATTGGTTATTATGGTATCAATTGTGAAGTCATTTGTGGCGCAACTTAGTATTGAAATGTTATAGAGGCCGGGTAGAGAAAAAACTGTGCCAAACTTTCCTGAAAAATCAATGTGGTTCTCAACATTGACTGTGCCTTTTGTTTGCAAGGACACTTTGTTTTGAGAGCTCTCTACACTAGAAATAATGTTGGAACTGGAAGTGAATACTTCGTTCAACTTGAATTCAATAGAGGCTGCTGTAAGTTGAGGTGGAAAAACTCTCATCATTCTTTCAGGAATCTGTAAAGAGTTTGTTGGAATATTAATAAACTGATGAGGAGAAAATGGAACTCTTGTCAAAATATGAACCAACCAAGAAACTTCTCCCCAAGAGGAAAAGCAAGGATAAAATGGAGCATGATATTCAAGTGTTTGCTCTGTTGAAGTAAAGTCTACGTATTTGAAAATAAGCTCGAATAAACTATTGTCCACCATAGAATGAATACCGGCCGCATTCACAATGGCTGCACTTTCTTTGGCAATTAAGACTTCCCCGAGTCCGCATTGCGAAAATGCAATGTTGATACTCTTCAGTTTGTTTTGTGGGTCAATGCTGTTGATCGGGCATGGGTATATTCTTCCATTGACTGTTATATTGAGATCTGGAATGCTATTTTGCGTTTCTGAAAAAATTAAGGTCAATAATGACTCGCCTTGTGATGTCTTTGTTTTGGGATATGGAACTTGAACAAATGTATTGTCAATAAAATCATCCCAATTATGAAGTACACTTAAAGAGGCATCCAGAAATGGTACTCTGAAGTTCAGAGGTCCATTGTTCAATTGGGTTAACACTTTGGCAATATCTTTCATATTGGAAAACACAGCTTGGTTTGGAACGAATAAAACGTTCCCATCTCCGGAAAATTCCACACTAGGTATTGCTCCAACACTTAACAAGTTACCTGACTCAATCTGTACCGTGAGAGGCTGAGATAATTCATTGTTGAAATTTAGCTTTGCAGAGAACTTGACGGAATTTGGCATGTCAATATCAAATGAAATAATTCCTTCTTTGAGAGTACCGGATTGCATATTGTATCTAAGTGGAATCATAAAGCCAGTTTGGATACTTTTACCCTTAATAGTAAATTGTGTGAAAGAGGGAGAGGCCGAAAGCATGGCCTTCACGGAGAGTGTCAACTGTGTGGCAGCTCCCATTGTAGGGGCTCGCTTCAAAATATCTAATGCTCCATCTACTAATTTAAACTTCTGCAAATTGTGAACTACAAGATTCAGGGAAATAGAAGATCCTTGCACTTGCGTAGACGCTAAAAGCACGCTTTGACAGTTTTCGCTTTGGCAAAAGAGGTTAAAAAATTGTTCAATTCTCATGCTCAAATTAATAATGTCCATCGAGTTTCCAAGGGTACTTAAGGTGCGAGAAAGCATGTTCAACACAGTTTCGATACCATATTGCTGGGTGGCCATTGTAAATGTATTTTCTATCATGGGTAAGGTTTTGTTAATGTTGTGAAGGTCATCTATTTTGGAAACAAGAGTGGAGACGTAGCCACTGATTGTTACTGGAGAAATAAATCCATTGTTATACGTGTATACAAGCTCTCCTTTCTCATTCAAAGTAGCATACACAACAGATCCATCATCATAGTTGCATGACCCCTTAATGGTTACCTTTCCAGTTGAATAGTCAAAGGTGGCATAAATCTCAGTGAAAACGTTCGATGTGTCGAAGATTGCAGAAAGAGATAGAGCTCCGTTAAAACTTGGTGATGATCGAGGGTCTACCATGACCGAAATATTTGTAAAAATGTTCTCAACAACCATAACAGAGGTAAGAGCACCACTGAATAGTGAATTTTTGAGGGTGGTGGATCCATCGATAAGTTTGGTCGTTCTATAAGAAATCATAAATTGCTCAATGAATTTTTGATAAAGGGTAGTCAACTCTACATTGATGCGAGTTATTGTGTGATCGTTTCGAATAATTTGGTCTGTGGTTTTAACCATCGAAAAATCAAAGTATGCTTTTTCATCGTTCTGTACCAATAGCGAGACAATGTCAGCGTGTTGATTGGCAAAGAAATGTAAAAACCCTAATACTGAGGGAAAGGGTGTCTCTGTATCGATGTAAAATTGAGCAGCTTGTTTAGCTTTCTGTTCGTCAAATAGTTGGGAGCATGCGTCATCCATATACTTCACATTCGTGTGCAGGACAGCCTTCATTTGCTGCATCAAGTTTGGTACTAAAGTTGTGATGGTATCTTGCGTGAAGGGATAATCTCGTACAAAGAAACCTCCTGGATTACTTGAAAATATATTATTGGGAAGAGATGTAAAGAGAGAATGGGAGTTCTCATTTGAATCCTCAATTCTTCCCAAAACATAACCTGATATTTGTAATGGAACAGAACGGATCAATGTTGTTGCACTCTTGATGCTGTCGGTGAATAATTGAAGTGGCCATACTCCTGTCGTTCCTGCTGCAATATTAATTCTAATGCCAACGTGTCCCCTCGAATCACATTCCATGACAACTTGTGAATCACCCGAGAAACCAAGTGGATAGAGCTTGTCTTGGCTAATAAACACCATTGCTGTTAAACTGGACTTGTATGTCTCAGGAACATGAGAGAGGTCACAACTTTTGCCACTTGATTGTATTGCCTCTTTAAGCAGATCGTTCAATGCAATTAAGGTAGAGTCAATGCATGATGATGAATTAGTACCACTTTCAATAATACATGATACCTGAGTTTGGAATAAATCTCCAAGCTCACTGAAAGAGTTCGTTTGTGGCCTGTACAGTTTGGATGAAGCAAAGTGCTGTGAGTTTGTCTCTGATTTGGACATTGTTGTATCAATAATTTTGGTGCTATTTAAAAAGACTCCTCTCACGGCTGATGACTTCAAACTGAATGGAGACAAGTCCGAATAGTAGGCATGAACTCCAAATTGTGTGGCCAAATACATGAACGATGCTGCAATGTTGTTGGCATTGTTGTGAGTTGATACTTCAGCTGAACTTGAAGCAACCGATTTGTCAATGATGAAAGGATCAACACCATCAAATAAATTAATATCGAAAAAGCAAATGCCACTATTACTGGAGCTTGCTGAGCACGTTTCTGGCGACATCATGGAACCTTCCCAACCCACAGGAAAATAAGGTATTGCAGAGAATAGCAAGGGAGAGCCCGTTCGCTTACTCATTGTGTACTCCAGTGTCGTTGGTGATAGCAATTTCACTCCAGCCACACTACCTTGCACCACACTCTTCAAATTAAGCATTAAGGTAATATCGACAGTATCACTCTCAGGATGGAATTGCATCAAAATTTGTCGTCGTAATTGTGCCGATTGAACCGTAACGGAGTTAGGAAGGAAGGTCTGTTCAAGATGTAACGATGATGGAGAGGATGAGAGAGCCATCCATCCAGAGTCGTATGAAAATTCAAGACCATTCGTATTGGCGTCATTGCTCCATGTGGTACAGGCATGATCAAGCCATGAAAAATCAGTAAGGGTATGTGTGGAGGAGTAGAGGCCATCGGGTGTTCGATGATTCGTAAATGAGGCAAAGCCATGAACAAGTTTGCACAATGAAGCCTTACTTCTCTGGTTGTTGTTGTTGTTGTTTCTGATGATGCTGCTGCTGTTGGTCATTGATGTTGCCGAGGATGATGAAACTCGGACACCAACTACAAGGACCAACAACAACAGAACATATGAAAAGATTCTGCTCATTCTGTTGTCGGGTTGTTTTTCTTGATGAGGCTCAAATGATGAAAGGGGAAGAAAGAGAAATGGATGTGAGAGGATGAACAAAAAGATTTTTTTCTGACGAACGTTCGTTTGTTTCATTTCTATAATCGTACAAGTCAAGGTTAAGTATGGAAGGTGACAGATTTATGAGGCAACATCCAATGAGATCAATGTGTATATATTCACGGGATGAATATCAAACATTTTCACACAAAGGATTTTGGTAACCAAGTGTGTAATGTCATCCGTTTCAATTTGTTATTTCTATTGGATGTTTAAACTCATAATTACATGTATATCGGAGTAAAACAATCATGTACGAATAATATAATTAGATGAAGATGATGATGACATTGTTGCTGTCAACAACAACTCATGAGACAAACATTTTTATAAATCACTGCCAGAGGAGGACAGCCACGGTGAGTACCATGAAGAAAGGAACTCAAGAAAATTCAGGGATGGGTTTATTCGATGATAAACGTTGTTCGATGGTTTATATGTACATTATTTACAAGCCGAACGTAAGATACGTAGTGACTTCCTAGCAGGCACCCCGGAAGTAAAGGTGTTTAAACTGCTCACGATAACAGCAGCAACCCCTGGGATTCGAACGCTGGACCAGTTGGCTGCCACAGTTCCAGAAAAACCACTCGGCCATATGCGGGCAGCTAAAGGAACTCAAGAAAATGACACGTGGTTGCTTTCTGCGTTGCTGAATGAATTGATGTTGCATAGGACTCAACGGTCGAAATTGCACCGTTTTGCCAATATTTTGAAAATTGTTGTTGAAGGGCCATTTGATTATTCAGAAGAGTCGATTCGCACTCTCTGTGTGGGTCAAAGACTTTGTAGCTGCAGTAATAGAGCGAAAAACAATAACATCTCGAAGGAATGAAACTGGTTTTTTGGCTAAAAGTGAAATAGTAACCAGGAGCACTTTTGACACTTGACTTTTTGGGCCCGAAAAGTGTCACATTTTGATGTCTAGCAATAATCCTTTCAAAATCCGACCAAAAAATGCAAGAATTTCCTGTTGCAACACCACACAACAACCTCCTCTCTTCCATTGCCACACTTCTTCTCTCTTTCCTTCCACCACAACAACCACACACAGCAATCACAACAACCACACCCATCTCTTTCACCCATTCCTCATTCACTTCCATGATCCACAACAACTACAACTACAACAACATTAACAACAACACTAACTCCACTTCTCCATCCTTCAATCTTTCCTCCGTATGTCATCCTTTTCTCTTCCAACCAGGTCTCTCTCGAGAATGGAACGGAACCTATGAATTTGGACTCTGTCCCGATACCTATTCAAGTTTTGCCTTGTGTTTGATTTTAGTGGTGGCCTATGTCATGACCGTGGGTTTGAGTGGAATTGGAATTTTCTGGAAGAGACAGAGTGGACATGTGAAAGCTCGAGATCCTCTTTATTTGGAAATGACTTGTGTGGCAAATTTTGTGTTTGTGGTGGGTTTGACCATGAGGATTGTGGTTGGAAGGAAATTGTTTCCGTGTGGATTGTTGACGGTTTGCTTTTTTATTTTACCACCAGGTTTGTAAATTTGTAAATGAGCTCATTTGAAACTTGGATAATCTTGAATAATTTTGATCGAATCGATGGAATCTTGTCGAAAATAATATAATGTTGATACTATTTAAAATAATGCATGAAATTCAATCTGTGTGTGTGGATACTAATAATACTTATAATACATGCAACAATGCTCGTCAATCATACACACAGCCATGATGTTACCCACCGTATTTCGATTAATGAGACTCTATCTCATGTACAGAATTAATTTAAAAAAGATGAAATTATTTGAAAGTCCGAAAACCATCGCCACCAATACCTCAGTCAAAGAAATTGATCCAACAACAACAGAAGCAGCAGTTCATGCAACAATGACCATTCCATCCATCACCAATACCACTGCCACGGCACCAAATTCTATCGATAAGAATGATTCTCTCAATCATTCGAAATTAATGATGAACTTTGCCATGTTTGGACAAGAAGATATTTCACATCGACAGGAACTTGTTTCCAATGTCATGAATCCTCCATCCAATGTTGCACTCTCTCTTGAAATTTCGCACCACCTTGTACAACAACAACAGATGGAGCTTTTTCCACAGGTCGATTTTCAAGCACTCGATGAGGATCCAACCTCCACCGATAATGATTCTGAAACGATGGCTGACATTTCGACGTGGCGTCTCAGTGAAGTGAAGGATTTCTCAGAAGTGAAAAAGGAAATTAGAAATTTGAAAATCATGAACTTTTTTGTAAGCTACAAATTTATATTATTGATGTATGGATTGGCCTTTGTGATGGGTGTGGCCATTTGGTTATTACTTGGAACCATTGAAGAAGTCATTTACAATTCGAGTCAAGATCCCAATAAGAAACGAATATTTCTTTTGGAGGGAGGAATGTTGGTGTTTGATCGAGGATGTGGATTTACAACAACGACCATTCTAATAGTTGGATTGGAAGCTCTTTTTTATATTGTTATTGAAGTGATATTCTTGATATTGAGCTTTTTTGCAGATCGAGACACTTGGAGTATTAAGAAAGAAGCTTTGATTTTAATTATTTTTCAATTGATTGCTGCAGTGATTTTTATTGTGGTTATTACTGAAATTTTGTTGGATTATTTGGTTCCAACAGGTTTGGCACTTTGGGTTTATAACTATTTGGAAGTTTGGATTTGTGTGACACTTCCTGTCATTTATGCCATTCGATACGATGCACGTCAACAACAACAACAATTCAATTCCAACGATTGCAATGATTTAGAGCTTCAACCTGTGACAACCATTCAAGGCGCCTCTAGAGAAAGTGGACTCGAAAAAATTCTTAAAAACAAATAGACATTTGACATCATGTTGGATTTTGCAAGAAGATCCTTCGCCACAGAATCCGTTCAATGTTGGCCTGACATTCAACGTTTCAAGAAAACCAAACGCTCAAACCGAAAGACAGCTGCCATGCACATTTTGAATGCTTATCTGACATTGGGAGCTCCTTTAGAATTGAACATGCCACACATTGAAGAAAAGAAACAAGAATTATTACCTTTCATTGAGAACGAATCAAAAAATAATCCAATTCCACACCATTTATTCGACTCGATTCAAGATCATTGTTTGAATGATATGGCAGATTTATTTGAGCGATTGAAACAATCAAATTCAGAAATTTATGAACTCGTTCAAAGTTATTCTCAACGAAAGAAAAAAATTGACAATCACATTGACAACAATCATAACGACAACAAACAAAAGCCCTCCACGAATGATCACTGCCAAATGTGAACCTACGAATGATCCGATCACAACAACAACATCAATGACTTTTTCTAATCATTAATATTTTGAAAACGAATGAATCATAGTTACTGAACATGATGTATTCATGAGAGGAAACACAACGAGCGATGAACATTTTTCAATTCTCACATGTTTTATTACATGATTTCAATCACACAAATGACTCAAAGAAGAAGAACAACTCAAAGATTGAAAACTTTGTATTATTCACACACACACAGATTGACACGTACATACACACAACAACGAACAGTTCGTCAAAAGAAAAACTGTTTCGAACTCTTCACACACACACACTGATCTATTTCTCGATTCAACTCTTGAAGCGACCCATGAGGATCATTCAAATCTCTGAACACTCATTGGTCTAATAGTATGGATGGTGATGTGGATATCTATATCTATGACGATATCTGTAAGGACGACGACGATAATAATCATATGGCCTGTAAGGATATCCATAATTGTCTTCCTCGAATTCACTTTCGAATCCACTTGGACCACTACCTTGTCCTTGATCATTGGGTGAGTTGTCTTCAGAATCGGCTGGATCGACGCTTTGAGAAGGTTGTGGTTGTTGTTGACCATTCACGTAATAACAACAAGCAAAGAGAACCACTAAGGCTACGAGAAGGAAAATGATGGATTTCTTCATATTGTAGGATTAATTGAAAGAAGGAGAGAATTCGTTTTGAAATGTTTTTTAAGAGAGCTGGAAAATGTTAAGCTTAACATTGAAATTCGAATTTGTTTCATGTGGAAGAGAGTTTATTCTACATTTGAACTTTTCCCTTATCCATTTTGGAAAATGAACATTTTGAGAAGATGTTCTTGGAGTGGATCTGGCATGTCGACCAGAGTGACGATGAGAGCATTTACAGGGTGATACTCTATTTAAAGATAAAGATGGAAATACACCAAAAATAGAAATTCCAAAAGTGTATTTACTGGTCTTGTCAAAATCCTGCATACACACAACTATTGAAATAGATTAAAAAGATATCATTCATCTACATACAGAATACAAAGTTATTTTTTATAACACAGAATATATATATTTACAGAGAGCGAGAGAGCAAAAGGAACTGACGAGATGACAACACTTCACACATGATGGCTCTTGTTCTCTCAAGAATTTAATAATTCATTCCATATCCATAATTTTGCATGTTGTTATTATATGGCATTGGATAATTTTGCATTGGGTAATTTTGCATTTGATAATATGGCATTGGATAAGGCTTATGGTAATAATATGGTCTGTGATGATAATAGTATGGTCTGTGATGATAATAAGGACGCATGTAATAAGGATGACGGTAGTAAGGCATGTGTCCATAACCGTGACCATACATGTTACGACCATAGTAGCTACTTCCCATGTTGCCATAACCATACATGCTTCTTCCATGGCCATACATGTTGCCATAACTTCCGCCACGACCGTACATACTTCCATAGCCACCGCCACGACCATAACTGTCCTCGGCCTCCTCGGATTCTTCGGACTCTTCGGATTCTTCCGCTTCAAAGGTAGGATCCACACCTTCATCATCACCTTGAGTTTGTCCAGAGGATGATTGACCGCCTTGTTGAGCCGGTTGTTGTGCTGCTTGTTGGGCGTGACAATAACAGCATGCAAGAAGTGCTACGAGAAGCACTGCAAGAAGGAGAGTGCAAGTTTTCTTGGCGAACATTTAAAATGTTGAAAAGTATGAAGGAATGTGATTCCAAGATTGGGAAGAAGAGATTCGCAACGATCTTTGGAATGAGTGAACTAACGAATGAATGAATGAATGTAATCAGAATTGGCGATTGAAAATAGTTACAAAGAAATGCTGGTAATATTAATGCGCAAGAGCGGATTGTGTTTTTTTGCGAAAGACAGTAGTTACTGTTCGATTTTTATATTGTTTTGCATTGAGAAGAGGAATGCATGCATGATTGTTTTTATTGGAAAACAACAAACTCGATGCATTTGGAACATTACTATTTTTGTACAATTGAACTGAAATTAAGAACTTGCCCCCAACGAACTTTTCCAAACACAACACCACCTATAGTTAGAATTGGTGAATTAACAATTTTAATGAAGATCTCTATCAGTAAAAGGATGGCACTAGGATTTGAAGAAAAGAATCACAAACGGAGAGACAAATTGTCATTTCCAAATTTGTATAAGTCGTTTCATGAAAGAGTTCTTTCCTCAAGTTCGTGTTGTGTTGTATACACCCATACGCACACACATTAACAGCTCTTGTGTCCGTTAACTGTTGGACTTTGAATTTCCAGTCTTGGAATGCATTGCCTTATTGAACCTTATTGAATGGCAAGTGACATTTCTTACAACATGAATTATTATCTCACTGCTACCACTACTACTTTCATGTTGCTTTCATCATTTGAGAACAAACCAACAAGGAGATTGAAAATTTTCAGAGAGTTTGTCAACCATTTTCAATATAACACCAAATTTCCAAACTTTCAATTTATTATTGAAAGAGAATTTACAGATATGTGTTACAATGACTCTCAATACTTGCTGCCATAACGAGGTTTGTAGTATCCATAGCGTTGTCGATATCGACGAGAGGGATCCGGACGACGTCGACGACGACCATAACGATAACAACCATAACCACGACAACGAGGACGTACCTCATCCTCAATCTCTGGAGAATATTCGTCACCACCTTGTCCTCCACCTTGTCCATCAGAACTCTCATTCTCTTCACTACTTTTGAATTGAAAAGCTCTTTTGTGTCTGCCACCACCACGTCCACCACCACCACCCTGTCCTGGATAACCATAGCCATAACCTCCTGGATAGCCATAACCATAGCCATAACCTCCTGGATATCCTTGGCCTGGATAACCATAACCACCACCATAAGGATTTCCCCAAGGATCTCTCCATCTCCAACCAGGGTAAGGTGGTTGAAAAGAGCCACCACCTTGTCCTCCACCTTGTCCACCACCTCCTTGTCCACCACCTCCTTGTCCTTCACCACCTTGTCCTTCACCTCCTTGTCCTTCACCACCTTGTCCTTCACCTCCTTGTCCTTCACCTCCTTGTCCTTCACCTCCTTGTCCTTCACCTCCTTGTCCTTCACCTCCTTGTCCTTCACTACCTTCACCTCCTTGTCCTTCACCACCTTGTCCACCACCACCTTGTCCTTCACCACCTCCTTGTCCTTCACCACCTTGTCCTTCACCACCAACTTGGTCCGGTCTACGACGACGTCTTCTTTGATTTCGTCTTCTTCTTCGACAATTACGACCACGACATCTGTTTCTACGACGTCTTCTTCTTCTTCTTCGTGCATATGGACTGCCAGAATATCCCGTTCCATACGGTGGTTGTGGTTGTGGTTGACATTGAATGTAGGTACAGAAAATTAAGATGAACAAAAGAAGAAGTGCAAGAGAGGCAACGATTAAGGAACGACGTCGAATGGGATGGAAGAAGAGTTTAATACTACTGCTACTACCACCCCAACTGCTGCTGCTAATGAATGGTTGAATCATCATGTTGTTGTGAATGTGTGAAGGATTGGTAATTTTTCGTTTTGTTTCTTGTTTGAAAAAAGAAATTCATCCGTTTTTCACAAGAGTTGAAATTGGATTCTGTGTATGGTGGTCTAGTGAAGAAGATCAAGCTTGTGGTTCAGCAATGTAGAGAGTGGAGTTGTGTGAGGCTGTGGCCAAATCTTTTTTCCATTTTAGGTAACTCTACAAAATGAGATTATTTTTGATATCTTACGAAAATGGAAATATATCATTTGGAGAAACCAAGGTTGGAACAGCAACCAGAACTGGATCCATAAACTCAACAGTTCTTAGCTTGTTGAAGAAGACAGCATTTTTGGTTTATACACTGGAATCAATTTCATGAGATTTCGAAAGATGATTTATTATTGCACTTCAGAAATTGTCATCAAGACCACATCAAGGCCTTATACATAATATCTTCTAATGGGAAGAATTCCTCTCCAAGGAGAAGGAGGACTCTCTCTCACTGCTTTTGAATTTCTTCTAATAGAAGAATTGCTTCGAGAATTTGCTGGAACATGAGAGAGATCGCCTTTCACATTTCTACGTCGACGTCTGACATTTCTTCTTCGATTGATGGGTCTTCTTCTTGACCGTCTTCTTACTTGTCTTCTTCTTCTTGGTCCAACACGTCTCCTTCCTTGTCTTCTTCTTGACTGTCTTCTTCCTCTTCTTCGTCCACGACGTCGATCTCTTCTTCGATCCCTTCTCCTTCCTCGACGATCACGACGTCTTCCTCGACGACGATCTCTTCTTCTTCTTCCTCGACGACGATCACGTCTTCGATCTCTTCGTCTTCTTCCTCGACGACGATCACCAGGTTTTCTTGGACCAGGTCGATCTTTGTCTGGTGGTTGAGGAGGTTTCGATGGTCTTTGACCCTCATTTCCACCACTTGGTGGCTCACCACCTTCTTCTCCACCTCCTCCTCCACTTGGTGGTTCGCCTCCACCTCCTCCTCCACCTGGTGGCTCACCACCTCCTCCACCATCGTCGCCACCTCCCTCATCCCCTCCTCCACCTGTTGGTGGTTGTTCACCACCACCACCAGAGGGTTGTCCTCCTCCTTCATCCCCACCTCCTTCATCTCCACCTCCTTCATCTCCACCTCCTTCATCTCCACCTCCTTCATCTCCACCTCCTTCATCTCCACCTCCTTCATCTCCACCTCCTTCATCTCCACCTCCTTCATCTCCACCTCCCACTCCACCTTGGGATCCTCCACCTCCGGATTGCTGCTGAGCTAGAACTTGCATGATGATTCGAACGATTTGTTCAATTTGAGCAGGAGTAGGAACTGCTTGTTGTTGAATGCTGTAAGGAGAGGGAGATTGTCCTTCGACCACAACATATTGAGAAGGATGATGATCTGAAGAAATCCAACACCAGAAACAACCGATAATGATCAAGACAAGAAGAGCATAGAAGAATGTACTTCTTCTTCTTGTGTTTAAATAGGATTGATAATGTTGTTGATGAGTATGCAAAATCATGTTTTTTTCAATGAAAAACCTGTTGAGAGGAAACCGTGAGCTTTAATGGTCTTCGTATTTGACCGAATAAGGTCAGAAGCACACGTGATCTGAAATGAATCATGCATTATTTCATCATTATTTCAACAATACTTTCCTTTTTTGAAACTAGTTATTTACATTTTTGTTAAGATATGAATTTGGGAATTAACTTTATTTGTGAGGTTACTTTAGAAAGTAAATGGAGTAGGTTCAGAACAAACCTCTCTGAACTGTTTGAAAGTTCGTTTTGAAGCTTTTTGAAAGAGTTCATACTAAATTTAATTCTAAAGTTCGTTTGATCTTCTTGGTTTTTATTATTGCTATACAACAAAAAAACCTCTACAGTCACATCTGATCACTCCAACAACTCCATAAATATGTGAAACAAAGTCAAACAATGTTTTCAACTCTCGTTTCTAGAGAAAAATGATTCCTCAACGAGTGCATTGATCAACTATTTCAGGGGGTTTTTCAACACTTGACATGAATCTCATTTCACATCACCATCATGATGGACACCTTCACTCTTGGAAGAATGTGAAAAATGTCCTTAACAGAGTTGTTGGATGTGTAAAAGTAGTCGCATTTGAAAGAGATCTTTGTTGATGAGAATTGGGATGGTCTCAGCAACCAAGATGAAGTTATTAGAATAGTGATCTTGATGAGTAATAACAACAGATGATGATTTATTGTTCAATAGGTTTCTCATTTATGATTTATTCTTCTTTTTCAAATTGAGGATAATTTCCATACGAATAAGGACCAGTATTATAATAATAAGGTCGTGGATTGTATTGGAATTGATAATAATAAGGTTGTTGCTGAGTATAATATTGTTGAAATTGATAGGCGTAGGGTTGACTCCAGTAATAAGTGGTGAAGGGTGGAAGGAAGTAATAGGAAATGAAATATTGTAGATCGTAGGGTGGATCGAGTGGAATGTTTTCTCCATAGATTTGTTTCTGAGCATTCACAAGACATGCAGAGAGGAGAAATAAAATGACAAGTGACAGCAATAAGGAGCGCATGGTAGTGACGACGGTTTGGATGACAATAGAATTATTTGAAATATGCGAAGAGATGAATTAATTTCGAGAAAGGAGTTTTTTTTGGGTTGTGAAAGAGATGGCCCATGCTCGACACAATTCACCAAGTGTGGCAGGATCACAGCACTCGATTTGAAGTATTTCTAAATAAAGAATCAACATGAAATAAAATTAAAAAAGTAAATTTTGCATGTCTAGAAATACGATGTCAAGACATTAGAACAAGACTTCAACAAGTGAAAGGTCGATCCAAAAACTCCATCAGAATATGAATTTTAATTTTTTATTATAATAAATATAATTTTATTTTTTTATTTAATTTAATATTATTTGTAAATAAGAGAAGATTACTCTTCTTAAATAAAAAAAAAATTTAATGATCTAAATTATTAATACAATCTAAAGGATTACACTTTTGTTTGATTCTGTTCTAGATGAATTTCCTTTCCCTTCATTTCTTGAGCCTCCATTCGTTTTTCATCCTTTTCTTCCATTTGTAGAATCAAAGGATTGTACAACAACAAGACGAAAATGGCAAACACCAACACTCCAAAACATTGTAAAAAGTAATCAATAATATGCAAATAACTAACATATAAAGAAGTGAAGATGGAAACGATAGCTGCCAAAATCTGGATGAAAGCACTCAAGACCATTCCAATGACAAGTCCAACAATTTTGATGTAAGGTCTTTGTAGTGATTGAGCCAAATTGGTGGATTGATTGGTTTTGGCATGTGACACATTTTGAGATCGTTTTCGAACCACATGTAGTAATCGAGCTCCAATGGATACAAATAGGATAGTTTCTAACATCATGACACTGACATAGATGAGAAAGAGAACAATGTAAATTGGAGTTGGATCCACTCTGAGAATTCTCATTTTGAGAAGTAAATTGATAATTCCATTTACAATGACAAGAGCAAAGAAAATGGTGGCTGCGATGGCTGTAATGACAGAGACAGTCCAAAACAAAATATTATACGTCTTGAAGGACATTGCTCCAGCCATCTTGACAGTTTTTAAGCTAAAGGAAAAGGAAGACATCAAAATGTCAAATGCCAAAATGACATCCAAGAAGAACAACTTACAATACGGCCATGATAAAACTCATAATCACCAAGATAGTCGCCATTTGTGAAAAGACCAAAACATTTTCCATCACTGAAAATACCCACATGACCACTTGATAGGAATTCAAATTCTCCACACGAGTCAAATCCTCAAATTGATTCACTCTCAATCCAGTTCCATTATACACCAATCTAAATACCAGCCCAAAATATTGAACCAAAATGAATACCGAAAGCAAGAAGAAGAGAATTTTGTGATTTCTCTTAATGGTCGCTCTTGCCTTATACATGACATAACCAATGACAACAAGAAGAATGGAAAAAACAACAATGAAAAAACAAGAATTGACAATGGAGGAAATATTTTCGGTAGAGTTGGGGAAGAGTTTGGAAAGAGAGGCATGAGTCACGTTGTTGTTATTGGAAGTGTTGTTGTTGTTGGGATTTGTTTGTAATAATTCAAACGAATTATCGTGGAAGAGCAATGCTTGAGAAATGTCAAACAATAGAGAGGAGAAATCGCTAAGAGAAGACATGATGGCGACAATGGTAGAGGAGGATTCGAGTTTTTTAGCGATAGATATGATGATGATTGGTGGTCGTTTGGTGGTTGTGGTGAACAACAAGCTGGATTGGAATATAATACAAATTTGGAAAGATGCAAAGATGACACTATGGACAAGATGAAGCTATCAAAACCTTTCAAAGAAGAGAGATGCACGACCACACACGCGATATGGAGCAGACACAAACGATGTTGTGAATCAAATTGATGTTGTTGTTTTGGTTTTTTTGTCAAGATTTGTTTCGTTGGACAGAGAGAAACTGCGAAATAGAGACAAACTGATGAGAATAACATGATTGTAATTGCCCGCGAGTATTGAACCTCGCTAAGAAAGGGAAATATTCAACAAAAAGGGAATTCTTTCAAGGTCAGAAGTGGCGAAAGACTCAACACAAGGTGCAAGCGAAAACAACTCTGGAAACCCTTCAAGGTGGCCAACGATACAACACAAGGTGCACATCATTCATCTCATTGACCAACAATCGCTTGAATCAAGGTTGTTGTCTTCCGTCTGATCATCACGTTGGAGAAATTGATCAATGATGACTGTTCCCTCAATCCTTGCACACACTTTTACTCACCTCCACTTTGAAACTGAGAAAACTGTAAGCTATAATATCACAATAAAAGTGATGTTTTACTTAGTCTTGAATGGCAACAACAACTTGGGCAGGTCTCAACACTCTCTCATTGAGAATCCAGCCACTCTTTAGTACCATGGCAACAGAGCCATTTGGATGCTTGTCGCTTGGTGGAATCTTCATCATGGCTTCATGGAAATTTGGATCGAAGGGAGTTTGTTCTCCAATTTCGAGTTTTGTCACTCCGTTTCTTTCCAAAACCTTCAACAAGACAGTTTCAGTCATTTTCACTCCTTCCACTGCGGTCTGTAGTGCCTTTGCCTTCTTTCGCAAATCTTCAGTGCAGTCTGGGCTGTCTTGTACCAATTTAGTAATTTCCGAAACGTCTTCAACATTCAAATGTTTCAACCCACTCTCCAAATTATCCACAACTTCCAAAAGATGCTTTGAGAAAGATTGCAAAGCAAACTTCTTTGCATTATCCACATCATTCTTTGCAATACGACGAACATTTTGCATTTCAGCAACAGCTCTCTTCAATTGGTCGTCCAACTTGGCGTTTTTTTCTTTCAATGCCTCAATTTCCTTTTCGAGTTCTTTTACCTTGGCATCATCAGCAGCAGCTGTTTGTTGTTGCTTGGTTTGTTCTTGAGCTTGTTTCGTTTGCTCCTTTTCTACAGAAGGTTTTTCCTCAGCTTGTTGCTGGGTGTTATTTTGTTGTTGAGTTTGTTGCTGAGTATTGTTGTTATTATTTGTTTGTTGTTGAGTTTGTTGAGAGGATGAAGAGGCTTGTTCCCATGAAGCTCCGGAATTGTTATTGTTGCTACTTCCAAATCCAAAAACATTTCTCGTTTGAGTAGTATTGAAAATGTTTGCTGTTCTGGTGGTGGTAAAGGCAGCCGAGGATTTTTTCATCATCATCACGGAGGAACGTGAGTAGCAAGTACCGGCTTTCAAAAGTGAAGCCAAACATTTAGATGTTGTTGATTGCATCATCTTTTAAAGTGGGTGTTGTTCTTGGTGTTTGAAGTGATTTCGGGTGAGAACAAGAGAGCGAGCAAGGCTTTGGAATTTTTTTTTTCGTTTCAAAAAATTAATACTTTTTTTGATTGAATTTTTGGTGTTTGGGGCTCTCTCAAGCTTTGGAGCTTGGAATCCAATCAAAAAGAAGAAGTTGGCAACTTTTCGGAAAACGGAGCCGGAGGTTGTTTTTGGGCCTTCATCATCTTGCCTTCCGAGGTGGTCATTGGGTTCGTTCTTTGGGGAAAAGAGAAGCAGTTCGAAGATTTTTGTGTTAAAAAAATATTGGAGAAGAAATAGTGACTCTGTTGATTCTCTTCTTTGTTTTGAATGACAATTCGGCCCGAGATTGAACCAGGATTATAAATTTTAATCCAAAAGATGTTAAAAAGATTTTGCATGTAGTGGATTTCTCCAAACAAAAGAATTCATTTGATTTGGCGAATGGATGCATCGTGATGTTGTAGTTTTTGCATCATTGAATGGCTTGATGGACATTGGATTAATATCTCTTGAACGGTTTGTTGATGGTGCGAATTGTGACAGTCAATACGTCTCTCTCTCTTTTACGAGCCAATGACCGGCACAAGATGTGCATTGACATTCGAGGCATTCGTTTCTCAATTTTCCATTCCCGCTCAAAAAATTTACTGGCTTTACTCGCCACTCATTCGGTCAAAAGAAAAAGAAAAAAACGCCTCGACAACTCTTCGCGCGCTCGCTTTTGAGAGTGATTATCTCAACAACAGATTTTTGAATTTATTGTAGTGGCCATCACCGTCGTCATTGTCTGACGTTACTCCTATTCCTTAGTAACTATTTGATAGGAATTGAGAGGGGTAAAGTTTTAGGAATTGTATCTCTCCTTGTTTAAAAAGAAAACTAGTCATCATCGGCATCATCATTGCTTTTTATTTCAAAAGTACTGAGAATCATCAAGTACCATCACGCCATCATATCATCCACTCATACATCACCATCATCCTTAACCATCATCATCAAAAAGAATGGGCTCAGGAAGTTCGACAGCATACGGCCACGAAAGGGAACCACCCTTGTTTCCTCTCTATCAAGTACCCAAAGGAAACTCAAATCCTATCGTTGCTCAATTAGGCGTTTTCCAAAAGACATTTTGCGAAATGTACGACAAGGAGGGCGGAGGGAAAAATTACGAAAAGCTTAAACCCTCGAGCACTCAAAACAACACAACATTGCTTGCTTCAAGAAAGTTGTGGGTTGGTTGCTCTCCTTCTCCTGATTTAGAAAGCCTTATTATTGCAGTGACTGATTTAAGGGAGAAGTATTTTGAAAAAGTGCTCACCCAGAAGAGCTTGAATGATATGGTAAGTTTTGATCAAATATTTTAAATGGTTGATGACCATTTATGGCGTTTTGGACTTCCAGAAAAACTCATTAAGCAAAGAATTGAAGCTTGCGAATATGGAGTGGAAAGTATTCTTTGATACATTAAGAGCATCCATTACGCAATCAGGGCGATTGAGAGTGTCAGTCGACGAGGCAGCCAACCAATGCAAAGTCCTTCTCGAAATGTCTGCCAACAAGCAAAAAGCTGATATCGCATTGAAGCTTGCACGTGTTGGTGATTCAAAGGAAGGAAAGGCTCCAGACTATTGGTCTCAACTCTATCATTCTTTCATTTATCCTCTTTACAGCTTTTACTTGTTGCGAACTGAGACAACACCGACTGAAAGAGTTGACCAGCTCGAAAGAGATCTCAAAGTAATGAAGGAAAAGTATCAATACTTTTTGCAAATAAGAGAAAAGCTTGCAAAGAAGGCAGGCCAACCTATTATCCCAGTCAATGCTTCTTTGGAAGAACGAAACGCAAAAGCTCTTCTTCGAAGGCAAAATAGCGAGCTCGAAAGAAAAAGAAAGGAAATTGAAAGCTTGGTGTTCCCAGCTCAACAAATTTCTAAATTCCTTATTAATATCAAGAAAAAGCTCATCAAGAACAAAGCCATTACAGAAAAAGAATATGAGAACTTCAACGTAGTCATCAACTCGCTGAGATTTGACTCTATTCACAAGATTGAGTTTGGAAAGAACCTCAGAGAATACGACACAGAAGTTGTGCAGTATATCAAGACTAAATACGTGGATGCAGTCCATTTGGGAGGAAAATCAAAGACAGTAGAAGAAAAGAAAGTTGAACCAGCCAAAGAGCCAGTCAAACAAACAGTGACAGAGCCAACTACCCAAGTAGCAGGAAGACCCGGAAAGGATGAGCTCAATAATGTGCTAGAAAAGCTTGACAAATGGAATTATGATGTCTTCAAAATTACAGAATTATCGAATAACCACCCTCTCTTCTTTACTTCATACGCTCTCTTCCTTAAGTACGACCTGCTCAACAAGTTCAATATCAATGAGAAAGTGTTAATAAGCTTTTTGAGAGAAATCGAAGCAGGTTACCAACCCAATCCATATCACAACAACATGCACGCAACTGATGTTCTGCAATGTATGCACTACATTATCAGTAAGGGCGGACTCTCTCAATACATGACTGATGAAGATATTTTTGCATCCTTGATGGCGGCTATTTGTCATGACTATCAACATCCAGGTCTCAACAATAACTTCCAAATGAATTCTCAATCCTACCTTTCCATTCTTTACAACGATCGATCTGTTCTCGAAAATCACCACGTTGCTGAAACATTTGAATTGATGAGAAGCAAAGATTTTGATGTGTTCCAAACCCTGTCAGACGAACAATACAAAGATATTAGAGAAACCATGATTCAAATGATCCTTGCAACTGATATGGCCCTCCACGCAACAATCCTAGGACGATTTAAATCTAGAATTGAAACTGAAAATGAATCATCGGAGATTGACTTTTCAGCTAAGGAAGATGTTAGATTGGCTCTTCAGATTGCCATCAAAATTGCGGACGTTAGTAATCCAGCTAGGCCTTTAAAGTTGTACCTTAAGTGGGCAAAACGTATCGAAGAAGAATTTTACAAGCAGGGAGACAAGGAAAAGGAGCTTGGTTTACCATTGTCACCATTTATGGACAGGACAAAACCCAGCTTGAACAACCTTCAATCTGCATTTATTAATTATATTGTGTCTCCGATGATGAAGAGCTATTGCAGACTATTACCAAAGATGAACTTTGCTATGGAACATATTGCCACCAATTTGGAGTATTGGAAAGAAAATAAGACCATCAACATTGAAGATCTCCAAGACTAGATTTTTTGAATTTCCTCAAAACTACTGCCAATTGTAAAGATAAAATTACTCAATCCAATAAACATATAAGACCATTGTAGATAGAAAACTCTCACAGCTGTGTCACGATGTCCATGGTATTCATCAGAGTCCAAAGTGTTGTCCGCACTATCTCATTGGAGAAGCAGAATTCTTAATAAGTGTTGGTAAGTGGACCATCATCATCTGGACACACTTTGTTTGATATTTCTGGTGAGCTTCATTTTGCACGTCATGAACTTTCTGCATTGTGGTTTGCAAAAAAAAAGTTCCTTCACGCTACTACTGCTGGAGAACATTGCGTAACGCAACAATCCAAGAAGATCCTTGTTAAAGTTCCTCAAATATATGAGGAAATATAAATTGATCGGACTTTGAGATTGATATTTTGACTGAAATGATATATTGATGGCATGAATCATGAAAGAGGAAATATCCAGAATCAAAAAAAAATGTCACAACCAAAAAACACCTCACGATTATTCTTACTCTTTCCTGGAAGACATTTACTGAACACCAATTTTCAATTTTCATATTTAATGAACCATTTGACTCGGCCCATCTCGGAATGGTCTGATTTTTACAATCCGAATACTGGATTGATTAAGAAATGGATTCTTGGAAATGAACCACTTGAACATGAATACATCTCTCATGTGGTGTTTTGTGTAACTTCGGCCAATCAACAAAATTCTCGATACAATCCCATACCTTTCTATGTAAGATCTATTGCATTGGATCGATTCGGACAAAAATTGGTGAAGGCTTACAACAAGCCCGAAAAGTTAATTTCTCAATTCTCAAATCTCAACGAGAACGATGATGAAATTTCAAAGGATCCGAATCGAGGAATGGAGAAAACACTTTCCATTCATCATCATCATCAAGGACTGAAATATTCCATCATTCCTGTTCCACATTTTCATCCATCGGATCGATTTGCAAGTCATTTAATTAAGATGACACGAGAACATTCTGAGGGAGAATTAATGTTACATCCAGGGAATACCATTGTGTTATCGAGCACTTTGGATGTCATTAAGCAATTTGACAAACTTGGATATTCGGTAATTACTGCTGAGATGCAACGTCGATCCAATACTACTGCTACTGCTACGACTACGACTACAGCTACTACGACAACGACTACTACAGGTGATCAGCAAGAGAAATATGAATGGATTGAAAGACTTCCTGTTCAAGTATTAAGCAAGATGGTTGAAGAGGTGGGCGATGGCCAAATGATCTCTCACAAAAATTGGCCTCTCAGCAACATTGTGAAATCTGACATGCATTGGGCCACAACATCCACATGGATCGATTTTGTGGATGTTCCAAAGAGAATATTCCGATTGTGGAATGATCCAATTTTAAACGATGCAGGTTCCTTGACTGAGACTCGAAACTATGATACTTATGCATGGGAAATGTCAAACACCACAGTCATTAACTTAAAATGGAATGACATCAAACATTTTGTAAAGACCGGAAAAATTGTTGATGAAGGATGTGCAGATGGAGCATTGTTACTCTGCATTTCCAAGGATTATCCAGATTGTGACTTGATTGGTGTTGAAATTACTACAGAATTTTTAGCTCGATGTCATGAACGACAACGATTAGGTCAATTTGGTTCCAGTTTTGTTTTCTTTCACCAACGAAATATTACCAAGCCTATCTTTGAAGACAATAGCATTGATACTACCATTTGTAATAGTACCATTCATGAACTTTACTCTTACTCACCTACTGGAACTCGAGAACAAGTTGTGAAGGATTATTTACAATACAAGTTTAATCAAACAAGATCTGGTGGACGACTCATTGTTCGAGATGTTATTGGACCTGAAGAAAAACAAAAAACAGTTTTATTGTGGCTCAATCACAAAGAAGGAAAAAATCATTGGCTTCCTTCTGATCCGCAAAATAAGAAAGAAGAATATGAACACATTGTACAGACCACTGTGAAAGGTCATACAAGTGCCATGCTGCAACTATTGAATGAGCTCTCTACTTTTGCATTATTTGATCGTTTTGTAAAAGATTTTGATTTCAGTAAGGACATTTACAATGGTGATGTTGAATTTTATGAAAGCATTGAAGGAGAATATTTTGTGAAAACAAATATGAGAGGAGCTGCCGAGTTTATGCTTACCAAAGATTACCACAACAATTGGGAAAGTGAAATGCATGAAACTTTTACGTTTTGGTCCTTGTCGGATTGGAAGAGAGAATTGAATCGAGTTGGATTTAAAGTTATTGAAACAGACAGCAGTAGTAGTGGGATTGCCACCCGATCCTACACAAATGAATGGATTGCCAACCAACGATTTGACAGTCATTGCAAGATTTATGAATGTCCTGAGGTGGACGATTTGAGTAAGGTTTCAAAAGCAAGTCTCAAGGAGTTGCCTTATCCTCCAACGAATGTGATTATTGTGGCGGAAAAACCTTCTGAATTCGAGGAAATGTAACCTAGTGAAAGATTCTTTTAGTGTGAAATTGAACCAAATCCTTACACATAATTAAATTCTTCGAAAAGTAGAGTGTATTTGTGAGACATTAAATAATCTGTTTTATCATGGATTGATTTTACAACAAATATTACTTCTTTGTGACAACATCACTTAGGGAACCAATTGAAAATCTCATAAACAAATCTCCCATTGGCTGTGAAGCAAGTGCCATTTCTTTCTTCATTCCTGTTAATTTGCCTTCAACAGCTTTCCAATATTCGTCATTTCTCAACACAAACTTTCGATCACGTCCTTGATTATGTAAACGAAGTAAAAATCCAACCTTCAGTCTGACTTCACCCATGTATTGATCTCTTGTTTTTTCGTAATCCATACACTTCACAATTAAAGTGTCATCATAATCAAAGATTTGAATGGTGTGAGTTTCATGCCAATCGGGATGAATGGTTCTATTACACAACTTGGTTCTAACTTTTTGCTTTTTAGCTCCTTTTCTAGAATTCTTCTCATTGAGTTTAATTCTGAGATAAGGATCGGCTGAACCATGATCTACTGGAATGAGATTTCTTCCTTTGATAATTTCAATTTTAAGAGCTTCAGGTTTCAGTGAAATATATTTTGGAATGAGATCAACCAAATTCTTTTCACCTGCTCCAATAATTCTCCATCCTTCTTTTGTGAATTCAATCACACACATGGTGACGACTACTTCATTGTCACTTTCATCACCACTGTCATAGGAATCATCGTCAGCATCGACGTCTTCTTTCTTTTCAACTGTCTTTTTTGGAATATATTTATCAAGGAAGAGATATCCAGAAGCTTGAACACGAGTCAATTCTTTTCCTGATCTCATGTCAACCAATCGTGTATAGACTTGTGACTTTTCATTCAAAATACTTCTCGATTTGACTTCAATATTCGCAACAATATATTTCACAGTGGTGCTTTCGATCAAATCTTTCATACGAATGTCAAATTGTTCTTCATCATCTTGTGTGTAAATTGTTAAAAAGTTAATTGGGCGATGTTTCAATTTTGCATCCATGTCGCTATAACCTTCATAGACTTTACCCAAATAACGACCAAAATGATCATAAATTTCAACTTCAGCGTTTAACAAGTGCTTTTGTCCTCCACTTCCAGCAATTCCAAAACCAAGAACCAAATCTCTTCGATCTTTGTGGAATTCCTTCGTGACTGTGTCTTTTGGAGCTGGAACTGTGAAAATGTCACATGAAGGTTCACTAATGTCAAATTGACATTTTTGTAACATGGAACGTAAATATCTTCGAGCTGGAGTTTTGAATGTCACAATTTCATCTAAAACTTCGATAAACCATTCATCTTTCTGTCCACTACGATACGCAATGACTGCCAAGTTTGCATGTTGTTGCCAATTAAATACCTCCAATGCTTGTTCACTTCCGTCAATGTTAAAAACATTTTCTAATTTTGCAAAACACATGTCTACTTTTTCATCAACATTCCATAATCTAAAGCAATTGATTCGATTTTCTGGAATTAATGAATAATCCAATGCATCTTCATCCTCATTGGTAATAATGTCCTTAAATTTCAATAAGAAACACATGAAATAGGGAGCATGTGATTCCTTACTGTAGGTCAAATCCATTCTGTGGAAGGATGTTAAACTTTGGAACATTTGATCTTGTCTTGGAAGTTGTTCGGCAGTGTTTTCCTCACCTTCTTCTTTTAATGTGAAAGATTCACTCATTGGAATATTCATGGGGTGATCACTCTTTTTGGAAAGGGCAAGTTTACGCTTTTTAAGATCATTGGCTTCATTGACGATGGTGGGTTTTGCACCTGTGAGAAGTTTTCCATGTTGTGAAAATTCCAATACTTGAATGGAATCTAAATTTTTCACAGTAGAGAAATCAAAACCAACTGTTTTCACTTCTTGTTTTGGAATTCTGAAACATTTTGGTTTTTCCTTCTTTGGTTCTTCATCGTTGACTGTCAAATCCAAATCGGAAGCATTGCTCACCATGAGGACGAAATCTTCCTTTTCGGTTGTTTTGTCTTCTTCAGATGTTTTGTTTTCTTGTTGTTGTTGTAATAACTTTTCACGTTCTTGTTCTTCAATCTCATGTTGTGTCGCCAATTCCATACATGGAGGCAGTTCAAAGGTTGGAACATGTTTCTGAACTTGAGATTTCAAATGAGGATCAATCAATGGATGAACTCCCAATGAGTATTCACCAATGTTACTAATTTTCCATTTCGTGAGGCCAATAAAACTTCCTCCGTACATATTTCCAATTTGATTCTTTGAAGGTGCTGTTAAATTGGCACTTGACAAGTCATTTGGATTTCTCAAACAAGTCAATCTACATGCAATAAAGCTTTGATAAGCTCTTTCAGAGGTGTGAAATTGATATCTATACAAATCTCCCACAGAATTTGTTGTAATTTTCACATAGGGATCTTTAAGTTCTTGGAATCCAGAGTCTTGTGCATTGGATGTTGCTGTGACTACCACAATAATGGAATGCACCGATTTTGGAAGACGTGACAAATCCACCTCTGCACACAAATCACTGTCATTACCAGTACCAGTATCTCTATTGCCTTTTAAGAAAATTGCAGCAGGTTTTGGTTTGTGAAGTCCAGATCTTGGTGATTTGAGAGTCATACTTGAAGAAGATTGAATGAGAAGAGGAGAAGTACGTGGAGATCCCATTCCTGAAGTCGTGTTGGTGGTCGACGATGAATTTGCGTTGTTACTGTTGGTAGTATTCTCGGTCGTTGGAGCAGTGGTATTATTTGGATTGGTGTTTGTGCTTTCCAATTTGACAAGTGACAATCTGGTAGTATATTGATCAATGTGACCTAAACGAGCTCCATATTTACCAAAGAATAAAACAGTGGCTGTGAGATAATATCTGGAATAGGAACGACCAGAAAGTGATTGCCATCCAATAAAGATTTTGATCTTATCCTCATTGAAAGTGTATGATTTTTGAATATTCAAAGTTGGAGGTTCTTGTTTGTCGACTTGTGTCTTGTCATCTTCTACCGATTGTTTTGAGAGCTTGTTATTAGCTTCTTGAATTGTGAATTCTTCTCGTGATATTGGAATGAATGGTGACTTTTCAGCACTTGTTTCCAAAACAGTTTTCAAATAATTATGAGCCTCTTCTACAATCAGTTGATCGATTAATATAGATCCAGTCAATTCTGAGTACACACGAACAATATATTCTTCATCTTCATCGTGATCCTCATCTTTAAGAATGGAACTGAATACCATGGAATCTAGAATTTGATTCTTCTTTTCCTCTTGTCTCAAATGAATGATATAAGTCAATCGATTTTTCATGGAAATGAAAATATTTTCTGGAAGTACACGTTTACACATGGCATACATGAAAGAATCCATAAATCTTTCATGTGTGGCAATTTCGACTTGCTTTGAAACAATTTGCCAATAATAATTTGCTTGAGTCGATACGTCTTCATGTTCTTGAGCATTTTCTGCTTCTTTCAAATGTCCTTGTGAAATTGCTGGACTAGGACTTGCAGAAAGAGAATCTGAATTTAGTGTTTCCTCATCCATTTCGTCTTTGATACTTTCCTTTTCCTTTCCAGGAATAACTGTGGTAATGGCTTCAGCATCTCCACCACGTAATTGAATAATTGCAAACACTTGTCCAGAAGCATCTTTTGAAACATCTAAATTGGAACCAATGACAAGTTTCAATGGAGCTTTTTCATTGTCACTTTGTGTGAATTGATATAAATTACAAGTGACGTGTGCGAGTTCAGATAACACAGTTCCTGGATAGCAACAAGCAAAAAATACAATACAACGAACTTCATGGTCAACTTTTGAGAGATCAAGTTGAATAGTTTCATTTGCTTCTGAGAGGGCTGTTTCGAGAGTGACATTATCTTTCAGTGGTTCCTTGCTGTGTGTATTGGAATGGAGTTATAAAAAGGAATGTTATTTCAATGTCCATTGACATCGATAGAGACACAAATATGGACATTGGTATTAGGTTTGCATTAATAGAGAGAGAGAGGCATTGACATTGAGGGTGGAATGGAACAAAAGAGACGAAATTTTGTTGTTGTTGTTTCGACGATTGTCGAGTGTCAACCCAGTGTCAAAGATGTCATTTCAAATGTGATGATGATGATTCGAAGAGTTCATCGATGTGAACCAAATATATTGTTTCATCAGGTCATCATCATCATTAAATGACAACCGAATCAATTGAGAAATAGATTTAGAAACCACAAATGAACAACAATCATTATGGTCGTCATCATCATCATGACGAATAAACTTACACAACATTTCTTGGAGCATCCAAATTTTGATTTCCATTTCGATCATCACCTCCATGTTTCATTCCACTCACTCCATTCAAATTATTATAAAAACAAACATCATGGATACCACCTTGTTTGTTTACAAGGATAGCTACGAGATCGACGTCATGAGTGGATGTTTTACTTTTCCATTGTAAAGTGGCGATAAATTGTTGTTGTTGATGTGGTTGTGAAGAAGAATTTGATTCAGAGCAATTTTGGTTGTTGGAAAAGTATGGAAGATTGTATTTGTGGTCGTGTGCATCCAGGAAGGGCAAGGGATGAGAGTTGGGAGGCAGTTGATGAGAGGACCCTTGGTTTGACATTTTTTATTGTTGTTTGACAGAACAACATTTGACAGGTGACTGTCTGGTTATGATTTTGGAAAAAACCACACAATGAAAAAACCTCAATATGAATTGAGGGAAGCGATTTTGATGGAAATCCACCCAACAATTGTTGGTGTCCATTCTTTTGAAATTATACATTGTTATAATGCAACAGGTCATTGATGAGGTTTTGAAAGTTGCAAAAGAATTCTCTGAACACTGAAAAAAATTTTCGAAACAAAAACCATCAATTTAACATCATCGGATTCTTTGAAACTTGGAAACTTTATTCTCCATTAAAAATTCAAGAATTTATCAATCTGATAGAATTGGATCCGAATTGTTGTTGTTGTTGTTTTGGAAATTATAGACCGATCATCATCATCATTGAATATTGAATTGGAAAATTTACATGATTTATTTATAGCAGTCAATATTCAATTTCAAATATTTATTTACCTGATCTTTAGTTGTGGTTATTTTGAATCAAAGCATTACAGGATTAATTTTGAGCCTCTTTCAACAAGAGCTCGCTGAAATTGATTTTTTATCATCACTCCTCCGATATTGATTTATTGTTGATTCATAATTAAATTCAATCATCATGTTGCAATCGAATCATCAACAACATTCAGGAATTTCTCATCATGATTACCATGAGGAATCTACCATTCTCAATAGTAGTACATTATCCTCTCAGTATCAACCACCATCACAACGTTCAAACTCAACACCCACAAAAGTCTACGGAGGAGGAACACCTATTCCTTATTCCGATGATCATACAACACCTCAAGTAACACTACCTCATCAACGAGGTAGTCGATCATCGAGTAGTAATTTGAGTTCCTATTCAACACAGCGAATTCAAACAAAAAGTCCTCCTTCTGTAACGAGTACTGGTAGCGGAACTAATTATAATGGTATATATTCTCCAAAGACATCTCCTTCTTCATTCAAGGAAGAGATTTCAAGTTCTGAGTGGACAGTGTTACCAACACAGAATCATGATCAGTTATTTCCTTTGGAAGGGCACGCTACTATTTATTGGGAACAAAGTTTGGAAGATGAGGATGATTTGACACAACCAAATCAAGTGACTTTAAATAGAACCTTAAATATGATTGTTTTATATGGAGGAACTGGACCAATTCGTGGGAACACAAATCAAATTTATTGTATGGTTCCAAAACATTCTGGAAATATTACTACTAGCTCAAGTACTCCCCACTTGCCATCGTCGTCTTCACTGTCGACTGTACAACAATGTAAATTTCAATGGGTGTCTCCTCCTACACATTACATACCTACGTATAATCCAACAAATTCTCCAGTTAGTGAGCCAAATGTAATTCAGAAAAAGTCTTCAAAGACGAACGTGCTCACTGGATCTCCCTCCAATAGTGATAGATCTGGATCAGCTTCTCCAAGACGCTCTTCTCTCGAATCTCTTTATATAGATGATGGCTCTTCTGAGATACCTCTATTCAAGTCAAGATATGATCACACGTTTGTTTTGTGTGGAAATAACAAGGCATACATGTTTGGAGGTAGAAATGGAATGTTTTCAAAAACACCATTGCAAGATTTTATTTTATATTCTCTCGATATGAACATTGAAAATCAATTCACATGGGAAATAGCTCACATCCCTCCTAAATCAGACAGAGAACTCTCATTCCTAAAACAATCACAAAAAGACGTAACTGATTTGTACAATAGAGAGTCACCCTTACCTCGGTTTTGCCATGCATGTTGTGCAGTCAATCAAAAACAGTCTGTTCTTCAACCCATTAGAAGCATAAGCTCCATATCCAACAGCGCAACAAATCTCGATACTGAATCAGAGAGTGACTCCTTATCAGATTTGTCAGCAGGAGGAGTTCTTAACAATAACAATGCTGGATACGGTGAGAGTACGACAAATTCATCAGGAATTAGCTCAGGATCAGCTCGGTTCAACAGTGATGGAGGTGTTGTATTGGATTGTGCCATGCTATTATTTGGAGGTGTTGCCATCGTTGATTACAGATCTAAGAAGTGCAAGGAAACTAATGATTTTTGGATGTTTAACTGCAAGGAACGAAAATGGCTCTCATATCCTAGCATCATCCAACGATATTTCAAAAACTCGTCGAGTATTCTTCAATCCAAAACATTAGATGATTCACAATACATGCAAGAAATATCTCTCTCGTCGAATGGTAATCAAGAAAAGAAAAGAGCTTCACAGACATTAACGTTGCCCAACAAAATGTCAATACACAGTGCCTATGTCCCTGAAGCAAGATATGGCCATCAAATGTGTGTGGTTTCTAATTCATTGGTTTTTGTTATTGGTGGAGCTACTTATGCAAAAGACAAAATGTACAAAGATATTTGGATGTTGTCTCTCAACACATTTGAATGGAGAAAAGTGAATCTTTCACATCACAAATCGAATGAAAGGTATATTCAGAAAATTCCAATTCGATACTCTTCACACGTGGTCATAGGAAGGAGAATACTTTTGTATGGTGGACAACTGTCATATGACACTGGAAATTATTTGAAAGAGTTGCTTTGTTTTGACACTGAAACGTATACTCTCTCTGTCATTGAAAATAGTGTCTCTCCACGATTTGATACAGGACTTGTTAAACAAACCATGATTCTCTATGGCATGGATATTCTGATCATTGGAGGAAAGAGAGGTGTTTCCTCCTACAGATATAATGACAATGTCCAACAATTTTCTCTCAAGCTACTTTCGATGCCAAAGACAAACCAAAAGTTTCTTAGAGAAAATACCAAACTGAAAAAGTCAAATCAAATTTTAAACCCTAATGAGATTGATTATCAGATACAAATTTTTGAGAGCGCAGAGGACGAGGAGGACGAATTCTCTGCTGCTAATGCTGTAAAAATTCAATTAATTGCTCAAATTTTAATTAGCGAAATGTCAACAAGCGATTATTCAAGAAAAGAGGCACTCAAGTACCTTGCAGAGTTTACACAAATTGATGTTGTAAAACAATTATTCAGAGATCCATCCATACACAAAGCTTTGGCAACCATCATGCAATCAGGCTCAAAATCAGATATAAGACAAACCGCTAAAGTCTTAATGCGTTATTTCAAGGATACAGACCAAGGAACATTGCCATTTATCATTGCTAGACAGGTTTTGAAATTTATAGAGAGCTATCTCACTTTAATTAACTCTCTTATTCGTTTGGGAGAACCTATCCGACAAACGTTACATATTGACTACTTGAACCTGTTTCATCTGATGTGTCAAAACTTTGAGTATTATGAGTCGCTTTCTAAGGAGATTATTTCAGTGTTTCATCAATGCTTCAAGATGCACAACCCTCTCTGTAAAGCATCACTCGATGTTTTACAATTAGCAATTTCCTCATTTTCCTTTTTATCGCTCAATGCCATGCATTTTGCATCAAAGTGTGACAAGGACCTCTGTGCCACACTTCGCCAATTCATTGCACAATCAGAAGATGCAAAAGCAAAAGCTTTACAACAAAAGGATAACAAGGAACTTCAAGGCTCCGTAATGAAATTGGATGAACTTTTGATGCGCCTCAAAGAAGCTCTCTCCAAACTCTCCTCTCGAAGCAAAACAATTAAGAAGCATCTAGGACGAACACTAAAAGGTCACAACGATGATGATGACCTAGATGTATGAGGAGAAATATGATTTTGGAATAAATACATTGAAATCTCTCGACTGACAAAGATGCTTGACATTGAGATAGATTCAGAATGATAGCTCATGACAATCAAGTTCATTCACAAACCCCTATAATTTTCTTTTCACCTTTTTCGTCTTTTATGACACAGCACTTTCATGATATCCGTTCTCATCCTCTCGTGTCATGCATCAATGTATGAAAAACACCATGCAATACAACCGTTACCACCCATCAAGATGAATACAACAAATGATACGTTGAAGATAACGAGCACTAATGAACATATCTGTTCCCACCAAATGCAATTTACTGTTTCGTGATCATGTTCTCCCAACATCATTCTTTATACAAAAAATTGTCTAGACATCAACAAATTGACAATTGTCATTTTTAATTGCTAACAGAGCATTTATTTGAGCGATTCGTTATTACCCGTTTACTTGTCAACCAACAACAAAATTCACAAAAAAATGTCCACCACCATCCTCGAGCAAAGCAGCACTCTCACTACTCCTCCTGTCATTAAAACAACCACCCTTCTTCCATCATCAACCAATGTCGATGCAGCATCAACATCATTGACCAAAAAACCACAAGAACGAGTGGCCATCATCGGAGCCGGTTGGTATGGTTGTCATTTGGGTGTCCAGTTGAAGAAATTAGGATATCAAGTAGTCATCTTTGAAAAGAACTCGGACATATTTATGGGTGCCAGTGGTTTCAACCAATTCCGTCTTCACAAAGGATTGCACTATCCTCGCTCCTATGTCACTCGTGTTCAATCATTGAAAGGTTTTGATCATTTTATGGAAAAGTATTCACACTTGACCACTCAAGTCGATTATAACTTGTATGCCATTGCAAAGAGAAATTCTTGGCTTGACTTTGGAACTTATAAACAAGTCATGGATGCCACTAAGATTTATAACAAACCTTTCAATCATGAACACTTTGGATTGACTAATTTGGAAGGATCCATGTTGTGTGATGAGAGAGTGCTCTACCATGCAGCTCCAAGAAAATTCTTTAGAGAACAATTCACAGAACAAGAACTCTTGTTGAATAATCCTGTGAAAAAAGCAGAGCAAGTCACTATTACCAGTTTTGTGAGTCCACAATTTGAGGAAGATGACAACACGAGTTCCTCTCCTGAATGTTCCGATTCTTATGAATACGAATTGAAGGAAGAACAAAATCGATTCGCTAAAATTAAGATTAACGATCGAGATGATTTAACATTTGACTGGTGTATTTCATGTACCTACAACACATTCCTTGTCACACCCTCTCTCAATATTTATTATGAACCTTGCATTTCTTTGATTTATAAGGATATTCGTTCGGATCCATTCCCTCGTGTGGCCATGACCATTTGTGACGGTCATTTCTGCTCTCTCTTCCCATACATTTCAGGTCCAGAAGAAGAAAAGAGAATTGCTCAAAAGTATGCCAATTCCGATCTGGGAGTTTTGAAACATCACACCCATGGTAGCATCACGAATTCAACAAGCTCAACTACTGATGGTCAATACATTATTCCAAAAACTAAGAATGTTGTGTTAAATGATGACAATGTCGATGCCACTGATTTCACAAAACGACCACTTCGAACAAACACAACTGCCAATGATGATGATGACGTTGCAATTTTATATACCTTGACCTCAGTGGCTCACACTCCACTCGGTCAATACAATTCTTGGAAGAAAGCTGAAGAGAGACGTTTGCAAGTTGAGAAAAATCCAGAAACTGAAGTTGCCAAATTGATTCCACTCTTTGAACAAAATATTTTACAATTCTATCCTGCCTTTAAGCAACACTTCCAATATCATTCATTCTTTACATCCATGAAGACCAAACCATACGATGCCACAGATAGTCGTGAATGTACTGTGGAACGTGAAGGACGTTTTGTGAGTATTATGAGTGGAAAGGTGAATAGCTTGCATGTGGCTGAGAAGGAAGTTCTAAAGATTTTGAATGAGAACAAATCTCGTCGTCGTTAAATGACCACCACAACCAGCATCACTACCAGCATGCAATGGGTGTAAAATCCCAAGTCTTGACAAGATTTTCACACTCTCGATAATAGTTTTCTCTTTCTTTTTAACCTTATTAAAATTCTTATTGAAAAAAGTGTGATCAATGAAACCACATGTGCCTGAAAAAGATCCATTAGCACTTGTTGGTGACCGTACATGCGATTGTATTTGATTATTTGAAAGAGAAGCCATTGTTGTCTCATTGTCGCTGCAACAATCAATTAGTTGACAACAATTTGCGGAAAATTATTTTTTTTCAAATCCATAAAAAAAAATTCCATTTTTCATCTTTATCGCGAACAACAACATTGATGCTGAGGGATATTTTCACTTCGGAGAAGGGATCCGAACAATCTCAACAACAAGGATCGAGTAGTGGTGCCTCTCGTTCCGGAAATCCTTTGAGTGGACTCATCAATCCAACGTTGCGAGATATTCAGAAGCAAGAGGATTTTTATAACAATGTACAACGATATTCGGGTTCGGGAGAAGGCTCTGCTTCTTCTGCATCTCATGAAGCCTTTTCTCCTTTTCAATATAGTTCAACAAATAGAGTATCGAGTGCTGATTCAGCTACTCTTTCACCAATTAGTAGAATGAAGATGAAGGAAAGAAGTGAGCGTATTACACGACACTTGTACCCCGATATGAATGAACAAACAAACCAATTGAATCAAAGGTTCGGAACGATGAATATTGGAGGATCAAGTAGCAGTAATAATTATGCTAGTTCTTCTTCCATGTTTTCATCGAGCAATATGGGAGATATTGGAGAAGAGAATGCTGGAATGTTTTTACAGAATCATTCATTAGATTCATATTTAAACATGCTGCAACAGCAAGTACAAACCATCGGAGAACATATTAATCAAGAACAGGGACTTGTTACTCAATTACATGAGCCCTATATTTTCCTAACCTCACAAACAACAAATCCCTATTTGCAACATCAAGATCATCAATATCAAAATTTGTATGAATTAGCAAAACGATTGTTGTCACAAGAGAATCAGCAAAATGCATCAACAACCAATACCGAGCAGGCAATTCTTGCTTTGGAGGCTCAAGTAATTTTAGAGCCGCATCACGCCGATGCTTGGTATGCTTTGGGACAATGTCATGCGGAGTGTGATGACGATGCGAGAGCAATTGCTTGCTATGCCGAAGCATTTAGGCAGGACAATAATCACTTGGATGCACTCGTTGATTTGGGTGTCTCAAACGCTAATGAGCTTCAAAAACATGTATCATTGATGTATTTGAAACGTTGGATTACTTCCCATCCTGTTTATGCCAGTGTTGTCGGAGATTTATTGAAAGAAATGGACATGGATGACCATGTATCTACCACAATGGTTGACTTTTATCAAGTACATAGCAAAGTGAGAAAATTATTTGAGAAGGCTGCAAATGAATCACCAACAAAAGATTCCAAACTTCACACTGCATTGGGTGTACTGTACCATCTTGTAAATGACTATGAAAATGCCATCCAACAATTTAAGATGGCATGTCAAACAGATCCTACAAATCATAGCTTGTGGAATAAGTTAGGAGCTACTCATGCCAATGCTAAAAAACCAGAATTAGCCATTGAATGCTACCGAAGAGCTCTCAACTTGAAACCAGACTATGTACGAGCTTGGGTCAATCTTGGCATTGCTCATAGTAACCGAGCCGAATACGAAACTGCAGCCAAATTTTATTTGAGAAGTTTAAAGTTATGCCCTCGAAACAATCATGTTTGGTATTATTTGAGTTATGACTTTAGTTGTCTTCAACGAAAAGATCTCGTCGAGAAATGCAAGCGAAGAAATGTTGATCTTTTCAAATCAGATTTTCAATTTTAACCATGTACAAACTTTTCCACAATTTCGTCATTGCCATTTTCCTCCTTTTGTTACTCGTAGTTAATATTCTCATAATCATTCAAATAAATACTTGCTTCAGAGTCCTAAAACAAAAGAATCACTTTTTAAACAAAGCGAAGAAAAAGATCGTCATTTCAAAAAAGAAATCCAAACAAGGAAAAAATGCCTCCAACCAAAAAGACCAAACTTTCACAAGAAGAACAAGCTGAAGAAGAGAATTTCCAAAAACTTGCGGATATTCAAAATCAAGTCGCCAAGCTTGATGAAGAATTGGAAAATGAGATTGCTTTATTACAAAGTAGATATGATGCCTTGAAAAAGCCCTTTTATGAATCTAGGAAGCCTTTCATTTCGGGAATTAAGAACTTTTGGGCCGATGTGGTAGGTTTGGTATGATGATGATAGTGGTGATGATGATCAGCATATTATTATTTGTTAAATCATGAAATGATGATTGGATTTAACTGTGTCGTTGTTCAAAAACTTTTTTTCAATTCAAATAATAATATTATTTTACTCAATTTGATGATGATACGATTCGGAAAACTCAAATTAACTTTAACAGATTTCGATACATCCACTCTTTTCAAAAATGTTAAATGATACAGAACTTGAAATTTTGAAATATTTGACCGACATTGAAGTTGAGAATGATATCTCGAAAGATACAAAATTCTTTAAAGTCACCTTCAAGTTCAAGGAAAATCCCTTTTTTACTAATACAGAACTGTGGAAGCTCATCAGATCTAAGCCTCAAGAAGAAGCTCCAGAAACCCAACAATCAGAAATTAAATGGAAGGAAGGGCAAAACGTTTTTGCCTCAGAAAATGACAAGAAAAGAAAACATCAACAAGATCAAAGCTTATTTAAGGTGTTTGTGGAAGAGACTGAATACGATGAGGACTTTATTTCTATCATTGTTGATGAAATTTATGCTAACCCTTTGAGTATATTAATTGGTGAAGATGAAGAAGAAACAGATGTATGAGATACAATGATGATAATTTAGATTATTATTAATAATAATTGTTCACTAGCTAAATGACCAGCCTCAAATGTTAGACAATAAAATTCTTATTTTAACAAAATTAGAGTCACCGATTAATACTAAGCCTGCAAGGCCATCAACACATCGTTCTTTCGACGACTTGTTGTGCTTCCCCGACTCACACCGCAATAGCTGGCCACACAATCATAACATGAACGAGGAGGTTCCTTGGATTTTTGTTGGAGAGCTCTTCCTTCTCTCCACTTGGCAATAATAACCATTGTTACTCCAAACAATATAAAGGCAGCGCCAGGGATTACAAACGGCGAGACTCTCTCATGTAAAAACAAAAAGGCCATGACACTTGTCACAATAGGATTCAGAGTAGAATAGACTCCAATCACGGTTGGAGTCGTCAAACTTGATGCCTTTGAATTCAACACGAAAAATAAGGCGCCATGCACAAGTCCTCCATAAAACAAGCCAACATATGCCATCTTGTCCATTTTCAAAATGATTTGCAAGGGTGAATAACCCCAACCAGACAGTGTAAAATATAGTGCTGGCAACAATGGTACAACACTTCCAATCAACCATGTCCAAAATGCTAAGGTCAACACTGGAAATTTCTCTTGTTGCAATACTTTTTTGAAATTAATTAAATACAAAGCATAGAAGAACATATTCACACATAAAAATAGCATTCCAATAGTGAATGAAAATGTTGCAATAAAGTTACTGAATCCGCTGCTGGTTGCTGTCTTGTCATCATCATCTTGAGGAGGTGATGCTTTCTTATTATCACTGAGTAGTGTTGATACAACCAACATTGAAACAGCCCCTAACACAGCAACAATGACTCCAACAATTTTCAATGGAGATCTGCCCTCCCTTTTCAAAAGAATTGACATGATACATGTAATAATGGCCACCACTGAATGTTTGTTTCAATTAATGTTGGTTGAATCCATGCAGTGTGAAAAAACACCAAAATATTGTACATATTTTCAAAAAAATTCAGTAAAAATGTAAGAATAAGAAGAATAAGAATATTACATTCACATATCTTCATAGAGAACTTACTTGGCTGCATGATACCAGCAATGGTAGCATTGGTCCATCGCAATCCCAAGAAAAACAAAATTTGATTCATGTTAATGAAAAATCCCAACCAGAAAATCTTTTTGAATTGTTTCCAAGTTGGAATTTTTGCAAGAATAAAACCCACAACTAATTTCACAATATTTCGCATGGAACAATTGCTTTCCTTTTTGAGTTCCAAGGTTTCATGATTAATAGATTGATGTTTGCTGCTTGTGTTTTTACAAAATAATATTCTCTCCACAAACTTCACTTGTCGATCGAGCTTCTTTTGTTTCCGAAATGAAAATTTTGTAAAGATTGCAGCAGGAAACAGTCCAATCACGATCAGCAACGATCGAAATAAGGCAAAGATCGTTGGATGCATCAACATGATGGAATGAGGTATCAGTACAACATAACCTCCAAATGTGAAGAGTGTCGTCAATAACAGTAGATGGGCCAGTAACTGACTCGATGTGAACCAAACGAATGCCTTTTTCAAAAATCTCCAAAAAGAGAATGGTTGATCTACTGATTCATCATCATCTGAAGATGAGCTCTCTTCATGAATGAGTGAATGTTCATCCTCATCGTTTTCATGTCCGTTGTCGTTTAGAGAATGATTGACCTTTGGTGTTGGTTGATAATAGAGACTTGGTAAATGTTCAGCTTGTTTCATGGTCGTCGTCGAACGCAAAGCTCCCATTAGTAATTGTTTCTTCTCTTCCTCTTCATCATTTTCTTGATGATATTTCGATCGGTCAACTGGCATTTGTGTTTGTTGAAATAGTTCGTACGAATTCAGTACGTCGTTGTGGTTGTGGTTGTGGTTGTTGTTGTTGTTATTGATGATAATGGATAGTTGTGTGTGGTGAGGAAGGATTGAAAGTACTGAACTGAAACTGAAAGTCCAACAATGCGTTGACTCTCAATCAATGGATTTGTATCGAAAAGAAACAATGAGAGAGAGCACTCGAGAGAGAGAAGAAGGCTTTTTTTCTTGTGTGGAAAGAGGATTGTTTCTCTTCAGTGCAACCACTCTCTTGTTTCGAGGAGAATCTCTAAATGGAATTTCTTAGTTGTTGCACTCCGGAGAAAACCAAACTCCTTGGAGCTTTGAATGTTTTGCAGTAACACAACGCAGAGCATCTCGTATTTTCATCTTTTGCAATGATGGTGGAGCCTCAGACAGCAATGAATGAATTATTGAGAGAAATTAATAATACAATTAATTCTGAATGAAGGGAATTCCAAAGATGGAGAACTTGAAAATATGACTTTTTATAATTCAATAAGGATTCCGCATGATGGATGTGCAGCGCACGGGGTCCATCTCATCATCAAATCCTTAGTCATCGTCGTCATTAATTTTCAAAGTTCCGATCCATCTCTAGAATAATTAATCCCTCTCACAAATAATACCAATTTAGGAATAATGATGATCAACAAAAGTGCATCATCAAGGCACAGCACATTTGCAGAAAGAGTGCTTTTAGTGAGGATTAGAAGAGATCCCGTCCGTGCATGAAATGTTCCTTCCGAGTTATGGTACATCTCGCTCATCATTCCTTTCTTGAGGGAACCACCACATGTGGACCATCATCAGGAAGGAAAAGAAAATTACGGAATAATTATTTTAAAAAAAATTTTTCTTTTAACGGCTTTCCGAAGCAGCAGCATCTCTGATTCGTGTGTGTGTGTGTGTTGCTCTTGCAGTGTTCTCGACTCTTCTTCAGACAAGAGTTGAATAGAGCACAACAACAACAAAAAGGACATTGTTTCGAGTCGAAACACTTTTCATTCAAGGAACGACAATTTTGAAGACTATTCATAGAAAAAACGCAAACACCAAGCCTACATTTATCATCATCACTTTTATTAATAATTCTTGAAGTTCTTCATCATGTACAAGGGAAGGAACTCATCATCACCCTATGAAAGGCCTTCCATGAAAGAAAGAGATTCAGGTAGTAAATTTATTGTTGCAAAAAACCCTTTTCGTCATACAACAAGGTCTTCAGTTTCACCACCGCCTCCACCACCAGCGACTCATTCCTCAACGGGAAGTGGTGGTACGTCGACTTCAAGTAGTGATAGAAATGCAAGCAATAATAATGGACGAAAACCTTCACCCCCTCAACCTCCGCCTCCTCCACCTTCCTCATCATCATCTTCGAGCACATCATCGTCTTCTAAGCCTCCTCCTCCACCTCCTCTTTCATCCTCAAACACATCTTCACCAAAGCCAAACCGTCCACCACCACCTCCAATCGATACGAACAATTCTTCTTCGAAAGCAACCGTCTTAGCAACTAAGATTACAGAACGTCCGCCTCCACCTCCACCATCTTCGAATTCCTCCTCTCCACAACAGAATAAAGAGCGAGTAGGAAGTGATTCGTCTGGTCACAAAGATCGTTATGAGAGCAGTCGACGAGAGGATAGTAGCGATTACCACAGACACAGAAGTAGCAGCCCACCCAAACGACAAAGCTCTTCCAGTAGGAGCCATGATAATGACAGTCCAATAAGAAGCCCTCAAAAACGAAGTACAAGTCCAAATCGCTTTAACAAATACAGCAATAACAATGGTTCTCATTATAGAGATAAACATTACCATTCTGACCATAGTCGAAGCAGGAGTCCAAGTAGAAATTATTACAATAGTCACACTTCTGAGAAGAACAAGGAATCCTCAACAAATAAGACCACCTTATTGCCTATTTCACCTAAAGAAGAACGTAAGATGCCTGATATTCAAGAGAATCAAAAAGGATCTCCATCTATTGCATCAGTACCTCAACCTCCACCTCCACCACCGTCTTCTTCGAATGGAGAACAAGTTCCACCTCCACCACCACCATTAACAAAAACTTCCCCAGAACGGACTACCAATTTACAAAAGATCCAAATTCCTCCACCTCCAATCGAATCTCCTCATAAAAAGGAATATGGAAGAATTTCTACAAAGGTTACACCTCCACCACCACCACCATTAACCTCAGCAGCGGATGTCAATCAAAAATCAAACTTTAATAACAAACAAGAAAAAACTACTGACCGCAAGAAACCACAACACGAGGAAGATCAAGTATCTAGTATCAATATCAAACAATCTAGTGAAAAACCTGCAGAAAGGCCAAAAGAAGGAGAAAAAAGAAAGTTGGATCTGATAGAAGTTGATAATGTTAGCCCAAAGATTCCAAAAATAGTCGATAACAGAAGTACAACTAATATTGAAGTTGCAGTACCCGCAGAAAAAAAAGAACTGAGTGACAAATCTGCATCGCCTGAACAATCTATCATTACTTCGATCACAATGAATATTTCGGAGAAGCTTAAACCAGCATCTACGACAGAAGCAAGACCCCAGCCGCATAGCAGAGTACTTCGGATAAGTATTGAAAATAGAAATCCGATTGTTAACAATGAGCTAGAAGGATATGGTATTTTCAAATTCTTTCCAAATGGTAGGTTCTTGTTGATAGCCAAACTAATTGAGTTTATTTGGAAAATAAGCCACGAGAGCGAAGAAAGAAGGCGTAAGAGATTATTTGATAGAATTTTCAAGTATAGAAGATGTAATACCGTTCTTAGAGAGAGAAAGTATAGCTTCCATAGACGAAGAATACATTACTCTTAAAATTCCGAAAAGTTCAATTCCTCATCAGTACAAACATAATGATAATTTATTAATCTCAGATATTATTGAGTTTTTAAAAGGTAAATCAGATCGTGGATATGGAGATGTTGCACACACTTATTGGGAGAATTTAGTTGAAACATTGAAGATTCCCGATGCGAGCTCTTCCGTTGATTTTTTGAAATTCCGTGAGCGTAGAGTTTTGAAAAAAATTGAAGGATTTGATTTTGGAATATTAGTGAACAGTACTTCTAAAGTAGAAGGAGGAGTTGAAAAAATGAATTCATCTACAAAAGAATCATGTTTTATATATGCATTCGTTATGGATAAACCAGAATTACACAGCTGCGTTCTTACTGTGGATGAATTGAGAAAATGTTTTCCGACGGCGAAAAATATTTCAATTGTTGATCCGGAAAAGATTTTATTGGAGTTTAATAGTGTTGATGACATGAAGGTGTACAAGAAAATTAGTAATCACAACATATATAGAGTAAGAAATAGGGAGTTCTTTTTAAAGAAGGCTTCTCAGATAAAACAACAGATGGTTGTGTCACGAAACGATGATACATCGTCTGTGGTCATGAATGGAGAAGTTGAAATTGTATGCCCTATCACCCCAACAACACTCGATTCTGCTCCAAGCATAGCATCATCTTCAACAGAAACACCAAAAAGTAGCAAGGCACAAGAAATATTGAGCTTATTGAGGAGACAACTACAAGAAAAAACTCCAAAACCACCCTCAGAATCAGAAGGGCAACGTGTTGAATCGCTTCGAAACATATTAAGACAACAAATGTCGGGAAAATCATCAACTAGCCCTACAAGTAACACAAGTGATACCAATAATTCATTTATTCATTTAGAAGAAAACTATTCAGACAATATGGAAGATATTCATGAGGAAAACGATGTTATGGAAGTGACTGTTGAAGAGGAAAATAATGAACCTCCCAAACCAGAAATTCAAAATCTACGGTCAATGCTCAGACAACAAATGACGGAACAAAAGAATGATACTCTTCGAACACCACAAAAACCAAGAAAGAAAACATTTTCATATCACTACTCACTCTTTCATAAATCATTTACCAAATAAAGATTATATTAAGTAGTGTTTTTATAAACGACAAGCACTCTAGTCAACATCAAGATCAAAGGTTGATTTGTTCATGTTGTTTTTCGTTGTTTGCTGCTCTTTGTAGTTGTTCCATGATGATAGATTGTCATGCAAAAGCAAGTTGCACCTTTCTTGAAATTGCTGTCGAGCTTGTTCAAAATCTGATGTCAAGGCGTGTGGATGATTGGCGATGAAGGCAACTGCTTGTGCACATGCAGTCTGCACTGCCATTCGAGTCTCTTCCGACAGTGAATTCAACTCTAAAAATTGTCTCACTTCAAATATACATTTCTCCAACGCATGTTGTGCTTTCAATTTTTGTTGTAGTCCTCTACTTTAAACTTTTCAGCAAGTTCAATCATTTCTGCAATTTCTTCTTCGGTTAATCTGTTGGTTTGTTGTGAAATGAAAACAGTGTTTTTCATTCCCAATGCATGAGCTGTCACTTCCAAGTCGGCATTTTCATTGCAATAGATGGAAATATTCACATCAATCTTGTCTCTACGGATGTCAGATAAATATGATAAACATTCACAAACATGACGCCATAGCGACTGGATCAAGAACTTACCCAACCATTGCAGGAATATTCTCTAGCTCCACTTCCCCCAATTCATGATTATCTCGACACAACACTCTCTCACCTTCAAACACACGAATTCGAATCACATTTCCCTCTTGTACTAGCATTTCATTCAAAGTTAATTCCTTTCGACATGGATACCATGTATTTCTCGGAATAACTACATGCATGAAACCATTTTGTATTTCCACTCCAATCGACAAGGGAAGAATATATGAAATTAAACAATGAGTCAATAATGGTTTTGAAATTGTCAATAAGAGAGATTGAATGGCAGCTCCTCGAACGACAGCTTGTTGGGGATGAACGGAATCGTGAATGATGAGCGAATTGGAAAGAAGTGATTCTGTTGTTGTTGTTGTTGTGAATGAGGAATTTGTCAAATTGGTGGCAGGACAAAGAAATTGTAAAATCTGGTTTTTCATGAACGGAATTTGCATGCATCCGCCACACAGAATGACACGGTCGAATGGGATTTGTGAATACTGAGGATGGAATTTCACTTGACTTGTCATAAATTGTTGGAGTTTGAATAGTGCTTGATCGATGATTCCAGAATGAGTCAACATGGATTCGAAATCATTGAGTGAGAGTGTCCATTCAAAATCAAAGCCATCTATCAATTTTTTAAGCCGGATCGTGTACTTGTCACTTCTATTTTTGTAAATGTTAAATTTTGACATTTCTGACAGCTCAACAATCGCCTGTTCACAAGAATGTCTTAATCGCAGAAACGCTCTTGGATCTTCATCAATTTTTCGACCACCACATTGATTCGTCATTTGTTGAAATCGTTCCTGACACTTTTTCATCAATAATTTCACAATACCTTCTCCTCCAAATTCGGAATATGATTTGTAACCCAAATTCTCAAACACTTGCTCCTCTAAAAGCATGTCACAACATTTGAAATCACTTCCCCAATCCAAAACGAGAATTCGAGAGATGGAGCAGAGTTTCTGCAATCCGTAGGCGACAGCGGCACTCACCGATGAGGAAATGCATCTCAAGACGTTGAAACCGGATAGAGTGGCACTATCTTTCCAAGCTTGCCGAGCTCGATCCGTAAAGGAGTTAGGAACGGACAGGATCACTTGGAGTTCCAAGTTTTGCAGGAATTTTTCTTGTTGTTGAGCGAATTCTTGTCTCAAATACTTTTCAATTAAGGAACGTACTAGAGAGTAAATGCATCTCAGTACTTGGAGAGGAGTGAGTGACATTTCGGAATCGATTTGAATTCGAGGTGATTCCAAATTCGGAGTTGTTGATGCAGTTGATGGGAAATGATCCTCAATATGTTGTGAATTGGAGGGAAGAATGACCTTAAATGTGAAATAATTATCTTGGGATTGATTTGTAGTGATGATTGTTGAATCATTTATATTCGAAAATGAAATTGCAAATAATTTCTTGATGTCATAAATCACATGATGCGGATTGAGACATGGTGATGATTGTGATGAAAAGCATTCATCATGATTTCCTATGAAACAACAAGAATTCAGAACATCAGAAAAACCTTCTTCCGAATCTCTATTGTACCGTTTCGGAAATGCAATCCTTGTTGGCAGTAAAAACGACAAATCATTTAAACTCGAACAAGGAGATGTTGTTTTTGTTTTGCTCGTGCAGTCATCATCATTCTCATCATGCGGTGATGTTACTAATTCACCCAGTGGAAGAATTTGAATGATCGTATTTTCGTCCAGAAACATTTCATTTGTTGCTGTTATGGATGACGAAACATGCTTTTCGGGATTCGCAACGGCAACTTTGATTTGAGAGTTTCCAATGGCCACGCATAACTTGGAAGACGAGAGACTCTTGCTGAAATTGGGACTAAACATTTTTTCAAAATCAAAATTTCCAATGAGTTCAAAAGGATCAGTACTAAAATTTTGAGTCTCGGATTGCCTTCCGTGTGTTTCCGAATTTACTTTGTTCAGAATGATAACAAGCTTATTGAAACCAAAAGTACTCTTGGTCTAAGAAAATATTCATCCGTAAAACCTGTTGATTGAAAACATTTAAAGTCAATGAAGAGGATCGGACATTTGTTCAACACTCATAGGATCGTATGTAATTTTTTCTAAATGAAACACGCGTGCTTAAAGACACGTGTTTTGATAGGGTTTGTTGGCTGTCAGCTCTGAGAGCAGTAGCCTTTCATCGTCTTTTTTGCAAAAAAGGAAAAAATAGCAAAAACGACCACTTTCATTTTTTTTAATATCAACATACCACTTCTCCAATTCATATTTAATAGATTTAATATTTATTGTTATATAATATATTATTATTTGTTATAAAGTATATATTATTACTATAATTTATTCAAAGCATAGGAACAAATTTCGGAGAACCATCAATATATTTTGAAAATCATCATGCCAGCGATATTTATTGGAGGAAGTCCTCGGATTACGTTGTTTTTCATCGGATTGCTCTTGTTTTTTCAATTCTTTAACCATATTATGGATTATTATTCGGGAGATTATTCATCCTCCTCCTCTTATTTTCAAGACCATCAGTATAATGACTTGGGATTTTCCTCGGATACAAAAACATTTACATTTCCAAGGAAAATATTATCCATTCCGAGCAGTCGGTTGTTGAACCGATTCAAAATTTCTCAGAATAATACGATGAGGAGCTCAAAGATGATGAATCATTATTCCACTCTTTTATTAACATCTCAGCAATTTCTGAAAAACACTTTTCATATTAAAACCGACGTGGATGGTACTAGCGAAGAAATTAAGGAGAGTGGCGGCCATGAAAAAAGAGATGTTTTTGTGAAAGTAATACTAGAAGAGGACACCTTTTTGAGAGACGATGCCACATTAGGATCCATGGCGAAAATTCTTGTATTTTCTTTGAAAAATTCTAATGATATGAACCACGTGTCACTTACTGATCTGAATTCTATCACTCATGACACACCATTAAGCTGGGAAATTGAATACGAAGAAACGCTCATAGACTCAAAAATTTATTTCTCTCGAAAAGGCACTTCCCAATTCAATAAGGATTGCGTCTATGTTGTCACAGAACATATTTCTTCAGATTCATTTGAAAAAATAAGCAAAACAATGGAATTAAGAAAATTTTGCCCTCAAAAAGAACGAAATAGATTTTTTAATTTAACCAATTTTGGATTGGAAATTTTAAGTATTGCCGACACGTCACTCGATGAAGATTGCGCTATTATTTCTTTTGTGGATGACATTTATGAATTTAGAATGATTTGTTCCAATGGAACCTCAATATTCCATGGCCCAAGTATGACCTCAGAATTATCCGACAACAAGTCTACCAAAATACCCAAAGTGAAAGATTTGCATGACGTGTTATCGGTCCATGAATTGAACACCAAAGAATCTCCACATTCTGTTTTCACCTTCAAAGAACACAGTGACGTCAATGATATTCGAAATCAACTCTACTATTCCATGTATGATCATGTCACAAAACAAGGACCACAAGTACAACTTCATCTCTACTATTTGGGTTCTAATACATCACAGCAACAACAAAATTGGGTGCATCAACGATTAGATCCCTCCATTTCAGGTTCTTTGACTGCAATTTACTCTCGAAATGCACATCGTTTACGTGATGTGTATTACAAAGGTGTTGAAATTTCCTATCAATCTGAAAACGGTAAAGTTGTAGTTTTCCCTCTTCATGGTGGAGCTCTCTACGTGATGCGATCGAATGAAATGGGTGGAATTACTGTCGAAAAATCGACCTATTATAGCTTTATTGGAAATGGGTTTGGACTTTATGATTTACGAACCTTACAAGAACGATACTATGCTCAGGATCATTTTTCTTTGGCATTCTTTGAGGCAATGAAAAAACGAATGGAAAAGTACAGTCATCCTAATCAAGTTGCTATCAATGTGGATGGTTCGTATATCATTGTGGTGCACTATCAACTCTTTGCATTTGTTTTTAAACAAGCAGGAAAGGGATTAGCATTACAATCAGTGCTGAAAAATGTGCATTTCGCAAGAGAGAATAGTCATTTGAAGAGTTCTTTCATGGGCATTCAGTCACTACATTTTGTGAGTCCGAATGTGGTGGCAGTGTTGTGCGAAGATGGATCTGTGGAGATGTATGACGTAGAACATGAATTGACAACGAGCTCACCGAATGTGAATCAATATGGTATTAGTAGCGAAGGAAAACATGAGGAGACTGAAAGCGGTATTTTGGGCTGGTTCATTAATGAGTTTGTGGACAAACCTGTGTTGTTCTCGATTCTTGTGCTGATGATTGGTCTTTTTATTTACAATGAAGTTTTGATTCGAAAAAGAATTCAGGCACACCGAACTCAGTACCAACAACAGCAACAACAACAAGCTCAGCAACCAACTGGTTCCAGCTCTAATTCACAATGATCATTGACATTTAAATGAACTCCATTTTTGCACACTGAGCGTTTGAAATTGCTTTTATTTCCTTCAAAAAGGCATTACACTGCTTTGTAACTTCTTTACGCCATGAATTCGTCAATTTCCTTTGCTCTTAGTTACGGCAGCATGACAAACGGCATTGAATACTCCTTTTCATTTCTCAACACGGAAGCACACAACAGCAAAAACTTTCTCAATTTGTGCTCTTCATTAATGCTGGTTCCTGAAACAGCAGGAGAAGAAGAACTGTTTATATCCAGAACCAATGAGGATGTCTCCTTATTCTGTGGAGACTCAGCCAGTGGTGTCATGCCACTCCAATAAAATTCATAGAGAACCATTAAAAATTCAGTGAATTTTCGATAACATCCATCTGGCACAAAGATCATCATGGCACCTTGCAAGTGATGTGAAATGTACAAGTGAAGAGGGCACAAATCAACAAGGTCTGCCCAAGAAAATAGAAACACAGGATATTGGTCATCTTGTAGTTTGCTCTCAATCACTCGAACAAATCGTTGTGTGTCCGAAAGAACTTTGGATAATCTCAAAAACTCGACATGTTCATACTTCTTCTTATAAGATTTGCTTGAGGGCTTTTTACCATATTTCACAATAGGAATGTGGAATGGAATGTTCATTCGAACATCTTCGTTTTCTCTTGCCTCTGATGTTGCTTTTAGATGCAACTTTTCACTGATCACATTTTGTGTAATCCAATTCTTACGATCATTCTCAATCGGCTCAATAAATTTGGGATCATCATTTGAATAGAAACTAAAGAATTTGGGATATCTTTTGACTTTTGGAATAAATCCTCCAATTTCTGTTGCTGCTTTCTTTTTGTTCCGTGTGAAAATATTATGCATGGAAAAATATCTTAACACATTTTCTTCAAATAAAAGTTCCCATGGAATGGCTTGAAGCGAGTTTGGAACGAGTAATGAAATAGGTGTAGAGGGAAGTGGTAAAACTTCTTGACGTGGCATGCCCAATGTCTTTTTCTTTGTAAATGTGCCTGTTTTTTGATTAATACTCGACGCATAATTAAAATTGACAAGTCCCAATTTTTTCAAGAGTTCTAAATTTTCTGAAAATGCTATTGGATCGGGTTTGTATTTGAAGGCCTCTCTAAACCCAAAAAAATGTTGTCTCAATAATGATAGATTTGATTTGTTCATAATTCGATCTTTCTTGTCTCGCATGCTTTCAGTGACGAGATCCTTAATGTATTCATTAATGCTGTATTCAGATGTAGCTGGGTCTTGACTTTTCAAAAGAATGGTATTCGAAAGAGATCCAAGCATTTTAGACCAAGACAGAACAGTACTATCCACTTGATGAATTTGACTTGTTAGCTCGCTCATGGAATCTAGCATTTGTCTGCCCCCAAATTGTACAAAAGATTTCTGTAATGTGTTGGGAATGTAACAACAAATAACATTATCCAAATGAAGTAACAGAACTAATCGCTCCAAGGTCTTACTCTTTTTGATTTTCTTGAGTGCTTGTTTCAATGGTGTAAGACAGGGAGCGAGAGATGCTTGTTTTTGTAAATTGCCTTCTAATTGAAGATTCATTGTCGTCTTTAAGGTACCAGAAATCATGATACCCTTAGTCTCATTGAAAGTTGACAATAACGACTCCACAACAAGTTTGTCTCCAGGGAGAAGAGTCAAATTTGTTGCATCCAAAAAGTCAATGCTTGAATTGGTAGTCTTTGTACTGTCATTAGATAAGCTATTGTAAAACGACCTTCTTTTGTGTCCAGAAAGCTTGCTTTCTCTAACAGCGTTCATTAAATTGTAAAGTCTTCTCATCGACTGTTGATTCTTAAATCGAAGTTGACCATCAATTTCTCCAGGATATTTTCTACGATCGTATTTCATACTCAATAAACAATAAAAGAGTCTTTCAATGACTTTGTGTCTGAGCTGCGAGCGTTGAGGGTCTTCTTTCATCTCATTTTGCAGAATATTATTTTCAATGACTGTCTTGAACGGAGATGTAGGAGATCTCAACATGGAGGAAAAAGAAAATCCTTTCAGAGATACTGGCATTGTAGATGAAGGAGCGTTTACCTTATAGAGGCCTTCAAAAGGTTTGTTTTTGTCCAGTAGTTCTGTATCTATGAATGATGAAACTTTTGTGGCTTTAGAGTCAATTTGATCAATGGAGAGTGACGTTGGTTCTTGAGTTCTCTTTAACACTTGATCGTATTCTAAGGTGATGATATACAAGGTATCAAAAACTCCAATATTAGAATTAATGAAAGTGGGCTCGAATAATAACAATAACCGAGCACATCTGTTAATCAAATTTAGCAACTTTTCGACAGTAGATGGTGTGGCTCCATTGGCCACCACAAACTGCAAACTATTGTCCACAAAGAGAGTAAATAGAATATCTCTCATCTCACACCAATACTTCTTGGCACTTTGGGTTCTTCCTTGCAACAATCGACATTCAGCAGCTGTTAATGCTACGTCCATACACAAGAAAATATCAGAAGCTGTTACAGCAACATTTAACGTTGGCTCAATGTACTCGTCAAACACCTTATTCAGATCAATATAATTAAACTTTGAGATGGAATCTTTGGTATCAAGATAGACATAGTCTTCTGGTTGCTTTCCCATCACTGCAATAGGTAAAAATAGAAATTCGACAAGGACTTGTGAAATGAGAAGATCCATTTTGGCTAAATTAATTTCGTTGGAGCATGCTTCATAATATTTCTTGGCTTTTTGTAGACAATCAATGGCATCGGAGATAACATCCTTCAAATTATACATTGGTCTCTTCGAGTAAAGATAGCTTTCATTTGGAGCATCTCGAAGGACTTCAGATTTCTGAATTTGCACAAGAATGGGTAATCGCTCCTTGTCCTTTGGAGAAAGCTCATTTGGAAAGTTCACAGGATTGCACCATCTCGCAACACTCATAAAGATTTTAGCTTTGAGCTTGAACAGTTGAGCTAAGGTTGAGAAGGTTCGGTTGCATCGATACAGTGCCATATTTACCGTCTCAATTGCATTTCCAAACAAAGATCGTTTTCGGTAGTACTTGATCACAATTTCTAAGATACGCATTTCTTGTTGTTGTTGCAGCTGCATAAAATTGCTCTCCATTATTAGAGCAAGTTCTCTCAACACTTTTTCGCATTCTCTATACCACCTTTTCTTGAGATAAGCTTCAGCAATTGTGATGTACAATTCTGGGTTCTTAATGTTATTAAAGCTATTGCATGAGCTTTGCATTAAGTTAAAACAAATGCTTATGCATCGTTCCAAGTTACCACCATTCAACAATAGTTTGGCATAATCAATTTCTAGCTCTAACTTGAACTCTGTCGATGAAGAAAGTGATTTGATCGTTTCGAGAGCATCACGTTTCACTCGTTCTGCATTTCTGAGCTCACCCTTTTCCATGAACAGAGAAGACAATTTAGAAGAGGTGTTAGCAATAACAGCAACTCTCTTTTCACGGCATGCCTTTTCATTCAAAATAGTGTAATAGCGAATCGACCTATTCCAGTCATCGTTTTTAACGGCCATAGCTGCCAATTCATCTATGAACTTGTAGTCAAACTCTGAGGCTAAAAGTCTATAATTTTGAGTATAAATTTCGAAAATAATTGCAGCATAAGGGTACTTTCTATTTGCATAAAGTACGTCTCCAAATTTTTGCATTGCTCTCAAAGCGTCTGCTGTTATTATTGTGGGAAGTGCACTACAGAGAGGAGGTGACTTTTGGAAAACATAAACGCTTTCAAAGAGGACACATTCGGCCAATTTTGATAAATCCATATCATCTTGTTGCATCCAACATGATCCTAGAGTGTACGCTACAATGGCTTTTTCTTTAGAAATACACATTCTGTTATAGAACTTGCTGAACATGACAGCTATTCGTTCTTGCGAGTTTAGCAATGGATGTCTAAAGTGAGGAATCCAAGTCTCCGAGCCTGCATGTCTTCTCAAAGCCAAATCGTAAAGCTCTAAAAATACAACGATTTTGGCTCCCATCTCAGATGGGGTTGGAAATGAGAAGTAGGGAGAGTTGAAGCTGTTCGCCGCAGCTGTTGAAGTAATTCCAGTCACTAACGGCTCATCCTTTAGCTTGGAATCCACTTGTTGATAAAACAGGTCGCTTTTTTCCATGGCCTCTTCAGTAATATCAAAAACTTCGTTAAATATCATTGCCATTGTTGTGAAAACTTCACCAATACTTTCATACTCTGGCAAAATTCCGTTTAGCAGTTGAGATATGTGATACTTGATTTGTATTTCACATTGTAGAATGATAAGGCTAGACCGTTGATGAGAAAAATGATGGAAAAGTAATGAAATTAAATCAGTAAATTCATGGCTTTGACTGGGCTCTTCAAGATTGAAGAGTTTTGTCGCATGAGCAGCTTTCAACAAGTCAACACTAACATGAAAAACATAAGCTCGCTCATTAGGTGCCATTTTGTTGACAATATCGGTTGAAAGACTACAGTATTATTATTAATAATTAATTATTAATTATTTTGAACAAATTGTTGGCAGTTACTTACTTTTCAAAGAATTTTGTTAATATGTTCTTTGTAGTTAGCGGCTGTTTTCCGAGGTTAATTAACCTATAGCAAATTTCTGAAATAGAAGATGAGAATGTATATACTATTTCATTCACAGAATAGCACTTACCATAAAAGTTTTCAATAAATTCCATCGAAAAATCATATTTTTGAACTCGCTTTTCCAGCCTGCCCAGCAAAAAATTGGCATAGTCGTCACGAGTGCAAGAGTCAATCACTGTCTGATCTTTTAGTTTCTTTGGTTTTAGTGATTGACACCACATCAACATTTCTCTCTTGTCATTAAAACCATTTTTTCCATTAATAAGGTTTTTGCTCAGCACAAGTTCAGGCAGCATGGAGTCTTCTTTGTATGTTCTGGATTTAAACAATCTGTATTTGTTTGGAAAGAGCTCTTCTTCAAAAATGTCTTCATTGGTAGCGTCCGAGTCCTCCTTCTCCTCTCCGAATAAAAAGCCTGCTAAGGACGATTTTGGAGCATCATCAAAATTGAAATCATTTCCCCAATCACTTCCACTACTTGTATCGTCACTATCTTCTTCCCAGCTATGTTGTTTTGGTTTTTCCTCATTGTTCGTTTTCTCGATCTGATCGATCTCTTTCAATAGCTTTTCCATTTTGTCCATAGTTTCTGCTTCGAGCTGATCTCGTTCAAAATCATCTCCTGCAATCTCTTCGTCTTCTGTGATAGTGAGTGCCTCGCTGCTCGAGAGAAGGAACTGATCAGATCTGAGTCTCTTTTTTAAGTGCAAAAGTCGTTTGGCAAGTGAAATTTCATTAAGAGCACGCATACAAAGAGCTAAATTGTAAATAATGATGAGAAATACGTGTATGTTGAGAACTGAGAGAGCTCTGCTTGAAGTCAGTGTCCTCAAATCGTCAAGAGCAGGAACTAAAAATGTGGAAAGCACTTTGCAGAGATACTTTTTCTCGTTCACGGTCATTTCACAGCTGGAATAGGTTGGTTTTGTAATTTCTGCCATTGCAGAAGAATTCATCATTTCTTCGGCCAAACAAAGTAAAATTTCTGCATGTAAAATCCTAGTGGAAAGTACAATAAACGAAGGAGAGTTATTGCAAATAAATTCTGAAGGAGCAATAGCTTTAAGAAGTGCATCGGTTTTTTCTTGAGCTGATTGCAAATAGTCGTTAGCATCGTCATTCTTCTTTTTCTGCCGTAAAAGTAACGACTTTAAAAAAAGAGCTTTGGCATGTAAAAGGTCAATTTTAGGGACGAATTTGCAATTTTGGTTGTTGATTGCAAGTTGTTCCACACAACACAAGTGTGAGTACGCCTCTGCATACTGTTGATGATCTCTGAGCACTTGTGAAATTTCTAATCTCTTTGTCATTTCTGCAACGAGAGCATTCTCATATTCTTCCATATTTGAATATGGTATTTCTTTATCTTCATCAGTATTGAATTTTCCAGTTATTGAATCCAGTTGATCATTTAATATTTTAATATCTCTATAAAGTGACCAATTTTCATCTAATTCAATAACATCTACATCTTGAGTTAATTTTGATTCATATAATTGGTGCTTGTCAACAATTTCAAAATTTGGAATAAATTGAGTGTAGTGCATACTGGTTACTGATACATTCGGAGAAAAGTTAGAATTTAGTCCAACATATGATGTTAAACTTGGGTTACCACTGACATCAGATGCTTCCGACATGAATCTATTGTGGTATTGTTGGTGACGCAATTTCCATGTCGAGTTTTTAGAAGCAGATACACTTCGTGAATGTGTCGGGTGTAATGAATTTCCCTGTGGTTGGTTGGATGTATTGATGCTGCTGTTGTTATGATGAACATTACTATTATTATTATTATTCATAAATAAATTATTATTCATGACCATTATGGAAGGAGAAGAGGGAGAATTTGCTGTTGCTTGAGGGGAAGATGGATGGGACTTATTCTCGGTGGATGGAGGTGGAGAGGATGATGGTGAATTAGAGTTCGGAATTGCTGTTGAAGAGGCTCCATTATTGAGGTTGGATTGAGGGTTGGATGAAATTTCAAGTTTCTTCCGATACCGTTCTTCTTCTGCTTGGATCCAAAACGAAGGAATTTTCGATTGTTTTCTGTAAAAAGTAGCATGAATGGGAAGAATGGGTCGTAGATCTTTACATTTTTCGGCTGATGATGAAAATCAAACAAAACACGTTTGTTTTTTAATTCCATTCAATGTGTTCATATATTTTTTTGGTCGGAAATAGTCCAAATATGGAAGCCGAGTGAAGTGTTGTATGAGAGAGCACATTGAATTCATGCATGATGAACATTTGATTCATGATTACACACACATACTGTTGTTGATTGCAAAATACGTACCAAGTTCCAGAAAATCCTCAATGTATTTAATTTCATTTTTCAATTGTTCGTTGAGTTGATCAAAGGAAAGCACCGTATTGATGGATTGTGATCTTTTCATAGTGTTGTTGTTGATGATGATGAATAGATAAATTAATTGTTATTGTGAATTTGAAGGTTTTTTTCGTTGTGAGGATGTATGACGAAAATAATGAAAGCACAAATCACTACTGTTTTTTGTGATTACTAAACACACGAGTTCATTGACAAGCAATTCGGAAGAAGTATGGCATGAAGAGGATGCTTCTTTCTGGAAGGATGATGCTGGTGTTGTATCCGTTGCTGGTGGCTCTGTCTCACTGATAGATCACCAATATTTTTTTGAATGAACAAGCTTTGGATGACAGTTGACGTGATCACAACTACTGTTTTTACTAAGGACAATTTTCACACAACATGTACCTAGCTTTGTTAAATATCAAGATCTCGTCATCACTTGTTTGCCACAATTAATGCGCACGAGGTTTGGACATTGTTGACCTAACCGAAATTGTGCTCACGCAATGTCTAACACGAACATGTCGAATTGCTTAAAAAGTTAACGATTCGAAAATCTAAATCCAAACCACCCAAAAAATATAACACTGCTCCATCACATCTCTCAACCTTCCTATCGAAAATGTCGTCCTCATTGGAGAATAACAACCTTGAAGCAATCTATGAGTCTGTGAAAGAGCATTATTCCAAGCAACAAACCAATGAAGCAAAAATTTCAAACTCTTGCTTCCTTGCAAAGAAACCTCACAACACGATTCAAAAATTGTTGTCATTAATACCTGAAAAAGTGAATGAAACATTCTTTGGCTGTGGATGTCCTATTCCTCTTGGTATCAAGGACCTCACTGTGTTGGATCTTGGTAGTGGATCAGGTCGTGATGTCTTTCTCGCTGCCGCTCTTGTTGGTGACCAAGGTAAGGTCATTGGCATTGACATGACCAAGAAGCAAGTTGAATTGGCCAAGTCAAGTACTCTTGAATTTGTCGAAAATTGTAAGAAGGTCAATTTGAAAGTTGGTTCCATTGAATTCCATGAGGGTCTAATCGAAGAACTGGTCACTCTTCTTCCTAGCGAGAGTGTTGATTTAGTGGCCTCTAATTGTGTCATCAACCTATCTCCACGGAAGGAAAAATGTTTACAGCAAGTGTACAATGTTCTGAAATATGGTGGAGAATTTGTTTTCTCAGATATTTACAGCGACAGAAAGATTCATCCAATTGCTCTCCAACAACTCTCCAAATTGGGGTCTTGCATTGGAACTGTCTTTTACATTAACGATTTTTTGTCAGTTTGCAGAAAGCTTGGGTTTCATGTTAGAGAAGTCAACCGTGTTGAACTTGCAGCATCCTCTCAAGATTTGCAACAAATGCTTGTTGGCCAAGCTAAATTTTATAGCATTACCTATCGTCTCTTCAAGTTAAAGAATTTAGAAATGGCTGAGGAGAATTATGGTCATATCGTGACATACAAAGGTACTTTGGAAGGATATCCTGTCATTTACAAATTTGATTCAGAGCTTGAATTTGAGAAGAACTTACCAGTGAACGTGAGTGGAAATGTTGCCTCTGTTTTGGAGGAAAGTGAATATCTTCACAAACATTTCTCAATCCTTCCTAACAATCGTGAACTTCACTTTGGAGAGTTTGAAATCAAGCATAAGAACAAAGATACAAACAACATTGAAAAGGTAGTCTTTCAAGTTCCAACATGCTGCTCAAAGTAATTGAGAATGATATCCGTTTCTACAATAAATCACCAACGGTGCTCAACGGGAAAAAATTGAAATGTTTTTGCATGTACTAGTAAAGAAGAATATCAGAAGTATCAAGAAGAGAAATAATTTCCTTTTCTGCTGATTCGCCAGCAAAATGTTTCTTTACCACTTCCATCTTCCATTGATATCTGGTCACCGTTGAGTGAAGCGAGCAATTATGTTGCATATAGATCAACTTGATTCTCAACGGAATATCAGAATTGTTCAAATTTCTCTCCATCCCTATTGTTATTGAAGAAATGTCGAAATTCATCTTTGAGTACAAGCATTCAAATGTGTATATTTGCGCAACTGTCATGTTTGACAACATATAGTTCTCATGAAGATTAATATACTTGGGTTTATCATTTTCCTCCAACTCTAAAAATTGATACTTAATGTAATCCAAAAGTTGATTAATGGTCATAGTTTTTGAGTTTGAATACTCTTCTAAATGTTGTGCAAATTTCATTATAATGTAATACTGGCTTTCCACATTATCTCCACTGGGTGTGAAACTAATCAAACTATCACATTCTTGTCTAGATCCTTTTTGTGTCAAATTCAAGTAATAATAATGACATAATGTTGTGGGAATGGTTTTCAAAGACTTGAATTTAACGGTGACATTGTCTCCAGATTTAACAATAAATTTCAAATGTAATAACTGAGTGTTTTTCTTGTCCGCAATTTCTATACACATGATAGATTCAAACTTTTTTGCCATTGATGGAGACAATTTTGAGGTTATTGTTGCCTGATGGTGCTTACTGACGTTGTCATCAAATGAATATTTCATTTCCAAAGCTTTCTTTTCTGAATGATGTCTATTTGGATTTAATAGTAATTCCTTAATATCTTCAGATGCACTATGGATCGTTTGATTGAATGAATAGAGGAAAGCACAAAATGGAATACAATTATTGTGATCCTCAATATATTGAGGCAATTGGTAAAAGAATAATTTTCCAATTGTTAGCTTAACCTTCAATGCTTGTTGTGAGTAGTTTGTGGTGAGATTTTGTAAGACATATGAAATGTTGTCGAACATCTTCTCGGAATAATACTTCTCAAAACAAAATGTCACATCATTCTGCAAATTCAAATAAACAGTTCGTTTGACAGTTCCATTACCATAGTTAATGTGTTTTAGGCTTTGAGACGAAATTATTGGGCTTTCGGGAGTTTGTGAAAGCGCAAGAACCTTCTCGTGCTCCTTTCCAATAGGTTTCAAGGCAAACCTTCTCTCATTGATATATTTAATTCCAAGTGGAAGTCTTGAATATGGAGCAAAGAAAAGAAAGCTTTCTTCGGCATTGACCATGTCGTGGAACAAAAAGAGTGAGGTAATCGGAGCAAACTTTCGGCTAAACTTTTGCTTCTTATCATAAAAATTGGTCAGTAGGTTATCTATTAAGGCAAGAGCTAGGTCGACTTGGCGAATATCTCCCTTGACAGACACACTAGTATAATCTCCTAATAGCTGCTTTTTACATTTTTCTTCTTTTTGGTGACGTTTTTCTTGCTTCTTTTTGAATGTGTCGTCACCTTCTTGATGTTGCTTTTTGGTAGAAATTTTGTCTCGCTTGTCTTGATTAGTGGGCCTTCTGCCAATGAAAACATCCGCATTTGATTGTTGTTGAATCTTCGCAATGTTTCGTTTTCCAAACCCATAAAGGTACGGAACTGCTTCTGTTTCAACATAGATAATTCGCTCTCGAGAGTTGTAAATGTTATTCCTCACAAATTGTCTTGTGTAGTTTGCTCTAAATGAGGCAGCCTAATATGAAGTTAGAAATTTAATACATGAAACGACTCCACTTACAGTATAATATATCTTACAGATGAAATCTTTTTCTAATCTGCATTTCCAATTACACACTTCTTTGGATTCCAAAATAGATGTCATTTCCTTTGCAATGGTGACATAGTAAAAAGAGCTATCCCAATTTGAATTGTTCGCAATTTCCTTAATAATTTCTGTAATTGAGGTTATATGGCTTGGATCAATAACACTTAAAAGAACAACAGAAATTTCTACAGGCTTGTCTGTAAAAGAATCAACGATCAAAATATACAATCTCATAATATTCAAACTAGTTGCAGCCATATTTTTGTTTTCCCAGGCCGACCTTAAATCCTTTTCAACGTCCAAAATGACCTCTCGTAACACTCTCCTGAAATAATTTGGATACATGTGGAAGAGGTTGGCAACAAGCAACACGTGAGACAACTTATACTGAAATAATAGATGTAATTTGGGTGACGTCTTTAAATCTAGCAGCTCTTTTTCAGATAATCGAACTCGCTTTAAAACGTCATAAATAGAGTCTTTGGATGGTCCTGTTTTTAGCCCAAACAAAGTTCTGTAACAAATTTCGCTAAAAACTTGAGAAAAATGTGCAGTAGAGCTTCTGCATGCATACCATATGAGTAGCTCTGCAATTGTGGAGGTAAGCAATGGTTCTTCAAGAGTTTTTTCAATTATTTCTTTCAGGGATGCAGCAATCTCTTTGGCTGATATTGTTCCTACTCCTTCAAGAAGTCTTTTCATGATGAGCCAACATATTGTCTTAATTTCGATACTTACTGAGATATTTCGTCTAGTATATAACTACTGGAGCTATCATTTACCTGACTTTTGAGCTTGTCAAGAGGAGGACTCTCTCTCTTGTTCACAATATCCAAACTAACGTTTGGCTGAAATAATCCAAGTTCTGAAGTTCTTCTTCCGAAACATGATAATGTATCATCCTCGATTTGGAAAGGAATGGAAAAAATAGTCTGAAATGGAGTTGTGAGAGAAAAGAAGGCAAACTCTTTGCAATGTTTCTCTGGAAAAAGAATGTTTTGGGACGAAACGTCATATGTTCTCTTCCTGAATAACACATCTTCAATTGTGGCATTTGGATTACTGTTATACTGTACAGTGGGAGAAGGAAGTAATGTGTTGGGATTCCATACATAGGCATTTTCAAAACTGTCGTTAATTGAACAAACACTGAAATATTTCTGCCTTCCAAATCCTTTGAAAGAGAGAAACGCAGAATATACTGGAGCACAGTAATCACCAATGATGATAGCCAGCACGCTTTCAGTGTGGTAATCCCATAATCGAATGCTGTTCTCAGTATGTGAGGTAATGAGCAACAGATGAGATTTGTCATATTTGTGGATCTGCATTGATGTCACAAGTCCAGCATAGTGATGCTTGAAAGTTTTGATCAACTCTATTTTGGGCCTTTTCAAGGTACCTCTATCTTTCTTTTCCTTGATCTGTTTCTTTTGATACTGCTTTCTTAACTCTTTCTCTCGCTTTTTTTCTTCCTCCTTCGACAATTTTGTTTTTGGTTTGTGGATTTTTGTCTTCTTATCAAAGTCATCGTCTTTGTCATCCTGGTTTTCTGCTGGATGAATTTTTTCTTCTTCAACATTGTGGTACTGTAGAACATAAACTCCATCAGAAGCACTGAATATTTTGTCTCCACTCAACGAAAGTGCAAGAATAGGCTGTCTATTAGCCTTACTAAAAAAAGCTTTTAGTTCTCCTGTCTCATAGTCAAGTACTCGAATGATACAGTCATTTCCTCCTGTCACAATAAATCTTTTCTCGTTTGGTTCAGTGGTCTTTTTACTAATAACTGCGGTGTAGTAAGATCGTGTGGTCGCTGAAAGAACAGTGTTTCTTCCTCCTAATATGGAATCTTCTGCCTGATCAAAAAACTCTTGTTGCACAGAGGAAGAAATAGGTTTTGGGCTTTCATGAGTTTTCTTTTTTTGTGTAATAGTAAATTCCTCCCATGTGTTTTTAGAACTGTCTTTCTTGATAATATTTCCATTAGATAAAGTCATGCACACATCTATTGATGATATTTCATCTTTGATGTTCTTATTCTCCTGAATTTGTACATGTGTTATTCCTCTCATTAAATGATTATGCATCATAGTCATACTGTACACAAAATTAGTTAACTTTTTCATGTCTCTTCTTGCAATTGAGCATCCAATTCTTTCTAAAAAGGATGGTTGATTCTCCTCGAAATTTGTTCTTTTTTGTTGAATATAAACATTGTGAAAGAACAAGTACCAAGTCCGATTGACCAGCAAGATTGAAAAGGGATTTTCGGTAAAATCAAATAAATTTTGAATAACAGTCTCAATGAGTAAAGGGTGTTTCTCGAACGAAAGTCTAATTGATGTATCATCATGATCCAATCGTTCTTGTTGATACCAATCATCGTCATCATCAACGACAATATTTCCGAGTGTACCACTTAGTGATGAGTTTTCGGATAAAGTAGGAGTAAATCCTTCGTTAACATCCTCTCCTCCTCCAAATGTTTGTTGAGTATGTTGTAACAAGTGATGATCATCGTCGTCTTTGCAGAAATTGTCTTCAGAGGCTTTTAAATTGATTTTCTCTCTTGGTGTTCGCTTGGACATTTTTTAGGAATTGGACAGAAATACAAATACTCCTCACCTTAATAACCGGTTGAAAAAGCTCACATCATCTCTTATCAGGATTGATTTTGGGAAAACAAAGCAATAATAATCCCTCTATCCTTTTGGGACGAATTAAAATTCATGTTAATTTAAAGAAGAAAAAAGAATGAACAGAATGAAAAACTGCTTCTTCTTTTTCCAATCATAATATAAATGGATCTTTTAAGAACAACCCAAAAGACTTGAAAAACATGACCGCTACTTGTATTTTAATATTTGTCGAGAAATGCCATAAAGACGAGGCTTTGTCATTGTAAAAAATCCTCTCCGTTCAGTACCGAAGTTTGCCGAGACTTTGTGCTTTCCCCCAGCTTGCACACCTTATCCACGAACTTTTGTTACCAATAATTGAAGCAACATGAATAATTTTGAAATGTTTCCACATTTGCGAATAGCTATTTTCTGAGAAGATGAGTGTCGAGTCACACGACCCATAAACGAATTTGAGGTTTTTTAAAAAAAATTCTCTTCATCCAAATTTTTGTTTCATCATTGAATAATTGCTTGCGTGCTGCTGAAACCGATCATCAACTAATATATTGTTCACTTGTTTGGTTGAGACATATATTTGTTGGAATTCTGTACACATCTGAAATAGCAACTACTCCATACAATCCATATTTTTCTCTCCAAATTATTTCATCATCACGACAACGAATATTTAACCGATCTTTTGACGGATTTGATTTTGTTGTAGACATTGTTGAAACAACAACTACCAGTAATAACATTGTATTTCCCATCGTCATTGATAGTAGTGTTTTGAAGAGGATTTATTACTCTACTACTCTTTCATCATTAACTTATTTTCCATAATAATCATACAATAACGTTTGGCTAGAACATCTGCACAACCTGTTAGATTCTAGAAAACCCAACGATAACAATTGTTCTCACTCATTGATGCCTTAACTTATTTACTATGACTATCTATCATCACAATACTCAACAATTCCAACATCCAAAAACATCAACACCATCATCACACCTTTCTTCATCCTAAACACATCCATTACCCTTTTTCAACACATATTTACAATATGGCACCAAAACGAAACAACAACCAACATACAACCAAACATCATCACCATCAACCTAATAATCAAAGAAGTCCTACCCATCATACTAGACCTTCTTCTCACTCTTCTTCAGGAGCTGGGAATTATCAGTCTGATGGTAACAGTAGTAACGACCATAGTGGCTCGAACAATGCCATCGGTGGACGACCATCATCGGGTAAGTGTTAACAGCTTGAAAGATTTCATTAAATAATTTGATCTTATGAAACAATTCGAATTGACTCAATTAGAGGCATCGAGTAATACCACTACACCTCGTAATTTCAACTCTCATAACAAGAACTCTACCCTCAAAAGAACAACAAGTAATTCTTCGATTGCGTCTTCTGACAGTAGTGAAGGAGGGGGAGTAAATGATGGATCTAACAACAATCGCCACAACGCTGGAAGACATCATCATCACAACAGCGGAGGTGGCTCAAGTAGCAGCAACTCTAAACATCGTGCAAATACTCCTGGTAGCAACTTGCCAACCAGTACTGGACAAGGAAGTAGCAACTCCTCGCCCACTTCTTCGCCTAATCCAAACAGGAAACGAAAAACAAACGTTCCACCTCCACTCGATACAAGTAATCTCAATCAACATAACACCAACAGGAGGCAAATTTCATCAGAGTTGGTAAAAGTGGACTTACCATGGAGCATACTGCAAGCAAAGAATCCCTCTTTTAAGGCAGCAACAAGAGGGTTTCATACTTGCACACTTGTAGATGATAGATTATACATCATTGGTGGAGATAATCGTCAGACAGAATTTAATGATGTCTGTATTTTTGATTTGAGTAAGTTTCTAAATGTAATCTCTCTTCAATTTTAACAAAACACCATTATTGAAATCAACGCCAATGAAGAAACTCATTTTTGGATTAAGCTATCTGAACAATCCTATTTACCAGCTCCTCGTACTGGACATTCCACCGTCTTGTACCAGGATAAACTGTATTTATTTGGTGGAAGATACAAAGGTTTTTACACAACAGACCTATTTGTGTATGATCTTAAAGAGAATGTGTGGCAAAAAGAGAATTTCGGCAAAAAGAAACTTGTTGCAAGAGCTGCACACAGCTGTTGCGTTATTGATAGCAAAATGTATATATTTGGAGGAATAACTTCTTACCAAGGAATGGACGGAAAAATGAATAGTGATTATCTCAATATTTTACAAACATACGATATTCCTCAAAAGAAATGGCGAGTGATCAAACCTAAAGGTCAAGCGCCTTCTCCTAGAGCTGGACACGGATGCTGTGTCGTCGGGAGAGATATTTACATTTTTGGAGGACGACAAGGAACAATAGTCCTTGATGACATGTACAAATTTAATGTAGATAGCGAAAAATGGAGTCGCGTAATTTTCAAAGGAGATACAATACCTGATGCCAGAGCAGGTCACACTATGAATGCTTTTGCAGGAAGTAAGCTTATCATTGTTGGAGGCTCCAACTGGGAAAAGTATTTTTCGGAAGTTTACGTTTTTGACATTCCAAGCAAGGTTTGGATAAAATGTGGTTTTACAGGAATAATTCCAGTTGGTAGATTTTGGCATACTGCCATAGTGTATGAAGAGGAATTGATTGTTATTGGAGGAGGAAATTCAGAACTAGTTGAAGGAATTACTGTTGCTAATTTAAAACCTTTACTCTCTCTTACTGAAGCTGTATCATTAACACCTCTCACTTCCATTTCTCCAATGCCTCTTCCTGACATACCCCAACCACTTAAACCAACCACAATGAAGATCAAAGCAGTGTATAAGGGCGATATGAGAATATTTACCAAAGTGCCTGTGGACATTTCATATTCTGAATTGAAACAATATTTGTACGAACAGTACAAGGTTCCTGTTGTAATGAAATATGTAGAACTCAATGACGAGAAAGACGAAATAACCATACTCTCTGATGAAGAGCTTCATGAAGCTATTCGAGCATATGCAGAGTTCAACAAAAATTTGCGACTCGAGATAAGCGAAGAAAAAGTAGACTCCTCAGAAAAATATGAAGAAGATTCTCTTGTACTTCAGCAGGGAACCGACATTAAATGGCAACGAGGAGAAAAAATTGGTAGAGGAGCTTATAGCGAAGTTGTAAAAGGCTTTAATTTAGACACAGGTGGATGGATGGCTGTAAAGATAATAGATATCTTCCGTTATGACCCTGACAAAGTTGAGAAAGAAATTGCCAATGAAATCAACTTGATGAAAGATCTGCATCACGAAAATATTGTTCGATACATTGGTGCTGAGTTTAACAAGAAAAGAACAAAGCTATTCATTTACCTTGAACTTGTTGAGGGAGGCAGTATAGATGCAATTGTCAAAGAATTGGGTCCTTTATCAGAAAGTGTTGTTCGAAATTATACAAGACAAATTTTATTCGGACTCAAATATCTGCATGACAAGGGTATCATTCACAGAGACATTAAGGGAGCCAATATATTAGTGGATGGCTCTGGTACTGTAAAATTGGTAGACTTTGGACATTCCAAAAAACTTACTGATAACTATCAAACATATAGCGTTAAAGGTACACCAATGTGGATGGCTCCTGAAGTTATAAGAGAACAAAGATACAGTAAGGCTTCCGATATTTGGAGTGTGGCTTGTACAGTAGTAGAAATGATTATTGGTGGATTACCATATCCCGACATGGAGAAGAGAGACGCCAATTATGTCATGATAAAAATTGCAGAGGGAAAAACACCACCAATACCTGAGCATTTGAGTGAGGAAGGAAAATTATTTTTAAAGAAATGTTTCCAGCAAAATCCTGATTTTAGACCATCAGTGGATGATCTCTTAAAAGAACCTTTCATGGCCAGACTGAGATATGATGGAACTTCCAAGCTTGTGGACAGTGACGAAGACATCGATGATTGGGATAGTGACAAATATTCAGACACGGATGATCACGATCATGATGACGACGAGGATGACGATGATGACAACGTACCTAGCGCTAAGGATAATAAGGGCAAGGCACCCATGACTCCAGAGATAGACTATCATGAGGAAGAGGATGAAGAAGACGAAGACTTACTGCAGGACGAAGACGAGGAGGAAGAGGATGAAGATTTCGAAGAAGAGGAAGTATCTGACTCTGAACTAGAAGAAACAACCGACGAAGAGTCAGTTCCACAAACGGAGGATCGTTTTGCACAAAGCATTTCACAACAGCTTAAAAACATTCATGCAAACAACTCAGCCAATCTCAATTACAAGCCTCCTACCATCTCCACATCTACTTTGTCGAAACACCAAACATCTGATGCATCTTCAAAGGTTCCTCGTGGAGTACAACGATCTGACTTGCATCTCAATCCCTATGCGTTCCAATCTATCACCTTAAACTCTACTGCCCCTACTCCCGTCACAACTCCCCTTACAAGCAGATTTGGACTTGGTAGTTCTTCCTCAGTAGCAGTATCATCTTCCATCACAGGTGCTTCATCCTCAATAGCAGGAGCATCTTCCTCATCGACTACATCAAGAAATGTAGCAACATCCTCATCTTCTCAAACCCAAGGTGCTTCTTATAACGAAGTTTTGAGTTTCTTGTCAAAGAAACATTAACAATTACAAATAAAGAGTTCACTTCCCATCAGATGTCAGTTCTTCAGAAAAAATGCTACAGTTGATTCTCATAACCACTAACACAGGTGTGATAAAATTCAAAAAGTCTTTAATAACGGATCTCGACCGTGATATATTCCTGCGTCTATCAAACCTCATAGTCACATTATTTGTAAAATCAAAACGAGAGGTTGATCATAAACTTTCATATTTTGAACTCAACAATAGAGGAGTAACCATAGAGGAAAATACACAAAGCAAACTATTATGTATTTTAATGCATGACATTGCCGATGTACGTTTCTACATTGTTGTCGTTCTTTCTCTGTGTACATACTCTCATATTTTTCTATTCATTTTGATCATTTTGATGATGATGACATCAATAATTAACGTTATTCTGAATGATGATGACAATGATGATGACTTCACAAACCGTGCACACACATCATCGGCTCGGATTTGACAATAACGACATTGGCATAACACGGTCGTCAACGTGTGTGTGGAATAATATAACAATACTTGGTTGAACAACCACAATCAATAATTGATGGACATCATACATCATGTGGAAATTCACAATTAATTGATTGCGATTGACCCTCCACCTCTTTTTGATCAAATTCCCACATACTCTCACAACATACAGGGTTATGAATTTGCTAAACTCGTCGCAGAAGAACTTTTAGATCGATTCATTGCCACCTTCCGAACTCCATCTTCCATCCCTAGCAAAACTCTTTATTCAAATTCATTTAAGAATCCCAATGCTGCCAATAACTCCATTTCACTCAATTCAACAACAGGATCCAATGGATTACCAAAAGCAACTTCTCCACAAACACAAAATGGAATGAACTTGTTTGGTAGTAATCATAAAAGTCAATTGTCATCATTTGATGGAGATGACTCGTCGGCAAGTATTGACACAGTTCAATCATTTAAAACGAGTTCAGATTTCAATTCGATGGATCAAATGACGATTGATGATTGGATGGAACAACAAGAATATGATTTTAACAATATTAATGTCGATGAGAAAATTTTTGAGGCCAAATTAGCCGAAATTTATTTGGAACTTGTGTATCCAATTATTGAACATTGTAAGTGTTTGTGAAAATTTTTGTAATATTTCGCGGATGTATCTATATGTGGTATATTGTTTGTAATTTGTGATATACTGTTATTATTATATCATTTGTGATTTTTTGAATTTCTTTTATTGGATTTGAATGGAATAATCATCATACAATTCATTTATTGTATTTGATAAAAAATTTTTTGTCAAATCAATCTCACAACACTTTCAATCACTACTTTTATTTGAATCTATATAAATAACAGTGGATGGAGTTCGAGGAATTTTAAATTCTTGGCTCATCGAAAGCGGAGACGAAGGAATTTTAACAACAACCAAGCCACAACTCGAAGCAGATTTAAAGTTTTTGGTCAATAATTGTGACCGATTACTGAATGGTGAAATGCAAAATTTAACCATAAAAGGGAATGGTAAAAATCTACAAGTGGTCACTGTCGAACACAAGTGTCATCTTGTAGTATTATTAGAGGCCAATGTTCAACCAGAAATTACAGGATTCGCAATTGAAAAAGCTGTCTTTTTGTTACGAAAAGTTTATGCCCTCAGAAAGAATATAAAAATCCAATAAATCCTCTCCGTCCCTGAACACATTCAGTTTCTGAAGTTTTGTTTCTGTGGAATTGGAATTTAAATTGAGCAAGAAGAATTCATCTTCAGTTGAACTCGAAAAAAATCCTTTTCGAAAAGGAGAAGAAAAAATTCCAAAAAAAAATGTCCACTTCTCTTTCCGATTATCCAACAATTTTAAAGCCTCTCGTTCCGTATTTGCAGAGAGCCAACGAATTTGAAAAACGTGCTCCTATTGTGAGCTTTTATTGTAGAACGTATGCTGTTCAGTTGGGAATTTCAATTGTGCAATCTCAAGATCAATCCGATGATGAAGCTACTCAAATTTTAACGGATTTGATGGATCGATTGGAGCAAGACAAGGAACAATTGAATATTGAAGCTCAGGAATCTGAAGCAAAGGATATGGTAGAAATGTTTGCTTTGAAGGTTTTTAAGAAGGCCGATGATGCTGATCGAGAAGGAAGACACGATACGTAAGTATGATATATTTATTAATAATAGGAACGGTGATCAACAAACAACTTCTTCATGGTCATCATGCTTCTCCATACCTTATTAATAATCGTTAAAATACATTACACCATTGGTACTAATATGACATGGTCTCCAATGGTTGTGATTTAAATTTCACACAACAAATTTCGGTAAAAACTATTTCTTTCAACGATGATAGTCAAATCGCAAAATTGTACTATGCAGCATCTATTCTGATTGAAGTCACCAAGCAGTTTGGAGATTTGTCATCAAATGTAGGTCATCATCATAGTTTTCTTTTTAAAATTTAACTGCAAATTATTTCGCTCTTAACTCGAATGAATGATAAATCATTCCTGACACTCGTAGATGGTGGAAAAACAAAAGTATGCCAAATGGAGAGCAGCTGAAATTCAAAAATCAATTCGTACTGGTCAACCAGTTCCTCCCGTAGAAGATCAACAAGCTGAAGACCAAGACGATCAATTACAATATTATTCTAATCAACAAATTAATCCTGGAGGTAACCAAAGTTCGGAAGAGGATGAAGTTAATAGGTATTTACAAGAGCAGGAAAATCAATTGGCAAAGGAAAGACAATCTTCAACACCAAGCTATGATTGGAACAACAACACATTATCACTGCAACAGACTCAATTTAATCAATATCAACTTCAACAACAGCAACCTCAGAAACAACAAAACGACTATATGAATGTTTCACCAACAACATCTTCCGAAGAAACTTCATTCGAACAACCAAAGACGTTCAGCCAACTTCAACAACAATTTAACACTCCGTCATCATCTTGGAGTAACCCACAACAACCTAAACAGGAAACGTCATTCAATACATCACCTGCATTCAATAATGCATCTAGTAACAACATCCAACCTTCATCCTCAGCAAGTCAACAATTATCACAACAAAAGCCTACCACTCAACAACAACGAGCTACTACTGCTTCTCCTCCAACAATTTCTCAGACTTCATTGCAATCAGGTACACCACCCCCACAACAACATCATGTGACAAGTCATGTCACTACCAGCAGTGGAGGAAATAAGGAAATACCTCTCGATAACATGATGAAAGCACAAAAGTTATGTAAATTCGCCATTAGTTCGCTTCAATTCGAAGATGTGGAAACTGCCAGAAAGAATCTGATAGAAGCTTTAAATTTAATTAGTTAATCAGTTTTCATACAGTACTACTGATTTTGGCAGCTGCTCCATTTCATTGTTGTCATCTACAGCCTCACACACGATTTATGGCAACTCATCTCGTAAACGGCAATAAAGAGCAATGGGTTGAAAATAACCGGATGAAAATTCAATTATTCCTACGTACGAATTCAAATATCTCGTTTGTTACTTTTAGCTCGAATAGTACTCTCACACACAGGCAATTCCAGGCCAATGATCATGGTCACCAAACACCTCCAGAAACCACCTTCCATCTTTTGGGAAACCAATTCGGTTGTTTCATTCTTGACCACCTCGAGGCCCAATCTCCATGGAGCTACAGAACGCGGTCCCTCCTCACATTAAGTGCGAACCACGCGCCATTGACTTCTCGTGCCATGAAATTCTCACTGTGTGCGTAACTGCAGTGATTATTGATGCATCGTCATGTAAAACTTAACCTTTTAAATCAAGCGTGCGCATGTTGTTGATGCGTTTGCAATTCTTTCTTAAGGAAAAACCTGTTTGGATAAATACGCTGATTGGCCTCTTGGAGCATCGCTCTCTCTTCATGATGAACAACGATTTAAAACCTTCCTTTGCGATACAAGACCGGTTGACAGAAAAAACACAACAACAACGAGAACACAGACCCACTGGGTCGCCACTACTTGACACGAAACTTTTTTAATTCACATACACAGTGGTACCACTGTTTCATTACTCTAAGATATTCCAATCTAATTCATTCATCTAATGCCCTCTTTCAATATTGTCGACGAAACCACACGAGTCCCACAGAGACTCTCTCGAGAACGATCCAACCGAATCAAACGTTATGGCCCATTGCCATCCAACCATTCATGTGCCTGTGTGTACAAGACTGGAATTCGTCGTGTCAGACGAGAAATGAACACTAATAACTTTTTACAGAATTACTTTGAACAGAGAGTGGGTGATGACTTTTTAAGATATGAATGTGGTGGAGGAGGTTCAAGTTTTGTGATCGATTCTGCTTCTTCCGGCATGAACACTCACGTGTTGTCGACACGAAAGAAGAAGAAGAAAACCCAATCAACACTATGTTCTTCATCGTCCTTGTCATCTTCTTCAACAGTGAATACGATCGAGCCAGTAATGTCATCCACTTGTTCATTTCCAAATTCGGTTGTTGAGTCTCACAGAATGAAAGACGCATTGTCATCTTCTTCCGCCGTCGTCTGCTCCAACACGATCATTTCCTCTTCGCTTTTGAGCCACTCAGAGTCGAAAAACGACAATACGACCATTCAAACCATGACTCATGGTTCTTTTCAACCACTTCTGCCTCAACAACAAGTCATGTCCTCACCACAACAACAAGAAGAAGAATCCTCATGGTCCTTGTGTCCAGATAAACGATCGACAGCAAGTAGTTGCGGTAGTAATAGTACCATTTCACCTCGACAAGTGTTCACACCTCAGAGTTCCAGCCCCGCACATGAAATCTGCTCCGATCGCAACCCTTCATGCTTTAAAGATGAATCCATCATGAAATGTTGTTGTTGTTGTTACGATGACTTGAATAGGGAAATCGCCACTTCGACGACTACGACATCATCACCAATGATCACTCAGTGGACAATCAACAACTTGCCTCCACATGTTATGAACACAATGTCATCCACAACGTCAATCTCTCCTTCTTCTCAAACCATTCAAACCTCCTCCTCTACCTTCCACACACCACAAACGACAGCATGTATTGTTTCAAACAGTGGTCCAAAGAGTGTCATGTTGCCACCGTTGCCCTATTCTTCGAGCGATCCATTGCCACATGAACTACAGCACATCATGCCATGTCTGTCAAATTCCAATGACCATAATGATGATGGTGATGATTCTGAGAATGATTCCTCTAACAATGCCAGAATTGTTTGTGAGAGTGGAAATGTTCACATTCATTGGGGTGATCAATTCTTTCGCAATCTTTTTGACACACTTCATGGTTGGCCAACAATGGAAAAGATTCATACCGAGTAAATAGTTGAACATCTCTTCAACCAAGGGCTATCAAACCACGTTGATTTGTTGTGATACGTGTTCCACGAACGACTCCATAACACTGATTACGAAATAATTTCATTTGAGGAGTTTTACGGAATTTTCCTGTTTTGGTGCATTGTAAAAAATGAACGAATCAAATCTCCTTGGATTTTCTTTCGGAAAGTCGTCGTCATCTTCAACAACGGATGAGGAAGTCTTTCGCACTGATGATTTCTTTGAGGTAACGATTGAGAGAGGAGAGCATTTGGTTGCTGCTGATTTAAATGGGTTTTCTGATCCGTAAGTAATGAGAGTGTGAGGAATAATTATTGTTCCTGATGATGAAATAATTTCGTTCATTGCATTCTGATTCGCGAAATTCAGTTATGTTAAGGTATCCCTTAATGGTCATTATACTCGGAAAACTCAGGTGAGAAAGAAAACATTAAATCCATTATGGAATGAAGTGGTTAGATTCTACAGACTCGATAGCAATCATGTCTTGAATTTGAAGTTTGAAGTTTTCGATTGGGACAGATTCACGAGTGTAAGTATAGAGTCTTTGAATGATTGAAAGCCTTGTTCATCATTTAAATCATCAAATCTTTTCATTGCATCATAATACAACCATATAAAAAAGGATGTAAGTAGCATTAACGGCAATCCAATGTATGAGCCAACTCTTATAAAAGGATTTCATTGGACGATGCGAATTAACCCTCACTGCCAATGAAGATATTCTTCCCGATCAGGAGTACAGCCTTAGTTTGCCTCTTCGGGACGTCAAAAGTGGTACCATTTATATCAAGTACAAGTGGATTCGGGATAAATCCAATGAAGAAGTGATCTACTCTCAGTTACCCTCGATTCCAGGCCTTAAATATGACATGAAGTTTGGAACCTCTTTCATTCCATGCGTGCCTGACGAGTATTATGCCATTACCACAAACAAGGACACAGTGGAAATGATCTTTACGGAAGTGTTTCATGGTAATATTGCAAAAGACGAAGTCACTGTCATGTATCACCGAATGGATGGGCCATTCGACAAAGTATCCGAATCTTTTCTTTCACATTATCTCAAGCATTATCAAATGGATCAAGAAAAGCAAGGAAGCTTTAAGATGCTAGTCAAATCAGTGGACTACTCCTCGACCTATGATGGAGAAGGTAAATTCAAAAAGACACTCCAAACTGCCTTCCAAACCACATCAAAAGGAAAGCAAGCAAACATTCTCATTCTGACCTGCAACTTTGAGGAGAAGGTGATGTTGAACTTTATTTGCAAGACGAGAGAAGACTCAATCTATTACACTCACTACGCCTTGCTTCAAGGAATAGCCACACACAGCATCATTTCTTGTTGATGACACAAGGGTCATTCTCAAGTGCATGTTCATGTGGTGTGGACTATTTCGACGCGGTATTCATAAATACATGCGCTCCATTCCAATCGAGTCGGAAAATTTGTTGTTCACAAAGGCTCCATTCCAATCGCTCCACACATCTCACAACACTGTCAGTAGATCTCTGTTCAGTAATAATAACGTTAACAAAAAATGTTATCTTCTTCTTCGATCGAAAACAACAAATTCCACTTCTCCAAATTCTATTCAGGTGAATTTGAAAAAGTCACTGAACACATCTATCGACTCAACATTCCGTATGCTATTGCCGACAAGTTTCTTCCAAAATTCACCATTCCAGTCAGTGTTTTTCTTGTGCATGATTCTGCTCAATCCCGATACTCATTGATTGATGTTGGTCCTCCAGGCTACGAAGAGATGGTCATGAAAGGACTCGCCAAATTCTTTGATCATGATTCACAACACGAAGACCACAAGAATCAAAGAAACGCACTTTCCGAGATTGATCATGTGCTCATTACTCATTTTCATATTGACCATTGCGGAGGAGTGAGGAAATTGTGGGAATGTTCGGAACAATCTCTGAATGTTTATTCTCATTCCGAAGATTTGGAATACATTCGAGATGGAAAGAAATTTAAGGAACAGAAATCCGAGTATTGGCTTTTTGGAATGACCAAGTATTTGTTTAGTGATCCAAAGATGGAAGTGCCCTGTCAAACGTTTAATGTCATTATGAATTCAAAAGAAGATACTGTTCGTTCGAATTTAAAAGAAGAGAGGTCAAATAATCCTACGAATGATGGAAGTGCACAGAACAATGAATTACATCAGAAAAGTATTCAGTATTCGGAACAGGTGAATTCAATGGAGGAACAGTCACCATCGAACACACATCGCCATTGTTTATGCGCTTGTCATTGTCCTGGACATACAGCTGGTCACACTTGTTTTTATCATGAAGAAGATCGAGTACTGCTCTGTGGAGGTAAGTTTTTTGCTTGGCAGGACGAAATTTTACAACAGCAATTAATTGACAACCACTTGTTGTTAGATGCCTTACAAAATCTTTCAAAAAAGAAAAGCAAGTTGGAATATTCCTATGCCCCTTCGTCGTTTAATATTTCGCTGGCAAAACAAAATATCAAGCGATTGATCCGTGACATGTCAAAAGAGATTGATCTGATTTTACCAAGTCATAGCTATTCAATGAATGGTCACACTATTGAAGAGGTATTGAAATTTGTGAATAAATAGAAATTTAAATATTGTCTTTTTAAATAAGATAGAATATTAGTCTCCTCTAAAACAACAGAAACCACCACGACGTCTCGCTTGCTGGGTATTCTGTTGTTTGCTTTCTTGCTTCATTTGTTCTTCATGGTTAGAACTTGTGTTGCTCGAGTGGTGTTGATTGGGTGTTGTTGTAAACGGTGAAATAATGGCATATGCAATTTCCACAACAATATTCTTGAGTTTTCTCAAATTAATATTCTTCAAAGTAATCACCTTCTCTTCATCACCTTTGCCCAAAATAAAGGTCATTTGAAGAGCCAAGACATTGTCCAAAATAAGAAAGTTCACATCCACGAGTTTAAACCTATGCTCGATCAATTCTAACACACAAGCTGCTGCATCACAAATCAAATCACGAGTATCATTGGATAAATTGTCTAGTTTTTCAAATACTGCTTGAGAAATATCATCCAAAGTTTCATTCACACGATTGAAAATTTGTGAATTTTTCACACAATATTCATGAAGTAACTTTTTAAACATGTCAATCGCCTTATCGAGATCCTCCATACACTCTTCATAGAATTTCTGAGTCTCGTGCAACTCATCTACACACTTGTTGAAAATCTTTCTTTCCACTACATCTTTCACATTCTCAAAAATTTGAATTCCCATTTCTGTGAAATTCGAAATTTCCTGATTCATTCGAGAGATACTTTCTCCAATTTTTAGAGAATATTTTCGTCGTGCTTCTTCCACCTTCTTTTCAGCGACATTTAACTCTTTTTCAGCTCTAATTTTTTCCTTAATAAATTCAAGAATTTTTCTCAATTTTTTCTCATCTTCTTCAAGTTTCATATCCGACGACGAGGAAGAACCATTTCCAATATGAAGGTTCTTTACAGATGATGATGATTTCTTGTATTCCTTAATTGCGTGTCGAATGAGGAGAGCCAATTTTTCCAATCCTTTGATCTTTCCTTTCAAACGAGGTCCACTCGAAGTTTGCGAAAATTGAATCCACACATCAATACCTTCTGCCAATCCAATTTCTGCCATAAAACTCACTTCTCCACTCGAAGGATCGAAGAAAAGATCAGCACCAAATTTAAACATGTCCAAAAATTCAATCATTCCAGAAACACGCATTTTAGGACCTTTTCCATCATTATTGAATGGTATGAAAAGATAAATTTCAGGACTCTTCTCAATGGATTCCTCATGAGACAATAAACAAAGTTGGTCATCATTCTCTTCAGAAGAAGATGGAAATAATCCTTGTAATGTTTTAAAATCCAAAACATCATTATTTTCTGAACTGAGTTTTTTGTTTTCCACTAACAAGAGTGTTTTGTTTTCCACATCAAATCCACTCACCACAATATGACCATCCCACAATTGAAATTGTGAAATTTTTCCAAAATATTGAATGCCAGTCGATGGTGTGAGAATGGCTGCCAAAATACCCTCCATCGATTTTTCCAGAATTTTTGGTAACTCAATGACAATATCTGCAAAAAGTGTCATTCCCATCGGAATTTTACGACGTTTGACTGTTTTTTTACCAGTAGCCACGTCCATGGTTGTGAATCCATCTCGAATCATCATGGATTTTGCAGATAAACTAATTCCAGCTTTGACAATACGGAGATATTGATAAGAAGTGAGAAATTTGTTCTCAAATTGGACATTCAATAAATATTGAGTAAGTGTCATAAAATCTTGAATTCCAAAATTTTCCATTTTCAGAATTAGGAAATCTTCAAGAATGTTCTCATTGATAGAAATGTACATGCCAAGCTTCTTGTCTTGGAATAGAGTCACATTGGCTTGCATACTCACACCAGAAGGTAATCCAGTGGTAGCAAGCGCTGCATAATTCAAATCCACTCCTAATTCACAATATCCAATTTTTAACCATTTTAATCCAAATGGTTGATTCCATTGTCCTTTCATTTTACCAAATAATTGAATATCTGTTGCGCTAACAATTCCTTCGAGAATGAAGAGAAGTGGTTCCGACTTTTGTGGCACTTTTTCAATCATTGTACACTCAATGTTCAATTTTGAAAGTATGGCATTTGTGACACGTGTGAAAATATTGAATGAAATAATTTCAACACCCACTCGAAATAGTACTTCTGGATTTTGAGAAATAGAAAGTGAGAGATTGAGAGGGACAAAGGCAATTCTAGTTCCAACTGGAAACTTTAAATTGTTAAAAGAAATTCCAAAACCGAATTGAGCTGGTTGAAGAAGAGTTCTTCCGTTTCCAACAACCACTGTCAGAATGGTTTCAAAATTGGCTAATGAATCATTCTTTTCTTCATCCGAGCTGTCTTTCAATGTTTCTTTTGAGATTTCTGTGGAGTGAGAATCTGTGTGCAAAATATTCAACTTGGATGAAATTAAACAAGTCAACCATTGATAACTTGTTTTTAACTTGTCATTTAACATGTACCATTTGCTATTGTTGGATTCTAACACAAGAATCAAACTCAAAGAATTCGCCTTAATGTCAATTTTCAATTCATCAATTTCCTTAATTGATAAATCTATAGAGGTATCATCAAAATAATAATCAAAAGTACTCAAAATGAAATATGCTTTTTCATACTTGATCACTTTCTCAATCGTTGTGATTGCCGATTGAATCAAAGATTGATTTGGAAAATAGGTCGACAAGGATTCTGCTTCCAATCCACACAAAATGAACACTTTAGGAGTTAATGAATCCAATCCAATCGTCGATTGAAAAAACACTCTTCCATCCAATCGAACACTTTCCAAGAATTGAAATTTACAAAGAGCTCCCATGGTGATTTTAGTGGGTGTCATGACATTCCATTCAAAAAATAATTTTGATCCTTTCAATAGTTTCATCAATGATTCTTTGAGATGTGAACTGAGAATGGGAAGACTATCGTTCAATTCAACACTTCCTCTCACTTGTAGAATATTGTCTGGCGAGAGGTGAATGGAACATTTCAAATTGGAAAGTGAAAAAAATTTAAATTGACATGAAATCATAATTCCCTTTTTCACCTTGTAATTCTCAATGGTTCCATCTGCAGATGAAATTGAGAGAGTCAAATTGCTTAATTGAATGTCCTTATTGTGTTTGTCAAACTTGTCTGTTTCTAATCCAATGAATTCACAAAAGAGATGAGATAATTCTTGAAGAGTAATGGGATCACTTCTTGTTGCAACAACTGCCATCACAGAGTCTGATAATTTACCACGAAAAATATAATTGTGATGTTTGGTGGCAATGTGACATTCGAGAGAAAGTTGTGACTTGACTGTTAGTAAATTGAACGTTACAATGGTCTTTGAAATGACTAACTTTGGAATACCAAAAGCATCATTCCATTTTACAATAATTCCACGAGTATTTCCATCATCTGTAGTTTCAATATTTGACAACTGAAGTGTATCAATTCTAGGAATATTCGTATGTACCAATAATTGTAAATCAAAATTTGTTTTTACGTGTTTGCATGTGCAACTAGTGTCAACAATCAAAACAGGTTCAATCATTTCCTTTTCATCATTTGATGCCAATCGAATATCGAAATGCATGTCAAGACCAGTGTCATTGGTTTTGGTGACATGGCACACACATTTCAAATGTTGCAAATTTTCCTCTCGAAACAATTTGGGAAGAATCTTTTTGATTGAACTCAAATCCACAATTTCACACTCGAATCGAAATAATAAACTACTATTTGTTGTTGACATTGGAATGAAAACCTTCACATGTTTCAATAGAATTTGAGTGGATTGAATCCATTGTTTGGAATTTTCATCCAATTTTTTCTTTTCAACAACAAGTTGTTTTTCATCATCACGCCATGATGGTTCAAATATTTGAAAAAATTTAAAAAAGGAAAGTGTGAAAGAGTTTGAATCACGATGATCATCGGAATGGATGAACACAAGTTTCCACATGTCTACGTGTTCGGTATTTTCTGTTTTCGATTCGATTTGGATATCAACATGGAAGGGAGGATGATCAGAAAATTGTAACAATTGATGACAAGTGTCGTGATTGACTGTGTGGTCAGTGGGAATAGCAGCAACGTCCTTTTCAGCTTGATCATCAACAAAATCGAGTAGAGAACATTGTTTGAAATGTTCTCTCAAATGTTTAGCTAAACGTGGAACCTCAAAGAGTGATGTCATTTTTTGACAGATGTCAAAGATTTTCCAAACATTGCAAGATTATCATCCCTCTTGCAGGGACATAAATCCCGGAGTTTACTTTCGCTGGCCAGTCTTGCTATGTTTCTTCAAGTCCAGATCCTTTCAAACTATCTATCGACTTTCAATAAATAATCACAAAAATAATCTTAAATATCACCAAGTTTACTAATTTCTTCATGAATCATTCGAATCCAGAGAAGTCTGACTCGTGTATAAATCTCCTCTCTCATTCAGGTCGACACTCCTCGTGATGGGAAAGTTGTTCGACAATTTCAAATTCTGATTTGTTCCTCTAAGGATCGTTGTTTGTTGAGGTGGATGATTGTGGTAAGGTGGTGGATGAGGTGGGGTGGATCCTTTCCGTGTAGATCGATTTCCTTGTTGAGGATTTGAGGTGTGAAGAGTGGTGATGGTGGTGGTGGTTACCGAATGTGGAAATTCATCATCAAAGTTCTTTGATGTCCATTCGAGAGTGGATTTTCTCCTCGTCGTCGTTATGGCCGTGCATGAATCCTCATCAAAAAGATGGGACATGATCATTTTGAAAAGGATGTACGATAACACACTTACCTGATTTTCTTCAAGCGGGAGTTGCTCTTGAGGAAACCTTCTTTAAAAGTCGAGGATGATTTTCTTCATGGAGGTATGATACATCCTTGAATAGGACATGGTCAGCGAAAACAGAAACTCCATGATTTCAAAAAGCTGAACAGTTGTGTGAATTTATTCTTGAACTTTAGTCTGTGGAATATCCATGATTGGAAGTATTTGTAGGGCTAGAGTAAAAATCTCTCTTGAAACTATTTAAGATATTCATCATCATATTTCTTTACTTTTGACAAAGAACAAGCACGCACGGATAAAAATGAAGATTGCAAAGACAAATAAAATTTATTGAGTTCGCTTTTCATGACTTGACTCCTATTAGGAGCCAATGTCATTCAGACTGAGAGTATGAAGGTCACCAGAGTTCAATCTTTAAGGCAACGAACCGCACTTTGGAACTCTCTCTCAGCGATTTGCAACTTTGTCTCAACGGTTTGCAATTTTGTCTTTGTATTTTGTAAATCTGTCTTTGTATTTTGTAAATCTGTCTTTGTATTTTGTAACTCTGACTCAACAGTTTGCAACTTTGTCTCAGCGGTTTCCAACTTTGTCTTAACGGTCTGCAATTCGGACTTGACGTTCTGTAGTGTATTGTTCACCGTTACATTGTTTCCTATCTCTAACATTACCTTATCTAAACCTCTTAAAAGCTTGTTTGTTGCAGACTGTTTCATCACACGAACTTTATGTAGAGGTTCAGTGATGTCGGATTTGTTACGAAAGCCAGTTTGTTCACGTATTCTTTTCTTCAATCCGTAAGCTTGAGTTAAAACATAATTTTCTTTTTCATACTCATCTTCATCATCTTCTTCATCATCATCATAACCATCCTCTACCAACTCCACGTCAGCAAGATCTTCATAGTCGCTCATTTTTTCCACCAACAATGACGACCCGATGAGGGATGAACAAGCAGAGATAAGTTGCTCAAGATTAGCAAACCTTTTAAATTCGTTAATAATCTCACCCACAGAGTAAGAGTTAGAGTTATTGCCAGCAGGAGCTACTTTTCTAATGAAATCAACAATTTCCTTCCTTCTCTTTGGCATTTCTGTGTTCTCAGCACTCAAAGTTCTTGCAATGTCTTTTAGTTCCCTTAACGTTAATGACGAAAGGCTTTCAGAATCGACTAGGGAAAGAAAAGCAATTGTTGGGCGAGTTGAGGTACTTGAAGACATTTTTTTAAGAGTTTTAAGGCTCAACGTTTACCGTTGGAGCTAACATTACAATCACTACGGCATGTAAGACGAAAACTTGTGTTTTAGCATCCCTTAAATACGCCTCTAATACAAGTGCTTTCTTGATCCTGTTTTTTTATCATATGGAATACCATTTTGGAAGCATAATAGGTTCACATCATAAACAATTGTGTGTAATTACAGATCGTATCGTGTTCAATGAATTGGAAGGCAATCAGATAGACAAGATGTAAGTATTCAAATGTGATTACATTATATTCTTTTAATGCTTTGTTAAACAAGTTCTTGATCAACACTACAACTTTTGTAGCGAGAAATTTGCAGATTACGCTTACTGCAATGATTTCTTTTTATTTCGAATACCTAAATGTGAACTTTTGAACTAGTAAATTCAAAAGTTCACATTTCTCAACATTAAAAAAAAATCTCATAAGTTCTTTCATCGTTGAACGATTTAATGGATCGCAGTCGAATACTCCACCACTTTCTCTTCATACAAACATCATGGATGTACTCGTTCTTCTTCTCGTCTCTCCTCAATGGAACGTCTCTACGTGAAACGAATGCTTGAAAACTTGTCTCCGAAAGCACTTCGTGAACACTCCGTGAAGGACTATCATGTGAAAGGAGTTCACTATTTGTGTTTGGAACGATCGGAGGCAATCACGACCAAAGTCTATGTCTTGAATCCTCAATTATTGAGAATGCATGGTGATCATGGTTTTCGAATGATGAATGAAAAGGAACAACAACGACGACATGAATCGATGGATCGGAATTTGGCAAATCCACACAATCATCGTTATCATTTCAAAACGACCGTGTTGGCAGGTGAAATGGTGAATAAGGTATTTCAGGAGAGAGACATTCCCGAAAAAGAAGAAGCATTTCAATTAAATTATCATCAGTGGCATTCTTCAGATGCACTCCATCAAGATCTTTACTTATTTTGGAAATTTGCATACTTTTATCAAACGAATGAATTTGAGAGAATGCATCAAGTGTTATTGGAACCCTCACAATTCGAATATTTACGGAATGGAGAATCGTATGAATTGAGTCCTGAGAAAATTCATACGATTCAAGTCAGTGATCGGGAATGCACCATTCTCTTTTTACAGCAATTTCCGAACGTGAAGGGATTATATTCGAGATATTCGGAGAAGGAAGCAAATGAACTGAGAAGAAAAATTTTGGAATTAATTTAATATTTCAAAATAATAATTATTTAAAAATACTAATATGTATTTACTTGTATTAAATAATATTATTTATTAAAATAATACAACAGAGAATCTTGATATTTGTGAAATTTAGCTAAATTGGAAATAAAAAATGTCCGAACGCCAATCTTCCTCGTTATCTTGGGAGAAGGATTATGACTCAAAAAGTACAACAAATGTACAGGAACATGTCTCTTTATTGTCCACTCATGATGATGGTGTTGTTGTTGTTGTTGGAGGAAGAGTAAATGCAAAGAATCATCATCATCACGTGAACAATTATCATTCATTTTCCGATCAAGCGCATGCCACTCATCTCTCACCAACTCAACGGATGGTTCAAATGGAGAAAGGCTTTTCTGATATGTCTACTTCTGATGAACACAAGATTCAAGAAGAAGAGGTTCTTCTTCGACCGTTGAATGAAGCTTTATCGGAAGAGTTATTCATTCAACATGATGATGATTATGAAGAAGAAGAAGCCATGAATCGTCCTGGATATATCGTCGGTGATGATCATCATCCATTCCATGAATTCAGTGAATTCAATGATTTCAGTGCTGTACGTTCTTCAACAACAGGTGAACAACAAATTCCATATCCATCTCCTTCTTCATCACCAATGGAAATTACTCCTTTCGGGAACAATGCATTGCATTTCAAAAAGAGTAAGAAACGACAAACGTCAAAGAATGAACAAAAAGCCAAGTTGGATTTTCAATTTTTGAAACGATTTTTCGTGATCATTGGATACTGTTTGAGAGTGATTGAAAGAAATAGTGATTATCATGTTTTGGACGAAAATGGAAAAAGAATTGTGCATCAACGATGGTGGTGTTTTAAAAGAAAGACATCACCATTAAATAGTGAAATGGAGAAGGGAAAGTTTGTTACATTTTGGAATAATTTCTCAATTTTCAATTGGATGTTAGTCATGCTGTTTTTGCTTGTCTGTGTTGGAGAGATTTTGTTAGGAAATGAAATTGGAAAAATTCCTGGAGCTTTTTATAAGGTCATTATTGATGCTTCGAGTACTAAATTTTCAGATTCTGGACCCTTTGTGAAAGTCATGCTCATTAGTTTGTTATGGATTTGTGGAATGACCATTGTGAAAACATTTAGACAATTTGTGTTGGATTGTGTGCGGTTGTTTTGGAGAAGAAATTTAACATTTCATTTACAGAGGAGATATTTCGAATTTAGAAATTACTACAACATGATTGTGTTGGATAAACGTGTCGATAATCCCGATCAAAGAATTACCAAAGACGCTGAGAATTTTGTTGACATGACTTGCAAATTTGTGGAGAGTCTTTTTACTGGACCTATTACGGTGTTTTACTACACTGTGACAGTTTTTTTGAACATTGGATGGCAAGGACCGCTCTGTTGTTATGCCTTTTTCATTATTGGATCTATTATTAACAAACTCATCATTTCTCCAATTGCAAATTTGTGGTTCATTCAAGAAAAATATGAAGGAAATTTTAGATATGCTCACACTCAGATACGCTCGAATGCCGAATCGATCGCGTTTTATAGTGGTGACGCTAATGAAAGAACCATTCTCAACCAAAAACTGAAAGGTACCATTAATAATCGAAGAAAAATTGTCATGTGGAATATTATGTTGAATGGGCATATGAATTTGTTCGGCTACACTGGAAGCATTCTTGCATACATGATTATTGCTCTCTCAGCATTTGTGATTGGAAACTTTATCGACAATAATGAATCAGCAGGAAATATTGCTGATAAAATCTCGGTGGTAGGTTTTTTACATATTTCAAAAAGTGCTCATAATATTTTCCTAGTCCTCCTTTCAAGTCATGATGCTTATCTCTGGTTTTACGACATTCATTCAAACCGGTTCAGATTTATCAGAGCTTGCGGGCTTCACTGCAAGATTGGGCGAAATGAAAGAGGTGATGGATGAGATTGAAAAAAATCCAGACTATCACAGAAGCAATGATAAGGATGCAGGTAAAAATCTCTTACTCAATCAATCAACCTTTGAGGAATGTGACAGCACTGGGGACATATCTCATATAGAGTTCAAGAATGTGAGTGTCTTTGTTCCTAAAACTTTGGAAAAGTACTACACAGGAACGTGCTTGGTTGAAAATCTATGCTTTAGAATCGAGCAACATCAACACACCATCATTACTGGTAAGTATTAACATTTACACATGGAAATCTTAGCAACGGTACACTTTTTCTGTGCGAATACAATGTCATTAAAAGGTCCCAGTGGAAGTGGAAAAAGTTCAATATTACGAATTTTGGCAAACTTATGGCCTCATAAAAGAGGTCAAGTTATCAAGCCAACCAGCTCATCTGATCTCTTTTATGTTCCCCAAAATCCATATATCTGTACTGGCACTTTGAGAGATCAAATAACATACCCGTTGAAAACGGAAAGAGGAAATACACAAGATAATCCTACACTCTATGATGCCATTTGCAAAACTAAACTGCAATATATTTTGGAACGTGTTGAACGCGATTGGGATGTCGAATGTGATTGGAATGCATTACTAAGTCCTGGTGAAAAGCAACGATTAGCACTCTCACGATTATTCTATCACAAACCCAAATTTATAATTATGGATGAATCTACGAGTGCATGCGATGTAAATGTTGAGGAATTCATCTATGATACTCTCATAAAGCAAGGGTCTACTCTAATCTCTGTAGGTCATCGCCCAACACTCATCCAATTCCACACTCACATGTTAGAAATTGATGGTACTGGAGGTTGGAGGTTCTCAGAGATTAAAAGAAAACTATCAGATAAACAACATCACTAATAAATGTTCCTAACTGATTCGCTAAATCCCCAATGATAAGGTTAACTTAGTCGCGTTCACTTCGATCTGTTCATAAATTCATAAATTTCTATATTTCCCAACTCTAAATTTCATTTCTCAATTTCTCATAAACTCCCTCCAGAACAATATTTACGTCGATAGGAATTTTTTCTTTTCCTTTGGGGCATAATGATTTTGCTGAATCCTTGTCAACTTCCACAAGTACTATTTTGTGTTTTGATTTTCCACCCTTATCAAGCGATACTTTTGATTTTGCTAGACCCAAAACTCCAGCGATATATTCACATAATTCCTTATTAGCTTCTCCCTCTTTAGGTGGTGCTCCAATTTGTACACCAATTTCCTCATCATTGATATTTGCAATTTGACTTTTAGAGCTATTTGGTTTTGCGAAGATTGTGAGCCTAATAGAGAGTGGAAAATTTGTTGAACTAGTAGCAATAGATTTAGGAATATTGGTAGTATTTTGAGTGGTTGATGATTGATTGTTTGAAGAAGATGATGCCGACATATTTCTGGAGTCTGTTTTCTTTTTCGGAGCCATTGTGATTGTAAAATCTCTTTCTTGCGCAAAATTCGAGTAATAATAATGATGATCGTTACTATTAGAAATATTGTTAGAAATTCCGAAAGTTATTCTGTTCAAGATGATACTGCTCTGAAAGTTTGTAGTGTGCCGATTTCCGAGTAAATCCTTCTTAAATTTTGAAAGGGACAATTCAAGCAAAGAACGAAAGCCTAAATTTTTTTTCATCTTTTCAATTTACAAAAGTCAATCTTTTAATATATTAAATTATATTCCAACTGAACAATTGTAATTTTGAATGGACATTGTTCTACGTGGCTGGAATCCACATTTACTAGCATCTTCCTGAGACTTTCTTCGTTTCAAGATAGCTCCTTCATGGTTCGTGATGATCTTATCAATTTCTCTTTTGGAAAGTCTTGGTTGCCGTTGAAAAAAAGGTCTCACACATTCTTCTAGCAATTAAAAACACTCAATTTCATCGCTGGATGTGTACAGAGGCCACATCAGCATCATCCGATCAACATATCCGATCATCCTCTTAAAACAACAATCACACCAACATTGAGTTACACGTGTTACTGTTGATTCAATCGTTATAATAATAGTATTTCAATTAAATCATCATCATTGTTTCAATCAATGACTGTACATCATCATTCACCATCATCATTATCGAGTAGTAGTGGAGGCTCATCCCAACAGCCTAGTGCTACTCTGCCCATTGTTACTGTAACAACCTCAACTCAGATTATTCCCAAACACAGAACATCTCCTCTTCTCGTTTCCACTACAAGTTCATTGGATGGTGGAGCATCATCATCGACGATATCGCCCATTGGCGAGCAACATCATCACGCCTCTACATCTTCTTCAGTGCATCACACAATACATGAATCTCCTTCTCCATCATCTTTCTTTTTCGTCCTTTGTTTTTGTTATTCCTTCTTTTGTTCCGGGTTGGCTATCAGCATGATTGGCCCACTATTGCCGTCCTTTGTTTATCAGATTAATATGTCTCTGTACAGAGAAGGTGAAAAAGCAAATGTTTCTCTTGAAGATTTAGGTAAGGATTTTACTCCACAATTCTCATTCCTAATAACAATCATCATTCTCATGTCTATTTTGAATAACAATATTATTAACTCTTGAACAGGAGTATTATTTCCAAGTAGAGGTCTAGGTACAATGCTCGGAAGTTTGCTTGGAGGTTTTCTCATCAATTACACAACCAAGACATGGTCAAGACAACAACATGTGTTACCTTTAGTATTTACATTAATTGGAGCAATTTTAATGTTTATTGCAGAAGTAATTGTCTTGATTGCAGCACAACCGCGAGTATTTGCTATTGTTTATTTCGTTGTTGGGTTTTGTAAGTGTTGCTACCAATTACTTTTCACAATTTCTTATTATTGTCATAACTGTCTCATCGTTTCTCTTGTGTGACTGCTATTGAATCCTGACAGCCCATGGACTAATTAATGTGAGCTCGAGTAGCCATATCTTAAACAAATTCCCTAAAGAAAAGGTGACATTTTACCTTCAATTATTGAACGCAACATTCGGCCTTGGCGCCGTCTTTGGCCCTTTCATATGTGCCTTGACCAAAAAATATTATTCAAAATCAATCAGTACTAATGTTTTGGCTGTAGCCATTCTTTCAGAAAGTTCCACAACCAAAGCAATTTTAGTTTTGCTTTTTTTAATATTTGTCTCTATTGTGATGTATATTATTGAAATTAGGAGAACAAAACCAATTTCCCTAACCTCTCATCAAAAAGAATCAACAGGTGTGAGCAGTATGAGTTGGAGAAGCATCAAAATCATCTTATTAGTTTGCTTGGGTATGTGGTTATTCTCAAATTATTTACAAACGGTACATATGGATCTTCATTTTTGGAAAACCATTGTCACTTGTTAACATCAATTCTTATAATGAAATGTTGAATTTATTAGGAATTATTTGTGTCACAGGCTGTGAACATGGAGTTGGTGGCACACTCTATTCTTACATACATACCAAACGTTTAACTACAGAATCTGAAGCAAGCCTTATCAACTCTTCGTTCTGGTTGTCATTCACTGTTGGACGAATTTTGAGTATTTTCCTTTCATACCACATGAAATCATCCTCCATTCTCACTATGGACGTCGTTGGATCTTTACTTAGCTCTATCGTTTTCTTGATATTTTCAAGCAATGTTCCTTCAATTTGGGTGGCTACAATTATACTTGGACTTTCTTTGTCGTCACAGTATCCAACTCTATTATCATTTCCATCCTCACATTTAGACGTAAAGGTGTCGAGTATTGTGACATCATTATTCATTGTTTGTGGTGGTGTTGGATCCATGGTACTTCCTTATGTCATGATTTCCTTATTTAAATCGAATGGACCTGAGAGCATGTTTTATGTTTTGCTTGTCACATTTTTATGTGTTGCATTTGTGTACTCATACTTAATACTCGGATTCAAGAAGAAGCATATAGATCCCTATATCACTGGAATTATCGGAGGAGAAATGAACATTGAGAATGATCTAATGTCCGAAGAAAAGAAATTGAAACGAAGGAAATAATCATATTGATAAATTTTGAGCATTTTAATTCCACAATATTCCACAAATTCAAGACTTGATGATTCGAGAATGTCTCAATATATGAATGAACCATTGAGAGCTCTTTAAACACACCAATTATTGTGCAACACAACTGGATCATGCGTCGAACACAACAACAATTTCAACGCTTTTCGTAAGTAATGATAAAATTACAGCATCGTTGTCTCACTATTTATTCTTATTGGATTCTGGTTATTAATTGGTTGAGGTTGTTGTTTACAAAATTGTTCAAAACTGTCTTCTCTCAAATATTTCACGGAAAAACTTGGAATGACTCATCTAATACTTCTTCTCTTCCTTTCTTTCCTTTCTTTCTTCCTTCTTCTTCTCCTCTGGCTTGTAGATATCAATCTTGGTACAAATTGTCTTATGCTTGACACACTTGGTCACCAATCCATGCTTGACACACTTCTTAGTACCACCAACGAATTGGAACTTCTTACAAATTCTAATTGGCTTGGACTTTTCAACACACTTCTTCCAGTGCTTTCTCTTAATACAGTGTGGCTTGGTCCTGTGGAATTGAGTACAGAATGGAACAGCCTTGTAGCTTGCACAGAATCTACGGAACTTGTGTTTGACACACACTCTAACTTTCTTCTTGAATTGACAGAAGTGATTCTTAACCCATTTAGTACAGAAACGAGCCTTCTTTTGAGCAACACAGAACTTTCTATCGACGAATTTGACGCACTTCTTAATGTATCCCTTCTTCTTACTGAATTTGACTGGTTGATGTCTGACACAAATCTTCTTCTTAACGATTCTATTACAAATGCTGTGACACTTCTTCACACAGAAAGCAGTGTAATAGACATCAGTCCATCCCTTGTAGTGCTTCTTGGAAACCTTTCTCCACTTCTTTTGGCATTTACAAACTTGTCTGTAAGAATCACACTTGGCAGTGACTCTGAATTGAGCACATCGTTGCTTGAAGAAATAGGCAGTCTTTGGAACCTTAATGAATTTGGCACAAATGTGTGAACGATCGTATTTGGTACAAATGAAGTGATAAGCATATTCAGCACAAGCATGATTATGTCCCTTCTTGCAAGAATGTTTCCATTGGTACTTGACACAGAACTTTTCCTTCTTGTGTTTGTTACAAACTTGCTTGTAACCATGTCCCAAACAGAGTTTTCTGGATTTGGAATGTTTCACACACTTGCTAAATCTCTTGAAACGAATACATTTACCACCACCGACCTTCTTCCACTGACAACATTCCTTCTTGGTTCCTACCCATTCAAAATCTGAACATTTTCCTTTAATTGAGGCATATCTGACACATTTTCTGAAACAGAATTTCTGGTGATCGGCGTAGGAATCGACATTCTTTGGAGCTTCTTCCTTCTTCTTGTTGCCGTGAGCCATGACCAGAACGGTCGATAGCAAAAAGGCGAAGAGTAAGGCTGTGATGAATTTGGCTTTCATCATGAAAGAGACTTATTGAGAGTTGTTGCTTTGTTTTTTTGTTGATGGTTTTCCTGAATTTGCAAGTTGGAGAAGGAATTTTATAGTCTTTTGGGGAATCAAAAGAAGGTTCTCTGAGAGTTATTAACACTTGGTAAATAATAGATGAAAACACACTCAGTAAGAGTACTAACGGTCCTTGTGTATATGTCCATGAATCGAAATTGGAGTTTGATTCATTTCGAGAGGAACAGTTGACATGGAATGTATGCAAATGTCATTTCTATTTTTGAAATTAAAAAGAATTTTTGATAATCGACTAATGTGAGAGAGGGACTTTTTGAATTTTGGATCTACAATTGTACTTACAACACAGTGTAGTTGGAGATATTGGAATAGACAATTGCTATGAAACATTGTTAATCAGATCAGTGTTCTTTTTAAAGAAAGATTTTTGACTTTTATGGTAATTCTTGATATTGGGAGGCATTTATGGCTCAACTTCAAATAATGTTGAAATTATTATCGAATATTATTTATTTAAATAATTTATTTAAAATGTAATGTTACAATATTCCACGAAGCGAATATGAAAATTAATAATTTATTAGAAACCTTGTCATCACCTCTGTCAACACTCGTGTTCAAAAAAAAATTGAACCCAAAAATTTATTGTAACACCTTTAGGAAACCGGATCATGGTTGCGATCCTCTCTTGTCACAGCATTACATTGGTAGTGGTTTCACATTAGCGTCGTAAGACTCCCACCTGCCCTTTGTAGGCTTATGATAGATACCCTCCAACCGGTGTCGTAGGTTCGTTAATGAGATCTATGATGTAGGGTGGAATTATTGCCCTGCCGTATTCCAGTGAATAGCACGGATCACCCCCAGAATTCCCATAACAGGTTCACCTCAACACTGATCTCATAGAGTAGGCACGCAAATCCCTAAGCTATATAGATTCAAATCACAGGTCCCATAGACCTTCGTTGAATCTAGAAACATCTCCGAATCTTATATGTGTATCATGACGCTGCTAGTTCATTCAGGCTCCCCGGCGACTCAATTACTCGCCACCCCCACCATAGCCCGTACGTACATCGTCGATACCGAGAATCTACCTTTACCCCGCAGGAAGGCTGTCGAGCCTATGACCACCATCATTGATGGTTTCTTTAATAGTATCTCGACTCGATTCATTTGCAAGACAGTTGCCGGCTTGCCATAATATCGATCACCCTGTCTACATTGTGCAACTTGGCTTTGTCAAAAATTGTAACAACACATTGTATTCTTGGAATACAACACGTTCAAGTGTTCCCAACGTAGGAGACTTGGGTATCTCTCGCAGGCACCTCGAGATAGAGGCTAAGAAACTAACTTTCGTCAGCCACCACAGGACCAGTTACGGCATTTTTTTGAAAGCCATGTTCAAAAAAAAATGAAAAGTTTCTTCGCTGTCACTTCGCCTTCTTCCATTCTCGTATGCTCTCGCATGATTCTCGTTCTACTCGTCCTCGTGGTCGTCATCTTTAACTTGTTCTTGTTTCGATACATTTTCAACATGACTTTTAAATCTTCGACCTTCTCCGACACTTCGAATATCATACAAAACAACAAACAATTATTGAATGCTGCTCTGAATCAACAACAAGAAAACCCCGCAGTTGCTTCTGTGAAAAGAGCATTTGATGATGAATCGAATCATTACGATTCAGAAAATCATCCTTTGGAACCAGAAGTCAATGTTCATGATGGCAATGTTGATAAAATGTCAACAACGACAACAACAGATAATGAAGCACAACAACAAGAATCTTCTTCTCAATACTATTCATTTGTGTTAAACGAACAAGTTCCAAATTATGGCATTGGATTTTCACAATCTGAAGAATGTGATTCGAGTTTTGGACTTTCTTTCTATCAAGGATGGAGAAATGGAAAACAAATGTATTGTAAACCGATTCATAAGAAAGGAAATACAGAAGAGGCAGAAAATTCATCAGTGACATGTTATCGATATCGACAACCAAAACACAGCGGAATGGATATATTTTGTGAAATGCAAAATGTCATGTTTGATTTTTCAAAACTTAAAACCATGACAAGTGACTGTCAACACATGTGGGATATTGATGGATGCAAAAGATATTACGAATTCAATGAAGGAGCCATGTTGGGAATGTGTAAAAAAGAATCTTTTTTCAACACCAACAGCAAGTGGCCTGTTGGACATTTCCAACAATTGAATCGACCTATTTTTAGAGGTTTTTCTGAAGTCAAACCTCCTCTCAAACAACAACATTACGATGAAATTGTGGAAAATCCTGTCTTGATGGTTGCACGAGATGGAGCTTTTAACACGTATCACAGCATGGAAGATTTTGTCAATGCATTTATTGTATTGGAAACTTTGAAACTCAATCCTAGTCGTGACCATTTGGATTTACTCATTATTGATCAAGAAGTGGATGGTCCCTATGCTCCAATGTGGAACAAGGCATTTTCTAATGATAAAACAAACAAAAAATTAAGAATTGTGAAAGAATGGGTCTCTCAGGGAAAGAAGATCCTCTTTAAGAGAGCTATTGTCAATTTACCTGGTGTGAGCAGTCCAATTGTGAAAGATATTGGAGTTAGAAATCCGTGTAGACCAATGACCGATTTATTTGTCAATTTTGGAAGACATATTTTAAAGTCTTTTGGATTTATTGTTCCTCCACGAACAGAAGAACAACTCATGCAGTTACCATCCTCTCCAGATAATGTGAAACAAACAGATACTACTCTCACTGTGAATGTGACAATTATTGATCGAAAGTTTCATCATGAAAGAAAAGATGCAAGTCGAGGAATTTATAACATGAAAGAGATTGTGAGTGCCATAAAAGATTTGTCAGGGACGAAAATTTCTGGAATTACATTTAAGGTCAATGTCTTGGCAGTGGATTTTGCTAAATTGACCTTTGAGAAACAATTAGAGATGAGTTATAATACTCATATTTTGATTGGTGTCCATGGAGCAGGTATGTATTAAGTATATGAGTAGTTGATTGTTTAAGAAGAATAATTTAACGAAATGAATGTGTTTGGAAAACTACTAATTCAACACACACTTTCTTGCATGATCATTCTTAACAACAAAGGACTTACTCACCTACTTTTCCAAGCGGGAGGTGCCAATATTCTAACTGGACCCAAGACAAAAGAACAATCACCACTCGTATTTCGATTGAGACCTCAATGGGTCTGTGGTGGTGGAAGTGTGATTGAAATTCCTCCAATGTTTGGCCAGCACTACAATAACATGGCACGATGGGCAGGAAGAAAATACATGGCTATTCAATCAGGGTCGCCCAATGTTGACGCACAACAAGTGGTGAATTCTGTGAAACAGTCCCTTCAAGATTGTGCTCAGTTTTTCAAATCCTTCTACTCACAAAAGTAAGGTAAAACTATTATTTCAAAACAATTGCATTTTAATGAGGAGAGTCCATGAGAGTTAAAAGGAGCTTGATGCAACACTACTTCTTCTACTTTGTCTTTCTAGATCGAGCATGACCAAAATGGCCTCTTTGACACTATCATATTGTTCAGGTTTGGTGTCAAAGTACATTTCTAATACTCTCGGTTCAACCTTGTCAGATTTAAAAGTACATGTGAGAGTGATCGTCTTATTGATGATACTTTCTTCCATATCCAAATAAAGCGTTGTGGAATTATCATCCTTGGAATGAGGAGAGAAAATAAATTCTTGTTTGGAAAGGAATTTCGAATTTCTTCTATTCAATAAGAGCAGATCTGAAAAGACGTACATGTCCATAATGCCTCGCTTTCCATTTGACCTCTTGTATTGAATACCGTTCTCACCTTCGAAGTAAAACAGTAATCTTCGGGTTGGAATGAAAAAATCCTTCAGTTTGAATGTTTCACTAAGTTCCAACGATTTGTGAATATTGGAATATTCGAGTTGACTCGTATTCAATCCGCTTGCAATTTCCTTAATCAACAATAGAGCATTTTCAATAAGACTATAAGACTCATCACTATCGGGTGTGACATCTTTCAATTGTTGTAATAACATTTCATATCGAGGAATTCGTTGAAGTGGCAAGATCATGTGCCCATCAATGGTGAAATCTCGTGCAGCTGTTGATTCTTCACCTAGTTTGTGAGCAATTTCTTCCAAGAACTTTTTGAATTTGTTATTCTTTTTCTTTTCTTCTTCTAATGTTGTCACAGCAACCTCATAGTTACCAATAAATCTTGTATATAACTTGAAAGTATGTGCATAATGCAAAAGTAATTTCGCAACATTAAATGATTGCAACTTGTCACCAAAATAGAGTTTTTTGAGTTCACTGAGAAAATTCTCATTGACTCCAGCAATAATTGCAATGTCGTTGAAAATCATATCAAATACCTCTTTTGAAAGTAACTTCTTCTCTCGAATGGGCTTTAAATAAGCTTCCTCGAGCTCTCTCAAACCTTTCACATAGGACTCTTCAGTTTGGAGGATTTCCTCCAAAATGTGATCTCTCTTTTTCTCGAGAGGTGTCTTTTCAGATACAATCTTGTCAAAACTCAATTTTTCATCATCTTGGGGTGAGGCTATTATCGGAACTGTGTTCATAATTTCATCAAATATTAATTCACTACTCTTGACCGATAAATCTTGTAATGAATCCGAACGATCATGTTGTCGTTGAATTAAACGTCGAGGACTGGTGATGGCCTGCTGTTGTTGTTTTTCGGTTTTACGAGGCGTGGAAGGTATCGAGAGCTGATGACTATTTGACGTATTCAATGTTGTATTCTCATTGTCACCAATGTCAATGCTGCTGTCATCGCTGCTGCTCGATGTGTGTGTATTTAGGAAAACGAAGAAGAGGAGAGAGCACACGAGTGCTGCGAAATAAAAGATGACTTCTGCCAACATTTTTTTTGATTGTCATCTTTTGGAGATTGAAAGGTTCCGTAATGGACGGCTTTTACCATCTTTGAAGCATAAGTGTCCTTGAATGGATGCCACAAACGACGCAATGAGTAAGTTCCATTCAATTGATTGAACAATGCTGCAACCTGAATCAGTGTTCGATGAGATTGACAATACCATTCTCTGCTCTCTTATAATGCTCTGGTAACAAGTCACGAAGCATGTGAAAAGCATGAAAAGGTATCTTCTCAACTTGAATCGTGACAGACTTGAAGTCACAATGTTTCAATTTTTCAATAAACATTTCAATTTCATCAGCAAAGCGTTCTCTCTCGCTGTATGAAATGAAGATTCCTTTTGGAAGCACTTCTTTCAAAGCTTGAATTGTTTCAAGTGGCCAAAAGCAAGGTGATAAGGATTTGGCTCTTTGTCGTTCATTGAATCCACATGGTACTCCATTATTCTTCCACATTCTGATTATTCGATTGGTCAGAGATCTATCTTGATGATCAATGTCATTAATTCCCTCTGTTTCTCTCATCGTTAAATTCATCCAAGGAGACAATAGTATAGCTCCTTTCAGAGCAGAACGATAGAGCTTGTTTGTTTCATCCTTCATGTCGTCCACGACTATTCGTGAAATCTTTTCTGCAAGTAGAAGACCCAAATGTGCTCCAGACGATTCTCCAATCAGATAAATTTCCTCCATGTGCTTTTCATGGACTAACCACTTAAAAGCGTCGAATGCTTCTTCAACAGCATCCTCAATGGGACGAAAGGGATACATGGTATATTCCACACCCAGTAAATGATAGCCATGCTTGGCACACATTAACTCATGAACCTGGCATGCACGTGCAGATCCTAAAAGGTAACATCCTCCATGGAAATGTAAAAGACAAACTCGTCGTTTGTGATCCGTTCTTCTTCTTCTTGCTTTTGAGCCAAAATCAAAGTATAAACTTTCAAGTCTTGGTAATGTATCTTCTGGAACGGATTCCTTTCGGAAATCAATCTTCTCAGTTGGGTTATAGTAAGGTCCAGCTAACAACACATGAGGAGATTCAGGACTTGTATGTCTTAAATTTGTAATGTCGGCCACTATTGCCTCTCTACTCTTTGTTTTATCGACAAAATAATCATCAATATCGGGATGAGGCTCTGGTTTGCCGTTCAAAAGTTCCATCCATCGTACGACTGCCAATTCTCGTTTTGAAAGCCCTTGAAGGGCCTTCCTTCGGATATAATCTTGGGAGTCTTCATCTAAGCCTTCTAAACTTGTATTTAATTTAATTATATTATAATATTCCAACAAGTAAATAATTTGAAATAAGAATTGAAGAATCAATGCAAACAACGATAATTTCTTGAATATTCGGAAATATAACACCACGGAAAAACAACTCAATAGAATGAATGCAATGGAATAATCCACCCACTTTGGAAACAAATTCATTAAGATCATGCTGCTGATTATGACAGAAATATAATTTAAATTGGAATGTTTTGTTCGGAAATGCTTTTGGTTAAAGGTTCGGAAGGGTTGTTACTTTTTTAAAGGGAGAACTTGAAAAGTCATACGTGTAAATACGAGCAAAAAGTTGAATTCAACGACAATGATATCAAAGGACTTTACATTTGAGAGGTCCCACAACTTGGTTGCGCTTCAACAAGAACTCAAAAGATCTCAAGTGGTTGTAACATCACACATGTTTAATGGAATGTTCATTTTCAAATTGCATTCATGCAATAGTGTTGAGCTCAATTTCAGAAAGAGGCATAACACGACCTGATGATGAGATTACACTCAAAAAATGTCTCGTTATTTGGAATCCCTGTATGGGAACAGCAGTGATGATGATGATCAAGAGGATGATTATAGTGGCTCCGAAGAGGAACAAGTCCTGACTTTGGAAGAACAACGAAAAATGGTGTATGGATATAATGAAGTTGATCAAGAAGGACAACAAGAACATGATGAAGAAATGAATGATGATGATGCCATTGATCAGTTGCAACAACAATTTCGATCCACCAGTACTCTCCGTTCAAAAACTAAAATTGATTTACCAAAACAAAAAAAGCAAGAACCAGAGAAGTTGATTGTTTATGTTGAAGAAAAGAAAAAGGAAGAATTGAATTGGGATAAAACTTATGAATCATTGTCGAAAAGAAAGATTCATTTGAAGAGATTTCAAATGAGAGATTTGGAGGCCCACAAATTGCATTACGACAAAATTGATTATCCAACCAGTTTTGAAAAAACTGCTGAAGTCTCTGACGACGAAAACTCTGACAGCGATAGCGCCGAAGATGGCAATCATGATGAAGAAAATGGCGAAACATCGTCAAAGAAGCCAAAGAAGAAGATCTCAAAAGGTTTTCAGCAAAAAATTGTGAAACAAAACATTGATCTTTCTCTTTCAAAGATGGCAGGATGCATTGCAGGAGGTAATTTGATAGTGTTATCAGGAGGCTCTAAGGACGGTAAATTGTATTCGCAACTCGTGGCTTATGACACCAAGAATGAACGATGGATTGATTTGAAAGAAAGAATGTTTGAACAACATGCTCTACTGAAAGATGCGGGCATGTCTTCATCTTTTTTATTTCCTCCTCCCATGTCAGGCCATGTACTTACAGTACTCGGGGAAGCGTTGATTTGGTACGATTGCAAAAAGACTGCTTTAGCGTTGAGGTTCTTTATGGACCTTACAAAACAGAAGTGGAGACCAAGAAAACCAGACGATACAAAAATGATACCTAAATGGCTGAAAATTGATATTAATGACAGTAACGTTATCAAAGACACCCAAAACCATGGTTCTTGTTTGACAGATAATGGGTTTTGGATCTTTGGTGGAAGAGATGTCAACTCTAATATGGTGACTAACCAATTGATTTTGTGTGAATTTGAGAAAGAGAGATATAATTACTATAACAGACAACACTATTCTGATGACAATGTGGGATATCACATGACAAGAAAAGTTATTGTGGCCAAAAACATGCCCCTGCCAAGAGAAAATCATGCTCAGTGCACTGTAGACCGTAATTTGTACATTTTTGGAGGCAACTACACTACAAAGGACCACTTATTGAACGACCTACACGTATTCAATCCTACTATTAACAAATGGACTGAAATTGATTTGACATATGTACCTCCTCCAATGAGAGAACATTCCTTAAGTAGTTGTGACAATAGGTATATTTATCTTGCTGGAGGAATTCTTGAGAACAATGTTGTGAGTGATGTACTTTACAGATTAGAACCAAAAACTAATAACTTCTTCGTCATTAATCCAGGAGGACCTTCAACGCATGTTTTACTTGGCAATGGTTCGGTAACACCAAAAGATTTACAGAAACCTAGAGCTTCACATTTGGCTGTCAGCGACTGTTCTCACGTTTACATCTTTGGTGGACTTTCGGATATTTCAAAGAGAACATACTGCAACTATGGAGTTGTTCTTAAAGAAGTTCTCGATGTTGGTGTGGAAAATAGCTCCTATCATTATTTACTAAACGAATTCACAAAACAACGCAACGAAGATTTGGTGGGCTATGATGTAATTTTGAGAGTTGCTGATAGAACCTCTAGAGAAAGCGAGTATTTATATTGTCACAAATGCCTACTTTCATCACGATCTACTTACTTCAAGGAACTTTTCAAAAATTCCTCACCTGAAATTGTGGATGAAAAAGAATTATATGAGATTAAGGACTATCATTTGGATAGCTTGTCTATTTATGTCCGATTTTTATACTGTGGAGACATTGTTATACCTGAAGAATTGACTAACCAGTTGGAGATTCTTCAAGATTTGTTAACCATCTCCAAGCCTGATTGCGAAAGACAGGGAATTATTACAGATATCTGTAGCCAAAAACGACTGTTCTTGGACAGCTCCACTGCTGTGTTGAACCAGTTGAAATCTGATTTTGAAGGTCTTTATACGCAAATTGAACAAACCATTGACACCTTTATTCCTGAGCCGTGCGATGAGAACAATTACGCAGATGTGACTATTCAAATTTTAGATCCAAACACTGACGAATTGATTCACCAATTAAGAGCTCACAAATTATTCCTTTGTAAGTCGGGATACATTCATACAGTGTTCCAATCGAACATGGAAGAGTCAGCAACTGGCATTATCAAATTTTCAGAAATTTCTCTCAAAGGGTTGTTGTGTGTCTTACGATATCTCTACACCAATGACATTTTAATTCCTCTGGAAAACTCTGTTGAAGTTTTCATTGCTTCTCTGCTATTCCAGTTGAATGAGTTGGCGAATTATGCCAGAACCATTGTTTGTCAACATATTACCATCGAAAATGTGATTGACATAACCTTCTTAGTGGATGTCTATAACGACTTGGCTCTTAAAAACAATTGTATTCGGTGTCTTGTTCAAAACTATGAAATACTTTCCAAACAAGACGCCTTTGAAACCTTACCTGCTGACATCAAAGGTGAAGTGAAAACTCGATACTTTGAACAATTGAAAAAGATCACCAAAATGAAAGCCAAAGAAAGAATGAAAAATTCTCAAAAACATCATCCTAGAAACCATCAATAAAAGACAGTTGTTGCACTGCAGTGTAAATACTCGAAGTGGATGCCGTTGTTGCTTCTCTCCGTCCATTCCATTTGCGATCTACTTTCCTTTTTGTTCCAAAACAAGAAGAAGGTTGATGCGATGACACAGCAGACGTTTTGAACGTTTGAAATTCTCTTCAACGACAACTAAAAATGAGCCTCTTGATGGCCACCACCACTTCACGGCCGAGCCATCACCGTTCGCTCCTTCAAGGAGGAGGTCGCTCCTTCTCTCACTCTTCATCCAATCTACCAATTTCTTCTTCATCATCATCCGGAATATACCGATGGATGATTGTTGTTATTGCATTATTCATCATCGTGATGATGCTATCCATCATAGACATGGCTTCGGCTCAGACTGGTACCGATTCAAACCTTTATCCTATTGATAATATATCACCACAAGATGAAAAATCAACAGAAGCATATGCAGTGATCTTAACCGATGATTCATTGTTGCCAGCTGTTCGGGTTGTGGCTAAGAGCGTGAGAGAAACAAAATCAACACGTCCGTTCATTGCCATTGTAACGGATCGAGTGAGCGAGAGGAGTAAGAAGATTTTAAAAGAAGACAAGTTTATTTTGATCCATGATGTACCATCATCAAAAGGACCAATCTATCCATACATGTTGCTCTGGTATTTGGGAAATTATGGCTTTTCAAACGTAATTTTCTTGAGTACAGACGTTTTGGTAAAGCGTAACATTGATTCTCTCTTCAAATGTAAAGGACGATTGTGTGCAACAAACTCCATGACCATTCCCGATGATTTGGATATTGTATATATGGGATTGAAGACTGATATCAATACTTTCAATGACATGGTCAATAGGGAACAAGAAATATTGAAAAAAGCATACGACAATACTCCTCAAGCTTTTATGACGACTTATTTCGATTGGAGAAATTCAGAATACATTGATGATAAAATGTTAGAGTCCGGAAATACAAAAGAAAATGCATTGCTCAGAATGCCAGTGCATTGGAATGGTTTTGAGCCTCTCTATTACACGTATAAACCAAGTTGGGACTATATGGAAATGAAGGGAATGAGAATTATCAATTATTGCCTCATTCCAAAGCCTTGGGATTGGTTTGTGCATCCCATTCTAGATTTGGGCCAAGAATGGCTTGCAGTTTTCCATCGATTGCCTGTTCAATCAATTACACCTGATCTTACTCCATTCTTGCTGTTACTTTTGCCAATTATATTGGCAGCTATTTGCTTTAGCGTCATTGGTAGACAAAGTTTCCATAACAAGAATGTTGTGTATGACTTTATGTGCGGATTTTGTAACAATTTAGTATTGAGACGTATTTTTGTCAACATGAATACTCCATGGAAATTGAGAATAGTAGGATATATTTCATGCTTCCTAATGGCTGTGACCTTTGTGTTGACCACATTATTTTTCCATGCCATTCAGTCCAATGAATGGGACGTATATTTGAGATGGGCCATTTATTATTCATGGGTATTATCCGCAGTTTCTATTGCACTTTTATTTTATTACAAGCTGCTCATCGTAGAAACCATTATTGACATTTCAAACAAGCCATTTCCTTCAAACACTACAGTTAATGACATTCCAATGAATACTGTTGGAGAGGATGAAAGTGATGAGGATCAAGTTGTTGTTGACATTAATGATGGAGAGGAAGAAAAGAAAGACAAGAAGCCTTTTATTTCCAAATTATCAGAGGAACAAAATCCTTTAGGCCAAGTTTTAGCATACAAGCCAACCTTGTTTTGGTTTAGAACGCTGATGTTGATGGTAGGCGCACCAATCATGTTTGTTTTATTGGTTTGGGTGTTGGGCTTTGTTGGAGCAGATTTGGGAGGAAGAGCTGTTGTTGCAGTTATTTTCATCCTTATTTATGCATTCTTCTTGGTGAGACTTGTTTTCGACGTGCCCATCGTGGCCATTTTCAAAGTGTATGAAAGAAAATACGGTCCTTCTCTCTTCATTCAAAGTGAGGAAGAATTTAAAGGAACTAAGTACAATTAATTTATTAAATTATGCTCACAGCATCTCTTTTTCACTTGATGTTTCCTTCAATTCTTGACTCACAAAACTGGTATTTGAAAGTGTGACAGCATAGAAGAAGCCTTTTTTCTTCTTTTTCTTTCTTGCAAGAATGATAATGACAATGACCACTCCTAACAAAATCAAAATGAGAACTGTAACAGCGACAGGCACTATCACTGCAGCAACGTAAAATATCACCTCGTTGGTAAAGTTTGGTCTAGGGGTGACGGGGTGAATGTTGTTCGAATTGTCGATGGAGCAATTAAGGCCTGAATAATTTGGGAAGCATGAACAGGTGTCCGTATCTGTACAATTGCCACTCGAAGAGCACACCTGAGAACTATTGCTAAGGATTCCAAAACATTTGTGCAGCTCACAATTTTGTCCAAGATAGGTTTCCTTGCAAGCGCACACATTAAAGTCCATGCAATTGCCTCTGTTTGTTCCAGAACACACATTCGAGGAGTTGCTCCAAACACCAAAGCATACCGTTTGCTCACATGTTGGACCATAATAGTGTTCAAAACACTGACACTTATTAAGGCTAATGCAAGTTCCTCTGGAGGAGCAAGATTTCGAAGAGATGCTTGGTACTCCGAAACACTCAGCCACCTCGCATTTGGAGCCGTAATACTTTTCAAAACAACGACAATCATTTGGTGCCACACATTCTCCGTTAGAAGAACAAACATTTGAGGCATTACTTGGTATTCCAAAGCAAGTCGTAAGGTTACATGCTGAACCAAAATACTTTTCGTCACACTGGCATATATTCACTTCAGAACAATTTCCTTTGGAAGAGCATACAGAAGAATCGTTACTCCAAATTCCAAAGCACTTGTGAAGCTGACATCTATCTCCAAAATAATGATCTTTGCATTCGCAAGTATTGTATTTGGTGCAACGACCTCTATTATTTCCAGAGCAAACTGTACTTGCGTTGCTCCACTCTCCAAAACAGGTGGTGAATTCACATTCATTTCCTTCATATCCTTCCTTGCACTGACAGTGGTCGTTAGAAATACAATTCCCTTGTGAGGAACAAACAGATGATTCGTTTGAGAATTTTCCAAAACAAGTTGTAACGTTGCATTCATCTCCATAATAGTGTTGAGAGCAGAGGCAAATATCTTTGCTTAAGCATCTTCCGTGACTGTGACACACAGAGCTTGTATTTGAGGTAAAACCAAAACATGTGGTGACAGAGCAATTGGATCCAAAATAACTAAGAGTGCATTCACAATGATTTGGTTGAGTGCAATTGCCATGTCCGGAGCAAACTAAAGAGTCGTCGGTGTTGACATAACCATAGCACTGAAACAGTTGACATTCATTTCCATGATAATCTTGGTAACAGGAACAATTATTAAACGATTTACACTGACCATGACCTGAGGAGCAAACCTGAGATGAGTTTGAAAAGAAACCATAGCACTCGGTAACTTCACATTCAAGCCCATAGTAATGCTGTTGACATTCACAGAGGTTAAACCTTGTGCAATTTCCTCTCCCCTTGCTACAAACGTTGGTTTCATTATTCCACAAACCAAAGCATTGTGTGTGTTCACATGCGAGACCTGAATAGTTGTCATTGCATGAGCAGTGATTAAATGAAGTACAATTACCGTTTGAAGAGCATACTCTGGAGTCGTTGTTAAACAACCCAAAGCATGAAGTGATTTCGCATTCCTTTCCAAAGTAACCTTCATCACAGGAGCACTTATTGTAAGCTATACACCTGCCGTTTGATGAGCATGCCAGAGATTCATTGCTGAACCTTCCGTAACATGATGTAATTTCACAACTGGATCCAAAATAACCTGAAAAACAGCTACAGATGTTTGAAGAGGTACAATTGCCATTTGAAGAACAAACAGAAGAATCATTACTGAATATACCATAACAAGATGTAACTTGGCAATTAGATCCAAAGTAGTTGTCGAAACATTCACAATTATTATAGGAAGTACAGTTACCATTAGCGGAACAAACATTCGAATTATTACTCCACAAACCAAAGCACTGGCTCAAATTACAAGTCGATCCCTGATATCCTTCTTTGCATGTACAATTATTAAAAGAGCTGCATAACCCTCTTGAAATACCGGAACAAGCTGTACTTGTGTTTGTGCTCAATACTCCAAAGCAGGTAGTCAATTCACATTGCCAACCAAAGTACCCTTCCTGGCAGGTACAATTATTTGGTCTCAAGCAATTTCCATTTGAAGAGCAAACAGTAGAATCGTTACTGAGTTTTCCAAAACATGATGTTACTTGACAGTTAGGTCCAAAGTAATTGTCGAAACATTCACAAGTATTATAGGAAGTACAGTTGCCATTGGAATAACATACGTCAGAGCTATTGCTCCACACACCAAAGCACTGGCTCAAATTGCAGGTAGTTCCCTGATATCCTTCGTTGCATGTACAATTATTAAAAGAGCGACAGTATCCTCGAGAATGACCTGAGCAAACAGAAGCATTGGTGCTCACTACTCCAAAGCATGAGGTAATCTCACATTGTGAGCCAAAGTAACCTTCTTGGCATGTGCAATTGTTTGGGCTCGAGCATGTTCCATGGGAAGAGCATAAATAGGAACCATTGTGACTTAATATTCCGTAGCAGTCAATCCACTGACACTCAGTTCCGTTGTATCCAGGAAAGCAGGAACAATGATCTGGTTTCTCGCATATACCATGTGCTGAACACACTAATGAGGAATTTGCATCGACACCAAAACATTGAGACAATTCACATTGGCCATAATCGTTGAGTGACAAATTTTGAGAAATGCAAAATGGTGTCAGTTTTTGAAGGCTAAATTCCCATGATGCAAACACTTCCCCACTCCATGACACGGCAATGTTATTCAGAGTACAAGGAAATTGGTTGGAATGACAATCGGAATTTTGTGACATAATAGATGTAATATTTCCATCTTTTGATATCTTTCTAATAATTGAGGTATAAGAATTTGCTTGTGAATATTGAATAAAAAACACCTCACCGCTTGGAACGACGTTAATACTTCTTGGATAATGTAGATCAGCCAATAAGGCACATCCACCATCACCTATGTTGTGCATGTTTAGATCCGTGTTACTATATTATTAATTACACTACTATCCGAACTACTTACCAGAATAACCATAATTTCCAGTTCCAGCAATAGTCACAATGGTACCGTTTGTCAAAATTTTTCTTATTCTATGGTTGTACGTGTCACTGATGTATACTTCTCCATTAACGGAAATTACAATTCCATCTGGAGTGTCTAAGTCAGCATTAATGGCAAGGCCTCCATCACCAGAGAATCCATTATTTCCTGTACCAGCAATACGAACAATGTTCCCATTCGAATCAATTTTTCTAACCCTATTTCGGGTGGATTCCACAAAAAATACTTCGTCGTTTAAAGGAGAAACTGCCACACTGCACGGACAGTCTATACTTGATTGAAGAGCTGGCATTCCATCTCCTGTAAAAGCTCCTCCACCTGCAATCGGAGAAATTACTCCATTGATTGCCATTTTCATGATCATATTGCTGTCAGAATCTGCTATAATAACCTCATTGTTTTTCGTTATTGCAATTCCAGGGCTGATGTAAAATGTAAAACCAACAATGACTCCTGGTGGTACAATCGTTGAAATTGTTCCATTTACGTCAATTTTCCTAACTCTATTTAACAAAATGTCTTCAATATAAACTTCATTATTGGGAGATAGAGCTACATAATTAAAGTCACTTGTTAATGTTGAAAAGAGTAATTCGCCAACAATTAAATGTGAAAATTTAGCTTGATAACCGTCTCCATCTCCGTATCCAGCGATGGTGTGAACAGTGTTATCCACAAGGGAAATATTTCTAATCCTATAATTGTATGTATCACTTATTAACAATTCATTATTTGGAGTGAGAGTTAAATAGTATGGTGAGTAAAACATGGCATTAATGGCAGGGCCACCATCACCAGAGAATCCATTATTTCCAGTCCCTGCTATTGTTGTTATGCTCCCAGATGACACCTTTCTAATTCTATGATTATTCGTATCACTTAAATAAACCTCACCATTTTCAGAAATTGCAACATCATGAGGGTAGTTCAACTTGCTGTTGATTGCCACACCGTCCCCTAAACCATCATAATAATGCTATAGCAAATTAGGATACGAAGGTAACACAAACCTACCATTGAATCCATTTAGCCCATTTCCTGCAATTGTCGTTAAAGATCCATCCAACGCTATTTTTCGAATGCGATGATTTTTCGTATCTGCAAAATACACCTCTCTAGAATTGTTTGAAATTGCAATTCCATACGGGCTATTAAGCTTACAATTAGTGGCAACAGATCCATCTCCATTAAATCCTCCAACTCCAGTCCCAGCGATTGTTACAATCGTGCCATTCCTAAATATTTTCCTAATCTTATGATTTCCAGTATCACTAACATAAATCTCATCGTCGAGAGAAATTGCAATTCCTGAAGGAGAATTTAAACTGCAATTTGCAGCAGGCCAACATTCACGACCAAAATCTCCTGCCACTCCATTTCCTGCAACAGTTATGATCATGCTATCATTCGTAAGTTGTCGAATCCGATGATTTTTCGTATCTGCAAAGTACACATCACCACTCATGGGCGAAACTGCAATAGCAAAGGGTGTATTAAGGATAGAATTGGTGAATGCCAACATGCCATCACCACCAAAGCCTACACTGCTATTTCCTGCTATCGTTGTAATGATAGGACTCGTGTGATGTCGTATGTCTGAGATCCGTCGTATCCTATTTCCATCGCAAATATATACATCTCCATGGAGGGGTGAATAAGCAATTCCCAGAGGAAGAAATAACTTGGAATGAATAGCAGGGGTATCATCGTTGACGGCACTTCCTCCTGCAATAATCTCGCCCGAATATTGTGTTTCTAATGATCTGCTGCTGCTGATGGTGTATGATGACAAGGCTTGAACATGGAGCAGCAACTTTGTACTCGGGAAGAGCTGCTGCCAACCACAGAGCATCATCAACGGGGTGCCTAACATGATGATCATGATAACAAAAGAGTTGGTTGGTAATTGTACCCGTTGTATCCGTTGATGAAACACTTTCGTATGATCATGTTGGCGATGTACTTGTTGTTGCAATAATGTTTGTCTTCGCATGGTTCAACAGCCTCTTTGATTTTTTTTCTGTATTTGAGGGTTTAAAAAATTGAACTGCTGGGATCTTTAATAATTGTAAATTGTGAATCGCTTTGGATTTAAATTCACCATCAAATTCATGACGATACAGAATAAGATCGAGTGATTTGAAAAATTGATGAAAAAGTGAAAAAGATTGTTGTCACAAAAGTTGACACAAACTGGTTTGAACTTGGAGTTTAATGGTTCATTAAGGGATGGCAATTTGATTGTTTTTATAAGGTATATGCGTTAAGAACAGTGCTCTTTTCCAATATAATGGTGTCATGATCCCAATTCATTCTGGCAAGCTTTGGAATGTACTCGTCAAGACGTTCTTTATGGAAGAATAATGGAACGCCTCTTCGCAAATTCTTATCCTCTTCACCCATGGAATCGAGATATGGACTTGGTAAAATAGAAGTTCTGCCCTCATGTAACAAAAGTAGTCGAGAAGAAGTCACAATAAGGAACAAACCAAAACCTGAAAAGTGCTCTCGGGCATGTCTTGTACATTTTCCAAGTGGCTGATCCTTGGAACATGAGCAATTTCTAAGCCAAGCAAGCTTTCCTGTGATCAAGTCAAGAGCAGGATTCTCTAACTTTTTACCGCATTCAGGACATGTCTCGTTGTGGTACTGGAGGAAAATATCTTCATATAATCGAGGTAGCTCAATGAAGGAAAATGGATTGCACTTTCCAAAGAATGGTAATAAAGAATCTGCTTGAAGAACATACAAACTTTCCTCTTCTTCTTCGAAATTTTCTGCCTCCAACACAATTACTGAAATAGATTGCATTGAGTATATTACTTGATCAATCCATTTTGTAATTAGGTCAATATGAGTTGAAGAATTTTTGATATTCATCAATAGTTCTCCAATTGAAGGTAGTTTCAAATAAGAAAGCAGTTGAGAGTAATCATTTCCATTTGGTAGTGTTTCATCAGGGAACAAGAACGAATGATATAACGCTGCTCTTCTCAAAAATGTCAACGAAAATTCTTCCATATCTCTCTCTGTAAAATCTGCAACCTTTCTCTCGAAATTCGATACAATTGGAATATTTGCTATTGAGGATATATCTTGATCTAGGCTTTCCATTCCAGTGCTGACATTAATTCCTAATCTAATATTGAATTGAATTATTATTTGAATTACGAGCGCCTGATATAAAAGTCCAAGTATTTCATGATACTGAGATTTCTTGAGCACAACTTCAGATGAAAAAAGCAAGGTAGTTATTCGAACTAGCAAAGAAAACATGTCACCGCTGAGCAATGGCAAGTACATTCTGTTTCCACTTCTCTTCTCCTCGTTATAGAGTTTGAGATTTTCAAATTCACTCAAGCCCATCAATGATGCATATAGGGCTTTCATTTGAAGAGAACATGTTTTCTTATTTTCATCGCTTAATTGTTGGTATGATATTAGAAGGTCAAAAAGATGAGAAATAGATTTTCTGCTCGATTCAGAAAGTGGAGAAACTATCGCCAAACTTGAGCCCCTTTGTAGTATTTCCTCCACAACTAGTTCGGAGATTAAAGCATTACAGAAGTATGAAGAGTCTGTTCTTTCAAAATTTTCAATAGATATTTCCAAAGGCTCTAAAGTATCACCAAGATCTTCTTTCTTTTTCCGAATGATCTTTTCTGAGAAAGTGGAAAATGTTGTGTTGGTTTTAACATCCTCTGGTGCATTCTTAATACTCAAGTTAGTAAATATGGATTTGACATCTTCCAAGTCTGGTAAAGAATAAGAATAGGTGCCGTTTGTATTGTCCACATGGGTGTGGGTGCTATAAGCCGTTATTGGACACAAGCAATTGACAACTCTGTTACAAACCGGGCAGAGAATCTCCATCGATTCCAAACTAATTTGACCGAATCCCTTATATCTTCTCCTTCTTGACTCCTCTTGAAGTAGGTTCGAGTAATATCTATCATAACAATCAGCATGACAGGCATGAGAACAATAATTGATCTGTACATTGTGCTCCTTGTTAATATCAGAAAACAATTCTGTAAAATCTCCAATATCAACCACAATTTTGTTTTCAATGTTTGGAAACACTTTTTGGTTGTCGTTAGAGTAGACAATATGAGGGAAGGGGTTCTTCACAATTTGACACATTAGAGAAAGAGAGGTATTTCCCTCCGGAGACTGGTGATCATGGCAAAAGGCACATTTAAGCTTATCTACGCTTTCAACCACTTCCTCATCTTCTTCGAGGCTCAATGCAAATTTTTGCTGGCTGGCTTTCATTTTCTCCAAGAGTTTTTGGCGATTTTCCAAAGCTTTCTGTTTTTTACGCTCTTTTTCATCCTTGTGGCCAGAACTCTCTGTTGTTGTCTTTGTCTCTAATATTATTTGGTCACATGTTTCATTCAGCTCGCTCAGTCTATTCAAAATATTTTCAACAAGCTCAGGTTGGCCTGAGACCTTGAGCAACAACTCCATAATTGAATGTTTTGATCCGTCTTCCATTTCAATGGACTGCAATACATACTTGATTGGAGACTCGTTTTCCTTGAATGGAATGTCAAGAGCATTGGAGACAGGAGAAAGTATGGTTTTTTGAGGAGGGCGTGTGAGTTTGTAATCTCGAGTGTCTAATGAATTTAACGAAGCCAGCAAGGCATGTAAAATATAGGGTGGCAGCTGCTCCGAGCTGCTAGTTTTCACAGATCTATACAACACCAAGAATATGATCTTGTAAAGATACGATGAAACAATCAAGTTCATCAATCCATGCTCAATTTGAGCATTGGCAGCATGTGATGGTTTTTCCAGGAACAAGGGTGCTGATGATTTGCCTCCATGCTGAGCTTTGTAATTTTCAATTGCTTGATAAAATTTTTGCGAGCTCATACTGATAAAGTAAGGGTTAAATTCGTCCCATTGGTTTGATTTTACAGTGAAATAACCTTGTTCATGTGATCCCTTTGGCTTGTGAAAATTAGCAACCTCATTCACTAACGCTTTAACATCAACATCTGATCTGAAGGACTTTGGAATGGAATTTACAATGTCACTAAATTTGCATTTTTGTTCTGAGAAGAGATAATGTAAAACATATTGGCGACAAACATCCCAATTGGTCATTGACTCCATGTTCACTCTGTTCGAGTAAATAGTCAATATCAGTCTAATAAATTCTTCCTCCAATACTGCACGTCTGTCTTCATCTTCTGTTGGTTTGCTCATGGTGTATAATTTAATGTGGCTCATAGTATTGTTAAATTTCTTTAGCAAAGTCTTGTATATAAGTTCATTGTTATCGATCAGACCAAATATCAGCTGAACTAAAAAGAAATCATTGCAGTAAGCGTAATCTGCAAATTTCTCGCTACAAAAGTTGTAGTGTTGATCAAGAACTTGTTTAACAAAAACATTAAAAGAATATAATGTAATCACATTCCAATACTTACTATGTTCATGGTTTCGTTGCCACAATCTTGCGTTAACTTGGGCACTCGTTACAAACTCTTTCAAAGGATGTTCAACAACTTGTAACAAAAACTTATTTGCAATATCTACACCACTTGGAGTGGTTTCTTTGAGAATATTTGAAATAGTGTCGCGAATTGAAAGAGTAGGATATCTAGCCATGAGTTGAATGAGCACAGTAGTAGTGAATCTTTGAATCGGCAAGTGGTACGTAATCGGAACATTGAATGGTTGCTCGTTCTTCACTGTTTCGTCGTTGTCGATTTCCACATTATCATCTTGAATAAATTTAGCAAGAGAACGAACTATCTGTTTGAGCATGCCCATGTAATTGGTATTTTCAGAAAATGTTTCAATAACGTTGGTGACTTTTCTCACAATCTTGGGCAATGTAATCATCTCCAAGTTAAATATTGTGTACCATTGGCTTTCATCGGTATCCAACCGTTTAATATCAGATGCTGCTTGAATATAGGATAAAAATGTCAAAAACTTATGTAAACATTCCTCGTTCAGTAATAGCTCTTCGCAAAATCGTTTGTGTATCACACAATATGATATATCAAAAATAACATGATACACTGCGTCAATTTTGTGCGTAGCAGACACAGGTTTGTAAAATAACTTGTTGTTTCTAGATTCGTCCATATGGGCTTCTTGTTCAATCATTTCAATTAAATTATCCAACAAAATGGACACAAGATTACAATTTTCTACTAAATGGGTAGCAACAGTAGGAGTGGTAAACAGTTGAACAGTAATGTTCGAAATATGAACATCTTTTGTTGATTCCTCTTCTTCTTCATCGTCTCCAACAAATGTGCTGGTCTCTTTCTTCTTTTTTGTGAAGGTAACATAATCTGATATAATTAGAGAATAATTTCTGACCAAGCATTCGGAAAAGAAGAGCTTGAATTCCGCATCAGTGATGAGTGCTGAATAAAGTTCATAAAATTTGGTTTTAGCAGATTGCGACATTTTTGGCATGGATTGCAATTGCTCATCCACAACGGTCATATTTTCTTTGCTTCCTATTTCTCTTAACTCATGGTACGCCAAATTTTTCAAACAAGGAGAAGGACTGATCGTTTCTGCAATAGATTCAATTAAGTAAACAAAGTTTTGATAAAGAGTTTGAAGTTGAAGAGATTTTTGTCTTTCTTTTTCATCTGCAAGGCTGTTAAACTTTTCTATTATCTTTCGTATGTACATCATGACCACCCCATCGTTACCGAATATTGATTTCATTAAAGCTTCAAGTAGTTTCTTGTAAGAATGATCCAGGTGTGATAACGGGTCACTTCTGCCGGTATGATCACAACAAAAACCAGTCTCAGACCATGCCTCTGCATCTCCGCAGTCACACATACCATTCGACGTTCTTGTCATGGTATACTCATGCCCTTCGTGATTGCCCTTTTTGAAACACTCTTCACAAATAGCACACGTTGGATCTTTTTGGCAAGTTTTGCATTTAAAGGCCAAATCACCAACAGTCCAAGTTTTACCACATACTCCCCTGTTCGTGGTAAGCATTTTTCGATAAACGTTCTGTTTTTTAGGATTGCCAAAGTACAAGAAAACTTCGAACCACTCAATGGCATTAATGACCGCTTCATCAGTCGGAACCTTTGCGTCAGAAACTGTTTCTGGAGCAAATCCTCTCAGTAATTGCATAAATGTTTGAAGATTAGGTGCAGTTCCGCCGTTTAACAATTGTTGAAGTTGATTTCTAGCAAAATTTTGTCTTGTTGGAAGTTGTAATTCCTGTTCTTGATGTTTAGGAATTTCAAAAACAACATCTCTAAAAAACCCGATCATGTGTCTTGTTCTTTCTTCATCACTCCACTTTGTATCATTCCAATACATTTTGAAAGTAATCTCTTGCTCCTGTTTCGATCATTTCACCATTGCCATATATTTTTCTAAGATCTTCCAAAATATTCTTATCGGTGGTATAATATTCAGAAGAAGAGTTGTTGTTATTCTTGTTTTCAGCTCGAACAGCCCCCTCTGATGATGATGCCGATGACCGATTTCCAAAGAATGATGAGAACATTTTTTTTAATCTTAAAAATAAACCGAGAATCCAATCATTGGATCGAATGCAAAAACCTTTTCATAGTTCTTCTTATGAAGCGTTTGCCTTCCAACATCAACGCGTGTACAATGCAGATCGTTTGTTCAATGAATTGGATGGCAGATATGTCTTCTTCGTGCTCCATAGTCTTCATCATGTTGAAGGAAAAGCGAAACTTGATTTCATACTTGGGTGGCGTTTTCGAGAGAATCAGCAAATGATCGAGAAATCAAAAACCAAATCATTCTAGCACTGATATTATGTTTTGAGAAGGAAGCTTTGTTTCCTAATTGTGGAATATTTTGTTTTTCAGTAACAATGAAATTGGTAAATTTCGCACTGCTATGTTCATGATCCATTTCCACATTGTCCGTCACATCTTTGAAGGATGAATAAAATCGCTTCTTGATCCAACCAATGTTCTCAAAAGCAGCAGATAATTCCCACGATTTGCTTTTTCTACAAATTGAGACATTAATTTCTCTCAAAGTTAAGAATGACAAAACATATTCATGCACAATACTGAACGGTTCAGCTTTTTGAAATCATGGAGTTTCTGTTGAAATTTTCGCTGACCTTCAACAACGACGTGAATTGAGGGCAAAAGCAGCCAACACCCATTCAGCCAAGATAGTCCTCGTTGCCAAAGTTATATCTATGAAAGCTCAAAAGTATCAAAAGGATGGGGACTAGGATTAGTATCTGTTGTTAATACATGCCCTACATACCTAATTTAATTAAAACGAGGAAATTCTTGATGAATTATGACACCTATTAAGGGTCATCGTTAGCCTTCATCTGATAAAAGATGACATTGGTATTGACTTAATCAATGATGAAGTGCCCCATTACGAAAAGATGGACTCATGGGTACCAGACTATGTAAGGAGAATATGTGACCTAAACAAAAGAGGAATTGGTTATTTGGATTGAAATGTATTTACTTTGTTTGGGCATGTGAGTCTGATGACCGTATGGAGTGCTTGGACTTCGATGTCTGGAGAATATTGTTTCAAATCACAATACTATCATTTTGATGTATTTCATATTGGTGAAGAATATTGAGCCTCAATGCGTTCCTCTTCAAGAGATTCACCAGGAAGGTACATTCTTCCGTGCTTGTTAATTTTCATGGAAATTTTCTTTGCCTTGTGTATCTCTCTCTGTTACGCCACTGAACGTGTTCCGATTCTCATTTTTACCATTTGGTAACGCTCGGGAGAGTTGCGGTTGCTTTGAAGAGTTCTTGACTGCTCTGGAGTCGTCTCTGAAAAATAACGATCCGTGATCACTCTGGAGCAGCGCGGAGATCTCTGGAGGTGTTCTGGCTGATGCAGAGCACTCTCGAGCTGTTCGGAGTGTTGGATAAACAAAATTATTATGAGCTCATTCATCAGTTTCTGTTTCCCACTCATCATCACAATCCATAGTGTCATCATCACCAATATCATCTTCATCATCATCAGATTCATAGGCTCTAATTCCAGAAGTATATTTGTATTTGTATATTAAATAGAGAACTATTTTGCAAAGAAAATGATGACTTTCCAAAATTTCGTCGGCTGATCCTTTTGCTCTAAATTTTTCTGACATACATTTAAATTTCTTTAAATGACAGATAGCATTTTCAATTATTCTTATTTTTGCAATGTTGTTTCCTTTTGGATTCAGAATTTACAAGAGGAAGATCTTCCACTCTCTCTTCATCATCCATCGCACTTTCTCTTTGCAACGAGTTTTCTTGCTGTTGACGAGGCAAATATTTTTTTATTATCCATACTCCAATGTTATCTGCGAACGGTACACCCAGGGATTTATTGTCATTGATTGCACTTGAAATTTCTCTACTTAGAAAGAAGTCTAAAATGAAAATTAGTGATATTTACTGTGGAACCATGTTTACAACTGACATTGTTGATATTATTCAATCATCGATTGGAAAATTAGAGGATATAGGTCATGTTTACTCATGTGTTGGTTTGGATTCCATTACTTTTGAGCAATCATTACACATATTAGACAAAATGTATGATATTGAAGCTATTTTAAAATCATCCAATACCTCCAAAACTGACCTTTATCACTCTATTCAACACATATTCCCAACAAGAAGAAGAGTAGTTGGGCTTGTTGCCTCTCATTTAGAAACAACAAAATCTCTCGATATTGAAGAAAGTTTCAGAACAAAAAGGGAAGAGTTTGTGGTCAGGTGGAAAAAAATGTATTAGATAAGTTTGATCAAAAAAGTCAAACGACCGTCTTGATGGTAATTTTTTGTTGGACATTGTGATAACAAATGAATACGGAAATCAGTTACTTGCGACAGAGCATTAGCTTCTTCATTGGTAGGAACTGGATTAGGAAAATCCAATTTTTGACTTTTATGATACTACCAACGGCGATAAGTATCATTTTGATACCTCAGACTCAATTCTTAAACATGTTTCAAAAAACGTTTTAGAAAAGAAATATCCAGACATGAGTCTACAAGTCAATAATTCAATCACAGTATTGAACTCTCTATTATCTATCAAACAACATGACCCTAAGAAATGGGAAGAGGTATTTTCTCTTTTATTGCAACATCATAGCGGAGGGCTTATTAAGGACAACAAAATCCTTTCAAAATTAATATTAAAAGAGAATACAACAACGTGGAAAAAGAAAAAGAACAAATCGACATCACATTCAACATTGCAGAAAAGACCATATTCTCTATTGCTTAACCACAAATTTGTAATCAAGACGTTTATTCGATCTAACGATTATTATCGAAAATATTACACACCAAAATGGGCCAAAGAAGTCATCACAAACTCAAAGTCTACTAACAAAAATATGTTCGGTGATATTTTATACTTTCATTGTTTATTGAACTATAACAAACATGTAGAAGAGTTTGAAAGTTCCACAAATAATTCCATTACATTTAAAGACATTATAGATGGATTATATTTTTTTCCCTCTATATATTGTCACGCTGATGGTATTTGTTTAAACTTTTCAGAGCAACCTTATGGTTTTTTTATGAGCAACAAATTGCATAATTGTAAGAGAGAAAAATTTTTTGAAAATATTAGAAAAGGATGATAAATTGTGTGATATGTTCTGAACGTAGTGAAGGGCATGAATGTTTCGATTGTAAACAATTAAAGAGTTTGGTTGAGCTTGAAAAAATTTTTTCCATGCTCAAAAAATTTTCTGCATATTAACGATTAGTCTCTCTTTGCGTTGCTTAGTGACTTCCCACCCATTCACACTCCCACCCACTTGCTTTCTTAAGCTTATTCAAGTACCTTTTTCGCTGATCGGAATGTTCTTGTGGTAAGGAAGAACATTGTTACAGTGCAGGTCCACCTTGATTCGAATCTTTTCGGCAAGGATTTTATTGAGCTAACTATATAATTTTGTTATTTAATTTCATTTATTTAATTCATCATGTTTTCATGATATTCATGGATTTATCAAGCAATTGTTTAAATGCGACCTCATATCATGGAGTCTTCGTCTCTGCCACCTAACTGTGACTTCTTGCGCTTCACATCATGTAGTCGTTACTTCTGCCTTCATCCTTCCTGCTTCCTTGCGTTTCTTTGGTTTTCTCCTTTTTTTTTCCGCTGAGCGGTTTTTGGAGTTTTTTACCTTCTCAAATCTTAATTAATACTCGGGACTCTGCTGAATAAAGTCAATTGACAAAATATGCAGAAAATCCCACAAACACCGGACCTTTATTAAGGTCGGGTGTTTGAAGAGACCACAAACCCATTAGTCCTTCCTTTAATTAACAAACGAATTTTATTGTTTACTCTTTCGAAACAATCAAGTCTGTGAAGACGAAGTACTTTTACAAAGAAAAATTTGGTACAAAACTTTGTTCAGGCTGTAATTGGTGGACTGAGCAACAGGAGTTTATGACAACACTAACCGACAAGGAGAGATTGATTCCTCTCGTAGCACATATACACGTAAACTTTCAAACAATCAATAAGAATGGGGGTAAAATTAAAGATTACTCTAAAAAAGGAAAATATTTAATTCTGAGTCCAGACTCAAATTGCGGAATGGATATTAATTCGGAAATAACAGCAATATAAAATTGTTGAAAAAAAGAAAGATTAGAAATAAAAATACCCGCACCTCTACGCTGACGTCATGTAATTACTTTTATCAATAGATCCAAATATTCACAGTAAATCCATGGATTGTCTAAAAGATTGCAAAATTTGTGGCCCTTATAACACCCTCTGTGATGGAAATGCAAAAAGTTTCAAATAAAATTTACCTTAAAAAATGATTACATACCCTCTCGAATTCATATGAACAGTGATTTCCTATTTCATCAGCGATAACTCAAGGACAAATACCAACAAAATGCAACAATTTCCTATTTCTCAACAAAACAACAGTAAATTTAAGACTACACAAAACTTTATTGATCTGGCATACGGAAATTCATTCGATCCACATACAACCACAACTTCCTTGCATCTAAATGTTCTGCAAATGGACATTCATAAGGAACATGATAGGCATTAGGTGTTGTCGCACACCAAGTGTTCGCCAAAAGGTTCACAGTGGTGGCATAAAGACCTTCATGTTGTCTTAATCGTTGTTGCATGGGTAAATAATACCATTCCACCATGGCACCAAAATTACCTCCAATATTTGCAAAATCAGATTGTGAAACTGTTTTGGCATTCATTGAAAGAGGACATCCAGCCTGTGTGGAATAATGACAAAGTTCATTCAATAACTGATCACACTCTTCATCAGAGACGACATTTTCCACTACCACATAACCATATCGATGAAAGAAATCAATATGACGTTGAGTGAGACGCGAATGTTGATTCAAAATGGGTTGAATTTGATCATCTGGTTGCAATAAGGTCTTGTAAGATCTCTCATTGTACAAGCATTGACCAAGAGGTGTCAATGGAATTAAATCCTTCTCCACACTCAATACTTGTTGTTCCATCTTAAACTTGGAATTGAAATCGTCAGGATGTTCAAAGTTCTTTCGTTTTTGTTTGAGAGTTTCAATAGTTCTTTCATTCACACGATGAGCCACTGAATAGGCATGATAGAAAACAGAACGAGGACGATCCATTTCATTCGCATCTGAATTTCTATGAGCCGTTCGAATATCAAAGTATAAAAAATCACCCTTCTTAATGGGATGATAAGGAATGGCATCATGTTCTGTCACCATCTTTCTCATATAATCAAGGCAATCATCTGCATTCATGGGTTGCAATAATTCTGCACTTGGTGGAGGTGCATTCCAATTCGGTGGCACTCGTTTCACTTTTCTCACCATTTCAAACAAGGGTTCATCTTCTTCTTTCTGATTGAAACGTACATGATACGAAGAAATCCATGGGGATTTGATTCGTTTGGATTTTCCTTCTCGAAACTTGTCGTCACACGCAGGAAAGTATCTCTCTGCAACGGAAGCGAATCCAGGAATCAATTCGAGACCTCCTTCTTTCTTGTTGGGATTTTCGTGTCCATCGGTTAAACACAACATGGATTGGAATGGTCGGAAACGATCCAATGGACCATAGGTGAAATCACTCTTCAATTTTCCCCATAAATTGTATGGCCATGAATCCAAATGGAGACCAGTGCCTGTTTGTATGAGTCGATCTTCTTCATTTGTAGATTCGGCTGCTTTCTTTCGGTAATATTCCTTTTTGAAGGATTTGACATTGGACTTTTTCGGAGCGGAGTTGGACGGAGTAGTTGTGGTGCTCCGATTGGAAGTTCCATTATTATTATTAGAGGAGGTGGAAGAAGAAGAGGAAGGTGTCACATGCTCTGACTTGAAGTTAAAAGTTTTGTTCTTGCCCATGGTTGTTGTTATTGTTGTTCGGATTATTGGATGGAAGGATTGGGAGGAGTGAATGAATTTTTTTGTTTTTCTTTTGTTTTTTTTCCTGTTGAGTTCAATTTGAAGTGACATTTTCAAAAATAGAACAATTTCAAAGTTGAAGTTGTGGTGAATTTGAAAAGCTGAACACTCTTACAAAAAGTCGTCAATTCATACTGTTTATTAATATTAATACATATTATAATAATCAATACTACTACTATGAACTAATTATACGAATAATAATAATAATACTAATACCATTATTCACACCACACACGGTAAGAGCTCTCCAAAATATTGAATCGCACAAAAAATGTCCTCCCAACAACAACATGAACCTCTCAACTCAACTCCCACCATCATCACACTCTACGCCATTCGAACTGCAGCGAGTATGATTCCACACATTTTACTTTGTGAGATGAAACTCCAATACGACATTAAATTTCTCAATTCATCCAACAATGAACACAAAAGTGAAGAATATTTAAAGATCAATCCGAATGGTGTCGTTCCGACTCTGATCATGAAAGAAGAAGGGGGTACCGATGAGCTTGTTTTGTTTGAAACAAGTGCCATCTGTTTGTACTTGACGGATCGTTTTCCACAATTTAAATTAGCTCCACCATTGAATACTAAAGAAAGAGCTCTGTTTTATCAATATCTTGCACTATTGTCAACTGGCATTCAACCGGATATGATTTTATTTTACTATCCTCATCGATATGTGAGTAGTGAAGATCAGTATGCGACTTTTAAATTGGAGACAGAGAAGAGAATTTATGAAAAGTTCAAAATATTTGATCGAGTCTTGTCGGATGGAAGAAGTTACTTGTTGGGTGATGAGTTTTATTGTGTGGATATTTATTTGTTTATTTTGTCCCGTTGGTCAAGAAATTTTGAAGCTTACAAGGCAAGAGATTTACCTCATTTGGGTCCATATTTGAAGAGAATTTTCGAAAGAGAATCTGTTCAACAAGTGTTCAAGATTGAGGAAATTCAAGAACCATACTATTAAGAGAATGCAACTCAAAATTATACAGAGTTTGTCTTGTGTTTTCTTACTAATAAACACCAATTGCCAGTGTCGAAATATGAATCAACAATGTCCACACCTTTGACTTTGGTGAGTAAAAGCTCATCTAACTCTCCTTGCTTGTACACGTGGCAATAACGCTTCACAGTGACTTCATTGTCCTCAATTGGTGGTGGTTGAGAGTCGCCATCATCATCCCCTTCTTCTCCATGTGATAAATATTTTGCTTGCAACTTCCATGGAACAAACACATCTTGACTTTGGAATTTTCTCTTTGAATGTTGTTCTTGCTCAAAGCTCCAGGCATAAATGAGAATAAGGCCATTTGGCTTTGTCACTCTCACCAACTCTTTTAGGAGTCGAATTCTTCTAGCGACAGAACTAATATGATGCAAGACTGCAATGTTTAGTGTTGCATCAAAACAATTACTCTTGTAGGGAAGATTGAGAGCGTCTGAGACAGTCACATCAAAACCTTTCTGCACACAAATTTCACATAATTTTTCACTTCTATCCGTTGCAATCCAAACACACTTGGGATTAAGCCCAATATATTTTCCATTGCCACATCCAATGTCACCCACCACGGAATAGCTGTAATTCCACATTATCGTTCAATAATAATTAATTATTGTCGTGGACAATTTGATGTTATACCAATTAAGTGTTGATTCCATCAGATACTTACTCTGGAAGTGATTTAATGAACTCTGCAACCTTTGGCCATGCGTAATGTCTAGTGTTGTCCCAGTGAGATGCTATAGTATTGTATGTCTTTTGAACATATTCAAGTTCTAGATTAGTTGTGCTCAGTTGTTGAGAATATGGAAGATTGTGTGCGACATAATCTTGCTGTTGTGAATCACAAACCTCAACCCATTTACAATTGCAAGATCCACTTTTTCTTACAGATCTAATTGTGAGAGAGACTCTTCGTTGCCTCTTTCTGATCTTTCCATTGACTCTGTCCAACTCACGACACATAATAGCATGTCTCCACAAATACCTAGCTTCTCCAACCAGTACTGCGAGAGATCTTCTTGGCAAATCGACATACTTCTTCTCAATGACTTCATCATTGACGCATTTGGAGAAATACATCACGGTGCTACTAAGCAAAGAGATAAGAAAGAGTCCATCATTAAATGGGCCATGTACATCAATGTGAGGTCGAATTCCTTGACCTGGTAGATACTCATTAATTGTTAACTGATCCGCTTGATAGGTTTCAAAATCAAAAGATGAAAGATATTCATCATTCACAAATGTTGGATCCTTTTCCTGTTGCTTTGTGGTCAGCAAGCCCTTCATCCTAGGAATAATGTTCTGAACATAATCTGGAATTGGATCTACCTTACCATTAAAATCGATCGATCTAATATCATAGTCAAACCTGAATCCATAGTGTTGAACTCTTCTTTGAAGTTCCTGAACCCAATCATGCTGATCGACTTGTTTTATGATTTTCTCCTCTTCTTCTTCTGTGAGGAAGTTCTCAATCACTATCAAACCAGGAATTTTCACGTGCTCTGTGGAAGAAGTGCATTCAATACTCCAACCTTTTACGTGCTTCTTTTTTCTCTGTTCTTTAGTTTCTGTTGCTGTGTCTGCATACGACACGTGAAAAAACGGATATTTCTCATTAAGATAGTGTTTCACTCGTTCAGCTTCTTCCGAATCTCCAAATACAACATAGATTTGAATGGTCGGATGAGATGTAACAACATCATGTCCATCATGATCACTCGAAGAAGCCTCTTGTTGTTTCTTTCTTTCGAGCTTTTCCTTCTTTTTACGTTTCAATTTTTGTTCTCTCACGAGTACGGTTTCCACCTCCGTATTCTCTACATTTTCCGATATTTCCTTGATGATCCAATCCTCATACAATTTATACAAGTCGGAGGAGGAAGTTGTTTCGTGTTTGTTGTTCTTTAAAACATTGGTTACGTTCGTTATAAACAAGTATGGCGTAGGAATGGTTTCATCTTTGGGCTTAACAAAATAATAGGTTAAGGCACTTGTTGCTGAGGTGGTGGATTGTGTGGTTGGTGATGATTCAGTACTGTTGTCATGGTGAAGATGATGACCTCCGTGCGTTAGTAGAGAGGATTCCGATGACGAGGATGAAGCTTGTTGCATTTTTGTTCTTGCAGCACACACTCAAAATTTGCACTCACGAAACACATTGTCAAAAATTTAATTGGCTCGAGTTGAACCATGAACTCTTAATTTCGTAAGTCTCTAATGAGGAAATTTAAATAGGTCGGATTTTAGGATTGGATTGGATTGACTGATAGGAAGTTCAAAAACAATCGCTGGAGCAATCCGATCCAATCCGTCGATCCTGGTTAATTAAATTACCTCAATAAAGCATCTCTGCAGTAAGATGTAACCAACCATTGAGTATGAGTCAAGCACGGTAATTATGCTTATTAAGGCAATTTTTTAATTTCATGAACTAACTATTAAGCGAAATATATCTTCGATCTCGCTTACAGTACAAGCAGAAACAACACAAGCAACAAATGCACCCAGTGCATACACAACATCCTATAGCAGCAATACTTGCAGCAATAATCACCCAATAATAAACTTCACGAATGATACAGGTTGCATAATAGGATTCTTCAGATTCGATATAATAAACTAGGCCTCCACGATGCACAGTACGAGAAGTGGGACTTCCTAAAATTGGTAAAGCTCTCCAACACGTTCCATTAATTCCCAATGGAATCACTCTACTTTTACCATCATCAGAGGGATTTGTACCTGTGACTGTGAAAAAACCTTTAGAAATATAAACACAATCCTTATCAGAGACACAATCCAAGTGATCATGACATTTCGAAATATCTTGAAGTTTGTTGCTTTGGGTTGGATTTGTAGATGGATGTTGAAAGATGCTACTATTGGACTCCACAATATTGGGTAATTGTCTATTACCACATGTTTCAAAAAGTGGATCCATGCACATCTCAGTAAAGAGCGAGATAGGCTCGTTCGGGATGGGACATTGAGAGGTCGACAATTGGTAAGAACCTGTGGATTCATCAAAAACCGAAACGACCGAGACACAAGTATCCGATGTAGCACACCATAGACATGAATTATCAGCAGCCTCAACACAACTCGTGCAATCGGAGAAGGTTTTACAAAAATCTTGGGCACACACCAACTTGGAGCCTATGAATGAGAGGAGAAGAAGGAAAACAAGAAGGGATACAAGCGGAATGGAATTCAATAATTTAAGAGGGGATGAAGATGATGAAAATTTGGATAAAGTGGATCTTGATGAAGAGTCTAACGATGATGATGAAATTTCAGACGTGATGATGGAACGAGCGTTGCAACCATTCGACTCGTCATAACAATGATGATTAAAAGTACCGCTCCAAGCATCACCACGATTCACCCTTTTTGTACGATCATCATCATCACACACAAAACATTCACGTGAATTATTGGACTTCGGAATTGTGCAAGCACTCCGACGAATCCCACTCGTCGTCGTCGTCGTCGAGTCTTTCACTTCTGAAACGATCAGAACATTCATTGGCCCATTCAACGCGTTATATTTTTCTTTCTGTTACAACATTTAAAGCCTCGTGAAAAGAAACACGAACGAATTGTAATATTCGGGTAGTACTTACACAGAAAGTGTGTCTCATGCATTTGGATGAGGAATTTAAATAGATCGGATTTTAGGATTGGATTGACTGATAGGAAGTTTAATGGATACAAGGTCTGTCGACTGTCGTTGTTGTACACGTGAGATGATAGTAAGAGTCATGTCAACTCCAAAAGTGTCACTTGCCATCAAAAAAATGCAGTACTGCAATCAGAGACGGAGACTCTTCACACGACAACGTCGATCATCCACCACCATCAACAACAGGATTACCTTCTTCTTTTTCCTCTTTTCGTGCTTGCTTTTTCACTCGTGTGTGACATGGACAACTGCAACCACTACCTCCACACACAAAGAACATTTTCGAAAAATTCATTTCGGAAGTTATCAATGCAATCGTTATAGTCTCATCCCAAAACTCCATCTAGTTCCGAACCTCAATGATAAATCTTACTATACACCTCCAGATACTTTAATGGCCTCTTGTAAATTTGAAAATTTATGTCTCACTCAAAGTGGTGAATTTGTGTTGTTTCAATCCAATGATCGAATACTTCACAGAGTTGATATCAATGAGTTAAATTCATCCAAGCCATGGGTATTTGTACAGGGATCTACGATTGATTCGAATTGAGGAAATTTTCACATTCGAAATGTGAATGGAGATTTAGTCCTGATTGATCGTTCGCAAAAACGCCACACAAAAGCATTTGTGAGAACAATCCACAAAAAAGAAAATTCTTGCAATAGTGATGATGATTGGAACGATCCTGTTTGCCTATCTCAAGTCGAAGAAGAAATCAAATATGTGCCCATTGAACTCTCTCCAAATTTTACCTATTATGAAAAACCAGTGTATGCTCTCCAACGATATGCAGCTGGAAATGTTGGTCACCTTTTCTCAGAATCCTTTGCAATGATTATGGGCTTAATGATGAATTTTAAACCTTCAGAAATTGAAACATTGAACGATCATTACATTTTGTTTTTGGATGATCTCTATGATTTGAAAGGAGAAAATTGGAGAGGAGCTTATCAATACGATTCAAGACAGGCAGAACGTGTTTCGTTATTGACCATGTCACTCTTGAGTAATCAATCGGTTTTACAGCTCTGTCGAAGAGATGGAATTTGGAGGATTGAAAATGCTCCATGTCGTATCCTAAAAGAGTCAGAAAAAGATCCAATTTCACACCAGGAAGAAATTTCATCCATGACACTTGATTCTTGTTTTTCAAATATTTATATGGGTTATACTGTCAGCAATTTGATATTATTTCCTTATGGAAAAGAAGCTCTATTCATGAAAATACGAGAATTAGTTTATAGAAATTTAAGAATATTTCCATACGATCAGGAATTCAACACAATGAATTCTCATCAGAAAAAAAAGCGACAATTCAGAAATTACTTGCTCGAAAAAGATATTACGGTTGTGATTCACAAAAAAGATGTAAAAGCACGTCACGGTCAAGCTCTTGTCAATGCTGACCAACTCAAAGATTACTTACAAAAAGAACTACCCAAACATCCATCCGTTCAACAATTAATTCATTCTTCAAGAATCTATTCGAAAAATAACAAACAACAGAGAAAATTACGAATTGAAACTATTGATCTTTCTTCATTTCCAAATATTGTTGACCAAATTCATTACTTTTCCAATGTTGATGTTTACATTACAGATCAAGGAAGTGCTGCTTATTATTCCATATTCTTCCGTGAAGATACTACTGTTTTTGTGTCACCTCAATGCAAGAGATTGAAAAGAGAAATTCAGTGTTATACCTCTCATGGATGGATGGTTCTTTCTTCATTACCAAATGTTCAAATGTTGGATATTATGGAACTTAATAATGGTCAAGCACAATGCAAATTTCAACCAGCACCTCATTTATATGAAAATTGTAATTTCAAATTACCATTGAAACTCATGTTCCATCAAGTCGTGAAGGCACTTTTAAAAAGATATAGAAATTTGTGAACCACAAACCCATTAGTCCTTCCTTAAATTAACAAACGAATTTTATATTGTTTACTCTTTCGGAACATTGTGAATTTGTGAAATTACAATTCATGCATGATAAGAGGTGACAAGAGGGACGTCAAGCGAAATAAATACCTGTAAAATGAGATGACGATATGCAAAACAGAAATCCCTCTAAGGTCGAGATCACAATTATTTATTGTTATTGATTTTAGAAACTAGCGACATTTCTACTGCCAGCCTGCTAATTTGTAGTGCATGCAAAAATAAAGAATTCAAAAAGCAAGGAAAATCCAATCTTGGATTTTCCATCTCAAGAGTATAACGAGAATAAATTCACAACACTTTGCGTTCTATTGAAAACCTGCTTTTCAGCTTTGATAAAAAGCTTTTCAATAGAACAAGCTTGAGGATAAATTGTTTGGGAGATGAATCTCTCCGACATTTGATGTCTGTCACACGTTCGAATGAAAAATAATCCTTCTCCTTCTCGTCTTGTCTCATGTTGAAATCACAACGATACTCATTATCCCGAAAGTGTTTTTATTTCATCATCATCACGATTGCTCTTTATATTCTTCTTATCTTGTTCAATTCGTTTCATCATCGAAACATCAACAACAAAAACGGAGAAAACCTTTTGCATCATCCTTCTCATCATCAACAACAAACAAAACCTGGAATACAAATCATCCTGAATGCCTTGTTGGATATCACAAAGAGCGAACAAGCGATGAATGCATTGAAAAAAGAATGGAATGTAATGGTTTCAACAACGTTGATGAGAAATATTTTCACAACAGAAAGTTTTAATGTCTCACTTGGAAAGTTGCTCTCCGATATGATTTATAGCCGAACACGAGTGGTGACATGTCAAAATAGGGAGAATGGTTTTGGATTGAGATGTGGATTGACCAATCAATTGTATGAAATGATTCAATGTGTGTTTTTAAACTTGCATTTTCAAAATTTGGTAAATTCTCAGAAAGATGATCAAGTGGAAGGTTTTGGATCGAAAGTGGTGGCCATGTTAGAACCAAATTTATGTGTGTCTGGATCGTTTACTTTGTGTTCATGTGGACATTATCTTCCATTTTCTAAATTGTTTAATTTTGACAAATTCTCCAAACTTGTTGGATCGAAACAAGTTTGGCAACGAATCACCACACAAGTCAATTATTCAAGAATTGAAGATGTGTTTTGGACAAATCAAGACAAGATGGAAAATCAATTTCCAAGATTGGATTTTCCATGGCATCGATTGAATCGTGATTTTTTTCTTCAATTACTTCAAAAACGAGTGGAATTGGATGGAAATTCTGTGAATATGATCACAGCACTTGAATTTGGAGAAATGGATTGTATTAGAAATGAATTGATCAATGACAATTCAACTCGAAGAGAATTACTCACAATCTTGATTGCAGAAAATAACTCTGAGAAAGAAAGCATGTTACAACATTTAGTGACAATTGTGAGCAAGAAATGCAGGTATCGTGTGGAAGAAATGGAGCGTGACGACAAGTTGATGTCTGACATTAACACAAAAATAGAAGAAGCAGTGAATATGGATTATTATACATTCCACTCGTTTGAAGAAGCGAGCTCTAGCAAGTTTACATTTTACAATTCAATAGTGAAAACTCAAAAAGACAACGATTTATCTAAGGTCATCAATTTAGGAAGAGTTTATGCTTGGTACAATCCAATATTACCTCCTGAATTTCAATTATATTCAGAAATGTATTTACAATTGGAACCCAACAAAAAAATGTCTGCAACAATTGATTACTTTTTGGAATATTTAAGAAAAGAAGCTATTAAGAAGAAGTTTCATGTGGATACTACAAGTAATAGAACCATTGTCATTCATGTTCAAATGCCTTCCGAACAAGAGACGAAAATGTATTTTACATGTCAACGATTACCTTTGATGAACAACACATTTGATTGGGTGAATTTCCTCAAAAACGATGTCAAGGTTCAGAAAGGAGATTCCATTATGGTCATTGGTTATGGTTTTCAACATTTCATCAGTACGGACGAAGAGAAATTCCCTTCTCAAAAAGTTTTCGACCAACTCGGAGCATTCCTTTTCACACAAACGGACATTATTGGACCAACACATATTGGCAATATTTACTACAATTCACTCTATGCATTCTTTATGAGCTTGAAAGTAGATCTCTTTGTGTCGGGAGTGTGTGGTTCACAATTTGGAAATCATGCCTTGTTTTTGAGAAGAATGCAACACAAGAGGGCCTGTATTGCCTCTCATGTCGATCAAAGTACCTTTTTCAGGGAAACTCCCATTGCGAAATACGGTTATGATGAGCAATTGGTGCAACGACAATTGAATCGAACGATGGAAGAAGTCTATCATTATCCTAATTTTGTGTATGGAGTGTTATTTAAGGCATCTCGATGCAAGTATGACCATGTGTAATGTCAATTTTCCAAAAATGCATAAATTGGCATACGCGGAAAAGATCCTTTGATTCCCAAAGATTCACTAGATGACATCGTCTCACAAAGAACATTTAGTTTTGGTTTGTACAAAATTTAAAGTTAGATTGCACTAAGAGAATAATAATGAACTCTTTTAGAGTCAAAATCCTCTCTATTCTTCCATTTTAATTTTTCTTCTTGATGGAATTGCAATTCTGTAGTTCTTTTGTAGTTCGCCCAGAGGAGACTGTTTCATTAAGCCACTTCCAGTGGTCATAGAATCGTCATCAAAAAAGAAAAAGGAAGTATTTTGGAATGGTAGGTATTTGGGATTGGTTGGATCCTCAGTGAGTTGACTGTCAAAAAATTTGTCATAAACATGAAGAAAGTCATAATCTTAACAATGGTGATGAAATATTTCATAAACGACAACAATCGATTGTTGAACCTTAGTTTGCAAGCTCAATAATAACACTTACCCTCTCTTCCTGCTTCGCTCACCCAGTAATTGTCAATATCAGTTGATCGTTCCTTACTATATTTTTCAGAAAAACCACCAATGATTGAAAAATGTGAAATCGCTAGGCCAAATTTGTCTAAAAGTGACCGACTTGTGAAATGAATCAAATCATTGTCCAAAAAATAATTAATATCCTCGACAGGAACGTGAATAGTGGCAGCGCATTCTTCTCTCCATTTTGGATTGTCCTTGTTAATCTCAATTGTATCCTTGATAATTTCTTTAATACTCTTCGAATAGAAATAGACCGTTTTGTATTGACCTCGCTTCAAGTCCTCAAAATATCCTCCATTTTGAAAATGCGTACGAGTGAGCATACTTCCTTCTAAATTGAGTTTAGATAAAACTGTTGAAATAAAGTGTTGTCCATTACATGTTATCTCATCATAATATTGTTTTCCATTAAATCGACAGCAAGTTTTGGCAATCGTTGCTAACGCTATTGCCACTTTTCTTGTTCCCTCAATTCTTGCAATGGGTATTAATTTGAGTTTCTTTCTCTCAGTATTTGTTCGAAGGTCACAAACCACATGCCTAGATGCTGACCAGTAAAGAATTGCAGGTCCAACTTGGAGAGCAAGCGGAAGTATACCTGCTCGTTCCTCTCCGATTGTATTGAAATCTTTCAAAAATACTAATCCAATCGTGAGACTACTTGTTGTGGCATTTTCATTCATTAATTGATTCATAGGAAGGAATACATCCAATAAGAATCGATCGGCGCACACCAAATTTTGTAGCTCTGCATTGGATACATTTTCATTACCTGCATGTTGTGACGTTACATGTAGTTGAATTAATTCCAAATTCGGATCAACGAGTTGTTGATGATAACAAAGGGGAAAAAAGCTGGGTCATCTTTCTAGTCGCTTCAATAACCTACCAGTAAAAGATCGTTTCGTTTGTTTGAAACAAGTGATTGCATCCTTTTCCTCACTTGTCAAAACATCTTCATCCCAAGCATTCTCCAATATTTCCATGGCCTTGTTAAAGGAACACAGTTGAGGAATAGGTAATGACAAGTACGAAGTATTTCCTGTCAAGCTTGTCAAGTTCACCAAAGAGGCAGATGGAAATAGCAAGTAATTATTTCTAACGATGATCGAAGAAGCTCCTCCTCCGCCATTGCTGGTGAATGATGATTGCGCCATGATGATTGTTGTTGAATCCATAATATTAGGTTGTGAATGACTATGAATCATGGATGATGGTGTTGGTGGAGAAACAGAAAGGTTCTTGTTCATGGATGACAAGGAAGTAGTAGTAGTAGTAGTATTCGGAGCAGATCCGTTGTTCGTTGTACTTGTCGTCGTGAGATGATGAATTCCCGAATTGGGATGGAGATTGGAAGGTGTTGTTGTTGATGGTTGTTGTTGTTGTATCCATGCACCACTATTGCTACCACTCGTCGTGGTCATAGCCGTAGTCGTAGTCGTCGTGAAAAAAGACTTGTTCTTATTGAGGCACAAAATTTGATAGTGTTGTATTTGCTCGGGAGTCATTTCAAAGTGTTCAAGACCTTCTCCTCGATCCAAACGATTTTGTATCATTTCGGATCGACTCATGCTCGATTCCGAGTAGCAGGGAAACATTTGAGCTTGTCCCATCGGTTAGATTTAATTGATTGATTGTGGATGATGATGATAGGAGAGGGATGCACTTTGGGTTTGTATTGGAATGTATTATTGGTGGGTTGGTGTTGTGGTTGAGTGATTTTTTGGAAGAATCAAAAGAGTGGAAGAATTTGATGTTGCGGATGTTGAAACAAAATGGTGGATGCGATTCGTTTGAAAGGTTGTCGGTGACAATTGAATCAGAGCTGAAATGCAAGTGGTTGTGTTTTTGTTTTGATTTTGAGTATTTGATTTGGTCGTTTCTGTCATCAATCAATGGGATAAAAAGTTTATGATAACCCGCGTTTGTGGTCTGACCAGACTGGCTTTTATTGTTGCTTTTTTGGACCAATCTATCAATGATTCTATCAAACATTCTTGATCATTAGCATTAGACCTTCTTTGGTCACTAAAAGACAAAAAGAGAAAAAAACAAAATTTCTTTCGCCCACCGTGGGGCTCGAACCCACGACCACAAGATTAAGAGTCTTGCGCTCTACCGACTGAGCTAGACGGGCGGACGTTCATTTTAAAAACAAAATTTACTAAATAGTATTTATATTATTGTACGCACAAAATATAATCAACAGAAAAAGTGGTTTGGTGGTTCTACAGGATCCATGAATGTTTTTGCAATCGCTGTTATCGATAACTCACGAACAAACAAACAAACTTTCAACATGATGACCCTCTCTTTTTTCCAAATTCTCACTTTTTTGAACAAAAAAATGCATAGAGAAATTGTCCAAACGTCATAAAATCTTATTTGGACAGGCGCTGCCACATCTAGGCATCAATTCTGCCAAAGGTCACTGAGAACACCAAGAACCTCTTTGGATGCAATACACCTTTTCATTCACAATACAAAAAAACACTTCATCCTGACAATTGTCATCAACACGTTCCCTTCTGAAAACATGAGCCAGTGGTTATTGTCGCCAACACCGTTCTTGGGTGATTCCTTTCTGTCCATCATCACAACCACTTCTCTATGGTGTGCACTTGCTTCTGTAGCAATTATTGTTCTCTATTGTTTGCGAATGTTTTATCAAATCTACCGAAATTATTCTCTCGTCAAACACATTCCTGGATCTTGGCAAGTGGCATTTGCTCCCTTTCATATCCCTCTGATTTCTCCCATTTGTAATTATTCGGACGTGAGAGGTGTTTTAAATTGTGCTAAAAAGATTGGAGATTCAGAGAATGGCATATTCAGAATGTCCATGGTTGCACAAAATATGGTTTGGCTGATGGGTGCTGATTACATCAAACAAGCAACTGTTTCATTGGGCCACAACATTGGAAAACCACAACACTATGAAATCTTTGATATCTTTGGAGAGAATATTGTAAGCGCTAAGAATACAGAGTCCTGGAAGAAACATCACAAGGCTTGTTCGCCTGCCTTCTCCACTCGTAATTTAGAATACGTGGTGCAAGTATCGAATGATACTGCTCAAATGTTACTCGAGAGATGGTTCAGAAAGATGCAACAACATCCGAATGAAGAGGAGGAGAAGGAAAATGCTTCCAACTTTGGAAAATTGTCGACGAACAGTGAGTCATCATCATCATCCAACAGCAAAACTCCACTCTCCAATGTATTACCTCCAAACTCTGTCCTATTCGATGGAAATGAAATGGCTGAAGTGACCATGAATGTCTTGTTGAATGCTGGCTATGGACTGACCAAGACAGCCTTATTTTCCGATTCGGAACGTAAGAAACATGTATTGAGTGAGGAAGAGAAGTCTCAAGGAGAAGAGTTTTTGCATCATATGGAAGTGGCTTTGGCAAGAGCTTTGATTTTGAGAAGATTTGTCGATGAGCATGAACATCCATGGTTGTATCAATGGCTCTTGAAATACACGGGAATTGAAAAAGGTTTGAAAGCAACGGAACAAGTGTTGGATCAAATCATTGCAGATCGAAAGAAGGAATTTGGAATCACCATTTCATCATTGAGTACAAATGAAGAGAAGGAACAATTCTTCGATTCCGACTTGGAAAAGAAGGATCTACTGAGTTTATTAGTGAAGGCTAATTTAAGGGATCAATTATTGACCGATCAGGAAATGAAGAGCAATGCTTTTGTGGTGTTGTTGGCAGGTTATGAAACCACTGCATCCACTCTCCAATGGTTAATTTATGAACTCGCAAAGAATTCTGATGTGCAGAGAAAGTGTCAGGATGAGATTGAACGTTTACTGGAGAATGGAACCAAAACTTTCACCTACGACATGTATCATGATTTCCAATATTTGAATGCAGTGATTATGGAGACCTTACGTGTGCATTGTCCAACATTCCAAGTGGATAAGGTTGTTCTCAATAAGAACGTTCGTATCGGTAAATATGACATTCCTAAGGGTACTCATGTCAATATTCACATCATGGGTCTCAATTTGAATGAAAACTATTGGGAGAATGCCAACAAGTTTGATCCAGAACGATTTGCAACCAAAGAATTGAAAGAACAAGCTCAAAATCAAGGCACTTGGATTCCATTCTCATTCGGTAATCGACGATGTATTGGCTTTAAATTTGCACAATTTGAAATCATCTCTGTCTTGATTCAATTATTGAAGGAATGCAACTTCACATTGCTCAACGATGAAACAGTGGATCCTGTGATTGAACAAATGGGACTCACCTTGAAACCAGCAAATTTAAAGGTGGCCATTACTCGACGACGAACACAACAACAATAATCACAACACCAAACGATTGAGATTCTCATTGGCATGTTCGCAATGCATGATAGAGAACACAAGGGATGACATCAACTCACTTGTTCTTCTTGTTCTTTCATCATCATCGCGTGTGTGTGTGATATGAAGCAAACCTCTAGGAAATTGTAAAAACAACTCTCTCATAAAACTTGTTCAATTCATTCGAATTTGGAAATTTCATCAATCATTTATCCTTTTATATTGAAATGTTGTGTCTGGATGAAATGTAACACATCCATATTGGTGATAACAAGAACGTTGAAATTCTAAATCTCATTCACCCTCCAACAAAAAGGCCAAACTCCGAAAGAAAAAATGCCTTCCTCATCATCTTCTTTCGACCACAATTATAATAACAACAACAATTTTGCTTCCCCGTATCATCATCAGGACACTTCAATAACGAACGGAAATTATCATGATGAACATTCAGCATTGCTTGGAGGCAGCAACAATGGTTTTACCCCAGCATCAACATCGGACGAGCGAGGTTCTATAAATTACTATGGCCAGCAGGAAGGTGGGTTTTTATTGAATAATTCAATGTTACAACTATCATGATAACAATTTTCCCGTTTGGATGAAAATATGAACTATTTGTGTAATCTTTTGTGATGAAAAAATCATTGATTTTCCATTTTTCGACTCGTATGGTTTAGTTCAACAAATGGCATCGTCGACAACTCAATCATCATTCCTGCAGTGGAATCTGAAAAATTCTGAGGGTACTTTTTGTGAAATGCAAGAAAGTGAAATGTTGAAAGAACATGAACAAGCTCTAACCGAATGGGAGTTAGAACAAAAGAACAAGACTTTTTATCAGAGGTGGTGCCCTAGTTTAGATTTTATGACATCTTGTTTCAGAGGTTGTAGAGGAAGTGACGAAAATCCTATTGTTGATGATGGAAGCGCAGAGCTTCATGTTCAGAGGGCTGACGCTAAACCTCAAATTGTTCCAGAATCATTAAAACCAAAGAAGGGACATAAATTAGGAGAGTTATTTGCTACAGCAATTTGTGGTAATGACATTACAAGCTCATGCTTGTACGTCATTGGTGTCTGTATCAGTTATGCTGGAATTTGGGCACCTATTTGTCTACTAATGGTGAGCTTTTTACTATTTTTGTTTAGGGTATGTTGAACGATAGTGTAATCATTTTGTGACCAAAGGGTGACGGCAAATTTATAGTCTATTTATGCTGAAGTGGGCTCTGCAATTACTTTGAATGGTGCTAGTTATACCTTGCTTCTGAACACCACATCAAAGAAAACTGCATCGTTAGCAGCATGCTTAACGGTACGTATTTTTGATTGTTTAGCACTTAGGATTAATTTTCGTTCCGTAAATAGATTATCTCATACATTGCAACAGCTGTTGTTTCAGGAACATCAGCCATTGAATATTTGAAAAATATTCCATACTGTGAACAGATTCCTCTCATACCATCCACTGTTATTTTACTTGGTATTTTTGCATTTTTAAACCTTATTGGAATTTCTGAAAGCGCTTTTGCTGCTGCCATCATTTTTGTATTCCACATTGCTTCACTCTCAATATTGACTGTTTATGGGTTTTTATATGTTTCAGCTACTAATGGATTTGAAATGCTTCAGAGAAACTGGCAACTCAGTAGTGCATCATTCTCTGCATTGGGAATGTAAGTTGTGCTATCATTTGATTTATTTCTCATTCAATTTATTGGTTTTATTTAGAGCTAAATCCATTTTCTTTGGTTTTGGAGCTGCCATGTTAGGTGTGACTGGCTTTGAAAGCAGTGCTAATTTTATTGAGCAACAAAAACCAGGAGTGTTCCCAAAAACGCTGAGAAATATGTGGTCATTGGTATCATTTTTCAACCCAGTTCTCTGCTTTATTTCGCTCTGTGCTCTTCCACTTTCTCAACTTTCAGATCCTAAACAAAACGCCAGCTTACTTTCTCAAGTTGGTAGGGCTTCTGCCGGTACTTGGCTTCAAATTTTACTTTCGTTTGATGCCGCTTTGGTTCTTAGTGGCGGTGTATTGACTGCTTATGTTGGTATTGTAGGATTGGTTCGCCAAATGGCTATGGACAGAGCTCTTCCTTCATTTTTCCTTCAAGTCAACTCGTTCCGAAAAACAAACCACTTTATCATTATACTTTTCTTTGTGCTTTGCGCCTCCATGGTAACTATTTTGAATGGTGACATTGACGCTCTTTCTGGAGTTTATACTATTGCTTTCCTTTCTGTCATGATGCTTTTTGCAATGGGTGACTTTTTGCTCAAGTACAAGAGAGGACAGATTAAGAGAGATAGAAGAGCTAAAAAATCAGTGATAGTAGTTGCAATCATAGGTGTTGGAACTGCTTTATTGGCAAACATTTTGGAAAATCCAGAATATTTGAAATATTTCTTTATTTATTATTCAATTTGCGCCATTACTGTTTTAGCAATGTTTTGGAGAGTGAAAATTATGAAATTCATTATTTATCTCGTGTATTCCAAACTCAAAGAGTGGAACATTGCTAAATCAGTTACTGATAAGATTCTAAAATTCTTGGTAAAACAGGCCAAGGAGGTAAACAGTCAATCTTTCATTTACTTTGCAAAGAATGATGCAATTTCAATGCTAAATAAGGCAGTTCTTTACGTGCGTGAAAATGAATTGACAGACTGGATCAAAATTGTGCATGTGTATAAAACTCCCAAGAGCGAAGAAGAACATATCGAACAACAAAAACTTATCAGTCGATTGCGAAATGATTGTAAAACCTTAGATGAAATTTATCCAAGAATGAGAATAGATTTTGTTGCCATTGAGAGCGAAAAAGGTTTTGGTCCTGACATTATCAGATTGATTGAAAGTCGATTTGGTATTCGAAAGAATTTAATGTTCATTTCCTGTCCTTCCGTAAAATTCAAGGTTAGTGACCTTGGAGGAGTTCGTATCATTACCAACGATCACCAAAATTGATTAACAAGTGTTCTTGTTTTGTGATTCAATGAATTATGTCCTTTCTCTTGAGGCTTAATTTAGTTCATTCTCTTTTCATTTCGCACTTTTTCTATGGGTGGTGATTGATTCTCACCTCAGCTCACACAAGCCAATTTAATTTGGCCACTCTCAATTCTCAAATCAAAAAGAGCAAAAAATGTCATCACCGCAACAGCACCCCTCGGATCATCACACAAAGGGTTCTTCTTCAAAAGATGATCATCACACAACAACTACGACACGAAATACCATGCTGGCTGGAGCTTTGGCACGGTGTGGAGCAGCAACAATCATGTATCCGGTTGATGTTTGCAAAACCCGAATGCAATTTCAAAGAAGAGCCAATTCGAATTTTCATACCATTTATCGGAATTCATTTCATTGCATTTATAATATGATTAAAACCGAAGGTTTCGGAATTTATAGAGGATTATCACTACGATTATTCTATATTGGGCCAGGAGCAGCCATCACATTTACTGCCTACGAAAAATACAGACAAAGTGCGGAGAAGGCAAGAAAGAGCGGAAAGAGTGTTTTTGAAACGGGAGCAATCATGTCATTAATAATGGGAGCTGCAGGAAGAGCATTAGAGTCAGGAATCAAAACACCTTTTAATATTGTGAAACAACATTTACAAGTGGAAGGTCAATTAGCAGTTCAAAAAAATAGAGGACTTGTGAAATCAGTGAAATATATCATTGAGACAAAAGGAATTCGTGGTTTGTTTGTTGGATATACCGTGACACTTCTCCGAGATTTACCATTCTCCTTTCTCTATTTTTCAAGTTATGAATTTATCAAAAACAAATCACAATATTTCGGAATACCAATTTTGAAGGATTACACTGCTGTTCGAGGAGCCTTAGCTGGATCGTTTGCATCTGTGGTCACACTTCCTTTTGATGTAATCAAAACACGGATACAAACACAGCACAAAATATCAGCAGATTCGCATTACTCTGGATATCGAGATGCAGTTGTCAAAATTTTCAAACATGAAGGATTTGCTGGATTTTTTAGAGGAATAACACCTCGATTAATTTATACAATTCCTTCCACTAGCATCACATTCTATACGTATGAGTTTTTAAAGAAGTGGTTCCACATTAACACCACTGCAGCAGATAGGCTAAAGGAATAGAAATATGCATTCATCAATTAATTCTTTCGAACTAGCGACTACTAGCTGTTGATGAAGATAATGAGCTTGATTGAACCAATCTTCGATATCTCTCGTTTTGTTCTTCCGATAACTTCTTTGTCCTCCTATAAAACAAAATACCACTCAACACAATAATAACCAACAAGGAACATTCAAAAAGAATTAAATTTTGCACCGTGTATGGTGTATAAATAATATCAGGTCTGCAGCTCTCTCGTGTGGTGGTCTTTTTAACTTCTTTTGAATCTCCGGCATGCTCTGTTCTGCACTCAACCACATGATAATATTTAGTAGCTTCACAATATCGATGAGGAGATTTCAAATCTTCTTCGGAACACGGTAAACATTCGGAAACAGTTTCGCAAATTTCTTTTGGTGTTGTTGAAGTTGGTTTATGATCTGTATGTGGTTGTTGTGGTTGTTGTGGGTTTGGAACTAAAGTCTGTTGTTCCGAAGCCACCAGACAGCAGCTACTCACAGCGAACAAGAGCACTGAAATCACTACTAATAACTTGAATCGTGCCACCCAAGAGTGTGATGTCATTTTTTGTTGAGACTAAATGAGGTGGATAATATTTAATAATAACAGTAATATTTGATCATAATAATAATTTGAACGGTCGATGAATTCACCCGCCTAACCTTGATTACAAAAAAAATTCATGAAAAAGAAAACTTCCTATGAGTCGATATCATTCACTGCTGCCCACTCCACCTTATTCTGAAGAGTTCAGAGAGAGAACAGAATCATTCAAAGCATCTCCTCAAAAACATCTTCAACAACAACAGTATCAAAAACAACGAAATTATTATTACTCTGAATTAAATTCGAGTTCGGAAGATCAGAATCATGATGACGAAGAATTGAGTAAATTGGACATTTCATCGATTGTGGATGAATCATCTTTCAATTATTCATCAAACTTTGGCGAGTATTCGGTTGGAAACAGGAGCCCAATTCAAAGAACGGAATCTCTTCCTTCTCTTTCTCCAACCAAAAATTCATCAAGAATGTTTCAAAAAGCGTTCCAGAGCCGATCATCTGCTGAAGATTCGGAAAACTCATGCCAGATATGTGGAACAATATTCACAAATTATTCATACTTTTTAGAGCATATGTATGGCGGAGGAAAATGTAGCGAGCTGTTTGAAGAAGTACAACACGATTCATCAAAACATCATGTATTATTTACATCACATTATAGAAACAGCGATGATATTACACAACGAGTTAAGGTCGATCACTTGGCATTTGTCAGTAGCTTAAAAGACCAATTCTCTTTTCATGGCAAAAACGCATGCACGTCCGTAGCTTGCGAATTTGCAGTTCAAATGTTGCATGGCGTTGTTGACACTGAAAACCCAAGAGCATGGAACGCCTCCGCAATTGACAGAATTGTTGAAAGTGGATGTCAGCAAGACCCTAAACTAGGCAATTTATCCTTTGAAGAGGTCTATAGTATGAATGACAGAGTGAACTCCAATCTTGAACTAGTTCACGAGGTTCAAAATTCTGTGAAAGGTTCCTCTTTTAAGTCAACACTTGAAACAATCGAGAATTGTTCACACCATCTTCAAAAACCTGTTTGTGCCATTTTTACAAAACAGCCTGAAACAATACTTGTATATTTCAACATGAACGCTGGAATGTTCATATTGGCAGATTCACATCCCAGAGAAACAGATGGGGTGTCTCATGGTGCTAGCATATGCTTTACTAAGAGTTTAAGATCCATGACAACAGTGCTTAAACATTGGTTGTTTCCTTTCATGAATTTCGATGAACGAGGAACGGAGAAAGGACTGAGCGAAATGTACAACACTTTTTCATGTACGATCGTAAAACTGAGGCCATGTACAACGTACTCTCCATCGTACTCTCTGATCTCAAAACACAACATCTCTGATTCTCCCATAGCGAAACAGTCACCCATAAGATCATCACCTCAACGAAGTAACAATACAGGTCCTCTTCACAAAGAGAATGAGCACCGAGATGTTATGGGAGATATGGCAGCCCTTAAATCAGAAAATGAAAAGCTTCTCAAACAAGTACAAATTCATGAAGAGAAAATACTGAAATTGAAAGAAAAGCTTGCTCGAATTACAGAACAAGAAGAGAATTTCAAAACGAAAAACAAGGAGTTTGAACAACTTTCCAAAGCATTCATGAGCATTGAGGAAATTATGTCGAAGGTGTCTCCCTTTTTGAAGAATAATGCTTCTCTGTAGTATGGCGAAGCGATTTTCTAAAGACAGCGAGAATGTGAATGAATCTAGATCCACACATTCTCACACTCAAGAATACATAATTGATGAAAGACCACCAAAAACTCTAACACTCAAGCGACTCAACCACACTGTCATAAAAAATGCTCTCTTCTGGTGCTTCAAAATTTTTTTCCTCATCGGCCAAGTCGCTTAAACTTCATTCCTCTTCTGTTTCATCATCGGCTCTCATCTCTTTGAATTCCTTTCAACATAGAAATTTGAACAACTGGACATGGAGACCAACCAAGGACTATGAAGATAAATTTGTAGTTGGAAAGGCACCCCATGCGAGAAGAAAGCCTGCTAAAAAGTTCTACAAATGGACTCCCAATCCTGCTGTTCCTAAAAAAGCGATTGAAGAGCATAACACAAAAGTGAATGCTCCAGGTACCAAGAAGACTCAAGTCATCTCGGAAAGAAACAAGGAATATATTCAACAAATTTTCACTGCAGCAAAAGAATTCAACCCACAGGCTGCTATTGAAGCCTATCATAGATGTTCTCATGGTTTGGACGTTCGTGCCTATTCTGCTCTTATCAAATCTGTATGTTTTAGAGTGTTTGTTGAAAATAGTTTTTTATATTTATTATGGTATGATGATGATAATTGGTTCTTTCGTATCCTATGATGACAACAAATCATGATGATACTTTATTATTGTTTTTATGATGTAATTATAATTGTTTTCAACATAATATGATGTTCGTATTTACTTGTCTAGATGGAGAAAGAGGCTGCTCACATCGGTGATGCTTTTCAAATCTACAATGACATGAGGAAGACAGGAAAGAAGCCAAACTTGGTTACGTTCACTCATCTTATGAATGTTTGTATCAATGCCAACCACCTTCCTCGTGCTTTGTACGTTCTCAAAGAGATGATGATAAGCAAGTTGAAAATTGATGAGAAAAACATGAGTCAGGCCAACGAAATTTGCAAGAAGCTCATCAAGTAAGTATCAGCTCAATTCCGACGTTAAGTACTTGACTCTTGTCGTGTAATATTAAAATATCAATAGGCTATGCTATGCAAATAACGAACCTGGAAGAGTAGTCGTCATTATCGATGCAATGAGATCATTTAAGAGCGATGAGGTAAAGGACATAAAGGAAGACATTCCAATTGAATTTTTACAAAAAGTAGTATTTGAGGATATTGCAGAGGACAAACGGGCAGCTGAATCAGAGAAAATGCAAGACTTTTGGATTGGTGTTAACAAGGCTTTAAGACCAAGCTTCACTGTTCAAGCATCTGCTACTCTCCCAATTTCACCAAAACTGACTTATGGTTTGGAAGGTAAATCACCAAAGAGAGCACTTTATGAGGCTGAACTTCGTAAATTGCAAAGGTTGTCTCAAGTTGACGAAGATATTGAGAGAAATAACAAATTATTAGATTTTGACGAGCATGGTATCAGTACACGTGATTACTTGGAAGCACGTGCCATTGCATTTGACGTTGCAGGAGCTGCAGAGCATGGAGACTTGGATGAATCACTCAAAATATCATATAACACTCTTTTAACTGAGTTTTCTCACGCCTTGTACTCGACAGTGTTTAATGACAGAAATTACAGACCACGTGTTGAAAAATATAGCGACACAACTGAATCATTGGCAGCCCAATATGCTGAACGTTTGAAAAAACAAGGACTTTCTGAAAAAGATATTGCATCAGAACTTTCTTCTTTCAAAGCATTTGCTGAGGCTCATGAGTACATTAACAACAACTTTAGACAAGAAGATGGAAGCATTGAATTGACGGACGAATATCTTCAAGTGTTGAGCACGGCAATCAAAGAGAATTGGACCTTTATTCACAAGACAGACCATCAAATCACATCAATGATTCCAACAGTTGTTGGTGCTTCTCCAGAAGAATCTGCAATTTTACTTGCAAAACCAGTAACGAACTTAATGCACAAGATCGTCGAAGCTGAATCATTGGCTGAACTTGATCCTCTAATGGATGAATACAAGTCTGAAATGAACAAGGCAACTAGATATGTAAACCGTAAAGTTGATTGGATTCCAGTTGTGTTAGGTGTGGATGGTAGACCATTCTTCCCCTCTGAAGAGGTCATCTCTATCGACAAAGTCACCACTGAGACCATTGAAAACGCCAAGCAAGCATATATTGAAAGCATCAAGGATGAAGAAGTTAAGAAGCAAATCAAGGAAGAGTTCTATGACTACATTCACTTGATCTGGATTGATAATAAGGGCAGAGTTGTTGAAGGTATCAGTTACTAAACCAATAAGAATCATAAAACATTTGATATTTGAAGAAAAAATGTTCAAACTCGTAAATCATCTTTCATCACCAGCATACAAGAAGCGATCTCTCCAATGCTTCACCATCCTTGGTTGTTGTCATCCGCAACAGCAACCCTTTTCAATCAATTTATTCCACCACAATAACAACCCAGAGTCAAGAACAAAAATTCATTTCCGAAAGGGGTACGTGTGGTTTCTTTTTCAGGCTACTTTTTTCACTTTTTTACAATTTTTAACATGCTAGAATTAAGATTGGAGAAAAAGCAACCTTGAAGAGACGCTTCTCAGCTCAAGATGTGTCAGATTTTGCCAGATTATCTGGCGATTACAATCCTTTACATTTTGATTCTGAATTTGCAAAACAAAATGGGCTTTTCAAAGATAGAATTGTGCACGGTGTGTTGGTGTCATCTTTGTTAAGTAACTTGGCAGGCACAGTCATGCCAGGTGCTGGCTCAATATACATGTCTCAAGAATTGAAATTCTTAAGACCTGTTTACATTGATCAAGAAATCGAAGCCTCAGTTGTGTTGAAAGAGGCCCAAAGCACAAGAAAAAGTGGAGACAAAAAAGTAATATTTGTGGTGGAAACGGAAATTCGATCTGTAGATAACGGAGATTTATTAGTGTGTGGAATTTCAAGATTATATCACGCAAATTTAGAGGTTATCGAACAGTAATGATTGCGATGAACGAATGTTCTATTGAATGAATTCATATTTATTTTCTTCTTTTTAACGAGAGTAGTGTTGCACCTAAAAACTTGGTTTCCACATTTTTCATGCTCACATAAGCAGGTGTCTTGCCTGTTTCCATATTCAATACAGCGTTGGTTTTAAAAAAGCTTGATTCTTTTAAATCTCCAATGAATAAATTTCCTTCATCTCCCAATAACATTGGAAACACGTCGTCTCTCCACTCATTCGTGACTAACGATTTCATTTCAATTGTCAAGTCAGATAATACAACTTGTGTGTCTTTCACTAATAACTTCCATTCCAAGAAAATAAAACAATTAAGATAGGATCCACATTTCATGACAGAACAACTGGCTTGTTCAAATTTTGGTTTGAAAACTTGGCCATCGGTCACAACCATCGCAAAATAATTATTAGAATCGTTTTCAGAAATGTTCGAAAATGGAGAAATGGTAAACTTGAAATTACAACTGGTCGATCCTGCCACAATATTGGCAAAGTCATAACTCTTCCCTCTGACGGGAATGAATGGAATGATGGTAGAATAGTTCGAGTGATTGGGATCAGTAAATGTGAAACTTGTCAATATGTGTTGAGGATTAGACTCATCGAAAATCATTCGCATGTCTTGCACTATGGGTTCAACATTGGCCGCATGTCTGCGTTTTGAAGAACTAGTAGTAGTTCCTTGAGCAAAGACTGTTTGTGAATGTCCTTTCAAGCTTGGATTATAAACTCCAATAGATTTTCCCTTCATGTGAATACCACTTCCAGAAGACGTGTAAGACGCACCACTTGAAGATGCAATCATGTTAGTTCTATATGAATAAGAAAGAGCTTGTTGAAATGCAAGTCCATTCCAATAAGGTGGAAAATTCACCCACCAACTTGTGAATGCAATGGCATCGACCTTAATATCATTCAGCAATGAATGAAGAGGTTCCTCAAAGACAATATCAAAACAAATGAGTAATCCGAATTTGATACCAAAGTCTGTTGTGAAATAAACAGGTTTGCCATCTCCTGGATCAATACCATCCTCAAAGTACTATTGTGAATGTGTGAAATACTGAATGGAAAATTTATTTCCAATTTTGGTACTTACTAAATGCGTTTTATGATATTTTGTGATGAGCTAGAGACAGATTTCAATGATAAGGAAAATGAATATTAGAAAATTTCTACAAATACCTACATTTCCCTTTCTATCAAAAACTACATTTGTGTTAAATAAAAACATTCCATCTAAAATGATGTTAAATGTTGTTCATGATTACCCTCATGTTGGCATTCTGATTGCATTCAAACATAATACATACCAACTGGACATTTCTTATTGGTTGTGACATTGCAATTTTGAACATCCCCCATATTGAATACAATATAGACTCCATATTTGGAAGATAAACAGCTCATTCTTTTTAGAATGTAGAATTGATCATTGGCGGAATCACAAATATTTGTAAATGGTAAATCATTTGGAATGGGTTCAAAGAATAGTCGTAATTTCTCTCTATCGGTCAATCCAGGTCCAAAAAGTGCATACTCTAATGAGTGAATGTGTGATTACCATCAGGGCAGTAGTTCATCATTGCGTGTTTTTTTAAGGTGAATAGTAGTTTTCCAATAATAATTATTATTTTTGAGAGTTGACGTATATCCATCAAGTTAATGATGAATGATCATAATTATTGCCAATCAATAAAAACACACCTGGAAATACTATAATGTCTGGACGATCAAAACTTGTTGAATGATTACTCATCATTTCAAAAATAATTTTCTCAAATTCATCCAAATTGGGTTTTAAAATTTTTCTGGCAATTTCGGAATTTAATTGTGGAAATTGAAAAGGAAAGGAAACAGGAGCAAAATCCACAACAGCTGCATGATAGGTTCTATTAGAGTGAGGATTATTTACACTGTACAATTTGGAAACTTGATAGGAAGATGTTTGAACAATGCTATTACTACTCGGTCGAGCAGCATCAATTAGTTTCAAAGTGGTGATCACTACCACACACATCAAATACATTGCTACATGCGAGAGGATCGGAGTCAATAAGAAGCATTTTCGGTTGTTGTTTCTGCTCCTCGTGGGCTGATGCTCGGCCATTTTTTTGGTTTGTGGAAAATTCGATTGAAATCGAGAGTTTGGTGATGTGCAAAGCCTTCATATGAAAGTGTTGTTGAGCGTTCGAATTGTTGTTGTTGTTGTTGTTGTTGTCATGTATAAATAATTATCAATATTTGTGTTTATGAAATTGTCATTTGGTGTAAATGCTCTGCTTCTCCCGAGAGATTTTTACATCAAACTTGTTGTTTTCCCTTAGTTGAAAATTAATTTGTTACCCAGTTTTGTTATTATCTAAAATAAGGATTTCACAGACTCCCATGAACGAGAGAAAAAGTTAGAGGCTTTGTCTGCAAGGTTTAGGTAGCTTTCACTTTGTTGCAATTTGAAAGCGACCATTGCAAGTCCATATAAAATGCTCAAGTGTGCCAATGATTTGAAGAATAATCTTGTGGCATTGTCATATGTGACATTCTTCTTAAATGTAATTGCTGGTTTCAAAAGGAAATAATAATTGATTGGAGTTGTCACAACTGCAAACCACCAAGGAACAACTCCGAAGGCGGGTAATGACCAGCAGAGAGGGAATAAGGCAAGAGAGTGCAAAAGTGACTGAGTGGCAGCTGCTTCTGGATTCGAAATTGAAAGCATTTTGTATCCAGCAATATCGTAATCACGTCTACATTTGTATGAAATAGCCATAAAGTGAGTAATTTGCCACAAATACATGGAACCAAACATAAACAATCCAGTGGCAAGAAGCTTGTTATTATAATCGGAGGAAGGAATCAAACTCATCCATGATGAAGAAGATTTGGTTGAGAGGCCTTTGCTTATTGAGTATGGCAACATTGCTGCAGTCACACCCATGAGTGGTGGTAAACTACCATTCAACGTTCCAATCCAAGTATTTATCCAATGAACTGGTTTGGTTGGTGTGTAAACACATACGTAGAGCAATAAATTAGCAAGTCCTAGTAATGCAGTCTCCTTGTTTGTATATTTGTACAGAATAAAAGTACCAGCAGCTCCGGCAACAACGGCTTGTGTGATGGCATGTGGAACTCCAATTTTGTTTCTTGGGAGTGGTCTGTTAAATGTTCTTTTCATTAATTTATCTCGTTCAATTTCAAGAATTTCATTAAAACTATTGGCTGAAGCAGCTTGAAGGAAGGTACCAATGCAAAATCCGACAACGCTACTGCGAGAAGGTGATGAAGAAACAAGTTTGATGATTTCATCTTTTTCTTCCGAAATTACATGAAGCTTATTGGCAGCATAATAACCACAGCCAGCGGTGAAAACAACAAGAGAACTCAATCTTGTCTTCCATAATTCATAGTAACATCTTAAATAATGTCTAAAGAGCCCTTTCTTTTTACTCTGCTCTTCTTCAACAAGTAATTTTTCGTTTACATCAACCACCAAAGCATCATCCTCTGGAATTTCGCTCAAGACCTTCTTCACCTCGTGGAGAGACTCCTCCACTGGACAAACGTCCAACACAGACTTATCATCACTGCTCACAATCATCAGGGGTTCCGACGTTTTCGTTTCGGGAGAAAGTGATTTTGTATCTTCACAATTTTCGTTTACGGATGACAAGCCTTGTGTGGAGAGTTCAAAGGCTTCGAGTGTTGTACGGTTGCTGTTGTTTTCGGCTTGTTGTTGTGGCATTTTTTGCTTCAATGAAAAAGAAGACTAAAAAAGGAAAAATTCAAAGCTTGGTTGAAAAAACTCATGACAAAATAAAGATAAATTTTGTTCTTTTGTTTCTCTTTACAAAATGTATGTTGGACTTTTTCAAAGATTAATGATCCTCAGAGAGATTGGGAAGGGTATGAGTTTCTGCGAACGGAATGCCTTGCTCATTGTAAGAGAGTGGCGAAAATATTTCAAATGAAAAGTCTACTGGGAACGAGGGAGGATTGAAACAAAGACAACCACCAACATTGGTTTTAAAGGGTTGACATCGATCGGACAGAATCAGAGAATGTGGAGATGGGAATAAATTGAGTGAATGATCTTGAGCCCAAAATATGGGTTGTACATGAAGTGCAAAGGGAGTCAGATGAGATTGAGAAAGTACAATTTCACTTATCTGTTATTGGTGTTGTCAAGCAATGAATCCATCACGTGGAAGTCATCTATAGAAACAGAACAACGACTACTACTTACGCTTTGATACATTGGTTTCGAACTCTCTTCATTCTTGTTCACTTCAATGGCATGACGTCTCATTTGTTGCTGTAAATCTTGCCTGAATATCACAATTTCATGTGTGTAAAAGCGAATTCTGCAAGGATTCGTTGTGAAAATGCTATTTGGTACTTTTGACTTGAAGGCCTTGCTGATATTGCTCAGCACTGACGACTTGGGTAAGACTCCGTTCGGTGATAACGTAGGATCATTTGGACCAGGAACAAATACAAACAGTGGAGCGTTTTCCGTTTCTTTCGATGTATGAATATAATTTGGAAAACGTTCTTCTATCATTTTAGCAAGCTTTTCAAAGTTCTTTTGGTACTGTACACGGTCAGAGGTTGCAGCTGAGCTAGAGGAGCTTCCAGTGGTATAGAATTGAAATGGTCTTGAAATAAAGTTTCCAATAAATAAAAATATTGCTGGAATTAGTTCATATCGATCTCCAGAAACTCTATTGTGTTGATTCCATTTGAAATAATCAAATAATAAACCCAATTTCTCAAATACGTTAGGTTTATCCAGGCAAACATCCGACACAACGACAATGAAAGCATCCTTAGATAATTCTTCCTTATTTTTCAATTTTTGCAATGTTTCAGGTGTGGAAGGTCCAAACATGTCCAACATGGTGGCTCTCCCTGTGGATAAGAACTTTTCGGATTGTTCTCGCTCTTCAAACGGTGGTAAAATTATTGCCGATGCTTTAAAAACTTTTGTGACACTGTCAAACACTCCAGAAATAATTACGAAACATCCTTCTACAATCATTCCCCGTTCATTCGTGGTCTGTCATTGATGTGACAAAAATAATTGTCAACAGCCAAAGTTCTCCATAGAATTGCAAAACTTACAGCATTAGTGACATCTACTTGAACCACTCCATTTAAATCTTCCACTTGATAAATATTTCCAGATTTCTTTGTAATCATACCCATGATGTATCTTGTTCCTCTACTTCCCAAGAGCGATTCAATGCTTGTCAAAGAAATAGCGTTAGGATCTGTTGGGTTAAAGTCCTTGTCTCTCAAAACTCTTTGATAAATGATTTTGTATCTATCGCGAAATAGTTCAACTTTTTGTTGCACATCCGAAAATAAGCTTGTGCTTTTCCTATCTTCAGCTTCAAATATCTTTCTTGATAAATTATACGAAAAGTATGGTTTTTCATCTGCATTGATGACCTGAATAGCATCTATGTGTCCAAGTACTACGCTGTCATTATTGTCAAACCTATCATCGGAAGTGTCCATTCCAATGGATTTCTGTGAATATTCTTTTAATTTCTCTTCTAATAACTCTCCCGATAAATTTTTGTCTGTAATGAGATCATGATTGTTAACAACGACATGATACCATCAATTAGACATGTCCATGAAACAACTCTTCCAACAAGATGCACACTCACCTTTCACTCCTTGCTCTTGCAAAAACTTGAAAAATTCAGGTAAGAATTCATTCATTTCTTCCTTGCTCATATCCTTTCCGACACAATAATCAGGAAGAGTCGAATTGGTCAACACATATTGAAATTTCTTGGCCGATGCCAAGCACAACTTGGATGCAAGAGCCTTGCTGTTACCGCTCATTGTTATTTTTTTGTGATTTTTTTTTATTTCAAAATTTGAATTGGCGGGAAGATCTTGAATTTGAAAATCCATAATGGGATGACAGTTTAATCCGTTTCTGTTAATAACCCTCAATCATGATCTATCCAATAGTGGAATAGGTTCTTCCTCCTCTGCTAATGTCTGTCATCTGATAGTGTCATATGGTGATACATCATCAAGATGTCTAAAACGAATAATCTGTTAATGCAGTTCAATGCAACAAATGGTTCAAAAGCATCATGATGTGAATTGCACAATCATTACCTTCTCGAGTTCAAAGTCCACATGACTGAGAAAATGCATTTTCTCGCTTGACCTTTGACATTCAGCACGGTTGTAATCGTTTGATTTTCGCCTTCCAAATCCAACCCAAGCAGCAACAAAATGGCCTATCTAGAATCATAATTGCGCAATATTGGACATTGTTGCTTTTTTCGCCCCAATGCCACTAATGCAAAGACCGGAATGTCATGCATTTTATTTGTGCGCGTGATTGTTTATTGACAAACTTGACTAGGCGAACGTCCAAAGATTGTGCGAACGTTCGCCCCAACTTTCAACAGCATCTCCTCACTGCACTTCTTCTTTCCATCCACTCACTCGGAATCATCATCGTTATTGTGGTGCAGATTCACCACTAACAAAAATGCTCAACAACTTTCGTCGATTTCTCAGCTCAATTAGTACCTCTGCGGATAGTCACAACTCTTCCTACTCAGTCAACATTGATTATATTGAAATTCCCATTGAGGAATGGAGTCATAAAGTAGTTATGAACTTTTTATACAAGGAACAATTCTTTGAATTGATGAACAAAGTTGCCAAATTAAAATACGAAGGACCTGACTTGTTGAAATCGAATCAAGTTCTGCAACAGGAGTTGAGTGTTCATGAAGATGAAATTACTGAATTATTAACGCGTGTGGAGAAGGTGAAATTAAAACAAGGTTATTATCGACGGAAACAGCTGGAACAAGAATACGAAAGCATCACTCCTCGAAGTGGTGGTACTTCCTCCAAATCCATTCCAGTAACTATCGGAGCATCATCAGCAACATCCTCTCATCACTCCTCCTCCTCCTCATCATCACCTAGTAGTAGTAGTAGCCATCGGCAAAAGCTCAACAAGGCTCCAAATAGTAGCAGCAGTTACCATCCACATCATCATCAACAACAACATTACACAAGCAATTTGATGGGAACGGTGCAATTGAGTTCGACATTGGACCATTCGCAATTGTTGATGCAACAGCAACAGCAACAACAGCGACACCACCACTTGATGAATCCGAATGGTGTCTATAACAACATCAACAACAACAATAACAGCAGCACCTTCTCAAAGAGTGAAGCTCCTCTTTCAGGCGGAATGCAAGCCTATTCCATGTTGTGTTCAACCTTTCTGACTCAAGAAGACAATATCAACAGCAACAACAACAACAACAATGGCGATTCTTCATCTACTTCTTCATCATTATCATCGAGAAAACAATTCCAAAGCAATGGAGGTTTAACCTTTGATGCTAATGCTCGTATCAATCCGCAGCGCACGACTCATAACAACCACCACCATTCACCAAAAACCATCTCCACATCACCTCTCAATGTATTTCCACCCAATACACCACCTCCTACCCGATCTCAAGATGGAACTTTACAAATCAATGATCGACGATATGAATTATTGAAGGAAACTTTTAAAAAGCAACTCAAAGAATCTCAATTATTGGCCGAGAGATCGTACCGACTTCAAAAGTTCAAGAATTGCTTTACAGGAAGTGATGCAACCTCACTCATCTATCGGATGATTAGTGAAGGCATTGCCTCAGCCACACGTTTTGATGCCATCGATATTGGAAACAAAATGATCAAGGATGGTTTTATCAAGCACGTGTTGGGAAGTGAGGATTTCAAAGACGAATCCTTGCAATACTATATCATTAATGAGGACAAGGCAATCACTGAAGATCGCAGTAGTTCTTCCAAAACACTCTCTTCTGCGTTTTTCGTTGAGGAAGATCGATCCATTACCAAAGACATTACTACACCAGCTACGACCGATTTGATTATGAATGGCCAAATTGGAAAGAAAATGTTGACACTGATTACAAATCCTGATACGTTGTTGGAGGCGTTGGTATTTTCACAGAACATCCTTTCTGAAAAGGAAAAGCAAGGAATTGAAATTGTCAAGAAAAAACTCTCACGGTTAAAGTATCCAGTCTCAGATGTCCAATTACCTGCAATTGTTCAAGATTTGACGATTCCTGAAAGATTTTGTTATAATTATTTGAATCCAAATAGGATTCCACGAAACAAAAAGGAATTACTAGAGAAAATAGATGGTGCCCAATTTTTGACCATTGGTTTAGCTGTTATTTGTACGAATAGTTTAGGAGGCGAGATTTATAGTTTTGCGTTACTGGTAGGAACATTTTTAGTTGAGTTTTCTGATCGAGCTTTCTTAGCATTGGTCAGAGAAAAGGATTTTAATTGTGTGGATTTTATTGAGCTCTCAACAATCAAAGAAAAGGAAAATATTGAACTATGCCTCAAAACTGTGAGCAAATGTTGCTGTAAATGGAACGAAAGACAAGTTGGAAAAAATTCAAACTCCAAAACTTTTGTTACGGAACTCTTTCGATGGATTGATATTCCTGATAGCACCGTTCAACGAGTGGTAAGCCAAATTGAAACAGCAGTAGATTATTATCCAATCAATTCTAAATCTATCATTCTACACAAGGATCAACTGGATGCTATTATCAAAATTGCAGATATGCGAGAAGGAGGAATTTCACCTTCTCTGAGACAAGTTTTGGAAGATTGCAGTAGTAGCCACTCTAAAAAGTTAACATTTAGAACGCATGCGGATTTGGATGAATTTTGTTTCCTCCTGAAAAATACCAACATCCTTAATTCTGTGCAAAACTTACTTCTCACAGCATTTGATAAGAACTTTTTCTGTCAATATCGTGAAAATATCAATTTACCAAATTCAGAACCAATTTTGTACGAAACTTGCCAATCCTTAGGCTTGGACCGTGGATTTACTAACTCGACATCAATTTGTAAAATAGACGACAAATATTCGTGTGCATTCCAAGGACATGGAATTGCTAAAAAACTAGAACTACCATCCTCTGTATCCACTTCAATTGAAAGTTCGCCTTCTCCCTATCAATATTTCCCTTGCAGTGTGCCATTACCGCATCGATCTCAGTAAAATTGTTTTGGACAACTAGTGGTTCAAAAAGTTTATTTTGTTCGAAAAGTTGATTTAAATAAACTATTAACCGTTAGGTTTGGGCGATTGTCCATAAATTGATCCTAATGGTCTGGTTTTGTGTCATTCGATTGTCTCTTTTGGCCTTTCATGGAGCGGAAATGGCATCAAAACCTTCAACTGTCACACCTCAAGATATCCACAACAAAAAAAATGAACAAGCTTCGTTCCGTCGTTTCAAAGAAGAAGCAACGTTACCAAAAAGAAGGCTTTGATTTGGATCTCACCTATATCAGTGATCGAGTCATCAGTATGGGTTTTCCATCCACAGGTGCCGAAAGTCTCTACAGAAATCCATTGGAAGAAGTTCAATCATTTTTCCAATCCAAACATGATGACCACTACAAGATTTATAATTTATGTGCTGAGAAGAATTATGATCCGAGTGTTTTTTCGAATCGAGTGGCTAGGTATGTTTTAAAATTTTGCAATTTGAATGGACAGATCATTGACATGTGTTTCTGAAATGTTTCATCATCATCATCATCTATATTTTTGGTCATGAATATCAAAAGATTTCCTTTTGAAGATCACAATGCACCACACTTTTCATTGATATTAGATTTTTGTGAAGGTATGTGCGTGTAGTTCTTGTTAATGATGATGAATGGTTGTTGAACTTTACCATCTTTGAAATTAACCGAAACTCTCAATGTGACATACAACTCTAGATGCTTCTCGCTACTTGATGGAAGATAAACGAAATACTTGTGCGGTGCACTGCAAAGGTTTGTATCATCATTGATTGTTGAAGTGACCACTGACATTTTCATGACAGCCGGAAAAGGAAGAACGGTATGTATTTCATCATGATGATGATACGAAGAATAAGAAAATACATCATGATACAATGATTATATTTCTTTAATACTCTTGTTACAATTATCCACAACAACAGGGTACAATGGTTTCAGCTCTCATGCTCTATTTAAATGCTGCCAGTTCAGCGAGTGAAGCAACGGAATTATTTGGTAGAATTAGATGTAATGACTCTAAAGGTGTCACCATTCCGAGTCAGAGAAGGTAAGTGTGAAAAATCGAGTCTCGAGATGAATTCAAAATTATTAAAATTATTACTACTATTACTTGGAATTGATGTAAAAACTCTACACAGATATGTGACATACTTTGAGGAATGTGTGATTCGGAAAGGAATGCGATTCCCAGTGAAGGATGCAAAAGTAGTATTGAAAGCAGTTCACATGAGTTCTGTACCTCACTTTGATCGAGATGAGGGAAGTGATCCATATTTTATTATTCATCAACCCATCTATAACAGAGAAGATTTGGACAATTATCATATGGAAAAATTGTATGATTATTCGGTACGTACATGTTGTGAAAAGGACCATTTTCATCATTATGACCATTGAATCATTTTATCCTATTGAATACCATTTGATCAAAATTTATATTGAATATCATTCATGAATTGACAACAACAACAACAACCTATTGAATCCTATTCAACAACACACTTGATTTTAAATATTGAAATATTTGAACACATTAGCAAAATGAAAAAATCAAACACTACAAGAAGGGAGAAGAAGTATGGCTCAAGAACATCAATGTTGAAATGGCAGGAGATTTTAGGATTACTTTCTATGACATGGACAAAGTCGGAAAGGATGACAAAATGTTTGTGTGTTGGTTAAATACCAATTTCCTTCATCTTCATCAACCTTACAATACTTCTTCTCCAAATTCAATTCCACACAAAAAGATGCTTGGACCTAATGACATTGTGGTACGAGTTCCTAAAGTGGAATTAGACAAAGCTGTCAAAGACAAGAAACACCAAGCATTTGATGCTGATTTCTTCATTGATTTGATATTTGAGGTGAAAGAACCAACCGTTTATTCTGAACCTCGTAAATTTGTCTATGACTCACCAGAAGTTGGAAAGGCCTTATTTGGCGAAATTCAACAATATGCTAAAACTGAAGCATCCAGCAAGGAAAAGGAAAAAGCAAGAAAACAATACGAACAAGGAAGAGAATTCTTTTCCATCAAACAATATGCCAATGCCGTGACATGTTTTTCAAATGCTATTTTAATTGATGGTACTTTTGAAGAAGCGTACATGTCAAGAGGTTTGGCCAACATGAATCTGAAACGTTTTGGTGAGGCCATTTATGATTTCACATCCGTCTTGAATATTTTATCGAAAGGAACGACAAGTTTAGGAGAAGACCTTCCCATTCAAGATTCCATCATGATCACATTAAGAGCATACCATTCACGTGGTAAATGTCATGCCAAAATGCAAGATTATGAAGCTGCTCTGAAAGATTTTGACAGTGCTGCTTCCATTCTTGGACACGCTCAACAATTGGGAAGTGAAGCATCTTCAAATGCCAATGGATCCACTCCTTTTTTAGATTCTCTCTATCAATCATTCTTTAGAGTCTATTTGGATCGAGGTCTCATTAATGATTCACTTCAAAAGTATTCCGATTGCATTATTGATTATACAAACTTTATCAAATATATGGATCCTTTGAGTCATTCACTTCATGCCAAATTAAGAGAAGGAAAAATCAGTGGTGTGAAATATGAACAATATTTATTTGAAATGTTCCAAGCATTTTGCAATAAGGCCATTGCGATTGGAAAAATTGAGGACTATCCCAACAAGGATGCACAAATATTTAATGATTTATCCAAAGCCATTGAATATATTGAAAAGATGTCTGATCCTGCAGCCAGTTCAGAAGCTCAAAATTTTGCTCAAGTTTATTTATCAAGAGCTCAGAGACAAACCGATAAGGAAGCTGCCATTAATGACTATTTAAAGTGTTTACTCTATGACAAGAATAATAAGAAGGCAAACAAACAATTGGCTGTATTATTATATGAACAAAAGAATTATCGAAGAGCCATTCTCTTCTTTAACAAACTCATTAAGGATGATCCTCAAAATTCAAAAACCATCACCAATCGAGCCATTTGTTACATGAAATTGGAACAATACGATAAGGCCATTGAAGATTTCATGCTTGCCCAAAACATCTCTCCAGAGAACATGAATCTCTATGTTCAATGTGCTCGATGTTTCAGAAAGAAACATGAAATTGCTCAAGAAGGTGGAAGTAGCACTCAAATTCCACAATCTGAAATTGATGAATGTGAACGACAATATTCCACAGTCATTGATCATATTGTCAAGCAAAAGAAGAAAGCTGGAGATTCAGCACTGTCACCTTCTTCGTCTTCATCATCTCCTTCCACTCCTTCTTCATCTGCAGTAATGAAAGATGATGATTTAAAAACTCTCTATTTTGAAAGAGGAATGAATCGACTTGTTGCTAAGAGATTTGACAATGCACTTCTCGATTTTAGTTTATGTTTAGAATTGGATCCTAATCATGTATTGGCTCTCTATCAACGAGCATACACTCGTCAAAAACATTTCAAACAATACGATCGAGCCATTACAGACTATGAACATGTATTGAGTTTAAATAGTGGAGATTTAAGAGCTCGTCTCGAAAAGGGATGTTGTTTGTATTATTTAAAGAAGGACCAAGAGGCCATGATGGAATGGCAAATGGTGTTAAAGAAAGACCCAAACAATGAGGCTGCCAAGATTTATCTCGCTCAATTAATGAAGTAATTCATGTTCGTGAATGACATTAATGGACAAATGCAATACTTTCAAGACACATTTGGAAAAATTAAAGTCCTGTCTGTTTACACACTCTGTGCAAAGAGAGTGCACTCCACATACATCATCATCATGAAACATGTTTCTCTTTCTTTAAACTTTTCCAAAGAGAAAAACTATTCAGAGCAACACAGACAAATTCTTCTTGCTAAATAATTCAATTATTAAAAAAATTCAATAAAAAAAATGCCAACGATTGAGACTGGGAAATTGATGTCGACGTGTTTTCTGAAAGCAAAGGCTTCTCCGTTGTTCCAATCGGAACATGTGCTCAATCATTGTTTGAGAAGAGCAGAGGAAAATAAATATAATGCATATATTACAGTTTGTTCGGAGTATGCGAAAAACAAGTTATATCAATCTCAAAGTAAAGCAGAGCATCCTTTGAAAGGAATTCCTTTTGCAGTGAAGGATGCCTTCTGTACAGAAGGTATTAACACGACTATGGCCAGCAATATTCTTAAAGATTATATCCCTCCTTATACGGCAACGGTAGTGAAAAAATTAGAAGATTCTGGAGCAATCATGATTGGAAAAACAAATATGGATGAATTCGCTATGGGAAGTGGAACAATATTTGGAGCCTTTGGTGAAACAAAGAATCCTCTTGATGAAACAAAAATTGCTGGAGGTAGCTCAGGTGGTAGTGCTGCGGCTGTTGCAGAAGAAAGTTGTTTTTTGTAAGTTTTATTGGATGGTTAATTGTATTGATGTAGTTTTATTTGAAAATATTTCATTCAACTGCAAACAGCTCATTAGGAACTGACACTGGTGGTAGCGTTCGTTTACCTGCGTCATACTGTGGTGTTGTCGGATTTAAACCATCTTACGGATCTTGCAGTAGATATGGAATGATTTCATACGGATCGTCATTGGATACTTGTGGAATTTTTTCGAAAACTGTAAAAGAAAGCGCTATTGTTTATAACACAATGTGCGGAACTGACACCAATGATTCAACAACAAAGCTTGATGTCACGACAGTCGATTTGTCCTCCTTGGAATCGATTGAAAAAAATTTAACAAGGGAATTCTTAAAAACACCAAAATTGGGATTCCTCTCGAGTATTTCGTAGACGAATTGAATGATGATATTGTCAGAGTTTGGGAAGATACTGTCAAATGGCTGCAAGATCAAACAGGAGCTCAAATTGAATATGTCTCTCTACCTCACACCAAATATGCTCTCTCAACATATTATGTGATTGCCACTGCAGAGGCATCATCAAATCTTTCGAGATATGATGGTCTGAGATATGGAAATAAGGTGTCTAAGAAACAAGATTTATTGTCGTATTACATGCAAAATAGAACCGAAGGTTTTGGAAAGGAAGTGCTCAGGAGAATTGTCTCTGGAACATTTGCTCTTTCAGTGGATAAATATGATGCCTTTTTTAAGAAAGCACAACAAACAAGAAGACTGATCACCAACGATTTTTATCAACTATTGCAAGATCAAGGAATTAAGTATTTATTAACACCTTGTACGCCAACCCCAGCGATTGATAGAGATTCGTTTTCGAAAATGTCTCCAGTAGAAATGTATGTCAATGACATTTTCACAGTGCCAAGCAGTTTGGCAGGAATACCAGCAATTTCAGTGCCTATTGAGATAAACAGCAAAGGAATCAAGTCAAAAATAGGTTTGCAATTGATTGCTTTGGATGAGCAATCATGTTTGGAAGGTGCCACTGTTTTAGAAAAAGTTAAACTCTAAAATATTTGGTACATGCAAATTTCTTTTCTGTCAGCAACGATCAAATTGTTGCCCACTAAACACAATTCAAACACAGCATCTGTTAAATTAAAGGTGTTGTCAATTCCAATATCAACCAAACCTGGTTCTTTTGATTGTGGCTGTTTTGATTGCTGAAGAGAGTAAAATGATTTCAAAGATGTCATAACTATACTTTCAGAGTTGTCAAACGCAAGAACTAGAAGGGATGAAATGGGCGAATTATAGAGAGAATCAAGTTGATTACTCATAATATCAAATGAAGAAATTTTTGAAAGCTTATTGCAGAACGTGAGTGATGATGATGGAACACATAAATTTTTAGGACCTACCTTGTCGTTTGCTATTGGCAAAGCGAGCTTAACAAAAACATCCCCATCTTCCTTGCTGCAATTTAAAAAATAGAGATTACCCAAACTCGAGAGAATGACGAAAGAGTTGTTGCTGAGGCTTTTCACAGATTTTACCTTTTCATCACGTTGCTTGCTAATGGTAGAAACTGTGTCTTGCTCTGAACTAGTGGTAGCACTTGGATTCTTTTCTGAAGATGATGTACCTTGATCAGTTTTTCCTTCACTCGTATCTGACTCTTCCTTCTTGGGAATTAAAAGTCCATTCTTAACAGCCCCTTGTTTGGATTTCTTCTTAGTTGTTTTTGTAATTTTCGGTAAATAAATAATTCTTCCTGTGGCTTTGAGGCTGGAAGTGGTCATGGAAGAAGCAGTAGTGTCACCGCTATTTAGCTTCATTTGCTGATATTTCCAGTCACACACTTGGATTGAATTAAGTTGGCCTAGAACTACATGTGAATGGGTTAGTTGTAAGCTATATGCTTTCTTTGAGAAAATGTCAATATCAGCAATTTTTTCAAAAGATAATTGCTGTTGATTTAAAATATTGATTTTGATGATTTGCAACAAATGTTGTGAAGGTGAATAATAACAAAAATATCCAGAGGAACATGAACTCATCAAACAATCAGCATCTAGTGAATCATTGATAAATGAAGGAGTTTGATTTTCCAACTCTTTCACCACATATTCTCCAGCCTTAACAAATTTTGAAATGTAAATTAATTTCTTTGAATTATCATTCATAATACAAATCACTAAATTTCGTTCTTCAAATAAAGTTGAAAGCGGAACTACACAGAATAATTTTACTTCGTTCAACTCATGCAGTTTTTGAGAAATTGTGCTCTGAGTGGTAGTTGCGCTAATTGTATTACTACTCTTTGGTTCACTCAAATGTTCGGTATGACGATCATCATGATGATCGGAGCCACCGCTCTTTTTTTCATCAGCTACGGACAGACTTGGTTCATCGTTAACAACAGCAAATATTTCCAATCGATTATTCTCATTACTGAAGTGATGAATGGCAAATAAATTATGAAAGGCTGCACAGGCTCCACTCAAATCGAAATTATTGGACGTGATTTTCTGAATGAGCTTGGTTCTCATTTTTTTAATTAATATTTTAAATCAAAATTATTTAATTCAAAAATACACGAGTCAATTATTCATACGGAACATATTCCTCTCCAGTAATCTTGTGATCTTTTTGGAATTTTCCAGCAGTAGACAACACAGAATCAGCAATATTTTTCATGGCTTCTTGAGTGAAGAAAGCTTGATGAGAGGTCACGAGGACATTCTTGAAACTCATGAGACGAAGTAATAATTCATCGTTCAAATCGTTTTCTGCAGAATGATTTTCATAGAATGTGTTGGCCTCATGTTCATAGGTGTCAATACCCAATGATCCGACTTTTCCATTCTTTAAATGTTTGATGACAGCTTTTGTATCCAAAAGACCACCTCGAGAAGCGTTAATAATCATCACTCCTTTCTTCATTTTCTCCAAAGCATCATCATTGATAATGTATTTGGTGGATGGAAGGAGAGGGCAGTGAAGAGAAATAATGTCACTTGTCTTGAAAAGTGTATCCAAGTCGACATATTCAATTCCGAGATCTTTAACTTCTTGGCTTTGATAAACATCGTAAGCAACGACATTACAACCAAATCCACACTTCAAAATCTTGCAAACTAACATTCCGATTTTACCAGTTCCGATAATACCCACATTCTTTCCATTCATATCAAATCCCATCAAACCATTAATACTAAAATCACCTTCTCGTACACGGTTATAGGCACGATGAGTCTTTCTGTTCAAAGTGAGCATCAAAGCAACCGAGTGTTCAGCAGTGGCATAAGGAGAGTATTTAGGGACACGGGCGACTGTAATTCCATGCTTTTTACAAGCCTTGAGATTGACGTTGTTGTATCCACTACCGTGCAGTGATGATGATGTGATTTCATATGATGATGACCGAGAATGTATAATTTTGTATGAAAACAAAAATGATACCCATTCCGATGATGATGATGATGTTCAAAGACAATCGTTGTTCATATATACTTACGCGCATCTACACAAGATCAACTTGATTCCCAATTCAGCAAGGGAATCAATCACAGATTCTCCGACAGGATCATTCACAAAAACACAAACAGCATCGCTTCCTTTTGCTAAAACTGCATGGGATTCATCAAGAGCTGATTTAATAAATTTGAGAGTATGTTTTTGCTCTCTCAATGTTTCATTACATTGGTTCAAAAACTCTTCATCATAAGGTTTGGCACTGAAAACTGCAATCTTCATGGTGTTGGTCGTAGTTGGGTTTGGTATTTTTTATGTTGCGAGGTGGCTGCAGACATCTGTGAATTTACTTTTCAGGGCTCTATGAAACAGGAATGTAGTTATTACCCGGTTTGGAGATTGGCTGACACCACAGATGAAATTGGACAAAAAACATGGATAATACAAAATGAATCTACTTGTCAATTTGCAGGGTTCCCCACAAACTGGGTGCAGATCTGACAACCAAATACGATGTTTAACTCCAAAACTCTGAAAGGAACAACAGTATTGACGTCAGGAATAGAAGACTACTATATCCAGAGTGAGGTTGGTATTGAATGAAGTACGTTAAATGTTGTTGCTTCAGCAAACAAAAATCTTGAACACTATTATGCCAGCTGCGCAGTATGTAGGAAATTTGAGAAATCGATCACTCATAAACGCACTTAAAGCTCGCACAGATCTTTCTTCGACTTGTTTATGTGGATACAAGTCAGATCGCAGGGATCGTATTGTGACTCATCTTATCTCACACATGAGTGAATTAACCAAAACAAGAATTCTAAATGGGTCCGTCATAACCTTCTTCAACACTCCTCTCGAGAAATTAATTCAAGGACAGTTTCAACTCAAGATATGTTATTACCAATCGAAGAGCAATCTCGACGAATGGACATTCAAGGCATAAATGTGGTTGCAGCTACACTTCGCAAAAAAATAATCGCACCGAATACCACTCCCACTACATTTTGAATTTATTTCGAGCACTCAAGGAAACTCACATACCAATCCGAAAACTCGAAATTTGTAATAATGCTTTCCAACACGTATTCTTTGGAAAAAAGATATTAGATGTGCCATCGGATAGCTGTCTTTCAAGACACATGAAAGCCATTTCCCGAGCCATAGATGAAATTATTAATGATAAATTACTCGTATGATTGATGAAAGTGATGGTTTTGTGTCTATATTTTATAACATGATTGAACATTTGAATGAAGAGGAATTGGAAATAATTTCAGAACAATACACCATGTTGCTCAGAAAACAGCTACGTAGTCAAGAAGACACTCGTAAAATGTATCAACTTGAGCGTCAATTGAAACTCAAGTACAAAAGGACAACCATTTGCTCAAAAATTCAACCCATGTTAAATCAAACAGCACAGACCTTATTTGAAACTGTGAAACAAGCTGAGAGTGGATGGAATGGCCGTCGTGTTGACTTTATGATGTCCGATAATGGGGCGAATGTGATTGCAGTTGCCAAGCCAACCATGCTCAACGTAACACTGATTACTTGTTGTGGCCATAATTTGAATTTGGTATACAAACACTTTATTACATGCTATAAGGACTTTGAAAGACATGTTGGAAAGGTGATTCGAAAGCTACGATCGGATTGGAAATCGTTACGCTGGTTGGTGACTATTTTGAAATTCGATTTTCAATTTGTTGAAAATTATTTTAATTCACAAGATGGTACTATTATTATTGATGATGACCTTAATAATTTTAATGATGTAATGAAGCCTCCCTTACCAGTGTCCACTCGATGGCAAAGCGTGTCACGTGCTGCTGTATTTATTTTAGATCATTTAGAACCAATTTATAGAGCAGCGATTGAATGGGGTATTGACAAACGAGATGAGAACATTCAAGCAACTTGGTCCGATGTGTTGGATATACTTGAGAATGAGGATTTTTTAGAAGACCTACAAGTCAACAAAATATTTTATGAACAATTTTTAGAGCCATCTTTTAAAGAATTGAGAACTAATATTACTATGGAGTTTTTATTGGAATATATCAACTCTTGGAAAATACGTCTTGAACAATTACAAGCACCAGACAACGTCGACCATACTCTATTCAATAGAGCTCGAGGAGAGGGTGTGAAAGAATTGGAAAAGATTATGGGTGATTATGAAGATTATTCCTTTACCTATGCTAGCGCTTTATTGCATCCACAATTAAGTAGGATGGCTGCCAGAAAATTATTCGAATTTAGCCAAGATGAGAGAAGTAAGTGGGGATTTTCAGATCGATTATTAACATCGATACAAAATGGAACACATACCCTGATCGACTCACCAGATGCACTGAAACGATGGGTTGAAAATTTTGGTTCAATTGAATTGGACAATGAAAAGGTTGAAAGTGGATTTTCATACTTCAACTTGGATACCATTGCCAATCGAAAGGATCGAGAAGCTTATTTGAAAATTATATTGAATGACATTGATTTGTGGTATCATGAACTTAACAACAACAATTCCAGATATTTTTCCATTTACAAGGATACAGTGAAAGACATTAATACAGAAGATCGTACTTCCCGGCCAAAGGTTGCAACTTACGCCCAAGCATTGACGAATATTAGATCAGAAATTAAAAGAAGACAGCAAGATGAACGAAGATTTGACAATGAAGAATGCATCAATGTCATTCTCTATTTATTTAGAGCGTACAATGCACTCCATATCGGTGATGCATTTGAAACGGTCAACATTGGTACAAGTTCCAACCGTTGGTTGACCACTCAAAATTTGCAAAATATTTTGGAATTTCTCGTCTCAAAGAATTATTTAGAATATAATGATATAGCACCCAATAGCCCAGGCTTAGCTGGTGTCATTTATGTGTTCACTAACCCAAAAGTAAGGCAAGCGATTGGATTATTTGTAGAGCAACAAGTACTTTCAAATTTCACAGAATTTGCCCCAACGTCTCAGCAACATATTCGTCTTCAATCCATCCAAGCAGGAGTAGCTGTAGGAAATTTATTGCCAGAGGAAGATAACATGTCCACTCATACCAACTTAAGTACACACCAAGATCATAATATGGATATGTTTGACGATCGATTGATAATACTTTCTCAACCAAGAACGGCTCGAGTAACAACATCAGGAAGAGTGTTAAGTGAAACATCATTTGCTCGTTCCTGTCGATTCATACCATACACTGTGAGGTCAACTGAGACACAACAAAATCATTCACAACAGCAACGTACAACAATTAGAAATTCTTTACAACAACATGCCAACACATATCATCAAAGCCAAGCTAGTAATATTTCAGAATCACCAACAAGTCATAATTCACAACTACAAACTATTGATAACAATTCACAACAACAAACAATCAACAGTAATTCACAACAATATTCAACCATATCATATAATTCACAATTTCAATGTAATGGTGGTCATGACGATGATGGTTGGCCTTTATTTTATTCACAGGGATTTATGCATCAACCACGTGATTCACAAGTGTTTCATTGGGAGCTGTAGAAATTATTCCACAGATTCTTCCCTTGATATTTGTTGTTGTTTATTGTTGTGGGCGCCTTAAATTGTTAAATTTCCTGGTTTAGAAATTTTGGCATATCTGCCAAGTTGTGGTGTAGGTTTAATGCTTCCTATTAGGAAACTCTGGACAACTAAAAATAACTTTTCATATTTTGGTTAAAAAAATTTCTGTTGAATATATCCTCGAAAGATGGCAAAAAAGCGAAAAATAGAACAGAGCTTTCCAGCCTATGAGTCCCTGGTGGATCTTCAATCTTCAATTTTAAGCTATACAAAAGTGGGAATTTGCGATTCGTCCTCATCGAATAGCGTTCACGTAAAATTTCCAGTTTTTTGGGGATATGTTTGAAATTCTGTCTGATTTCATTGTGAAATGACAGTATTGTCTAAAACCTTTTACATTAAAATTGTTAAATTGTCATTTACAACATTGGATAATAAGAAAGTAAGGAATAATGTTGGCAGACATAAAGATTCATCTCGAAACAAGAAACTTGGCAAAAATAACTCGAGTGCCGGGAATTGAACCCGGGTCGCCAGAGTGACAGTCTGGAATGCTACCACTATACCACACCCGATTCTTGTTTCTATGTTTGATGATTTATCTTAACATAGTGTTTCCTAGTCCCACAAAGGTTCTCCATTTGGAATATCGCTTTTGAAAGTCAAAATCATCAAAAATAATGTTCCAGTTGTGTCATCAGGTCGCCATTTTGTGTTGTGTAGTACTGATTATAATTTGTAGTGGTGTGGTAGAATCCGCAGAGTACGAAAATTGTTTTCAATGGGAAGATAATTATTTCCTCTGGACCATCAACAACAGTTCTATAAGTATGTTTTAATATTGAATCCTTAAGATTAATTGACCACCCTTGTATCCGAACAGAGGGGAGAGCTGTGTTTAAGAATGCCGCAAAGGGATGGGCATCTATAGGCTTCCGAACAGGTTACGAATACATGACACTGGTGGATGATAATGGTGGGACTGATTATCCCAAAATGGGGAAATCCACACTCCTAGTGGGTTTCCGTGATGCCTACCTTAATCACTACTATCAAGAATATACGAGCAACAGCGACGCAACTCCTCAACTTTGTACACAAAAACAACCTTTAATCGGTTTTACCCGATCCTCTAACACCTCTTCAACCAACAACGATGATATTCATATCGTATTTGAAAGACCTTTGATCCTATCAACCACTGTGGAAGGGTATTATCAATTTATAAATGGGGATAACTCAAGCATCTTGTTTGCTAAAAACACTGAAAAGCCAGTGTCTTCGTCAAAATATTTGGATGATATGTGCAGACATAATCATGCAGAAGGTATGTTTTTAAATGTTTGTGAACTGGACAGCGTGATTGATTCACTCTTTCCATAGTAATGCCTTTAAACTTTTTCGCTCCAAGCTCCTGTCCTGACGCTCATCTTATTCCTCCTCTTCCGGATTACATTGAGCCTTTACCATCGAATTATTATTCTAAACTATCGAAAGAAAAGGCGACAGCCAATCCTTCTTACATGGTAAATTTGTTGAATGCATTTGTTTTGTATTTGATGGGCAGTGTGGTGTTAGTGTTCTTGACAAGAGTGTGAAACAGAATGATACGTCCAGTGCTAAACTTCAATATTAATAAAGTATTTACGGTGGCTCGGTTCTATACTTAATTCTTTCTGTCTGTACCTTTTTGCATGTTGATTGCTTTGGAAATATCTTACAGGGAGTAATTATTAGACAATTTAAGTAATTTATCGCAAGGTTGTCAATGTTATTGTTGAATTATCGGCTCTTAAAAGTACATAGACTCAACTATGTAACAGCATGGTTATGTTGTTGAGCAAGGTCTGAAAATTGTCAATTCAATAACTTTTTATACATTTTATTCAAGATGCAACAACCAATAATACTACATTATTGAACACTTTTTCTTTTCGCTAAGAAGTTTGTGTTCAATTATTTCCCTCATGAATTCAGTACTGTTAAAATCTCCCATTCGTTGTCTTCTCACACATTCCTCAAATATGGCACTTGAATTGATCGCTCTCTTTCCACTTGTTTCAAAAATTGCAAAATTTTTCAATTTGTGTTTTTCAATCAATTTGTAAACCATATCTTCTGTCACAAGCTGACTTTTATCCTCAATTGAATTTTCTTCAATGCCATTGCTTTCGCTCGTTATTGTTGTTGTTGTTGAGATTGTATGGTGATGATGGTTTTTATCCAATAAATATTCAAGAATATGAATCAACACTTCAGGAGGAAGAGAGATGAACAGATTTGTTGTCGTCATTTTTTTAGTTTAACGAACCTAAAACTTCGAACTAAAGGAATTTATTTCATGGTTCAGTTTACAACTTAAAGATGTCGAAATTTCGCGCCTTTTTTCATTACAAAAAACAAAAAAAAACAATTCAAACAACATATGGAGAGGAAAGTATCACCCGAGCAAATCAAAGATTTGAGAAAAATTATTGACCAACAACTTCGGTCAAAAGATGTGTATAATCAGATTAGAGAAATTTTGTCTGACTATCTGAACATGGACCATTCAAAATCGGAAGTTCATTCCGAGGAGCATGTAAGTTCGATTCGGAAATATACAAAATTCTCACAGTTGGGCTTTTATTGATGTCTGCAGGTACTACAATCTCTAAAGGAAAGAGGTGTGGTTGAGGAAATTATCAAATCCCTTCATTCTCACACAAACAAATCATCAGTTTTTAATAAGGATGCTCAAGTCAGCTCCTTGCTAGGAAAGAGAGATTTAAAAAAGAACAAGATTTTGCATCTACGGCTTGTTGGAGGAAAAGCATTTATGGAGTATGATGATAATGTTAAGACTGACGAAAAAATGATATGTTTTTTCAATTATAAGGATCAAAGATTTATTTCTCAACCAGTCACATGTTGCTGCAATCCAGTATTTGAAGAAGATTTTATTATTGATTTGGAAATTGATTCTTTAAAGAATGCATTTGTGGAACAACAGGAAATTGATGATGAAGGAATTGGTGCTCTCTTGCAAATTAACAACCCGATTGATATCATCGTTCTAACAGTTGATAACGAAGGACGAACAAAATATATTGGAGGTCATAGATTAGAGTGGAGAAGGGTGCTTAAAAAAGGTGTAATATTAATGACAGTGGAATTAGGTGGAGGATCAGGTATTGAATCAAAAGTTTCAAAAGGAGTTCTGGAAATTCGACTAGAATTGCTTCCCCGTCCTTCCGTTTTTGTCACAGCAAACGAAATTTCACAACAGCTAAGCATTGAACGAAATAGAGATTTACAAGCTGAAAGAGAGTTTTACATGTACTGCAAGCAGTGGTTTGAGGAATATTGCCAAATTAGAGAATCACACAAGAGACGAGTAGTGAAGCTCTATGCAGAGATTGAAGATGGTTCAAGTGTGCCTGTTGTTAGTTTTATATCTCCACTCAAGGCAGATAGATTGATAAACTCTCCATCAGAAGCTGCTCGTTTTGTTTCTCTCTTTGCCTATGAGCACAGCGACAACAACATGGGAGCCGCATCAAAGTAAGTGTTCACATTCAGTTAATATGTATTTGACACTTGTAATTGACCAAAAAAGTAGGGAGATATGGTGGAGCCCTCATGCATTTATTGCAAAGAAAAAGGGCGATGTAGAAAACCATGCATTATTACTGTGCTCTCTTCTTTTAGGTTTTAATATGGATGCTTATGTTTGTGTTGGAACAGACGATAAAGGAGCTAAAATATGGGTAATGACACGCTCCAAAGACAATGAAATAACGTTTTGGAATAGTATTACCGGCCAAAGGTTTGAGCACCACTCTGACAAGCACAAGTTGCTTACTGTAGGATGTGTATTTAATCATAACTCTTACTATGCCAATATTCAAAAAACGGACAATGTGAGCGATTGTGTGTTCGATTTGGAAAATGAAACCCTTTGGAAGAGTATGAGCCAAATGAAACTTTCACTTGTGAGGAAATTGGACCCTGTGACATTCATTCCACCAAGAGTGAACAGTTCTCAGTTGGAGAGGGACACTGAAACTGCCTTGAAAAAGGCGATCGGTGATTTGAGAAAAGATCTCGGTTTGAACACTTCATGGGATGATAATTTAGGATATGTTCTCTCCACTGCTCTTCAGGCCTATGAGGTCTCCCACATTAGCAACACAGCAAGTAATACGTTAATGGACGAATTTAATGAAATCATCAAGAACATAATTCCACCTAAACACACTTTTAAGGCTTTCCCAATTCAATTGAATCACACCTCAGTGAAACGAATCATTAACACATGTCAGCGACATAAAAATTTCAAAAACATTCTGGAGAGTGTTGGCGATCGAGTACGATTTGGCATTAGAGTTAAAATATTTACCTATCCAGAAGATGTCCAAGCAGTTTGGCTAATGATTTGCAATGTATATCTAAATATTTAATGAAATTATGAATTTACAGTAAGAGAGAAGTGCATTCTTAGAACTTCAAGTCTTCATCTATATAATCCATGTATTGGGGAGTAGCGTTTGACCATGTATAATGTTGTGGATAAGCTGCTCCTGTCATGTCTGGTGTCATCATTTGTGCTCCTGGATTTGGCATTATGACTGTTTGTTGTGACATTTGCATGATGGGTTGTGAAATCGATTGTTGAGTTGAAGAAGCCTGTTGATTCTTCTTTGATCTCTTTTTGCTGCCTGACTCGGAAGCAGGTCGTGTGGAAGATGCTGATGGTTGTGGTGTGCTTTCACTTGTAGTTTTATCCTTTTCTCCTTCAAGCATGGATTCAAGCATTGGTCGCCATGTTCTTACACGTTGGTTGATAAACCAATTGTTCACCTGAGTGAGTGTTAGGCCTGTTTCCATACAAAGATCTTTCTTTTCGCTTTCTGAAGGATAAGGATGAAGAAAGTGAGAGAACAACCATGACTTTAAAACGTTGGTGGCATGTCGTGGTAAATTACCTCTTCTCTTCGACCGTAATAAGGTATTTTCTTGTAAACTTAGAACCTTTGTCAAGTACTTGTCTTTGAGTAGTTGTTTCATGACTGAGAATCTAGCTTCTAGAGATTTCTTACATCTGTGTCTTTCTTCAAAGGTTACAATTCTAAATTTGCTCTGATTATTGAGAACTCTTTCAAATGCTTCTTGCCACTTTCTCATTCCATCATCAATGTAACCACATTCAATTCGATATTGCTTTTGTAATTCTTTGAATCTCTCTAAAAATGTGTTGACGTCTTCTTGTTTTTCATTTTGAGTGTCTTTTCCAAGAAATACAAGAAGAATATCCTTAGGTGTCATTTCAATGAGAGAAACATTCTTTGAATAATCTTGTGGTAATGGATCATTAGATCCAAATTGATCAATGGCTTCATCTGTGGCATCAACTGTAGATCCACTGGATAGAATAATTTGTGTGTTTGCTTCTTCCTTAGTTTTTTCTTCAAACTTTTTCACAGATATGTCAATAATATTACGCAATTGAGCAGTGACATGTTGGAATGATTCCTTTTCAGCGAGATATTGACCCAAGAAAGTCATTGAATCTGCGCTCAGTAAGAACTTGGTCAGTGACTCTCTATTCGATTCAATATAACTCACAAGTCTCTCTTTTAGCAAATTGAAAATATTGTTGGAATATTCTGAAAGATGATGAGCAAGTGTTTCACGTTTAAAGTATGAATCGAGATCATCAATAATTTCCTCAATAATGTCTTCAACCAATATATATTCACCTTCAGAAGCGTCCTTATAGAAGAATGGTTTTCTATTCTTCTCTTCTTCATAGAGTCCACTCACACCATTATTGGTACCTGCTTCATTTGGCATCATGGAAGCAATGACTTGTGGATTTTGTTTTCCAGAAATGAACACTGGATAATTTTGAAGCAACTTGGTTTGTTGTTGAGTGTTAAAAAGTGCAGCTTGTGAAGGAGCCACTGATGTAGATGGATTTTGCTCTCCATCTGAATCTTGCTGAGCGGAAGAAGCTGGTTGAGGTGTTGGGAAGGTTGTAATGATTTCCTCTTCTTTTGGTTTATACTTTTCTTCTTCCTTAAAGAGTAGGAGATTATTTTGTGTGACACCTGGGAGTGCAGTATTTGATGATCTAATTTTCACTGCGTTAAATCGATCAATCAATGCATCAATAGCCTTTCCAAACATGTCATTAATTTGTTGAATTTCTTCCTTAATCATTTTTGGAGATTTAATGATGGCAGAGTTTCCAAATGGAATGGCAGGTGGAGTTGGATTTGTCGTGTTATTGTTGTTACTCTGAGACTCATTAGTACCATCTCCAGTAGAAGCAGCAGAAGCGTTCGCAGAAGATGATTCCTTCTTTTTTGACTTTTTCTTCTTCGAGTTGGGTGGAGGCGATAAATCCGATGCAGCATTCACTTGAGAAGCAGTTTCATTCGAGTGGGAACCAGAAGCATTCTGTTGTTGGCTCTTTCTCTTTTTGGAGGAAGACTTTTTACCAGAGGTGGAAGGTGAAGCCATGAGTGGTGGTGGTTGCTGCTGTTGGGACATTCCCGACATGTTTTGAGTACCAGCAGCACCAACATAAGCAGGTGGAGGAGGAGAACCCATCATGGCAGTTCCATGATGATGATGAGGAGCCATAATCATACCATTGGGCATAATAATTGTTCCATTTGGACCAATGCTCGCACCAGGTGGTAATTGATGAGGCTGTAACAAGGCTTGTTGTTGTTGTTGAGCATGAATGGCCATCGGATGAGCATACACTCCTTGTGATGTTGTTGTTGGAGGTGGACCAGGATAGGGCGATTGTCCATACAGATAGGTTCCATTTGGTCCACCTGGATAGGGTGATTGTCCAGTAGTAGTAGTAGTAGTGGTAGTAGTACTGGATGGAGGTGTAGCACCAATGGTCGATGTTGTTGTTGTTGTTGTTGTTGTTGGGTAACCATAAATATCAAGCATGGTTGGAGGCTGTCCTGGTGTGGTGGCACCGTTCGGAGGAAGAAGAGGAGGCTGCTGCTGTACACAACGTTGTTGCAACAAGTATCGTCGTTGGATGGCAATCTGTTTGGGATCGTAGTTGAGTTTGTTGGGAAGAGTCATGTTGTTCTTGTTGTTACGAAAGTCAATGAATAATGATGAATACCAATAATGGATGAATGGAGTGGTTGTTGTTATTGCAATGATATATTTAGGGAAGAAGAAGAGGTGAGTGATTGCAGTGGTGGTGGTGGTGGTGGGGTTTAATTCGTACAATTCTATTAATTATTATTATGAATCAAAAGAGAATTGTGTATCACACAAGGAAACCCGAACAAGAGTCGTATCGTCGTATCGACATATAAGAAGAAGAAGAATGGGTTTATAAGAACATCATCACCATGATCATGACCATGCATTCACATCCATTCAGTGGTGGTGGTGGTGATGATGTTCGTGTAGTACAATGTACCACGCATTAGGATCATCATCATCATATCATCAAATATTTCGGATAAATCGATATCAAATTTGCTCACACGCTGTTGTGTCTGTCAGCATCAGAGAATACTCACCTGTTGAAAAGTAAGATAATGATGATGGCTGATAACAGTATTTGGCTCTCTTATTAACTGTCAGCACCAAATTTCCAACTGACAGGCGACTGCACAAAAATTGATTGAGTGATGGATGGTTGAGACAGCCGCTGTATGAGAGAGAAAGAGTTTTTTTTTGACAAATGACGGGGCGAAAAGTGAGTGGATGAAAGAATTTAATTCGTAACGGTTTTTCATCAGACAGCTGTCTAAATGGGTTACAGTGGTGAAGTCACTGCAACGAATGGCTTTTCTTTGGACTGTGAGCGATCCAATTTTTTGTTTCATGAATGTCGACAAGGAAGAGAGAAGGGAAAAGGAATGATGAGGAGTTACAAGTTATTTCTAGAAGGAGACCTATTTAAGGACTTTTAAGATGGATGCTCGATATTATCTTCTTCAAAATTCTATCTCTTTATTTCAACCACCTCTTGAAATTGAAATATGATGTAGTATTTCATGAATGTGTTTTAATTCGGCAGATATACTCTTAAAGATACCATGCCCATTATTATTGGATCCAAACAAACGCTTGTTGAGAAGTCTTTTTATGGATAATTTTCAAGCCTTTGATGCATCTCAATTTTAAAAAAAATGCCCAAATCCACCATTGTTCGGCAGTTCAGGGCTCCCTGTAGTTTTATATTCAAAGGTTTACCTCCAGAGTTTTCATTGCACAACAAGAATATGATGGATAAATTTCATGATTTTTGTTCGGTGGAATTAAAAACAAATGCAAAAGAAAAAGAAACAATCAAATTGCCTATCGGAAATATTCAACTCTTTGAAAACTCGCAAACGAGATTTGCTGTTGTACAATTTAAAAGCTACTCGAAAAATCTCAGGCTATACATTGAAAACTTACGAAAAAAGGATTTCAACGGAAATCAATTGAAAATATTACCCTTTTGGTATCCTGATAGGTTTCTGCATCCAGAGTACTTTCGTTCACCAAAGAAAAAAAAAAAGCAATGGTGAATAATGATGATAATTTAATCTAATTCGCAAAACTTAATAATTTATGGATCATCGATGACTTTTGAAATTCATGGAGTGAAATATAATTGTAAAATAATTTTTTTAATGCACTTAAATTTCGTCATCATCATCTTGCATGGAATCGTCACCGTCCTCTTCTTCTTCACCCTCATCAATTTCGTCATCGTCCTCCATTTCATAAGATTCCTCTTCATCTTCAATTTCTTCCTCCTCTTCCTCTTGTGTGGACTCAATTCCAAGCTTGGCTTGAAGTAATGCTCTTCGATTCTTCATGAATGCTGCATGCTCAGTACTGTAGTGAACCCATAAACAAGCACTCGTTAGTCTTACGTTAAACACTTCATAGAACAATAGTGCAGGTGGGATTTCATCATTCAGTAAATAGAGTCGCCATAAGGACAAGCCACCATCCGATGAGGCAGCCACAAGACAAAATTCACCAACATTCACCTCTTTCACATCCAATGCTTTGATTCTACTTTCATGCAATTCCAATGCTTGAAGACACTGCCCCTCTTCTAAATCCCATACAGTGATTTTACCATCTTGAGCTCCTGTGGCGATGTAGTCGTCATTGATGTGAATGGCTGATGTAACATTTTGGTCGTGAGCAAGAGTATAAATGACATCAAGTGATTCAGTGTCATAAACGATCACTTCGGTCCTGTAGTGAATGAAGAAATGAGTTCCATTGGGAGAAAATCTAATCCTCTCGGCACTGTGTTTACCCAAATTGACCGTATACGCCAAACTTCCCTTAATCATGTCCCAAACTCTCAATTTGTTATCGTTTTGACCGACAGAGAACAATAATCTTCCTGAAGGATGAATTGCTACGCTGGCTACAGGTCCTTTGTGAGCCACCTTTTCCCAAACAGGTGTGAAAGAATATTTAGCTCCAGCATGTAAACTTATAATTCCATTAGCTGTAGCAAAAACTGTATATTGATCCTTCAATGAACCAACATCAAGAATGTTTCCTTGTTGCAGAGGTATTGATCTTAACTCTCTTCTTGTTACCAAATCATAGACGAGTGCTAGTTCATCATATCCAGCGGTAATTACATATTTCCTTGTTGATAAAAGTTGATTAATACTTCCAGAATGTGGTTTCGTAGCAAATGAAGTCGTAATAATTGGTTGTTCTTCGAGTTTTTGTTGTTCCGAAAATTTGAGTAATTCTGCTTTTGGCAAATCAAGAACTGTTTCAAAATTGGGATCATTACTGGTGAAATATCTGAAACAAAAACCAACAAATCGAGAGTCATAGGAGCCTGTACAAATTTCGAGCATGACCTCATGGATCGGACTTTCCGATGTGTTGTTATCCACAATATTTTTTCCAATAGCTACCGATGATGATGATTCATCCTTTTTAGAATCTTTTGATTTTTTGGTGGTTTTGGTACTCTTCTTTTCAACCTTGGAATCCGAAGTTGATGGTGCTTTTGTTGTCTTTTGTGTTGCTTTTGAAAGTTTGGATTTTAACTTTTGAGCTGCGTTCATTTTTTTTGTTGACCATCTAAAACAAATTACATCTCGAGTGACTTAAGAAACTCTTGGCGATGATGTTTGTCAATGTTTGACTCTGCACAATTTTAATGACAAACAGCTGATGATGGGTGAAAGTAACAAGAACTTTGTACTCTAATCTCCAGGCTCTTTGCTCCAAGGAAGGAGTGGAAGAGTGCTCTTTTGGAAGTGCCAACCTGAGCGCTGAACTTGATTCCAAGTCCTTTCGTATTGCTTCCATCATGAAAATTAAAAAAAAATTAAACGCCAACAACAAGCCTTGTTTGTAGTGGACTATCTCTCACTTCAACCTATCATCATCATCATTACTATTTGTTGGTCCAACTTGTTTTTTGAAAACAACTACGAAAGTTACGGAAAAGATGATCAGATTTTTCAGAGTCGTGCTGAGTGATTTCAAATGCACAAATCTCGCAGCAGCGGACCGTAATGGGTTTAGTGATCCATATTTAAAGGGTAATTTTGATAACTTTAGAACTTTTAAAACTCCATACAAAAAGAAAACTCTCAATCCCCAATGGGAAGGATTTAGCGTTGAATTTGACTATCACACAAAGTTCGGATCAAAACTTCATTTAAAGAAATTCTTGATTGATGTATACGATCATGATATGCTCGGAAAGGATAACTTTTTAGGATGTTGTGCCGTGGATTTATTCACGTTGGCATCAGGACCAGTGAAACAATCCATTACTCTTCGTTCTCAACTCAACGCCAAAGATAATTGTGGATGTGTTGAATTTAACTGTGTCATGGAGGAGATAACTAAAAACTTTGTGATTTGCATGTCTCACTTGAAGGTCGACTTTCAACCTCCACTAGACGAGCCAAAGAATTTGAGATGTGTTGCTCATACCGAGTTAACAAACTCTCAGGATAGCAACACAATTGTTTGTAGACAAGCCCAAACAGAAGCTCTGTGGACCCAAATACCAAATTTAGAAGTTAAGAACGTTTCTTTGAAGGAAATTATGAAAGATTCTGTTGTCATTAAGATCAAACAAGAAAAAACTGGCCTCGACCCAACTATTGCAAGAATTACTATCGATTTAAAAGATGTGTTAGAAAAATTCCTTGATGAAAATAGAACTGTCTCTGCAGGAGATACCATCGAAGATGACATGGTACCAATCAAACTTTCTGGAATCCCTGTACATTACAAGAATTCTGACAACAATCCTAATGCTTCATTTAAAAAGTCAAAATCTCCATTTAATATGAAGAGCGGTAGCTCTGAGGTTGAAAATGCCATTATTGGAAGCACATCATTTGCTGCAGATAGAACTTTGGGTGTTTGTGAAATCGAAATTGGATTTATGGGTATGCCAATTTATGCTCAAATGGTGAGCGGAATTAATAAGGATAAGGTTGTTACAGGTAAACCTCTCTTGGAAAATCTTCCTGTTCCAGTCGGATTTGTTTTCGAAAATGACAAATCAACAAGAAGAAAGAGTATTGACATGCAATCCTCAACATCACCAGCTACAAATGAAAGACGAACTTCTGTCAGTAACCAGCAAACTAATTTACCAACCACTCCTGGTCTTCCATATGGTTGGGAAAGAAAGGTCGATAAGAGAACTAATAAGGAATATTTTGTCAATCATAACACAAGAACAACACATTGGAGTCTTCCAATTTCTGACAATCTTGAGAACAAGGTAAGTTTATATTATCAATTTTCTTGGTAATTGACACTCCATTGTAGGCCCAATTAGAAGACGAACATACAGATGAGATTGCTGAACTTCAAATGGTTGAAAATCTGCAACCCGTAAAAAGAGATTCAACAGTCCCAGTTTTTTCGGCCAATCCAGGATCTCCAGGTCAAAATCTGATCTTTTCATCACAACAACAAATTCCACAAGCATCCCCACAAACTCCATCTGGGCTACCAACCACTCCTGGTCTTCCATATGGTTGGGAAGAGAGAATAGACCCTAGTACTGGAAGAACTTACTTCATTGATCACAATAACAAAACAACCCAATGGAACAGACCTGTGGATAATCCAAACATTAATTTAGTACAAAAATTTAACAATATGACCCTTAGTAACAATCCTTCTGTTGTTCCTCAAATCGGTGGATATCAACAACCAAGTTATCAACAACAGCAGAATTATTCTGCACAACCCATGTATCAAATGCCATATCGTTCACCTGGTTCTCCTCAACAACCAAACCTTAACTACCTTCAGCCAGGCCAATTGAAACCTCTTCCTCAAGGTTGGGAAGAAAGGATTGATCCAAACACAGGCCGTACCTATTATTTGAACCATTTTGCAAAGACAACACAATGGGAAAGACCAAATTATTAGTACACATCCACTAAAAGTATTAAAATGAATTTATTTATCCATCCAATACATCCAATTACTTTCTTAATTGAATAGAGAGAATAAGTGAATTTATTGATGTTGAACTACACGACTTGTTACTCAAGATTTATTGAGTCAACATGATGATTCACTGGACTTGTGACGTACACAAGAAAATCAGCATCATTCACACTGCGCTCACAATAGACTCTAGCAAAATACGCACCCTTAGGAGTTGGAGGTGAAAATGCAAGATCACTCTTTTCAAGATAAATTCCATACACATAGTGTTCCCTCACAGCGTCGAGTAGCTTGCTGGCAACTCCATTTCTTCGATGTTCTTCCTTAACCCAAATTCTATTCACACCACAAACTGCTCTTTTACAAATCTTGTCATCCCAAGAAAAGAAGGATAATTTATCATCATAGGCAGAATCAATACTGACAGTAGAAAGAATAATATTATCGAGTGATGCAGAAGGTTGTTTCTCTTGGGTCTCTGTTGCTTCTTCTTCTGAAGAGGAGTTCGACGACACAGTCATTGACGATTTTGCATTTCTCAACAAGTTCTCGATCGTGTCTTTCTTTTCAATAAATGCTGGATGAGCCCTTTCAATTCGTTCCACAACAGCACATGCAATGATTTCATCCTTGTCAGTATTTACATAGAGAAACATGGTATGAGTGTTGATCGAAAAGGGAAGAGTGCATTGGAGAGAGCTCTGATCAATGAACTCTATAATTTGTTCAGCTTTCTTTTGTTGATTCTTTGGAGATTTCGAATGGATGGTAATAATCGAAAAAGGATGACATTCTTCCTTCACAGTATCCTAGAGGAATTTCGAAAAGATTGGTCCATGAGGTGTTTCAAAAAGACACAAGTGAGTTCATGTGAATGTCATGTGTCCATGTATGTGTGGTTTGATTTTCTTCTTCTTCAACAAATCTTCAACAAAATGATACCTACCTTTGCACTAACTTTGTATTTCATCAACTTTTTAAAAGATTTACAGAATTGTTGATGAACCTTCTCATCTTGAAAGTCTCCATTCATATAGACCATTCCACAAGAGGTGCATCGCTTACTGGTAAAACTCTTTTGCCCACAATCCATGTACAATTGCTCGAGTTTTTTGGTGGATTTGTTTTTTCTGGGTGTCGAAGAGAGCATCTTCTTTTGTTTGGTTATTTTCGAAGGAGAGGGAGAAAGAATTTCATCACGTTCAAAGGAAGGAATGTTTGAGAAGGAGGAGGAAGTATTCGTTGTGGTTGATTTGTTGATGGTCAGCTTCTTTCCCGAGCTGAAGGAGAGAGTGGCTTGTTTCATGTGATCTCGGAGAGAAGGATTCCGATTCTCTTTTTTCTTATTTTTAAAAAGCTGTTTGTCATTTTTGAAAGAATTATTTTTTTAAATTTAAAATGTAACGGCTAGTTGGAGTGGTGGACAAACTGGATGAACAACACACTCACGGATGACATCATCATATAGTAGTTAGTATACACGTGCTTCAATGGATTGGAATGATGCGTCATGATGGCACATTACTCATCTTGTTGTTGTGTATTTGTTATCTATTTTTTATCAAAACTACAAAAAAATGTTCTTCTCTCCATCCTCTTCGCATCACTCGACGGCTTCATCATCGAGCAACAGCAACACTGGACTTGTTATTAATCCCTTTAATTTATCAGATTTCCAGAAAATAGGAATTGCTATGGTAGCGATTGGAGTGGTTTCAAATTTATTGGGATTATTACTTTTCTTTGATCGAGGCTTTATTGCAATCGGAAATATTGCGTTTGTGTTTGGAATAATTTTGTTGATTGGAATACGATCGGCAATGAATTTCTTCATCATACAACGAAAAAGGCTGAAAGGCACGATTTGCTTTTTAATAGGTTTTTTCATTGTAGTTTATGGCCATTCCATCATTGGAACCTTGTTTGAATTCTATGGATATTATATTTTGTTCTTTAACTTTATTCCAACAATTGTCTCTTATTTGAGTAGCTTACCAGTCATCGGTAGTTTATTTTCTCTCATCAATTTAGGAAGTCAGAGGCTACCAGAATAGTTGTATTTGAAGGTGGAGCCTTAATCAGCATGTTTTTCATATTTTGCTTTGTTTGGAATAGATAAATGAGTGACAACTCACTCTTGTTTGTTTCAACTTGATTGTCATCTATTATTGGACATGATTGACCCATGATTGATATTTTACAAAGTGGTGGTGACGAAAAAGTTTGTTGTTGATCATCCGCTTGAACTGTCTTGAAGAAATTGTGAACAAGTTTGTTTTTGAGTGCTTGTTGTTGTGGTATCAGAGATTGATTAAATGAGATTAATTTGATCGATGGTAAATGGAAAACATTGTGGTGTAAATTAAGGCAAGATTCATCTAAAGCACTAATGTTGGACGAGTAGAGGGTGGTGGCAAAAATTTCAATACTTGATTGATGCATGGCACAGATATTTCCGTAAATGGTTGAATTTCCTTTGACTTGTATCTTGGCTTGTTGAGTTAAAATAATAGAATGATTCTTTTGATCTTTGAAAATACATTCATGATCGACTGTTGAAGAGGAATTAATGGAAGAGACAAGACCGTTTCGTCCACCAAGGAAAGTACATTTTCTAAAATAGACACATGTCTTTGTTCCAGTCACCCAACAGCAATCAAAAAGTGAATTACTGTCATTTGTGTCGTTTTGATTATCGAGAACAACTTCGAACGTGCAGTTCACTAAAATAGTTTGTCCCGAGAGAAATTGACAGCAATTGGATGACATGACAGATTCATGAGCTTCCACTCTTCCTTTGGCAATACTCGCTTGAGAAGTAGCACTGGTGGAAGTATTTGATTGATCGAGAGTAATCTTACTGTTAATCGTATCGTTTCGATAATGAATGAAAGTAATATTCCTGCAATAAGAAAATGGAGCGTTGAAACAAATGGTTGGTTGTGGTCCCTGTCTTTCATTGGTTCCATCCTGTAACAAAATGATTTCACACTTGTTGTTTTCATCCGATTCACCAATTAAATTCAGTGATCGATCCATGAGTAAGGTGGATGGAATGTAATGTTTTCCAGATTTTAAGATGAGAGTATCACCTGCTTTTGCCGTATTCATAGCATTGTCTTTGGGAGTGAATGAAGAGACAAATACAAGTATGATTCATCAGTACATGAATGGTAGTATTTGAATCAAGTAGTACTACTTTGAATTTCAAAATGATTAACACAACACTTACCCAAAGTCATCTTATTTCCATATTGCCTCTTTCGTGTGACTAAATATTTAGAGACTGCATTGATTGTATTATTCGTACTTGATGCATTTTGTAATGCTTCGACTGTATACACATTGCAACTGATGGACGAATGAATACAACAATTATTCTCAAACACATAATTTGTGTTTTCAAATTTGTCTTTTTGATCAATGGTTGATTCAATTAATTGCTTATTGCTTAATGGTTTTCTTTCAAATCCCAACGAGAATGATTCAGACGTATTTCCTTCCATTCCACTCCCAGATTCATCATCAAGATGATCTTCATCACTTCCAACATTTGTACGTGAATGATACGAATTGGCATTGAGAGGAGAAGAAGCAGCCGCAGCAGTAGTAGTAGTGGCTGTATTACCACCACTACTTACTGATGAAAATTCTCTATAGGCATTATTGAGAGCTTCTGCCCATTCTCCAGCTAGATATTCCGAATCGGCCCATATTAAATAAGTTCTCTTGTCACTTGGAATTTCAATACAATTTTTGAGAGTTAAATTTTTCACTTCGACTACAATCGAACTCCGATTGACGGGACCTCTCAGTACAATACTTCCTTTGTGTTCTTCATCATCTTCTTTAGAAAAATAAAACAATTCATTGGCTAATAAAATACAAAAACGTTTTTTAACGGAACGATAGGAACCACCTTGTTTGTAGAGCCAACCACTTTTCTTATATTTTTGGTGGTCCATCAAGAATTTGGCAGATGGCATTTTGTGGCAATGGTGATGACGTGAAGGTTTGTGAAATTTTTTTGAAGGATGATGATTAGAGGCAATTTCGTGATCTCACAATAACATTTAAAAGGATGCTGTCTTTGTGTTTTTGGAGCTCCACAACCTAAACTAAACAACCTATCATCTCCCATTATTATGTTTTACTTGTAGATTTGAATACAACCCATGTTCTGATTCCAAACTATTAACTCTCCTGTGTGGTCATTCAAACAAATGGCATGGGGCATTGCAATCTCGCTGAAATGAAATACATTTTGATTTGGTGACACGAGATGGCTCTTTATGTATTGACCACAACCACATGTGCCTCCACCATTCATATTAAAGATCATTATCAAGTGAATACAACAATCATACATGATGAGATTTTTAGAGACTTCATCATAGACGAGTAATCTCTGAATAAAGAGATTTGGAAATTGGTCATTGAAAGGAACTTCTATCACACATTTCCATTCCAAAATGCATCCATCTTGACGGTTTCTCTCATTGGAAGTGATGGTTTGAATCTTGTTCTTCATTGGCACTTGTTCAAATATTTTAATGGAAGAGCCCTTCGTTTCCACAACCGCAACAAATCGTTCACTATTTGAAGTGGCGATACCATAAGGTGGAAAGAGAAAATTTGTGATTTTGGAGAGACATTGTCCTGTGGAGACACTCAAAATGTCCACACCACTACTTTCCAGAGTGGATTTGAATTTACATATAAATATCCAATGATCACCATCTATAGGATGGTATTTTCTTGCATACAAGATATCCATACTACTAATTTCAATAGGATGTTTGTAATGATCGTTTTTCCAAATGAGAGCCTTCTTTTGAGAGGGTGACGAGGATTCTAATAGAAGACATGTTAAATCAAGTTTTAATATTCCATCCTGACATGAAACGATCAAATATTCATTGTTGTTGATCGTATGTACATGCTTCTCAACACACATGGATCGAGGACGGATCAAATAAATTGATTTGATTGGTTTTTTAGTGTCCAAATCAAACACTTGAATTCTTCCTCTTCCAATAAATTGTGGATCACAAACAAGAAGAGTATTGAATTTGTGAGAAATTGCAGCATAACAAGCATGCATCATCATGTTTTTGATGTCACCATAATCCATAAAGCGTCCTGAATTTGTAGTACCAAATGTGTGAGTTGCTTCAAAATTCAATGAAAAAGGAACCAATGGATGAGATCGCATCTTGATTGTGAATATTTCCGTGAGGTCATGTAATGATGATGATGATGAAATGAATTCTTCTTTATCATGAAAATCCAATAGATTTAAAACAACAATTTCATATTGGGAGGATTCAGCAGTTTGCTCTTCTATTGATTCATTAGTATTCATTTTCCTCTTTTTTGAGTCCAATGAGTGTTCACTGTTTGAATCTGCCATCGTTGTGTTTTCGCAAGGGTTGGATTGGAATCGTTTCATTTTGCAAATGTCTACATATGAATGATACAAGAACGAGATCCCACTTGCAGTCCAATTTTTTTTTGTGTTTGACCAAAAATTATCTTTCGAATTCGCATCGGAATTTTATTCGTTTCTTCATTTACACGCAAATAAATTACTTTTAAAACCAACATCGCTATTAAAATGGAAGATTTTAAATCACCCCTCGTGGAGGTGAGAGAAGTAAAAGAATTGATCATTGATGAATATAACTTGGAATTATTTAAATTAAATTGTGTGGCCTGCTTATATCCCTATGTATTCATTGCTTACAGGAAAAGTGTAATTATTTATCGGAATTCTGGAAAAAACTCTTCGATTGAATATGTACACACCATCAAGCTTGCACACGAAATTAATTTTATAAGAAATTCTTACAACAAAATATTTATTGTCGGAGAAGAGGGCATGACCATGATGATTCTGAAGCTAGAGAAGGATTCTACATTGAACGAATTCAATGATGAAATTGCATTTGCACCATCAAAAAGTCAACAAGATTCCGATCTAGAGCAACAATATGGACTTAAATTAATTAATTTACATCAAAATAGCCATGAATCGACGTGGTCTATTTCCTATGATGGACCAAGTGGAATTTTTGCAGTGGGAGATAATTCTCATATCATCAAAGTTCACTTACCAGACTGTAAAGAGAAAGAGCCCTTTACATTAGAGGGTCATTCTCACAATTTGCCTTGCCTTCATTTATATTCCAAAGATAGATTATTAAGCTGCTCGATCGATAAAAGTTGTAAAGTATGGGATTTAACAGAAAGAAAAGTGCTATACAACCATGATTTTAATGAATGGTGCTGGGTTTGTACCCGATTAAACCCAAAAAGTTTTGTACATGCACCTCAAGATTCACATCTAACGGATATTTTTCTTATTGGCACGCAGAGTTATGTGTACTTACTGAATAGTTCAATGGATACAGTATTATACAAATTATTTCTAAAACCAATAAGAGGTTTAAGACTCCTTCCAGGTCATATTTATGGAGCTCTTGAACGTGTGTCTTTACTACAGGTTATTGAGAAACACAATTTAATTCTAATTGCAAAACAAAACGACAACAAGGTTCTGTTACTAAGAATGGTGTATTGTGAGCAGAGAAAGGAATATTCTCTCACACCAGTGGACATTCTTCCAGCTCTTACATTAGAAAATCAGTGCATTATTGGTTTGGGCTACTGTGAAGTGTTGGATCGCATCTACATTTTATGTCTAGACAAACAAATGTATTGCTATGATTTGAGATTTAAGTTTACTAATGACCTTTGTTTTCAGAAAGACTTTGAACAAGGGAGAGAGGCCAATCACGAACGTGTACCAGACGAACACCTCTATTCTATTTCACAAATTGTCATTTAATAACAAACAAGTCGAACATTCCAAAATTGATTTCTTTGCCCAGCAAGCAGATTTTTGAAAAATCAAAAAATGCACAGAAACATTCGTTTCCTAGACAGATTGGTGGCGTCCAAGGCATTGATTCATCATCATCATCATCGTCATGTAGTATCACCATCCATCAATACAATCCAAGCTAGTACAACAACAACAACAAATATTCATCGTAATTATGCTATTACCAAAATTCCTCTACCATCCCTCTCACCAACCATGACTTCGGGAGAGATTGTAAATTGGGTGAAGAAAGAAGGCGATAAAGTTAGTGTGGGTGATATTCTGTGCGAGATTAGAACTGATAAATCAGTTTTGGAATTTGAATCAGTCGAGGAGGGTATTTTGGGTAAGATCGTTGTGCCTGGAGGATCCAAGAACATTCCTATGGGAGCCACTATTGCTTATCTTGTCGACAAGAAAGAAGAGATTCCATCCATTCCATCTGAATCAAGTTCAAGTCAGAATGTATCTGCACCAACAACAAGCACCAAGCCTTCCACCGACTCATCACAGCCTGGACGCACACAACCACAGCAACATGTTGAGTCATCTTTCTCTCATTCGGCCCCACTTTCTCCAGCTGTTCTTCGTATTCTTCATGAAAATTCATGGATTAATACATCACAAATTAAACCAAGTGGCAGGGGAGGTCGATTGACCAAATCAGATCTTATTCAATTTATGGCTACCAATCCTGCTACTAAAAGCCCACAAACAGTAACAACACCACAAGCAAGTGTTGTTGTTCCACCTACTACAACTACCACCAAGACTTCACAAGTTGCTTCTACGACAAGCTCCACCACAGCAACAACTCCACCACAAATGCCACTTACCTCATCCTTCAATGACATCCCAACAACACAAATCAGAAAAATTATTGCTTCTAGATTGTTGGAATCAAAACAAACAGTACCACACAGCTACTTCACCATTGAAGTGAGAATTGATAAGTTATTGAACATTAAGAACAGATTAGCGAATGAAAAAAACATCAAGGCTTCTGTCAATGATATCATTATTTATTGTGCATCTAAAGCTTTGCAAAGAGTTCCAGAGTGTAACGTTATTGTCAAAGGAGATCAGTACTTACAAGCAGAAAATATTGATATTTCATTTGCTGTTGCAACACCAACCGGTTTAATAACACCAATTATTCCAAAGACCAATACAAAAACGATCGAACAGATTGCGACATCTGTCAAGGAATTAAGCAAAAGAGCTAAAGAAAACAAGCTTAAACCAGAGGAATTCCAAGGCGGTACCTTCTGCATTTCCAACCTTGGTATGTTTGGAATTCAACATTTTTCTGCTGTCATCAATCCACCTCATGGCATTATTCTTGCAATTGGAACCTCCCAAAAGAAGCCGGTTTTAAATGATGTTGATTTAGATGCAGATACTATTGTAGACTCAAACATTAATGAGGTTGAAATGGGAACATTTATGAGTGTAACAGCTTCTTGTGACGCTAGAGCTATTGATGGAAAATTGGCAGGCAAATTTATGCAGGTTCTCCGTGAGGAATTAGAGTTTTCATTCGCACTTTAGATGTTTAACAATTTGGGTGGTAATTAATTACTAAATATGCAATATTTATTAACGAATGTAGTTGCTAATTAGACTTCGAAGCTTTGAACATCAATTTGGTAATATTTTGGCGTTTGAGACCACACAAAGGCAGTCTCTTAATCGCTACGGGTCGATCATTGTTGCTCACCATTGCTGGTTGACAACAAGAATTATGTCGGTCATTCTCTTCAGAATACATTATAACTGGTATCGCAATCAAAATGCTTGGAAATGTTGGGAGTACCAAACCCGCCAAAATACTACAAATTATTCAAAGCCAAAAAAAAATACAACACGCCCGCTGCCTCGTCTTCGTTTACCCACAATCATCATACACAAAAGAAATAATTATTTCTATTAGTTGAAAACAAATAACTGGAGATCATGTCATTAAATGGAAAGAGCAAATCGTCCGTTTTACGACAAACCATTATTCCAAGACCAAGAGAGCAGCTGTTAGGCTCTACAAAGAACACTGAACGCGAAGTAGGTTTTTTCATTTTGATGATTGTTTGATTTAAACATTCGGATTTTCATTATTAGTCTTCTTGTCAACAATCGCCATTGTCGAGCGTTTCCAACACAAACAAATCGGTAAGTACCCTCAATTAGATACCCGTACCCGTTCATAACATAATTTTTGTTTAATAGACCATAATTTTCAAAGATGCTCCTGCGAAAGCATTTGAACCCAAGGTCTATGTGCCATATAAACATGCTCAAAATGGAATACCAAGACAGGTTGTTGTAGAGAGGTTTGTATTTATCACTGTTGATTCCTATTCATAAACTTGCTGGCCATAGGTTGAGGAGACAATACGAGCAACAAGATATTGAGGAATTACTCAAGAATGAAGGAATAGACTACTCAACTCCAATCACACCAGAAAGAAAGTTTGAATTATACTTACCTCTTGAAATTTTTGATAACACCGATTTTGATGACAGACCTGCCAGCGAATGGATAAACTTGGGTAGAAACGATGAGACTGGTCAATTCACATACGTGCCTGCAAAAGCCCTTCTTCAACAAGATGGAGTTGGAAGCTGGTATTTTTGTAAAGTATATGATGTGGATGAATCTAATAACAGATACCTTGTTGATTTCGTTCATCAAGAGGGAAACAGGGTTTGGTTACCAAGAATTAATGTTATGTTTCTTGCCGAAGACCCAACAAAATTTGCTAGACGGGTGGCACATGCTCACAAATCAAGAAAAATAGCTGAATCTCTAATTAGATATTATTTGTATATAGAACACATGCCAATAGATGAGGTTTCTCCTTTATCAGAGGAACAAATGATGAATATCAGAAGGCTAGGTTGTAATTCTCAAAAATTGAGAGACAAAGTATATGACTCATCGACAGATGAACTTCTAAACGAAATCATTAAGGAATACCAAAAAGTTACCAATAGGATGATATTCGATAAGAACATGAAGGATCCTCTTCAAAAAGATTTATTTAAGAACTTGGAGCTTCCAGACGAGTTTCTTGACCCATTTCAAAAGAAAGCCCCTTATCTAGGAACAATTGAAATACCGCCATACCCATTCGACGAAAACAAAAGACAATTTTTCTTTAACTCATACTTCACAGAAAAAAACATTTTGGATGCATTGCTGAATGTTAAGAAAGAGCTTTTAGACAAACAAAATTTTAAGATTTTTCATATTCCTTTAAAGAAAACAGTAACATTAGATGAGTTTGAGCAAATACAAATGCAAGCTATTGATTCAATCGTATCAAAATTAACTGGTGAATGGCTGACCAATTTAAAACAGCATATCCAAGACAGTTTGATACATATAGAAAAAGGTTGGCTTAGTGTAGCTGGAAAGACTGTTCAGATTTATGAAATGAGCAAACTAAAGCGTTTTATGAACGCTATTAGATTTATGATGCAAGATTCGATTAAGTTTTTAATGCAAGATTCTTTCAAGGAATATGTAAAATATATTGAAGATTATTGTTCATTTGATTATGATATCAAATCGATTGATCACGTAGAAGTGACATTCCACAACGAATCAGATACATCCAAAAGAGCACCTAATTTATTTTCCATTGAGCTTACATTTAAAGATGACAAATTCTTCTATGTAACTCCTTTAGAGAAGTTCAAGCAAATTGTTGTTGAAATGTTCGATAAGGCCCTAAAGGATTTCCAAAAGATATCAGACGTTGAGTCACACGTCCTTTCTGAAGAGTTTTGTGACCGATTTAGCGAAAAACCTTCGACGTCTGACCAAGACAAAAGGAAACGACAAGGATCAGGTTCAACAACAAGACGAACTCAAAAGATGTTTTTATGGGGAGAGGTTAAGATGTTAGATACACTCAAATCTACTGATTTAGAGGTTTCAAAGTGGAGAAAAACTTTAAACTCATTCATGGAAGTGTCTTTGTTACCACTTCATACATTTTTAAAGCAATTTGAAAAGTATGAAGAACTCCTTAGAATTGATGTTCAAAAATACATGGATGAATACGAAAAGAAAGAAAATTTAACGATTGAAGATATAAAGGCAGATATAATTAGAAACTATGAGATGAAGGATACTATCAGAGAGAGCATACCTCAAAAGATTAATGTAGGCACATTTTTAATTGATTGTCAAAGCATTAGAAACCATCTAAGTAGAAAATGTTCGGAGATAGGAAAGAAAATTTTGGACTTTTTAGCTAGGACAGCAAGCGAAAAATGTAACTTTATCCTTGATAACTTTAACAAACTTTCTAGAGAAATTAATAAGCCACCTGAAGATATTGAATCTCTAACAAAACTGAAAGGAAGGTTGAAGGAAGTTCCAGATGTCATCCTTGAATATGAAGAGAAAATCGTGGAAGTCAAGAATTACTATAGTATCTTGGAGAATGAGTTTAAGTACCCACTTTCTGATGAAGAGTTCAAAAACTTGTGGACAGCTGTATCATGGCCAAAAAAAATTCAAGAACAAGTTGAAAAAGTGGAGGCATTCTTAGAAAAGAAAAAAGAAAATCTCAGAGAAAGGTTAATTACAGATCAAAAATCTTTTATCAAAGAATTGGAAAGTATCCAAAAAGTGGTGTCTGGGTTCTCAAAGCACAGAGATATTCTTGCAGTTGCTGACGTTGCAAAAGAGGTCAGATCTATCCAAAAACAATTACAAGACTTCCAAGAACGAGCAAGAAAGAACAATCAAAAAGAAATGCTTTTTGGAATGGAAGTTACAGAGCACACACAGCTAAATGCTATTGTAAAACAGTTCCAACCATTTGCAGATCTCTGGCTTACTGTAGACAACTACTTTGCTTGGGAAGAAAGTTGGTCAAAAGAACCTTTTGAACACTTAGATGCTCCAAAGATAGAGGAAGAAGTTAAAGCTGCCGAAAAAGCAATGCTAAAGTGTATGAAACAGTTCAAAGACATTCCTGAAATTAGAAAAATTTCTGAAACGATTAAGAAGAAGGTTGAAGAATTCACTCCCTACCTTCCTTTAATTTTGGCTCTGAGAAACCCTGGAATGAGACAAAGACATTGGCAAGCAATTTCAAACGAAATTGGTATTGAAATAATTCCGGGCCAAACCCTGAAATTCATGGACGATGTTTTCACGATGAAATTACTTACTCATGAAGAGGTTATTAGAAAATATAGTGATATTGCTTCCAGAGAATTCACAATTGAGAAAGCACTTAAGGATATGCAAGAAGCTTGGGAGACTTGTAACTTTGAGGTCCATGCATATAGAAAGACTGGTACTTATGTCATGAAAGTCAGTGATGAAATTCAACAACAGCTTTCTGAGCACATTGCTCTCACCCAAACAATCAGTTTCTCTTCATTCAAAAAACATTTCGAGGCTGATCTTAAAGCATGGGAAAATCAACTCAACTTAGTTTCAGAGATATTCGAAGAATGGACAAATTGCCAAAGGGAATGGATGGCCCTTGAGCCAATTTTTTCTGCAGAAGAAATGCAAAATCAATTACCTCAACTCTACAAGCAATTCAAACAGGTTGATACAAAGTGGAGAAGAATTATGGATGGTGTTTACAGAAATTCAAACATTATGTCTTTCTGTACCTCCACAGCCAAGCTATTGAAGACATTCCAATCAAACAATGCAATTCTTTCCACAATTCAAAAGGGTTTGAGCAATTATTTGGAAAAGAAGAGACAGCAATTCGCAAGATTATACTTTCTTGCTGATGAGGAGTTGTTAGAAATTTTAGCGAAAACAAGAGATCCAACAGCTGTACAGAAATATCTTAGTAAGATATTTGAAGGAATCGGAGAGCTTGACTTTGTTGAAATCCCTGAAGAGAAAAAGATTAACTCAAAAGGCCCTGCTTTAGAGATGATTGCCATGATGTCCAAGGCTGGAGAACGAATTGATTTTATTGAAAAATTACAACCTTCAGGAAGTGTCGAGGTTTGGTTGAAAGAAGTTGAAAAGATTATGATGAAGAGCTTAAAACTGTCGATCTCTAAGGCTCTTGTTGACTATAATCAAACTCCAAGAAATGATTGGGTATTGAAATGGCCTGGTCAAGTAGTTATCCTTGGTAGTCAGGTGTACTGGACAAAAGACATTACCAATGCCCTTCAAAAAGGAGGAAACAAAGGTTTAAGAGGATATTTGAACACTGTCAAGGAACAATTGCTAGGGTTGATTAGAATCGTTAGAACAGAGATTTCAAAATTAGAAAAAACAAATATTGAAGCACTTATTACAATTGAGGTTCATGCAAGAGATGTTGTGGAACAAATGCTTCAGGAAGGAATAGAGAGTACTCATGACTTTGAATGGGTATCCCAAATGAGATATTATTGGGAACCTACTTCATCAGAAGATGGAACTTCTCCTAACGATTTTACTTGCTATGTTAGACAAGTAGAGACTCAGTTCGAATATGGATATGAGTATTTGGGAAACACATCTCGTCTAGTGATTACTCCATTAACAGACAGAATTTACTTGACACTCACAGGAGCACTTCATCTTGGTTTGGGAGGTGCTCCAGCAGGACCTGCAGGAACAGGAAAAACAGAAACTGTCAAAGATTTGGCAAAGGCCCTCGCAAAGAAGTGTGTTGTCCTTAACTGCCAGGAAGGTATGAGAGAAAATTCTATGGCTCAAATTTTCAAAGGCCTTGTTCAGTCAGGTTCATGGGGATGTTTCGACGAGTTCAACCGTATTGATGTTGAAGTTCTTTCTGTTGTTGCTCAACAGCTGTCAACCCTTCAAGAAGCAGCTAGAGCCAAAGTTCCAACTACTACCTTCGACAATATTCAAATTAATGTGGATCCTTCATATGCTGTATTTATTACGATGAACCCAGGTTATGCAGGACGTACTGAGCTCCCAGACAATTTGAAGGCTTTATTTAGACCTGTTGCATGTATGGTTCCTGATTATGGATTGATTGCTGAAATTCGTTTAATTTCATTTGGTTTTGAAAATGCTAAGCCTTTGGCCAAGAAGATGGTTCAATCATTCAAATTGGCCAGTGAGCAGTTGTCGTCACAAACTCACTACGACTTTGGTATGAGAGCTGTCAATACAGTCATTGCTGCAGCTGGTTTGCTGAAGAGAAAGAATTTGAAGATGAATGAGGAGCTGTTAGTTCTTAGAGCATTGCGAGATTCAAATATTCCAAAATTCTTAGTGAATGATGTCATTTTATTCAACGGAATTGTGTCTGATCTTTTCCCTAGAGTGAAACTGGAGGAGACAGACTATTCGATCTTAAACACTGCCCTCAAAGAAGCAACTGATCATTTTGGTATATCTCTGACACCTGTGTTTAACGAAAAATGCCTGCAACTTTACGAAACTACGATTTTACGTCATGGAGTTATGCTTGTTGGTGCTACCGGAGGTGGAAAAACATTGTGTTACAAGACTCTAGCTTATGCCCTTACTTCTCTCAGTAAGACTCACAAGGAAGATTTCCATCAAGTTCATTACAGTGTCATTAATCCAAAATCTGTGACAATGGAACAGCTTTATGGTGAATATGATAAAAATACAAGAGAATGGAGAAATGGAGTTTTGGCATCAGAGTTTAGAAAGTTTGGAGAAGATACCAGCCTAGACTGTAAATGGTTGATTTTCGATGGTCCTGTTGATGCTCTCTGGATTGAGTCCATGAACACTGTGTTAGATGAAAACAAAAAGCTTTGTCTTGCAAATGGTTCTATGATTGAAATGAGCGTTCATATGAACATTATATTTGAAGTGGAAGATCTGGCAGAAGCATCTCCAGCAACAGTTAGTCGTTGTGGTATGGTTTACTTAGATCCGAAGGCAACTGTCCCACCAATGGTACATGTCGATTGTTGGTTAGCCAAGATATCAAATCAGCTAAAACCATACTTGGAGCAATTAAGACAGCTTTTCGAACAATTCCTGCCTGAAGGAATAGAGTTCATCAAGTCTCACGTCAACGAATATATTCCAACCGTAGAAAGTAACTTGACACATAGCACTTTCAATATACTTGAAACAATGTTTGTTGACTTTGACCCAAGTCTGGGAAGAAAGAAGAAAAAGTCATTTTCATTCGAAGAAGAGCAGCAAGGTAATGAAGAGAAGATGTCAAAATTGAGTAAGATCATTGAGCCGTTATTCTTATTCTCCATTACATGGGGTTTGGGAGCATCATGTGATTTCGAAGGAAGAAAGGCGTTTGATGCGTTCATAAGACAAAAGATCAAGGAGAACAATGTTGCAAGTGTTTATCCTGAAGATGGATTGATATATGACTACTTCTTTAACACTGATGAATTAGTATGGAAACACTGGCTAACTGTTACACCAGAACTTGAAATCACTTCTACAACCCAATTCCGAGATATGATTGTTCCAACCATTGATACTGTCAGAAGTAGCTGGCTTGTTAAAAAACTACTTCACAACGATCATCATGTTCTTTGTGTAGGTCCTACAGGAACAGGAAAATCAGAGGTAGTTTCTCAGGTCTTAATGAGAGAAATACCTGAAGAATTCATTCCTTTCATCATTTTCTTCTCTGCCAGAACCGAAGCAAATGCAGTCCAAGATATTATTGATGGAAAATTGGAAAGAAGAAGACCAGGTGTTTATGGACCTCCTCAAGGAAGAAGGTACATTATTTTCATTGATGATATCAACATGCCAGCCAAACAACAATATGGAGCTCAACCTCCAATTGAACTCATCAGACAATGGATGGATCATGGTGGTTGGTATGAATATTCGAATGAAAGACTGCCTTTTAGACATGTTGAAAGCTTAACATTCATTGCAGCATGTGGCCCTCCAGGTGGTGGTAGAAATACTGTAACTAACAGATTAATGAGACACTTTACTTTTATTTCATTCCCAGAGCTGCAACACGAAAGTTTATCCAAGATATTTTCAACAATTTTGAACAAGTCTTTCATTGAAGTGAATTTAAATATCAAAGACTTTTTTCTTGCCTGAACTATCCGCCAATTTTGTCGATGCTAGCATTCACTTATTCAATCACACCAGAAAGGAAATGTTACCTACTCCATCAAGATCTCATTACACCTTCAACTTGAGAGACTTGTCCAAAGTTTTCCAAGGTATTCTTCAATGCAACCCAAAGAAGATTGTCAACCTTGAAGATATTTTGAAATTATGGACTCATGAAAGCTCTAGAGTTTTCAAAGATCGTTTAGTTGACAATCAAGACAGAAAGAAATTTGAAGAAATCCAAGAAACTTTGCTTTCTAAATATTTCCCACAGGTGGACTCTAAAAGCATTGTCAAAGAAAGAATTATCTATTCTGATATTCTAAGTCATGGATCAGAGGTTAGAACTTATGACTTTGTGCCTGACCATCACGAATTATTTAAGGTTGTAAATGAACAGTTAGAATATTACAACAATATGAACAGTGACAAGAAGATGGATTTAGTTTTATTTTTGGATGCTATTGAGCATATTTGCAGAATTGGAAGAATTATTAGACAACCTGGTGGAAATGCTCTTTTACTCGGTGTAGGAGGAAGCGGTAGACAAAGTTTGACAAAGCTTGCATGTGCCATTGCAGAATATGATTTGATGCAGCTTGAAATTAGAAAGTCTTTCAGTCTCAAAGATTGGAAAGAATTCCTTAAATCTTTGCTGTTCAACGCTGGTAAAAAGCATGGAAAGGGAGAGAATACAGTATTCTTGATTGCTGATACACAGCTTATTTATGAGTCATTCCTGGAAGATATTAATAACTTGCTGAACAGCGGTGAAGTTCCTAATTTATTTGAAACTCCTGATTTAGATGAAATTTATACAGCTATGAAACCAATTTGTGCTCTTGAAAAGCTGCCAGCAACACCTCTGTCTTGGTATAACAGATTTATCAAGAGTGTAAAAGATAACTTGCATATTGTGTTGGCAATGAGTCCAATTGGTGAAACATTTAGAAGCAGGCTAAGAATGTTTCCATCATTGGTCAATTGTTGCACAATTGATTGGTTTAGTGAATGGCCAAAAGATGCCTTGCTAAGTGTCGCAAATGAAAAACTTGCTAACCTTAAACTCATTTCTGTTTCGGAGCATGACTCTCAAGAACATCAAGATGAACTAAGAGAACAAGAGGAACAATTGAAGGAAAAAGTCAATCAAATGTTTGTTTTCATCCATCAATCTGTTGAAAAAGGCTCAATTGATTATTTAAGACAAGCTGGAAGAACAAACTACGTCACTCCTACCAGTTATTTAGAACTTCTCACTTCCTTTAATAACATTATGGATGTTAACAGAAAGAATCTCGAGAAAGAAAAACGAAATTTACAGATAGGACTTAAAATTTTGAAAGAAACAGAAGAATATGTTCACAAGCTTCAGGAAGATTTGAAAGTCAAAAGACCACAGCTGGATAGAACAAGAATTGAAATTGAAAAGAACATGGAAACTTTGAATATTGAAAGAGAAGAGGCGCAAAAAACTCAGGAGATTGCAAAGGTTGAGGATGCAGAAGCCAAACAAATTGAAAGCGAGGCAAAAAGCATGAAACAATCTGCAGAGGAAGAATTGAGTCAGGTTGAACCTCTATTAGAAAAGGCTGTAGAAACTGTCAAGAACATCAAAGTCAATCAAATTCGTGAAGTTGCTAACTACAAAGTTCCTCCAGCGGGTGCTCTTAAAGTTCTAGAGGCAGTTTTAATTATGTTTGGAGAAACTCAGGGTGTCAAGAAGGTTAAAGATGGTGTGACATATTATGATTGGTGGGAAAGCGCTAAAACGTATCTCAACAACGCCACCAAACTTAAAGATGATATGATTGGATATGACAAGGAAAACATTCAAGAAGCTATTATCAGAAGAATCACAAAATACTACAATGATCCTGAATTCCAAGTGGCCAGAGTGAAGGAAATTTCGTTGGCTCTTGTAGCTATGTGCCAATGGGTGAGAGCAATGTATGACTTTTATTGGGTAAATAAGGAAGTCGAACCAAAGAGACAAAAGGCAAGAGAAGCAGAAGCACAATGGGCCGTTGCAAGACAAAAAGCAGATGAATCCAACAGAAAACTTGCCGAAGTGATTAAAAAGCTTCAAGAGCTTGAAGATGCCAATGCTAGAGCTCTAAAAGAAAAGGAAGAGTTAGAAACAATGATTGATATTTGCGAGAAAAAGCTTGAACGTGCTTCCAAGCTTCTTGATGGACTTTCCGATGAAAAAGTAAGATGGCAAGAAATGCTCGAAAACTATGAACGCCAACAAAAGGATATGTTGGGTAACATGATTATCAACGCTGGTACCGTTGCATATTTGGGAGCTTTCACTAAACCATTCAGAGAAAGACTTGTGAAAGAATGGATCAAAGAACTTGCAAAACAAAACATTCCATTTACTGAGAATACAGATGTTTATCACTCATTGGGAGATCCAATTGCCATTAGAATTTGGAATCAGTATGGATTACCTTCAGACAAGCTTTCCATTGAAAATGCTATCATTTTGAATAATTCTCGAAGATGGCCTCTCATGATTGATCCTCAGCTGCAAGCTGCCAATTGGATTAAAAACATGGAGAAGGAAAAGGGTCTAAAAGTATTGAGTATGACAAAGAAGGATTACCTAAGTGAACTGGTTAGAGCTGTACAATTTGGTAATCCTGTTTTGATTGAAAATGTCGGAGAAGATTTGGATCCTGCAATTGAACCAATTTTATTGAAGCAAACATTTGGTACACCAGGCAACCTTTACATTAAGATTGGTGAAGAAACGATACCATACAGCAATGACTTTAGACTGTATATGTGTACAAAGATCAGAAATCCAAAGTACACACCAGAGACATGTGTAAAGGTAACATTACTCAACTTTTTCATTACTCCTCAAGGTTTAGAAGACCAATTACTTGCAGAAGTTGTAAAAATGGAAAGACCAGAATTGCAGCGCCTCAAAACAGATCTTATGCAGAAAAATTCAAAGATGAGAAAAGACTTGAAGGAGCTACAACAAAATATTCTAAAAATGCTTTCCGAAAACACTGGAGATATTCTTGAAAATGAAAAGTTAATTAATGCATTGGGTGAGTCAAAGATTGCAAGTAAGTCTATCCAAGAAAAAGTCGAGGAAGCAGAAACCACAGAAAGAGAAATCGATGTCACTCGTAACAAGTATAGGCCTGTTGCAGAAAGAGGATCATTGCTCTTCTTCTGCGCTTCAGACATGACTAACGTTGATCCCATGTATCAATATTCGTTGCAATGGTTTATTCAACTTTACAAGCAGGTCATTGAAACAAGCGAACAAAATGATGACTTGAATGTTCGTTTGCAGACCCTTATCTACAACCATACTTTGTCCTTATACAATAACGTTTGTCAGTCACTGTTCGAAAAAGATAAGCTCCTGTTCTCATTCGTACTTTGCATTAGAATTATGCAAGGAAGAAATGAGATTGATGAACATGAATGGAGACATTTCTTGACAGGAGGTATTAAGACGGATGAAGATGAAAAAGATATTGCAAGAAAACCAACTGGAGCCACCTGGGTAACTGATAATTGTTGGAGCGATGTTGTCCTATTGAACAAACTTCATACATTTACGGGATTTTTGGAATCATTTATTCAAAATATTAATGAGTTTAAGGCATTCTTTGAAGATTCTAAACCAAACATGCTACCAATCCCAGCAGGATGGAATGACAAACTTACAGATTTCCAAAGAATCATGGCACTCAAAGTTATAAGACCAGATAAGGTGATTGAAAGCATACAGGCATTTGTAGAGAAAAAATTAGATAAGAACTTTGTCACTCCTCCTCGTTTCGATTTAAGCCGATCCTTCAAAGATTCTAATTGTGTAACACCACTGATTTTCATTTTGTCTCAAGGCGCAGATCCAAAGTCTGAGCTCAACAAATTTGCCGAACATATGCGAGTAAGACAGTTGTTGAGTGTTTCGCTTGGTTCTGGAACAGAGAATGCTGCCAAACAAGCCGTCAAGGATGCCATTCAAAATGGAAGTTGGGTTATTTTGCAAAATTGTCACTTAGCTCTTGGATTTATGCCAATGTTAGAACAAATTGTTGAGGGATTCTCAATTGAACAAAATCATGCAGACTTTAGATTATGGCTAACGAGTATGCCAACACCAAAGTTTCCTGTATCTGTTCTACAAAACAGTGTCAAGATGACGTTGGAACCTCCTAAAGGTTTGGCAACCAATCTGAAGGGATCCTTCGATAACTACAGTGATGACTTTATGCAACATCCAACAAAGCCAATGGAATTCAAAAAGCTTTTGTTCTCTCTCACATTCTTCCATGCTGTTATTCAAGAACGTAGAAAGTTTGGTCCTTTAGGATGGAATATATTCTACGAATTCACTAATGGTGACTTGGATGTTTGTATCAAGCAACTAAGGATATTCCTCGAAAAGTACGATGAAATTCCATACAAGGTGATAAAGTTTTTAACTGGTCAAATCAATTATGGTGGACGTGTCACTGATGACTGGGACAGAAGATATTTAATGACAATGATTGAAGATTTCATTACACCAAAGGTTCTCAAAGATGGTTACAGATTCACTGAATCTCTCAATGAATATCAGTCTATTCCAGCAAGAGAATATGCCAGCTACAAACAATATTTGGATACTCTTCCAAACGTTTCCCATCCAGAGATATTTGGCTTGCATGAAAATGCTGAAATTACATACAATACTTCAGAATTAGCCAATGTGACTGAAACAATTCTTGCTATAGAAGGAAGTGGTGGAAAAGTATCTGATGATAAGGACATGGTTGTCAGCACCATTGCAAATGATATTCTCAGTAAGCTTCCACAAACATTCGATGCTGAGCATGTCAACAAAAAGTATCCAACGGATTACAATGAAAGTATGAATACTGTGATCACTCAAGAGGTGACAAGATATAACAAGCTTCTCAAAGATGTTAGAGAGTCTTTACAAAATGTTCTTAAAGCACTCAAAGGACAGGTAGTCATGTCCGCTCAGTTAGAAGGTGTTGCGAACTCATTGTACAACAATTATGTTCCTGATTTATGGTCGAAAGCTTATCCATCCATGATGCCTTTGAGTGAATGGGTTCTTGACTTCCTCAAGCGTTTAGATTTCATTCGAGACTGGATTGAGAATGGAATTCCAAATGTTTTTTGGATTAATGGATTTTTCTTCCCACAAGGTTTCCTTACTGGCCAATTACAAAACTATGCAAGAAAGTATCAAATTGCAATCGATCAAATTTCCTTCTCTTTCAAGGTATTAACCAAGGAAGAAGAAGAGCAAGCCAGACGCAAGAAGCCAGAAGATGGATGTTATATTAAGGGCCTCTACATGGAAGGAGCAAGATGGGACAGAGAAAATGAATGTGTTGCTGAATCAAATCCAAAAGAATTGTATTCTGAAATGCCTATCATTTGGTTTAAACCAGTGGCAAACAAGCAAATTCAAAAAGAAGGATATTATGAATGTCCAGTCTACAAGACTCTCAGAAGAGCAGGTACACTCAGTACCACAGGTCACTCGACCAATTTTGTTCTTTCGATTGATTTACCATCGAAGAAACCTGGAGAACATTGGATCAAGAGAGGTGTCGCTTTGATATGTGCTTTGAAATATGTGACGAACTAATAGTGCTATTGTGTAAATAAAATGTTGTTCCAAAGAACTTGAGAACTTGGTTTCATCTGAGCTTTCTTTTCAAAGAAAAAATGACGACAACAAATCTGTTCATCTCTCTTCCTCCTGAAGTGTTGATTCATATTCTTGAATATTTATTGGATAAAAACTATCATCACCATACAATCTCAACAACAACAACAATAACGAGCGAAAGCAATGGCATTGAAGAAAATTCATCAAAGAAAGGCTTGATTGAATATTGTTCGGAGGCAAAATTGAGAGAGCTCATCCAACAGATCAATACAGTGATGACTCTTCATTCCACCTTTTCATCAATACAAGAAAGAACTCAATCCAATGTGGATTCTCATTCATCATCATCCATGATGATTACAAATTATATGAATGATCTTTGGTGGAGAATATTTCAAAAATATTGTTCCACTCTCGAAATGCAACAAGTTACTGAAATGAATTTATTGAAAGAACAAATGTTAAAGAAGGGAATGAAACGATGTGTGAGTTTGTTTTTGAAAGTGAGAGGAACATGGTTAAAAAAAAGAAAGGGAATCGATGTGAACCGTACTGAGGAGTGTAAGGTTGTAGTTTTAGGAGATGGAGGTGTTGGAAAATCTGGTCTTGTCATTCAATTCATAATGGGACAATTTATTGAAGAATATGATCCCACCATTGAGGACAGTTATCGAAAACAAATGGAGGTGGATGGCAACCTGGCCATATTGGACATTTTGGACACTGCAGGTAAGTTCTCATATGTTTGGTATTTGTTCATATAATGACCAATTTTTAAGGTCTAGAAGAATATTATGCGTAAGTTACAGTTGTTGAACGCTATAGAATGTGGTTTTACTAATTCATGAGATATTTTGAATAGATTAACACGTTCTTACTTACGTTTTGGAGAATGTTTTGTTTTTGTGTGTGCTGTTGATGATCTCCGTAGTGCTCACAATCTTGACAGTCATATTAGAAGTATGGTTCACCATAAAGATTCAACTGATGTGCCCTGCATTTTTGCAATCAACAAAATTGATCTTGTTCGTGAAAATTCAATTGAGGATAAAAGTCAGCTTGTGACAGAAGATATGGTTTACAAATTGATTGAAAAACACAAATTGAAAAATTTTGCAATTTTTGAAACAAGTGGAAAGAGAGCGATCAATTCAAGTGCCATATTTGAGGAATGTGTGAGAAGACAACGAATGGGAGATTTTAACAGTACTGAATTCATGAGGGAAATAATTGAACACAAACTTCTTAGCGAAAAGAAAAAGTGTTCAATAATGTAGTATTATTGGTTGTTGCATCTTGAATAAAATGTATAAAAAGTTATTGAATTGACAATTTTCAATTCTTGAAATCCCAGAGAAGATTTAATTCAAATGAATCAGGATGGTGAATGTCCACGCAAAAAACATGGTTACTTGAATAGTTACAGTATTTCTGTTAATTCTTAAACAAACTTTCAATATTGTGTTTCAGATCGGACCGTTTACATGGTTTACAAATGACAGCATCTACAACAGCAGCATATTTAGCTTCATTGGTTAACGCATCTGCTGTGAGCATGATAATCTTAATATCCTTATATTTTTGTTTAATAATTTTTGATGCTTCTAAACCATTAAGGAATGGCATGTGCTAGTGAAGGAGTTAATATGACGAACCAGAGAATGATATGAATTTTCTCCAACTTACCATATCTGTAATCACAAGTTTGTGTCGTTGTGGATCAACTTTTTCAATCAATTCCTTTCCATCATTAACAACATCCACATTGAATCCTAAACTTTGCATCATCTTGGAAATAACTTTTCTATTGATAGCATTATCTTCAGCGAGAATAATATTGTTTTCTGAGAGAGAGGTATCATGTTGTGTGAATTCTGTATTTCTTGTATAATTTTGAGCTCTTTGAAATTGATCTAAATAATTACTTTGGATATCAATTTGTTTCTTGATAGACATGTCTTGATTAGACTCTTCATCTATAGGTGATTCGTGAGCAGAAATCACTGGAGTTGAATTTTCACAAATTTGAATTGGAATTTTCACAATAAAAGTACTTCCTTCATTTTCTTTAGAATATAATTCAATTTGTCCACCCATTGATTTCACAATATTCTTAATGGTACTCAAACCTAGTCCACTCCTATTTCATTCAATAAATTCAATATATTCAATATATTCAAATATGGTAAATTATGAAAGATTGTATATAGTTCGAACTATACTTGATCTCATAATAATACTACATACCCTGGAAATATACTTTCATTCAAATTATGCAATTGTCCAAATGGTTGAAAAATGTATTGTTGTTTATCTTTCGGTATACCAACACCATAATCAACAACTTTAAATTCAAACCATGTTTTTTCAGGAAATTGTTGATTCTTGAGAGGATTTGGAATGATATTGCAATGAAGCTCTACTGAACTATTCTTGTGTGAAGCCTATGTGAGAGAGAATGTATACATTTCATCATCATTGATATATGAATAATACATTGAAGAATATTAACAACACAAGAGTAGACATGTAATGATTGGATTAACATGACAAGATGAATAGTAGTAGACATGTAATGAAATATTAATAACACACAAGAGTCATGTGATAGCCAAGATGAAGATGTTGAACATTAAAAAATTCTCAATTCTTTCTTACCTTAACCGCATTTGTTAATAAATTCACTAAAATTTGGCTCATTCTTGCTTGGTTCATTTTCACCATCATGGAAGATTCATTCACAGAAATAAATGTTTTTACATCCACATGAAATTTGCTCGCATAACTTGAAATAATTTCTCGAACACTCTCAATACATTTTTCTAAATTAAATACTTGAGTGTAAGTCGTGACATCTGTTTGATCCAATTTGGATTCGTTTTTACTTTCATGTTCAGTCTTGACAAAGAGTAAAATATCTTCAATCAATGTTAATAAAATACTCTCAGCAGATTCAATCGTATCAATTAACTCTCGTTGTTCTTTTGTTAAATTGGTTTCCTTAATGAGTTCAATAGATCCAAGACTGAAACAATTATTTAAATAATTGAAAAACGATCAGTTGGTGTGAATGTATAGGATTCAACGCGAGCGAGGTGAAGATGGAAAATATATTGAATGGACATTTGTAGTAATAGTTTAACAATTGAATTTCAATGTGATGGGATTGGTCATTGGCTCTTGATCACTCTTGTCCTCATTCATATTCACACTTACCTTGATAGAGTTGGTGTTCTAAATTCATGGCTCAAATGACTCACAAACTTGGTTTTGGCATCAAGAGCTGTTTTTAATTTTTCTGTTGTCTCTTGTAATTGATCACATTCACTTGAGAGTTGAACATTTCCAAATATAATAAATGTTCCAAAAATGATGACTGTAAAAACAGAAGGTATGTGCTCAAAAAGAATGTCCAAAATCATATCGAAATGTTTCAATTCAATGGTCAACATTTCATACAGAGCTAACATGATGTAATGCATTGAAATGGCTGCGACAGGAAAAGCAGCCCAAAATGCTCCTTCAGCCTTGGAATGAGCTGTATTCTTACTCATTACAGCTGTTGGATTTGATACCAAATTCGGAAACAAAATCATGTCGCAATAGTATTTATAAGGAGGAGGAGGAAGATTGAAAAAAAAATTAAAGAAATTTACAGCAAGTTGATCAATTAACTCTACTCACCTACAGTTGCTAAAGCATTCGATAAAAGTATTCCACGATTCGTTTTCAACACATAAAATCGAATGGAAAAGCTCAAAATATTGAACAGAATAATCACCTTAGATTCTAATGTATTTTCTGCTTTTTCCATCCGAATAAGCCTTCCACTGTTCACGAGTATTGTGAGAACACCAATGATGAATACCCAAAAGGTACTCTCATATTCCTGTTCTCCTTGTTTTTTAAAAGTATATATGGTTTGAAGGACATATCCGCTATAGACTGTAAATAATATGATGGAGGCTTGCCATTGAAGAGGCTTGTGCCAGACGGTGGGTATGCAAGAGTTTTTCAAAGGAAGATTAAAAAAGTTGATGGAATAGTGATTATAATGAGAGGATGATGTGGAGGAGTGAGAGGAAAGTGCTTCCATTGACGACGACGGTGTGGTTGTTGTTGTTGATTCAGCATACGGCGAGGAGGAGTCATCCATAATAATGGTTGGCCTTGTTGTGAGGGTGTTGTTGGAGTAATGAGTGGCTTCACCGTTATTGCAACAAGTCGATGGTTCTTGTTGTTCCGAAGCATGTCGTGTATGGTTATTGTTGTTGTTGTTGTTGGTCATGTCATTAAAGTATGGTGAATTACATGATGATGAGGAGAAGGTGTGAGTGGTCATGCTGCATGAAGAGTGTGCTTGATTTTGTTTTTGGAGAAATTGCGAATAACTGTGCGAAAACCTTCCACAACACCACAAGAGACAAATTTGGAAGCTTCTAGGTTTATTTCATTTGGGCGCACATTGGGTTTCGCGGTGAGGAGGCGGACCTTAATGAATTCGTGAAATGGCTACAGGGATATAATGGGATAGGGTGGACAAATGGATCATTTCACAAACACATTCACACTCGCGAGAGCTTTCGAGGTGCTGCTGTCAGAACATTGTATGCGAGCGCGGTCTCACAATCAATCAACCACCACTCCACCTTTAACCTTAAGGTTGGAATAAGGAATGGATGTAAGAATAGACACACCGAAAGAATCTTGGTGTGGAGATCTCTCTCGTTCTTTCTACGCACATTTTGTGAAGTCTCAACATTTTTTTTGTGTCTGACATAGGTTCACATCCTTCGACCTCACCACTCTACCTCTATTCAATCAATGAAATCACCACCTTCTACCTCACCTCCTCTACCTCTATTCAATCACCACCTCTACCTTACCTCCACTATACTTGGACAACTAAATATTTCGTTCTCTCCAATTCAATCTCAATTCTTGTAATCTTTTTTCTTCTCCAGCTGGTAAACTCTGCACTTCTTGTGATCCTACTCGATAAATTCTTTCAATAAATGTTCGATCAGAGGCATATTGTTGGAAATTTAACCATTTGGCATTGTTAGCAAGAACAGAGAGTTGTTTGTCTCCAATCACTTGTCCCATCACAGTCAAAAATCCTGATATTGCCAAACTCGTTCTTTGTTCCTTTTGTAATCTCTGATTCATTTCATGAACTTGTAATAATTTATCAGCAAGTTTGTATTTTGTGAAAAGTGCATCCACAAATGGATCTACTAATCCTTCAATGATATCCAATAATAATCGAACAATCATGTGATGTAATAAACTACTTTGATATTGAAATACTAATCGAATTAATTCTTCTAAAACATCGGATTCGAGAATGATTTGTGAAAGAGATTTGGTGCAATGATTTGAAGGAGATGTTTCTGATGAAGAGGAGAGTGGTGGTGGTACGAGTGGTGGCGATGAAGAAACTGTTGAAATATGTTGTTTCAAAAATCCATCATAAATGGAACTTAGAACTTCTAACTGTTTGAAGAGCATGACAAAGAGTTCAATAATTTTCAATCGATAAATTCCAAGTGGAGGAAATGAGAGATCTTCGATCGATTTGGATCCAGACTCTTGAGTCTCTTCACCATCACCACCACCCAATGATCCACTGTTACTATTGTTACTACTACTACTATTATTACCACCACCACCACCAATAGGATTACTATTATTATTGTTACTACTACTATTGCTACTGTTACTACCACCACTGTTACTACTATTAATCTTTCGATTCTTCTTTCGATCGATCAATAAAGCATGCATGGGATGATATTGTTCCACATAAATGATGGTTGGATCTTTTTTCAAAATATCTCTTGCTCGATCATCTTTCAGTAAAGAAACAAAAGTTGAAATTCTCTCAACGACTAATACCAACACAAGTCTCCAATCTATTCCGCTCTCATCCAAAATCATATTAGCAGTATTCAATGAATGATGTGTTGTTTGTTGTTGAGTATTACTATTGTTATTGGAATTGTTATTAGTATTAGTATTGGTATTAGTAGTATTAGTATTAGTATTATTAGTATTATTGGTATTATTATGATGAATATTACTACTAGTACTACTACTAGTACCATTCAAGAAAGTTGTGATGGATGTCTGTTGTGAATTTGTCCATGATGATTGTGATAATGATGATTGTAATGGTGGTTGTGATGAAAATAATCTCTGACTATTCGTTGCAATATAAAATAATAAATTCATAATAAAATTCATATTATCCACAAAACTAGGTGAATTGGAAGTAATCTTTAGAGTATTGTCAATCATTAATTCCATTTGTTTTCGATTGAGTATATATTGTACAATGGCAGGTGGTTTTCTTGTCATTGGTTTTCGATATTGAATAATGGTGGTGAGAATAAAAGAAACACTTCGAGAGAAATTTTGTTCACACTGCAACGAACACAATTGTTGAATAATTTCTTGTTTCAATTTGAGAACTTGTAAATTCTTAGTCATTGCCACTTCATCGTGTTGATTCAAAATATTCAAAAATGAATCTTGAATGAGATTTCCAGAGGGTGGTGTTTGAAGGAGAGTTTGTGTGGGATCATTGTCTTCATCTTCATAGAGAAGACACATGAGAAGTAATTCACTAATTTCATCACTTGAATCAATGTGTTTTAACATTTGTAAAATGATGTGAGTGGAGGTGGTGGTGTTGGAATTGTTGGAATTGTTGGAATTGGAATTATTGAAATTATTGAAATTATTGTTGGAATTGGAATTATTGGAATTGAAATTATTGGAATTGAAATTATTCCTTATTGATCGAGTCGTCTCTTCTTCTTCTTTTTCATTCAAAATACTTGTAAATTCTTGAATATCATGTGGTGCATAAATATAATCCATTACTAAATGAGTCAAATGTGGAATTTTCATCATGGCAATAATCACTCGTACAAAACATTTCACTTGAAATGCATTCAATGGTTTCTCTCGATAAATAAATGAAAATAATTTTCTTCGAATGAGTTCACTGTTCAATAATGCCACTCGAGAATTCAAGGATGTCATATTTCGATGATGATTATTATAGAAGGAAGAAGATGATGATGAAATGGAGAGGCATGGATCCATGTCCTTGTTTGTGACTTGTAAATGTGTAGAAGGTACTGATGATGGTGTGGAAAGATTTGTCACACCATTATTGAATTGTTGTTGTGCGTCTTCATTGTAATCCACACGAGAAGGCACATGATTGGTAGAGTTAGTGCTAATGTTGATATTATTATTATTACTACTACTAGTATTAGTAGTATTAGTAATAGTAGTAGTATTAGTAGTAGTAGAAGAAGACGTGTTGTTATGACCATTTTCAATGATGGAATTTCCAAGTATGGAATGACTTGAAGCTTTACGTGGTGTAAAAGAATGTTGTCCATTAATAGCACCATCACCTTGATCTGTTTGATAGGAATAAGGTAACATGATGAGTGGTAAAATGTGAAATTGTCCAATGGTGGATATTAAAATCTCAGTTGCCACAAATGGATATTTGTAATTCAATTTCTGTAAAAGATATTCTCTCTTATCACTAAATGGAAGATTATTTGAAGTCGTAGTGGAGGTGCCGTTATTTGATGATGATTGAATTGAATCTCCTTCCTCAATAGAGGATCGAGTTGGTTGTTGTTGTTCTTGTTGTGAAGAACTACTCCTCAAATAGTGTTGTTTTTCTTGTTGATAGATTTTTAATTCTGATTCACTCCTAGAAGCACCACCAGAATGAACATTTTCGTGGTTGTTGTCATCTTCGTCATCTTCGTCGTCGTCACCTGTTGGAGAGCGTAATCGTCGCATCGATCCATGAGTGTTGTTGTCGTCACGAGTTCCAAGTTCGTCCTCTGGGGTGTCACCACCGAATGTCTCTTGTTGAAGATTCGAACAAGAGGTTGCTTCAGATAATTTATATTCCAAATAGGATGGTATTTCAGTGTGAGTACATGTGACATATTCTATTAATTTTTGAATGATCTTTTCTTGTGTGAGACTGAAAAGTTTCCAAAAATGTCAATGCACATGTGTGTTGGTTGAAACATTTCCAGAATCGTTTTTTCACAGTGTGTTCAGTGCAGAATAGGAATGTGGACATGAATGTGAGGATGATTGTTATTATGAGAATATAAGTATGATGATCATTTGAAACACATTGAGTTCATCATACGAAAATGTTCATATGTATGATCAAGATGATGAAAATGTTCATGAAAATAATATCATGGAAATCAATAATGGATTCATTATTGTTTTACAGATGATGATGACGACGACTCTCTCACACATTCACACATTCACTCACAATAACTTACAATTCAATAAGATTTAAATCTTCTGCTTCTCTACACATACTATCAATTCCTTCAAAATCAAATACATCTTCAATATTTAATTTTGAATAATCAATACTATTAGAGTTTGAAGAAGAATCCACACTTTTTGTATCATCATCGTCATTGTGTCCATTCAAATCACCACCACTACCACTCTGACCACCATAAATATTGTTGAGAATCAAATTGTTAGAGGAGGAGCTCGACGACGTATTTGTTGTAGATTTCGACGACGACGACGACGACGACGACGTATGGGCGGTGATTGCCGAAGTGATTTTCTTTTTTTTGGAAGAAGAAGACTATCATGTTGTTGTTGTGGATGTTTGTGATGATATAGATTGTTGTTGTTGTTCATAGATTGTTGTTGTTGTGGACGGTGTTTGTGATGATGGTTTCATGATCATGAAAATTTAAAATTTGATGAATATATGTATATTTTGAATCATCATCAATTAGTTAATAATACTCACATTATTATTCGTTGATGATGAAGTATTGTTCGTGTTGTTGTTGTTGTTGTTGTTGTTGTTGTTGACATACGGAATGATGGTATCGTCTTCATCGTTTCCTCTCCTCACACTCTTGAATATTTTGGAAAAGACTCTCATTTTTTGACAACTGACAACTCCAGTTCTTGAAAGAGATGCAAACGAATGTCATTTGGATATTTGGAATCATTAATGGTGGGGAGAAAGGGTGAGTCATCTCAACACACATAATCTAGATGGTGTTTTATTGAAAGGTGTAAGCACGTGTTGATGATGAGTGTGTTTGTTTTGCAGAAAATGATGACCCGAGGATTGAACCTCTTGTTCAGAGTTCACTTCTTACAAGAAAACACCTACTAGTACTACCACTCGAGCAATTAAATTTCTTTTAAATTGTTCACAACAACAACATTGTTGACCATGTACATGAGATGAATGGATTCAAGGTGGTAACACACAAGATACAACATCTTGTAAGACACTCCATTTGTCTTCTGAATTGCATTCCACTCGATGATACAAAATATTTGAAATAATTGCTTGAACATGAGTAGGTGTGACAAATGTCTTATTCCACATTAATGCATATGCTCTACCAAGAAGAAGAAGAAAATAAAGATAGGTTGTGTGAATTCAAATTGGTGGTCAAGATGTATAATGTGGATGAATAGAAATAAGGAAGTGCGAATGTGATCATGTAGTTGATGAGATAACAATAGTGTGAATGTGATGGTTGAAATAATTATATACAATAGTAGGGAGTGTGAATGTGATGGTTGAAATAATGATGTGTATTGTGTTTTTAATGAATATCAAATGTCAATCATTGAAAAATATATTTTGACTTACTTGGCAGCCATGATAATCATATTTGTCACTTCTGATGTTGGATATTGTTTCACAAGGGGATGATGTCTACAAACTGCAATAATATCTCTAATGTATTGTTGAATTTTAACAGTAACATCAACACAATCAATGAGTGATGTTGAACTGGAAACATTGGATTTTCGATCCATGTTTTTGGAATGTTGTGACATGATGTGTTGAATATTGGAAGAATAATTTTGAACATCTTGAGGTGTAAATGTTGAAGAAATACTCAGAGAGGGTACAAAACCAATAAATTCGCATAACTATTGGAAAAAGTGTGTGAAAACGAGAGAAATTCTCAATGAACATTCACTGAACTGCACTTACCAATGCACTTGGTAATTCCAATGTGTCACAAATACAAATAAATTCAAATGGAATGTCAAAAGTCTTATCTCCCAAAATTACTTTTTTAAATTTAAATATTTCTAATAAGGCATATTTCACTCGTTTTGAAACACTTCGAAAATTATTTAAAATTAAAATTCTGATATTTTTTGAATTTTCCATTTCCATCTTTTCAATTTTTACACCCAAATCCAACATTGTATTTGGAGAAGAAATTAAATCAAAATTATTAGTAAATAAACTAGTCATCTGATTTGATTGATGTTTAGAATGATGTTTGTAATTTCTTTTTGAAATTAAGACACTTCCATGTCGTTGAAGTGGAGAAGGAGGAGAAGTAAAAGGAGAAGAAGAAGGCATAGATGGAACATGTTGATGATGAAACATGGTTGGATGATTATGAATGGTTAACGATGATGATGTTACTGAGGAAGAGGAGGAGGAGGGAATATTGGTCGTAGTCGTCGTAGATGGTTGATGATTCATCGTAGTATTTGCATCTTGAATGTGTTCTGCCAAATGAGTCATAAAATACCGATCATCAAAACTAAAAATGTTCTTATTGTGCGTTCCTTTTAAACTTTGTCGTTTCAAATTTACGGCAGCAGATTCGAGTGGAGTGGGCAAAGCAGTGCTTGGAGGAGAAGAGGCTTTAAAGGAAGAAGAAGAAGCCTGTCCTGAGGGTGGTTGAGAGGGTGGTTGTGAAGATATTGGAAGTGAGGATGATGAGGTACTAATTAGTATGATATTACTATTGGTTGCAGCAGTTAAAGTAGAGGATGGAAGTGTTGTGGTGATGGTGGTTGTCATTGTAGGTTCCGTCGAATTTTGCTGAGAGTGATGATGATGGTGGTGGTGGTTACTTGTCATCTCTTCTTGCTGATGAATGCTCAAACTCGTACTTCGCTTGTGTTTCGATTGTACAACATGAATATTTGAAGATGTGATCGGATTGGAAGGGTACATGGAGGAGAGAATGATTGAAGAGGGAGGTGATGATGATGATTGTAACATTTGATTTAAATCATCATTCCACTCTGCATTTGGAGTTTTGGGTGATGTGGTGAGTAACATGGGTAATCGTTGATGTTGTGAGGGCTGTTGCGAAACAGAGGATGATGATGATGATACACTGGGTGATGCAAAGAAAAGAAATAAATCTTCAATGGTGGTAGAAGCATTGCAGTTCAACACATGAATGTAGGGATAGATCAAGTTCATATCGGAGGAGAATGTTGCTGTCTGTTGTTGTGATGACATATTTCTACTATTTCTGTTACTGTTGCTGCCACTGCTGGTACCACTTCCACCATTGCCACTGCTGTTGTTCATATTGCTACTCAACACAGAATGATTAAAAGTCAAGAAATGCTTTTTTTGTGATCAAGGCCACATAGAGAAGTGGGTGAAGCATTTTTTTTCCAATTTTTCCTTAAGGTCGTCACGGTTCCCAACGTGTCACATGACAGAGACAAACATCCACAGCGAGAGACTCCAACGTTTTGCAATCCTCACACTTGTGTTTATTCAATTTATATTTGAATGTACATTCACATTTTGTGGTTGAGAGAGAGATTGGACTTTTTCATGTTTGTGGTTCTCTTGGGAACACATTTGAAAGGTATTATTTAAATGGAAAGGATAAATGTTCTGTATGGATGTTGTTGTCATCATTCTTGTAATCTTCACACCAGAGAGATTATATTGCCACATTGTTCCTTTCATTACTTCTTCTTCTTCCTCTTTGAAGAATCAGAAGCCTTATTTTTACGCTTTTTATTGTCACCCTCAGGAAGGGTGGTAGAGGATGTAGTAGTTGTTGGAAAAGAGTCTTGTTGTGAGGTATTTGCTGTGGTGGTGTTGTTGTTGAGATGAACACTGTTGCTATTGTTACTATTATCACTACTAGTACTACTATTATGATTGTCATCATCATCATCATTTCTATTATCATTTGACGAAGCTTTGTTGGACCTTTCTTTCAGCTTTTTAAAGTAGAGCTGAATGCGAGCAATTTCTTGCTTGATTGGATGATCATCAGGATTTATTCCTTGCGTTTTCAAATACACTGATGAGTGTTGTTGTTGTACGAGAATGAGAGCAGCAAGGAATAGAGTGGTAATGGAATTTGGATGGATGATGAAAAGAATGGGGTGTGCGTGGATGAATGAGAAATATAAAAAGGAAGAGAGAACAACATGTTGACATGAAGGTGTATGATTATCATATTGGGCATAATGGTAGAAGAAGGAAGAGGATATTTCAAGAGTATATACACATTGCACGACGGCAGGTAAAAAGTTTTTTGATGACATCACATATCGGAGTCAACACCACCATACAATATTGTAGGATAAAGTAATAAAACCCCATCGAGTAAGTACGTATCATGAAGTATTCAGATATTCAACATGTTGTTTGTAGTAATAATAATATCGATTTGATGAATCAAATAAAAGGCTCTCTTCATAAACACAACTTACAATAAAAAAGAGTATTCACGGTATAGGCACAACATAAATTCACTTTAGCTCTTGACTCGGGATCTAATTTAGAGGTTTTTGATGTGAGTGGTTGTTCCAAGAGAGGTTGAACCAAACTCTCCACTTGTTTCAGAGAACGATTGAATGCAAGTATGTTTTGTTCAATTTCCGACGGCAACATCATGTTATTCATTTTTTTTGTGTGCAATTTTGCACAATATTTAATTAAAAAGTTTGTGTTAATATCTCTGCAATAATAGTGACTGTCATTTCAAATTCGTCTTGAGAACACAATAAACACATCTAATTACCGTCTTGCTTTGTTTTGGGGAGTTGGTGGGAATAATTTTCGTTCTAGTTCTGCAAATTGTGAAATCTTCTTTTCAATATCCTTTTCTTCGTGGAGTTGCGATTTGACTCTTTTCAAAATTTTCATTCTAATGTCGTTGGTTCTTTGCATTTGTTCTCGCAATTTGTTTTGAAGAGTTCGAATTTCGGCACAAATATCATCGTCCTCTCGAGACTCTTCATCAACCCATAACTGTGGATTAAGCTGTTGTTGTTGAGGCAGTATTCCAATGCTCTTAATTTCATGAAGCAACTTTTCTTCAAACACAGATATATACTGAGGAGCGTAATCAAAGGATGTGCTATTAAACATTTGTTCAACATCTTTAAATTGATTGCTCAATGAAAGAATTTGATTGGCACTTTGGATTTGATTTTTCGAGAGATTAGGTAATTTTTGTTTCAAATATTCTGAAATTTCAAATTGTTGTTGATGTTCAAGAACGGATGATTGATTGGTGAAATCAGCAGGTAATACTGAATTGGAACTAAAAATATTAGCAGTGGAAGGAGTCATTGGAGTTGTTGTTGACGAGGATGGAAATGTAGTCAATTTTGCCGAGGATGGTGTTGCAATAGCCTTTCTAGTAGACCTACTTGACTTTCTAGGAGTTTGTTCGTCAATAGATTCATTATCACTATCAATATTGTATGAATTTGAAGAAGAACTTGCAGATAAATCATCAACAAAGGTGTCTAGTGGTACTAAATCTCGTTCTTCAATTAGTGATGAAAGTAATCGCTGAGAAAGGCTGTGCTGAGAGAAGAAGAGTTTGGATGCTTTTTCAACATTCAAATTTTCTGCATCAGAATCAGCAAGCTGAATTTGTTGAGTAGTGTCGCTGGTGGTTTTCTTTGGCAAATTAGGATAAATCTTTGTAGTTTCTTCTTCCCATTTTTCAGTGTAATATTTTCCTTTTTTTCCAATTTTAAAGGCTTCATCATTCTCACTATTTTCTCCCTCTAATAATTTCAATCGATCCTTCTTAATCACAGGGAAGAAGCTGTTAATGTATTCCCAGAATTGATGCTGAGGAAGAGTACGATCAATTTGAGAGGATGGAGTTTTTGAAGCAACATAGTGTTCATCTTCCAACCCTAAAAACACATCTCCATCATAGTCTCCTTGAGCAGTCGATGATACCAGTGCTTGTCCTGACGTGTCATCCGATCCTGATGGTTTTTTTTTACGTCTTCTCGTGCTACTGGCAGCAGTTCGTTTCTTTTTCTTGGTACTTGGTGTTTGAGGTAGCATGGATGATGATGATTGGACATGGTCAGACATGGAAATTGAAGAAACATCATCAAAAGGAAGTGGAGATTGATTACTACTTCTTGATACAGAATCATCTCGGTCTATCATATCTTCCGTCTTGATGGAAGTGAATGGATCCTCTGATGGTTGAGGAGGTGGTGCATGGTGGATATCAGCGACAACACTTGGAGAGGCATTGCCAAGTTTAGGAGTTACACCTCTCGTCTTCTTTCTTGCAGATCGTGTCTTGATGGAGGTCTCTTCCTCTGAGGCTTCTTCAGCTCTTCCACTCTCCTTCTTTGCATGTGTGGTTTCATCGTCGTCGACATCTTCATGTAAGGCTCGTGGTGGTGGTAGTTCTGTACCTCCACCAACATTGCTACTACCTCTCTTTCTCTTTCCCAATTGTTGGTCCTTGATGAGCATCAATTCTTCATCCTCATCATCTTCCATGTCTTCCTCTTCATCGAGTATGAGCTGATCTTCTTCATCGGTTAGTGAGGGTTTGTATTCGTCATCTTCATCATCAATCATGGCATCATCCTCGTCATCAAGAATCTTTTTCTTCTTCTTTGAAGCTTTTTTAGAGGTTTTTCTTGTAGATTTCTTGGATTGACTTTTTGGAGCTTTTTGAGCAACCTTTAGATCCTGAGTAGATGTTGGTGGTAGTGGTGGTAGAAAATGGGCAGTTTCTTGAGTGGAGGAGGAAGAGGATGGAAGAACCTTTGTTGCTGCTGAAGGTTGAGTAACGGTTGACGAAAAAATTTGATCCGTGCTTGTGGTGCCTGCAAGCGCTTGGGGTGGTTGAGTTTCGCTAGAGAGAAGTGGAGTTGGTGTTTTGATGCGATTCTGGGAAGTAATATCTTCGCCTTTCAATACAGAGGTTGGTTGAGGGGATGGAATGGCTTTGGATTTGGAAGGTGTTTTGGTACAGGAAAGAGTGGTAACGTTTGTCATCATCATATTCGGAGAAGAAGTGGTTAGGTTAGCTTTGGGTTCGCTCTTAAGTGTTGTTGTTGCTGAATCGGATGGCATTGTGGGAATTTCTGATGGACTGATTTCTTTTGAAGTAAAGGCTGTTGAGATTTCATCTAAGGTTGTTGTTGGTAAGGCAGTTGTATCTGTGGTGGAAGTGGTTGCAAGTTGTTCATTGTTGTCATGATTCGATGAGAAATAGTCTAAGAGTGATTTCTGCGATTTGGTCATTGCTAAGTCTCCTTTTGTGGGTGGTAGGTTTGCTGTACTTTTTGTGAAAGGGGATTTGGGAGTTTCAACCATTGATTGAGGAGTAGAAGAGCGTTGTGATGAACCTCTTAGAATTTCATCAACCTTAGCTAACTCTGTTTCCCAGAATTGAACTCTTTCCTCAATCTTTGGTTTGAACTCTTCTTGTAATTCCTTAAGCGTTTGTTTTAATTGATGTAGATTCCAATTTCTTTTCACACCTCCTTGTATTGCAGATTGTATAAAAGTATCTAGCTTGTTATTGTCATCAATGGGCTCAATTGTCAATGATAATCCATAAGGATTTGAGCTTGGTGAAATGTTCTCAACGTTGTTCGGACTTTTCTGAGAAGAATCATCCTGACTGGATGGTGTTGATTGAGATGACAATGTTTTGAATGAATCAGTAATCTTTTTTTGTTTGGGTGGCATTCCGATCGTGATGATGAATTGTTTTGGTTTCACTCGAATTTTTTATACTCGGTTGTTTTTTCCGCACACACACTGTTGATGATTTAATTTTTTATCGGTTGATGCGACAGGATGATCTGGATCGTGTTGTCGATAACTAATATTTTTTTTTGAAATTTGTTTGTTGCTTCTGGTTTCTTGGTTGCTTGGAAGATCCAAGCAAGACAAATGTTTCATAACACTATTAGATGGACAAAAAGGTTGATTTTTTCCTTTCTCGATCCTCGATTCGAGTGACTCACTATCTCTCACTTTCTGATAAAAGAGTCCTTGTTGGTACTCTAGATTGAATCTTATTCAACAACTCACCCAAAGAGAACCATGCACAACACATTTCAAAAAACATTCCAAAAAATATTCTTCTCTTGCATCACCTCTTTAAAGGGTATCACCTCTTTCCACACGTTCACCTCAACAATGGGTCAAACACTCACTTTGCCGTCCACCATTCAAAACTTGACAGGCTCTTCCTCCGACACATCATCACGAAGGATCGACTCCTCTGAACGACACCAAAGACTTTCCGAAGATGAAGATGATCAACAAGAATTTATAAGAGATGCGCAACAAGAACAACGACGACTACGACAACAACAACAACACCACGCTGAAGACTCCTTTCATCTCAATGACTTGGAGAGCGGAATGGTTACTTCTCCATCAACTCAATCTCACCAACAGCAACAGCAACAACAACATGTAAATATAGTTCAACCAACGAATCTTTTATTATTTGGAGGTGCTCCTATGATGATTGATGGATTATTAAATTATGAATTCTTCAATGGGATTAATAATGTAAATGAATTAGTTAGCTTATTTGGATATTATGGAAGAATTGAAGGACTATTTGGAAGAAATGTCGATCATTATGAACAACAACAACAACATCAAGAACACACTCCATTTGAATTCAAAGACACAATGATTCTACGAAATGATGTGAATATTCAAAAAAATTCACTTTCACTGATCAGCCATTCTCAAAATGGATTTAATTTATCATTTAAATTCGATGTGAGAAGTAATTTTATTGATGAATGTAAAGTGAACATTTATTTGAAAGCAAAAGAAATACGTTCGAATCAAAGTGTAAAATATGAATCATCCATTGCATTACCTTCAAAAGTTTTCAATCATTTTGTTGAATATCCAAAGAATGATCACACTGCACAATATTATACTCCTTCAAACACTTTCGAAGGTACAAGAGTTGATTTATCATCATTGTCTTCTCGAACAATCTCTGAATCTCATGAATCCACTCTTTCAAGAAGAGATTATCATGACTCTACAAGTCTAGAATATAACATTCATCATACGATATCATTGGATACTATTTTTACCAATCGACAAGAGATGCAATACCCACTACTCGTAGCAGTGAGTGGTCATCAAAGTGAAGACACTGATGAATCTTCCATTCTAGAACGGACTGATTCAACAACCACATCTACACTCATTCCACTTGTCATTGAAATTCAAAGTGAAACATGTTCACAATTCTCATTATGCTCGTTGGATTATCAACAACGATCATCATCATTGGAAAGTCCTCTGGATTCTGTGGTTCACTATTCCATTAAGGTTCACAAACAAAAATTATTCATTGGAAATGAATGGTATGAAGTGGCTGAAATTTATCATCAAACGACCAATCATTCCAATACTAATACCACCAACACCACTCATAACAACAACAACAATACCACTACTACTACTACTACTACTAATACCACTACTCCTTCTGTTGCTGATACCTCATCTCATCCTCAGGTCCATGAAGAAGATGATGATGATCATTTATGTGTCATTTGTATTAGTGAGCGAGCATCCATCGTTGTATTACCATGTGGTCATTTGAGTCTCTGTTCAGAATGTGCCAATGCACTTCGTAATCAGACGAACAAATGTCCAATATGTAGACAAACAGTGGAATCAGCCATCAAATTACCATCCATAGAGAATATGTAAAAGAAGAACTTTAATAGTCAAGTAATAAAATAGTCATGACAATGCTGCATTGACCATGCTACTATGACCACCATATTCATGAATACTCTACTTGACTAACATGCAAAATAATTCCAATGAAAATTTTAACATTTCTAGAGAGTTTTAATCGTGTCTGAAAAAAACATGGATTCAACTTTTGTAAATATTTTGCTACACCAATGAAAATGAGAGACTATCTTGACTCGATTTGATAATCTTCTTCTTTTTTGTTTCATTGGACTTTTTGGATGCAGGAGGAGGAGGAGGTTGATGTCTTTTCTTGGATGATCCAGTTGGTGATTGGAGTCGTACAGGAGTATTATTATTGTTGTTGGATGGTTTGGATGTTAATGAAGAGGATTGTGAAATGACCTTCTTCTCCTCAGTACTTGTAGTGGTTCCTTGTGGTCCTCCATGTAGTACCGATGATGATACTTGTTGTTTGGATCGCTTCATATCATTCACTAAATTGGAAATGGATCGTTGTGTAGAATTTTTGTGAGCCATTTTTCTCAATCGAGCTTGATTCTTCTCTTTAGCATATAGAACTTGTTGTTGTTGTTGGGAGGATAATGTTGATGATGAGAGTGAAGAAGAGCTTGTTTTATCTCCATACATCATTCCCATAAATGTAGATCTCATGGAGAGAAATTCTTCACGTTCTTGATCAGTAGCATTTGGATCTAATTTTGAAAGCTCCATCAATGAAGTTAAACTCTTTCCCTTAATGATTTGAGAGGAATTATGTTGATTGTTGTGTTCATCTTGTTGTGAGTATGGTTCTTTTTGAGAATCTTCCATTGTTGTTGTTGAATTGAGTGTTGTTGAATTCATTCCATCAATGGAAATGACATCAAAAGAGGAATCATTCAATGATTTGCATTGTTTTTTGATCCAATCACTAAAACCATCACAAGACATGATTTCATACAATTTATACAAACATGAATATCCTATAAAAGCATCCAATGCTGCATACTTGACAAATGGTTCAAATTTTGATTTATCTTTTCCTCTCACATTTTCAATATTCAATAATTCAATACCTAATACTTTCAAAGATGGAATGGAAGTTCCAAATAAATGATATTGAGAGGATACAATTGCTAAATCAATTATATTTTCAATAATAAGAGGAGTAGTAGAAGTAGTACTACTAGTTGTGACAATTGTGGTATTATTTGTATGAATATTAATAGTAATTGCATTATTATTATTCATCGTATTATTTTTCATTATACTATTGTGTTGATACTTTTGAGATATTAAATGTTTAAAATCATTGCAAACACCAACTCCAACCTTTGCAGTTTTTAAATTTAAAAATTCAAATAATTCATTTGGAATTTTCTTCATCTTTTCAATTCCAAATACAAAACATATACTATAAATAGATATTTGAATAGTAGTGATTTTAAAATTGGTGCCCTTATATTCTGCATCGAATCCGATTGGAATGACATGTTTGCATATTAAATGATTTAATTGTTTCTCTTTTAATTCCATTTCATATAAATGTGAAATAAAATTTGAACAATTTTTCATTAATTTCATTGAATTACTATAAATAATATAAAAAGGTGTGTTTTCACATGGATCAAAATATAATTGAATATCTTCTCGATAGGGTTTGATAATATTTGATTGTATGTATTGAGAAATAGATGGAGAAATAAATGATGTGTGAGGAGAAGATTGAATATTCATAGAAGAGACTTCAGAAATGGATGTTGTGTGTGGTTCGGAGCTTTCGGACATTGGAGTGGTCAAATTTTGGTTATCAATGTTGTTAGCATCTTTCTGTTGGGAGTGGTTTCTGTAGTTGGTGTTATTGAATTGATTTGTGGATGAGGATTCATGATGATGACTAATCTTTGATTTTCTCTTCTTTTTTTCGGAAGAATTGGAAGAAGCAGGTGTGAGGTGTTGGTGGTTCATTTTTTTTTCAAACTAATTGTTGAATATTGACTTTCATCATTTTTGTTTGGAATCAAGCATTCGTGCGTGAACAGTATAAACTTGATATGAGAGTTGGAAATCTTCTCCACTTGTGTGCATTTGGTCTCTTCTACCATCCATGAACTCCATGAACTGGAGTTGCCCATTTCAAAGAGCATTTGGGAACAATAACTGTTGTTGCACACAAAAAAATGCTCCAACTCGGAAATTCCTTCTTCTTTTCCATGTCGTCGTCCTTTCTGACCAAGTTGCAACATCACCATCATCATCACCATCACTTCTTGAGCACATCCATGATGACTGTTGTTGCTCCACAAAAGAGATTCTATTCAAAAAAACTGAATCCTTCTCCTCCTCTTCTTCCTGAAATTACTTTTAAAACCATTCAACCCGAAGAACACATGTCGAGTAGTACAAGTAGTAGTACTTTTTCTTCTCATCAACAACATCACCATGCCATATCCTCATCATCACCACCACTGGTCATTTTACATGGTCTTTTTGGATCCTATTTAAACTTTTCAACCTTTGCTAGACATTACAGTAGTAAATTTCGAACTCGTGTCTATTTGGTGAATTTAAGAAATCATTCAGATCCTCAAAATCATTCACCAGAAATGACTTTTACATTGATGGCTTCTGATTTGGCGCAATTCCTTCAAAAACAAGAAATTTCAGAATGTGATTTATTTGGATTTAGTTTGGGCGGTAAAACAGCCATGACTGCTTGCTTGAGTGATGAATTTAAACAAAGTGTTGCACAAAAAGTGAGAAAATTAGTAGTGGGTGATATTAGTCCACTTCCATTGAGAGATTCTGAATGGGATATTCCACATGTGGTTCAAGCTCTTCTTCTTTTAGATGAAAAATTACCAGAAATGAAAACTCGAAGTGAAGCAGATGCATTTCTTCAAACATATATACCCAATGTGGAAGTGAGAGGGTTTTTATTAAGTAATTTAAAGAGAAATGAAAATGAACCTCACATTCGAAAAGGTGTTTTTGATTGGAAATTTAATTTAAAAGCCATTTCTTCTAATTTACATGAAATTGCTGATTTTCCATACAAGACTCAACGCGTCTTTAATGAAATGGTTGAATTAGGTCAAAATTATTCGATTCGTAATGAACCATGGACATCATTTGAGAAAGAAACTCTCTTTTTGAAAGGTGGAAAGAGTAATCTCATCAATACAAAGAGTCATCGAACGATGGAAACTATCCAAACATTCTTTCCAAATTATAAATTATTTGAATTTGAAAATTGTGGACATTGGATTCATGCAGAGAAGTATTCCTTATTTGTGAAAGTGATGGAAGAATTTTTAGTGAATGATCATTCTGAGAAATAAAAAATCTTTCACTTGTCACCACCACCCAGAACAGATCTGTTGTGGTTTCAAACTTACTACATCTCCTCTGTTTACAAACTAACCTAGTTCATTCAACAAAATTAAACAAGATACTCATCAAATACTAAGGTGTGAGTAAGTCCAGAACTTACTAGTTTACTACTAAATTAAACAAGAAGATACTCATCGAATACAAACAAAGGTGTTCAAGAGTCTTTATGCAATAAACTCAAGTTTTCCAAAATAAGGTGAGGGCATTTCTGCATAACTTGTATCGAGGTAGAGATGTTGTTCTTCTTCTTCCTCCTCTCGATTTTCCAATGTTGCTTTCAAACTATGAGAAATTCCACCACTCTTCTTATCTTGACCCGTACATGCAGCAACCACCCAATCCAATCCTTCATAGAGACCATCTCCTGTTATGGCACAACATCCCTGAATGAACCATTTACGATTGTCATGTAATGAATGTAATTTCATGGCTTCACAAATTTCTGAAACAGATGCTGCATGTGGTAAATCTTGTTTGTTGGCCAAAATAAGGAAAGCAGCATTTTCTAATTCATCTTGATTAGCCAAATATCTATGAAAATCTTCACTGGCTTCTTTCAATCTTTCTCTATCATTGGAATCAATCACGAAAATGACCACATCTGTATTTTGGAAATAGTGTCTCCATAAGGGTCGAATTTTATCACCACCACCAACATCCCACTAGTGTGGGTGAGTGTGGGTGAGTGTGATTGCAACATAGTTCATCACCATGCATGTGAATATAGGATCATTCAGCAGTGTATATACATGATTCAATTCATCAATAAATGTAATAATATATACATTCCAGATAGATCATGAATATATGATTCATCAATGGATATATAAATCACAATGATCCTACTACTTACCATTGTAATTTCATAATGTTTAAATTGAACTGTTTCTACATTAAATCCAATGGTTGGAATGGTTGTAACCATTTCACCTAATTTATACTTGTAGAGAATGGTTGTTTTACCTGATGCATCTAATCCTATCATGAGTGCTCTCAATTCTCTCTTGAATTTTGGTCTTGGGGTATCACCCATACCATATTTGGAATCCAAACCAAACTTGTTCCAATCATCACTGGAAATGGTACCATTCAATTTAAAGAGAGTCATAATGAGACGATCTTTTAAATCCTCAATCATGGATGATAACGTGTCATGATCATTGCCATCACCACCATGATTACCACCATTATTATTATTATTATTACTAGAACCATCATCAACAGGACCACCATTACCACCACAAATATGACTTGTACAACCAATCATTCTTTTCAGATAATTTCCAACACCCAATATAAATAAATTATAAATAATTGCATACAATAATCCACTTTGACAATTGGTCCAATCTAAATAACAAGTTAATAATTTTGAACTCTGATAAAATCGATTCTCATAATCATACAACATCCATGAGGCAATTAAAATACCAATATTTTCAGGTGATAATGTCATGAATTCTGATTGTAGAATATAATTCATCATTTCATAGGGTAGTGATGAAATTACTCTAAATTTGATATTAAATTTCAATAATAATACCAATCGAGTAATTTCTAATTTAAATTGATCAGGAATATATTGTCTAATGAAAGGATATTCTTGAGAAACTAATTCTAGAATTGATTCATAGTCACTATCTTTGGCTCTACTCGTCAATAAATGTTCAGTCGTAGAAGCAAGTTGTAATTCTTCTTGTGATAAGAGAGAGAAAAGACAAGAAGTGGTAGTGCTGGTCATGGTGGTTGTATTGTTGTTGTTGATGTCCATATTCTGATGATCACTGATTGGATCTGTGGTGGTATTTGTGGTGGTATTTGTGGTGGTATTTGTGGTGGTATTTGTGGTGGTATTTGTGGTTGTGCTAGTTGAATCCATGATGTGGGTTGGATCTGTGGTGGTATTTGTGGTGGTATTTGTGGTGGTATTTGTGGTAGTTGCATCTCTGAAATGATTAAAAATATGATCTGCAACTATACATGGTAAATTCTTGGCCAATACTTGACATGCTTTTGGAAGGATGATATTCTTTGTATCTTCTGATAATTCTAAACATGCAAATGCAATGGAAGATGCATTGTAATCATTCAATACATGTGAAATGGCTCTTGTGAGTGATTCGACTTGATATTCATCTGCAATTTGTAATAATGAAATTAAATCTTTGATTTTGATGAGAGAATGATGATGAGCATGTTGTTGTTGTAGTGATGTGTTATTGTTCATCATGGAGAGTGAGCATGATGATGATGATGGGTTATTATTCTTCATATATTTCATCATCACATATCTGTAATTTGATTCTCCCAAATATCCAGTATGAATGAAATGAATCATTTGTTCAAAAGATTGAATCATGTCTGTATTTACCTCATGATTCATCATGGTTGTGTAATTGATCATCATGTGACTTGAATCAAGAGTCATTTCATTATTTTGGGATTCAATCATTTCACTTCGAAACATATTCTCAAATACTTTGCTATAAGTGGAAAGTATGGATTTGAGAACGATGAGTTGAGTATGAGTATGAGGAATGTGAATGGTAAACAAGGTATCCTCATGATCATTACTATTGAATGGAGTGGTTGTTGTTGTTGTTCTTGAAGTAGTACTAGGAGTAGTAGAAGTAGGATCAATAGTGACACTACGACAAGTGGACATGGATGGATCACAATGACTACCCTCACTAGCCTCACCACCATCACCACCATGATTCGAACGTTTGAAATATCGAATCCTTGTTGTTGTTGTTGTTGTTTTGGGGTGAATATTCATCATGGAGAGAACAGCATCATCACTTGTAGTGTTCTTCATCATCACCTCAAATGAACAAAATGTCTTTCTTTCAAAATGATCTTCTTCAATAAGGAGAGTACCAACGTTGGAATGGTTGTTGGTTGAAGATGATGATGATGTCTTCTCTTCTTTCTCATCCTTAATAGTGTCATCATCCGTGGTGGTGGTGGTGGTGGTGGTGGTGGTATTGATCGTAGTGGTCATTTCATCATCATCTCGTACCAAATGAAAATACATGTGATTTTGAATTTTGTAAATTTGTGATTCATGGACATCTTGAATACCATGTCTTTGACTTGTTGAATGAGTTGAATGGATGGAATCTAATCTACTCGAATTCTTTGTTAATTCTTCTTGTGAAACAACATTCCAATCACAATACCAATGAGAAAAATGTTCCATCTGGTCAATAAATGTCTTCTTATCGATGATGAGATTCAGCTGTTCATCATCAAGTTGTTGTTGAGCCATGATCATGTGTTATAATCGTTGTCGATGATTTTTTTTTGAAAATAGATCTCTCCCTAGAGAGTTCAACTCACAAGCGTACCTAATAAAATGTTGGTGTCAAAGTCCTTGTTGTACTTGTTGTGAACATGATGTCATCAGAGAGAGAGAGAGAGAGAGGGGGGGGTTATTAAGATATGAACTTGCACGTCATCACATGTTGTAAAACGACCTCATCACAACAACAACTGGTCTCCGACTGACCATTAAAATTCTATGGAAGGTCCTCCACCTCGTGATCCAATTTTCAAATGATGATCATGAAAAACTAAATTCACGAATGAGGTGCAATTCAAGTTCATCTCTTCCTCTAGAATGATTCCCAAAAAACAGAGGAGTCATGATCATGGTGGATGAACCTATTCTTTCCATCCTATTGACTTTATCACATTCTCTAAATTGCTTTTCTGAAGTTTCTATAGTATACTTCTTAATACTATTGCTATTTCTATAGTATACTTCTTAATACTATCCACTGATGATCTTATTGCCTTAATCAACTTTAAAAATGGTGAAAAGACTTCATATCATCATCTGTCATCCAAGTCGTCATCTCTTCATTTTTTTTTAAATTTTAAACATCATTTGTCAATCATAAACACACAACAAGAAGAAACCACAAAGTCTTCTTCTATCATTATCAAAAAAACATCAACACCAATCATCCTTGTTGTTTGTGCTGTCTGTCACCCCAAATTTGATAGTCATCCCACTCTGAGTGTTATTATTCAACACACACAAAGGAATTCATAATTGTTGTTGTTGTTCTTCTTCTAAATCGCGATTCACATCATCATCATCATCTCTACCATACTCATCGTCGTATACTACTACTACTACCACTCACACACAACTCAATTAGTTCCTTTGATTATTATTATCAATTTCATTATCATTTTCACACTCATCATTCACTTTGACTCTGTTTCATCATGTCAGAAGAAAATACCACAAACTCCACTTCTTCCACCACTACTTCACGTAGAGCTAGAAAGAATCTAGGTGGTGGTACTGATGGAAATAAAACCTCTCAATCTTTCTTTCAACGTTTGTTAGAACAACAAAAACAAGAACAAGGTACTTCCAATAAATTCAAATGGGTACCCGATGGAGAAGGTGGTTATGTGGCAGGTGAAATTGTTGAAGAAAGTGCCACTGAAGTTCAATTCAAATATGATGATGGAAGAGTCAGTTCTTGCAAACCAGATCAAGTCTTTCCAATGAATCCTCAAAAATTGGATGGTATTTCTGATATGGCTTCTCTTTCACTCCTCAATGAACCTTCTGTTTTTTACAATCTCAAATATAGATATGAACGAGATCAAATCTATACCTATTCTGGATTGTTTCTAGTGGCTGTCAATCCTTATAAGAATTTACCAATCTATACTGAGGAGGTGATCAAGAAGTATGAAGGTAAACGTCGTGAAGATGTTGAACCACACATTTATGCTGTTTCTGATGTTGCCTATAGGTATGTTGTTGTTAAAAGTGTGAGTGTGTTTGTGTGTGTTCACACAGTGTGTGTATCTAATGTCCTTTGAAATGTGTTCTTTCCTCATGATCCTCATTGTTGTTGTTGTTCCAATCCACACTCTATACACTCGCCATGACCATTGTCACTTTGACCCATCTCTTGATGAAATGTTATATCCTATCACCACCACCCTTCTCAACACCACCACCCTGAATATAGACAAATGTTACAAAATGGTGAGAATCAATCCATGCTCATCACTGGTGAATCTGGTGCTGGTAAAACAGTGAATACAAAACGAGTCATTCAGTACTTGACTCATGTCGCTGGTAAAGGTGGTTCAGGTGGTCAAATTGAACAACAATTGAACATGTGTAATCCTTTGTTGGAATCCTTTGGTAATGCCAAGACTCTCCGTAATGACAATTCCTCTCGTTTTGGTAAATTCATTGAGATTCAATTTGACAAACAAGGTTATATTGCAGGTTGTAGAATTCAACACTACTTGTTGGAAACGACACGTGTCATTCGACAAGCTCTGAATGAACGTTCCTTCCACATTTTTTATCAAATCTTTAATATGGAAGAAGAGAAAAAGAAGGAATTGTACTTGACCGATCCCAGTGATTTTGAATACATTAATCAGAGTAATTGCTTTGTCGTTCCAGGTGTTGATGATGAGGCTGATATGAAATTGACTCTCCAATCCATGCGTATCATGAAAATGACAGAGACTGAAATTGACATGATTCTTCGCATTGTTGCTTTCATTCTTCATATGGGTAATGTTCAATTCAAGGACGATGAGGAAGAACATGCTCATGTGGTGAATGCCAAAGAATCTCTCCAATTGGGATGTGAGATTCTCAAAGTCACTCCTGATCAATTGGTGAAGGGTTTCTGTAAACCTCGAATCATTCTGCCAGGTGAAGTGATTGAAATGGCTGTCGATTCAAGAAAGGCTAATTTTAACCGTAATGCATTGGTCATGTCCACCTATTTGAGAATGTTTGATTGGATTGTTCAAAAGATTAATCAATCCATGAGTGCCAAGACTGAAATTAAGAACTTTATTGGTGTGTTGGACATTGCTGGTTTTGAAATTTTTGATATCAATAGTTTTGAACAATTGTGTATCAACTTTACCAATGAGAAACTTCAACAATTCTTCAATCATCACATGTTCAAGAAGGAACAAGAAGAATACTTGAGAGAAGATATTGCATGGAACTTTATTGACTTTGGTTTGGATTTACAACCAACCATTGATTTGATTGAGAAACCACAAGGTGTCTTGGATATTCTTCATCAAAAGTGTGTCGTACAGAATCAGGACGAGGAAAGTTTCGTTCGTGATTTGCTCTCAAAAAATGCCAAATCCGAAAAACTCAAGAAGGACAAATTCGATCCAAAGGCTTTCCTCGTGACTCACTACGCTGGAGAGGTCAAGTACAATGTTCGTGATTGGTACAGCAAGAACGTGGATCCACTCAATGATGATTGTAAGATGGCCATGCAAAAGAGTATGTTGCCTTTCGTGAAGAAACTCTTCATTTCGGGTGAGGATAAGAAGGAAGGAGCAACAGCAGCAGTCACTACTAGTGATCCAAAGAGTCGTTCTGTCTCGGGTGCTGGTGTTCGTTTCCAAACTGTCGGAAACAAGTACAAGAAACAACTGAGTGATTTGATGCAATTATTGGCCAGTACAGAACCTCACTTTATTCGTTGTATCAAACCAAACTCTCTTCAGAAACCAGGTATCTTGCAAGCTGTTCATGTCTTGGAGCAATTGAAATGTAACGGTGTTTTGGAGGGCATTCGTATCAGTCGTAAAGGTTATCCTGGTCGTATCAAATTTGCCGATTTTGCCAAGAGATATGAATTGTTGGCCAAGAATGCCTCTGCTGTCAAATCCTTAAAGACCGATCGTGAGAGGTGTCAAGCCATCGTTTCGGATTTGGGTTCTTTTGTCATGGATGAAACCAAATACAAAATTGGTAAGACTAAAATCTTTTTAAAGGCTGGTGTTGAAGCTCAACTCGAGGAATTGAGAGAACATCAAATTGAGAAGGTCATTGCATTGGCTCAAGCAGCTTGTATGGGTCATTCTGCTCGTAAACAATACAAGAAACTCATTGGACGTATTGTTTATATCAAATTGTTGCAAAGAAACTTTAGAGCCTATTTGAGTATGAAAGATTGGGATTGGTATCAACTCTTTGTCAAGGTTCGTCCATTGGTTGAGGCTGATCGTTCTGAAAAGATGTTGAACCAAATGAAGGAAGAAATTGAAAAATTAAAACAAGAAGTGATGAATCAAATCGAGAACAATAAGATCACTGAACAAGAGAAGGATAACCTCTCTCGAAGTGTTGAACAAATGAGAGCAGAGATTAGAACTCGTGAAAGTGAATTGGAACAGATGAATCAAATGTTACGTGAAATGAAGGAAAAGATGGACAATCGTGAACATGACATTGAATCCTTAGCTGGTAACATGCAAGATAAGGAAAATGCAATTTCCAATTTGAGACGTGAAATCCAAAACAAGGACTTTGAGATGAATCAATTAAAGACTCAATTGGACAATGCTAAAAGAACATTGGCTGATAAGGACAATGAAGTTCTCCAACGTGGTAAAAACATTCAAGAAGTCAAGGATGAATTGAATCGAGCCTTGTCGGAATTGGAAGACTTGAGAGCTGAATTGAACATTACAAAGAATACTTTGAATAACTCTGATTATTCTTTGGATCAAACACGTCAAGAAATGCTCGAAAAGGAACGTAAATTGAGAGAAAGAGACAATGAAATTGTTGAACAAAAGAAGAGATCTGCAGCTTTGGAACAAGACTTGAAGCGTGCTGAAAATGATCGAAATGAATTTGAGTTACAAGTCAATTCCATGAAGAAGGCCATTGATAACTTCCAACAAGAATTGGATAAGAAGAATCGTGAATTTGATCAATTGAGAAGACAAAAGGTCTCTGGTGATCAACAATCTGAACAATTGCTCTCTGAATTAGAAGAAGAAAAGAGAAAGCGTAATGAATTGGAAAAGAAATCACGTGAATTGGATCAATTGTTAGAAACTGAAAAGTTTGAACATGAACGTGCTCTTTCCAATGCTCGTGATTTAGAGAATGAAATTGAAAATCTCAAAAAGGAAATTGCAACATTGAAGATGAGAATTTCTGAATTAGAAGATGCCAATGAGAGATTGAAACATGAAAATCAACAATACGAACGTGAATTGGGTGATTTGAGATTGAAGAGTGAAAATGAACAAAACAAGATGCAAAGTGAATTGCAACGTGAGAAACAACGTGCTAATGATGAAATTTCCAATCTCAATAACAAACTTGAAGACACACGTCGACGATTAGAAGAATCTGAGCAAAAACTCAACAATTCTGATCGTGAGAATAGAAACTTGAAGAAAGACAAGCAACAAGTTGAACAAGACAAATCTGATTTAGAAATTAAATTGAAGAGATTAGAAAGTGAACTCAAATCAGGATCACAAGATGCTGACAATTTGAAACAACAATTACAAGAATCTGAAAATAAGAAACGTGAATTGTTGAATCGTGTTCGTGATTTGGAATTGGAATTGAACAATCTCAAGGAAGAATTGAATCGAGAGAGATCAAAGAGATCTTCACTCGAATCAGATTCAACCTCTCTCAAAGACAAGTTGAATAATTTGGATCAAGAACTCTCTGCATTGGAATTGGTCAAGACTAAGGTTGAGAAACAACTCCGAGATACTCAATACGATTTGGATCAAGAGAAGAACGTCACTTCCAAATTGAGATCCGATTTGGAACAAGTCCGAAAGTCCGAAACCGAATACAAGGCCAAGGCAGAGACCTTTGAGTCTTCACTTGTCTCTCGTGACGCTGAATTGAAGAATTTGAGAGATCAACTCGAACAATTGAGATCTCAACTCTCTGATAACTCGAATATTTCTGAAGAGGCTCAAAAACAAATCAAAAAGATGAAGGATGACATTCGAAAGACTCAAGAACAATTACAAGAGAGTGAATCTCGATTGAAAGATGAAATGATCAAACACAAACAAGCTCAATCGACCATTCTCGAGAAGGATAATCAACTCTCTCTCTCCAAGGATGAATTGAATCGACTTCAAAGAGAAATTTCACAATTGAGATCTGATTTGGATAATGCCCGTAACAATTTAAGTGGAGCTGATACTGAATCATTGAAATTGAAGAGTGAATTGAGAGAGAAGGATCGTAAATTGAAAGAAGCAGAAAATGAAAAGGATGATTTGGAATCACAAATTCAACAAATGGAACGTGAAATTAATGAACATAAATCTCGACACGATCAAAAAGATCAAACCATCACTCAACTCGATGCTGAACGTAAACAACGAGAAGGTGAACTTGCCAAATTAAGTGCCGATGTGGAACGTTTGAAACAAGAAAAGGAGCGCGACGCCACTACAGCCCGCCAACGTGTGGAACAATTACAACGCAATATGGACGATGCTGAGGAGCGTTATTCCGGTGAATTGCGCAAACTCCAATCGGACAATAAGGATCTCAAGAATCAATTGAAACAATTAAAGAAGGAGATGGAGAGTGGCATGGGTGGTAACAGTGCGGGTAGTGTGGACAGTGCTGAATTGTCTCGATTAAGACGTGAATATGATTCTGAATTGATCAAATTGAAGGCTCAACTCGAAGATGAAGTCATTCAACGCAATGATGCTGAACAAAAGAGAAAACTTTTAGAATTTGAATTGAATGATTTGAAAGACAAGTACAACCAAGAGACCAAGTCGCGTAAAAAGATTGAAGCACTCAAATTATCACTCCAATCTGAAATTGAGGATTTGAGAGAATTGGCAGAGAAGGCTGAGGATCTTCAAGAAGAATTGTCCATGAATAAGCAACAACATGCAGATATTGTCAATGAACTTGAAAGTGAATTGAAGAAGGAAAGATCGAATCGTATTTACAATGAAGAAGAAGCATCTCGATTCAAACGTGAAACTCAAAATCTTAAAGTTCAATTGGAATTGGCTCTTCAAAAGAAGGAAGAAGAGTTGAGACGTGTCAAGGGTCAATATGAACAAGAAATTCAAGATTTACAAGATTTGTACAACAAGTCAAAGAATGACAAGAAGAAATTCTCTAAATCTTCAACTTCTTTAGAAACTGAATTACGTGAGGCTCAACGATCCTTACAAGATGCTGAACGTTATCGATCATTGGCTGAACAGAAGGCTGATCGATTGGAACGTGAATTGAAGATGGCTAATTTGAGATTGGAAACTGAATCATCCAATCAATTACTTATTGCACAAGAGAAACAACGTATTGAAAGTCAATTACAATCTGTTCGTGATCAATTGGATGAAATGGAGAGTGAAAATACCAAACTGAAATCTGATTTGGATACAGAGAGAAGAAAATTCCAACAATTGGTTCGAAGATTGAACAGCAGTGCTAGTGCAAGCAGCTCTGCTCGATCCTATGTGGGTGGTGATGATTCTGATGACGAAGAGGATGAAGAATAATATTCATCTTTTTGTGTAGATAGATGATTAAATTTCATTAATTTTGAATCAAAACAACAACAACAACGCTTGTTGTGATTTATATTGTTCCGAAACAACACAACTTGAGTTTTTTGGAGTTTCTGTAGTTTCTTTTGAACTGACACTCAATAATTCTGAATATCTCTCTCTTAGAAGCATTGTATTTCGTTTTTTGTAAGGACAGTGAAAGTTCTCTTCATCACTGATGTACTTGCAGTCTCTCACTGTAGGGAGAAGGAATTCAAGGAATTTGCAAATGATCTTTCTAATACCAACGAAATGTTATTTCACTGCTTCAACAATTCCAATCCTTGCGAAGCCTATCATACGCCAGCTTTGAAAAAAGAACAAAGTACTTTCTAATCTCTTTCCCACAATTTTAGATTATATATATAGATATCCGTTCCTTAAGGGTTTTTATCAAAGAACTCGTTGATATTTTGTCATCCCATACCATCCATCATTTCTCGGGACAACTGACAAACAAAAATCTTTATGTTGATTGACATCCCTATAACGGGAGAGGAGACATCCACTAATCCATTTTTTAAAAACTGTTTATTGTTGAGTAACATAATACATCTATACTAACTGTTTAATAGTAATAGTTACTGTTTAATAACATATAAACTAGTAAAAGAAAAACGGTTATGTCTACAACATTTCATCGAAAAACATCTTGTTAATAATAAATAACATCAATTTAAGCATGTACCAATAACGGACAAAATGTCTTCCATCATATATTTTTATTTTTAATATTCAATCTAAGATTATCATAATTTATAAGAATCACAAATAATAATAAATTTCTTATTTCTATCACATAGATGCGAAATATAAAAGTTTGATCATAATATTTAACTTGATTGACAACATCACATTTCCATAAGATATTTAATATCACCTTTTATCTCTGCATTTATAATATCATATTGTTTAACAAATATAAAGATTTTCTTTAAATAATTCAATCAACAATCTTCATTTGGTTTTAGATTTGATATTATCTGTTGATATTAAAATATAGTTATCCGATTGATTCATTTATAAATAAACTTGCTTTAATTAATGTGTTTTGGAAATATTAAATAAGAGGAAATATATAAAATAATTGTTAATGGATGGGTTGTCAACCAATTTCCTTAAATGGTTGAATGATAAATTCTACATGGATAGCATGTTTATTGGTTCAGAAAAATCAAATTAGTTTATTGTTAGCACCATTGGTGCTGGTAAACCCATGAGGATTGGGTTTGTTTTTGAAATGCTGACCAGTAAACTTCTGGAAGTTGAAATTGTGCTTTCGAGTTAGTCACGAAGAGTCGTGTTTCCGTTAGATGGTATATTTGAAAACTTTTACTTTTGGTTGTTTATTGGGCACTAATTGATCGAAAAGAATCATTCAAAACTCATGACGTCGTGCAAGTAATCATTAGAATTGGCTTTTATCAATGTTTGTGAAATACTAATAGCAAAACAATCATTACTCATCAATTCTTTTATCTCCTCTCTCTTTTCTTCTTGTTCTTATCACCTTTGCAATATTCGAAGCAAATTGCATTGCCTTCTTGGGTTGATTACATTTTTCAATACCTAATACATGTTTACAATATTCTCTCAATATTAACTTATCTCGTGTAATGAGTGCACCTTCTCTCGAATTATTACATTTCAATGTCTTTTCAAGTTCAATCTTTTCTCTCAAATCAACAATGACATTCAATGGTAATTTCTGAACATAGCGTATCAATGATTCATCCAAATAAGGTAATCGACATTCTTTTCCATGACTACTAATGATTCGATCATCTCTTCCTAAATTTCTATACCACAATCGATTCATATCCATATTCATTTCAGTATTCAATCCTTCCCATCCTTGTTGTGAAAATCTTTTCAAATATCTTCGATAACCACCAAATAATTCATCACTTCCAACGCCACACAACAAGACTCTACTTGTGGATTGAAAAAGATTCAAATCATTCTTTTTCAAATCATTCTTTTTCTCATGGTCATTATTATTATTACCAAATATTTGTTGTTCATTCTTCTTTTTCAAATGATTATTTTCCTCATGGACATCATCACCAAATATTTGTTGTTCATTCTTCTTTTCCTCATGGACATCATTATTACCAAATATTTGATCATCAATTTCATCATATAAAATTCCAATTCCTCTCGATGCACACCACAAGACACATCCAATGGTATAATCCAATACAGTGTTATTGGGATGAATGCATTGTTTAATTCTCTCTGAATACAATGTCTCTAATTCACTCTTCAATACATTGACTAGAAGTAAACGAAATCGATGATTGTATTTTGAATTGAGCATTTTGAAGGATTGAATACTTTGAATTCGATCATGTGAAGATTCAATTTGAGAGAGTGTATTTCCAAAAGAGACATTGATGAGTGTAATTTTGGGTAAAGAAGAAGAGGACTGAAGTGTCAATAATGAGGAAGAAGAAGAAGAGGACTGAAGTGTCAATAATGAATGAGTGGTGGTGAAAGTGGTGGTGTTACTACTATTGTTCTTCTCATTCATCACATGATGATTCTCTGAGGTATTGTTACAAGTATTTAAATGTGCCAATGCAGCTAATACAATACTATCAATTCCACCAGAAAATAGAATTGCAAATGGTGCTTCATTGGGAAGAGGAGTGGTTGCACCATTACATGTAGGATGATGACATTGAGCAGTGTTAATAGTAGTATTGATAGTAGTAGTATTGACAGTAGTAGTATTGACAGTAGTAGTATTGGTAGTATTATTGTTATTTAATGAATGCATCATCATCGTGGTTGCTTGATCATTTAAATAATTCACTCTCACATTCACACTATTGGATAATAATTGATGAAAGGTATCTAAATAATTCATGACATTGGCATTTTCATCATATAATTGAATTCTATTTTGGTCATGAATGAGTGGTTGTTGTGGTTCGAGTGGTGGTGATAGAGTTGTTGATCGTGGTGGTGGTGATGTGAGTGGTGGTGAGGGTGTGAGTGGTGGTGTTGCATCATCATATTCAATCTTCTCCAAAGTAGTAGTAGTAGTAGTAGTACGAGTAGGACTTGATAAATCTAATAAAAAGATATGTGGAGAGAGATTGTACCATGTCGTCATCAACAAATTGTGAGGAGAGTCATGAAAGGTGGTATTCTCAGTGGTGTGGTTATTGAAAAGATGAAAAGATGAGAGAAAAGATGATGCATTCGGATCCTTCATCACTTGTGGTTGTTGTTGAGATAAATTGAAACTAGTACTTGAGAGTATTAAGGAATAATGAGTCATTTCATCATGATTAGGAGTAGTGGTAGTATTGGTAGTAGTGGTAGTAGTGTTGGTGGTAGTGGTAGTATTAGGACAACTATTTGTTGGATCTTCACTCCCTTCTGATGATGGACATATTGGTACAATTGAAAACAATAAACTTCTTCTTCCTAATCGATCTCTTCCAAATAATACATGATCATATTTTCTGAGATACAAAATAAATGCAAATTCTCCTTGAATATTTTGAAAGATGGAAAGAATTGAAGAGAGAGTCTTCTTATTCCTATGGGAATGAGGATTGTTTTCGATACCATTATTATTATTATTATTAGAAGAAGAAGAAGAAGATTCTTCCGATTCTTCCTTCATCATACATTGTTCAATTAAATGAAATAAAAATAATGTATCACTACCATATTTCAATAATTCATTATTATTGGACGACATGTCAATATTATTATTACCATCTATTGAATGATTATTATTAATATTATTATCTATTGTACCATCTATTAAATGATTATCATCTATTGAATGATTAATATTATTATCTATTGAATGATTATTATTAATATTATTATCTATTGAATGATTATTATTATTCATTGAATTCATTCCATAAATTTCACCATTCCATAATAATACAAAATCTTGATTATAAATTGGTTGTTTACATAATGTATTTCCTCTCAATGATAATACACTTGAAATGAAATGTAATTTTGAATCATTCGACATGGGTGTGAATGAAATAATTTCTGAATAATCAGGACCTCTGAATTGTAATTGATTTTTCATGTCATTGATCATTTGTTGAAAGGATGTTTGTGATTTCTTGAAAGGAAAATGATGGATTATTGGTTGATTTTCGGAACATGTGGACTTTTGAATGTCTGTGGTTGTTGTTGTTGTTGTTGTTGTGGATCTATTATCAGAGGTAGGTGTATGAGGATTACTATTATTATTATTATTATTATTATGAATAATATTATTGCTACTATTATTATTATTGCTACTATTATTATTAATATTACTATTATTTGGCAAAATCATTTCATTGTCATCATCATCGTCACATAAATGAATATTTGATAATGTTTGAATGAAATGATGTAATGGTATGGAATGACAAGAATCGGTGTTGTTGTTGTTGGCTTGCAATAATGGAATAAAAGCACCAATACCACACATTTTTTTTCGAATATTATATAATTCTTCAAATAATTCTAGAAACAAGCGCTTTATCGACACCGAGTCTCTTCCAACGTTGGGACAATGGACAGGTGGTTCGGGGAGCTCATCGCTTTTTTGATTGCTGCGTTCTCTACTACTATTTAGGAGTTCTCTCCAAACGTTTGATAAAAGCCATAACAGCCCTCATCAAGTTGGGTCTGGAATTTATTCTTAACCTATTATGCATACTTCAGTCATGATGAACGGCTCAGCAACATGTCTTTTTAATGTACTTGATGTATTCTTTCAAATTTTCATTCACTTCTTCTGCTTGTTCTTTCAATTCTTCATCCTCTTCGACTTGTTCAGTAATGATGATGGAGTGAGGAGGAGAGGTGGTGGTATCAATAGTACCATCATCACCACTACCATTCTTATCACTCTTTTCAAGATTCTTCTCAATTCGTTCTTTCAATTCATTAATAAATTCATTCAATTGAATCTTTTCCAAACATGGTAATAAATCATGGAACAATTCTCTTTCCATTCCCTTTTCATCGGAATAGATTTCAAATATATCATTTAACAATTCAATGAGAATATCAAAGTGTGAATGTTCACAACTATATGAAATAGACTCAATAAATACTTTCAATGCTCTTAATTTAGATTGAATATTATTCAATGATGCAATTCCATGTAGAATTTCAAATGTTAATTCCAAATGTTGTTTCTTTTTGATATTGGTAATGAGTTGAGATTCATCCATTTGATTTTCATTTAAATTATTTGAAATACCAATAGCATAGGTTTTGAAGAGAGAAGAAATGTCTTCATTCAAGTCAACAGCACTAAAATTCACTAATTGTAGAATACTTCGAATAGTTGAAATAATGGTGAGTGTATTTGGAGAGTGTGTATTAGCAATACCAATAGTAGCATCTTCATTCACAGCACTTGTGACCATATTCGTAGCATTAATCGTTGTAGAGAAGGGTAGTGTTGTGTTCAGTCCAATCACTTCTCTACTCATTGAATACATTAAATGTAGAATCTTTTCTTTAAAAGAAGATGTCCACAATAATTGACAAACTTCTCGAAGTAATTCTTCTTGTTTCAATAATTCATTCATAAAAGTATTAGATTCAATTAATTCTAAAATAAAATCAAAGAGATTAGAAATGAAAGATTCAACTGGTGGAAGTGATGAATGAGAGTCTTGAGTTGTCTTGGAATTCATCAATTCCTTGTGATCATAAATAATCGATGGATGAATAGAATGATCACTCTTATACAACACAATAATGCCCTTCAATAATTGATGTATTAATTCACCTTCTAATTTGGAGAATATATTTTCATCAACTTCGTAGAGACGATTCAATGCGAGTGCACTCTCGTGAATGATTGGATTGTGATTTTCAATGGTTAATATTTCAATCAATCTCTTAATAGCATTGTGATTTTGTAATAATTTAATGGATGCTAATTGCTCTTCCGGATCCTCAGAGGATATAGTTTGAATAGTTTCACAGGCTTGTTCAATAGAGAGAAATGATTTGGAGAAGAGAAGTTGAATGACTTTGGGTTGATTCGAGGCTTGATTGGATTTCTTCTTTTTTTGTTTAGGAGATAAAGTATCTTGTTGTTGTTCCTCTGTTGCTTGTTGTTCAGAATCGTCGTCGATATCATCGTATTGTTCTTCTTGTTCCTTCTCAGCAGGAGGCTTTGTGTTGGTGGGTGATGATTCTCGTTTAGGCATTTTTTTTGTCTCGGGTTGACTCTCTTGTTTTGGAACTTTCGAGTGTTCTTCCTAAATTGTGTTTCATCGGTGCACAGTGCTTGATAAGGAAACCCAGCAGGAAGAGACCAACACAGCGAGTGAAAAACGAATATTCAAACAACTCGCTTGGTGGCAAGCCAAAAAGCAAAACAAGAAATGCAAAGTCTGTGCACCGTGTGCAACACCACTTCTTGTTCAGCTTCTCCGTCAAGCCCTTTTTTAAACAAAGAGAATGCATTTCTATTCAGAACAATGAATCAAATTTGCAACAATCAAGTGCTTGTCAAACACATGGCAATGATGAGTTTTTTTATAAAGTTATGATAGCAACAGTACATTCACTTTAAGCACAAATTTCTCATGATGATTAAGGATGATGCTGTTGTTGCTGTTTAATCTTTTGCATGACCACAAGCAACTCATTGGGATGCAAGTACTTTTTGATGGAACTTGTTTCTAACTCATCCAATATGGTTGCAATAATTAGCAAACGTTCTTTTCGTTGTATCAAAGCATGGTCAATCAATTTGACAATATTCTTGTTGATATTGAGCACAAGCAGTTTCAATTTCTCTTTTGCAACTAGAATGCTCTCCTTTGAGTTGGAAGGATCAATTGCCTTAATGACCACTTTACCATAGATTAACTTTTTAATGTCTGGATGATCAAAGAATCCATCTAATCCGTGTGATTCTGGAATGTAGTTGGAAATAATTGGTTTTGGATAGAGTACTTCTGTTCTGAGTTTGCTTAAAAATAATAAATTCTTAAAATCTCTTTCAGCATCATTTTTCATCACTCTTACAATGTCCTTAATTAATATTTTACATTCTTCCAAAGTGTATAGTTGATCGGTTCTAATTCTATATAAAAGATCTTTTCTAGCCTCAGACAAGTTAAATCCTACAATCTTTCCATCATCAACTCTCCAAATTCTAACACTAGTTGGCTCCTCAGCCAAAGTTTTTCCATTCTCATAGTGTTCCAATTCACGTTTTACACGCTCTCTCTCTTCCTTCTCTGTCTCAATTCTCTTTAATTCTTCAATTTTTTTCATTTGAATCTCTTTGAGTTTGTTCAATTTAATTTGCTCTCTCATCAACACTTCTTCTCGTTCTCTCTTTTCCCGAGAAATTCTTTCTTCTTCTTGCCTTTTAATTTCTGCAAGTCTTTTGCGTTCCGCTTCTTCTCTTTCCATTCTCTCTCTTTCAATTCGCATTCTCTCCTCTTCCTCTTTGCGTTTCCTTTCAATTTCTTCTTTATGCTTTTCATAATAAATTCTTTCTTCTTCCTCCTTTTTAAGCTTCTTTAAATGCGCTAATTCTCGTTTGGACTTTAGAGATCTCAGTGCAGACTGAATAATAGTTGCATATTGGATTAACTTCTGATTTTTCAGCACTTCTAGATCAGAGTATGCATAATGTCTCATGAAAACCTTACTTTTTCCAATTTGAGCCTTAACCTTATCAAATCCAACTTGGGAAATGATTTCTTCACAAGCTTTTTTCATTTCTTCAATGGTTTTGCAATCCGTTACTCTACGAGATGAGTTTTGAAGATGAATCACTTTGAATCTATGATAAAATTGATCAAATGGCATTCTTACACTGTAACCTTCTCTTCTAATCTTTACAGTCTCTAGAACTCCTGAAGATCTCAGTTGATTCATCACTTCTGTCGTACTAAACATGTTTGGCTTTTTTGCAGGATGAGGTTTGATACATCTAATGTAATGAGGCCTTGTTGAATTGATAGTAGAGAGTAAGACATTAAGCTGCTTTCTAAATGATTCTGCAACAGTATCTTTGGCGCCTCCATTGTCCTCCAGTAAAGCCGAAATGAAGGAACATTTGCTTGTTTTTGTCAACTTGAACAAATCATTGTTCAGTGTATCCTTGTTCTTTTCAATCCATCCATTGACATCATAAGCTACATCACCAGCATAGTGCTTAATTATAAACTCTTCTTTTTTCAATGGCGAGGCATCAAAAAATTTTGACTTTTTCAAATACAATTTCTTGACGTTATCCAAAAAGTCAAAATCTGAAGAATTTGATTTGCAGCAATCAGTGATGGAATTTACAACTCCCTTTTGAATCAACTCAATACATTCTGCATTGTCATTAAAGGTTACTGCTGTGGCATCAATTCCCTCTTGCTTACATTCTTCGACATCCCTCTTAAAGGTGTAATTGTTGTAAACTCCTTGTAGAGCTTCGTTGGCATAGTTGATACAAAGTTGTTCAAAGCTGTTTTTTTGAAATGCTTCAAAGCCGTAAATATCAAGCAAACCGATAAAGTTGTCAACTTTGTGGTCCTTGGATGCATCCAAATTCTGATTAATCTTTCTAATGATCCAATTGAATGTTGCGTCATAGAGTGCTTTAGAAAATGCATCTCTGGCATCACAGGCCTTTGTTGGACTCAGTCCTTTCAGAATCAAATCCTTTCCAGCCGTTACATACATGGATGTGAGGGCCTTCTCGAGGCTAGAAGCATCTAGTTTAAGTAAAGTGGAGGCATTGTTCAAAAATGTTCTATTTTCTACTTCAGATGCATCTCCCTTGGGGGTAAACTTGATGCTTTGCAGATTTAAAACGGCTGCCACTATTCTAAAAATCGCGTCTTGCTCCTCCTGGCTTAGCCCAACAATGTTCATAGCCTTCACAACCTCTTGGAATTCTTTGGCATCATCAACACCATCCACTTTAAAACATTTCCCTCCGTTAATACATGCATAATCCTCTGGTTTGGTTAAGAATAATTCTTGTTTTTTCTTGGCATCACATCCAGCCAGTAATTGATAGAATATATGATAGCCTCGTTCTCCGATAGATTGAGAAATAACTCTAGATTTTTCGAGAAGATAATTGTACATGAAAGCACCAAGAATTACACCATCCTTGTCAAATTGCATAATGATGAATTTACCAAATCGAGATGAATTATCATTTCTTTGAGTTTTGGCGTTTCCGAAGGATTCTAGAATGGGAGAGCACTCTTGAATTTTGAGAGCAATCTTTGAAGCTCGTTCTCTTATTTTTTCATCGCTAGTGATTGAGCAACTGAGCTTGGACAGGTACTTGATTACAGTTTTGCATCCCTCAGTTTTTCCTGAAAGTGGTTTTAATGATCATCATCATGGCTTGGAATTAAAAACTTACCAGCTCCTGACTCACCACTGATCAAAATAGACTGATTTTGTTTGGTTTCCGCCATGATTCTATATGCATTATCAGCAATCGACCATGCATGAGGCATTACCGTTTTGCTTTGGTTGATGTACAAATCCATTTGATCATCTTGAACATAAGGGATGGTCCATTTGAAGGGATTCATAGCAACTGCAAGGACTCCTCCAATCATCGTGTAAATGATATCCTTTTTGAACCGGTTTCTAAGGCAGTTTAATAGAGTAACTTCGTGTAGTTCGCTCATTGAAAGTAAATCATTATGATCAAGTTTTAATAAATCTTCCGAGAATGCGTATAGAAGGTCTTCATTAAGAAATATTGGGTTCTTTTGGTCATCATTCGTAAACATCATCAGCAGAAATTAAATGAAATATATAAAGAATTAAAACACACCTCATTGGATATTGGATCCGAGTTTAAAGAAGGACTTGGTTTCACTTGGTAGGCTCCCTTTTTGTTGTTTGGGTCTACACTTTCAATCACTCCCACAATCCATGAGTCTTGAGGGTGATAAAAGAAGACGGTTTGACCAGCCTTAAACAGTCCCTTAAAGGTGGAGGAGGATGACATTTTTTTAACTATTTTTTAACGGATCAATAAGGATGAGGCTTTCGGTACGGACGCGTGCATGGCTGTATCATTGCTGGTTTCAAAACTGTAGACATGGAACGTGAGTGGAATCATTCACCACTTGTTTCAAGCGCTCTGATCATGAATACATGGTCTCTCTCTTCAACCAAATCTAGACCTCATTTCGGTTCACGTCCGACACTCGCTCTTTTTTCCAACATTGGCAAGAATCAGGACCTGAATGCATCTCTTGTTATGATGCATACATGTAATGGTTGTTGTTCTTTTCTTACCATGTTGTCTTCTTTAATTGTCACTCCTTTTGGCGATCTGTTACAGATGCTGATCATGGTCACCCCAAGAGACATTGGCCAGTTTTTCGCTGGAACTATTGGAAATAGAGGTCATGGCCAATTCTTCAACGGCACTACTACCAATTTGTCAATACGGATCAAATTGATGTTACACTCTGTGAACGCGCAACTCTTCACTTGTCTGTGGAATGAAATTCTGAGAGTTGCCTTTTTCATCGTCGTTATGCAGATGACAAGAGAGGTAAAGCTTCACTTTCTTATCGCTCAGACTCAAACCTGATGTCAAGTTGATCAAGAAGAGTGAGCTCCAGTACAGAAGCAAGGTGTGCCTCACCTGTCAACACCACTCGACGAAGACGTTTAAAAATTGTCATCATCTCTCCTCATTGACACTGCTGTTGTCAACCACAACAATAACAACAACGATATCCTCCTTCTCCTCCTTTCTCACACCAAGAAGGCATAACGAATAACGATTCCATCTGCTGCTGTCAACAATAATAATCACCTATTGGAAAGTTTCACTGCTATCACCTATTGAAAAGTTTCACTGCTATCATCATCACTCCCGTCCTTTTATCATCATCTTCTTGTAGACTCAACAACAACAACAACAACAACAACAACAAAATGGGTAATTGTTTAGGAGGAAACAAACAAAATCATAACGTTCGACCAGTCGCTAAAAACAAGGATGTTAAACTACTCTTGTTAGGAGCTGGTGAATCTGGTAAAAGTACTTTATTCAAGGTAAGTGTGAATAGTGTAGTACATGTGCAAGTGTGTGTGTGCGAGTGAGAGATTTTTATGTTGTGATCTCTAATCATCATCATCATGTTGTTCATCCATATGTTTATGTTGCACGCACGATGGTGTGTCTTGTTGTAACAACTGTTGTTGTGATGAAATGCGACATCATGACACTCTTCTTGAACTCTCTAACTATTATCAACCTCTAATAACAATAACAACATTATACCTTTTCATCATCCTCAACAACAACAACAACAACAATAATAACCAACACACACACACTGACTCCTCAAACACAACACACATGTGTTTGCTCCAATTCACGTGCTTTATCACTGCCAACACACGATCACATTATCCTTTTTTGTTCATGGATGACCATTTTTGTGTCATGGTATGATTGTTGTGAATATTTCACATGATCACCACCACCCGATCCACACACACACACACTCGTGCACTACTTGATGAATCTATTCATTCCTTCTCACTACCACTACTACCACCTATACCTCTCATTCTCACTCTTTCTTCTCGTCATCACATACTCCCTGAAAACCATCAACGACTCTCTCTCCACCCTCTCTCATCAACTACTACTCGTCTCATCAACAGCAATTCAAAATTCTCAAAGAAGGAACTTACACACCAGACGAGAGAGCCATTTTTGCGAGTACCATAAAAGGTAATATTATCCGTGCCATGATCTCCATGGTTGAGGCTTGCGATGAATTGGGTGAAGAAATTGAGAAGGAAGAAAACAAACAATTCGCACAAGAATTGATTCAATTAGATGATGAGAATGCTCTCTTGAATGTTGATGCATTCTACAATGCTGAATTGGTACAAAAATTGAAACAGTTATGGGCTGACACTGGTATTCAGAATGTTTTACAACGTCGAGATGAATATCAATTGTTGGATTCCACTGAATACTTTTATCAACGTATCGATGCTATTAGTGAGAAGAATTATGTGCCAACGGATAAAGATATTTTGATGTGTAGAACAAAGACGACTGGTGTGGTCGAATTGAAATTGTAAGTATTAGGAGACATCATAGTAATGTATATTCATGTGTATATATATCCATTGTGATGTATGGATGATGATATTGACAACAACAACTACTATTACTACTACTTGATATCTGCCTGTCCGTGCCATGTGTGATGATTGTGTTTGTCATGACAATCAATAATAATAGTGAACAAGATGATACTAAAGTTTCACTCATCGACGTTGGTGGTCAACGTAACGAAAGAAAGAAGTGGATTCACTGTTTTGAAAATGTCACTGCAATTTGTAAGTACTACGACTATTACTATTACGACTAATTCATCATTATCATGTCATTACTATGATCATCATTTTCTCTCTCTCACACATACCTCTCTTCATTCCAGTATTCGTTGCTTCCATGTCAGAATTTGATCAAAAATGTTATGAGGATGACAGTACCAACAGAATTCAAGAATCTCTTCTCCTCTTTGATGAAATTGTGAACAGTAGATACTTTATTGACACACCTGTGATATTCTTCCTTAATAAGAAGGACATCTTCCAAAAGAAGATTGAAACTAAAAAGTTATCTGATTTCTTCCCAGATTATCAAGGACCACCACATGACTTTGATGCAACATCCAAATATATGCTTCAAAAATTCACATCAAGAATTAATGATCAAAATAGAGAATTCTATCCATTCATTACATGTGCAACAGATACTGACAATGTGAAGAACATCTTTGACAGTGTGAAGAAGATTGTCATTAAGAAATAAGCGAACCATTATTCACTTTTCTCTTGTATGACTCTCCTTATTGATTCATTCAATAATTCTTTTATTAGCCATGTGAACAAGAGTTCGTTCATGAGCCAACTCCAGCATTCCATATATGGGTTGGTTTTCTGGCGAGTCATGTTTAAAAACTACTTTCACAACATTACCAAAATTTTGCTTACCGAACACACACACATTGTACACTATATTCATCATTCTTCATCAACAATAATAAATTGATCATTCATGAATATATATATGGCTTGCACATGCAAGAGAGTTTGGCAACAGTAAGGAGAGAATTTCTCAATGATCAACATTCTAAATAGATTTCGACCTTTCATATATTAAGCCAATATGGTTCTTGAGGGAACTCTCAAAAAGAGTCCATACATGACCATAAGCTTCTCCAGTAGTAGTACTGGAATTGCCAGAGTTCTGAGTCGTCGTCGTCGTCCTCGTTTGTTGATAATACAAGTCCAGTTCGTGGAGTACTTTTTGAGGTGAAGCTAAAGAAGTCACAAGTTCGATAAACATTTGTTGAGTAGAGACGTTCACCTTCTTCTCTTCATCCACAATGCCATAGATGAGCACTTTCTTTATCATTTCTGAAATAAGGCCATTCTTGTCAGAGTGAAGAAGAAGGGATCTCCTAAAGAGATTATTTGTACTTCGTGAACGCACATCTCCTTCTTCTCTTAAAAGGGATGATTTCAACAAGATTTGATTTAGTTTACAAACTCCAAAATCTTGAATGATTTGAAAACATTTCATTCTAATTCTCTTGTCCTTGTCGAAACATTTCATAATGATCATTTCAAAGTATTTTGGAATGTATGTTTCATCGCTTTTCATCTTTTGTTGAGCTAATGAGTTCCAAATTTCCATTATTTTGAGTCTCACTGTTTGATTTGGATCAGTTTTCAGCGATAGTTCCAACTTTTGAAAGATGGACTCTCTATTGTATTTAACTTGAGGATTGTCCTCATTGGTCGAGTAGTGACAGTTGGTGTCCATGACAAGCTGTAGAATTTCTAAAGCTTTCATTCTTGTCTCACAGTGCTTGTCTTGTGGTAATACCTTTCCCAAAATAAATTCAAGCATACGGTTGACATTTCTGATGGAAGATTGTTCAACATCTCCAACAAGTATTGTTTGAAGCAACTCCATTGTTTTTCTCTTTTCTTTTCCTCCAACTAAATTTGCAGTGACAAGCTTTTCAATACTTCCAATGACAAACTTGGCAATTGATGAGAATTCGTTGGAGTGATCATTGACGAGATGAGACAACAGTTCAGCGACAAAGTATGAAACTGTTGTACAGAACTCATTAAACGTTTCAGATGAGTTTTTGTTCTCAATTGAACTCAAGCCAATGATCTTGCGTTGAATTAAATCCGTGAGCAATGGTTGGAGTTTTGAGTGATTCATATTCCACAATTTGATGATCCATTGTAAGGTGTTTCTCATGACATTGGAAGAGTTGCGATCAATTCTTTTTTGATGTTTCAAGGTCATGTAAATGAAGTATTGTGTGGTATGGATTAATTGCTTAAACAATGCTTCAAAAGCATGATCGCTTAGAGCTGGAAAAGGTGTTAAGGTTTCTGGAGAGCATGACTCACTTCTATTCTTGCTTGCCACTACTGTCCAATACAACATTCTCTCAGTAAAGATAAGTTTCATTTCACCTTTTTTAGTTCGTTGATTCGAGTAGCGATCTGAATACACTGAAGACAAGCACTCAAACAATGAATCTTTAGAGAGGAAACTCAAAGAGATCATTACGCCAGTAACTATTTCATCAAACATGCCAATATGTTGAGCTATTTTCCCTAACAAGTGATCATCATTAGACCACTCTTCCAAAGAAAAGTCATTCATGTGATTGGGAAACATCATCAGTTCAAACAATACGAACACACAAAATCTGCAATTCAAACAAAACTTGTGGAGGATGATTTCTTTTGGAGTCGTCTCTTGTTTTGCTTGGATGAGTTTGTTGAGGAAGCCAAAGATTAAATGAAGACATTCTTTGAAGAGATTCATTGATGTTTCAAGAGTTTCTGATTCATAGTCGGACATTAAGTCTTTAGAGAAAAGAATGTCCACGAATCGTTTGCTTTCCTTTTCATAGGAAACAACTCTTTTCCCTTTTCCAATCAATTTAAGATCTTGCTTTATCGTATTGGTAATCTCTTCAATGAAGAGAGTTTCTGAAAAGCCTAAATTCTTCATATAATAATATTTCAAATAAAATGAGAGAGCAAACAGCGTTGAGGCTATTTTTTTTTACAAAACAAATATAAGGCTTTTCAGTGTTTTTTGTCAACAACATTGAGACCTGTCATGACAACAACATTGTGTGTGGCTAGGCATTGAAAGACTTTTTGCAATTCTCTCCCGTTGTTATATATGTTATGGATCTTCACCAAGTTCATACAGTTCGAGCAATTTCTCGAACTCTATTTGCCTACTTGATCCGAAGAACCCTGTTCAAGTACGCTCTGTTTGGTATGCGAAAAGTGTGTGTATTGATTTTTGAACATAAAAAATGATCCCATCCTTCCTGAAGGGGAAAATGACTCATCCAAGTGCATCGTCGTCGGCATTCACCAGCGATGATGAGGTACTGAGCCAAGAAGAAGACTTCTCTACTACCAATAAGCGAAAACTTGTGGATATGCTTCAAAATTCAAGCTCAAGCGCAGTTTCAAAACTCATCACCAAAAACAAGGAACGAAAAGAAAAGGAAGAACAAACAAAGAAGAAACAGAAATTTATCAAGTAAGTTAATAAGCGCGGACTATCAAAATGTGATTTTGTACCACGTCACGATGAATACAAACACCCATTCAAATATTCATCATGATGATGATGACGACGACGACCATTCCTATCTATAAATATTTATAGAGAATCAAATATAATGAAGGAAATTGAAGAACGAATTCAAAGGATTGCAACAGTTAGTCACTCAAGTGATGAAAACAATCATCATGACAATCATGAAGAGGATGAATGGGAGGAATTTACTCAACCACAAGAGGATGAGGATGGTGACATGGAAGAATTCTCCTCCTCATTACAAGAACATGAAAGAATGCAAGACGACGATGAGAAAGAAGATGATTCTCTTCATATTACGATCAAGAATGAAGAACATTCCAAGAAGACAAAAAAAGTCATCCATCGAAAATCCAAAGGAGAACATCGACTTCTTTCCATTATGAATTTGACTCACATGATACTCTATTTTAATTTTTATTATTTATTGAATGAATACATTTCATGGGAATGTGAGGAAGTGAAAGGAGTGATTTTAAGTCTATTGGAAAGTCTCAAATCATTCACGAGTACCACCACCACCACCACCACTAGCACTACTAGTACCACTAACACCCCCAATACTAACAATAACACCACCTCTCCCTTTTCAACGATTGAATCATGTGTGGAATGGGTCTATGAAACCTTCACCTTTCACAAGTTTAAAAAACATTCTTTTTACAAATTATTGGTGGATGAGAAGGATCAAATTTCTACACATTTGAAAAATCTTGAAATTCATAATATATGTGAATTATACATTGCAGTCATGTTAGTATTGATCTACTCTGGATACACTGTGAGATTTGTTGCAAGTTTAGAACTTTCACCATTACTATTCATGGAAACGAAGAAAAAAAAGAAAAAAAAAAAGAAACATTTTGAACATGATATTTGGTTAGAAGTAAATGATCCAAAAGAAAAACAACATGAAACTCGATTACATTACACAACCATTGAATTAGGTCAAAAAGAACCCATCATTGAAAATACAACATTGAATATTGAAGCCGTTGAAAAACTTTACAAAAAGATGAGCAAAACTTTATGTGAATATCCCATTGTAGTGGTTTCCTTTGATTATCTTGGAAAGATTCAAGATAAGAGATTTAATGATGATCCTAATAATGGAAATGATCATTCAGAAAAGAGTAATGATGATAGTAGTCGCGATCATGTAAATGATGATTTTCATTCAGAAATGTCAATCAAGAGTGAAAGTGGTGGTGATGTTAGTGGTGGTGATGGAAGTGATGATCGAAGTGATGATCTATTTCATTACGTCATTCGAGATGTTACTCCAAAACATTTTCTATGTAAACCTCCAAGTACTTTGATTGGAAAAGAGAATTATCAATATGTTGAACATGCCATGAAAGAATTACTTGATGAAATCAATGAGAAGAATTATTCAAAGTATGATGATTCAACCACTCTCAGAATTCAACGAATGAAGAATGCTGCTACTAGTCCTCCTTCTTCAATGACGACTCGATTGAAAAGCAAAGTGAATCATGATTTCATCATTGAGAATGTCATGCAACAACAAGAGGATGTGATTCTCCTCTCACACCATTCTCATCCTCCTTCTCCTCCTTCTCCTCCTTCTCCTCATCCTCCTCATCCTCCTCTTCATTTGGCATCATCGATAGCATTGAGTAATAGTACTACTTCAACAAGTAGTAGTAGTAGTAGTAGTACTATTACGAGTAGTGGTGGTGCTACACGTGATTCGAATCATCACTTGGACCACTACAAGGACACGAAGACATTTATGAATTCTTTTTCTAAAATTTTAACCAATCCATTCATTGAAAAAGATTCTCTACTCATTCAAAGTATTCTCACTCAAATGGAATTGGAAGTTCCTTCTTCCATTCAAGACTTTCAAACACATCCCATTTATGTCATTGACAAGTTCATTCCAAAATATGAAGGAATGTATCCAAAAGATGTTGAACCAGTGTGTGTGGTAAAAAACCATAATGTCTATTTGAGATCCTCATTGAAACCTCTTCACACCAAAGATCGATGGCTTCGAGATGAAATGAAAAAAGTCAAAGATCATGAAAAACCTTACAAAATAGTCAAGTCAGCCAAATTTAGTAAACACTCGGAATATACCGAGTTGTTTGGAGAGTGGCAAACAGAACCCTATTCCGTTCCAATGGTTACTCTCAATGATCCCATTCCAAAGAGTGAAAAGGGAACTTATGAATTGTGGAATTCAAACTTTTTACCACAAGGATGTAGTCATATCAGTACAGCCAATACTCCTCTCAAAGGTTTAACAATTGTTGCACGAAAATTAGGAATTGATTATGCAAGAGCAATGGTTGGATTTGAATTTAGACAAAAACGTAGTATTCCAAAATATGATGGAATTATTGTTCACTCTGAAAATGAACAAGTGTTAAGAGAAGCTTATGTGGCCTATGAAAAGAAACGACTTGAAAAGATGAAAAAGAAGAAACAGGATCGAATTATGAATAATTGGTGTAAACTTGTGAGAGGTTTATTAGCAAGAGAATATGTCAAGGATAAATATTTGAATAAGAAGGAAGAAGTATTCTTGAGAGATGTCATTGAAGTGATGGATGATGGTGAGGATGGTGTTGGTGTCGCTAGTAGTAGTAGTAGTAGTACGAGTGGTTCTGGTCTTGTTGCTAGTAGTAGTAGTAGTACGAGTGGTCATAATGGTGGTAGTAATGGCAATGGCACAGAAGATCATCACCATGAACACAAGAAAGAAGAAACAAAGACTTCTTCTCCACCAAAAGTGCAACGAATGCTTGCCAGTGGAAAAATTGTAGAGTTTGAACAGTTATAATTCCTTATTATGGGTGGAAAGTTGATTCTGTAATTGTTGAATGGTATTTTGGAATCTCAATAGACCCACCTGAACATAAGTTCATGTTTGTTCAAAGTGTTTCAATGCATATGGAATTGAGTTACGAAAGATAAATTCATGTTTGTTCAAAGTGTTGTTGTTAAAACATGACACAATGTGTTTCGATGGTTCATGATGATCATTGTCGAATAAATAATGAATTTCAAATAATATATTTCAGATGAATCAATTCCACATTCCTGAATGTGTCATTAAAATCCATTTTCAACTTACCGATTTTTCTCTTGCAATTTTTATCCATTGTGCCACTAATTGAATTCTCTCTCTAAATTCATTGGAGGAAATCATGTTCGATTGTTCATCAAAAGAGTCCGCAAATATTGGTTTTCGATATCCAAAACTAAACAACATGGGTCGTTGAGAGGTTTCTACTAGAATGATTCTTGGATCGATAGATACGATCTGATGAGAAGAGACAATTCCATGAATTAAGGTTTGAAGACATTCCAATTGATAATTCACTTCTTTCTCATCTACATTTGATTTTTGTAATAATTCAATAATGAATACCCAATCGATATAAGGAATATAAATATAGGGTTGATCCCATCGATCTTCGAATGAAGCAATTGTCTTTAAATTTTCAATGTCATTCAAAGAGATAGGATATCGTCCATGTGTGGTATAATATAAATAGACATGTTGTAAAATTAAATTTAGTTCAATTCTAGTGTATGCTATTTTACTTTCAATCAATTTTTCATTATAGACCATGCTTGTCATTCCACTAAATGTTACAAGAATACTAATAGCAATTAAAATTTCAATTAAACTAAAATGTTTTGTAATCTTTTTCATAGAAATGATGTTTTCAGAAATTTTGTTTTTGGAATGATTGAATTTGAAATAATAATAATAATAGGTATACAATGACACAACAAAGAGTAACAGTAGTATTGGTTTTTTAGAATTTCGTATGAATTTTTGAACATTGAGAAGTTTAGTCAATGACGATCGGAACAGTTGTTGTTGTTGTTGTTGTTGGTGTAGTATTGATTTGTGAGAATGATGATGAATTTTTGAATGTCCAATGAAATGTTTAATGATCATGTCCATTCTTCTTCTTCTTCTTTTGGATTCAAGTGGTGGTGATGGTTGTTGTTGTTGTTGTTGTTGTGATTCATCATAGGTCTTCTTTTTGTAATATTCTCTGTAAATTTCATTGATCGAAGAAAGAGAATGTTTGATATCATTTGATAATTCCTTTGGATGAAGAAGCACTGTGTCTTGTCGTCTCTCCAAATGATCTGAATGGATCATTGGATGTTGTTGTTGTTGATGGTTTGAAATCATTTTTTAAAATTGGAAGGTGTGTGTTCGTCATGATCAGTCACTCATGAATTCTATCCATCGATAATAGAATAAATTCATCAATTTTTTGCATAGGTAAATATATTTTGAAGCAGAATAGGGATGGCCATGCAAACACCGAATGATCGGAATGATCGGAATTAAAAAAAATTTCTGGTTTTGGTGACCATCATCACAGACATCATCCTTTATCATCATCACCATATGGATCATCCACTCCATTCTCACTCACAAATGAAATTTAAAGGATCTACTTCTAAAACCTTTTTTGAAGATGAAGTGGTGAAACAAATTGAATTACAATACGAATGTAGTAAAAATTTAAACGAACAAAATAATTTGGATCATGAATCATCATCAAATCAACAAACCCATAGAAATTCTTTTTTCTCAAGATAAATCACAGATATTATGTAATGTTACTAAAAATATTTACCAAAACACTATTGAAGAATACTACAAAAGAAGACCCTTTAAATTATTAAAGACTGAGAGATTCTTTAAATTAACTCCCGACGAGATGAACTCTAAATTTGATATTCATTTAAACAGTGGCAATGATTTATTTAACAATAATTTAGTTAATTTTGAAGACTTTTTCCCTTCTCCTCATCGATTGATTGACTCTCTGTTTGATGAAATTAATATTGAATCATTTGGACCTCGGAATTTATTCGGAAGAAATTTTAGACGTCAAGAAGAAGAAGAGCAATTACCATCATCATCATCATCCTCTTCCTCGTATTTTGATAAGGCTCAATTCGATGACACTGTATTTCATGGGGATAAAAAATAAGAAGAAGACTTTTTCTTCAATCGATTGGATTGTCCTATATTCTATTCAAATGATTCACTCTATGAAAAGTTTAAATTCAAAAGGGTATTAGAGAAAATGTTACAAAATCAAAATTGAAAGGTTTTGCAGTTATAGCTAATTATGAGATTGTCATTTGAAATTTTTGAAATTCTGATCTTATCTTTTTATTTGAACATTCACCAAATAAACCTGTGTTCTATAATTTTCATAAGACAATAAATTTAAGATTTCAATATCTTGCAATAGGAATGCAAACAAGATTCAAAATTGTCGACTTTGGGATCACAACATGAGATCTCATTTCACAACACAAAACATTTTATTGAGAGAAAGAATATTTCTTCTGCAGATCCAATCTGTGAAGAGAGAAAGAGGGATCAAGACTGTATATATGATTAGGATTATAACAACACTCTCTTTTGCTCTGAGAATTCAAAATGAACCATATCATCATCTCTCTACTCTCCAGTTTCTCTTCTACTTCCAGCACAGGCACAAGTGGAGGAAGATGATGTGGTTGAATGGTTGTTATTACTACTACTAGGATTTCGAATGGTATATCCTAATTCACTTCCCTTAATTCGATTGGTATTTGAGGGATTTGTTTTTATGGGAGTACCACTACTACTACTACTACTACTATTCATACTTGTTTGATGTTGCATTAAGAGTGGACCACATCGCACACCGCTTCCAACAACATCGTCATCCATACCTCCAACCATAATTTCATGAGCTTGAATCTTTTTGTAAATTAATTCAGAACTTTCCAAGAATGCCTTGTACACATTTTCAGCTGTCTTGGCAGAGGTCTCGAGAAACATGTGAATTTTGTTCTTTTCTGCAAATTCTAAACCTTCCTTATAGGATACTTGTCGTTGTGTTTTGGCGAGATCTATTTTGACCATATATATCATTATAGAAGAATTATAGGAAGAAGAATCATTTCATTATAGAAGAATTATAGGAAGAAGAATGATTCAGTGTCGTTGATGTGTGTGTGTTTGATATGAATGAATTCAGACATGACACACATTTGATATATCATTCAATAATTTGGTTCATGTCCATATTAATTTTAAAAATTAATCACAACATTTTTAAAAATTCCAAATAATTATTATTTGATCACCACTCACCTGTTTTGTTTCCAATCAATACTACAATTAATTGAGAATGATTAGAGTTGTTTGAGAGAGCATCTGTGAGCCATGTTTGAACTGATTCAAATGTACTCCTTCTAGTAATGTCATAAACGAGAAATGCACAAGCACTGCATCGATAGTACGATCGAGCAATGGATCGAAAGGCTTCTTGACCAGCTGCATGCATGACATTTAAAGTGAATGTAATCATCAAATAATGTAAAGTGATGCAAAGTGAATGAAATAGAGTGATGCGTCAGTGAATAATCAAATGAAACATTTAGTAATGACAAACTCAATTCATACCTGTATCCCATATTTGAGTCTTAATTTTGATATGATTATATTTAGCACCAAGGTCTATCGTTTTGGTACCAAATTCAACTCCAATTGTACATTCAGACCTCGAATCAAATCGGTCATCCGTAAATTGTAGTAAAATACATGACTATTGTCACAGATTGAATATCATGTTGACATTTCATTGATAATTATCAGCAAACACTCACAGCAGTGTTTCTCACTTACTTTTCCAACTCCAGAATCTCCAATAATAATATATTTAAACATGTAATGATATGCAGCTGATTGATTCATCATGAATTTCAAGAGAGATGACTATTCTCAAAGAGGAAATCTAATGTTCTCAACAAAATCGTTTTATAAATAGTAATCGCGCGTGATGTAATTGTTTCCAAGTGCGTGTATGCAAAATCTATTGATTGAATGAGTGATTGGATGATCGTCGTTATATCCCAACAATAATTATTCCACGAATTCGAATTTGGAATCACTCAGTTGTAACTAACAGTAGTACTACTACTTTAACTACTCTCAACTTTCTATTCCGATTCAATATTCGAATTGTGCTGGTTCTATTGCTTCAATATTCGAATCTGTTATTGTGCGGGTTCTATTGCTGATGTTACTGAGAGAGCTTTCAAAAAATCTTATTTTTTCTGAAAATGATGACTTTTGCTCCTTTCCCGAGATTGCAACCTTTTTCCGACGTGAATAAAAATGCTCAAATCAAGAAGAAGCCTTCTTCTTCTCTCCACTTGTTGGCTCAACAGCAAACACATTGACCATTTCAACGTTGGAGGCTTACACAATTTTGGCCAATGTGGTGGAACAATGAGAATGTTCCATCATCAAACCATGGTTAAGGAATCTACTCTCCGAGAGTCTAAAACACTACTTTGTCGAAACTTGCTTTCCCGAACACCATCACCCACCACCACAGCAGAGGCTCATTCATCGTCAGGCCACCAAAGAGTGCTAATCGCCCAAAGTGTTCACGACAAGAAAATAATTTTAATTTATATTGCAGGAGCATGTATTGTTTGTCTTACATGTATGACTCTTTATCATGTCTATTTTGTCAATACAGTACAATTACATTCAAGTGTACCGAAAAACTTGCCTTCTGGTTTCTCGGATGTTCTCAGATTGGAACAAATTGAAAAGCAAGTTCATGAAGAAAAACAAAAAGCTGCACAAACTCCTATTGTTACATTGAAATCAGTACCCGATGAACATAAAGTGCCACTGACAGTTCTATTGGTTGGAATTAATGTGTTTTTCTGGGTGATGGTATTCAAAGTCAAATCAAGAATGATTTCCAAGCTCTATGTGAATAATCCTAATCACTATGTAAAATTCAGAAAACAATACATGATGAACACGGCTGTATCAAGAAGCGTCGATCATCCTCGAGGACAAACCAATTCCTTACATCAACAAATGTCTATGACAAGCATCCCACTCCCAGTTTTACTTCAGCAACAACAACAAAGATTACTCGATGAATTATCATTTACTGCCAACACTCTTGACAAAATACTTCCTGGTAAGGAGATCACCTTCACTGCGAAAGATGTGTGGTACTCTGAAAATGACGGTCGCTTTGTTTATTTGAGAATTGGTAAAGACGAGCAACATGTGAAACGATATTTTTATTGTGCACAAGATCAGGAGGAGAGTAAGGAATTGGCTGACTTTATGAATCAAATCAGTAGCAGTAATAGTTGTTGTGCTCAGAACAGATCGTAACTATATATAACATTTTTCAAAGTGTTGCTGTCGACGTTTTGGCGGTTATTTTGTAAACCAAACCCGCCAACCTTTGAACAATTAAAATTCCTCATCATCATCACCTAGAAAAAAATACAACCACACAAGCGATTGTGTCCTTGTGATTCCTTATTAAGATATTTAAACAACCAAATAGTGAGCCATGCAACTCAAATACTTAGATCCTCCTATATTGCCAGCCTCATCAGCCAAAAGCATTTCCTCATCAGCCAAAATTACTGCCATGTGCTGGTCTAACAACAACAGAAGATTGGCAGTTGCTGATTCGGAACGTTCCATACATCTTTTTGATGAAACAGGAGAGAAAAGGGAGCGTTTTCCAACAAAAGCAGCGGACGGAAAGAAAGGAAATAAGTTGTATACAATAACAGGAATGGTGTTTAGCCCAGATGACGTCAAACTTGCCATCGCTCAAACCGATGACATTGTTTATATTTATAGGTTAGGACTTGAATGGGGAGAAAAGAAGATTATTTGCAACAAATTCCTTCAAAAATCAGCAATAACATGTTGTTGCTGGCCAAGTATGCATCCTTCAGAAATTGTTTTTGGATTAAGGGATGGACGTGTGAGAATGGGAAACACAAGAAACAATTCTGCTACAACATTGTATCAGGCAGAATCAGAGGTTGTTGCTCTTGCTGCCAGCAGTGACGGACATGGATTAGTGAGTGGACATTTGGATGGTTCAATTTATAGATTTTACTTTGAAGACACACCCAATGGAGACCTTTCGAGTAACCTCAACGGAGATGTCATTGACGACATGATGATGGGAGCAGGATTTGCAAACAGCAACATTATTGGATCTCAAAAAATATGCGTTCATTCCACAATACCCTACTGTCTCGCTTGGGGAAACAATATTATTGCGAGCGGAGCTGACAAAAGAGTATCATTTTACAGCATCGATGGCTCGTTACTTCAAAATTTTGACTTTTCAGACCGAGAGGAGAAAGAATTTAGTGCAATTGCTTGCAATCCATCAGGTCAATGTTGTGTTGTCGGATCATGGAACAAACTTAAAGTTTTTAATTATAATATTCATAGAAACATGTGGGAAGAAGGTGATCATATTGAAATTCCAAATTTATATGCTGTAACATCTGCTTGTTGGAAACCAGACGGCTCTAGGCTCGTGATTGGAAACATGACTGGACAAGTGGACTGGTTTGATGCATGCATCAAAAGATATCGATACAAGGGAGAATTCGAATTCACATTTGTCAGCTCTAGTCAGGTTATTGTCAAAAGACTTTCAACGAATGTACGAATTGTTCTGAAATCGCTATTCGAAGAAGAAATTCTCAAAGTGAATGTAGCTAGGGATCAATATATAATTGCTAGAACTCCAAGAACATTGCTTTTGGGAGATTTGGAATCATGCAAGTTGAGTGAAATTGCTTGGAATTCTGATGAAAACAATGAAAAGTTTTATTTTGATAATCCAAAAGTATGCATGGTTTACAAGGCAGGAGAATTTTCTATTATTGAGTATGGCATTAATGACATTATTGGCAGTTTTAGGACAGAGCATGTTAGTACTTTCTTAATTAGTGCCAGGATTGCAGACAAAGAAACTCCAAACAATGAAATTGATTTAAGTGGAGGCAACAAAAAAGTGGCATATCTAATCGACAGTCATACAATTTGTATTTTGGATTTGGTTTCTTCGTTCACTATTGCTAAAATCAGTCACGATTATAGAATTGATTGGCTTGAGTTGAATAACAGAGCTTCAAAACTGTTGTTTAGAGACAAGCAAAGACATTTACACGTGTTTGATCTCAAGAGTCAAAAGACAACCACTCTATTAACTTATTGTAGCTATGTCCAATGGGTACCAGAATCTGATGTTGTGGTTGCTCAGAATAGAAGTGATCTTTGTGTGTGGTACAATATTGACGCTCCAGATCGGGTAACCATTGTTCAAATCAAAGGAGAGGTAGTCGATATTATTCGATCCGATGGATGCACTGCTGTTCTGGTTGATGAAGGTCCAGGAACTGTCAATTATGACTTGAATGAAGGATTGATCAACTTTGGGAATGCTATGGAAGACAAAAAATATGAACAGGCAGCAAGTATTTTAGAACGACTTTCTCTCACTCCAGAAACTGAAGCCATGTGGAAAAAACTGAGTGAAGTTGTCATGGAAGATATGAGATATGACATTGCTGAGAGATGTTTTGCAGCACTTGGTGATGTTGCAAAATCTCGATTCCTGCGAAAGATTAATCAAGAATCAAAGCGAATAAGAGAAAGTGAAGGAGAAGGAATTGAACCATTGGATCATTGGAAGATACGAGCCGAGATGGCAATATTAAGCAAAGATTTTAAAGCAGCTGAACAAATTTATTTGGAACAAGCAAAGGTCGATGAAGCCATCAAAATGTATGAACAATTACACAAATTTGAAGAGAGTATATTCTTAGCGATTGAGAAGGGTATTAACAACGCACAAGAAAAGAAACAAAAATATATTGAATGGCTGATTCAATCCAAGCAAGAGGATAAGGCAGCCAAGATTTATGAAAAGGAAGGACAATACATTAAGGCCATCAATTTGTATCTTCAAGGAGGATTCCCGGCAAGCGCTGCCAATGTCGTAACAAAATACAATGTGGTCTTTGATAATGGTGCCAGTGAAAAGCTGTTGGACTCGATTGCGGAGGCTTTATCCAAAAATGGTCTATTTGAGAAGGCTGGAGAGTTTTATGAAAAGAGAGGTCTTTATGAAAAAGCCATTGAGGCCTATCGAAAGGGAAAGTCCTATCGATTTGCAGTCGAGTTATGTCGATCAGCTAATCCCGAGTTGGTTGTTAAATTAGAGGAAGAATGGGGAGATTATTTGGTGCAACAAAAACAAGTAGAATCTGCCATTCATCACTACATTGAAGCAAACAATTATGTGAAAGCTATTGAAGCTGCTATCAACTCTAGACAATGGACTAAAGCAGTACAAATTCTTGAAGGAATGGATGTCCAAATTGCCAAACGATATTATGGAAGAATTGCTCGACATTATGAAGATATTCAAAATTTACAACAAGCAAAGAAACTCTATATCAAAGCTAATGAATATAGAGAAGCCATGGAAATGTTTGAAAGATATAACAAGTGGGAAGAGGTACAATCGATAGCAGAGACTTTTATGAGTCAAGTTGAAATGAAACAATTCTACACAGAATTAGCATCCAAGTTAGAAAAGAAACAACGCTTTAAGGAGGCAGAAAAGCTTTTTATCAAGGCAGATGAAACTGATTTGGCCATTAACATGTATGCCAAAAATCACATGTTTGATGACATGGTGAGATTGGTAGCAAAATATAATCCAATTCATTTGAAGCAAGCTCAACTCAAGATTGCAGAACAACTCGAATCGGAAGGTCATTTACGACAAGCTGAACATTACTACATTGAAGCAAGTGATTGGAAGAATGCAGTGAACATGTACAGAAATAATGACAAATGGAATGATGCCATCCGAGTGGCCAAAGCTCATGGAGGTTTAACGGCTTGGAAAAAGGTGGCACTTGAATGGGCCAAACAATATACAGGAGGAGAAGCAGGTGTCAAGTTATTATGTAAGCTTGGTCTTATTGAAGATGCTATTGATTATGCGATGGATGGTGAATTCTGGGAAATGGCATTTGAAATGGCAAGATCCTCAAGTAATAACATGACTCAAAAGTTGCCTCAAATTCATATGAAATATGCAATCTCATTAGAGGAAGCAGGTAACTTGAAAGAAGCTGAAGCTGAATATATTAATGCCAATAGTCCTAAAGAAGCTATTGACATGTATGTACATCATACAGATTGGGAGAATGCTATGAGAGTGGCAGAAACTCATGATCCTTCTCTGATTAATTACATTATTGAGTTCCAAGCGGATTTGGCTTTCCAAAATAGAGAATTTGAAAAAGCAGAAAAATTATATTTGGAAGCAAGAAATCCAGAAAAGCTCATTGAGAAATACAAATCCATTCATAGGTTCCAAGATGCTAAAAGAATTGCAGATACTCATCTCTCCTCGGACTATCAAAGAAAGTTGACTTCCGATTGGGCAGAATATTTAGTCGATTACAATCAAAAAGATGCTCAAAGAGGAACAAGAACTTTGGAAGAAGAAGATTTGACAGACAACAATGATCCTGCTGCTCCAGCTCGAATGTTTGCACAAAATGGTCAATATGCAAAGGCAATTGATGCATACATTGGATTTCCTTGGAAAGGTCTTGATCCTGAATATTTGGAAGGAGAATGGGTGAGCGCTGTAAAGATTACTATCAATAATTTACAACCAAGAGTTACTGAAGTAGTTTCCATATTTACAAAGAGATTAATTGAACTCAAACGATATCAGACAGCAGCAGAAATATTTTGTATGGTGAAACAATTCAAAGATGCCATTGATGTTTATGTGAAACAAAAATTATTTAGTGAAGCACTTGATTTAGCTAAACAACGTGCTCCAGATCTCTTGGATTATGTAAAAGAACAACACAAAAAGAGTTTAAAACCAACAGATGGTCCAGAAAATTTGATCGATCAAATTGAAAAGCTTGCAGATGCTGGTGAATGGGACAAGTGTTTAGAACTTTGTCAAAAACATGAAAATCCAGAAATTCTCTCCAGAAATACTGCATCCTATGTGAATTTGTTAGTGAACGAGAGACATGACTTTAATAAGGCACTCAGTGTGTTGGAAAAGTATGGAGTTCCTATTGAAAAACAAATGATCAATGTCTATAAGGAATTGGTGACAAGAATCATTTGGTCAACAGTTCATCAAGAAAATGTAAATACAACAGACATTAAGAGATGCAGAGACATGTTGAGATCGTTAATTGAAGGATCTGCAAATGCTAATATGCAACTTGCTCCAGTAATGTCTAAATTATACCAAGCATGTCATATTTATCATGTTAAGGATCTTTGTAAGAAGCTTGATCTTCAAGAACTCTATACAAAGAATTGTGTGAGTCTTTGTAGGTATACAGATGAAATACCTCCAGATTCAGTATTCTATGAGGCAGGAAAAGCATGTGAAAAGATGAAGTGGGAGAATATGATGTTTGTTTTTTACAATCGATTTTTAGATATTGGAGATGCTATTGAAGAGATTGAACTCAAAGAAGAATATCAAAATCAAGATCCACCCATTCTTATTAAGGGTACCGCAGAGTTAGAAAATTCAGATTTCCAAGGAACAGATGTGCCCTATAAGGTTCCAATACCTGTTTCACAATTAATTGATGAAGATTTGAAAGAAGAGATAACCAATGTTGTGTTACAAAAGTCCATGAACTCTGACTTTAATAGCTCATTAAGCAAATGTCCATGCCCTTCATGTAAGACACCCATTTATGTTGCTAATTTGAGTTGTTTCAAGTGCAAGTCACAATTTGAACCATGTTCAATTACTGGATATCCTGTTGCACCTGAACAAAAGGTTTGCTGTACGAATTGTAGGAGACCTTCAAATCGCAGTGATTGGAATTTGTTCATTATGAAACATAAGAGATGTCCTCATTGTGATGATTTACAATTAACCATGTAATTCGATCGGTGAGAATAAATTATTATCTTAAGATACATCAATACATTCTGAGGTTCGGTAAGGAGGCCTCCTCCTCCTCCTCCTCCATCATAGTTAACTATATTGTGGGTGCTGTCATTGGTGGTTAATCATCGAGTTGGGTTTCTTCTTGAGTACTCGTAGATCTATTGGCCTTCCTAATCATCCACTCGGAACGGAAGATGTTCACTCCTCAAAGGTTGTTGTTGTTGTTGTTGACTCTGGAGAGACTTTAAATGTATTGCCCGTTGACTCCAATGTTGAAGGATGAAGTATGGTCGAAGAATGGGTTGCATGTCTTTTGATGAATTGATCATTTGGCACAATTCTAATATCTTTTCGAATTGGTATGAAAAGAGACATTTCTCAATTTCATTTGAATAATCTCTCATTTTGAAATGTTCATGGGTGGCATCCTCTTGATTCATTTCCAAACTATAAACTTTGATTGGTCTTTCTTTACCTTTCAAAACAACCAAATCAACAAAATAACAAATGAAGTCTTTCTTCACATGATGATGTGTCTTTTCGCCAATGAGTGTTCGAGTTCCAAATCTATGATTGAGAATGGATAAACTTGATGAGATGTTGACTTCATCTCCCATGACCTGATTATCCTTGAATTGTCAAAATTCAACCTGTACACTCACTAAAACACTTACCGTAAAACAAATGCGTTGTTGTGATCCTATATTTCCACATAAAATACGTCCACTATTCACTCCAATCGATGGTCCACCTATCAATGGACAATCCCTTCTCAACATGAATTGTTTCAACCAATGTGAATTTAATCTCTCCAAAGCCATGACAATTTCACAGCAAGCCATACATGCCAATCTTTCATGATTCTCTGTCTGTATACCTGATCGTGAGGTATCATTCCAAAAGGCAATCATTCGATTCTGTCCATAGAAATCCACTATTCCCTTATTCTTCTCAATAATTCCATAAATTTCAGTAAAAAGTTCTGTGGAAAAGGAAATAAAATTCACACGATCCATCTTGATGGTGTTGTGAGATTTTTCATGAAAATTATCATCACATACTGTATTACTATCTGGTAATAGGGAAAATCCATCAAGATCAATAAACATGACTGTCATGTCTTGTAAGGTCATTTGTCTTGACAAACATTGAGTTGTAACACTTTTGGGAACATATTTTGAGAAAATTGAAAGTGAGGATTTCATTGTGTTGAGACTTTGTTGCATTTGTCGAATGTCATGTAATAAATTGAAGGATTTCTTTTCTTGGAATGGATTGTTGAAATGAACCAATTCTTTCAATTGTTTCTTAATCGATCGAAGAGACATTTGAATACATTGAATGACAGTAAATAAAATAAAAATTCCAAAAAAAAGAACAATCGAGAAGATAATGACAGAGTTAATACTACCTGACAAGACCTCATCGACCTAATTAAGTAAATCAGTGAGTGAATGAGTGATTCAATAGTTGAATGATTTGAAATAAAAAATAAATCAATAAAAGTGTAAATTATAAATATTAAAATTTAAGGTGGTGAATGAAACTTACAAATGATCGATGAGGTATCGCAATAACACTTCCCCAATTAAGTCCATATTGATCTGTAATGGTGAATTGATAAACTTCCAAAGTTGGAATATTCGGTCTCGTGTATAAAAAACTTCCCCAATCCTTTATGGATGCTCTATCATTAAAATCTTGTCTCTGAAAATTCAAATCCTTCCATTCTGTTATTTTCTGTAAAAATCCTCTTGATTTGACTTCGTTCATTAAATCTTGTACCACATTGAAAGTTGAAGTTGACCAAGAAGAGGAATTACTAAATATGGAACTATTCGAAATACTATTCAAGGAAGCTGTCATGATCAAATTCGTGGATGCCACAACTTCACCATATGAATTAATTATAAATGCTACTGCGATACCTGCATTTCTGGCAGATTGGTCTAATATCTTGGTGATATTATCCAAATTAAGTTGTAGTCCAATGACTCCATATAAATGATTAGGATTTCTTGGAGCCCATTCATTTCGATAAATTTTTAAATCTGTATAATTTTTATATCCATCAATAGTATTCAATATGTAGAGTGAATCGGTGGTATCTTGACTGCTGTCACTTGTCAAATTATTCAACGATGCTTGATTCTTTGTAACATTGGAGAGAATTTCAGTCGATGAAATGGTCTCTGAAATATAGATTGGAATCGATGCTGTTATGGAAGGCTGTCCAATAAATGAGAAAAACAATGGACTCCATAAAATTTTAGGATTAGTGACATTAAGAAATAAATTGTACCAAGGTCGAGCAGTGACTGAAAATGTACTATTTTGAGAGAATCGAATATTAGAAGGATTTAGAATTTGAGGCAAGTCATCGGTCATGTTATATTCATTCATGGTACGAACGAGAGATGGATTGTTTGTTTTTTCAAATTTTCTAATATATGTTCGTTCCACTCCTAAAAAGTAATTGTCAAATCTTCCAAAATAGGATATTTGTAAAGGTAATTTTTGTTCAAAAAAAGTAAGAGAGTGTTTGAATAGAACAATCCAACTCATTTCATCATTTAAATTCATTCCATTCAATTCTTGTAATAATTGATTAATTGTAACAGTTGTTGTTTTAATCATTTCACTAATTTGGTAATCAACCACAAGACTCATTTGAATTTTTTGTTTCGTATAAGTTCTTTGAATAATATTATATCCACTTGTATATAACAAGATGAATGCTAATCAAGTGATTAATATTTATGATACCATGTTATTTGAAGAAAAAAATGATGAAAATGATTGTTGGTGATTGTGTTTAAGAACATTATGATTTAAAAAAGAATGACAAGAAACAACAACAACAACTTCTACTCCTCCTTTCTTCAGATTCACACACACTTACATGAAAGTAATCCAAACAATCCTTGTAAAATAAATAGAATCAAAATCACATTCATGACAGTGATGCATGGTGAAAGAACACCAACAACGAGTGGACATGATTTCATATTATTGTTCTTGAAAAAAGAAGAGCCATGATGATGAATCATCTTGTTAGACTTCTCTCCAGAAGTTTGTTCCTCTTCTTTCTTCCTTTGATTCAACCTTGTTGTTGAAGAACATGCGCTCATATTGGAAGTGGTTTTGTTTTGGCCTTCAGAGTTGTAGTTGTTGTTGGCTGTTGAGCGAGAAACGTCATCATGGAAGTTGACATGTTGTTGACTTGAATCCATGCTGTTGTTATTGGACAACACAGAATATGGTGCAGGTCGCAACATTTGGACACGTCACGTGGAAGAAGATTTTCTTTTGCAACGAACAGACAGTCGGAGAGCAGCAATGCATTTGTGGAACTCTACTCAACTTCCATAAAGAGAGAATGCGAATCGAAACTTTCGGAGATTCTTGCGAGGAGGGAGATTTATTATGAACCATGTCTTTATAAAACTCTGGCCAAAACAACACACACAACAAGAACAAGCAAGTAGAGCAGATTTCGAGTGTTGAAAATCATCATGAGCTCGTTATGGAAAGGAATTGGACATTTTCCTTTTGGCTTTTCTTGTTCTTCTCCTTTGATTTCCTTTTCATCTTGTGAATTTGTTTGTTTTCCTCTCATGAATGGACATTTTGAAATATCACCACCATGAGTTGGATGACCTGATGGTAAAGCTTTAGAGTTATTTGTAGTTTCATTTGATCTGTTATGGTCTGATGTTGTTTTGGAGGCGTTGGTTGAAGATTTCAATAGACCTCTCTTTTTCATAAGTTGTCGATTTCCTGTAACCATCGGACAGCCACCTTTCTTACTCTCAGCATCATCAAGTTCTCTTCTATCTTTTTTGTATTCCTGTACAGCCTTAGCAAATGCAATTCTCTCTTTTGGATCCAAGTATTGAGATTGCAACATTTCCTCTGGCATTTGTAATAAAGCATCCAAACTAGGTGGGAATAAATGAGCGTGTTGGGAGACAGTCCTCAAAATGTGTTTAAAGTTATCGGATGTGAAATCAGTTGCCAAATATTCATCATTCGAATAAATGTCCATATTTGCTTTTCCAGTGTGAACAAGTAGATATGCAATTCTTTCATGATCGTGACTCACTTCAATTCCATTAGCAAACACTCTCTGTAATTGACTTTGAAAAGCAAAATGTAAAGCAGTGTCTCCCATTTGATCCTGTAAATCTACTTTCACAAGGTTGTTTTTCAATCCAACATTTCCTTCTTCTTGAAGGTCTATGTCAAGTAATAACTCTACCATAGACAAGTTACCCAACGTTGCTGCGATCATAAGGGGAGTCACTTTGTGCTTATTTACCGCATTTACATCTGCACCTTCAGAAATTAGCAATCGAGCCACTCCAAGCGTTCCATTTCTTGAACAAGTATGCAAAGGTGTTTCTCCTTCTGAATTCTTTGAATTGGCATCTGCTCCCAAAGAGATTAATAAACGAGCTAATGACTCAATATCACGTGCTGTTTTGACTGTGGTATCCTCATTTGGATCTTCTGACTTGGATGCCTCAATTAAAGACCATGTACAGCATGAGTGCAAAGCTGTATATCCAATATAAGGAGCAACTTGACATTTATCATTCACTGAACAGTGCTTTCCTGACTTGATTAACAACGACACAATCTTTGGCTTGTTTTTTTTAACAGCAACCAATAAAGGTGTTAGACCTTCATGATTCACAACGTCACATCTCACTTTTCCTCGTACGACCAAATCTTCTACAATTTGAAATCTAATTTGATCCTTCTCTTTTGTTTCTACATCCATTAAAATAGCTTTGTGAAGTGGAGTGTTGTAATCATCATCAATAATATTGAACAAATCATGAGCTAGATATTCCTGATCGTCAAACAAGTCTTCATCACTGACACTCGCTGCATCGTGAGAAGAGAAATACAAATTTAAATTATCTAAATGTTTATCTACCAAAGCTTTTACTTTTTCAAGGTCTAGACTCTCCACTGTTTGATACACTTCATCACTGGTTACATGGTATGGTGATGAAATAGTAGGTCTTTCAGTAACGTCTTCAAAAGTTGTAACCATTTTCCGATAAGAGTGTTTTCATAAATTAATTTGGAAGTAAAAATTGAAGAATGGGTGATGATGATCGATGGAATGAACAACAAGAAGAGTGTATTGTATGTCGGATGGCAACTGGTTTGTAACAGGAAGTATTGAAGAGCGTTTTTTTGAACAATTTTAATTTTATACAAATTAAAGGAGAGGAAGCGGAACAATGCAGTTTTCCATCGTACAAAAAAGGCGCACCTTTCCGTCGTCATTCGACATCACAACCAGCAGTTCTGAACGAAGCCTTTTCATAGCCCAATTTCAACCACAAGATGAACAACACAGAGCCTCCATACAATACACCATAAAACATTGGAGAACTATACATGTTACGAGAAGAATATCTAGGAAAAGAACAACCTTCCCCAAAATATCCTATGGCCATTGGATAACAGCCAATATTTTCTACTCTTACTCACTACAATCTAAAGGAAACCTTATTCAAATTCTTTCCTGGTTTCAATGAGAATGCCTTGTTGTTGTCCCATTCAAATCTCACAAACTTTAGAATCTCCATTGGTTTGAGCTGAGTTTTTACATACATGGAATCAATGGCAAAAGTTTTTACATTTCTGTTACTGACTCCAAGAAGTTGTAAAATTGCTCCTCCACTACCACCATCTGTGTTCCATACTTTACATGTTTTTTCAACAGCACTGAAAGTACATAAGAGTTGACCATTCGGTGAGAAACTTAAAGCATGAACAGGAGCTTTGGTGTGAGCTTCAAATAACTGCCATTTGCTTGCCGTACGCATATCATAAATTACAACGGTTCCATCTGTTGCTCCAATTGCAAGTTTTTGTTTTTCTTGATGGAAAGATACCATTGGATAAATTTCTACCATGAAACGTAAAATATTGGTAGAGTTCGCCATACAAACATCTCTAATCGCTGGGAAATGTGGATCCAAAACTTTTAGTAAGAGTGAAGTTAAAACTACCAAATGATCCATTAAACATTTTGGATGTCTTTGCATGACAGGATAGAGCGAGCTTATGGATGCGTTGAGAGTAGTTGTACTGGTTTGTTGGGCATTTGAAATGATGTTGTTAATAAAATCAATATAAAGTCGAGTATCTGCACTTGCCATGTTCACAAATGCTTGTAATGAATCAACAGAGAGTTGGCTCACTTCTGTGTTCGAGTTTGAAGGTGCCTGTGATGTTAATGCTGGAAGAGACAATTGAAAAAGTTGTCGACAGAAACCCATGGCATCTGGAATGTAGTATTTCCAAATAGAATAACCATCTCCCAATAAAGTGATTGCAGTACTGTGTTGAGGTCCACCTTTTTCTAAGATATCAATCAACTCCATTGCAGTGATGGTTGCAATTCTTCCATCGACTGCTCTTGGGACTCTGTAGGCAAGCAAAGCCAATGCAACTACAACATTTTGTCGTTGAGCATTAATTTGTTTGTTACCTGAAGAGTTCATCTTGTTTGAACTTTCAATGAGCATGTTCGCTAATTTCTCAGCCAATAATTTGTGTTGAACACCTTCCATACGTTGCAACACACTGTACATGACTGATCTGGCAGCTTGTTGAATGTCTTTGTATTGGTCTTTCAAAAATTGGGCGCACCATAGGAATGAAGGTTCATGAAAATTATCAAATCCTGTATGAATTTGGTTCAAATAATAGGAAATGCAATCATTGCAAACCTTTTGGAATTTAAAACTTGCAGGAAGATTATTGACAATAGCATTCAAAACAGCTACTGTACCAATCAAATAGATGGATGAAAGTACTGGAGAGAAAATAAAAGGATGGCATCTACGACTCATCTCTGGCACAATGAGAGAATAACACTCTCCTGCTCCCTTTAAACCAATAAAACCTTTTGGAAAAGGTAATAAATTAATCATTGAATCCATTTGTAAATCTTGAGCATCATGCTGATCTTGTGTACGAGCTTGGTGAATTTTCTGCATCGCATTGTGAATCTCTTGTCTGAGTTGAACAATAGATGGATCAGTGCCATATTGTAAAATATAAGACAGAGAACACAGCAATCCTGACATGTTCCTATCATTCAATTTTGTTTCTGATTCATCTTCATCAATCGAAGAAGTCGCTATTGGTCCATCATTGAAATATTTCGAAAGTAAATCTTTCTTTGTGTTAATAAAGGTAACAAGTTTTCTAATACTAATGGTAAGTAATTGAATATCTGGAGTTTGCTGATTCACTTGCAAAGATATGGACTCAATAAATCCTTTTGATTTGTTATAGGCCTCTGATGTAGCAGATTGCTTTGAAAAAGATAATTTAACAATTCCTCCTGATGAAGAGCTTAAACCTCCAGTGACAGCCGATGCACCAGCATCAGATTGATTGAAACTACCACTGATCATACTTGATTGTTCACTGGTCTTGATAAGAGACTTGGCAACATATCCAACGACTCTACGTTCTAGCAGACCAGTACTTATACTCCACACACAAACCGACCCATCACTACATTGAACTAATAAATAATCTAAATCACTTCTCCAGTAAATGGCTACTACAGTACTTCCATGGCCACCCAATATATGGATAACATCTAAGGTCTTGATACTGTACATAATGACACTGTGGTCGTCGTCAGAGAGTGAGCAGAAGCAATTCTGTAATTTTCTACGAATCGTTCTTGGAGGAACAAACAAAAGATCAACCTTTCCTGAATGGTAATTAAACACTCGCAATAATTTGTGGTATGTTAAGTCGATTGAGTCCAATTGCCATACTTTGATGCTATAATCAGCACTTCCAGATACGAGAAGTGGGTTATTGTCATCATCACTCATTACAAGTAGAGTTGTTACACGTTTTTTGTGGGCTTTTGGAATGTACAGCTCTTTTGCTTCTGCTACATTATTTCCTTCTCCGCTCATGGTAATGTACTGAATGTGAATATCTCCATTGTAGTATCCACGAATAAGACATGGTGAAATTCTCTCGACGGCAAAATGAGAGACACTGATTGGAGACTTGGAATTTGATGAAACATTTTGGTGTTGATTTTCTTGGCCCCACCCTTTTGCAAGCACATTGTCATCCGACAACAGTGTTATTTCAACAGAAGATGTCGCTGAGATTGATACTTTCCATGTTCTAATTATTCCATTATTAACACGCAAAAGAATACGACTAATTGGATCATATTGCCAAACAAAATCACCGTAAGGATCATTTTCTGCAATACACCCATCTATAGTGCTAATAATCTTTGGTTGTTCTTTTTGATGCAAAAGTCTATCAAAATTAGGTGTGGATGGTGAAGAGGATATTTGCAAAGCATCCATAATTGAGGTAGAAAACGCTCTTTCAATGGCTGCACCAATGGATGTGAGATCGTTCGTTGAAAGATCAATGTCTGATGTTGATGGTGTCTCAGGTGAGGCATCATTTAAGGAAGTATTGCTTTTTGATTGAGGTATGGTTGTTCTTTCTGGAACAATTAATTGTAAATTTTTGACCCTCTTTGGTCGAGAGCTATCAGTCACTTCAGACTCTGCTGTGGAACGAGTTTCAAGCTTTTCAGACTTACTATCATCAACAACAATGCTGACCTCTGTTTTAGTCTGGTTGGCGACTTCACCATTTTCTCCTACGTTTGATTCGCTTACGAATGTAGAGTTTTCATCATTATTCATAACAGTTTCTTCGTCTCCCAAATACATAAAGCCATCACTGTTTTCGCTTTGAACAGTATTCATTTTTCTGGTATCAGCTGTTGAATAGAATTGTAACATATCATCCATAATGGACTTGACACGTTGTCTTGCTGTAGTAGGAATCTTATAAATGTAGGCGTTTCCCTTGCTAGTATGAAGCAGCAATAAATCTTTAGCAATAAATATTCCTCCTTTAAATTTTTCATTCTTTGTTGGAAGAGATGAAGGATTGTCAGAAATGGAGAAGGATTCTAATGTTTGTTGCAATGTAATAGTAAAAATAGGTTGGATGGAATGGAAAGTGTAAATGTAAACAATCTTATTGTAAATCACAGCAATCAATGACCAATAATAATTGTTGGCAACCATCACAGGTTTGAATTGTTGGTTATTGGGTTGAGTTGCTATTGGAGTTTGAATGCTAAACAAAGGCTCTTCACTTTTGATAGCATGAGATTTTTCATCAAGTTCAAAAGACCAATATTTCAATGAATGGTCATCTCCTACGCTCAACATAACTGATTTGATTCTATTTGATTTGGTATCATCCGATAGTATAAAAGGACCTGATGAGAGAGAAGCAATCCATTCTGTATGACCTTCTAAAACCCGAATAATTTTCAATCGATTTAAATCTAACAAATAAATCATATTGTGTTTGCCGCTGATTGCAACAATGCTTGAATTGTAGTTGCTGTACTTGTTGAGATTACAAATACATTGGGGAACAGCATCAAACAACAAATTTGGTGATAGAGCCATACATCTACCGTCATATAAATTCCAAACACAGACTGTACCATCTAAACTGATGCTGCAACAACAATTATTATTATCAAAACCATAGGGATAATTTGCTGGAGTTGATGAAGAATTCAATAGCGGAGATGATGGCTGTCTATTGGAAGTTCCAGGACTTAAACCATTGTTGCTGCTGATAATAGTATTGCTGTTACTATTTGAAGCGCTGTCGTAGCTGCACTCACATAAATCGGTAACCTTTGTCTGGTGTCCATACATGAGGGAGAAGGGGATGTATCTATCTTGATCAAAATTCCATAACACACAAATACCAGTACTGGTTCCGGTCACTAGCTTGTCTTTGATGATACTCGCACAAGTGTATCTAAACGAAGGAGGCGAGTCGTTCCAAAAGATTATTGTGGATTTTAGCGACATTTTTTAATCCGTTTTTTAAAATGAAAATTAAAAATCGATTACTTATTAAATATATGGGAGAGAGCATGATAGTGTTGTGGGTTTGAGTGTCCTTTTGCGTTCAAAATTGAAGCATTCAAAAACGAAATCTATACAATGATGCTGAATGAATGAACTAATGATTAAAAATAATATTAATTTTTACATTGTAAAAAAAATATGAATAACTACTTCCAAGGAGTCAGAATTGACGTTTTCAAAAGGCCCTATCGAGTTTACACTGGAGCATTTTGCGGAAAGCCTCAACTAGATGAAGGAGGCAAAATTATTTTGCCAGCATCTGCTTTAGATGAATTGGCAAGACTGAATATTGTATATCCAATGCTTTTTAAGATATCTAATCCAAAGAAGAAAAAGTACACTCATTGTGGTGTATTAGAATTTAGCGCAGAGGAAGGAAGAGCATACATTCCGTTCTGGGTATGTAATATTTAATTATTTTGATCGTTTCGTTTTAATCAAATTTTCAATTTTGATCCGATATGACATTAATTGATGGTTGTCGTCTCTGCTTGGTTATATTGTCAATATACAACACACAACTACTAATGGTGCATATAACGATAATAATAATAATAATACTACGAAATGATTCATGTTGTCTTTACGTCTTTGAACGCTCCTCCTACAACATCATTATTACTTCATCAACAGATGCAAGAATATTTACAGTTAGCTCCTGGTTCTCTTGTAAATATTGAAAGTGCTACTCTACCGAAAGGAACATTTGTAAAAATCAGACCTCAACAGAAGGCTTTCATTGAGATATCCGATCCAAAGGCTGTCTTGGAAAAGCAATTAAGAAACTTTTCATGTCTCTCCCGAGGCGATACCATCATCATTGCTTACAACAACAAACAATTCTTCATTGATATTGTGGCTGTCGCAAGCGCTAGTGGGGATTGTGAAGCTGTCAGCATTGTAGAAACTGATGTAAAAGTAGAGTTCGAAAGACCAGCAGATATGCCTCCTTCTCCTATCAATCCACAAACTCCATCTGCTGATGAATTATTTAAAGTTAAAACTCCTTCTCAACAACCACCAACAACAACTCAACCAGCAAAAGAAGAGCCAGCAAAAGAAGTTCCAAAATTCACAGGTGTTGGACGTAGATTGGATGGAAAGGGTGTTTCTTCCTTGTCACAACCCTCTTCTTCCACACAAGCCACCACACCACCCTCCTCTTCAACGAAACCTACTACTGCATCTTCCTCTTCTCCATCCACCACACCACCATCGAACGGAACATCTCTCAACACTTCTGGACTTGTTGTAGGAAGAAAAAGAAAAACCTATGGTGAAGAAGATAAGTCCAAACAAACTGGAACTACCAGTAGCTCAACAACAACTGAAAAGAAAGAAGAGAATAAGTTTAAGGCATTTTCTGGACAAGGCAGAAGCTTGAAATAACACTCCGTACATGTATCAATAAAAACTGACATTGAAATCTCTCCTGTAAACTTCTCACTTGGAATTGAATGTTCGTTTGGTTGTTTTCAAGAAGGCACCACCTATTGACCAACAATATTGAAGGACTGGTGAGTTTCGATAAACGTAAAAATTGAAAAAATATTTATTGGCCCTTCGGTGCCTCAGGGATAAACGTAAAAATGAAAAGAAATTTGAGCACCACCACCACAGACGCAGAACAACAACAAGAAAATTTCACCGAGCTCCCAAAACGAAACAAAACAATGAAGAACGATCATTCATCATTCGTTTTCAACCTTTCCAAGCTTCCGAGCGATGTTGTACTTCATAGTATTTTACCACATTATATTCTCAATCTCGATCGCTATGCTTTTCTGTACAACAAGCACAAGTACGACCTGTGTTTATTATTCATGGGAAAATTTCATAATCATCCTTCGCAAATTCATTTAATCTTCAAAAACGTTTCAATCACGTCCTACAAAGCAGTGGGAAGGAACGGAGAGGTATTCAACTTTTTCGAAAAAGGAATTCTCGATCGTGTGTTGCCAAGCAAACTTCAGTCCATTTCATTTCTGAGCAATTTTTTCACACAAGGAACAAGTGTCTCCACTCTACCTTCAATCATTATGGAGAGTGCCATGTTTTTAAAACATTTAAATTTAACCTATCAAACCACTTTTAAGGATGTCGAACAAATTTGCTCATTGAAACTTCTTGAACACTTAAGACTCTCAAATTCATCGATTCCTCTGCAAGAGATTGTACAAATTTTGAAATCGAACGCCAAATTACGTTGTCTGGAATATTGTTTTCCTCATCCACCACCAAATGAAATTATTGATTCACAAATTCTATTATCAGCATTTCAAGAGAGAAGTTCCACTCTTGAGAGACTTTCTTTAAATGGAATTTCTGGACTTACAGATTCCATTGTTTCCAAACTCTTGGAAATTTTACCAAATTTAAAGGTACTGAGTGTACAACATTCCCCACATCTCACTAATCAAGCATTCAGTAATATTGAACAGAATGGAAAGAATTTAACGTTTCTTGACATTTCTGGATGTGAAAACATAACATGTCCCTTTAAAATTGTACAAGCTCCAAACTTGAGAACTATTGTGATGGAAGAATGTGATCTCACTTCAAAAGATGTTAGTATTAAGAACATTAGTTGCTCAGCATGCATCACTGATTTGAGTTTGGAAAGTTGTGTCATTAAGGATGAAGTGTTTGAAACCATCTTCTCAAAATTTCCATCTCTTACCAGTTTAAATTTAACAAATACTCGGTTTGTGGAAGAACGTAACATTGAAACGTTCTTTAAAAACATTCAAAATCTCTCAGACCTTAAGGAACTGAATTTGACAAATTGTCAGTTTGTGAGTGATGCGTTATTCAGCAATATTGTGAAGAAGGATTTGAAAATGTTACGAGTGGGTGGTTGTACACGTTTGAGTGATTCATGCATTCCACATTTATTGAAATTTGAAAAACTCACCGAATTAGACATTGGAAAGACAAAAATTTCGAGTGAAGGCGTTCAATCCTTGTTGGACCATTTCAAAAACACAAACACAATGCTCGACTATTTGAGTATTCACCAGTTGAATTTAAAAGATTCAGATATTCTAAATATTCAAGGATGGTCTCAAATAGAAAGGTTAAACTTATCAAAGAATAGAATATCAGATTCTGGATTTAAATCATTGCTCAAATATTCAAATCTCATGTTCCTCAATGTGAGTGACAATTTGATTACTGACAGTGGTATTGACAATGATTTGTTTACAAACAAAACCCTCACAGGTCTCATTCTTGTGGCAAATCGGAAAATCACCAACAAGAAGCGATCACAAATCGTTATGAAATGCACTCACATCTTTGATTTGCATCTATGAGTCCAATCCAGTTACCAAAATAGGCATATGATAGGGGGGTTCTTGAAAATGTTCTTGAAAGTTTGATTGACCTCATCGATCGTCAAAGGGTGGAATCAATCATCCAAATAGGATAAAGGTGTTGAATCGCTCTGCACTTCCGCTTCGTTGAACTTGAAACAACGTTGGCACCCAACGAAGAAGCACGATGACCGTTGTTGTGTTGAATTTTTGAGTTCAAAAAAATGGAAAATGTTGTTGTTCTTTGTGGTGATGCATCAGCACATGTAGTACCCTCTCATCACCTAAAAGCGTCATCATTCTCATCCGAAATAAAGTCATCAGATACAAACAAATATCATACAATGAATTTTGGCAACAATAACAACAACGACATGGTATACAATAGTTCGGATTATATTCTCTTTGAAAGGATATCATCCAATGATGCATTCTGTAATCGTCTTTACTTACAACAAGTTTTTAAAAGCCTTCATCATTATATAACAATGAAATTCATTCATCCTTCTAAAATCAGCAATTATATTATTACAAGCATAATGATGCTATTATTCATTCACGGCACCATAGTTCATGCGGCTGCCACAGAGAAACCCGAATTAGAGGCATCAATTTTGACATCATTAGCTTCTATTTCTGGTTATTTAGCCACCTTTTGTTTCACCGTACAATATCTTCCTCAAGCTTATTTAAACCATAAGAGAAAATCAGTGAAAGGATTCAGTACGACTGGAATTTTGCTGAAACTTGTTGGAGCATCCTACTTGGGTGTAAACAGTTTTCTAATGGGAGAAGCCTTGAGTGTTGGCCTTTACGGAACTTTAAATATTTTACAACATTCAGTTTTCATGATTCAATTTACAATGTTCACGGGCAGAAAACTGTTCCTTTTTTGCCTTCTCATTCCACTAGTGCCACTTGTTACTGGTTATATGTATCCCAATACAATTCCATATACAAATTTGATCAAACCAGTTTCACAAATTGTGAGTCACATACCACAAATTATTGTGACATGGGAAGCTAGAAGCACAGAGGGAGTTTCATTAATATCACAACATTTAAATTTATTAGGAGGAATTTGTGGTGTATTTATGTATTCAGTGTTTACACCAAAATCTTTCTTTACTAGATTGGTTTATTGGAACAGTTTACTTCAGGCATTGTCTATTTATTTCTTAGCCGTCTATTTTGATGGTTGGGGTCGATTACGTAATTCCTTTGTAACCTTATTTGAAAAATCGCCAGATCCAACAACTTCACCTCCAAATATTGAAGAGCAACAAGAAATGGAGAAAGCCATGAATCAAACACCAAGTACTGGCGTTACAACATCCAACATTATTACAGCAACTAGTGGTAGCACATCATCCACTCTTAGAAATACTTCCCATCAACAAGGTGCTCTTGACATTGAAATAACGTCAATCACTAACAACATTGAATAAATCCAATAATTTAATTTTGTTTCAGCAATTTTTCTTTCTTCTCTGCCTCAGAACATAATGTTCTGGCTAAATTCCTCAGTTGTTTGGCTTCGTGGTGAATATCAAAATCGGCACCACTGAACATGATGCAATTTTGAAACATTAGAAATAAATTCCTTTTTAACTCAGCGACAGAAGTTATCTCGCCGTTTTTCACTTTCTTCTTAATATCAGCAATGCTGATTGGACAAAGAATGGATTCGTAATAATTTGCAATATTCTTGTCCACAGGTTCCAAAAAGCTTTCGGAGATGTCTTCCTCTTCAATGGATTTGAGTACAGAACACAAAAGCTGTTGAGTTGCATCTGACGAGGTGTTTTCTAAGGTATCATCTTTCTGCACTTTACCTGTGAATTTTCTCTTCTTCTTTGATTTTTCTGCAACAGGTTCTTCTTGCTCAGTAGCTGGTTTTTGTTTGCTTTGTTGAGAGGATGCAATTTTTTCAGAAGTTGATGTTTCAGAATGTTCTAATTCCTCTTCAGTAATATTGGACTTTCTTTTCTTTTGTGATGATGGATCTTGAAATTCTTTTGCTGGAGTGATGAATTCAAAGCTGTTAATAAATTGTTCTATAATTTTCATATTTAAATCTTCATCTTGATGCTTTTCAATAAAATTTATGCAATTGCTCAACTTTCGTTCCACTAATTCCAGAAAATTTAATCTCTTCTTTATGAGTTCCTGATATACAGTTTCAATTTTTTGATCTCCAATTAAATCCTTTATTTCTTTCTTGATACCTCTGGAAGGATATTTCTTTTCCAAATAAATTTTGCTGGACTTATTCAAAGCACTATAAATCGTTTTTTCATCATCCGAGCCAAGTTTTTGTTTTTCATTTAAATATAAATCGAGCAGAGCAAGATCATTCGTGCTCACATTTGTGTCGTTCGGAATGAGCTCGGAGGTTGTATTCATTTTTTTAAATCGTCTTGCCAGTGACCATTTGACGATCACAACAGAGCAATGAGAAGTCGTTATTCCATCAAGAAGGATCTGGACTTGCTCAATATTTGACATCGACATTTAAAGCAGAGAACATTTTCATTTATCACAAAAAAGCCAAAGTTCGAGTTTAAAGCAGAATTTTTTAAAAAAATGATCTCATATGATGTTGATCATTTTGATTCATCATCGGTTTATTTGAATCGGTCGGAAAGGCCTCCAGCGCTATGGAGTGTGTATTTTCCAAACGAAGTGTATATACCATCGGAATTGGATCAATACATGAAAATATTAGAGGATCATTTCAACAAGTTTAAAGATTCCTATCGGTTGATTACAGTCCAAGGAATCAGCAGTTATGTCATGAATATTGATATGGCAAACATGTTGAGTAATTTGAGTCTGCAATCTAAAAACTTCATTGAAGATAAATTATATAATTCTCCTGGATTTTGTATCGGAGCAATTGAAATGGCAGCACATCATGTCTTTCTGGAAGGAGAAAAGAACTCTGGAATGAAAATCAACGCGAGAATTCAAAATCATTCTGTATTTAAAGCATTGAAAAAGTTGAAATCTAATTCTATGGGAAAGTTTGTTGCCGTGAAAGGAACTGTGGTAAAAGTGAGCAATATTAGACCAATAGTAACTCAAATGGTTTTCAATTGTGCAAAATGTGGAACAAAACAAAAGAAGCATTTTCGGGATGGCAAATTTACACTCCCAACGAAATGTAAAAGTCATTCATGTAAATCAAGAGCGTTCATTCCAGATAGAAGCACTGCTGTTACTGTAGATTGGCAAAGAATTAAAATTCAAGAAATTTCAGAAAGTGATGACCACGAAGCTGGAAGAATACCAAGAACAATTGAATGTGACATTACAGAGGATTTAGTCGAATCATGCTCTACAGGAGATGAAGTGATTGTTTGTGGAACTGTAAAAGCTGTAAATACTGAACAACATGCCATTGAGGCCTTTGGCAGATCTTCATCGAGAGGAAATACCAAACGAATGTATTTTCTGTACTTGGAAGGAAATTCCATCACCAATACAAAAGCATCAGAAAAAGGTGATGATTCCCAGTCTTTCAGTACAACGGATTTAGAAGCCATTAGAGAAATGGGTTGTGAACCAGATATCTTTCGATTAATTGTGCACTCTTTATGTCCTGCAATTTTTGGTCACGAAATTGTTAAAGCAGGTCTTGTTCTCACTCTCTTTGGAGGCGTTCAACGATATACCAACGCAAAAGACATGCTCACTGTCCGTGGAGACCCTCATATTTTGATTGTGGGAGATCCTGGTTTGGGTAAAAGTCAACTTTTAACGGCCGTGTCACATATTGCTCCAAGAGGAATTTACGTTTGTGGTAACACTACAAGTACATCAGGTTTAACAGTAACAGTCACTAGAGACTCTGCTACTGGAGATTTTTCATTAGAAGCAGGTGCTTTAGTTTTGGCAGATCGTGGCTGTTGTTGCATTGACGAATTCGACAAGATGAGCAGCGAACATCAAGCTTTACTGGAAGCCATGGAACAACAGAGTATTTCAGTTGCAAAAGCTGGTATTGTATGTAATTTACCTGCTCGATGTTCAGTCGCAGCAGCTGCCAATCCAGTTGGAGGTCACTACAATAGAGCTAAAACGGTTGGTGAAAATTTGAAAATTAACCCTGCCTTACTCTCTCGATTTGATCTCATATTTATACTTTTGGACAAACCAGATGAGTTACGAGATAAATTGCTCTCTGAACATGTTTTGAAACTCCACTCAGGATCGACGAATCGAACTGGATCTGCTCTTTCCACATTTACAACAAAGCATGCTCTCAGTCAAGTGGGTACACAACACGGTCAACAATCTCTAAAAGAAATTTTAAGACCAAAAAAAGGAGAATCCTTTGATATCATACCACCACGATTACTTCGAAAATATATTGCCTATGCCAGACAATATGTCATGCCAAAACTCAATGATGATGCTAAAAAGGTATTGCAAGAATTTTATGTGCAACTCAGAAAGTCACACCACAGTTCTGAAGCAACTCCTATCACCACAAGACAATTGGAATCTCTCATTCGACTTGCACAAGCAAGAGCACGAGCAGAGTTGAGAAATGTTGTTACCGAAAGAGATGCTCTCGATGTCGTTGAATTAATTAAGGAGTCTATGTTTGATGTATTGACTGATGATAAGGGAAGAATCGATTTAACACGTGTGAGTGGAATGAGCAAAACAAAACAACAAAATGCTTTCATTGAACAATTAACAAAGATTGCAGATTCACAAGATCATGGTCCTCTGTTCGAATATACTGAACTCATTCAATATGCTCAAAAGATGGGACTCACGGAAGATCATCGAATTCTAATCGATCGATTGAACAATCAGGGATATTTACTCAAGAAAGGAACTGGAACGTACAAACTTACAACATGTGCCTCGACAACAACACCAACAAAACCTAAAGCAAGATCAAGACTTCCCTCCCAAGAATCATCACAAGCAAGTTATTATGAAGAGTGAATAATTTTTATTCGCGTCATCCAACGCCTTTATTCTCTCAGGATTGAATTCAGAGCTCAATTATTCACCCAGGACTGAACCCAGAGCTCAACAGCTGCAAAATGGCGCGTTTTCACACGGAGAGTTTTGAATTCACACCACATCAAAAAAATTTGACCACCCTCCTGCATCGTTCACATGAATTATGGAATGATGAATTCCGATGAACCATTCATCATAAATTTAAACAAATTATTTGACACATCCTCTACATTTGTCAAATCATTGACAACTCCTCTCCATTTTTTAATCGTTAAAGAATTAAAGGAATGGTCAAGAAGAAGCGAACGACCAATAGTTGAAAACGTTGTTCGAGAATTGAAAGACAACGTCTTGAAGATGGTTCAAAAAGAATTTCCAGATTCCTCTTATTTGTTAGATTCCAAAGAAATGTTGGATGAATGTGCCACCAAATCACACCCTCTCCAAAGGTTGAAAGTCATTGAGAAGACAACTTGTGAGTTCATCTTTAACATGATGGAACAAAGAGACATTCGTAATGGCATGGAAAGTATCTTTATCATTCTCTACCAATTAGAACTGCTTGCTACTGTATTGATTGAATCAAATGTTGACCTTCTGTCTCATTTAACCATTGACAGAATTATTCAACACACTCTTTCACAATTTATGAATCAATTTCGATACCATTATCCGGATAGTTTGATTGTATTGACATGGAATTTGCCAGGTAGTAAAAAAACGACCAAAGACAAGATTGAAAAACATTTCAAAGAGGAACATGCTAAACTAATTGAAATGGTCGACATTGCCTTCTTGCAAGAATTTGCTACTGGTGAAGGAGAATCAGGTGCATGTGAAATGTTTGTCAATAGATTTGAAAAAGCCATGTATTCTGTACAAAATTTAAAAAGGTTCAATCGAAAGGAACAAGATTATGGAGTGATTTTGTGGAACGAAAAATATTTTCCATGTGAAGAAGAATATTGTTTTCAAGGAATGGAATCCTTAAATCCAACATTGATTAATGTTCACTTATCTTTTACAAATTCGCAACACCGAAATGAAGAATTTGAAGAATTGAAATCCTATATTAAGAAAAGATTGAAACGAACATCGTTTATCATTGCAGGGGACTTCAATTTTGAAGTGACAAGTGAACTATTTGACGGATGCTATGAAGATATTGTGAATTGTGATAATTGTGAGCTTGCAACCACAAAGGCAGGAAGAAAAATAGATCATGTGTTATTTTCTAGAGATTTTGAATGTGCATTTAGTTTGGTTCCTCAATTGTTGGCCTTTCCTGAATCCAATCATTTTCCTAAAATTGTATTTCTTAAAAAGATTGAAGAAAGTGACGATGAGGATGATGAGGAAAATATTGAGCAATCTGAAGAGAAGGACATTGCAGTCAAAGAGGAACATGACCTTTCATCTCTTCTCGAACATGGATTGAATCTAAATGAATGATTTGAAGATAAAGATACTTTTGCCAACATGAGATTCAATCCACCTTTGCATATTTACAATTTAATCTTAAAATATGCAAAATAACAAGTCACATTAAAGAATATCATGGCCATTAATGTCACTGCTTGATCCAATATGTAATTATTATCACCAAATACTCCATATAAATTTCGAAAAGCACCATCCATCACATGATTGTACATCATGTTATTCTCAACAATGGAAAGAGCAAAAGACAATACTGATAGCAACAATGGAAGTAAAATTAATAAAAGAGTAATCTTTGGAAATTGTTTGAAAAAAATAATTCCAAATGCAACACATGCAAAAAAGGTCATCCATTCTAAAAAGTATAAAACTCGTGTGAATACTGAAAATTCTATTCCAGTTGAAAGCAATGACAATTGTAAATTTGAAAAAATTACTCCACAAATCATCAAGTAAATAAACATGACGAAAAATAGAATGACAGAAATCACTACACACATCATGGCAATCGCTTGTCTGAATTTTCGAAATAATAAAAGTGGAATGTTTCTTTTCCGTTTCTTGATCTTTTTCATGGATAATGCACATCCAATAGATGATGCAATCGTAACGGCTAATGCAATCACACAAATCACTCCATAAAAGACACAACCAATAATATTGGACATGCTTCTCGTGTTGGCAATTGTGAGTCCAATATAAATCACAGTACATATCAATGCAATGACCAATGGAATGAGGCAAACCAATAAACCACAAAATGAACACCACACTGAACATGAGACACACTTGTTGAGCTTGTACTTTTTCACTGATCTCAATTTTTTCACTTTCCATAAAAAGAAACCTGAAAGTACCAAAACACTCACACACACTCCTCCCAATAAAAAGAATGAAGGTAATAAATAATGATGAGCAGAATTATCCAATAATGGAATTGCAAAACTATGAAATGAATAATAAAACACTCCATATATTAAATAAATCAAAAACGAAGTGCTAGCAACCATTTCAAATGCCAGAAATAGAATGTTTTCATTGGATTTGTTCGAGGAAGAAGAACGTGGAGTGAAACTTTGAGAGGAGTTCAATAGTTGGATCATGGATGGTGGTCGAGCAGTAGTGTTGTTGTTGCTACTGCTACCTGCGCTGATGATGCTCCTATTCGTGGTGGTCATTGTGTTGTGTGATGATTGTTGATGTTGATGATTCGGACTTTCACATTCGAAAGTACTTTCCATGTAGTGATGATGATCATCATTGATTGTTGAAACATCAGTACTAGTGGATGGAATGGAAATGTTTAAAGGATTTGAGTTGGTCGGTGGTGGTGGTGATCTTTCGTCTTTGATTTGGGTCAATGAAGAAGAGGATGTTTCATTCTGCCGTTCGACGGAATTCTTTGTATCTTTTAATTCAATCAATTCTTCTCCGTTCTTGCCAAAGATTTTCACTTGATCATAGCGGGTGGAAGGGGTGGTTTCTACTTCTTTGATGGTATTGAATTGGTATATATTTTCATCTTGAGTTTTCACTCGCACGGCAACGACAACAGACATCAAGTTTTTCTTTGACAAGAGAATCTCCAAACGTGAAGGAAAATCCTCGAACAACTACCTAAGCTTAAAAATTTGAATTTAAATCAATAAAACCAACAAGTTGTGCGCCCGTCTAGCTCAGTCGGTAGAGAGCAAGACTCTTAATCTTGTGGTCGTGGGTTCGAGCCCCACGGTGGGCGAAAGAATTTATCTTTAAGAAGAATTTTGGCTTTACGACTAACTTTTGTTTGGTTTAAGTTTCTTTATATTTCTTCCCAATGTTCAATTATTCCTGTCTTCTTGTGATTTCAATGATCAAATCAAAACTTGATCATTCTTTCGATAAAAAATGAGAAAACACAAACCTAAATCAAAGCTGCAAGCACCCTCGAATTCGAATTCTGGCAAGTGTAGTAATGGCTCATCAAAAAACATGCCATCATCATCGTCGACAATGAAATTACCTCCGTTGGCTAATAAACCAACAAGAACGAAAAATGGTGCCATCAATGGGAACATGATGCATAGAACATTTACCGATCTTCCAATGGAAATTATCCAGAATATTTTCTCGTTTCAACCCTATTTAGAGATTATTATTGCAGAAAGATATGCCTTCGGAAACGATAACAGAGGATGTTTAGGTTTGGCTGAACGGTCAAGAAAGATAATATTTTCTCATTGCGATGAACACCTCATTCACAATTATTCTCACTTTTTATTTTGTCAAGTATTCGGAAAATGCAAATATTATCTATATAGTTCTACAATGTACGATCAATGTTTCCCTCTAACCAATCGACTAGTGATGATTTATCCTAATATTAAAATTTGTACAGTGGAGATTGAAAATAGCATGGATGATTTTTATTTTACGTACTTCTTTCAAAGAAGATTGATGGATGACCTATTTTTGCAAGTGGCTCTTACGAAAATGCAAAAGTTAATGTTCGCAAATGCATACAAAAAGAGAAAAAATTGTGGAGGATCTACTATGACCACAATGAGATTCCTAAGAGACACTCTCATGAAAAATTTCAAAAACCCATGCGGTAGAGCTTTAATTTCTTTTGACATGGGAAATATTATGTTAAGAGAGAATTATTTAGATTTGTTACAAATACTATGGGAGGGATTTACATCACATGAGGTGATTGTTAATGACTATTTAAAGGAGGGATATTTATCGAGGTTCGAATCTAAAGAAAGTGAAAATTCTGTAGATTTCGAATCAAACAAACCAACTCTAGACAAGGAAACAAATACTCTCACATGTAGAACTCTAAGCCAATATCTAGAATATTTACAATCGACCATTATATCAATAATGTTGAACGAGAATAAGGATCAAATATTCAACAAGTCGGTAGAGAAAATTGACCTACAATCCTTCTTTGAAAAATTGCCCTTGTTGAATCATACTGTTAATTTTAATTTATTTCATACCATGAAAAGCAATTATTTTGCTCTATCGTTTCGCTCCACTATTGTCTCTTTATCATACTTTGAGAAGAAGCTCCAAAACAACACTCAGCAGAGTCAGCGGAGAGAGAAAGTTTTTCAAATGTTTACTTGTTTTCCAAATCTTACAAAATTGACCTTTGTTGTTGACAGCCAAACTGAACCACTTGATGAAACCGTAAAACTATTTCAGAAATATTTACCAAATCTCAAACAAATTGATTTGAGAGGAGGTTTGCATTCACGTACCTCCCTAAACATGTTATTGCGAGGATTTCCAAAGATGACATCAGTGGTTTTATATTTATCATTGAGAACATATCCCAAACAAAGCAACAATGAACACCACTCTTCCAATGGTTATGCATATGCTTACAGCCCTAGTGTGGGAGTTGGTGTGCCCTTTTTGAATGACATTGGAGACAAGCTCAAATGCATTCAGGTTCAACCCAATCCAGCATCCAAGCTCTCTATTGTGTTTGACAGAGAAACCTTTTTAAAACAAATCGTGAATAAGAAAATTCAAAGTCTGAAGGGAGATTTTATCATGGCTGGAGGAGCTGAAAAACTATTACCTCTTTCTTCTCTTTACAAACTAGTTTTATTCAAGCCAAATTACAACATGTTTGAAAAGTATGATTTTTTGAAAGTGATTTCTCAGACCAAGACTCTGAGAATTTTATACATTCATGAGTCGCTTCTAGGTTGGAGGCCAAAGGGTTACAAACCCACCGTAGAGTTCTTCCAAAACGAATTAGAAGAATTTAACACCGACAATGAGGGATGGAAACAAAAGTTCAAAATATTTTGTAAAAAGGAGAAAACACCCTTTAAAAGATTATTACTGGATGGAAAGTCACTGTTAAAGGTCAAAATATTCTACAAGTCCATTCGCAATCTGTGTGAAACACAAGGAAGAGAAGAATTGTACCATCTCGAAAAATTACTTATTGATTTGTTCAGCCAGTATATTTCACACAAGTACAAGAACATCAGATTTTTAATGACGCCTGTGTGTGACTAATAAATCGTTCCTTAAACATTACATGTAATGACATGTAAAGAAGGATTCTCCATTTGAATCACAAACACATTACCATCTTTGGGAGTGATGGGTTGGGTAAACAACAGTGATGCATCATTAAGGTCTTTGATTTGAGCCTCTGTTGGGTAAGTAGGAGAACCAATTTGATGCCAACGAGTAAAGGCGTTGGAATGTGTTTCATCAATAACACTTTCCACACAATTCTTGAAATTTAAATTTGTGTTGACTTTGATGCTAACCACATAGCTACTTCCAGGAAGTGAGGGAACTTGATAATTTGATGCAAATATCATAACTTCTCTGGTATCTCTATTGAGAGTGGTATATACATCTACAGTGCTAGTGGTGTCACTAGTAGCATTATATAATTCATCTCCTGACTTGGCCATTAATTGGAATGCTCTCCAAACTGGCTTTCTAATAGAATAAATAGTCATCATTCCGAATCCTTCCTGGAAAACTTCTGAGTATTGACCATGTTCTTCAAAGAGATCACTGAATGTCCAATAAGAATAAACATCGACTACATTGTTCAATGAAAAAAGTGTTCTTGTTATAAGGGCAGCAGGATAACTTGAATCTTGATAGAAATAGGTACCACTTCCAAGATCTCCAAGTCCAGCATTCCACTAAATATCATTTGGTCGTTGATTCAATCACTTCAATTCAATAAATTTCGTGTCTTTTTCAAGAAACATACCTCCGTGTAAAAAAGAGGAGTGTTCGAACCTACAATACTTCTACTTTGTTTTGCAACCTTAATCAACGTATCTGTTGCTAATGGTTCAATATCTGTTGGATATTCATGAGTTGAGACAAAATCATTTGGTACATTATTAGATCGAACATAATTCACAAAATCTTGAATCCATCCAGATCCGGCAGTTGCAGGTCCACCAACTTTCAATCTTGGACTGATTGATTTAATGACATGTGCTGTGTTATTATATAGATTAAAGTAATCTTGTTGAGTTCCAGTCCAGAATGTATTTCTGAGAAATGTGAATGATTCATTCATAGATCAATATTTTGTGAAAAAGATCAACGGTGATTAGTAAATATAAAATGGTGATGAGCAAGACATACCTCAAGTTTGGTTCATTCCAAACCTTGAATATGTGAACATGATCATGTGATTAAGGGAATATTTGTATGCAAAGTGTGACATGTGTCACCACAAAGATTTCAAATATAAGATTTGAATTAAAAACCAAATGAACACCACACACCAACCTCGAAATGCCATGTAGAAACTTCATCAATTCCATATCGCAGTACCAAATGTGAAACAAAGTTATAAATTAAATCATTCCATTGTTTCATACTCTTTGGAGGTGAAATTCCACCATTGTAATGGAAGATGGTTTTACTTGGATCACTAGCTAATAATTGAGGCATAAAACTCAACTCTACAATTGGTTTCATTTTCATTTCCTTGACAAGAAAATCATAACAATTGTCAACATTATAGAATGAATAAATTAAGGTGTTTGGATCATGTCGTTTTGGTAGTACCACACTCATATCATCATCAAAAATACCGCTGTTTGTTGCCACAGGATTAATTTTCAGTTATATTGAATAATAATATCAACCAATAATTTTTAGATCATTGAAATTAATCAGTACAACACCTACTGGAACCGAATTCCATAAAAACCCAACTCCTTTTGTGCAATTTTAAGTTGTTCTCTCCAATCAGCTCTCAAACAAAAGGTTGCATGGCAAGATCCTACCGATCGCTTCCAATAATGTTTGAATGACATCGGATTGGTCAAAATGTTGACTTGAACATTGACTGTGCCAATGGAATGGTGTTGATTCTTGATCAACGAGAGTTGGCACTGAACATCTGCGGTGCAGGAAAGCAGCAACAACAGGAGGATTATAATGCTGATGGACATCCAGGCGTTGTTACTCTTACTCGTGCGCTTAAACATCATTTTTTGTAATGTCTTTGAAACAATGATCGATAATGATGATGATGATTTTGGCAAACAACAAGTTTCCCTCTCAGTGTCCAATCCGATACAATTAACACCTTGTAAATTATAATCTAGAATGCGATTTGGGAAGAACCGAATTGGGCAAAAATAGGAGGTTCTGTCTTGAAGTTGAACTCAAGCCATCAAATAATTTAATTTCATATCGGGATTGAACCCAAACACTCCAAAAACAAACCAAACACATTGAATCTCTCACAGTAATAATAATGGAAACTCATCACGCGATACGAGATACTCTCACGTTTCATAACAAGGATTACCAACCATTACATGTGGATCTATTTGAATTTGATGAAAAGTTTTTGGATCCGGTGTTTGTAAAGGCTTGCAAGGATGCCAAACAATTACATTCTTATTTTGAATTAATGCAAAACGCACAAGATGAGGAAAGATTTAATCAAATTCGAAAAGAATACAATCAAAAGAAGAGAGAAATACTACTCACCATCCTGACAGAAGAAGTTCCTCAAGTTTACTCTTTGGTGATTTTTACGGATGAATTTTGTAACAAGTTAATTGAAGAAAAAGATCATTATGAAAAGACACAAAATGTAAAATTACGACCCAATTCAATGAATAATTACGGAATTGTCATCGATGAGATTGGAATGGGTAAATTCTTTGATGTGTTTGTTCGGGATTACTTTTCTCCACTCGCTAAAATCATGAATCCAGCTGGTTTTGATCTTGATGATCATCATACATTTTTGGTGGAGTATTTCATTGGAGGAGACTCTGATCTTTCGGTCCATGTGGATGACAGCGAATTAACACTAAATGTATGCCTTGGAAAACCAGGGTTTGAGGGAGGCAATTTGTTTTTTAGAGGTCATAGAGACCATCCAAACACATACAATCAATACTTTGAATATAAGCATGTGGCAGGACGAGCAGTCATGCATGATGGAGCAATGATGCATGGTGCCCTACCATTGACCAAGGGAGAGCGTGATAATTTGATTATTTGGGCTCGATCAACAGAGATGAGAAAACAAATTGAAATTGCCATGACGGAAATGCAAGAAAAAGGAGAGCATTGTTGCTGTGACCAAGATGACGATCAAGAGGAACATTTGTGCTGCAGCTCTGAAAACTGCACAAACGAACATGAACACAAATGTGAACACCATCACTAGTTACAACGAGTTACAGAATATTAAATTTAATACCTAAATCTTAGTTTCTTGAATTTAAAGTGGAGCTGAAGAACACCTCGTTCAAATACACACTTATAGCCTCTCTTGTAAGATCGTTCCCACTCTCTATTTACAATTCTAAAACAAATATCTTCATACGGTGGGCCTGCTTGGAATCTAAGAATCGAAAATTCATCACTTGTTGGATCCTTTTCAATCTTAAATGAAGGAGTATTGGATTTGTCAATTAAATCAGGATAAAAAATGTTGAATTTGTAGCCTTGAATTACCTTTGGAGGTGGATTTTCATGGTCATAGTGAGTTCTATTGTACTTGGTCCATTCATATCCTGTTCTCACCCTATTAAAGTACTTGGGTTTTCTTGGCCTGTACTTATCGTTCCAAGCATATTGCTGATTTACAAGTTTCACTTCCTCTACGGCATCCTCGTCTCCATCTTCGGATTCTTTGTTTCTGAACTCTCGTAATAGTTTTTCTTCCTCGTTGGAGGTTTGATTGTCTTGTGGGGTGCCTTGTCGGCTTGAGGAGGTGGTTTGATATTCAGAGCTGCTACTGCTACTAGTGTGATGAGTAAATATTCTGTCCAGTTTGTTCGTCTTCTTCATTTCAGAGTATACTTCTAATGCCTTGTCATGATATTCTTCGACAAGGGTTCTAGCTTTGTAAATCTGTAAATACTTTTTCAAACCTTCCCAATACTCTACGTCTGTTGAGGCATCTCTGTTATCCAAGGTATCATCAATTAATTTTTCCATTTCCAATAATTCTTGCATATTTTTGCCAGATAAGAGCTCCTTGATTTCATTTACTACTGATTCATGAATAGGTTTTGTTCTATCATCTAGTTTTGCATTCTCTTTTCTTTTTTCTCTTTCCTTTGCATAGTTAATCTCATCATTCATGATTACATTTAGAGCTCTCCAAAACTCTTGATATTCTGTGTCACACTCTATCATGGTTTGTAAGTCTTCCTGAGAATCTAATAAATCCTTCAAATTTTTACGATATAATATCTCGTGAGGCTTTTTAAATTCTACTCCGAATATTCTCTCATGTTCCGAACTTAACATCAAGTGACTGTCGTAGTCGTCACCAAGCAATTTATCCTTGTACCTTAAATATTTCATGTTATTGATAATAAAATCTAGCAGTTTAGGTCGCTTTTCTTTCAGTCTGATAAAAGACGCAAGGTTTGCTTGCTTTAAATGAAAGCCAAGCTCTTTTTGCTCATATTCATCAAATCGTTCGGCCTCCCGTTCTCTGAAAACCCTTTCTCTTTCCATTTCCCATCGTCTCTTTTCTAATTCTCTTTCCAATCGCTGTTGTTTGATTTTTAAAATTTCGTTCTTTTTCATTTCCGTCAGTGATTGATCATCGTTATCATAGTCATATTGTTTTGATGGATCTTTTTTAGTCCACACAAATTTGTCGGATAATGTTTTGTCATTAAATGGATTTTCCTCATCTGTGTATCCCAACTCTTGTATGATGGTGGATTTCTTTTTCTTTTCCGATGGTTGCACTCCACTAGAATCGGACGAGGTAGGAAGAGTTCGTTTCATTTTTTAAAAGTTTTCAGTCACTTATCAGATTGAACACGAAGCATATTAAATCGTCATGAAATCTTTAAACTTCACCAATTTAATTTCATGTCGATATCAATATTTGGTTCAATTATCCATTTCAGTGTTTGTGATGGTTTTCAATAATTTCAATTTATAGAGCTGTTTTGTGCCTTGTTTCTGGAAATTTCGCCGATCGAGCGAAAGATGCTCTTTAACCAAAAATCCCAGTTTGGAAAATTAAGGTACAAACATACACATTTGGACAAACACACTTACTTTTCAAGTGTTTGTGTACCGTAGATCATACCTACAAAAAAATCTCCTACAAAAAACAATCTCTGCCATTCCTCCTCTTCAGCAATTCTTTTATTCTTTAACAATGCCTAAGGTGAATCAAGTGGTGCCAATAGGTGGTACACAATACGATGTCAAATCGACCTCGGGTCATCATCAACAAACACCCACTCATGGTTCTTCAACTAAGGATGATACCTTTTCGTTAACCACCATGGATCGACGATTCTCAGTAACGACCGGCAAGACACTTTCAGACTCTGTTACATCTCAAACAATTTTGAAGAAACAAGTATTTAGCTCACAGACGATCGTTGGTTTGTTGGAGAAGATTCCTCTTTCACTCAAATTAATTTTGGTCGTGGTCTTTGCAATATTATCTTTGTGTGTTTTTGGTGCCTTATTAATCGTTAACTCAGTGAAACAGATTAACTCAGCTGATCAAATCCAAAATCTGGCAGAATTTTCAGTTCTCATCTCGGATTTGGTGCACTGTATTCAGGTAAGTAGAGTGTTCATCTTGAGTGTCATAACAAGGGTGTACACTTGGATTGGTTTGGAAAACAGAGAGAACGTGGTTCATCTTCGATCTATTTGGGCTCATCGGGCACACAGTTCGTAAAGGAACTTTCAAATTATCGTAACGACACCGACGTTGCCGTTGCCGCATATTTAGGACGAACTGTTTCATTGAATGCTATCATTTCGGATTCATCCTCTCGTTATTTCTTGGATGCAAGCTCAAATCTCGATAAAATTCAATTCTACATCAATGGCTTGCAGGCATGGCGTCAAAGGATCACGAATTTAAATTTTACAGTTGCAAAAGTAGCATTGGATTACTATACAAATTGGAATACGGCCATGCTAGATACGTTAATAATCTTGTCAAGCCAAAGTTCTGACTCTGAATTTGCCATGGTGCAAACTGTATTCAACACATTAACCGAACTGAAAGAACTAACTGGTAGGTTGTCTGCAAAAAGATGAGGATTACTTTTGAGATATCGTATTAACAGGTATTAAAAGAGCGATAGGAAGCAATGGATTTACCGCAAAGGCCCTCTCCACAGCTAACTATAATTATTTCCTTCAAATCCAGGCTCAAGGCAATTTGCTAGATCGCCATTTAAAACTGTTGAGCTCAAAAGATACCTATACTTTTTATCAATCGACTGTGATGAGCACCCAAGAGGCCTTGAACTGCCAAATTATGGAATCATATTTGATTCAAAATTACCAGTCTGCAACTCTCTACTCATCTTCTCAGTGGTTCAACAACATGACCGTCTTTATTGACGATATGAGAGAGGTTGAAAATTATCTTAGAGAAAAAACCCTTGCCCATGCAAGTGATTTGAATAGGCAGGCGACTGGATCTCTGGTTGCCTTCACAGTGAGTACATTCTTTGTGACTTGTCTTTCCACTTGCATTGCAATCATTTTCTCAAAAACCATTGTTGGACCATGGCAAAGAATTTTGGCATTGCAAGAAGACACTGTTTACAAATTTGTTCCAAAAGAATTTCTCTCAATTTTGAACAAGGATAAAATCACTGATTTGAAATATGGAGATTATTTTGAAATGGAATTGGATGTCATGTTTGTGGATATTCGAAATTATACTGGAATCAGTGAAAATTTGCAAACAAAAAAGATTTTCAAATTATTGAACAAGTATTTGAAAAATGTTGGTCCAATCATTCGAAAACACAATGGTTACATTGACAAATATTTGGGTGATGGATTTGTTGCCTTGTTTTTGGAACCAGGTCATGCAGTCAATGCAGCAATTGAAATTCAATTATCGTTAAAGTTGTTTAACGAAAATCTTGCTCATAAATATCCTCATGTTGCAGTGGGGATGGGAATAACGCGAGGAATGGTTGCTGTTGGTCTGATAGGAGAATCAAGAAGAATGGATGCTACTATTATATCAGACAGGTAAGTCGTTCTAAATTTTACACAACCCAAACCAACCCTCCAAACAAACATTTTTGTCCAGTGTCAACCTGAGTGCCCGATTAGAAAGTTTAACCAAACAATATAACGCTCAAATCTTGGTAACAAAGCAAATCATTGACACCACCCCTATGGTCAGAGAGAGCTTTTTTCAGAAAAATTGGCAACATTATCGTCGCAGGTAAAAGTCAAGCCATCCAAGTATTTGAGGTCATTCCATTCGATGACTCGCCAAAGAAGAGTACCAAGGATTTGTTCGAAAAGGCGATCGATTACATGTATGATCGTGATAAATTCAATATTGCAGAGGCTCTCTCGCTACTCAAACAGATTCTCACCATTGACCCAGAAGACGAACTTTGCAAGATGAGGTTGTTCACCGCAGAATCCTTACTTAAAGACAGCTCTCAATGGAGTCACTGTGATCGACTGACAAAGAAATAGTTTGCATGTTCTCCCCAACAACAAATGGAAGACCCAGTATGTAAGTCAATCTCGAGGCGGCGAGAGGCAAAGTTGCGACATCTGTTCTTGATTAAGGAATAACGAGCCGCGAACTGAATAAGACGCAAAATGTACAAAACTGCGCCATTTGGAAAGTAAAGCTCATACTCCAATTTAGAATCAATAAACAAACGAGAAAAATCTTATCCATTCCACAACAATCTTCGCTCCGAGAGATGGAGGAGCAACAACAACAAGACCCTGCTCAAATCACTGAAATCGCTTGGGAACAAGAAGAATCGATACCTTCAAATGCTGTTCTTCCGAATTCAATTGCAGTAGGCATTGATGAAAACAAGAATGATTTTAAATCCTTCTCATCTACTCTTACCAAATCACGAGATACATTTGGAAACAGAAAGCAAATACTTTCTGAACGACTGTTGGACGCGCTGGAACACATTCCACTCACTTTAAAATTAATATTGGTTGTGTTCTTTGCCATACTATCATTATGTGCATTCGGAGCATTGTTGATCTATCAGTCGTCCCAGCAAATTGCCTCTGCCAAACAAATTAAACATTTATCGGAATTTTCAGTCCTGGTTTCAGACCTCGTACATTGTTTACAGGTATCTCATTAAGGAAAGGCAATCCTTCAAACTCATCGAATGATTATCCAATTTCAGAATGAAAGAGGAGCAACGACCATGTATATGGTTTCAAACACCACCTTATTTTCAAAGGAAATTGAACAATTTCAAGCCGATAGTGATGAGGCTATTAAGGCTTTTCAAGAAAGAAAAATAACCATAGAATCCATTGTTGTAAATTCCTCTTCAAGGTTTTTCTTGGATTCTGTGCGAAATATTGGGAAAATTCAAACATACATTGAAGGACTAACAAATTGGAGAGCTCGTATCCATAATTTTGAACTCACAGTTAATGATGCTCGGGAATACTACACTTGTTGGATTGCTCTCATGTTGGATACACTATTGATTTTGTCCACCCAAAGCACAGATCCAAGGTTCTGTGAAAGCCAAAATCTTGTGAATATTATGATTGAAATGAAGGAGGTGGTCGGTAAGTAGAGTGTGCCATCAAAAACCAAATGATTTAATTAATTTTGTGGCCAATAGGGATTAAAAGAGCTATTGGGAGTAGTGCATTTGTGGAAGGAAAGCTCTCGTATTCTAATTTCACATACTTTCTACAGTTGCAATATAGACAAAGCTTACTATTACATCGATTTAAATTACAGACATCCACTGAAAATTGGTTAACTTACGAGCGAGTGGTTGCTAATAGCAGTTCTGCTTGTAATGTCATGGAGAATTATTTGGTAAACAATTATCAAAAAATTACTCAATATAGTGCACCTCAATGGTTCTTCAATGTGACATTGTTTATGAATGCAATGCGAGAGGTCGAAATTACGTTTCGAGCAGTGGCACTAAGTTATGCAAGTGATTTGAATAGGCAGGCGACTGGATCTCTGGTTGCCTTCACAGTGAGTACATTCTTTGTGACTTGTCTTTCCACTTGCATTGCAATCATTTTCTCAAAAACCATTGTTGGACCATGGCAAAGAATTTTGGCATTGCAAGAAGACACTGTTTACAAATTTGTTCCAAAAGAATTTCTCTCAATTTTGAACAAGGATAAAATCACTGATTTGAAATATGGAGATTATTTTGAAATGGAATTGGATGTCATGTTTGTGGATATTCGAAATTATACTGGAATCAGTGAAAATTTGCAAACAAAAAAGATTTTCAAATTATTGAACAAGTATTTGAAAAATGTTGGTCCAATCATTCGAAAACACAATGGTTACATTGACAAATATTTGGGTGATGGATTTGTTGCCTTGTTTTTGGAACCAGGTCATGCAGTCAATGCAGCAATTGAAATTCAAAATTCTCTAAAAGGTCTAAATACTTCTCTAGGTCCAAAATATCCAACAATATCAGTGGGGATGGGACTGGCGAGAGGATTAGTGGCTGTTGGCTTAGTTGGTGAGTCTAGAAGAATGGGTGCCACGATCATTTCTGACAATGTCAACACTGCTGCAAGACTCGAATCTTTGACGAAACAATATCATGCAGTAATTCTTTCATCAAAATCAATTATTGACACAACCTCGAGCGTAACACAAGATGCGTTTCGAAAAGTAGGAAATATCGCACTTGTTGGAAAGAGTAAGGCACTTGAAGTGATAGAAGTTATTCCATTTGATGATTCTCCAAAAAAAATTACTAAGGATTTGTTCGAGAAAGCTATTGATCATTTGTATGACCCCCAGAAATTCAATGTTGAACAAGCTATTTCGTTGTTTCAACAAATTCTAGAAATTGACCCACAAGACAAGTTATGTAAGATCAAGCTAGAGCTAGCACAATCCTTATTACAAGATAGTTCTTCATGGACATATTGTGATAGATTAACGAAGAAATAAGCAATATGGCGTTCCTGTATGGAAAATGCTGTATTTCGAGTCCACAATCAATATTGCAAATGTTGCGTCACAAAGGTAAATGCGTCTGCCACGACAAAGTGTGCTGGTTTTTGGTGGTCAAGATCTCCCCTGTAGAGACCAGTTTTTACGAGTACTGATTGCCATGGATCTCCAGCATTATGAGCACCTAGAATATCTGATAAGGGATTGTCACCCACCATAAATATCCTGTCAACAGATTCTGTAATACCATTTTTTGCTGCCAACTCATTCAATCTTTTTTTGCAAAAGTCATAAGTCACCTTCATTGGCTTTCCATATTGTTGAATTTGTAAATCTTTTCCTGTGAGCTCTTTAAAAATGCTTTGAAGACACAGTTTAATCATTCCTTGTCCAAATCCTTTGTTCCAAATTATTATTATGTTGAGACATACATTCAAATTATTTTCAAAACTTACTAGGCCATGAAAACTGAAAAAATGATTATATTATCGAGAATCCTCAAATAATGAATACGTACTGAAGAGGAGTAAAGAAAGTCTTGGTTCGACATGACCAGCTTACAAGTCTGTTCAAAGTTTTTAAAATTGTAATCTTGTAAATGTCCTGGTAATCCATGTTTGCTCAATACAAAGTCCAACACTTGAGTGTAAAAATTACGTGAATAGCTTGTGATTGCCATCTTTCATAAAAATGTCTTACCTATCTGTAAATCACGACCAAGATGGTCACTTTCATACATCCAAAGTACAGCACTCATTCTATCTGTAGGATCTATTTCAAATGAGTACATTTGCTTCATTCTTTTATATTCTTCCTTTGTGATATCTCGAGGAGGAAAAATGCTGTAAAGAAAAGGATATTTCCTGTGGTATTCATCGACATGAACAGCATTTTTAAATCCATATGATTTTGCGACATTTAAACAATCATAACCTCCGACAATTAATACTTTTTTGTCCTCATAATCCTTCGCAAATTCTTGAAAAGGAGTATGACTCTGAATCATTTGTTCGGGAGTTAATTTAAACTCATCAGGTAATTTCAAAACATTGTTGACATACTCAGCTTTTACCGATTCCAGAAAACCTCCACCGTTTGTTAGACATACTTTCCGTTACAATGTTAATAATATCAAAATGTCAATTGACATTTTCTAATTCTAAAATTCATTCGGTTGATACATACGGAATGGTATCTTGTTCTTCTTGAGCTCTATCAAAGCTTCTCTTGACTTTGGAATGGGTTTATGACCTCGCAGCAACACACCATCAATATCAAAAGCAAAACCGCTGATATTTCGTTGTTGTTGTTGTTGATATCCGAACCAGTGGTGCTGCTGTTGTTTAGCGAAACGCGTTGTCAGTTGTTTCGTGCCTGTTGCTCCAAACCATCGCTTCATTTTTTAAAATTTTTTTGTCCTTGAAGAGGCTAATTTAATCCACACTGCGCAACGAGGATTCATGAAAAAAGGTTCAACATTAGAACACCTTATCAGTCTTCGGACTTCCTTAGCATACAAATATCAGCACAAACAAGAAGTATTTGCTATGACTCTGGATATCAAAAATGCTTATGGATCAGTAATACATAAAAGATTTATCAGCATTCTCAAGAAACATGGTTTCCATAGCTCTGTCATTAATCTCTTGACATCCATGATCTCCAATAGCGTTATGAAAGTACTAGTCAACGGATTTCTATCCTCCCCTTTCGATGCGAATGTTGGAGTTCCGCAAGGCGATCCTTCAAGCCCGGCATGGTTTAATCTTTATATAAACTCCTCAACTAACATACAAGAAAAGCTTAAAGGAGTTCAAATATTTAATATTACCATCCTTTTATTATTATATGCCGATGATATTTTATTGATAGCTAATACTAAGTTCGAAATGAATTCCTCTCTAAAAAGCCTCGGCCGTGAATTAAAGAAAATAGGACTCGCTTTAGCTCCCAAAAAATGCAAACTCTTAGCTATTACAGCCAAAGCCAAACTATCTAAGGCCCTAGTCACTATTGGACAGGATATAATTGCCACATCTTCTTCTATTGAATATCTTGGGGGTATATGTACCTTTAAGAATGATTTTTCTTGGTCCTCTGATAATCCAATCAACAAAATCTCGAATCAACTGGCATCAGCTAAAACTTCTAATCTATATCTCAACAGCATCACCACTACATTAATGTCCAAAATCATATCTTTGCCTAGATATGCCTGTAGTTTCAATGGAATCAATAAGAATTCTCTAGACAAAGCAGATATTATGGTTGCTAATTTTGTCAGAAAGGCTATTGGATTAGATTACACATTATCAAAATCAGTCATTTTTAATTGCAAACAAATTGGGGGCCTTGGTATTACTCGCCCCTCTACTTTATTCTCCATTGAACCTATTTGCACAGCAGTTAGATTATTCAACTCCTCCTCCACCATCACCAAAAATATTGCTTTGGCTGCTTGGAATGATCTTACCTTTAACGAACCATTTTGGAACCACGTGAAAAATATCGCGGCTCAAAATAATTGGTCTCTCCAATACATTGATGAACGGTATTCATTTGTCAATGAATACGAAACCCCTGTCGACCCTAGAACTGAATTACTAAACAACGATAGATCAACCATGAGCATCTCAGGCCTTGGAATCTTAGACCATAATAGAACCTGGCATTCATGTACCATCTCCTTTTGGAGCAATTATTCACTCAAACCCTTCCAACAACGACTATTATTTGCTCACCTACACAAAGCAGAAATCCTTAGAAATTTCGGAAAAGATTACCCTAATTGCCACATTTGCAATACCAAAGCCAACTGGGAACATGTATTCACCTCATGCACCATGTGTGGTCCGGAAATCAAATCATTATACACAAAATGGGACAACAGTTCCCTCAAATTCAATGCCCCTCTAATCAGACTTCCCTCAAACCATTCTCTCTCTTGTATTCCAATGGATTGGAATGGTAGTATCAAAGACGAACCTCTTCAACAATTAGACTTATCTCCCCCAGCTTTGACTGATTGGCTAAATGAAATATATCTCTCATTCGCTGCCTATGTTGGCAGTTGTTACAAAAACGCCACTTGGAACAGTTCAACTGTACTCAAGAAGGCTAGAGGATATATAATTAAACCCAAAACTGCAAAATTTGCAACTGCTTGGGAAACATTTAGCAGTCAGCTTGGCGAACTCAACTCCAACAACATCTACACCTCACACCTACACACCCATTAGACACACTATCGTCGGACAATTGAGTACCTATAATTTGTTTATTTTTCAATAAACCCATTCCTGTATTTTTTTTTTTTATCATTGTCCATGCGTTTATTTGTTCGAAAATTCAAACGTTATTCATGGTTGTGTGTGCAATTAGTACAGTTAAAGGTGGTTCATGTCATCAAAGTTAGTGTAATTATTGTTGTAAATTTCAATTATTGTTTGTCATCAAGGTTAGTGTAAATTTCAAATATTGTTGTAAATTTCAATTATTATTCATGGTCGTGGGTATTTCATGTATAGTTTAAACTTGTTCAAATCAATGAAATTGGGATTAAAATCGTATTGTTGTTCAAATTCATTCCAGGTGAGTTTCAATTCTTCCATGAAAAAATGATTTCGTTTCATCCACATTTTAGTAATAGATCGATAAGCTTCCTTAGTAAATACTTTGTCCCATTTCTTACCCAATCCAACTTTAGCACCTGTTAGGCTATGGATATCTTGTTTAGTCTTGATGAGGTACAATAATCGTTTGGAGAACTTCTTGTTATTCTTTGCATATATTGAGATATTATATAAATTCCTAAACATTTCTTTTCTTATATCACTATAGTATTTACATTCAAAAATAATGTGTTGCATTGTCTCTCTACTACAGCAAGGACATAGCAAGTTCGTCTTGGATATCTTGTTTAAATTTTCCAAAGTCTTCATCACGTTCACTCTAATTTTAAATATTAGATTTAAGGTTCTGAAACCGATTCCTATTGAGGGGTAAATGTTGGTGAACTTTCTGTTCTTGGGAGGAAGGTTCTTTGGCGTATATGTTCTTTTGTGGAGGCGTTGAAATAGAAGTTTGTACATTGTTTGTCTAGTGTTTTGAGTGTATAATACATTGTTGATAATAATATACCAATTATTGGATGGAATATTAGTAAGAATATTGTTACAATCAGCACCTTTCTTAGCAGCCCTATCTGCTAATTCATTTATGCGGCTATAGATATCTTGTTTACCTGTATGACTATTAACATGCATAATTTTGATCTGATCCTTCATTTTTAAATAATTACGAATTTCTTCAACATAAGGATCTCTAGATTTTCTGAATTGGAAAAGTTGGTCATAAATACTTTTCGCATCTATGACTATTGTTCGAGGAGTGTTGTTATCTAGCAATCTAACAACTGTGTGGAGCGCTTGAACTTCACTGTTGTAGGAAGTTCCTTGTCCTAAGGTGTGACTTGAGATGGAAACATTCTGATCAGTTACAATACCGTATCCAGCAATATTATTGTTACACGATCCGTCAGTACCAATTAGTGTAGCTTTGTTCAAGAGGTTTGACATGGATGTGTTGTTACCAACATATTTGTAGTATTTGCTTTCGTCTTTGATTTTTCCAAAATCCATGCTATTGAGAATGTTGCGAATTTGGGTGACATGATTGGAATGTTTGATGTCATTATGTAACTTCACTTGTAAATTTTTAGGGTCAGGAACCCACATACTTAATCTGTTCCAATCTTTATAGAGCAGGAATTGTCTTAAACCTTTAGGGATTTTTCCATAAGGGATGAGAGTTTTTTCATGCCATTGGTCACTCGAATGCCACAATCTAATATTGGAAGATTTGTTCATGAAAATTATTCTCTTGAGATATTGAGGAATCCATGGGTCTGGTTTATACCAAGTAGGGATTGGATCATTGAGGATGTCAAAACCATGCTCCTGTTTGATTCGTTCACAAAGGAATCTTGTAGAAGATCCAAGACAAATATCATATTGTTCAAGGAACTTTCTGACTTTACACATTAGGTCCGAGTAACTCATTTCTTGAACAGAAATTAATCCAAGTCCACCTTTGTCTTGATGAGTATAAAACCACTCGAGAGCTAATTTTCTCTTGGTTCTTAATCTTTCACATATAAAGTTGCGAAAGAATTTATCAATTTGTTTCTCTAGATGGTCATTAGCAAGAGGAATTAGGTGGTACAGTGCATACGGAACAATGTCTGTGTTGATAATTTTGACAATGTTCTGTATTGGAAAATTCCAGCCAATAGAGTTTGTTCTTCTTTTAACTTCTTCAATAATTGAAGTAGTGTATTTCTTTTGTTCCTCAGTATTATTGGTAATATTATTACCAAGTATAATAATAGAATCATTACTTTTGATCGTACTTCCAGATAATGTCTTGATACTACATTCCTTATCAGAGAAGAGGTTAGTTTTGGAATGATCTAATTCCATGTGATAGCCATGAAGATAGGTTTCAATGTCATGCAAAGAATTTTCAATTTCAGGTAGTTCGTTGGAAAATGAGTTCAAATCATCAATCCATGCGCCTGTACTAATGTTCCAATAATTTGCAACACTAGCACCATTATATGTTATTTCTAAAAATTGTAAGAGAGGCTCAAGCGCAATTTTGAATGCAAGGGGAGAGAAGGTGTCGCCTTGTTTCAATCCATCTTTCACATTGAAACATTCAGATTTACCATTAGGTATAACAAACTTTGTCGTAGATTCACCTAATATTTCCAGAATTCCATCAGCAGTAATTTCATCAATCCCTAAGAATAGCAGTCCATCACGAAGCATAATTCTCGGTAATGAGTCATAAGCTTTTTTGATGTCAACAGCCAAACCATAAAAAGGTTTCTTGTCCTTTTTTGCCCAAGCAATCATATTGTAAATTGAAAGGACTCTGTGAATAGTTTCTCTGCCGTCTTCACCACCAAATTGAGCTAATGATAATCTTCCCTTTAACACTTCCTTCAATCTTTTGGTGATTAATTTAGTAGCTATTTTAAGTCCTGAGTCCATAAGGGCAATAGGTCTATAGTTAGCAGGGTTTGAGTGGTCCTTATTCTTTTTGTGAATTGGGAGAATGCTGACACTTTGCATAGATTCAGGAGTAAATCCAGTTGTAATGATATTTTCAATAATTTGAAAAATTTCCTCCTGTAATTCCTTACACATGTATTTGATAGTTTTTTGTCTTAAACCTAGTTCATTGGGTGCTGTGGATTTCAAATTCTGAATTATCCATTCTTTCTCTTCCGTGGTAATTCTACCGAGTATTTTGTCATTGCAATTATCAATTAATGGATGTTTGTACTTGAAAAACTTGGTAATGTCAATTTGATGATTTCTTCCTCTAAAGTTGAGGTTTTGTTGATATTTGTCCTTGATCACATTGGCAACTTCATTGGGGTCACTAATTTCAGTTCCTTCGATAGATAATTTGTATGGTGGTGATGACGTTTTGTAAATTTTCTTTCTCAGATGTTTAGAGTTGGTTGCATAGTTTTGTTCCCACCATTTCATCTTTCTGTTCAAAGCCTTATCATGGCTCCATTTGATATGGTTCTTGATTTTCTCTTTGACACTTGCAAGACATTTTGGAACCTGTTCTAAAGTTTTACCAATAGTGGTCAAAAGTTTGTCACAAGGATATCCGTGCTCATTTCTATCAAGTATTAACATGAGCTTCTTATATTGCTTATTATATTTGTAGATTTTAGGATCAAGTTTAGGTGGATTGACCTCCACAAATTTGTCGCCTAGTTTATCACAAATGAAAAGTCATTTGTCGTTATCAGATTCTAAATTCTTAACTTGAGATACACATTCTTTGCTAATGGCCAGCACTTCTTTCTTATTTTTGGGATCTTGAAAGTTACGCTTCTTCCGAATTAACAAAGGTGTTCGTTGACATGAGAGGTCAAGTAGAATTTTAACCATTTTGTGATCTGATATGAAGTTGGCATTCAGTACTTCTCCAGATGCAATTGGAAAATCTGTGGATATGTAATCTATTATAGACTTGGATTGTTTGTTAATAGTATAATGAAGGTGCCATGATAAATGAGGGAAAGGGTAGTAATTAAGATTTCTCTTGTTAATAAGATCTAGTATGTTTTGATCAGTTCTTCTAGATTCGTTTGAGGAGTGATTCTCGGATAAAATCGCATTGTAATCACCTCCAATAATGATTTTGTAGTTAGGATATTTTTCAATTAGGTTGTCAAGAATATATGTGAATTCACATCTGTCAGCTGGTTGATTTGGAAAGTACGCAGAAATTACTAGAGTATTAATTGAATTGATTTTACATTTCACGCCAATAATTCGCGCGTTATTCTTAATGATCGGATCTAAGATGATTTCTTCAATATCTTTGAAAGTGCTTTTGTTGAGGCAAATAGATACACCACAGGAATCTCTTGGATTGTGATAATATGTAAATGAAGAATAATATATAGAGGGAAAATCTGGACCAATGTAGACGCTTTTAACTTCCTGGAGCATGATTATATCAGGAGTGATTGAGTTGAGGTAGCCTCTTAGGGCTGATAATGGTTCTGCTCTGAGACCATTAATGTTGAGGGTTAGAATAGATAATTCTGGAGCTACTGAAGTGAATCAAGTAGTTTTAGCTTTTTGTGACACTCATCAATTTCCTCTTGATATATCTTCCTCTTGGTATTATCTTTTGTACAACCAGACAGAAATGTTAGAGTAGCAATTCTATTGGTAATCATTAATTCTTCATTATTTGCTCTGATAATATTAGCCATTTCCTTAAATCCCATAGCCAATTTCTGATTCTGTCTTGCCTCAAGTTCTGCAATTCTTTTATCCATAGAAGCTTCAATTCTCTTGATTTCTTTTAGGTGATCTTGTTGCACTTTTTCAAGAGTAAAGGAAACGTCTTTCGCTGCAATTTTAGAAGATCTGCCTAAATTTTGTGAAATTTTGTGAACTGTATCAGGTTTCTTTTCCAGGAAATCTTCTAGCATTGGATAATTGAGAGCAAAATCCAATGTCCATTCATTCATTCCATATGCAGCATGGTTTACCAATCTGATGGCATTAGATAAATTGTTGAGTCTAATCAAACATATTCTCTTCTCTTGATTGATGATAAGTATGGATACAGGTTGGTCATTATTGTATTTTCTGGCAAGAGAGGATTCCGTTTGTATTCTAGCTCTAATCAAATCATTTCTTTCAGGCCATCTACCAATGATGTCAGAGTATTGTACATCCATTGCATAGTTGAATGGTATGTCGATTTTCATAGTGACTGTTTCCTCTGTTCTAGGAATAGTGATATCATATGTTTTTGCCTTACATAGATTATTTCTGGCTTTCATACTTTTGACAGTGATCACTGCTGCCATTTCTTTACCAATTCTAGCTGTAGCAATTTCAACAATGGGTTCACCAGTATCGCTTTCAATAGCATTCCTCCAATCTGCCTTGACTGTAGTTTTCCATAGTTCTCCTATTGGAATATTATGGACACGTATAATTTTGTTGGTGTCGTTTTCACATGATGAAGTGATATTGACTTCTTTAAATTTTGTACGTAATGTTTCAACTGCCTGTTCTACTTGAGCGCAATCTTCAATAGTGACAATTATGGTATTATTGAGCTTAATAATCGGATTGATGGTGACATATTTGCCACTAAGTTTGTCCTTAATTAATTCAATTACCTCATTCTCTTCAAATATTTTGCTATATCTAACAGCAATATATCTGGGAGGAGTGATTTCCTTCACTGCTATGTCATTGATGTTGAATTCTTCATTGTCTTGTTGGACATTACTACTTTTCTTGTTCTCAGATAATAGTTTGTTAATATTCTTCATTCTTTCCTTCCATAACTCCCAAACATGTTTTCTGTCTTTATGGTTTTTAAAAGCCTTTCTTTCTGTGGTGATTTCGTATTTAATGTCATCAGAGAGTATTCTGAGAGTGGCTTTTACAACATGTTGGAAATTTAAGGTCATAGGGTTGTGTGGGCTAGCAATAACAGATACAATTTCTAAAATCTGATCAGTGTCAAGAAGAGTTCTGTTTGTATCTAGTTTAGCATTATTGTGTTTGAGAAAAGTTTTACCAACAATTTCATCAACTGACATGTCTTGTATGTTGAGGTTATTAGTCAGCTCATTATCCAACAATTCAATGTTGTCTTGGTTACTCATGCTCATACTATTAGTTTTAGCGGCCAATTCTTCATCAGCTATTGGATCAATAGTTGGGTACAATCTAGTGTCAACACTAGTAGAGCAATTGTGAGTAGGGTTGAGATTATTTGTCAAATTGGGCTCATTATCTACAGATGAACTAGCAGAAGCAATGTAGTCGCTTAATGATTGAAGTGAGCTAGAGTGCTTGGGTCCATGATTGGATCCATGGTTGGGTCTTGTTTTACCGATCTTGCTGGGCATCCTAATTGAATTATTCTTCTATTTTTTAATTTGTATAACGAATCTGATCTTGTTGGTCTGATTAAATACCATTCAGTCAATAGCGCTTTGATCTTAATAACTGCCATCGTAATAGGGTCTTGATTACAGTTTGATCACAACGGTAACAATCTCAGTACTTATAACCGGTGGTAGTTGTACGGTACCAAATCAGTACAGTACTTCGTAGAGAGGGAGAGATAAGTTTTAAATTTAAGTTTAATGATTCGGAGATGGTTCTTTGGGTGGTGATAAAGGGTGCTCAAGGTGAACACCTAGCGGAGGTGTTGTGTTATTTTTTTTTCCTCGAAAAACCCATTCCTGTATTTTTTAAAATTTTTTTTTCAAAGCTCAAAACGAGGACTTTTTTGACGGTATTCATGCGCCCCAATAATTTTGTTTGATTCTTCATGAATTGTCAGAGGTGAATCGTCGTCATCTCCAACACTTGTACCTCTCTTTGAGATTCAAGAACCCAACTGTAGTTGTGCTTGTATTGACCATTTACAAGATAAACCAAAAGAGAAATTCCATACCCCCTTCTAAAAAGAAACAATCTGTCATTCCGAAGAGCGCACAACTCATAAATGTTGCTTTCCATTCTTCACCCGGGAGTACATATTCTCGCATAACTTGTTCCATATCAATCACGTCCACTCATTCATGAGGATCGGATTGCACATTTTGATTTCAGAAACCTAACAGGCTGCTATTGTGGATTTCACCAAAACTTCTCAGATACAAAAAACAACCCAAACTTGTTCCAAGAAACTATTCGGTGTGTGGTCATCCAAATAGTTAACATCATCAACAACACTACCCTCATCGAGCACATTAGCAAATCATCTGTTGAACGAACGAATACAAATCACTTCTCTCAAATGTTCAAATTAAGTATTGTGGAGTTTGTTCCAAACAGCAGCAACCACTCCACCACCTCTTCTACCGTCAAGAAGAAGAAGAAGAAGAAAACGGGTGAAATGGTAATGAAAACAAAGATGACTGAACAAATTAGACTCAAAGACAATCCCTTCAATGGATCTTGTGATGTGTCTGATTATCTTCTCAATTCAAAGATTGATGCCATGATGCCAGTTCATGAACAACCACAACAACCATTACGTTCCATGGGAATGCATTCAAAGGTTGCAACCAACAACCATGATGGCTTGCATGTTTCAGAGCAGACGACCAACAATAAGACCTTTCACTCTTCTGAACAAGTGAGTTTATGCTGTTGTGCCTCCTCCTCATGTCATAAAATAACAAAACCACACAAGACGTTGTTGAAACGTGGAAAGTCGACACTCACAACGAGACAAGTTCTTATCAATCCCAATGCTGTCAGAGAGGTCTTCTCTTCAAATAACGTTCACTCAAGATTGAACACCTCACAGACACAACATGCATTGAATTCGAGAGGCTTTAATGTGAGGAGGTCTTGTCATGAACACCAATCGATGATCAATCATGACTCCACCACTACCACACCCTCTGGATTTGGCAGCAGCACCACTAAGACCTTAACTCTTCTCGAGAATTCTCCTCATTACACTAATTCTCAACACCACTCTCCAGTAATGACTACCACCTTTACCAAATCCACCTCTTCAACAACATCTTCCAACCAACAACCATCTCATGTGAGTTCTCCAGATGAACATTACAGTTCAGTTGCAGCAGCACCTTCTCAACGAGACCTAAACAACAACAACAAGCAATCCACACCTTCCAGCCTTTGTAGCAACATTTGTTCGCTCTTTCAAAAACTCTTTGAGCTTAATGAACACGAACAAGAAGAATTTGTAGCCTCTTTGAGTCAGCCATCCAAAGGTTTGTTGGTGTTCACTTCTTCACAACAACAACAGAGGAGTTCAATCACCACTTCTTCAATTCACCAATCACAAACCTCATCACTCATTGCCTCAACAAGATTGAATCAGACCAAATGGCCTCATCAGGAACAACATCCTTCTTCGGATTATGAATTCTTAAAAGACCACCACAACAGACTCTTTCCTCATCACGACCATCCTCAAACACAATCAACAACACCAAGAACACCACCAACAACAACAACACGACCATCACTACCCTCTGCACCTGTTTCTGTAGTCGGCCGTCCATTTTCTCTTGTCAGCGGTTCAGAAGAGATGATTCATCCATCCAACTACCGTAATAGAATCTCTCCTGTTGCATCTTCCATCGATGATAATGATGATGGTTATCATACGACAAAATTTTTCACCTTAAAGGATAAAAATCTTCTAAACATGCATCATCACCATCATGAGGAGGAACATACGAATTATACAACCATCGTTCAACAAGACACTATCCGTAGCCAAATCGATTCATCCCCTCGTATGAGTATAGATACTCTATCCCAAACACCCAATCCTCCAAAAAGAACGTCCATCTTATCTATTCAAGAGTTGTTAAATTAATTCATTTAGAAAATTACCAAATATAATACTCTAATGTTCTGAATCATAATTGCCTTATGAAACGCTGTAACACGTGCCATTTCAAGAAGAGTTTTTAAAGAATCAGCAGAATTTGATAGGTATAACATCAAATTTAGAACTCCTTCATTCCTTAATCAAACTAATCTTCCTTAAATGAAAGATAAATGGCAGATAATCGGCGCAATATTACTCCACCGACGATCCAGATCGCCTGCTCTTTCATATATGTCTCTGAGTTTAATATAAAAGAGGGTATCTGAATTTGATATAATAGTAACTTCAGCGTTGCGAATTTGTACATTAATGTTGATGATTCGTCTTCTTCAGCCACAACAGTTGCGTTTCCAAAAAAACAAAACGAACAACCAAACACAAACTCTCTGAACTGTTTTGAACAGTACTATAGTAAAGCGACGAACATTGTTTTGAGTCGACATATATCACACACACACCTCTCGACGCTCTACATCACACACCAGTGAGTCTCTACGCGCGTCCACCACATTCATCACCACCAATATATCATTCTTTTTACCTCTCCATTCCAAAGTGAATTATTCAATCCATGAAGCTAAGCATTGTCAGTTTCCAGAAGGCACTTCAAGGTGCATCAATGACCACCAAAACAACTACTTCACCTCCCAACAACTCTTCATCTCCTCCAGCACTCATTCCATCGACCCATTTGGATTCTTCTTCCTTCAAAGAAACCTCAACAATACACAAAAAACGAAATTCCACGAGAAGAAAAGATGGTCTGATCATGACACAACGAACAGAAATTGTAGAACCTTGTGAATCACAATACTTTAACGATCCCCAAAATGGTTGTATGTTCTATTCTTTTCCTTTATCCATGAATTCTGGTGGCCACCAACAGAAACGTGCCAATGGCAATAGCACGCTCGCCACAACACCAAACAAGAAGCGAAAACGATCGACTCCTTCCATGTCTGGAAAAGTATTACATCCGGAAGGAAATTCTACATCTTGTGAAGCCCATTCCAATTCCTCTTCAGATTCGTCTCCCCCCGTGTTACACCTCCATCAGATTTCTTTCAACAACAGTACTCATGCATTGATCGAGAATGAAACACCTAACTTTGTGAATAATGTCATCATTCACAACCACTCGGCCAATGGTGGTGCTCACCATGTGGTGAGGAATCACCTCAAGAATCATCACAGCTCTCTTGGATTTGATCATTCTTCAACCAAACCACAAGTGATCGCTCCTCCACTTGAAGTGAATGGTTCCTCCACCTCCACGACTCCCTCCACGACGACGACTTATCAGCACCACCATCTTTTGCCTCCTCCTCCTTCTTCTTCTTGTCCAACCAGTCACTCAACTCACACCACTCCATCCCTGACTCTCCATCCCCCTCACTTACCTGTACATTTAGATGGCATGCAAGACAAGAGCCAAACCACTCACACCACTCAGTCCTCTCCTCCACTCCATCCACTACCACCACAACAACCACCAGTGAGGTTATCCATTTCCATCAAGGAATTACTCAATGATTAATAAAGATTCTTGGCGTTTTTACTCTTATCAGGTAATTGAAACAGATGTTGCTGGAGGGTCGCCGATTTCAAAGGCGTGGGCGGAACACCAAAAGGAGAGAGGAAACTATAAACGAAGATTTGACCCTTCCTCTTTCGGCATTCATTTGTTGGGACCTAACCCAAAAGAGCGGTAATTACCGCTCGAATAGAATCAATTAAAAAAAAAACAAGATCCTTACTTGGTACAACAATCAATCGAAATGAAATTTACTTTGATTCAATTCCTTCCTGAAGAGAACAACATCTCTCAAAATCATCCTACAAGGACGAAGAGACGCACTTCCTCCTCGAAGAGTATCATTGTACCCTTAGATCCGGTATTGTCATCGGTCCCTTCTCAGAGAACGACAACGACGATCATGGAGCAATGTCATTCTCCAAATGGGTCAATTTGTTTTTGCTCTTCTTTCCCAATAGATGGAAGGCAGGTTCCGTCCTCGACTACTACAAGCAGATCTGATTCCAACAATAATCACATGAGAACTTGTTTGAATCCATCCTTCTCTGTATTTCATGAAATCTCCTTTCATGGCGGTGTATTTATGGAAAGTCAAATGACAGTACCAATTATTGCACAAAAAGCTCCCCACCCAACACGAAAAGTTCAAAAACAACGAAAAATGTCAAACCCAAAACATTCTGAACGCAACAACATGAGCTTTTCAGAAACCATGTCGTGTCATGTGCCCACCACCATGGTGACGACAGGAGAACACTCACGCATTGAAGGTCAAGTAAAACAATGCCCCACACGACCCGTGCGTTACTCCATCAGCATTAAGGAACTACTCAATTAAACATTCGATCTTTCATAAATGATCTTTACATAATTATGCACCCAACAATGGGTTTCTCTATGAACGCTCAGAAACAAACTCTTTGTGTTGACGCGTCTCATTTTCTCTATTTTTTTCAAAAAAATTCAAAAAAATGAACTCTCACCCCACTGACGTCATTTCGGATGAAGGTAAGCCAACAGAAATAACAATCAGTAATAATGGTTCCGATTGATGATCGTGATTATTCATTTCATTGAAAATAATACTGTGGTTGGTCTACATGCAACACTTAGAAAAAAACATTAACGTGTTTTTGGAACGAAAATTTCCAGAGTGGAAGGACGACAAGAGTATGATCTTTTATATGAGCAATTTCAAGAAAACAAGACAATTAAATGTCAATGACTGGGATTCAAGACTCTCTTTTTGGAGGAACGTACTCTTGTCCATCATTTCAGAATATTATAAAAACACAATTTTGATCGTAACAATCCGACAACTGAAACAATACATGAGCAGACGAAAAAAGACTGATGAAGGCATTGTGGAAACTACACTTGGATGGCAAACTGTCATTGTAAGTACTTTCTTGTGTATTAATCACGTGTGATCGATTTGGGATTCTAATAATCATTGTTGATCAATAAATATTAGCAAGAAATGATTCATCAAGGAGAATTAATATCCATAGAAGAATTCAAAAATGTTTATGACACGAACAACAATCAGGGAATTGGTTCTTGGTTGGTCGGAGTTGCCACCACATGGTTCTTTGGAAGAGCCAGTGCCTTGAGCAAAGCAGGTGCCAACACTGCTCTCAATAACTCGAAGATCCCTGAAGACAACAAGTATATTGTGATGAAGCCACTCAAAGAAATTACATTGAATTTTATAAAAAGTGCCCAGAAGAACAAGGTATCAAATTTGGATTTATACTTTTCTCCGAGTGAATTGAGAGAGAGAGAGTTTCCTAATTATGACTTTACTCAAATTGATTTGTTATTGAGATATATGCACTGTGAGGAGTCTGCATTTGTGGTAGAATTGACCAATTCAAAAAAAGGACTTGTTTGTTTTGAAGAATCTACCATGAAGAAAGAAGTATTGAATAATCTTCCTCACTACTCACAGAAATTTATTGGGATTATTCAATTGAAAGAAATGTCACATCTGCTTGAAAAGGAAGTGCAAAGTTTGCAAATGAAAATTGATTCTTTAGTTTCAGAAGCTAAAAAGTGTCTCACATTCCAAAGAAAAGAGGACGCTAAATGGATATTGAAAAAGAAAAAATTGGTATCTAACATTTTAGAAAAACGCAATCAAGCACGACATAATGTTTTCGAGTTGTTAACATCCATCGAGACTGCAACTTCTGATATCGAGGTTCTAAAAAGCTTACAAACGGGAGCCAATTCTCTCAAACAATATACCATAGAGTTGAATACAATGAACATGGAGGAATCAATTGAAAATATTGCCGACACTATGTCTGAATATCAAGAAATTAAGCACATTATCGATTCTGGATTCGAACAAATTAATCAAATTCAAGGAATTCAGTTTGATGAAGAAGAATTGTCGAGAGAATTGGAAAAGTTAGCAGTAGAGCCGTCAAAATCACCACAGATTCAGAGACCACCTACTGACACCACGACAGTGGCCATATCATCAAAAGCATCAGCATCCAGTCCGCAGAGTATGACTCAAGAAACTGAAGTGGCATTTCCTACAGTTGACGACATACCAACCGAAAGCTTTTCTATATTAGAATGGGAAAAGCAACACACCACAAATTCAGAAATTAAGGAGTTTTGTGTTTTAAAGCTCAAAATGTTAACTCTCAAAAAGAAGATGAACAAACTCAAACCTGAAGAATTAGCACTCAAGCTCCAGCAAAAACTTTCACAGTTCGAGAAAAAACAGCAAGAATTCAAGCTAAGCGGAAACAGCAAGGCTATGAAACATGTAGAGACTTATATTTCTCTTTTACGTGAAGAAATTGAATCCATATCAAGAACAGAGCAGGTGGAAGAAAAACAGCCTGTTTTACTGTAACTGCTCATTAAACCACATCAATCAACATGTCAACGGCTGAAACGTTTGTTTTGGTTGTTCTGTTTGTCCTCTTTAAATACCAATCTTTAAGAAAGTCTGCATAAGGCTTTAAGAATTGTTCATGATTGGATCTAATTGTCATGTCTTGTTCCAACGAGGTGCAAGCTAGTCGATTAATTAATATTTCGGCCATAATATCGGCAGCCAGTTTGACAGTTTCAAAAGTGAATACATTGTCCAACAAAAGTATTCCTTTCAATTTTTCCAATAGTTGTAATTGTCCATCATGTGAAAGATCGTTGAGTTGCCACTCTTTTGTGTACAATCTTTGTGGATGTAACTGAGATCTGGAAATAGCCAGTTTACAAATTGATGTCAAAACTATTTGTAGTTTCACATGACTTTTGTTTGACAAGTAATGGAGCAGTTTTGGCCACAACTTTCCAAATATTAAATAATTATACGTCCAATTCCAGTCATTCACTGAAAGACCAATCAGAGCAAGAGAATTTGGTATTTGGTAAGTATTTGTTTGAAAGTTGTCAATATTATTCAACAACATATCACACACATCTTCAACGCTCAAATCCAATGCACAAAATTCAAGAAAATTTTCAAGGGTCAGTATTACTTGTTCATTCATCTTGTCTTGGCCAGTCAGATCATTCGATTGAACTATTTGCTTGAACACCAAGGCCACAGCCATATCGATGCCAGAGTTAGGATCGAAACCGTTTCTTAGTAGACGTTTGTTTGCAGAAACCATAGCCAACAGTAATTGCAAACATCTGACACTGAATAATCCACGGGTTTTGCTCCACTCATTTCTCAAGGCAAATTGCAAAATATTATAGAATAACTCTTTCATTTTGGAAAACATGCAAAAATCCAATCTGGCAAATCGAGTGTTGCAGATTGTACTTTGTCCTGCCAATAATGCTATCAACCTTGAATAATTTTGGTCATTCGTATTCTCCAAAAGCACTTGGGTCACAAATATTTCTGCTTCATTCATTAACTTCTCCAACAAATTTATGTGACAGCTATAAATGTCCAAATGGTCAAGCATGATAATGAATAAATTCCACTGAATAAAAGTAGCCTTCTCAGTTATTAGCCGAATTATTACATTAGAGACTCCTTCTGTAATTTGCGTACTCTCCTCAGAGTACTGTTTCCAAATCATCTTACACGTTTTTACAATCTCGCCTAATACTCTGGCTTGTAAAACCTTATCAGAAATAAATGTCTCAAAGTTGCAAATAAAGTTCATGAAAATATTTTCAATATACTGAGCAACAGATGATTCACCTTGTTTCTCAAAATAAATAGAAGGTATATCTGGAATGGTAATTGCTGGTTCTTCTGGCTTTTGTAAGGGGTTTTCTGCAGAAATTTGTTTGACTGATGCTTCTTGAGGCGATTTTGATTCAATACGTAAAAAAGGTAAGTGTGGAGAGCTTGTATCAGTGTTCCTTCGAATGGACGAGACTTTTTTGAGTTTGGGTAGTACAGGAGGTGCTTTTGGTACAGCCTCTGAGAAGGGAAGAGAAAGTTGTGACATGGGCACATTCGTCGCCTCCGTTTGTTTAGGTTTTTTGAATGATGATGCCAATTTTTCATCCATTTTCCTTTTGTTTTGGGGTTTCTCTTTAGGAGGACTTTGAATACATGCAAGTTGTGGCAAACTTGTAGCATGTTGTTTTGGGGTAGTGTTTTCAGCAGATGTGACAAAGTTTCCAAATGTTTGTTTGGCGGCACAATTTGGACATTTTGACCAGTCCATTTGTATAGGGTCAGTGTTGACGGCTATTGATTTATACTCTTTTTTCTGGTGTTCTTCTACCACTGATGGCCTGACTACCGCAAAATCAGAGTAAGAAATGAAACCTCTTCTTTCTCTTAGCTCAGATAGCTCCTTTTGAGCATGTGTTAAAAGACCTCTTAGTTCTTGCACTTGATTGGTCAAAAATTCACAGTTCTGTAATTTGTTGTGGTTTTGTTCGATTTGTAATAATAAGTCTTGCTTTTCAGATTTAACTTTTTCCAAATCATTCTTCAAGGAAGAGATTGTATTTTCATTGCTCATCTTTTCAAAACGCAATTGTTGAATAATTTGAGATTGATCAAGAGTGAGAGTAGAGCTTTTTGCGTTTTTTTCTAATTTTGAACATTGTTGTTTTAACGATTCGTTTTGTTCAAATAAAGATTGATTATGTTGACGCAATTTCATAATTTCTAAAACTTGCTCCTCTATTTTCTTCTTCAAATTATCTTGCAATTCCAATAACGAGGAAACATCAATCAGCTTTTTCTTTAACTTCTTCACATTTGAACTGATCTTCTTATTTGTTTGCTTTTCCTTCTCCAATTGGTTTTTCAGACTTTCAATTTCATCCTTCACGAATACGTGTTCATCGAAAGTCCTCTTTTCTGAAGAAGATTGATTTTTAATTTGTTCATCCGATACAGATTGTTTGATTTCATTCATCAATATTCCTTTTTGATAATTTATCAAACCCGATGATGATGAGTCGTGATGAAAGATGTTTACAACAATAGGAACAACAACTATGTGTGTGATGAGGAAGAAAGGCTTTGATTTTTTTTTAAAGTTCGTTTGTTGAAGATGAAGTCTTTTGCAGCAACGATCAATTAATATTGAAGGAGAGAATTCAAAAGTGAAACTTTCAAATTCAACCTGCATTCAAACTTTGAGTGCTGCCCTTTCATCATCCCGATGATGACTCAAAGTCGAATTTTCTATGTTTTTAAAGAATAAAAAATGGTCTTGAATCATCATCATGCTCCGAAACTTTCTATTCAACCACAACATCATCAACAAGCCTCATTATTGATATCTGATGAAAAATCAAATTCAGAATCAAGTATTATTAATAATACATCTAATGGCTCACTCCGACAAGTGAGTTTTGTTGATTCTTATGATTTACAATTTGAACAAAAGTCAAGCATTTCGCAGAACGCCATGTTGTTGGCTGATATTAATGGAGATGGATTTAAAGAATTAATTGTTGGAAATACGTTCGGAACGTTGTGTATTTATCAATTCATCACACACAAACATCCAAAATATATTTGCCATAATTTAGGAACGGTGGGTATTGTGGCAAAATTATTATCATGTTTGAATAATAATTATTAATTTGAATTGAACATTGGAAACAAATGTTGATTTATTTCATACTATCTGATAATGAACAAAAAGATATCATTTATTACAAACACAGAAATAGTGTGTTCATGTACTGGTAAAATCATTCCAGTATTACTTGTATTGACAGCTGAAGGAGAGGCCCATATATTCAAATTGGTTGATAAATCGGTGGCCATAGGTGTATGTTTTGATGATTCACAAAGCATTGAGAGTGAAATCAACACTCAACAATACACGGCTTGGAATGACGATGCAAGTGTAAATAGCTATGAAAGTGGACTTACAATTGATAGTGCTTTCAACACCTCTTTTCATGAATCCAGTTCACAACACCAGATATTGGATGCAACCACACCTCCGTCGATTCATATCCCAAGTGCCAATAGCTCTACATCCCTAGTTTCTCCTTCTTCTCCAAATGTGACGGAACAACAAAATACTATTCCTCCATCAAGGAGCCCGTCTCCACCTACTGTTTCATTACCTACTCGTATGCATGATCATCACACTCACTTAAAATCATTGGCTAGGTAAGTATTGTGCCACTATGCTTCACTAATTTTTACCTTGGTTTGTTATTTTCTATTAGGAGCGAATTTATCACTCCAAATGCAACCTATAGGATACCATGCAATGTAAATTGTGCTGTATTTTTTGACATTGACCATGACGGCACAAATGAATTAATATTGGGAGGAAATAACAGAAACCTATTTGTTTACAAGTTTGGAGAGAAAATTACATTCTACAAGGAAGTAAATACAAGAAATAACCAAATTCATAGCATGGCACTGCATGATGGAATGCTAATTATTGGATTTGTTTCTGGTGCACTTGGAATTGTTCCCTCAATAGATACTGTTATCATTATCGAGCCAAAGTATATTAATTTTAAGAATGATCCACTAACAGTTGTAGGAAATATCAAATTTGGAGAAAATAATTGTATTGCCATGTGTGGACTTAGTGGAGAAGTTATTATTCTAGATCCTCTAAAACATTTCCAAATATCGGAACTACTTCACACTAAAGGAACTCAGATGTTCAATTCTTCGATGGGCAAAACTAAGCAAAACTATTATCAGCATTATGACTACATTTTAAACATCCAACATGAGATTCTTTCAATAAGCGCTCACCATTTCGTAACCACATCCACAGATTCTCAGGTTGTCATTTCTTCTTGGGATGGCATCATTTACATTTTAGATAAGGACAAGAACATTGTGACCTATAATTTCAAATCACCACTTGCGAATTGCTATTGTGGCCTTTTTTTCTCTCACACCACGACATAATAATGAGCTAGTTTTGGTTCTATCTACTTTTAATGAGGATAATTTACACATTTACTACAACATTCAACTTCAAAGTATGAAAGCAACAACCATGTATGATTATTTGAAAACGGATCCAGAATTATGTTCTCTTCTTAGCGAGTTTGCAACAACAACATTGGATCCATCGACGACACACAACACAGCCTCTCTCATTCATTCTCTTCTCTATGATCATTAATCATGAACAACAACAAGATTAAGCATTAATTCGTGTGACATTGTGATGGCAACAATAAAAATGGACTCAAATTCCACTGCTTCGGACATGGTCGTGAATCCATTCCGACAGGAGGATGATCATGAATCCATGAATCATCCAAACAATCATCAACAGCACCATCCCATCACGGAGAGAACAATGGTTGTTGCTTCTTCTTCCTCTCGGAATGATCACTTGTCCAATGCCAATGTCCACTACGAAGACTTGTACTCTCAACTCACATTACAAGAAAATGAAAAAGCCTTGTATTTGTTCTTTTATGAATTGTATTTATATTTCGGAAGCTACTCTCAAGTTCTGATCCGATTGAATTCATCATCAGCATCTCCATCATCACAAGCCATGATGATGGTCATAGATCAGGGAAATATTCCACCATCAAGTAATAGTAGTAGTGGCCATGAAAATCACAACAACTCGGAACATGAACCTCGATCAACAAATTCAAGTAGTAGTCAGAGTCGTAATATTATATTATATAATTGGATTAGGAAAATACGAAACTTTGTTAAAGGACCTGATCGAGGATTCATCTCCTATTATTGTTATATATTACTATTTATTCAATGGTGTTCTTTATTTATGGATAGCCATTTGCCTTGGCATCGTTCCAATAAGAAGTTTTTCATGATGCTCTCTGTATTGGCAAATTTCAAAATTTCATTGCTGTGGGAAGATGAAACGAATTTTTGGTGGACTTTATTCATTCCCTTTCTATTTTCATGTTTAATTACTCTTTTACTTGTGACATTGACAATTATTTGTTTTCATTTCAATTGGAAAACATTTAAAAATTTAAGAAACACACGAAACATTGATCAATATTCTAATATTGAAGATCATCCACAAGTTCAATTACTCAAAGAACGACGAAAAAAACCTCGTGTGATTGCTTTTTGGTTATTGTTCCATCTCATTGAATTAATACCTGGATTGTTTATACCTGTCTCACTTGGATTTTTACATGCTATTCGATCTCTTAACTTTTTTATAATGATTCCAAGTTTAATACTCATTTGGCCATTTCACATTTTGGCCATTACATTCATGTTCACAATTTACGAATGGAGATTTGATACTGGAAGTATTGCCGCAAAGAGTAACACACGATTGGATTTATTTTTATTTATTCTTCTCACTGTTTCATGTTGGATGCATTCCATGTTTCAATCCCCCATTACTTTGGTGATTGTCATGTTTTCTGATTTCTTCATGCTCTTAATTATTTTGGCAGTGAATATTTTGTTTGTTTCGTGGTATAAGACAGCTATGAATATTACCATTACAACACTCATATTTTCAGGTTTGATTATACTATCGATCACATCCATGCTTGCTGTTCTGAAAGCATTTATACCTTCCACAGACAGTAGTTCAGGATTTTTCAGTGAGCTCACTATTGCTGCGAGTATTTTCTTGTGTGTGATATTGGGTTATTTTTTTACAAAATTAAGATTAACATTTAATGAATTGGTGGTGAACGAACAGACGAGAACTGAGCTCTTTCTGAACAGCTATCGAAACACGATTGTTATTCCAAGAAGAGACTTTGAGGTTGAAATGGCAACACGGACTATTAGTTTTATTTCTCATTTCGTGGAACCAAAAACTATTGGCCAACCTCCAGCTTCATCCTATGAAGAGATTAGAGACAGATTGAGAGAAATTCAAGAAATTGAACGAGTGGATGAACTTTTCCAACAAGCGATGGATTACCAGTTTGATTTATCCTATGTATCTCCCTTTATTTATCTTTCTTATGCTCAGTTTAAAAAGCATGCCAGGGAAGATCCAAGATATCTTGATGGAGTTCTTTCTGTTCAGCGCTATTGTTCTTGGAAGTGGTTGGATGTTCGATTCATGTTTTATGTACGAACACGGTTTTGGTTTGAATGTGAGCTAGTGAAGAAACTGCAAAGGAGAATAGACAGAGCCATCCAGATCTGAAATATTAAGGTCTACAATAATTTATTTAAATTCTTGCAATTCCAAATTACCGTATGTACAATATGGACATGTTTCTTCAGTGTTTACAGAGTCAACACTTGCTATTAATGCAGAGCAATAAGAGCATTTAAGATAGTTGGAATTGATCAATTTGTATGTTTTCCAGCAAAACTTCAATGGTTCATTATCTGTGACGCTCGAATAATATTTTGCCAAATCCAAATCAGTGTCAGTAAATGATTTTTCGGAACACTCTTGTTGACGTTTCAAAAGTTCCTCTTTGAGTTTTGGAATACCTTCACTCAATGGTAAGAAGTGCTTGAGAATATGGCTAGTAATACCATAGTTACCAGCAGCCAAATTTCTCTTAATACCCATATTATAACAAACAATCTTGTGCTTATTAATTACGTTAATTTGACAAATAAAGGTGGCCAATCTTGCCAATTCTTGAACATCATTTTGTGCCTCAATAGCTCTGATTCTAGCGAGTAAATGAATGAGTAGCTTGTAATGTACACAAAGAACAATGTTAGTCTTCTTGAGGATTTGAGTGTTGTCTTTCACAAGAGCAGAAATAGCAGATATCAATTGGTTTCTTGCTTCTTTAAAGTCACCCTTCTCCATAGCTGTCATACCATCCTTGAGACACTGAGTTGGATTGACATTGGCCAACATGGATCTATCTTCTTCTTGTTGAGCACTGGAAGAAGATACTGATTTGGGTGTAGCTGGAGATGTTTCTTGTGCTTCGCTTGGGGTGTTTTCCTTTTCTTCCTTTGCAGCACCTCCTCTTCTTCTTCTATTTCTACTTGCACCAATACCTCCTAGACCAGCAAGTCCAGATACTGAATGTCTAATATCTGTAGCCGAAGCATCCTTGTAAATAACTTCTTCTTTGATTTTAAGTCCTTGGAATGCTTTTGTCTTCTTGTCATACTCATCCTCTTCTCCTGATGAACTATCGTCAGAGTCGCTGTTTTCGCTCTTTCTATTCTTCTTGGCATCCTTTGCGGAAGAGGACATTTCACTTGATTCATCCTCGTCTTTTTCAGATGATTCTGTTGTTGTAGTTGTTGAAGGAACGTCTAAAGATGGAGGAGGTGGAAGTTTATGTTGAAGTGGAGGTAATTTGGAAGAAGATTTTGATGGTTCTGTTGGTAAATCTTCTTCAATAGAAGAGGTCATCGATTGATTGCCACCAAAGTCATCCTTGAATCCAACTTCTTCAAGATTCTCTTTTCCAAAAGACATGGTTCCATATCCAAGCCATTTTAAGAAATCAGTCATGTCCATCTTTACAATTTCATCATCCGATGGAACATTGGACATGGAAGGTGGGCTCGTGAGAGATGAATCTTTTGGTGTCTCTGCTTGAAGTTTTCTTTCAGAGACGAGCATTCTTCCCTTAATTTCGGTACTAACTTCAAATTCTTTCACGTCACTCACTTTGATTGGCCAATCATCCACTTTAACACTATCGTGTGCAGAAAGGTCATAACTTCTCATAAAGTCATTAATAGCCTCATGTCCAATCAGCAATGTGCATGCTGTATAAACAGAGTAAAAATCAGGTGAATCTTTACAGCGAAGTGCTAAGAGCTTTAAACCATTAGCATTGTTTGTTGTTGTAAATAAATTAAAAAGACTCCAAACATCATTAATCATATCAAAGCATTTGTGAGCAACAGAAAATTGTCCATACTCGAGAGAGGCCTTAGCCAAATCAACAAAATGTGAATAAAACTTGGAATGTTTGGAAATGAATCCACTTCTATCATGAGACTCTTCTTCATATTGAGAAACAAGCACTTGAAGTGCATAAGAGAAATTCATTGAGCCCTTTGCTAATCTCAATCTTAATTCCCATGAGAAATTGAATAAACTGTTTGTTACTAATTCTGATGCTAATTGAGGATATCCCTGTTTTTCCAAGTTAATAAGTGTCTTTTCAGAAACGTTTCGACAATCAAACCTCTCAGTCACTTTTCGTAGAAGCTCTCCTTTCTGGTCTGGAGATAAAACATCTTTAGGAATTGATAAAATTCCTAACATTAATGGTTCCACAATATTTAGGTAGCGATAACTAATGGATGGAATTCTATCTTTGTGAGAAACAAAGTATACACGATCGCAAAGAACAGCACACATCACTGAATCAGTATGATCCAAAGTTCCAATGAATGCGCTGGCATTATTGGTTGAACCATATGGATGTAAACAATGAATAAAGTTTTTGGAATTATACAATAACACAGATCCAATCCAAAGAATTGATTGATACTGGAACGAAAGCTGTGAAGGAGCCTCTACACATGACAACATATCCATGTTTTTGTTTAAAATCAAAACTCTTCTGGAAGTCAACACGCCAATTAGGCATGGCTCGTTACACAAAGGCTCATTCTGCCATTGGATATCAATAAGTGCTTCATTATCTCTGAGATGGAGAAGTCGATTTGGATCGATTTGTAAGCGCTTCTCTGTTTTGTCCTCAATGGATACTGCCATGCTCAACTCATTGCTTGCTGTACAATAAATTACAGAGCGATCTATTTTCAAATAACAGTAAATGAAAATTAGTTTTCAAATTATTTCAGTAAAACCTACCGAAAGGAGAAGTCGACAAATATTTCACTTTCACCTTCAATTTGATGTCACTCTGAAGTTCATTGTTGTAATAAACTTTCAAAACGTCACCGCCCTCAGATAAAACCACATAGTCTTTGTTGGAGTCTCCTAAAAAACCTCCATCAATACCCTTTTGGAGCTGAAGCACAACCTTGTCTTTTGGAGAAGAATAAATATCATCTACCTTCGAGAAGAAGAATTTTGAGTTATCGCTTTCATATGTATTGGATGAATTGAGAAGTTTCTCATAGAATATTATCATAGAATTTCTATTGGCACTGAAATTGGTTTTTGTACATCTGTAATATGGATAAAGGTCCTGAGTAGCTCTCAGAGATCCAATCAACACTTGAGCTTTTTCTTTTTTAAGGTCATATGCAAGCAAAGTAGAATGTGGAGGTCTTGATCTTCCATCAATATATGGAATGTTTGAAAAAGGAATTAAATAATCCAAAGAATCTCCATTTGACACCAATTCGTTGTGAGAGTTAAATTGTTGCTTTTTGGGTGACAGCAAAGTTTCCAAATTACAATTGATAATTGATGTATGTGGTAGCATACTTCCAGCATTCACAGAATCAAAAATAGAGAAAATTGGAAATCGATCAGCAACAATTGTTCCTTTGATGACTCTTGCATTCAATTCAGAAATTTGAAAATTTTTTCCCTAATAATTAACGGTATGATTATTAAACAGTTCATTCCATTACTTACGTAAAACGCAATAGCTCCTGTCTTTGGATGTATGGTAGCGTTTATAATAGGAATTAATCGTTTTTTAGTGTCTTTTGTTCTGTGCAAAGCAACATAATATGGATCCAACATTTCGAATTCTGTTAACAATGTCTTCATTTTAGGCCCACCAGTTGTTGAATAAATAATTGATCCAATATCGATGGAATTTAAGCATCCCTTTCCATTCAAATAGAAAAGACATGGCACACTTGGATGCACCAAAAGAGATGTGATCCATTCATCAGTTGTGGCATATCCTAAAACTCTTGGAGCTTGATTGGGAACTGTCGGAATAGACCAAACTTTGATAGAGCCTTCTCTTGTTCCAGATATTAGAATATCATAATCGTTACTTTCATTGTTGTAAAAACATAAACTTGTAACAGCCTCTTTTTCCTTTTTGTTTGCTTCATATTCTAATGTAACAGGAGATCATGTCATTATTCACATCATCATGTTTGTCTCAGATATCAACATACCCTCTATTTGAAACAACAAATTGTGTTGTTCAGTTTCCCAAATTTTTATAATACCATCACTGCTTGCGGATGCCATCATTGACTTGGATGGATGTGTTGTAATTGCTGTTATTTGTTTCTTATGACTGTACTCAACTCGATGTTTAGAATCGGAAAACATTTCAATACCAAACACAACATTACTTCGTTCTCGGGCAAGTTTTGAAGGAGATCTAGCATAGAAAATCATTGGTCTTTTATGAGAGAGGGCAAAAAACGAAGCACTTCTAGCCTCTTCTCTTCTCACTGGAATGTGGAATGCAGTGAGAGTATTGGTGTTAAGATCCAAAACGCTAAAACAACCATTTTGAAGAGAAGCTACTAGGACAGGATGAGTGTAACTGTGTTCGATATGTGTAACTTCACTCTCGGTTTTGAAATGTGCTGTTCTAGATCCTGTTCCTAAATCATATTCTATAATTCATATCATGATGATCACAATTTTTGTTATTATTTAAATAATATTGTAGTAGATATAAATTTCGAAATTAAAATAGATGATCCGACAATAGTATCCCATAAAATTAGTAATCACATCCCAGTAAATGTTGCAACGAACATACCATAAATCTCTTTTCTAAACCCTACAGCAATTTTGTTTTGTGTTGGATGGAAGCTCACCGATCGAATCTTGGAAATTTGCTTGTCAAGAGGCAAGTCCACGCCCAACAACGGTTCTAACTTCATTTTTTTGTTTTTGACGAAAACGAAAAAAATGACTCAACAACAAACCATCAAAGAACTCATAAATCACTTAGAACAACAACAACAACAAAGATGTTAAGACGCTCACACAAACAGTACAGCAATTAATTGAAGTTACAAAACCAACTCAACCAAAACCTGAACAATCAACAATTAAAATTTCTCAAGCTCAAAATGAAGCACGAAAAATTCACCCTCAACCAAAACCTGAACCAACCCAACAACCAAAACAGGAAACTAAACATTTAGAAACTCCTCAACTCAAAATTGAACATACTGGTCAACCCAAAAACAAAACTAATTCAATCTCAATCTACTCGGACAGCAATATCTCATCCTCATTTGTTAAATTTATTCTAAAAAGATTTGAATCAGTTATTCAACACTGGTACATCCCAGACAGCAAGACCAACACTCTCAATTTAGTCATTCAAAATGCCGAAACTCAACAACAAATACTAAAGAAACTTCATTCACCAGCCGTGTCATGACAGAAAAAACACAAACAAAATATTTCGCCTCACCAATGATTTTTACATCATCTCCAACAACATTAATAGCCAAAGAAAAATCAATTTCGAACATCCAAACTCTCATCAAGTACTCAATCAATCAAAAGAAATGTAGAATTGAACAAATGTGCCTAACATTCAATCCACAAGAAACCTTGTACAAACTTAAAATTAACTTTGATTCCAAGAATCCCAACACTGAATTGATTGAACAAGGATTTGAAATTATCAAAAGAAAGCAAGAAACGCATATAGCAAATTGTACACTCCCTGAATCAACAAGTGAACTCGCAATTACCAAAGCTATTAAAACACTATGCAAGAACACAACCATCAAATTCGAAAAAGAGAGACTCAGTATTAAGAAAAAGGTAAAAGATACCTACTCATACCTAATTGTTGAATACAAGCTTAATGACATCAATGAATTGAATAGACTAACCTCAACAAGATTTATTAGCTCCACAGAATTGAAACCAATTTCAAGACAATTCAAGCCAAAGTCAACCGCATGAACGTGCGTTTAATAGTTTTACCAGCACCAATGGTGCTAACAATAAACTAATTAGATTTTTTTGTTTTTGGACTTGTCAAGACATCATCATGGGATATTGAGGCCAGCAAAAGTGAGAGCATAACTTGCGCAAAACTTGTTGGAGGTGAACATTTTTACTTCTTTGTTGGATTATTACTAATACAGTTTTGAAAATACACCCTTTTTGAGCGGAACTTTTGAGCTGGTTGTGGAAATAGCACTGATGTTCGTCGCACTTGATGGGCGAGCAGAGAGCAAGAGGGGGCTTTGTACATTGTTTCTCTCTTTTGGATACTCACGAGAGCTGTTCAAGGATGGAGACAAACTTGGTGATGAAGGAGAGAGACTTATCAAACTCTTGCTCAGGTCAAGACTTCCAGAAGTGTTTGTCGGGCCGGCGGAAAATACTCCTGTTATCTTTTGTTTAAGCTTTTGCAATTGATAATTGTATTCTTCTTCTTCCTTCTTGTGCATTAAGTATTCTTGTTGTTGTTGACTCTTTTGTTCAGCACGTGCTTGTTCAAACTTTTTGTTAAGATCCTCCGCCTCAATTTGAAGCTGTCTTTCCATCTCCCACATTTTCCTTTCGTATTCCAGTCGTTTGGCCATTTCCTTCTTCTCCATTTCGACTTCTCTCCAAATTTCTCTCGATTTTTCATTTCTAATTTGCTGAATGAGAGCTTTACGAATTTCTTCTCTTCGTTTTTCTTTGTCCACCTCCCATTGAAGATGAGCTTGTTTTTCGAGCAGTTGTACTTCTTGCTCTTGTTTCTTCTGCAAGAACTTTCGTTTTTGTTGTTCCATAAACTCCTTCTTGCTTTGAAGGAAATCTTCTTTTTCTGCTTGAATTAAAGCTTTTCTTGCCATAGCTTTTCTTTTCTCGTTCATACATGTTGGCAGCTTTTTCGAGATGTTTATGTTGCTTGAGCTTCTCAGACTCTTCAACTTTTCTTAACTTTTGCTTTTCTAGCTCATTTCTTCTCTCTTTCTTTTGTTCCTCCTTCAATACTTCTTGCATGATTATTTCCCACTGCTTTTTCTCCCATTCCAATCTCTCCTGCTCTAATTTTAGCCTTGCTGCATCTGCAACTTTGTTGAGCTCCATATCTTGTTTCTTTTTGGTGTCTTTTTCAAGCTCTAACATTTCAATAGCTCTTCGTTTTCGTTTCTCAGCATCAGCATCAGTTTTCTCTTTTTCCAATCTTCGACTTTCCATCTGTGCTCTTCTCTCTTGAAGTCTTTTTTGTTTCTCGAGAGCTATTTTTTGGTTTTCCTTTTCCATTAAGGCAACTTTTCGCCTTTCTAACTCTTCTTTAAGAAGAATCTTTCGTTCTTCTTCCATGCGAGCTCTTTCTTTATCTTGTTTTCTTTTTCCAATCTCTCCTTTTCTGCTCTGTCGATTTCAATTTTTTGGAGTTCTAACATTCTCTCTTTTTGTTTAGCTTTGAGAATTTCTAGCTTTCTCTTTTCCATCTCCTTAGCTTCTCTTTTTTCTCTTTCCAATCTTTCCTTCTCAGCAAGAGCTCTCTCAATTCGTTCTCTTTCTTCTCTCTCACGCTCTTCGCGCTCTCTTCTTTCTCGTTCTTCTCTTTCTCTTTTTTCTTGTTCAATTCTCTCACGTTCTTGCTTGTCTTGAAGCATTCTTTCGAAAATTTCCTTGTTTCTTTCATATTCTTCTTTTTCTTTTTTAATACGTAACTCTTCTCTCAATTTACGAGCAACACAACGTCCTAAGAACCCTCTAACCACTCTTTGGATTTTGATAATATATTTCTCTAGCCTCTTATTTCTTGTCAGTTCTATCATATTGTATGTTTCTGATTTCAAGAACACCTTCGTTTTACCAATTTGAACATGCTCCTTCTTCAAATTTAAAGTATCAATTATCTTCTGGATAGACTCTCGAATATTTGTTGTTGATCCTTCTCCAATAATGATACTAAATTTCTTAAAGAAAGCTTCATGAGGAATTCTAACACTGTAACCCTCTCTTCTAATTCTGATAGTTTCCAACACTCCAGATGAGCTAAGTTGTTTCACAACCTCAGCATTGCTAAATAAACCAGGTTTCTTCGCTGGGTGAGGCTTGATAGTTCTTATCCAGTGTGGTGATGTACTATTGATTAAGTCCAGTAGCTCAATCAATTGTTTCTTGAATGACCCTGTAACTGTAGTTGGTTTTTTGTCCTTTTTAGTAAAGTCTTTCTTCTCTGGACAGATAGTTTTTGCGACAAATTCGAGCTTACTTTGGGCGAGAACGTCAATAATGTCATCTCTCAATACATCCTTATTTTTCTCAAGCCAATCTTTTGTGTTGTATTTAACCTCAGCTGCATAATGCTTCACTGCAAAATCTTCTTTCCATAGAGGAGGACGAACAAAATACTCATGTGATTTGTATGTCTGAGCAACCATGTCGAAAAACTTTTGGTCAGTTGCTTGTGGGAACACGCTTTGATCGTCCAAGATTTTGAGAATTCCCGACTTGGATCCCTGAATCATGTCGAGACAAGGTTGATTATCTTTGAAGCTCACTTCTGTTACATCAATTCCTTCGTTCTCGCATTCTTTTTTATCTTTTTTGAATGTATACGAATTGTAGTGAGCTTGAAGTGCCTCATTAGCAAAGTTAATGCAGAATTGTTCAAAAGTATTGAATTCAAATTTCTCAAAACCGAAAATGTCAAGTAATCCAATGAACGAGCTATATTCAGAAGCAAGAGAATTGTCATTAATTTTCTTGACCAACCAATCAAACATGTTGGAATAGAGAGCCTTTGAGAGGGCGTCTCTAGAATCAGCTGCTTGCTCTGGGCTCAAAGGAGACTCGAAAACCTTGTTCATGACCGTGTATACTTTCACAGTTAGCGCCTTAAGCATGGAGTTTGGATCTACTGAAAGAAGAGAACAGGCATACTTTAGAGGTGTGTCAACTTCCACAGTACATCCAGCCTCCCCTGTTGGTTTGAACTTTATATTCTGTAGGTGCAGAATGGCCGCACAAATCTTAAAGATTGTATCGCGGATAGCATCATCAATACCGACAATACGGAAGGCGTTTACCATGTTGTTGTAATCAGCAACATCATCAATTGTTTCTACTTTGGAGCAGCCTCCTTTCATGATACTGTCGTAATCTTCTGCTTTTGTTAAAAACAACTCCTTTTTTCTTTTCCGGATCCATACCAGCTAATATCTGATAGAAAATATGGTAAGATCGTTCATTCGGACCTTGTTTCATAAGACGAGACTTCTCAAGTAAATCTATTAAGGATGGTAAATTCAAGTGAATAAGTAATTGTGTTTAACTTACAGTTTTCTGTTACTGCTCCCTTAATGATACCATGCATATCAAATTGAAGCTTGATAAATTTACCAAAACGAGATGAGTTGTCATTATTTTTCGTTTTAGCGTTACCAAAGGCTTCCAAGATTGGTGATGCTTGTTGAATTTTGACACCGATAGCATCTGCCGCCTCCTTAACACTCTTATCGTGGGTCATGGAGGATGAAAGCTTGCATAGGTATTTGATTACGGTTTTACATGCCTCGGTTTTTCCTGATCATCATCAAGTGATGGTGAGCATTCAAAAAGTGAAACACAACACTAGACTCTAAAACATACCTGCTCCTGACTCGCCCGAAATAAGAATTGTTTGATTACCTTCTCCTTGCCTCATCGCTCTGTATGCCTTATCCGCTATATGCCAGCAATGAGGGACAAGATTCTTCTTCTTTTCAATATAATTGATCATGTAATCATCTTTACAGTAAGGAATAGTCCATTTGAAAGGATTAAGAGAGACTACCAAGCCTCCAATATAAGTATATATAAGGTCTTCTTTGAAACGGTTATGCATACAAAACAGAAGAGCAGACTCATTCAACTCAATCATATCCAAGAGGTCATCGTTCTTTGCGGTGATAATTTCATCTTTGTACATGTTCAAATCTTGCTCGGACACCCAAGCCTCACTGCCTGAAACAGATTTACACAGGAAAGGAGTGGATATCTTATTGGTTACCATCTTTTCATTTACTTCCTTAATCTCTCCCACCACCCAAGACTCATCTGGATGATTGAAAATCACCTTGACTCCCTTCTCCCAGGAGGTCTTTGCTTTTGGTGCTGCCTTACTCATTTTTTTTAAAAGTTGTAACGGCAATTCGACGACAACAACGCTGAAGCCAAAATTTCCAAAAAGCAAAAGCGGATTTTACTCTGAAGGCACCTGTTGATCGATGAATGAAGCAAGAAGAATGTCTCTTTCAGAAAGTCCTCCACAATCGTGTGTTGATAGAACAATGTCAACCTTGTTGTAAACATTGAACCATTCAGGATGATGATCCATCTGTGATCATAACATTCATGAAAGGTATACACCTCGATGACAACAATTAATTTTTGAAACTATACTCACCTCGTCAGCCTTTGTGGCAACCTTGTTCATGAATTGCCATGCCTGCTTGAAATCTTTGAAAACGAATTTTCTTCGGATCACATTTCTTTTCTCTTCCTGTACAAGTTGCCAGGATGGAATTTTCATCAGTTCTGATTTCAATTCTTCATCTGTTAATTTTCGGGTCAGTGTTCTCATTTGGTTTTGTTGTTGGTTGAGTAGTACCTGTGTGAACAAGAAGATTGACTTGTGGTTGTTTGGGAGTGTCTTGCTGATTGGGAAGGAATGAAATTTTTTGAGCATTTTGATTTTTATTTCTTTCGGAAAAATGTCTTGCATTTGTTGTTTGGCCATCATTGGCAAAAAGGTATGTGTGTGATTCTGATCATCGTCCTAGTTATGTTCGGATCATGATGACAATTAATAATAATTTAACTTCAATTTTTACACAATTATTCCTAACAAAAATTATCAACATCACAGAACAATCCTCTATTTTTAAAAGTGTACAAATCATCAGAAGCAGAAGATCCATTAAAGTATCACTATATCGCACACACAGCGTTAGATATTGTGGAAGAAAAGATCAATAATCGTAAAACAACAAATACTCAAAATGACATGTACTTGGGATTGTTATTTCCAACGGAAATCTACAAAGTATTCGGATACATTACAAATAGTGACGTGAAGTTTTTACTTATTATTGCCGGTGATGATTATCAGCAAACAGACAGAGATTCTGAAATTAGGAGTCTCTTCCAACAACTTCATTCCTTATATATTGACTGTATTTCTAACCCATTTTACACGTTTGGAGAAAAGATTGAATCTCTACAATTTGCAATTTCTGCTCGAAGTTTAGTGCAAGGATATAATCAACAACAGACCAACAATCCTGTAAGAAAAAGTAAAAGATTCTAAATCACTACCGATTTCAGTGAAATAGATCAGCAAAAGTCTTGCAATTTCCTGTTTCTCTTTGGAATTTTAAAATGTTTTCCAGAAGATTGTTATTCATGTTGGGAGTCTCCATTTTGAGTTTAGATCTCAATCTTTCAACATTAACAGATCTTTTTGGCCCATCATCGTTAGTAATGGGTAGTTTCGTGAGAGGTGACGGAACAAATGGTTTTTGCTGAACCTTCATTGCATTTGGTTTTTCTGAGAGCACCGATGTTTTATCGACTTGAGGCTCAACTAAGGTAGAAGCCGTGTATAATTTTGTCTTTTTGCTTGTAACCTCCACAGATCGACCTCTCTGACTGTTGTCTTGTACATGCTCAATAGATCTTTTTTTGTGCTCACTATTGTTATTGATTTTCACAGTCACTCCTACTTCCTCTCCAAAAGTGTTACACAGAAAGCACTCGACCTCAGATGTATTACCAAATTCTGAAAAGTCAATTTTGAAGGAGAACGAATTGTTTTCACAAACTTTGCGTTGGGCAAGCAAAACACCCTTTCTTTCAACAGAAATGTAGCAGTATTTGTTGAACGTTAAAGAATGAACAGATCCGATCGTTATCTGAATGGTAATTCCGTTCTTGTTTTGATATGCATTGATCGAAGGTTTATCTCTACTTTCTGTGGCCCAACTTCCAACTTGAATTTTCCTTGCCAACATGAATGCATTTCTGCACGTAATACCGTATCTACGATTTTTGCTAATTTCAAATATGCATGATAACAGTCTACTAAGAGGAGAAATTAAAGCTTGAGCTTGCTGGCGCAGACTAACTGATTCAATTTTAGCGCTTCCTAGAATCGCTTGAATGAGAATAAAAACTTTCTCTCTTGCAAGTTCGATTTTGTCTTTGATTTTGTATCTAATGCTGTCATGCTTGTTAAGATTAATGAGAATTCCTTTTTCTCCCTGGCGTATCGAAAATTCTTCAAATTCAAAGGATGAACACGCTAACTGCAACATTCGTTTTTCTTTCATGAAATTTGTCACAGAGCCTAACAGCATACACATGGTCTTGTATTGAATATAAAGACGAGACATAACCTGACCAAAAGGAGTGGATGAAACTGAGCCGTCGTTTACCACAAGCAATTCTTTTTCGCATAATTCCTCAATTCTTTTTTTCAATATTTCTTCTATCTTTTCGTCAAGATTGTTGCTCTTCTCCAAGCCATAATATTCTGGGTTTTTTTGAATGCTACATTTAAATTGAGGTAAACCTTTTTTGGTAAATAGAAAAACTCTTACCGAACATATAAAAATGTTGACTTCACCCAAAAAATCGCCTCAGTAATGTTTCTTACGCTGTTGAGACATATCTCCGCATTTAAATGCTCAAACAAATACCTATGCAAGGTTGATTCAATGACGTAATGACTATTTCTCAAGTTTGTATAATAGTCGACCATACTGCTCTCTGTTAGAACTATGGCCAGGCCAGATTCTTCAAAGCCTGCTCTACCGGCTCTCCCAATCATTTGAAGAATATTCATTGAAGGGTATTCCTTGTATCCAGACCCTTTGTGGTATATTTTGGTTCCCTTTACAATAACCAAGTAAGCTGGCGTATTGAGCCCTTGACTCAGTGTGGATGTTGTACAAATTACGGATAGATCCTTATTAGCAAAGAGGTTTTCTACAATATTTCTATCGTTTTTCGAAAGCTGTGCTGAGTGAACACCTATTCCATTTATCACCAAGTCCTTAAGCTGTTGATCTTCAATCATATTTAATGTCTCTTTCAATCTTTCCTTCTGCTCGTTAGTCCTAATAAAATAATTTGGCTTTAATGCTTTAGAATCCTCCATAATTTGTAATGCGCTCTTCATTGTTGCATTGCGACTTGAACAAAATACCAGAACTGGTTTTTCGTTACTCTGCTCTTCAATAATCTGGAATAGCTTTTTATCCAAAAGCTTTTCAAACGCAAAGTAGTTCTTTTTTTCGTTTGGAACTCCAACTACCTTGAGGTCAAGTTTTGAAGGTCTGTATTCCTCTCCAAAAACCAGAGTTCCTGATTCATCAACATCCAGCCATTCAGCAACATCCGTAATGTTTGGGACTGTAGCAGAAAGAGCAATAACCCTGGCTGAGTGCTGTTGAATTACAGAGATGCTTTTAATTCTGCTGACAATCGCCTCAAGTACCGCTCCTCGTTCCTATGTATTGTTGAATTTGAAGTATGCTTCCAATAAGAAATGTTCACCTACCTCATTCAGTAAATGTACTTCGTCAATCAATATTAACTCAGTACTCTTCACAAATGCCAAACAGTTCACGTCCTTCCATCTTCTGCTCAAGGAGTCATATTTCTATGAAGTATGTCCGAATATGAGTCTCAATCATAATTGGACCCACTTACCTCAGGAGTAGTTACAATAATATCAAATTTGTCCAGTGAGGATACGTCTGTTTGAATTGAATCTCCGGTTAGTTCTCCCACTTGTATTCCCAGTACAGTAAACTTTTTTTTCCATTCTGCAAGTTTCTCTTGAACAAGAGCTTTCACTGGAGCGATATAGACACATTTATGTCTTCCAGGCTCTGTCATTTTACCGTTCTTGAAGTATTTCTCAAGTAGCCTTACGATCCCAATTTCCATACACCCACTCTTGCCAGATCCTTCAACGGATTAAGATGATACATCACTCAAATGAACAATACAACCTACCAGTAGGTGCAGAAATAACGACATTGTCATCGGTTTCGTATATCTTATGGAAACATTGAGACTGTAACTTGTTGAAATATCTGAATCCAAATAGGTTCTTGAAGGAGTGATGAACCATCGAGACTGGTAATAGATTCTGACTGTTTTCATTCAGCTGATTAGATCTTGCTATTATGGTCTGGTTGGATCGTGGTGGTCGCACTGATTTTGATGCAAATGAGGACGCGATAACCTTTTGCGTTTTGTCTTGATTCTTTGCCAACCTACTCTCCTCCTTACGCATATTACTGTTTGATGGAACTATGCTTTTACGAGGTTCATGTTGAGAAGGTTGTTGCTTGGTCTGATACTGTTTGTTCAAATCTTCTCTTGCTTTCTTCTTCTGGGTCTCTACAGGAGGAACTAAATCAATAGGTACAATCTCCTTTGCCATAATGTTCTTTGTGTTGTCGTATGGTTCCTTTCGACCAAGTTTCAAAGAGGAAGGCGTTACATTTTCAATATCGTCAAGTAAGGCTTCTAGAGAGAGGCTTTGATGATCCTCATCCTCATCTTGGCCATTGAACATTACAACTGGTTTCATGAAGGTGTTGTTGAGTTACAATTTTTTACAAAAGGCTTTCTAGATGGTTGGTGCTGTCTGCTGATGTTGTTTCATACGAGTATTATTCTCTCATAATTTAAGGATATAGAGTTGATACTTTCCAAGAGTTGGATTGTTCTTCCTTAACGTATTCGACCCGATCTGCCATTCGATACAAGCCTTCTTGGTAGAATTCAAAACGATGAGGCACAATCAAGTATCCTCCCCAATATGCAGGAATGGATGATTTCAATTCCAAGTCAGACTTGTTTGAATGAATTTCTTCAAATTCCTTCCACATTTCATCTCTCCCTGGTGATGGTTGAGATTGTGGGCACGTATGAATATTAATTCTGTATTCAGGTTCTTCATTTGTATAAGATTCTCCTAATTCCTCTTTGGAAACAGGCAGAGCTATACCCTCCACGCGAATTTGTCGAATGACAGGCAATGTAAACATGAAATTTAGGGCCACCTTATTATTGGTCGAAATATCCATTCCTTTCTTTGAAGTCAATGTATTGGTAAAGAAGGTAAAACCCCTCTCGGAAATGTCTTTACAAATAATTTTTCTTGAGCTTGGTTGTAAAGTGTTTGCATTCACTGTGACAAAATCGGCAGCCATATTTGCAACAAATAGTTTAGATTTAAGAGCTGAAAGTTCGACTTGATCACTCAAGGATGTCATTGAAATATCTAATTGTTTGATAAAATCATTCGATTGCGAGAGCCACTTTTTAAATTTTCCAATCGGATTGTTTTCAAACCCATCATGTGGAATATTTTGAAATTGGAAAGCAAGATGAGAAGAAGAAGAGGTTTCATTATTCTCACTTGAATCCATTGGCAGTTGCTTGATGCCTGGTGGCAAATGATGGATGAGAGGAAGCATTATTTTTTCAGTGAGTGTTTGTATTGCAAGATGAATCCTTCTCTTCTTGGTATCCCCATCATGGCCTCTGATGATTGTTCTCTGTGGAAATAACAAATTAAAAATAGAAAAAAGAAACAACAAAAAATGTTTAGAAATCAATACGATACCGATATTACGACTTGGAGTCCTCAAGGCCGATTGCATCAAGTTGAATATGCAATGGAGGCTGTCCAGCAAGGAAGTGCTGCAGTAGGAGTGAAAACTCAAGATTATGTTGTATTGGCCACATTGAAGAGAGCTCCTCATGCCGAACTCTCAAGCTATCAAAAGAAGCTTTTCAAGATTGATGATCATGTCGGTATCGCTATTGCCGGATTGGCTGCTGATGGTCGTGTCTTAAGTAAATATATGAGAAATGAATGTATGAGTCATCAATATGTCTATGATACATTCATGCCTGTACAAAGATTGGCCAATAAGATCGCTGATAAATCTCAAAAGAGCACACAAAACTCTTCCGGTCGTCCATTTGGTGTTGGATTATTAATCGCAGGATATGATGAAACTGGAACACATTTGTATCAAACATGTCCAAGTGGAAATTTGTATAGTTACAAGGCCATTGCTATAGGAGCAAGATCTCAAAGTGCCAAGACCTATTTCGAGAAAAATTACGCCACTTTTACTAATAATGTTCAAGAATTAATTGTTCATGCTTTGAAAGCTCTTAAAGGAACTACAGGAGACAATGTCGAATTGACAACAAAGAATTGTAGTGTGGCAGTTGTTGGAAAGGATTTCAAATTTACAATCTATGAAGATGATGCCATTGAAAATTATTTGAATTTATTAGATACCTCATCCAAGAAGGTCGAAGACCAAATGGTCGATTAAGCCCTTCATTGCTCATTCATAGAAGTAGCAGAGCACGATCTTGTATATTTTGTAGACCTACCATTTTCAAAGTAAACAACAGTAGTACTATTATGATTGTTTTGCTTACACGCTCTTCAAAGACTCAAAAAAAATGAACAGCTCTTCTTCCTCTTCTTCATCATCGCTAACAACTTCTCAACACACTCCCCATGCCTCTTCCGATATTCACTTTTATGCATCTAAAATGTTTTGTCATGAATGCGGAACGCTGCTATCATTTCCTACAGCCCCTACGGTAACGGACTGGGCCTGTTCTTGCTGTGGAACACGATTTAATATTTCCGATTATGACTCGGTTCAATTTTCATTCAAGATGACAATTCCACGTAAATCCAAAATTCAAGAATTAGAAGAACGATTGAAAGAAGAAAAATCATCAGGAAATGAATTTTCAATTATTAATGAACCATGTCCAAAATGTGGACATTCCCAACGAAAGTTCTTTACCATGCAATTACGTTCTGCTGATGAAGGTCAAACGGTATTTTATGAATGTTTAAAGTGTGGATTCAAAGAAAGAGTGAACAATTAAACAATTACATTGATGAATTTTTCTTCGATATATATATTCCGACAATGCATATCCACAAGGAATGACCCTATGTTTGTTGTAGCAAACACGTGCACGTGATGTCTCTTGTTACCCAGTACTTAACACACTCCAAATGTTGAGCTCGGCATTTCTCAATGATTCATATCCTTCCACGAACCTAATGTCCATCGTTCGCGAACGAACACTTCTTCAAACACTTCTCCTTATATTCAATATAAAGAAAAAAATGTTTCCTTCATCTTTGTCAAATTCATCCTCCACACAATCCAAGGATCATCGACACCATGACGACTATCAACAACAACACCATCATCATCACCACCAATTGCAAACAAATGATTCAAATCGTCAATCGGGTGGATTTTCAAAAATCGTCCGTGATTGTGTTTTAAATAATTTCACCAATGAAGACTCGAATGCCATGGTGGATGAAACTCCACCTTTACATTCAACCTCTCAACAAGCATTTGAACATACAACCACTCAACCACATCCTCTCTTTCAACGTCCTGTCAACTTGTCAATTTTTACAGATCCATGGAAAGTTGATGAAGAAGTGGACTCTACAACGACATTTAAAACAGATTCAACCATAACAAAACAATTATTAGGAAATAGATTGGTGTATTCTATCGGAGAGAATGGAATTGAAAACGTGATTGTCAATGACATGACTGTCAACAATGATCATCAAGATGATACTTCCAATGTATTGAAATTAAAAAAGAAAGAAATTAGTGTTTTTGATCTTGATTTAACATCCATGCAAGATGTTGGAAAGGGTGCATTTGGAAGTGTTTCTATTGGTAGGTGACATTTATGAATTTTATAAATGTTCACACACAATTCTTGATGAAAAATTGAAACTTTAATTCAGTAAGAACCATTACTCCTCCATTCTCATTCTATGCCATCAAAAGAATTCCATTTAAATTATCCGATGAAAAGAATATTTGGAGAGAGTTTCATGCCATTTATAGCAGGTATGTTCAAGAGTGTGTGTATGTGAGTGATCACACTAATCATACTACATGGAATATATTTAATTCAATCTTTTGGTTCCATATGAACATTATATTTGAAATCGTTAACATGTATGCATTCCAAAAATTCACACTCATGATCACACGTTAATCACAACTACAGTCAAAGTGATTTTCTCGTAAAATTATATGAATGCTTTTTTAGAGACAACTTTTTCAATTTGGTGATGGAATTTATGAATGTTGGAAATTTTTCAAAACTTATCGAACTCATGAATACTCAGAAATTCTTTCTGATCAAGACAATAGCTGAGAAACCAAGTTTATTTCCACCAAATAGCTCAATAACCAATGCAGATTATCCAACAACGGCTGAAGTTTTCAAAAATGTTGATGTTCTAAAATCGATATGTGGACGAATTATTAAAAATCCGGCGAAATACGTACAACGGTTTGCGGCTGGAAATATTCTCACAGAGATGGAATGTAGTATAATGATACGTAAAGTATTGGAGGGATTAAGATATTTAAGGAAAAAGCATATTATTCACCGTGATAGTAAGTGATTTTGATTATTTTAATTTGGTGACACTATTTTCAATAGTTAAAGTAAGTAAGGAGAGGTCCTCTGTTGCTTTTTAATCATTGGTTTCAACAAATGGTCAGCCTTCGAATAGTAAGTTTTCAAACAACACATTTTGTAGTCTCAAAAAAACATGAATAGTTCTTGTAAATTCTAGAGGAGAAGTCAAAATCACTGATTTTGGACTTGCCAACATCAAAACAACCTCCGGTGGTGGCATTAGTTTCATGTCCGATTACTATACAATATGCGGAACAACAGGTAAGGAACCTCAGTTTTTATGTGTACTCTGACAGTTAATTTGGCTTTTTGGTATCAACTTTAGTTTACCTGAGTCCAGAACGGCTTCTTGAACAGCCTTATAGTTATGACTGTGATTTGTGGAGCAGTGCAGTTGTGTTGGTAGAGTTGTTTACAGGCAAGAAGCCTTCGGTTACCTTTCCATTCAAGTGGAATTCCTTTAGTGACTTTGAAAAATTTGTGACATGCCACATTACTGAGCTACGAAAACACTCTGCTTCTCAGGTCATGCTTGACTTTGTTTCCAGTTGCTTGAAGGTGGATAGAAAACAAAGGCCAACCTACGACGACATTTTGAGACATCCATTCATAACCGGATATGCACTGACATTGACAGAAGAGCAACAAAATGATTTCGTTCTACAGACACTCAGTGAGTACATCCTGCCGTTTATTAACAGCTCTCGGCAATAAATTAGGTGATAACAATTTTCGATTGTAACACACTCAAAAATGTTCGTAAGCGTTCAAAAATTCGAGTCACAGGACATGCCTGAAACCTTTCAATATTAAGCTATAAGTTCTGGTGTATGTGATTAATACCATCTCTAACAGCTGTGTAGCAGAAACGGTACTGCTCTTTTCTTTGTACCATTCCTACTCTCAAATTTTTGAGCTGCTTTACGATTTTATAAATATTAAAATCAAAATGTGTATCATTATCTCGTTCTTCTTTCGATAGTCGTAAATATTCCTTATACTGTGAAAGAAGAATATGTATTGTACAAAATGTTCCTGTCCTACCAACACCAGCAGAACTACTTTGTGTTAAAATAAATGAAATATTAAATATAACATACCAATGGATAGTTATTGGACCGGGTATATAATCAGGTCGCTTTTTCAGATTATCAATACATTCTATTAATTTAAAAAATGAATCAGTATTGTCAGGAACTCCCATATCAGGCCATCCTGTGTATTGATAAAAATGCACTAATCTTCCTGAGCTCGGTAGTGTTTCATGATAAACTAAAAACTGTCTGTAAGTGAAGTCGTACGGTGTTACTTCCTGTAAAATGGTCTCCACTGTAACTTCGTCATATTGTTTCTTTTCATGCAGAGAAGGCCAGTACTTGTTCACTTTGTTCTTGTTGAAACATTGATCAAATAGGTCAGTACCTTCTTTTGCTTCGCCGTCGCTTTCTGAATCAGACGAAACAATTTCATTACTTAGCATGACAATTATTGTACTGTTGTGTTCGACAATCATTCTCCAAAAATCGCAAAATGTACAGGGAAGAGGGGCTTGAGTAGCGATGTACGTTGGAGGAGATGATAATTTGATGTGTTTAAAATGTTGGGTTGAGTGAGTAATAATGTGATTTGCATTGATATAGTCAGATCCAGGTTCTAAGCGTTCTCTTGATTTCAATAAAACTCTAGTATTCTCGTTTGGTAAAATATTCTTGTATCTGTTTTTAGAAAGATTGTGTTGGCGGTATCCACTGGTATGCATACCACTTTTTCTTTGCAATCTTGTTTCGAATTTCTTTAAAGCCTATTGAATGATCGCAAGTGTAGTGATCAATTTAGAAATGTTATGATCTCAGACATTACTTACTTGAAACTCATCGTCTAATCTATCGGTCTCTATTGGCTTTGCAAACAGAGCTACACTGGCTTTTCTTGGAGCCTGTCCGGATGGCTTTCGTGTCATTCCTGACCAACTATTGTTGTTGGATCCTTCTTCCGATGTAAACGTATCATACGACGATGAAGACGATGATGAACATTCGTCAAACATATTAGAAGAAACGTTAGTTGGTGCACTTGTGAAATCAAAAGTGGAGATATTTGTTCTGGTCTTTGGTGTTGTGGGTTCAAAGTCATCAAATTGAGAGTCGGAGTTTGAAGTAAAAGTGTCAAACTTTGCACATGGTTTGGGTTTCGATGTAGTAATCAGAGCAAATCCATCTCCGTCGTCATATTCCTCTTCATCGTCTGTGTTGGATAGAAACTTCTGAACGAACTCATTGATATCAGTAATCGGTTGGGTGTACTCATCGTCATCCTCTGAAAATGTTGTATACTGAAAAGTGAGAGAGTCATGGCGAGCAATGTTTGGTGTTGTAAATTTATCAAATATGGTCTGGTTCATACCGCCTACAGAAGAATGTGGTGTATCATCTGCGAGTGCATTACTGAAGACACAAATTGTAGGACGGAAATCAGTTGATGCTGTTTTGGGTTTTGCTTCTATTAACTTGTTATTTGATACTTTTTGTTCTCTTTCCTGCACAATGAACTTTCCAAATGTTTTAGCCATCTCCTCACGGAGAGCAGATTTATAGGGCTTTTTCTTAGGATTGCTACTAGATGCTGCTGTTGTGGCTGCTGGATTTGTGCATGCTTGTTGCATTGTTGATTCAAAGACTATCATCAATTTTCAAAACAGTGACGAAATAATTATTATTATGTGTATGATGGATCACCGATGATGTGGCGATGATAAATTAATGTTTGCTGAATAATACGATAATAAGATGTGAGTTGATGAGTGGTGATAATTGTGTTTCAACCAACAACGATATTAATAATAACCACCGATCGGTTTAAAAGCACCTCAAAATCCTCCAACCTAATGATAGTAAAGAATTCCTCGTAGGTTGTTGTAGAAACACAACAAAAATAGATCTTGGAAGATGATGATGAGAGGTTGTTGTTAGGAAATGGTTGTTGCAAGGCTCAATTCCGCAAACTAAAAATTTTCTTCTCAGGGACGAATATTTTTTGAATGATCAAACGATGATGTTACGCCGCCACTCAGTGTTCGCGATGGGATCAACCTTAGATCAAATATATTAGAGAATAGTTATTATGGATGATGATGATACGATGCGTATTGATGAGGCTGTTTGATTTTTTGTTTTCTCCCTTCAATCACAACTGGATGCACAACACAAACAAGTTGAATCAGCGATCGGAAGGATTTTTTAACACAGCTCTCAGAGATTGGAAGCAAAAGTCTTTGGAGCGAAAGAAATCTATTTTTATAGTTCCCACTCACCACCAAGTTTGTCGAGCAAGTGAAAAAGGAGTTCAGGTAATGGGGATATAGATTTTGCGAGAATAGTGTGCTGACAGAAAGACGTGCAACCCTTTGAACATGTTTAAATTGCTCTTTTCGTTTGTGGCTGTTGCTTAATTTTTTCTCTTAAGCGGTTTTATTAATTGACCTTAATTGTTAAGTGAGTGATGACCGTCTTTAAACAACTGTTGACGACGCAATGAAAGAAGACAATATACTCCAAGAGAATAGTTGTTTCTGAAACATAAACTGAATATACAAAATGAACTATTCCAAGTATATTGAATTGGATGGAATTAAATCTGTGCAACAGTTGTGAATATTGTCAGTTTCAATTATTTCCAAAGTCTGAAAAATATTCATTTCGCTGGTGCCTCTAAAGTCAAATCCAAGATGATCACCATCACCGAATTAACCACATATAATTCTCTTGTAATTATTATTGTTAATGGATTTCATTCACATTCCAGATGTTGTTATTGACGATACACTTCACAATTTAATTCCCTCGAACAATCCATACAACATGTGCTCATTCAACCTGTTGGATCATGAGTCACTCCTATTCACTCGTGCAACATCGCCATTCCCGTAAAACATTTCACATCAGTCGACATAAAAGTCGAATTATTTCACAAATATACATTTTCCAAACAAAATGAAATGCTCTTCATAAATCAGAACTACCTTCGAGAGAGGACATCAACATCTTTCAGAACACAATGCATTCCAAGGTTCAAACGGTCAAGAGATGACAACGCCACTCGTTGCCGCCAAAAACTACAACACCACTTGACATGCACTGATTCGTATTGTAGTCGCCTCAAGAGGAGCAAGAATTCCAAACTTGTGCACATCGTGGAGATGAAGAGATTCACAAAAAGTTCATCACGAGCAAGGATTTAGTTGAACGTTGAAGAAAGGATCGTCCATTCTCTTGAACCTCTCTCTCTGCTTTGTATTCGTTGGAATTTTCATACTGTCCATCAATCTCAATCAATGAAGGATTTACCACCACATTTCTCATCAATGTTATCACACATACACTCTAATAGTTGTTGTATACAACAATAACAACAACAACACCTTTCAAATTCTTATAAATCTGAAAGATAACCACTCGAACAAAATCTCCAACAACGAAAAAAACAAACCAAGTGTCTCGCCATGATGAAGATTGCACCTTGTTCTTCTCTATTGTATCATAGAGAAAGGGCCATCCTCTCTTCTCAACCATGGCTCTTCTCCATGTTTATTGGTTGTATTTCCTTGTATATAGTATTCATCATGATGGGTTGTTGTATTCATCCATCTGTTGTAGAGGCTGCTCTTTGCGATCCTCCAGGTGTACAGAATGATATGAAGGGTCTGAGAGACAGTTCTTTGGGATTGTCAGCCTATGATGTGATTAATAAGGTTCAAAATCAAAGTGCTTGTTTGAACGAGATTAGAAAGGGTTTGACTGATAAGAATGCCATGACCATTGTCGATTTTACAAGTGCTTGTTTGTTGCCACCATCAAATCCAAGTTATGCCTCTGAACCATGTTGTGGTGGTAGCTCTCAACAATGTTGTACTCGAAGAACTGTGGCAAGTGCAGTTTGGGATGTTCGTTCGAATGGTGCTCTCTCTTGTATTTCAGACGTTTCCTTTGAAGCTGGTTTGTCCTTCACTCCTGTGGAGCAAAGAGCCTCTTTGTGTTCCTCTGGTTCTTTGGATGAAATGATTCGTCGTGAAGCTGATCAAGTGTATCAAACGGATGGTTGCAAATTTGATGGTTTGAATCCTGTCGCTTTTCTTAATTGTTTGGTCACTAATCCTGTCTATGGTCCTTATGTGTTGCCATCTTTTGCTAAGGGACTTGGTATTGCTGCCAACTCGACTGCTTCTGATATTTTCGCAGCCATGCAAAGTCAAGGTCTCCTCATTGGACAATGTTTTGATCGTAATACTCAAATGGTGGATCCAACAGTGAAGAGTCAAGTGAGTTGTGAGAGTGGTGTTCCAGATGTTTGTCCATTCAATGATTGCTCATCCAAGAATCAAACTTGTTTTGCTTGTAAATCTCCACTACAATGCAAGGACTATCCAGTCGATGATTATGGTACCCATTTGGATTCTGAAATGGCTTGTCTTGACACTGTTTTGTGCGGTGCTCAACAACATGTTGTTTCAGTTGCTGAATGTGACTTGTCTCATGAATGTAACATTCCATGCTTCAACTGTACCGATCAAGTCACTTGTCAAAAGAGTGGAGTATGTAATGGTTGGATCTCTCAAAGTCCAATTTGTGCTGTTCCAGTTGTAAATAATGCATGCCCAGTGGGTTGTAATTTGAATGTCATGATCAATATGTGTAATTGTACAGGTTCTGCTGATCTACCACAACAATTCAACGTTACCATGAACAATAACTTTATGGTTCCATTGAACAATGTAAATAATAACAAGTGTAGAAGCGGATATTTCGAACTAGTTCCTCCAAGAAATGTAAATGAATGCTCCCAGTATAAGGTTTGCCGTTTTGGTCAGAATTCTTTCCTTCCTATCACTTCTTGCACCAATATGATGTGTTCGAATGGTGGTCCAACAGATTCATTCCAATGGATTCAAGGACAATGGCAAAAGTCAATGGCTGTTCCTTTGTATTTTGCCAACAGAACAATGGTTCATCAAAGAGAATGGCGTTGGACTCCAGTCACTTCAAGTGGTGTCTTTGACTTGATTAATTTCAACATGATTGCCTCAAAGAGACAAGATTTGGTCAATATGAAAATGAAATGTCTCACCAACTTCCATGAGAGTGTTGCAACCTTTGTTGCTTGCAAGTGTACTTCTTACAAGAGTTCTCCATGCGATACCATGAGTGGTCCTTTCACCTATGTTGATAAGGTTCTTGCGTTGATTCCAAGCTATATGCAAAACAGAACTGCTTTTGACAATTTGCAAAATGGTTATGTGATGGTTCCTCCACAATCACAACTCGTCAATATTACCTTTGTGGATGTAATTGCCTCATTGAGAAGTCCAAAGAATGCAATCAACATTTACGGTTTTAACAATACTCAAATTGGTTCAATTCTTGGACATGGTATTTCTTTCAATACTCCTTTAAAGAATGTGAAGGTGTGTTTGAATCCATATCCACAATCCACTCCAGTCATGTTGAATGGTCTTCCAGTGGGTATTGCGGTTCAAGACTCTGTCTCTCTCAATCCATTGAATGTTCCTGCTTTCATTGAAGGTAATTCTGTGTGTGCTAATTTGGATGTTGTTCCTGGTGTTTTCTATTATCCTTATCTCATGCTCTCTTCCGTTTATTGTAATGGTATTGCTGCAACTGCTCCAAATGTTTGTTCTGGTTTTGGTAAATGTGTGGCTCCAAACACTTGTCAATGTTATCCTGGTAGATTTGGCAGTAACTGTGATGATACTGCTCCACCAAGTAACTCAACCTTCATTTGTAATGGTATTCCTGCTTACTCTGCAAGTGTCTGTTCAGGTGCTGGTAAATGCGTTGGACCAAACATGTGTCAATGTCCTCCCGATCGATTTGGTTTCAATTGTGAAAACTTTTTATGTTTTGGAAAGTCGATTGGTGCTTGTAATTCAAATGGTGCTTGTGTGGCTCCAAACACTTGTCAATGCAAACCTAACTTTGCTGGTCCAGAATGTGGTGTTTGTGCTGCTGGATATACTGGAATGTTTTGTGAAAGACCAACTTGTTTTGGTGTGGATTCATTGAACAAGTATGTCTGTTCAGGAAATGGTGCTTGTGTGGCTCCAAACAAGTGCCAATGTAAGAATGGTGCTTTTGGTGAAAGATGTGAACAATTCACTTGTGGTGATGGTTCTAAACCACCTTGTTCTGGTCATGGTATTTGTATTGGTCCACAAATGTGTGCTTGTAATGCCTCATCGACTACTGGTTATTGGGGTGGTGCTAATTGTGAAATGTGTCAACCTTCTTACAGTGGTGCTCAATGTACCGATCGATTTTGTTCTGCTGATGCCACTTGTTTTGGAAGAGGTACTTGTAATCCTGATTACACTTGTACTTGTACTGGAAATTTCAATGGTCCATATTGTAGAACTTGTAAGGATGGATTCTTTGGTCCATTCTGTAATGTCACTTGTGATCCTATGAAGACATGTAGCGGAAATGGTGTTTGTACTTCCAATGGAGGTTGTAATTGTAATTCCAACAACTTGTTGGGTATGTTCGCTGGTTCCTCATGCTCTCAATGTCAAAGTGGATGGATGGGTGCTAAATGTAACATTTACGTTGGAACAAGTGCCACCTTTGGAAGTGAAGGTGATCGAATTCGATTCTCTTTGGCTTTCCCATCACCAACCAACCAAATCGATTGTACTGCTATTTTCAGTCCTCAAACCTTAGCCAAACTTGGTTCCTATCCAATGTGTCGATGGGAAGATCGATCCAACAATTTGTTCCTTGTCGTTTTGGGAGGTGCTTCAAGCTTGATGCCAGGTGATAGTATTACTCTTCAAAATGGTGATTTGACAAGAACTTTACCAGTGAGTGGATCCTTGTCACTTCCTACTCCTGTTGCTCTTTTACGTACTCCAAGAAACATTTCATCATGCAGCACTTTCTTCTTTGATGCTTCTGCTTCCTATTCCTTTGATCGAAGACCAATGTCATTCTCTTGGTCATTGACTGGTCCTGGTTCACTTACTGCTATCAATGCTAAATTAGCAACTTTGACTGGTAGTTTCGGATTCTTTGATGCTTCAGCACTTTCGACTGGTACTTACACACTTTCAGTCACTGTCACCAGTGCTTTCAATTATTCATCCACTGCTACTTCAACCTTTGGTGTTTCGGGTACTCCTACTCCTATTGTTCGTATTCCTGGTGGTGATTCTCGTATTGTGAATATGGGTTCAATCTTTAGCATTTATCCTTATGTGGAATATCCATCCTGTTACTACTACGATCGAACTCTCATTTGGACTTGGACTCAAGTTTCTGGACCTGCTAATGCACAAATGACTCTTAGAGATTCGAACAGAGCTTTGGTGTTCCTCCAAAATGCATTCTCCGCAGCTGGTGATTACGTCTTTAGTGTTAAGGCTGTTTCTGCAGTTTCTGCTTCTTCATTCTACGAAACTCAAGTCACTGTGACTGTGGTTGCTCCTGATCTTGTCTTGTTAGTTGAAGGAGGTTATTATAAGCAAGCTTCTACATCCAGCCAACTTGTTCTTGATTTATCAAGATCATTCGATCCTGCTCAAGCTTCTGGTTCTGAAACATTTACAATTACCTGTTTTGATGCAGTTGCAGCTGCCGCTTGCTCTCTCAACACTGCAAACCTTGTGGTCAACAAGAAGGCTGTCATTAGTGCTGGTTCTCTCTCTGCTGGACAATATACTTTCACTATTACTTATAGCAAGGGTTCAAGAAGTACATCTGTCAATGTGGATGTCAGCATGGTGTCCTATGTTGTATTGAATCCATATATTAGACTTGGAAGATTCGATTGGATTCCAAGCTCTGTTCCACTTGGTGTCAACGTTCCATTCTTTGTTGATTTGATTGGTTTCTCTCCTATGAGTGGCCCAGTTTCATTCCAATGGTCATCATTGACGGATGGATTTGAATTGAATTCTGACACAACTGTTACTGGAGTTAAAAGTCGTTCATTGATCATTAGAGGAGATTATATTGCTGCAGGCGTTGAATATCAAATCCGTGTCGATGTCAGTGCTGGTGGTGCTACAGGTTATGCTGTCTTTGTTTTCAGTGTGAACAGTCCTCCAATGCCAGGTTCAATTACTGCCTCTCCTTCCACTAGTTCAGCTGGTATGGATCCTGTCACAATTACATGCGACGGATGGTATGATGCTGATGCTCCATTGACTTATCAATACTATTACTATGACTTGAATCGTGGTGTTTGGAGAAGCTTGTCAGGAAGAACTACCGATAACCAAATTACTACCAAACTTCCACCAGGATATGGAATCAACAAGAAGATTAGAATTAGAGCTAGAGTGTACGACTCCAAGAATGCTTACAGTGATATTGAAGTTTCTGTTGTTTCTAACCCACCAGATTTGACCAGCGGAACTGCTGCTTTGAATTTCTTGAACCAAAGTTCCACTGCCACTGATTCGACTGCTAACAGTGTTGCTGCTTTGAGTACTTTGGCAAACATTCCAAATTCTGCCATGAGTGCCAATGTGGTTGCTCAAATTAAGAACTTCCTTGTGAATGTGATTACATCCGTGTTGGCTCAACGTTCTGCTGTTGCAGTGACAGTTGAAGATGCTGCTGAAACCATTTCATTCTTGACCACTGCAACTTCCAAGTTGGATCTTGTCGATTCAAACACGAGAGGACAAATGTTGCAAAGTACTGCTTCAAGCTTGAATGCTTTGGCAAGTTCCTCAAAACCAATCTCTCCTGATCTTGTCGATTCGATCGTTGTCTCCTTGTCAAGCTTCATTAAGAATATTATGGGAACTCCTGCAGCAAGAAGTGTCAAGACCACTGCTAGCGAAGCTCAAAGCATTATTGACAATGCCAACACTTTACAAACTGCCATGATGAAGAGTTTAGTTCCTGATCAAAATGCATCTGTTTCTGCAAGCACTGACTTGATTGCCTATGCTCGTAAGATTTCAGTGTCATCAAGCTCATCCTTCTCGGATACTGTTTCATCTCCAGTTGCAGTTTCATTCTCTTCAACATTTGCATCTGCTGTTTCATCAGTCACTACTCTTGGTATTAGAATTAAGCAAATGTCTAACCTTTACAAGTTGATCTATCCACAATCCATTAATATTCTCTCACCATTGTTTGAAATTGTTTTCGATAATGAAGATACTGGTGCTACTGTCTCAGTCTCTGGAACAACAATGACCATCACGATGGGTGGAAGCTACACCAATACTGCTACATCTTACTATGTCTGCAACATTTGGAATAACTCAACGAAGGTGTTCAGTAAGGATACTTCTTGTACTGTTCAAGCTGTGACCTCCACCTCCGCAACGATTCAAGTGACAAAAGATGGTACCTATGCTCTCAGTCAATACACTGCTCCTGCTACTGCTTCATCTCCAATTACTCCAAAGACCAGCAAGTCCACCACCAAGCCAAAGACATCGGTCGCAGCATCGACCACCATGGGATGCTCATTGTTGTTGATCGTTGTATCTATCTTGTACACTTTGTTTATGACTCTTTAATTTGTAAAATAATGTTTCATTAAATCTTTTTATTTCTTAAATTTCTAATAGAAATTAGGTTAGAAACTATCATCATTCGTTCTGTTTGAACTCACCTAGGTGGCGCATCTTGTTACAATTCGAGTTATTGTTAGAAAAAAAAACTCTTCACTCTCTTCATGCCACAAAAAGAAGGCACCAAAAGAAAGAGAAATCACAGAAAACAACAACAAAACAACAAACGCAAAAAGTAAGTCTAACATGATACATAAACACAAGGAAAATATTCCGATGATTGAATTTTTAAATCCTTCATTGAATCACATGTTTTCTTCTTCCCAGAAAGCAACATTCCCAAAACAGTACTTCCAGCATTGTTTCACAAGCAGCATCCACAAGTACAAATTATTCTTCATCGTTTGAAAAAACATCAATCGGACAACACTCAACAAGTAATAGTAGTGATAATCATACTGTTTTCTCTTCATCAAGAAGTAGTAGTGGTTTACAAACCTTGCAGAATCCTGAAATTCCTTTGCAACAGGTTCACTCGGACAGTCATTTGTTGGTTCAGAACAATTTGCAAGGAGCAAGCAATTCATCCCGAAAGAAGAAGAGAAAGAAAAAGAACTCTTTCCAACAACAATCATCATTTCATACAAAAGATTCACCTAACGATCAAGAAATTTCTTCTTCCGAGAGCATCTCAAGCACGAGTAGTAGAACAAGAAGCCACCTTATTGTAAATAGTTCCGATCCCACAACAAATACCTTGAAGGAGAACCCAAATATTGCTTCTTCATCTCCTTCAGTGGTAGTAGTTTCCTCTTCATCGTCATCACCAGGAGCCTCTTCATCATCATCATCATTGAATAGACCCTCGCATTGGCAAATCGTTCGCTCTCTCAAAGGCTTCCACCCAAAATCAAAAAACAAAAAAAAATCTAAAAATACTCCATTGTTCAGCACTGAACTTTCTACTCCATCGGCAGGCAGCAGTAATTTGAATTCGGAACATAGCAGCGATCAAGACGAACACTTTGAAACAGATAGCGAAAGCACAATGTCTGATAACTCATCCGCACAGTCCAATACATTCCAATCGACATTGGAGAATATAATTCAAAATTATGGACATCATATCGCGAGAGGAACTGCTGTTCCCACAGAACAATTGGAAGATATTATTCAGGGATTAAAAGATTACAGCAACCCAACAAGACAGTTTGATTCCGTATCAGAGCTTTGTAACATTATTGCCATATCCAATGAACAAGCCCTATCCAGAATGGGTATTGATCGTTTTATCCCAGAGTTGTTAAACATATTGTCCAGTAATGAGAGTTATGATCTTATGGTGCTGTCAGCAAGAACTCTTCTCAACACTATGGATATTTATCCTCCCTCATGCTCAATTGTAGCGTCCAATGGAGGCATCAATGTTATTTCTCAAAAAATTCTTTCGATTGAATACATTGATTTGGCAGAATTATCTATTCAAATGATAGAACATTTATCTCATCAATATGGTTCCTCATTGCTTCAAGAAGGCGTCTTGATGGCTTCACTCACTTATATTGACTTTTTCGGTATGGACATGCAAAAGAAAATTTTGAGAATTGCATCTTCCTTATGTAAATCTATTTCCAAGTCTCAGTACGAGCTGGCATGTGATTCACTTCCAACCATTTCACGATTTTTATCAAACTCCGAACATTCTATGACTGACAGCGCTATATTTTGCCTAACAAGAATTGTTTATCCATTTTTAAAGGAAGATGAAAAACTCTTAAATATTTGCAACTCATCTGAACTTTTGAGCCACGCAACCGAAATAATTTCTAATGACAAATCCTCTAAGAATACCATTAGCTTGATGTTGAAACTGCTCAAATCAGTATCTATTTGTTCACAATTAGTGAAAGATATCTATGAACGAGGTTTAATACATTTACTTACAGGTTTACTCTCTCCAGAAAGAGGTTTACATGAATGCTTACTTGACATTCTGTACTTTATTCTTGCATTACTTCCAAAATTGCCAAGAAAAGACGAGTTTGCATGCCAATTATCCCATTCTCAAAGAAAGAAGCTGCTTGTTAGGATGACAGAAGTGAAACCTCCAAACCAACCAACACAATATGTATCTGAAGAGCCTACATCTCAGGATAGACTCGAATCGTTGTTTACAGAACAACCAGAACTATTGCTAACAGCCTCAGAGATATTACTCGAGCCTTTGATCAACATATTCTCATCGAATCAAAACGATCAAGTAAGCAATGTACTCTTGCAAATTATTGGAACCATTATTTATTTCTCTCCTTCTCAAATGTTGGTCGAAACACTGAAAGACATTCCATTCTCAACGTTCCTTGCCTCCCTACTTTCTAGTGACGACATCTCACGTGTAAGCACTGCTTTGCAAATCTCCGATATTTTATCAAGCAAACTTCCTTCTATTTTTGATATCTACTTCTTGAGAGAGGGAGTTATTCATAGAATTAAAGCCATTGGAGGAAGAGATCCAAATTCGAAAGAGGAGTTTTTAATAGATCAAATGCGAAAAAAGACAGAAGAGGCATATCAAAAAGCAGAGCAAGAAAGAAAAGAAAAAGAAGAAAGGCTAAAAAAAGAAGCTATCGAAAAGAACGAAAAGATCAAAAACAAATCAAATGACTCTCAAAGCAGCGAATCTGAATCGGAAGAACAGTACCAAGATCCGGAAAAAATTTCAGTGTCTTGGGTCGAACCTCATGTCGACCTTCCCAAGCTTCCAAAGCTTAGCCGTCTTTACTGCGAGAAGCATAAAAAATCACCATTCAAAAATAGCGAGTTAGTGGGTTATGCTGTTGCTAAGGCACAGTTGATTTTCGACAAATATTATGAAAGGACGAAGGATGTAGAAATGGAAAGCAAAAATTTTGTGAAGCTCAAAACAATTGCTAGCTCTTTGGAAAAGGTAATTTTATCCAAAGATACAGATGTAGAACTTGAAGAATCCCTTCTCAGAAATATTAGGGAGCTAATCATTTCAGAGGATGGCGTTTCTAATTTCGAGTTTTTAAATAGCGGGGTGGCTCATGCGATTTACGAATATTTATCAAGAAAAGACGGTAATAGACCTGTGAAGGAAAGACTTTTTCTTTTTGCTAGAATATTTGATGAGGATTTACCAAAAACTGCTGCTTCATTAACAAGAACTAGATCAAAGAGCTTCAGCAACACCAGTGATATGCTAACAGCTGACACTGATAGCAAGAACAATATTACTAGCCCCACATATCTTACGGAGTTTGTGAAAAAGTTGTTTGATGCATTGAATTCTGTGGAAAATTTCAATATCAACGTATCCGAAACAAGCTCCATTGCTTCTAATGTCAATGCCGTCATCAACAAGCTATCCAAACAGTTTAAATTATCATTAACAGATGAACAAAGCAAACAAGTGATTACTCTTCAAGTACATCCTCTAACTAGAGTTAGGGAGGTTTGCTCGTTCTTGATTTCTAAGGCAGGAGAAACACCAAAAGAGGAACCTGAAACCTTGTATTCTTCAAGCACTGATACAAGTTATTTCCACTTGACAGAACGTGACGATGATGAATTTATTGGAACTGTTACCACAATCGACATTGAAACACCAGCTTCAGAATTAGATACACCATTTTTATCTGCTGATGTGATGGTTGATGAAGAGAAGTCGCTAAAGTTTTGCCAATTATATTTGAATGGTAATTTGGTAGATGAAAATAGTACTTTATTTTCTGTATTTTTCAAAAGTTGTTCATCATCACACCCTTCAAGTCTTAATCTTGCTGACACAACTCAGAATTTGACTTTTAAAATTGTAGACACAAAGAAAGCAGATGACAATGATGTGGTTATGGACACTAATACTATTCTGAAAACATCCAAAGTAGACGCACTAGTGAACAGTATAACACAACACTGTAACGACAATCAAAAGTTTCAAGAAGAGAATATCGAAAAAGACGCCATTGAGCTACTCGATCTTCTGAAAATTTTGAATGGTTTGAGCAAAATTGCCCCCATTCTTCCTCATAATGAGAATATGAAGCGTGTTCTAATACCTTCTAGCATGTTTTTAAACCCTAAACTTGCATCGAAAATTGTACGATATATTCAAGACCCATATTACTTGTTTGGGGATTGCTTCCCTTCATGGCTACATGTACTCATGGAAAGATACAGTTTTATTTTCACATTCGATGTAAGACAATTATACTTTGACTTAACTTCTAAAGGAATTGCAAGAGCTATCCAAACGATTCAAAACAGATTTTCAAAGTCGAGAGATAGAAAAACTCGCTTGATTCAAATTGGAAAACAAAAAGTAAGACTATCTAGATCACCAAATATACTGGCAAGCGCATACAAGGCCTTTACATCTATTGAAACAAACAGAATAATTGAGTTTGAATTCAAAGACGAAGTAGGTACGGGAACTGGACCAACAACAGAGCTCTATTCATTGGTGTCACGAGATTTGCAGCAACAGGGCCTCTCTATATTTAGGGATGACTTTGTTGGTGAACAAGAAGAAAAGGAGAAGTTCAGCAGACTAGTAGAAACCAAAACTGGGCTTTATCCAAAATTCAAGAAGCTTAGTAATGGTAAAATTTCTGAGAGGGATGCTCGTCTGTTTTACTTTTTAGGCATGTTCTTAGGTAGAGCAATTTTGGATGAAAGAGTTCTTGATATACCATTCTCTGACGCTTTGCTTAAACTTTTGAAAGGAGAATCTCTTTCGTTTTACGATATCGAGTCTATTGATCCAATGCTATTCCAGCAATTGTCAAAGCTGCAAACAATGGCTAAAAAAGTACATGAAGTTAACAACTCTAATCTCTCAAAACAAGAGAAAGAGAAGGCACTGAATATGATTTACTTTGGTGATGATGGAAAAACTAGATTGGAGGATTTATGTTTGAGTTTCATTGTCATTGGCACAGATATTGAGCTTGTAGACAAAGGCTCAGAAAAAGAGGTTACGCTTCACAATTTGGACGAATACTTGAGATTACTCACTAATTACATGATACATGATGGCGTTATACAACAGGTGGAGCATATTAGGAATGGTTTTAATGTAGTTATGGGCGAGAACAGTAGCGACAAGTTAAAAATCTTCAACATCAAAGAATTGAGTGACATCTTTGTAGGCTCTGATGAAGAGTGGACAGAACAATTATTGATTGAAGCAACAAAATGTGACCATGGCTATACTCACAACTCGAGAGTTGTGAAATATTTGTTTAAGGTACTGTTGCAAATGACTCCATCAGAAAAGAGAGATTTTTTACGATTTATCACTGGTGCTCCTCGGTTGCCTTGTGGAGGCATTCTAAGCTTGAGACCCAAGTTAACAATTGTGTTGAAGAAAGCAGAGAGTGGCAAATCGGCAGATATGTACTTGCCTTCGGTCATGACATGCACCAATTATTTGAAGTTGCCTGAATATAGTTCTGAATCCATCCTCAAAGAACAGCTCTACAAAGCAATTCAAGAAGGTCAGAATGCTTTCCATTTGAGTTAAATTTGATCAAACAAAATCCAGCAATTTCATAAAAGAGTGTTTTTATTGATAGTAATAGATGGGATTCTTTGTCCTCTTCAAGCAATGTTCTCTAATCCATGACTACGATAGTTTCTGATTCTCCTGATAGTGTTGACCAATGTTCTTTTGAAACCCTTATACATCTCTGCCAATGCCATGAAGACTAAGGCTGCCACCAAGACGAAAATCCAATCAAAGACAGGCATTGGAATCTGATGAAAAATGTTCGAGTTCACCCATGGAATATAAACTGTTGAAACGGTCGTAACAGCTCCAAACAACACAAAGAAATGCAAAAGTCTACTATTATAAAAACTATCTAAAAAGAATGGTCTTCTAGCATTTCTACAATTATACGCATGTAGTAAGAGTAAAATGGTGGCTGTCACAAAAGTTATGGCTTGAGCTTCTTCTAATGGAATATTTGTGGTTTTGGTGGATATAAGAAAATTCGCCAAAGAAATCATTCCCATCAATGTTCCAAAAAACAAAATATCAATAATTGTTTCTGGTGAAAATAGTTTACCTTTAAAATCTTTGGACATGATACGTTTGCGTGGTTTCTCATTTCCCAGCCCAAATGCAGGACCTAATAGACGAGGAATGAACATTCACCATCAAAAAAAGTGAATCTTCTGTGTTAGAACAGAAGTGATCACCATGATGACAACTTACCCGTTCCAGTAATCATATTAAGCCATAAAATTTGAATAGAATTCAATGGAGGTCTCAATCCACTCAATAAACTAATGACCAATAAAATAGTTTGTGCAACGTTTCCAGCCAATAAGTGACTCACAAATTTTCGGATATTTTCGAACATGTTTCGTCCCTCTTTAACAGCCACTACAATGGTTGAAAAATTGTCATCCGTTAAAACAATATCTGCACAATCCTTAATGACGTCACTTCCTGATTTTCCCATTGCAATACCAACATCAGCTGCCTTAATAGAAGGACAATCATTTATACCATCACCACACATGACTGTTCCTCTGTTTCTTTGGTGTAGAGCATGAATCATTCGTTCCTTACTTTCTGGTGTGCATCTCGAAATAATAATTGGTAACTCTTTCAAGTTTTTAAGCTCTTCATCAGTCAAGGCATCAAAATCATGTGCATTCATGGCAATTGGATTGGATGGCGAGGTGGATGCCAACATTTCAGGAGTTACTAAACCAACTTGCTTGGCAATGGCGACAGCTGTCGCTTTGTGATCACCAGTGATCATTCTCACAGTAATTCCTGCTTGATGACAAACACTGATCGATTCTCTCACACCTTGTCTTGGAGGATCTTGTATACCTACTAATCCAACGAATATTAATTCTCTTTCGACTTGAGATCTTTCATAGTAATTGATGAGAGAGGGATCTGTGTGGTAAAGATTCTCAGATTTTGTATCCTTCAATAATGGCACTTGCAGTTCATGAACTTTTGGATTCTCCTTTTTCTCTTCCTCATAAGTGTTACCAGAGGTTGTTGTGGAAAGTATGGAGTTGGACAGTAAATGAGGTAAATGCTCTCGTTGTCGAAATGCTAACGCAAGAACTCTCAATCCTTTTTTAGCCAATGCATCATTTTGTTGTCTCAAATGATCTAAATACTTTTGACTGATTGGAGCCATTATTTGTTTTGTCGATTGATCATCCTTACTCGTATCAGTCGATGGAACTTGATCCACTCCAACATGTTTCTCACTGAGGTAATAGTGTGTGGAATATTTGAGAACATGCTCTGGAGCTCCCTTAACAAAAATATATTCCATTGTTGCATGTGGAGAGTCCTCCATCGCATCCGTATGGCTTTGAATGATGTCCGCATGTTCTCTCTCGTTTTCTCCATTTTTGGTATAAATCACACTCATTCTTTTCAAATTACTGTCGAATGGATATTCTTGGAAGAGTGTGAACATGTGAGTGGAATCTTTCTCTTTTAATTCTTCTTCCATACTGGTTTTCTCTTTTGGAACATCGATCGTTTCAAGATTTTTCTTTCCCAATCCATACTGTTGTGCGAGAGTCATCAATGCAATCTCTGTTGGATCTCCAACATAGAGCTCTTCTTCCTCATCTTCCACCTCTTTCTCTCCACTCTTTAATGGTTTGACTTCGTGAGGAAAGATTTTCCCTAACTTCTTCTTATATTCTTTGATTCTTTTGAAAATGTTTCCTGGTTTCTTTCTTTTTGAAGATGGAACTTCAACATTACCCTTCGAGAGACTACAGCCATTACACATGGATGAAACCATGAGAAATGTTTTTAACAAGTCGTTTTCATGGTTCACATAATCCGTGGTCACAATTTTGGGTTGTAATTGTGAGAGAGTATCCATAAACTCTTGTTCTTGAGAAACCGATTGAGATAATCCTGCATTAACTAACACTAATGGAGCAGATGGCCACTTTGATGGTGTCGATGTAGTAGGAACAGCAGCAGATGCAGTACTGGCCATGTTGTTGTTTGTCGAAAATGTTTGTACCGCTTGTAAGCTTTTGGATGTTTCTGTCATTTCAGTATCGTACCCCAAAATACGAAAAACCATATCATTGGAGAGAATACATTCCTTGACAGCCATGACTCCTTCAGAAATGGTTCCAGTTTTGTCGCTACAAATATCTGTCACATTTCCAAGAGTTTCAATGGCATCTAATTTTCGTACAATGGCATGTTGTTTGGCCATTCTCATGACACCTATGGTCATGGTTAATGTGAGAACTGGGCTCAAACCTTCAGGAATAATTGCAACAGCAGTGCTATATTTCACAAATGAGGATAAAAGTATTCATAGTTGTGGTATCATCGGTAATTTAAATTATGTTTTAACCTCTCAAGAAATAGAGTTGCTTACCTTACTCCAACTGTCAATGCATCAGGTATTATTGGCATTGATTTATGGAGATAGGCAGACAATATAACCAATCCTGTGCAAATCAGACCAGCTGCATGAACAAAATGATAAGAGTACAATTAATATAGATGGAGGTGTTAACAACACACGTGAAAAATGTTTGACATACCAATTACCAAAACTAATCCCAAATAAGTCATTCTTTTTTGTAGTTTTGATCTTTGTCTTTTGTGTTTGGAAATCGATTGCGCAATGGCTCCAATTTCAGTTTGCATTCCTAATGCAGTAACAATGGCACGACCTTTTCCCCTGGTCACTGTTGTACCACTGAATACCATGTTAATTCGGTCACCCACATCCACAACAATTGGATGTCTTTGCTTAGGTTTTTTGTCTTTTCCATCATGAGAGGTGGGAGTAATCGATGGTCTTGCAGCAGATGAGGTAATCACGGTTGAATCCAAAGACAACATTGGAGGGGCATCATTTCCTTCAGTATGATCATCCACACTTCTTCCATCAGTAGTGGAAGGGCCTATATTTGTTTCAGTGATGCTGCTTCTTCTCGAGGGTTGTGTACTAACAGGGAGAGAACGACTTCTCCCTCTTTCCTTATTTTGTGAAAACACAACATTGGCATTCTTTTTCACAGGTTCTGACTCTCCAGTTAAAATTGCTTCCATACATTCCAATTGAGCTGTATAGAGTAGTCTACAATCAGCAGGAATATGATCACCCTCATCTAACAAGATGACATCTCCCAATGTGAGGTGTTGAGATGGTATTTCACTGTGTGCTCCACCTCTTACTACTTTTGTAAAAGTGTATTGCATACGTTTTAGTTTTTGCATGGACTTCTCAGATCTATACTCTTGTAAAACGCCAATAATAATATTTAATAGAATAATAAATCCAACCACACCTCCATCCATCCATTCAGTGACTGCAAATGAAATCACCATAGCAATGGCAAGAATAAAATTCATAAATGTGAACGTGTGAAACAGCACTAATTTCCACAAATTAATTCCACCTTGACTCTTCAACTCGTTTTTTCCAAATATTTGTGATCTTTTTAGCGCTTGTTCTTCAGAGAGTCCTTGCTCTGCATTGGTACGAAAAGCAGCAATCACCTCTGCTATGGTAAGTGTGTGAGGAGGAGAAGAGGTTTTCGTTTCATGTAGGGATAATAGAAACTCTCTTTCATCGTTGCTGTTGGTCATGTTGGTAGTAGCAGCACTCAAGGTGGATGTTTGTGGAGAATCCTTAGTAGTGGCAGCCAAAGCATGAGCTTGAGTAGCGGCATGTGCAGGTTGAGAGGAAAGATGTGCTGTAGCCTCATCGGAATGGTGTAAATCAATGGTAATAAATTCGGAATCATGGACGTTAGGGTTTTTGGTGGCACTTCTATTGCTGCAAGTTGTTGTTCCTTCTTCATTGCCTGTTATGGTCGAGGAATGGGCATCATCTTTGTGATGGGATAGAGAAAAATTCATATCCTAAAACAGAATAATGTCAATGTTTTTAAATATTCAAAATACATGATGTAAGTGCAAAACCATTCAAATCAACTAGTTTGGATTAAATATTAATATTTCTTGATGATTTCCAAATATGAAGAATTTCCAATTTCAAAAGAACGATGATTAGAGCTAATCCGAATGATGAAAATGCATGGATTAATTGAAATATTGACCATCCCACACATTTCAATGCTTTAAAACAATATTAAAGAAATAAATCACATTCAAGAAAGATGAACGATGGAGAGCCATTTACATTTTTTCTTTGAATTTTGCAAACAAATTGGGGGCCTTGGTATTACTCGCCCCTCTACTTTATTCTCCATTGAACCTATTTGCACAGCAGTTAGATTATTCAACTCCTCCTCCACCATCACCAAAAATATTGCTTTGGCTGCTTGGAATGATCTTACCTTTAACGAACCATTTTGGAACCACATGAAAAATATCGCGGCTCAAAATAATTGGTCTCTCCAATACATTGATGAACGGTATTCATTTGTCAATGAATACGAAACCCCTGTCGACCCTAGAACTGAATTACTAAACAACGATAGATCAACCATGAGCATCTCAGGCCTTGGAATCTTAGATCATAATAGAACCTGGCATCCATGTACCATCTCCTTTTGGAGCAATTATTCACTCAAACCCTTCCAACAACGACTATTATTTGCTCACCTACACAAAGCAGAAATCCTTAGAAATTTCGGAAAAGATTACCCTAATTGCCATATTTGCAATACCAAAGCCAACTGGGAACATGTATTCACCTCATGCACCATGTGTGGTCCGGAAATCAAATCATTATACACAAAATGGGACAACAGTTCCCTCAAATTCAATGCCCCTCTTATCAGACTTCCCTCAAACCATTCTCTCTCTTGTATTCCAATGGATTGGAATGGTAGTATCAAAGACGAACCTCTTCAACAATTAGACTTATCTCCCCCAGCTTTGACTGATTGGCTAAATGAAATATATCTCTCATTCGCTGCCTATGTTGGCAGTTGTTACAAAAACGCCACTTGGAACAGTTCAACTGTACTCAAGAAGGCTAGAGGATATATAATTAAACCCAAAACTGCAAAATTTGCAACTGCTTGGGAAACATTTAGCAGTCAGCTTGGCGAACTCAACTCCAACAACATCTACACCTCACACCTACACACCCATTAGACACACTATCGTCGGACAATTGAGTACCTATAATTTGTTTATTTTTCAATAAACCCATTCCTGTATTTTTTCTTTGAATTTTTATGTGTTCCATTAAACTCAAGAAGAACTTAATTGTTTCCCTTAAAGCGGATACCCATCTCATTGGCCACAAACAAATAAATATCAGCCATTTCTTCAATTACCTTTTGCAATGATTTACCAGCTCCATGTCCTGCACTCGTTTCAATTCGAATAAGCAGAGGTGCCTCATTGACTGGACCAGCCACATGTTGAAGTTGAGCAGTGTATTTGAACGAATGATGAGGAACCACTCGGTCATCATGATTCGCTGTTGTGACAAGAACTGCTGGATATTTCTGTGCCTTAATGTTATGAAGAGGAGAGTATTCAATTAAATAATCAAAACCTTTGGAATCTGAGCTACATCCGTAATCACTACACCATGCTGCACCAATGGTCCAGGTATGGAATTTGAGCATATCCAAGACACCTACTTGAGGAACGGCAGCACCAAACAAGTCAGGTCTTTGGTTGATGCATGCAGCCACTAAAAGACCACCATTACTGCCACCATTAAGACAAATATAGGGTGGTGAAGTATAACCTTCTTTGATAATATATTCAGCAGCAGCAATCATGTCATCAAAAACATTTTGTTTTCTATCAAGAATTCCTTGCTCGTGCCACTTTTCACCACCAATTTCAGCACCTCCTCTCAAGTTTGGAATCACAAGCATTCCACCAAAATATTTGATCCAGAATAGACGCATGATACTGAAAGAGGGTTGCAAATTGATGCTGAATCCACCATATCCATACAACCAACAAGGATTTTTACCATTCTTTTCGAAGCCTTTCTTGTTGTGAACAATGAACATTGGAATTTTTGTACCATCCTTTGAAGAGTACCATTCCTGCTTGACTTCAATGGATTCTGGAGATGGAACTAAATCACTGGTCTTTGTTTGATAGAACACAATAGATTGTTGAGTGTCAAAATCATATCTGTAAATAGTTCCAGCATGGTTAAATGACACAAACTTGTAGAACAATAACGAATCTTCTCGTCTTCCAGAAAGTGATGAAATGGATCCAATCACAGGCAGCTGAATGTCAGAAATATATTCACCAGTTTGGAGTGTGAAAAATTTCAAGTTGTCTTGAACATTATGAACATAATTGGCCACTAAAATGTTCTTATTTACACAAGTGGCCATACTAAGAGGGTCTTCAGTTTCTGCCAAAATTTCTTTCATCTCGGTGTAAGGTTTTGTCACATCCATAACAACAACCTTTGAATTTGGAGCGTTCAAATTGGTCTTAAAGTAGAAAATATCTCCATCGTTGGCAATATAGTCATATTCGGCATCGAAATTGTCAATATATTTAACAACCTTGATACGTGATTGAGCATCTTCAGGATTCTCCTTTTCAAAAGCAAACTCGCCACCGACTTGATCATTCTTATAAATCTTTGTATAGAACAATCTGTTCACTGGAGCTGTACTTTCAGAAACGTAAATCAACAAGTACTTTCCATCATCAGTAACAGATGCACCAAACATCCACTTTGGTTGAGTCTTTTCTTCATAGATTAGGATATCTTCATCTTGTGGGGTACCAAGTTTGTGATAATATAGCTTACTGAACTCGTTGGCATCAACTTCACTACCAAGAGTTTCAACAGCTGATTTTGGTTCTGGATATCTAGAATAAAAGAATCCACGAGAGTCATGAGTCCATGCAATACCTGTGAATTTACAGAACTTGATCTGATCTTTCAGTGGTTGCTTTGTTTTCACATCAATCACGTGAATGGTTTGCCAATCGCTTCCTCGTTCACTCAATCCATAGGCATAATAGTCACCTTTCTTACTGAAAGCGCTTGATCTTATTGAAGACGTACCATCAGCTGAGAACTTGTTGGGATCCACAAATATTTCACTTTCGGCACTCTCCAACGATTTTCTTACCCATAACACATCTTGGTTTTGCAATCCATCATTCTTAAAGAAGTAATACCCAACGAGATCTCCCTCTCCTCTTTTGAATGGACATCCAACCTTCTCAAAATTCACCATGTTAGTGATTTGTTCTTTAAGTTGTTCACGAGTTACGCCCACTCTCTCTTCAATGTGTTGTTCCTTCATATAATCAGCAAAGCATTGGACTTGTTGATTAACCCATTCCTTTGTCCTTTCTCCGTAAGGCTCTTCCAACCAACGATATGGATCTTCAATCTTTACTTCACCTCTTTTTGCACTTTGATAGGTATCTATGGCCGAGGTGTCTCTGAAGGCTTGAGGATAATGAAAATTCCTTCCTATCGTTGTTTGTTGCTGTGATGACATTTTTTTGATTATAGAGAAGTGTTGCCGAGATCTTCTTTGTAAGGAGGAATTGATGTCTATGTTTAGATTATCATTGAAGGTACGAACACACAGCAACGAAGATGATGCATTCTTTGCAATGATGAAACGAGATAATGTCATAAAGGTCATGGATGAATCGTGTGTATTGATGGTGGTGGAAAGAAGCAACAACACACTTGTACCGAATTGCAAAATTTTTGAAATATATTTTTGATAACAAAAATTCACTGATCCATTCCGAGAGAGCTCTCGTTCATGATAATAATTAAAGAAAGATGGGGGAAATTGTCATGTGTTTGTTGTATGGGCTTCCAGCAAGTGGTAAATCTTCTGTTTCAAAATTATTGGAACAAAAGTTGAGAAATTTGAATTTCCGAGTTGAAGTGTTTGAATATGATCAAGTTTTGATGAATTATCAAGTACAGAAAAATGTTTTGGATTTTTCATCCGAATTATGGAAAGAATCAAGGCTAATCATTGAAAAACAAACGATTGAACTGGTTGAAAATTATTTAGAGTCAAGTCAAGAGGCCGAAAAAGCACTGGTCATCATTTTGGACGATAATTTTTATTACAAAAGCATGAGACATGACTTTGTGCAGATTTGTAGGAATTTTTCGCTTTCACATGTTCAAATTTTGTTAAAGTGCCCAGTGGATGTATGTGTTGAGAGAGATAAGCTCAGAACCATATCAGTTGGAGAAGCTGTTATTAGAGAAATGAGCCAAAAGTTCGAATGCATCTCAGAAAAGGCATCCGATGATTCTATTTTCCATTTAGAATATGACTCTTCTGACGTGAGCCAATTTAATAATATTTGTAATAGCATCATTCAAGTCATACATCTCTCACTTAATCATCCTCTCCAAAATTTAGCTCAGCTTAAAAGTGAAATGAAGGAAGAAAGCCAAAGACAAAACAGAGAATCGTTCGGGAAATGTTTGGATGATGGAATTCGTAAAAAGATATCTTATCTAATTGAACACAATTTAATTGAGAAGTCCAAAGCCAAGCAGCTTTCCATCATCAAGAGAGAAATTTTAAAGAATGCAAAGAAAGAGAATGGTATTCAGTATTATTTTGACATGTTTGATCATGAAGTTAACAAGCTAAAGTAGAAGGACAATTATTGAGTCAAAGCAGCTAGTATTCCTTTGACGTCCTCTCGTAGAATTTTTTCCTCATCAGGCAGAGGTGGATAATCGTTGTCGTTATATTCACACCTGAGTTGAATTCTGTTGGACATGTTACTGAGAGAGATATCACAAATATAATAGCCGTGAAGTAACATGGAAAAATCGAAAGAAACGTTCTTAATCTCCGAAAACTCTAACTCGTTATTAACGTTTCCTGCATTACCTATTCTATTGAACTCTTTGAGCGGATTAAAATCAAACATGGGATTGAACTTGGGAGAGTTCCACACAACCACAGGTATGCCTTTGATATATTTTTCCATCTTATTTTGTTGAAATATGACTGAAAATTTTGCACATTGAAGAGATCCTTCCTTTCTTTGGTAACTTTCAAGAAAAGATTTTAAAACATCAATGGGTGCACATATTAGAGCCATGTACACGAGCATTCTCAAACACTCCCTATTCACTATTTTCTCTGTTTTTGAGTCTATTACTCCTCTGTAAGATCGACAATACATTACTAGAAAGGTTATGTCACTCTTGTATTGATCCACTTTCTTTTTGGTTGAAGGAAAAATATTAGAGTAGGTTTCGTTCCACAGTTTAATACTATGGATGAGTATTTCACCAAAAAGATCACTCGCGAAATAGTCTGGTAACACTTTGAAAAGATCTTTACAAATTCCCTTCATGTTGTAATTCCACATTTGGATACCATAACTACACCTCTCATCGTTATGGAATTTTCTGTGTGTATCCCAATCCATGAGATACCTTACGTCTGGAGTACAATATAGAGATATTATGCTCATATGATAGTCCACTATGAATTTTCGGAAGGATTTACATTTTTCTCTGTACGAGTTAAGAAGTTGTGAATAATTGTAGGCAGCTTCATCTAATATTACATCACTTTCCATGGATGCAAGAAGGCAAAGCCTGTCGCATCCATATAGTAGTGTCGAATAAGCAGCATCTATTAATAGGTTTTGGAAATCATCATGATACTCAAATGATCAAAAACACATACATGAGTTAGCAATTTTCAATGGATTGAAATTGATTTTGAACAGAAAGTGATCAAAATGCGAGAGCAAAACGCTAAATCCAAAGCCTGACTTCTTTACAAAAGCAGTTTTTAGATCTTCATCGCAGAATAAGCATTGGAATATCAGTACCATCAACTTACCCTCAAGATTATTCCTAATTAACATTGTGGTTATGTTAAAAACTCTGTCCATTATTGCCTTAAAGTCCTGCAGAATTATATACTCTGCTTGGACATTAATCATAATAGCGTGAAAATGTAAGACATACCATTATTTATGCTGACAAACAATTCAAAGGATATGTTTCTGGAGAAAAGATCTGAACAAAACTCTCCAATAACAAACAAAACCTCTATGGAAAGATTACTGATTATACTCTTCACAAAATTGTCATAAGAATAACTAATGGACTTCGAGTTGAAATAGAACTCCATTCTCTTTGGTGCTGATATTGACAATTTGTTGGATCTATCCTGAAATAATTTTGTGGATTTTTTTTTCTCGTCGATCATGAAGGATATGCTATCTTGAAATCCAAGAGCAATCTCTAGAATATCGAAAAATCTGCCTCTTAATTCTGAATGAGTTTTCTGATAGAAGTGATCTGCTATTATCAAGCATATTTCACTAAACTTGTTTAAAAATCTATTGATATAGAGCGAAGTAATAAGGTCAATTATGTGCATCACATCAATAATTTGGTGTAACATTTCAAAATCCTCCTAAATATGTTCGAATGCTCAAGTTATCAAGTATGTACACTTACAGTGACTACTTGGATTAGACCTTTGCTTAATTTTACAAACATTTCCAAAGACATTAAGTTGCCTTCGAGATTCAGGGATGGTATGTAGTCCATTATTTCTTTTTCTCTAACGCTAAAGTACTGATAGACGTTTAGTCTGATGCTACAAGACCTTACTTACAAAGTTAAAAACGTCATCCACTTCAAGTGTTAGAGCCAAATTTAAAAGAAGAATTTTTCTTTTGTCAATATCTTTTTTTGGGTGAGTATCAGCAATTCCCTTAACAAGATGAGATACAATTCCACAGGTGAATGAAGAAATTTCCTCTTCCAATTCAAAATCATTTAAATTTTCATTCGAAGCTGAGGTTTTCAAAATATTGAAATTTGAGGGAAGTTGGTATCGTTCTTCTCTAAAAATTTTAGAGCAAGTCGATTTAAAAAGTAGGTGATATGAACCTATTGATTGAAGTAGTGTCATACTTGTAAAATAATCTGCCTCTAAGAAACATTGCATGACACTAACAAGACTGTTCAACAGCTCCTTTTCCGAATCATCCACTCTCAATGTCGTTTCTTCAGACACGAAATTTCATGTCTAGATGAACGAAGAGCTCATCACCTACCTTGGTATTGTTGTTCTTCTGGTAAGGATATTGAATTGTCCTTTCTTCTCCGATCCATTTCTTCCATTTTCAATGTAATTTCCTCCAACAAGGCATCATAATTCGGTGTTGAGAAGGTTGTCGGATCACCTTCCATCAAGAGCAAATCCTCCACCACTCTACTTCCTCCCTCGAAAGAAGAAGTCTGCATTTTTTGTATTGGTGGTGGAGATCCACATAAGCCTTTGTGTATGTTGGAGTGGTTGGCGCCAAAAGTTTTACAAAAAAAATTGTGCTTCTGACCGTTTTAAATTTATTCCACCACCGTACCCACAAACAGACGAGTACATGTACATGCGAAGAGAAATGATGATGAATTACTATGGATGAAAGAGGTCAAAAAGGTTTATGAATTTTGTTTGTTGCTCACCAATCTAGGAAGATGTTTGCTCTATGTTCCGCTATCGTTTTCTGATGATGATTATGGAAGCAAGTGTCCGATACATGTAGATAAGATGTGCACCTTGATATGCTCCTTGAATCAATTGGGAAAAAACGCAACATCATCAACGATGAATGTGCAAAATTACAAAGTTGTAGTTGAACGATTGGATGATGTGCTATTTGCGGTGTTTTTGAATCCAAATTACGGAACAAAAATTAATCGTTTAGTACGTTTGAAATTGTGATATTATTTTGTTATAACAAACTTTGACAGAAAATGAAAAGAATTATTGACGAATTTGTGTTTGTGTTTGGAAAACCAATAGCTGACATTAAGAGTTTTGAAAGCCAGCTAATGGAACAAAATGCACGAAATTTTGTTTTTAAAATTAAGGAAAAAGACAAGGAGGAGGCCACACCAGTAAATAGATATCCAGTGTTCAGTCGATTCAGTGACATTGTTAAATCAAAACTAATAGAGATAGAACTGTTTGAAAAGGCGCTCTGTGATCAAATGTTCAAACAATTCAACTCACTTCTGAGGTTTTTGCTAGTAGATACCTCTTTTTCTCCATTACTAGACCTTTCTCGAGAGAAGAAGAGCACGAAGGTCGTTAAAACAATTACGGAATGGAAGCATGTTCAACAACTATGTTCGCGAAGTCTTACACTTGTCATAGATTCTCCTGATGAATTACCTTGCTCCTATCTCATGGTTGACAAGGCATTAGTGATTGACATTGAGGAGAGAGGAAATGATTTTTTGTTTTACATCTTTTTCATTGAAATAGTGAACCCAAGTCATCTTCATTTGCAATACAATGATGACGGCACATGCACCATAACGAATCTAATGTCAATAGCACCTCAAATGATTGCTGCAATTTCTTCTTTTATGCAACAAGTAAGAAATAGGAATGAAATAAGCCATGAACGGAAAGAACAAATAGAAAAAGAATGGGTTTCAACCTCACTGACGTTTGTTTCAAAAAATGGAAGAACTTTTTTCAAAAGCAAGAACATTTCCACACTAATAACCCCAGCAGACGACGACTTTACGAAATACACACCACGACCACCTCCGCCCTTAATAGAAGCCATCTCCAAACATCAACAGCAACCTCCTTCTCAAATTACACCTAACGACCGGTTTGTTCGGAATTACAAAATACGAGAACAGCAACAATGAAATTAATATGATTATTTAATTATTAATATTATTAAACTTTCACACCATACTTTCCGAGTACGAATGAAACTGCTGGTAATTTGTCCTTCGGACAATTTTCTTTCAAAAATTCAATCTGTGCCTCTTCTGATAACTTGGCTCCAGATTCTAACAACAATTCCATCAAAGAATCATTACCTTCAGCAACAGCAAAGAGCAATGGAGTCAAACCCATGGCATCCTTTTCGTTTATGGTTTGCAATGCACCATGATTTAACAGCCACTTGACAGCATAGGTGGATCCTGATTTGGCAGCAATATGAATTGGATAACAGGTGAGATTTTCTTCATCTTTGAATGGAGTATTCACAAAGTGTGAAAGAGTTTTTTCATACTTCTCCAACAAATATGAAACAATGTCATTGTCAGGTTCACTCAATAACACTGTAATAATGTGTCCTAAAACATTGAGGTTATCAAAAGCACCTGCTGGTTCCATATCAAGAGTAATGCCATAAGTCTCCAACAGTTTTAGAGCTCTCAAATTTCCCTTACTCACAGCATACAAAGCCAAATTCATTCCGTCTTTGGTTGTGAAATTCTTCAATTTGAATTTTTCACATTGATCATTGTACTCAATGAGAAGTTTGAGAATATTTTCATCGACTCCAGAGTCTGCAGCATAGAATATGATTGGCAAATTCATGTATTCAGAAGCAATGGAAGGAGCAGATCCAGAAGAAATTAGAGATTCAATTTCCTCAATTTGATTTTGAATAATCAAAGATTGGAAATTCTCAACATCCTCAGACAACAATTGTTGATCGGATTGCATACGATTGATGACGTATTGCTTGGAGTGAAGCTCTGCAATCAAAGCTCCTTCAAAAATATCGACAACTTTTGAGAGTTTCTTGGTTGTACATTCAATAAACGTAATACCAAATTGATCGGCAAGTTTCTTGGCCTCTTCAGATTTGGCAGAAGCATTTTCCATATCGACCTTGTTAAAGACAATGAGAGATGGAATTTCTGAGACCTTTCTCTTCTTTAACTTTTCAATTCTACTAATAATGGTTGTCAGTTTCTCAATGGAGGATGGTTGATCTGCTGAACAAACCAAAATGACAGCATCGGCTCGTGTGGCCTTCTCGAATTGACCTCCCTTCTCAAATTCAATATTTCCACAAGTGTCTAAAATATTCAAAACAAATGCAGAGTGTGACTCTGATTTTGGAACATACTTTCTAAAGGTCTGTTCCTCCGTGTTGCTCGTTCCATTATTCACAAGACTCTCTTGATTTTCTCCATACAAATAAAGTGAAATCAGAGTGGACTTTCCAACTCCATTCTCTCCATAGATGGCAACATTGAATTCACTCAATTGTTGATCTAGAATAATCTGTTGTGTGGAACTGAGACTATTCACAATCCTAGAAGCATATTTTCTTCTCTCTGATTTATCCACCAACAAGTGTGACTCTAACATTCTTCTAAAGACTTGTAATTCTGATTGCTGATGGTCCATATTGATCGAATTGGCAAAACTCGAAGCCAAGAAATCACCATTTGACAACAAGATGAAATGTTTTTCAACAAATTTCTTTTCATCATCTCCAGTGTCATGTTCATAGGAGAATACAAAAGAATTTGGAATCCTCTCGTCAGGTGTCAATTCTTGTAAGATTTTCACACGATGTGGTTTTTGATCGATTTGAGGAGCGATCGTTTCAATTTGTTGAGCAGATTTGAAATTTTCTGAAGCCAATTCTTGAACATTCATCTCATCATTCGATTTCACATATTGAAAATCAAAATGCATTTGTCTGGGAACTGCAGAAAGTGATGTGGAAAAGTTGGATGAGAATTTCACATGTTGTGGAGTATAAACAGTAAGAGAACCTTCTCTCTTTTGAGATACCTGATAAGGAAATGGAACCTGCAATAGAATGGAATAGCCATACTCGGTCGACAATTCATACAAAAACATTGAGGTACCTTCTTGTGGAAATTTGAAATTTCTCAAAAACTTTTTAAACACTGGAAAATTCTTTTCACAACCTGTTTCTGTCAAGTAACTGAAAATAAAAGTACAACAAGAACTATTAGTAGTAGTACTATTAGAACTATTAGTAGTGGTGCTATTAGTACTAGTTGGAACAGAAACTGTAATGACATGATGACGTGTCATGTGAATTCTACCATAAGACAAGTATTGAACCAAACTATGTTTTGCAATCCATTGTTGTTGTGAATGATGATTCAACTCTTTAAAATCTTTCAACATTTCAATTTCACAATACTCTGAAATTGCATACGAAGTCATTAATTTTGAAAATGTCTCTCGATGAATTTCCTCATGAGATGATTTATCAAGTGTGAAATCGACACGAATTTGATCCATCAAACATTCATCTTCATTCTCATCTTGTGGATTGAACCATGGTGAAATCTCTGTTGGTGAAATGATTTTCAGAGTTGAACTCGAGGATCCCATATCCAATTTCCAAGTATTTGGATAAAAGAATTCAAAATTTGGATGAAGTGATGCCAAAGTGTTAATCCATTGAGATAAATCGGATGGAGAAGGATCATCTGGTAATGTTGTTGTACGAGTGGGTGGTGATGTTGTAAATGATGAGATCATGGTCTTTTTTGATGATAACATGAGGAAGAAGAAGAATTACAATAATTATGATGGACAAGTAGTAGTAATTGTGTAGTAATTGTTGTTGTTGTTGTTGTTGTATTTTCTCTTGATGTTCGAAAATTTAATAATATCGAATCACTAATTGAAGGATGGGAGGATGATTTCTTGTTTTGTGTTTCTTCTTCTTTGAAAACAATTGATGAGAGACTTGATGATGTGAAGGATTGTTGATGATGACGGTAAAAGAAGAACTTTGTGAAAGGAAATCAAATGATGATGATGATGTGAGAGCTAGTGAGTGTTCAGATGCAAAGCGAGAGATTTTTGTTTTTTACACATCAATCAAAAGTCAAAGTGTTGCCAAGAAGACAGGCAACGTAGTCCAAAAACAACAAGACCCAAACAAAAGGAAGCTCCTCTCCAAACCGGAACTTGAGTTGTTTCTTTCATGATGATGAATTCTCAATTCATCCTTATGGATTCGGATGAATGGCCATGACGACAAGCATGACAACCAGCATCAGAGAATCAGATCCTCTGAATGAATTGAATCCTTTATTAAATGATTTTGTCAATGAGACACAGTGTCGACGATATTCCAAAATTCTTCCATAAAAGGTACTTTAGAATTGTTGCCTTCATGAAAAACCAAAACAACAACAACAAAAAAATAAAAACACAATGATGATGATGAGGACTGCAATCCGATCGGCTCGCAACAAGGTCGTTGCATCCTCAGCAGAAGGATCATGGAATATGAATCATATGACTACCAGCACCAAAGCTTCCGTAAGCCTCTTATTTGAAGGCAGAGGATTCCTCTTGCAGGCAGCAATTAAGAAGAATTATTCGAGTTGTTGTTCATTAAGCAGCAAGGAGGAGGAGGACCGTTTCAAGAATTTCCAAATGTTTTCAAGAAGAACAAACAACATGTTTATCCATCATCAACTCGTACAACAACAACAACAGATGAGAACATACAGCCGTAAATCTCATATGAAAACAGCCTTGTACTTGGAAACGTATCTTCATACGGCCTTTATCGCGAGTATTGAAGACTTAATAGCAAAGCTTGATGCGAATAATGCTCACTCTATGGATTGGCATGAATTTCATGCTCAATTTGAAGCATTGAAAGCAACATTAAAGGCACAGTCGAAACTCGAAGATTTGGGATATGTGCCAGCAATTCATGAGTTTATTTCGGAAAATGCAGGAAAAGATAGTGTCCAATTAAAGAATTTGCTTGACTTGAAGACGAGTCATATACTTGAACATAAGGTGATTAATCATATTGAAAATGATATCAAGCATCATCAACATCATCAAGGTGAGAATCATAACAAGATGTTAGAAATGAAGAAGCATCTTTTCGAATTAAGAGATATTGTTGATGATCATTTCCAAAAGAAGGATGCTGTATTTAATCCAGTTAGTGAGCAGTATCTTTCAAAGGAAGAATTGAAAAGAATTCAAGAGCTTGCTTTCTCTAAGCTACTGCTTAAAGATATACGTGCTCACGACCTCTTGCATTATTACTCAGTCACCAAGAATTCTTTAGACTTGACTGAGACCATGATTAGAGAGATTTTGCAAGCTCGCCTCAATGATTCAAAGGCAAATGATGTATTGCTTGAGCTCAAAAAGCATACACCTCAAGAAGTTTGGCTTCAAATGACAACAAGAATTCCAGAGTTGAACAATCTCTAACTTCTCAGCGATTGGGATTTTTCAAAAGCAATATTGGGAAATGAAGTGTTTTATTTAATAATTATGGTTACACATAAATTAATTATTAGGTCTTTTCGAATATAAACATTCTCATCAAGAGATCAAATTTCAAGATTGAGTACTTACAATGATGCATAGGCATTTCTATTTTCCTTTTTCTTCTTGCGCTTGTTCATGATAAACACCACGACAATAATAGTCACTAAACCTACAACCCATGCTGAAAGCAAGGTTCCAATCACGGCCCATTCCTTTGCACCAAGTTCCAAATGGCTGTTTTCACAACCATTCACATACGAGCTGAAACCAATGTATCTTCGGTGAATGAAAAAGTTTGGCTTTGTCCAATTCGAGATAAAATCTTGAACGAAATCACACAAATTGTTGGTCACAAAATACATGTATCCATCATTTCCAATTCCGATGGTATCTGGCCAAACAAATTCATTGTCAAGTTCAGTCAAGGATCTATTCGAAAGTGAATTTCTCATAAATTTGTTCAGTGTGTAATCTGTGAGCTTAGTTTTCCCAACAATGACATCTGCAAGTCCCTCTTCATCCACTTCGTAAATTGTACTATTCTCAATGGCAGTCATATACAAAACAGAGTCTGATGACACTGCAAACCCATCACTGGCTGAAATCTTATTTCCAAAATTGATAATTCTATTATTCACCAATGAAGTATTTGCAGGATACATGATTAACAAGTTGGCATCAATTCCATATAACATCCTAGATGAGAGAGGAGTCCAATATAAACGATTTCCATCACAACTGAGTGCAATTCCATCTACACCAGTTTTCATTGGTGATTTTTCAAGACATTTCTTTCGATTGACATAAAGCCATGCACTCTCATCGACCTGCACTTGTGGCAATCCATCAAACCATCGCTTTACCTTCATGGTATCAATATCAATCACCAAAATTCCAGGTTGTGCATGAATAGATGGATCGTTTTGTGGATTATCAATTGGAATACCACTGTCACTAATATAAGCAATATTTTGTTGTGTGTCAATCACAAGGTCATTAAGGAATGAATTTGTAGGAGAAGCTTCCTCTTCTGTGAAATGATATTTTGCAATCAATTGATTCTTCACCAAATCCCAAACGACCAATTTAATGCTACTCTCAGCCGCTTTTTTTCCTGCAACTTTTCCTTGATCCAAAATCCACATTCTCTGTTGACCATCAATTTCAAAACCCAAAACACTTTGTAATCCAAAGGTTGCATTGTTCACATCATTCCATTCCCAACTAGGAAATGGTTCCAAGAGTGGAGGTTCATTGGATGATGATGAAAGTGAAATCTTGGCCAATGTTGCTGGAATTTTATCAGATTTCCATCTTGGCATCGAAACATACAAATTTCCTTGTGCATCGACTTTGACTCCAGCTAACATGACATTCTTATAAATTTGTTCATTCAAATATTCCTGTCGAGCCTTCTCCGATGTAAAATTAAAATTGATATAATTAAAGGAATAGAGTAATTCCACAGGAGTTTGTGATTCAGTCTCACTGGAATTGATTTCTTGTTGTAGTGGATGAGCAAGCACCGATTGTGATGTGAAAGAGATGATCATACCCACACAAATGATTAGAAGGAGGAAGAGTGCCACCATAAATGATTGAGAATGGACGAGACCATGATGAAGTCGGTGATGATGCCGTATCATCATCGGAGAGGATGTCGTCGACAAGAACATTCTGAAAAACAAAACTCAAAGGAGAGAGAGGATGTGGGCGATTTTTTTCTTCTTGATGAAACTGGGTGTGAAAATTCGAAGAAAGGAGTCGCGGAGAAGGAGTCCATTCACTGCTCAAATGCCCTAATTAGTCAATGAATCCACGAATGATTGAACAACATTGAAAAAATCTATTCCATGGTCGTGTTGGTGTGGGTATACAGTATTCCTATTTCTCCTTCGGTAGTGACGTACAGAAAATGATTCCTTGTGTTGTTGCATGAGTTTGAGGTCGTGAAACTAAGGTTTGCTTCTTCAAATTGACCTCTTACAATGTTCTTTACAGAACCACTGAATAATTTACAACAGGTTTGGACGAGCATTTCGTATTGTGTGCCTTTTTCAGCTTCAACTAGTTGGTGTGTCTCCACAGAAGCATGAGATGAGTGAACATGTGTTTTGCTGAGATCCATGTGAATTCCCTTCACTTCCTTGTTCAATATGTCAATGTAGTAATAGAGATTGTTATTCTCAAATTGATTCCAGTGAGAGCAAATTTGCTTGTCTTCCTCTTTAAGTTTGTATTCATTGGCAAGTTTTCGTTGGCTCTTTCGCTCTTGGGGAGACAGAGAAAGTACTTTCAAATCACTATCAACATAGTCAGCAATGATCATTGTGTGCGCTTGATTGTTTCGTGATGGAATGAATGCACAGGACAATGGCAACATGTTCGTATTGGTACGATCTATGAGCAATAACTCTTCCAATTTTCTGCCATCTTTCCCAAGTCTTAACAATCGTATGCCACTGTTCAAAGAGCAAAGAGTAAAATACATGTCCGAACCGTCAGTAACAACGTCCATCGAATTCACAACGAAATGCATCGATCTAAATATTGGACTAGCTCTATTAAAGTACTTGGAGTAAACAGGATAGGTAAGATTGCTTTCTTTTGAATAATCTAAAAGTTCATATCGATCCACGAATTTAAATTTCATCTTTTCTCCCTTCTTTTCAAGTTTTGCTACATGTATCATATTGTTGTATAAGAAACAAAATTGTCCATTATCATCCAATGGGGTTATCCGTGCAAATATCGATTCATCATGGAATGGAACTGGATGCTCTCCAATGATTGTAGCTTTCAGTCGTGTTAAATGGGAAGACATCACACACAACCAAGCAACAGACAGTGCAACTGCTCCAGAATCCTCTTCAACCGAGCGAGAATGTGTAAATGTGGTTAAGCAAATGAGAAGTATGTACTCTTCTCCCTCAAAATATACTGAGCATATATCAAGTATGGAGTGGCTAGTTGACATGTTCTTATCAGACACAACCCATTTCTCAGGCATAAATTTGCCAATTTCTACACACTTCTCTTGATAAAATTGATTTTCAGTGTCATCATCTAACACACACTTGAACAAGAGAGCATTCAATGTCTCGTCCACAAAAGATCTTTCTGAGCCAGTAACCACAAAGGAGCTTGATCTATCTAAATAAATGCTTTTCAAAGGCTCAATAATGCTATTTGATTCTTGGGAGGGATTTTCCAAATTCATTGATCTCCACCTCAGCTTTTTGTCTGCTGAGATTTCACAAAATTGAATAGCCCCTCCTTCTGGTTGTTCCATTAATAAAGCAGCACAATTCCCAAATTGAGAAGTCACAACATTTGTAATATCAATGCTTCGGCCAGCAAACCGCTTTTTTTCACTCTCGGAAACGAAAATAGTTTTAAGCACTCTGCGCTTATCAATTGTAATGTTTTTTCTGTCTTGTATAAGCATCATATCTCGATTGCTCATACAATAAACAATATCTTCCGAATTTGGTGACGTAATCTTCCTCAGTTTTACTGAACTCTCTCCAACTTTGAAATGGTGCTCCTCGAGTTGCGATTTAAATATTGGATCAACTACACAAGTGCCATCAGAAAGTCCCAATATGATGCACGACATTATGGAATTCGATATACCTACACACGATCTAATATTGTCATGATATGTCTGTGATCATATGCGAATGGAGTAAATGAAAGTATGGGATTTTGAACAACAAACCTTTTCCATAATGATGGTCCAAGAGTCAACCTCTACAATATATACAGAATTTACAATCCAAAAAGCAATGATCAGGTAGGTCTTTCCATCGTGAATAAAGCAGGACATTGTTGAAATTTGGTTCTCCAACGCATTTGCTGAGATTTCAATCACAGACAGTGGCTTGGTCTTAATTTCGAGCATTGTGATTTCGGTTCTTCTTGCAACAAATATCTGAATCATGAGATTGGAATGATAATAATATTTCAGAACCAAGTTATACCTACCCTTCCATGTGGCTCAATATCTGCAAATAAATATTTTTCTCCATCATTACGACGCTTAAATAATACATTAACATGTTGGGTGTTAAACTGAATGTCATAGAGAGCAATCTCATCCTCCCAAACAGCAACGAAAAAAAGAGAGACCGGATTTCTCTTAAACTCCCTTAATGCTAGCAACTTTTTTGACCCGTTCATTGCACTGAACGATATTGAAGCCATGTCTTTGGTAGAGAAAAATGTAGTACAGTTATCATAGGAAAAGCACAAAATCGAATATTCCTTCAAGGGAAGACTTGAATCTCAACGGTCAACTAGTTGGATTATTCGTATTAACAAACTTACACAAGAATTTCAGGAGAACCCTCAATAATAGATCCTTCTGTTAAAGGCATAAATGGAATTAATCTACTTCCCATTTGACAAACGCTAAACCGAGCAGCACCTCTGACATATTGACTGTATTGGTTATGAGATCCAGAGAATGAAGTGCAAGCCAATCTTGAGTCTCTTGAACCATTAAAAGTTTGAAAAAGGCTATGAGTAATTGTTCCCAAACACGGTAATTGCTCCTCGTCGATGTTGCTGCCAACGCTTTCGTAATAATTTCTTACTTGAATAGTTATATTATTTTGATTCAATATTGACAACTCTAACCATTTCGTTTGAGTGTTTTCATAAGGAGAGCTAATAAATATTTTGTACAGGTTTTGGTCGTAATGAAATGCAAGTAATTCACCCACTTGCAGTTTTGGAATAAGAGCCCTTTTGTAAGTAATCTCAGCTGTTTTCACTTCTGCTGCCAGTGCATGCTTCAACGTGAGAAAAACAACAAAAACACTTCCATCGCTATAAAGGCAACAGAGAGTTCTTGAGGTTTCATAATTACAAGATCCACACTTTCTCTTTCTTTCGTCCAACATTGTAACATGACATGGACAAACTAAACTGTTTACATTTGCCATATCAATTGGACAATCGATCAGTAATCCATTTCTACTGTAATATGAAAATCCATAACTACTCATGCATAACACGCCAAACTGAACTTGAAGTTTGTACAACAGATTCAAAGACTAACACTTACATTGTCTGAGAACAAGCAAGTAGAAGTTGGATGAATATTAAAGACAGAGAACGGTCCATTAGATGCCTTTAGAAAAGCTTCAGCACTAAATACTCGTGAAGATGCTGTTTTACCCAAAGAGCACGTCAATTCTAAAACAAATGTTCCAAGAAATGTATGAGGTACTGCCGGTAATGAATAATTAGAGTCGTCATGCTCTCCAACAAATTCTTGCAGTAATGCAACAATTTCTACCATTTCCTCACTGAGACAACTCTTTAGAAAGCACAAGTCCACAACTTTAAACAATGATTTTGAACTGTATGACGACTGAGGTCGAATTTCAAAAATTTTGTTTTCCAACAGTTTAGGAAAATTGCTATTAGCTTCAAATTTGAAATAATAAACATATTGATTATAGATGGATAAGATCACCTCTGAATATTTTTGTTTTTTTCGTATGCATGATATTGGAAAAACAGTCCTCTTATATTCCGAAAACCCAATCCAAATCTAACTTGATGAATCTATTGACAAATCCACTTACAGTAGCCTCTTCAATTTTCTTTTCAACCTCTCTAGCATCTACTTTATCGGAAATGTAACTAGCAAGAGAAAGATTTCCCTCATGCAAAATGGAAATCCCTTCTTGATTTTCAACTTTAACAAGATACCACATTAAATCATTGTCAATCACTAACAAGAAATTAAATGAAATTTTTTCAAGCTCAATGACTACCAGTTTCATAATTCTCTTAATTCCATCAAATGGAATCATGACATTATCAAATGTATCTTCCTCGGGAATATATCTAAAAAAGTGTAATTTGTTTCCCTATAATTTTTTCATTAAAGATCCCAATAGGAACACCTTTCGAATATACACACCTTAGATTCCACTACATAGGTTGTATCGGGATGGTTCTCAAAAAATCGACCACAACTCGCCGATGTAACGGATTGATCCTCTACCAATGGTTGTATTTCCATGGACCTCTTTCAATCTTTTGAGATTTTTATTGTATGATATTCAATGTGTTCCGAGAGCATAACACTCGTTGTTTGTATTTTTTTTGCCAATGAAAAAGAAAAGATGAACCTTCTGTGTAAAACCAACAAATGGTTGTACCATTGCGATTCTATTACTTTAAGCATGATCATAAACAGTTCATCCTTATCTGCGTTTAATACCTTCTTCTTTTCATGGCTGAACTTTGTAATCATTTCGCAATTAAGAAAAAATGCAAAAACTTCCATCGCGGAATGGTCTTCTCTTCAAACTTTTCTCCACTCATTCATCATGCACGATGATGATGACCAAGGGTAGTCATTCTCTCCCGAAGAATTTATTCCAAGCAAAAAGCATGAAAACATTTGGTTTTACTTTTTTATTGGATCCATTTCATCATCATCAAGCCTATCATTGCCTTCTCGGAAAAGTATCTGCAAAATTTAGGACAAGTTTTAGTATCGGAAATATTCGGCAAGGAAAAACAAGACAATCAGAAAAAGAAGAACATGTAATAACAAAGAATCATCATGACGAAAATGCAACAATCATTAACGATTTGTTTTCGGAAACTATTTATGCAATGACAAGCGGATTTTCTTCAAGTTGTGCAGTTTCTGTAATTCGTGTGAGTGGCTCGAGAGCAATAGATGTCGTTAAACGAATGACAAGACTTGATCCAAAACAATTGGAGACAAGAAAAGCCTATTATTGTTCGCTGTACAATCCCACAACTAATTTCACAGGTACTACAAATGTCGTACCTATTGATAAGATTTTATTACTGTATTTTAAAGGACCCAATAGTTTTACAGGAGAGGATGTCATTGAAATTCATTGTCACGGAAGTAAGGCTGTAATTTCACACATTATGAAGGCTTTGGGTACGGAAGGAATTGGATTTAGACCAGCAGATCCTGGCGAATTTACCAAACGAGCATTTTTGAACAGGAAGATGGATTTAACAGAAGTGGAAGGTCTAAGTGACTTGATACATGCTCAAACAGAGCAACAACGAGTACAAGCGCTTAAACAACTAAATGGAGAGCTTAGTCATATTGTAACAAACTGGAAAAGAGAAATGTTGAACTGCGTGGCACATGTCACTGCATTTATTGATTTTGGAGATGACAATGGACTTGAGGAATCTGTAGTATATAGAGAGCGTATTTTACCTGCTGTCAGAAAATTGGGGTCTGAGCTAAAATATTATTTAGATATTTCTAAAAACAGGCTAGGAGAACGGCTAAGAGAGGGACGAGGAATACGGTGTGCCTTACTTGGTGCTCCCAATGCAGGCAAGTCATCACTACTGAATGTGTTGGCAGAAAAAGATATTGCCATAGTGAGCGATCATGCTGGAACTACTCGAGACGTTGTTGAAGTTCAGCTTGATTTGAAGGGTTGGCCTGTCACTATTGCAGATACAGCAGGTCTAAGAGAGCATACAGCTATTTCATTAGATTCAGAAGTAGGAAAACATCATTTAATTGAAATTGAAGGTATGAAAAGAGCCATAAAGAAGGCAAAGGAGGCAGATATCGTCATTATTGTACTTGACTCTGAAAATCAAGCAGTCACAGTGCAAGAAATGTTTGAATTTTGCATGCGAAAACTTTCAGAACATAATCATTCACCTGATTCATCATCGAACCAGGCACAGAAAATATTTTTGGTTCATAACAAGATTGACTCGAGAAACAGTTCAACACAAAACATCGATGGAGCAACAACACTTCAAGAGCAGATCCCGAATATTCCTTCATTTGCAATTTCTTGCAAAACAAAGGAAGGAGTGGATCGATTCATTGATCATCTTTGTAAAACAGTGGAAAACATTTTCACAGGAAAAGACGACCAATTCTTTTCAAAAGATATTGGCCACCAACAAGCAGAACATGCTCTCTTAATAACCAGAGAAAGACACAGAGCTTCTTTTTCAAAAACTTTGGCATGTCTTGAGAGAGCTCTCCAAGAAAACGATCAAATAGAAATTGCAGCTGAACACATTCGTCAGGCACACAAAGCTCTTTGTGAGGTTACAGGCGATGTTGATTTTGAGGAAATTTTAGATGTGGTTTTTAAGGAATTTTGTATTGGAAAATAAGTGGAGCTCCAAGAATGCTTTTCTAGCATTTAACAGTTCGATCTATTAATTTCATTTACTAATATAATACACTTTATAATATGATAGTATTATTATTATTATTGTACATTATTAGATTTTTACGAAATTTATCTTCTTAATCTCCAAAACCAATTCCATCTCTTCTGTAGAAGGTTTTTGTTTGACCTTTTCGAGTAGCCAACAAATGGTCGTCGGAACGTTTGCCTTCAAGGAATCTCTTCTCAATGATCCATCCAACTTCTTGAGAACTTGAAACAGGAAAGCGACTTTTCTTTGTTGGAGATTCCTCTCTTCTTGCTTTCAAGTAACTTGCTCTTCCTCCTCCTTCCTTCGACACTCCCTCATATAATAATTTTCTTTGAGGTGACATATCTCTCCTCTTCTTTTCTTTTTCTTTTTCGGCTTGGGCCTGTATGGATTTTAAAAGCATCTCCTTTTCCTCTGCGATTTTTTCTGGATGATACTTTTGTTGCCATTGTTTACGAATAGTTTCTTCCTTTTCAATACTTTCTTGCCAGTGTTTCGAGAGAAAATTTGATCCGATACCTCCTCTTCCCGAATACGAAGCTCCTTTCTTTCCCTCAGTCATTTTTTTTGAAGAGAAAAACAATTAAGAACAAATCCAAAAAATTATTCCAAATGTAGAAGGGTATCTCTGTAAATATTAAAGTCTTGAAACTTGTTCAGGCCTATGATGAGCCGGAAACTAAATGATCATCCACTACTGTCAATATCAACTTCAGTGAAGACATTCATGCTGTTACATCAAAGGAACAAGTCCATCTTAATGAAATTGTTCCACTCAATTTATTTCCAGCTCCATGAAGAATTATTGGTCGTTTGTTGTTGTGGAATACGCTGATTGAAAAAGTCGGAATATTGAGAGGAGTACAAGCTTGGAGGAATTGATGCTGAGTCGTTGACAATTGGTGTAGAATTAGCAAATTTTGAATAACCCCAGTCAGAGGTTTGAGAGGTTTCACTTGTGTTGTTGCTTTGGCTTGCAAATGTAATATTTACATTGGGGAGTAAGGCTCTGAAACTGTTTTGGAGGTCAGCATTATTGAAAACTTGAGTGTTTTGCTCTAGTTGGTTATTATTTGCTTGTTTGGCACTTCCAAAGAATCTACTGCTCTGATGACTTGATGGATTTGAAAGGTATGAAGGCATAGACTGCATGCCCCACATGTCCATGTTCATTGGGATATGTGGTGATTGTGATGGTTGCATTGATTGTGGGGCGAATTGCTGTTGATGTTGTTGCTGTGTATCTTTTGTCTCTGTTGTTGTTTGATTAAAGAATCGTGATGAAGTGCGTTTTGTGTCTGATGCAAAGGAAGTCATTGTCCAAGAACTATCAAAGAATTGTTGATAATAAGGATCATATCCTTGGAATGAAGCAAATAATTGTTGTACCTGCTGAGGATATCCAAAGTACTGTTGTTGCTGAGTCTGTGGTTGAGCGAGCTGGTTAAACGAGAAAGCTTGAGTTGGATCAGCTGAGAATGGATTCTTGATGTTGGTTGTGGAGTTTGCAGGAGAGCTTGATTCAACCAAAGACAATAATTTAGATCTTCCAACGGTAGAGGTCACTCCATCGGATGGAGGATTAGGTTCAATTCCCAGCATTTCTAAAGTAGGGTGAGACTCAATAATAGAGTCGTCTAATTGTTCCAGTTCGGAATTATTTGGCTGTATTTCTTCATTCGTTTGTGTGCTCTCAATGATCACTTGACTCTCTGTTGTGACCTCTTCGATGCTATGGTCTGTGCTGGATCTGCCACTTGAAGCTGCATCTGCAATGGCATTATTTTGTGTATCTTGATTATTTGTGGTTGAGCCTATAGCTGCCGTATCCGAGCCTTCTGTCTCCTTAGCTTTCGTTGACTTATTCTTGTTTTTGTTCTTATTCTTACTGCTCTTTTTGTTCTTATTTGTATTCTTTTTCTTACTCTTTGTTATAGTTGTAGCTATATTGCTTAAAGAAGATAATGAAGCAGGCAGAGGGCTGTTTGACGTAGTGGAAGAAGAGGCTGCTGTGGCAGTAACTGGCACAACTGGTTGCTGACCCCAGCGAGCGGTCTTTGGAAGAATCGACTCCTTACTATTATCAATGACCTTTGTTGTAATGTTGGCATATTCAGTTTGAACCTCATGGTCATCGTCAGCTTCTTCATCGTCATCACCACCATAATAATAATCATCAATTGTGTGATCGTGGTACGGATCGTGTCTTCTACTGATACTTCCTGAAGCAGAACCGTTGGACCGTGACGACCTTGCTAATTGTACACCACCCCCAGCATTCACTATTGTTTCTTCAGCATATTCCTCATCATCATCTTGAATGTCATCATCCTCTATGACTTGGTCATCATCGATGCCATCATCGTCATCATAATGGCGAAATCCGCTATTACTTCGGCTATGAGAAGCTCCAACAGATGACTCCGATTCGTCATTTGACTCATCATCCTCAGGTTCTCTGTTGGAGTTCGGATACTTCCAGAAATGTTTTTCTATTGGCTGAGAATCATCTTCTGGAGGATAAAATTGAGACATTTTCTCTAAATTATGTGGAACTGGCAGTCCATTCCGTAACACAATTTCGTCCTTATTAAAAGTATCCTCGTCATTCCCATATTCGTGCAGATACATACAGTCGGGATTGGTACAGGCGATGCCTTTCAAAAAGTATGCACAGTATTTTGTTGTTCCAAATGATGCACGAAGCTGTTTGCCATCTAGATAGGTCTTATCCACAGCTCTTATGGCTTTGTATGCATCCTCCTTCCGAACATAGGTTATGTATGCACTAACTGTAGGGGTTCTATTCGATGCTATATGTGATGAATTCTGTAAATTGCTCTTGTTGATTACTACTTTCTTAATTTTACCGTATTTTGCGAAATTATCTGTGTGTTTTAACCAGTCGTGTTTGGCAACGGCGAGGGTTAAACCAACAACATATACTAAATTACGCTGTATTACCCTGACATTTGCTAGTTGTTTTCTGTTGATGTGTGGTTTTTTCTTTTTCTCCTTTTGTTTCTTTTCTTGTTGGATTAATTCTGGATCTGGTGGAGTAAATTCAATATTTGATTTTTCGTATTCTCTTCTACAGGCTGGGCAACGTTTACTGGAGTTGTCTATCTTGTTCCAACACCATGAGCATATTTTAAATCCGCATGGACATGGTTGAAAATGTTTATCAGTGATATCCAAATCTTCACAGCAAATTGGGCAAGTTGTGTCTTCCTCGCTACTATAATCACTCATGATGATGTATTTTAAATTATTTTGTTGTAAATGTATATATTAAATGAAATAGTTGTTTGTGATGATGTTGTTGTATGAAAATATAATTATTTGTGATTGTGGGGTTGTTGTTGTTGTGGGTGATTGCTGTTGTTATCGATAACGGAAAAACAAGGCTTTGCGATGATGGAACAATTGGTGGTTGGAATGGGTTGTACTGCGCAGTAACGACAGAAGTGCCGCAAGAAATTTTTTTGTTGTAAAAAAATCAGACTGCCCGCTAAATTCTGGCGAGAAAAATTTATTGTCGTTCGTTTCAATCAAGCGAAAAACACTGCAATTAGAAACACGATCCACTCAGATAATTGAAAAACAGCAATGTGTGAGTACTAACGGCACAATGAAAACAATCTTCAAACACCAGAGACATAGTTATTAGTTGCAAAAAAATAGTCTTCAAGTTTGGCTATTGGCTTTTTTAGATAAATATCTTTGTTTACTGAATGGCCATTCTGGAATCGACATTCTAAATTGAAACTTAATTGATTTTATGAATATCGGCAAGTTGCTGAACTACATTATTAATTTATGCCATAGTCGGTTCAATCTGTTCACAACAACAAGCTGGTATAAGTGGTGGCATGTGACCACATTCATTCAACACAGCATTGAACTTTATCGTCTTTTTTACCATTCATTTATTAATGAATTGTGCTGCAATTTCAAAATTGCTTTTTATTGTAATCTTACTGCTCAACCAATCATTATTTTTAGCATTTATCTTCATCCCAAGTTCTTGCAAGCAGTTTAAAAACGCAGACGGTTCTCCAGATTTCACCAAACGACAAGGATGAAAAATTTCTCAAACAACACCACCTACTCATATTCCATATCACTCTCTCCTAAACTCGTTTTGTTCAAGTAGCTGTTGCTGACTAATATTTGCACCCAAAATTGAATCTCCAATCACTGTAAACATTCAAACCATTACATCCGTAATCAAAATTATATTCATTAATTTTCCAATTTCATCATCATCACCACAAAATGTACACTTCTGCTGAATCCGCAACTCCTGATTTCAAGTTCTTTGACGAGCATTCCTCATTTGAATTTGAAAGCCTCTTTTCTCCAACTGAGGGACTATTGATGAAGGAAGGCGTTATGACTCCTTCTTCTTTTGATGCTACTTTGCAAAGTCCAAAAAAGATGTTCCCCACTGTTGGACTCACCATCAATACCCAAGCCAACATGTTTGTTGGTCCTCAAGCTAAGCTTGTTGCTTCATCTGCTGCTGGTGTTGAGAATGTTGAATCTACCTTTGAGGCTTTGCTTGCTGATTCCTTCCTCCCAACCGAAGAATTGTTGAACCATTTCTGTGCTGCTCAAGAAGAAGCATCTGCTCTTCATGGAGGTCATCATGATGACAGCAGCACCTCTCAAGACTCTCTCGAGGAAGATGAAGCAGACAGCAACGACGATGAGGAAGAAGAGGACTTGAAATCAAGAAAAAAGATTGTTGCCAAGAGAAAGGATTCTAAAAAGAAGGAACAACTCTCTGTTGCTGGAACCACTACCTCCACTGCTGCTGCTTCTGCTATGAACAATGCTGATCGTGTGTGGTCCACTGTTTATGCTGATCCTTCTGTTGATTTGAGCTCTGTGATTGTCATGATCAAGACCAGAAGGGACAAACCATCTGAGTACCTCCCTGAAAAGATGTACTCTTCATTGAAGTACGAAATCATTCAAAAGGCAAAGGGAGGCCTTTTGAAAAACGTACCATTGCTCTTGTGTCGTGCTAGTGTGGTCGACGCAGCTACCCTTGAGGAAATTAAAAAGAAGAAACCTGTATTGAAGGGTAATATTGAATCTGCATTGACCAAGGAACCAACTAACAAGAATGCTGATGAGTTTGAGTGCAGGATGAAGGTCCAATTTGACTTCTCCTATCACCAAGATAAGAGATTGGTCGCTCTCGAATTGAAATATTACTTGAATGACAAATTGGACCAACCAATTTTGATTAAGAGATCTTGTCCTCTAAAAGTGTATGCACGCAAACCAAATAAGACCAAGAGAAAGAGAGAAGAGGACAAGGAAAAGAAGTTGAAAAAACTTAAGGAAAGTCAAGAGAAGGACTTTCAAGATTTTGCTGGTCAACTTGAAAAATGTTTTGAATTGGCCAACAAATTTGCTGGTGAAGAGAAGAAGCGTGCAATGCTTACCATCATGCAAAAATTTGCACATTGCTTCGGATCTGATGCTACCATGTTTGATGACGTGAGCACCACTCACCAATCAAACACCTCGATCTTCACTGACAGTGCTTCTGAAGGTGAAGATTTCTTTTGAGGAACAATACGTGACAAACACTACTTGTTCTTCAACCCTTAACGGATTTGTTGCTGGCACTCTGCCTCTCAATTCTGTCTTCCTTCTTGTAGAAGAAGGAAACCCCTTGACTCCAAACGAACCATTCTTTGACCTAGGTGTTTACTTGTCGTGTTTTTCACTGCAAAGGTTTCATCTTAATCTTTGCTTTTTGTCGTTTTTGTTTTCAAGGTAAGGAAGTTGGACAGCTCATCTTGTTTTGGCTCATCCAACCAGGATATTCATAAGAATATCCATCATCTCGTTGTTTCTAGAAGGCAAGATAGATTATTCGTTCCTCATCGTAATTAGCTCCCGACGTAAGTTGTTAAATATCAACCTTTCCTTTACATTCATTCTTGCAAAATCTAATTAATTTTAAATTAATCTTGCTAATCATATCTTCATTCCAATAAACACAAAATGCATCATATTTATCAAATATAATGTTTTTAATTTTACCTTGTTTTACTCAAAAATCCATCCATTCTTTAAGGTAAGGACAGCCTTTAGGGTTGATATCGCCATTTTCTGTGCATTGATCAAAAACAGGGCACGTGGAGCAAGGAATATCCACAAATGCATTTTCTGTGGACACACTCGACAACGCCACTCGATACAGTGGTTTGTCTCCAGTGTGACTCACATCAATGACCTTTTCTATAAAACCATCATAAACTAGAGTATCAATTATTTGTTGCATGTCTTCCACCCCCAAATCAACGTGGTCAATGATTGCCATCGATTTGATGTGCTCTAAAACTTCATGAACTCGCCTTGGTTTCTTTTCCAAATAAGTGATACTTTCTGTTCGAAGCTTGTCAATGAGTTCCGAATGAAATTTTCCATCCACATACCAAATTCCTCCCGTTATCTCTCTACTAGGTTCAATATGAGCCGCAATATACACAATTTGAGTTCCTTTCTTTTGAGTAATGTCTGAAATTTTTCTAATTAATTGTTTTGATTCAAGTGTTTTCAAAATCTTTTCCAAATCCTTTTCATTCTTTTTGGCTTTTTTTGCAATTGTCTTTTTCCAAATTCCTTTGTTTCCAGCGCTTTCGACTATTTGATAAATTCCAATTTGTTCGTCCGTTAAACCTTTAAATTTTACAGATTCTTCTTTTGAAACATAATGGAAGATTAAATTCTTTCCATATTTAAAGTGTCGAATTCTTCCTTTTTTATGAAGCTCATTTATGCTTTCCATGAATACTAATTGATCGGGGAACTTTTCTTTCAAAATGACGTCCGTCAGTCCCTCCTCACATTGTTTCAATTCTTCAAGAATTTGTCTCATATAATTTGGAAGTAATTTTCGTTGTTCATCCGTCATGGGTTTTCTAACAGGTTGGGCTGCATCAATCAATGTGGATGCTGTTGATGACGACCCCGATGATGATGATGCTTTTGCTGCTGTCGATGATGGCGTGGCTGCTGTCGATGTTCGTTTCATTTTTTAATTGTTTTTTTAATTGTTGAATTCCCATGTTCATCAGACTCATTATACCGCGTAGAGAAGGAATTGTTTGTTGAATGAATTGTCGCACTGAGAAGTGGCATGGTATCTTCAAAAAATTAACCTTTTTGATTTTGAATTGGCCATGTTTAAACTCATCGAAAGGAAACATTTTCGTTTCACTTCCCTTCTTCGATTCCATAAATGAATTGTTTCTTTTTATTAAACATGTCTTTGTGTGTGAATGAGGAAGTTTGTAAAAGCATGCTTTTACACCATGCGCTCTCGAGAGAGAAAAACGATCAAAAAATTGATTTCTCAATTCTGTACGCTCTCTCTCCGCGAGTGAATGCTCTCTTCTCGAGCTTTGGGAATGATGACGTCCAACAAGCAATGGAGTTGGTGGAAAGACCGGAAAAATTCAATTTTGTCTTCTCGTGAGCCTCCATTATTGTTGTTGCTGTTGTCGGTAGGTCACCATGATGGTTGTGGGCCTACCTACGGCCGCCATGCACTCCGACATGATGATTCCTTCCTTCGAATCACCACAGACGTGTTGCATGATAGAAGTAGTAGTATCCTTGAAGAAAAAGTCAATCATTATCGTTGTCCTTCCTCTCTCCGACGACGACGACGACTAGGACATCGATGTCCATTGTCTTCATACCTTTGTTTGAAGTTAAAAGCTTTTAAAAACAAATTTGCTCATTGCTGGGACTCCATCACTTCAGCCCCTAACAACAACAACACCATTCGTCTATTATTAACCACAAGGCATTCTCGGACATACAGTATCATCAACTGTACCAACAACAACAACAACATTCGGTTTTTTACAAGCAATAAGATGGCTTCAAATAATCATCATCATGTCGGAACAACAAGTCTTCAACAAAAGAAGAAGGAAATTTCAATCTCGGAAGAGAGAGAGTGCTGTTGGAACACTGAATTGCCTCAACTATTAATGAAAGGAATTTGGGCAACAGAGAAGGATTTTTCAAGAATACCGTATCATCTCATTGAGAATATGTATCATTCTGAAAGTGGATTATATAGTGAAGGTTGTTGGCACAATTTCGTGATGGGACTTAATTTATTTCAAATGCTTGAACAACAAACTCGTGAGGAAGGAATTGCTAAATTCTGTAAGGAAAATCTGTTGGAGGAAAAACTGGCTCGATTATCTCAATCTGTCTATGCTTTGAATTTTGATAGGGATCAATACTTGTTTTTCCAGAGACAACCTTCAGGAATTTGGCAATCTGCAGATGAAAGTGAAATGCAAGAGAGAAAAGACTTTTGGAAAACAAATAAGGATGAAAAGAAGTTGATCAGTAATGCAATGGGATTGCTATTTTACAGTACAGTTTCAAAGGATGGAAAATTTATTCCACAAGATTTGGATTTAAACAAATTTTGTGAGTCAATTATCGATCACTTTTATGACAAAGAAAAACAGTTGTGGAAAACAAAGATTAGCTCAGTTGAAGGTCATGAAGTTATGGCACAACATTACAGACTCGTGGATCATGCAATGTTGTTCTTAGCATTTTCATCATTTGTGTCACATCCTACTGTGAAAGCTGACCTTAAAGAACGACTATCTCAAACGATTGATGACATTTTAGAGATTATTCTTAAAAGATTCAATGCTGAAAATTTCACAGAGCGTATTACTTATGTAGATGCTGATTTAACATGCCACTCCAAGCGATTTTTGTGGCAAGATTGTTGGCTATTGCTAGCATTGATAAAGTCAGGCAAATGCCACACACAACTTCCATTCATGGTACAGGAATTATACAGAGAATATCTGGACAAAGAGACAGGATTTTTGTTCAGTGAAGCTATTGGAACTGTGTCAGATCCGTCCACCATTAGAACGAAGAGCGTTAATGACAAGGTGAGAAAAATTTCTCCAATCACAGGACAAATGTATATCAGTTTTATTAATGACAATGCACTCTTTATGCTAATATTGAGGTGTAGAGAGGTCTACTGCTCGGATAATGACAGCATTTCACAATTAGACTCCCTATTCAAGAAGTTTGAGGCCTCCTTTGATAGGTACATTGAACAGTCCAAGGTAAAAACAGATGCCTCTGATGGCCAAAGGTTACTCATCTCAGATTATCTCATTAGAGAGGGATTGTGGGCAAATAGTGAGACACTATTTTCATTACTTTTACCATGCTCCTTTTTCACACAGAATAAATAATGGATGTCGACATTTAAATTGCTTGTAATGATTTTGAGATCATTGGTGTGTTTCCACCTTGTATATATACATATTCATGGTTCTCTTGTAAATTTAATTGTCGAATAGGTTTTAAAACCAATCGTATTTGTGGACTTTATTGGACACTCCTGTGGTAATCCTGTGGTGGAAATAAGCGAAAGACTTATCCTTTTCTATTAAGACCAAGCGAAAAGTGAACTTCATCAATTTTAAAAAAAAATTCACCACTTGAGCCTTGACCCTCTTGTTTCCGCCGAACTCGAAAGGAACCCTTCATCGGCATTGTTCACAACAACTTTTCATCAGATCTGAGATAACCTTTTGCAAAAGAAGATTACTCGCTGGTTGAGGAAATTCATTGAAAGAGGAATACAGAAATCTTTGGATCGCGTTTCCTCTTCTCCTTGTAGCCCATTTTTTACCATATTTGTTTATATCAATATCATCGATTAGTCCATCGCCATCATCATCACGAATACCAAGGGTAATTCCTCTCTCCTCCTTTCATTTGCAACATGGCTTCTAGGCATCGTGATTTTAAAATCAAAGCGTGGCCCATTGTTTCTCACACCTCCAATGATCAGCGTGCAGAGACCGATGTCTTGTGGCCATTCATTCGATACGAACGAAATGGAACAAAATCCAAGTTCAGCATTAGACCTTTTCTCTTCAAGTTTGAAAGAGATTCTGCATCTCATGAATTCTCCATCATGTTTTTATTCTATAGCATCTTTTATAAGGTCGCCTTTGACGCTACGGTCACATTATTGCTTCTTCCTCTGTTGACATTTCATCGCAAAAGCAAAGAATACCAACTCACAGTGATATTTTCAGGGTTATTATACTTTTTACATGAATCATTTGTTAAAAAGGCCAAAACACTTGCATTGTTACCACTCATGTATTTCTCGAAACAGAAACAAATTGGAAGTCCTGATGCTGTCACTTTTCAAACATTTCTGTTCCCTTTCTTTTGGAGGTATAAAAGCAAGGTGACAAATATAATGCTAATACTCCCGTTATACTTTTTCTTTGAAAATGACAAGTTCTATATCAACCAAATGTGGCCATTTATTGGAACTCAAAAAAGAGCTGGAAGATATACAGAATTTTCAATATTATATCCTCTATTCAGAGTTAGAAAAGGACAAAATAATTTTACATTGCATCTTCCGTGGCCTTTTTTGAAATTGCAAATAGCTCCAGAAAAGATATCCTTTAGATTTTTACCAGTGTGTTGGATTAGAGTATTGAGAAACGGTGGATCAAGAGGATTCGTTTTCTTTTTCTATTGGAAGCACGTCTCTGCTAGCAATTGCACAAAATTTGATCCTCCAAAATTCACATTTGGTATTTGGGGTCTTTTACACATCAAAATTGCAAATGGTACTGAAAACAAGGGCCATCATATCTTTTGGATATTTATGCTTCTTTTTTATAGAAAGACGAGTAGTTATAGATATCTATTCTTAACTCCATTGTTTATGCATTATTTGACATACATCGATACTAAGGTGCTCACAAGAAAAGTTTTCTTGATGCCTGTTTTTTACTTTTCAGAACAAGTGGACTCATTATCCCGCAAGGAGAGTTTCATGACAGTCTTGTTATTGTATTGGTACATCTGTTCTATCCATAAGGTATCACACCACATATTCTTGCCACTCTATTGGTACACTCAGGACAGTTCCAACGATCATATTTATATTGACAGAAGAGTGTTCATTTTCCCAATTCTTACTTATGGAGGATGGAAAAAATCTATACAAGAACAAGTTGGAGTTCAACACGAGACAATCTTAAATTGTTGCTACTTGTTGTATTGGCATAGGTGTGCAAGAGACAAACATTTTAGAGTGTGGCTATTTTTGATATTTTACTACTCTGATATTCGTGATGTGAAAACTTTCCTTCTCTCTCTCGTATTCTATGTCAGACGCGAAAAAGACAATAATCGCTTATTTATATTATTCATTTATTCAAGTTTCAAACGAAAATATTGGTACAGTTTGAAAACCTATCCATTATTCATGTGGATTAAATATGAGAAATATACAAGGACGAAAGATGAGCAAGAGGAGCTTACAGATTACTGTCATGTATTTATTTGTGGTCTCATCGGAAGATTTAGAGACATTGTTCATCAGCATACCTTTGTATGGATTATACCTTTGTATTTTTCATCAGTTAATGAAAAGTACCAAGAATCCACGAGATTTGGCTCCCTATTTTTCCTTCCTCCATATTTCTATCATTCTACCGATCAAGGAAAGGTTGAAAGCAGTTTCGTGCTTCCATTTTTCATCTACAAAGTTAATTGGAAATACATGTACATTTTCCCATTCTTCTTTGTGCGAATGGACAGAAAGAAGAAATCCATTCATCTACACTTTATCTTTGATTTGAATATTGATTCTGAGAAGAATGAGTATTACTTCAAGTTCTTGTACATTCCTAAAACAAGATATTGTTTGGTTCAAGCAGATTGCTCTTATATTGGTAGTAAGGGTGCATCTAATTTGAAGAGAACACGATTTTTCATATTCCCCCTCTTTTATTATCAGAATCGTGCCTTAGAAACACCAGACTTGGACAATAAGAATCGAAAACTTGAGGCACCATTAATCACTATATCCTTAATATGGTTATTACACAACATGTGTTTAGGAAAGATCATCATTGATAAGAGAGAATTGGTGAAATCCTTCTACCTGATGCCATTGTTTTATGTTAGAATTGATCGAAACAATCAAGTGGTATCTGCACAGAGAAATGGGCAATTCTTTTCAGTGTCGCTTTTATATTTGGTGAATGAAAAATTTGCCTTTTTCCGGTATAGCCGTCTCATCACTCCAAACAACCATAGCTCTTCCATCTTTTTATTCCTTTTATTCTTTTCGACTGTGAGAAATTGGTGGGCTGGTTCAAATGATTCCATGACACTTCAAAACGAACATACATTTGCATTATTGTGGATTTATAAGCCAGAATATTCATTGATTTATTGGAGTCGACAATTTTCCACTACAGCTTTCTATTATTTCTGTTTGTATGCATTCCCTCTATTTTGGTATGAGGTGAATCAACAATTTTCTTCTATTGAAGAGACCACCGAAAAGAATGTATCAATTTTATGGTTCATTTACAAGAGATTTGCACTATTTAACCAATCGATTTCCTTTAGGACAGAGGCAAATTCAAGTTCTAATATTCTGTCGAGCACTTCCACAACATTTTTGTTCCCAATTTATTATCATTCACTTACTGATTCATACAAAGTGTGGAAATTTTTGTGGTTACCATCACATGACAGCACCGGATTCTCTATTGTCAATTGGTTTGTCAAGTATGATTCTTCTACAACATTTGTTCCAGTGCAAATTAGAAAGGTTGTATCAGAAAGATACCACTTCCTCCCAATATTCTACAGAGAGCTTGAATACGACCTGTCTGCAACTTCAAATACAACTACCTTAAATACTTCGACAGTCACGATGGGTACCAATGACCACGTGGATGCTTCAATGGTTTCTACTCCTGTGAAAAAAGCAACTCGCAAGGTCAATTATTTATTTTGGATATTCGATCGAAGGTTTTCTTGGATTAGAGTTTGGAGTAACAAGACATCCAACACTGACCAACATGGATTTTATATTTTCTTGCTCATCCTCATGTCATCTTCAGCCCACCAAAATACCTTGAAGAAAGTATTTTGTTTGTTTTGGGTATTCACAAAATGGCTCTCTTTCTTCCATCATTGCGTAGAATGCTCTGGATCATCATCAATTCTCTCACACACACCTTCCGACTATTCTTTAATCTCAACAAGACAGTTCACACTTGGACTTCACTTTTATAGAAAGGACCTAACAAATGATCACCTAAAATTGAAAGAATTTTACTTGCTATGGTTCTTGCACAAGTACGTCTCTATTGTGGCGTTTTGGAATTACATTTCTCAAAATACCAGTGAGACTGGAACCTATTTGTTTCCTCTTTATATTTGGAAAAAGGAATGTTCAGCCTCAAAAAGAGTCAATTCTTGGTCATTGTGTTGGTTCTTCCACAAATACGCAGCAATATTCCACAGAAGTACAATTTCAACAGATCGGAAACCTGGAAGCACATCTGTCAGCACAACAATGGACGATTTCGATCATCATGAATTCACTACCTTTTTGGTTCCATTATTCTTCTTTACAAACAAGAATAATGAGAGTAGAAATCTTGCTGTCTTTTGGTTCTTTGTTCAACGAATTAGATTTATTGGTATTTTGAAATCTCCAAAGAGCTTTGACTTTTTCATTTATCCATGGGTCTCATATGAAACCACGACGAATGACACTAGCAATTATTTATCAATTTCATTGATTTATGTCATTCAGAAATATGTCTCTCTATTTTGTTATACCCGTTCCAAGAACACGAATACCAACAATTACAAATCTACACTTTATCTAGTACCATACTTTTTCAGAACTTTCACAAAAGACACTACCGAAAGAAAGCACAACATTTACCTATTTTGGTTCTTATACAAACGTATTGCACTAGCTCACTATTGGAATGAAAAACAACTCAGTTCTGGATCAAAGGCTGAATCAGGTTTCTATTCTTTCCCACTCGTTAGATATACCAATGAGAAGGATGGTGTCTCTGAAAGCAAATTTAATCTCTCCTTCTTCTACTTATTCTACAGATTGTTAGCTCTTATTCACTACTCGAGTCATATTTCACTTTCAACACGAAAAGAAACCATGTTCTTTATCTTCCCTCTCTATATTCATTTGAATTTTGATGATGAAAATAACAATGTCACTCACACCAAATGGAGCGTATTTTGGATCTTTTATTACAAGCTTGCTTTAATGAGATATTGGAATGTAATTATATTTGCAAACAAACCCACTCGTAACGACAGTGGAGGAACAAGTGGTGAGGATTTCAAAAAAGTGAGATTGTGGAAAGAACCAATTCAAACTCAAGATTGTTCCTTCTTTATTTTCTGTCTCTATTATTTCACAAAACAGATTCAAGAAAAGATGAAATCAGAGATGGGTCATTATATATTTTGGCTCTTTTATCATAAATTGAGCATGATCAAGTTATCGTGGAAAACAGAGAAAAAATCACTCTTGGAAACAAATGATCATGACAATTACAACCATTCATTCTATATATTCCCACTTGTGCTTTGGAGGTCCTCTAAGGAGAATTCCACCACAGAACGATATTTTGCATTGATTTGGCTATTCCACCGATTGATTTCAGTATTTTATTTCTGTAAATCGAATTTTGGTTCCACTTCATCGATTCTAGCGACCACGAGTGCTGAACATCCAATTGGAAATAATGCTAGAAATGACACCAAGATGACAACCTTCTTGCTGCTTATTTTCTTCTATTCAAGCGATTCAAGAGTGAGTGAAAAGAAATGGTCTCTATTGTGGTTCTTTGCTAGACAATTGAGTTTTGTCAGGTTTTCTAGATCACTGAAAGATGGATACAAGTTATTGAAGTTCTTGATCTTCCCATTCTTCAAGTATGAAAGATGGAGTGCTCATCATTCTCGTTGGTGCCTCATTCCTTTCGTTCCGATCAAATTCTCCTGGGTTGCCAACTTTGTGGTCTATGAAAAACGTGTCAAGAAAGTGGGTGCAATTCTTGATGATGGAAAGGAAGATAAGCGATCAAGAGATCAAAATAAGGTTGTTCGAGTGTTGTATAAGGTGGTGGTTTGGCAATTTGTTGATCAAGTCAAGACACTAGAAATCAATCCATTCTTTGCGAGCGAACATGACTACGCTGATGGATATAAGAGTTGGGACATTTTAGGAGGATGTATTGGTCGAGTGAATAATTCACCTGAGCACGGTGACGCCTGTAGATTAGGTTGTTGCTGTTTTGTTTAGTAGTTTTTAGGGATGGTTTGATTAAATTTTATTAATTTCTCCAAAGATGAGAACTCTCTTTCCCAACCGATCAGAAAGTGTTTGTTGCACATATTGCTGGTATTCTTTGGTTTGTCGTTTCAACTTTTCCAACGTTGGTTGCTGCTTCTTAATCGAGGTATTAAGAGTGATACGTTGAGAATCTACGGATTCTAAATTGGATCTCACTTTGCTCATAATTTCAACTTTTTGTGTCAGTGATTGTACTAAACGTTCCACAAACTTCTTTGAAGTCTTGATGAGAACAAGTTGTTTGAAGTGTGGATTGTTAAGTGTAGAAATAATGTTAGAAACCACTTTTTTAAATTGAGATAGCTCATCCTTTGTGAGTGACTTGATCGATTGAGGAGCATTTCTGAAAATGTCTGCTTCCAATGTTGAATTTCGAGAAGTTTCAATAAGTCTTTGCTGGATAAAGGCATAGAGTTGGAAAATATTACTTGAAAATCGTGCTCGTACATCCTCTGAATCGAGGAATGACTTCATCTTCATCTCTGCTACTGCTCGATTGTTCTTTTCATTAACACTGGTATCTACCTGTGAATTATCTGTCATCGTGTCATTCATCGAAAATCCTTGGTCTGTACTAAAGTCTCCAAAATCAATTTCTAACTCTTTCTCTTGCACCACATCATCGAATTTGATTTCAACTTCCTTGTTTTCCTCAATGTTGGTATCCCACTTAATTTCCAAATTGTTATTATCTGTTGAAAAATCACCAAAATCAATTTCTGGTTCTTTTTCAGCACTACTCTGTTGCTTAGATTCTTCTTCTTTTAACAGCTTATTAATTAAGTTTTGTACTTTGTCTTCATCAAACTGAGGCAATTCTTCTTTGTTAAAAGACTTCCAATCATAAAGTGACAAACTTGGAATGGTTCCATTGTACTGAGCATCAATGTTGGAAAATATAAAATTCAAAAGAGGCTCAGAGCACTTTTGCTTGTTAATAAATAATGTAAATTGCTCATAATAGTCGACTGCTTTCTTAAATACAGGATCTCGGCATGAGTCAATAATTTTTTCGTAAAGTGATGGTAATTCAAGCACTGCTTTCTTGATTTCTTCTTCAATGTCGACACCGACGCTACTTCCCAAAGAAGCAAATTCAATAATTCTGTCAACCTTTTCCTTATTAATTGAAAGTTTTTCGCAAGCCTCTGCAAATTCTCTTTTTGTTAACTCGAGTGATCTCTTCCAGTCTTCTTCTTTCTTATCAAGACTTTCTAATTGGTTTCGTAATGTCAAGAGAGAGCTAGCCACTGCTGGTATTTCATACTTTACATTTTGGGTCATGTATCCAGACAGTTCAGCCAAGTGAATGGATCTACTTTCATATGATTGTAATACGTGCTTCCACAATTTGAGTCGTTTGGAGCCTCCAACCAAGCCAAACAAAAACCCACTTCCTTCGGAGGCGTCTGCTTTTTCCAAAACCTGCACAATTTGTTTGGTCAAAAAGTAATCAATACGAGACACTTCATCTTGTTCCTGGGACTCTCTTGCTTCTTGTCTAATTCTTGCAATTAATTCTGTTACTGGCTGTTCCTTCTCCTTTTGAGTGTCTTTCAACTCTTCATGTCTTGATATCATTTCATTCCAAGCGTGTTTGATATATGCTCTAATTTGCTTCAAAGGTTTTACATAATCGGAAGGAAGAAAGCTTCTATCCACTAACCAATCTTTCAACTTTTCATAATTAATATCAATTGTTTCAATCGGAGTGTATTGTTGTTTTTGCTGAGTTGGTTGTTGTGTTTGATTGATTGTAAATTCTTCTTCTTGTTGCTGATCATTTCGAATCCCAGCTGCAGGTGTTGGAGTTATTGGTTGCTTTTGATCCGATGCTGAAGCCTCTTCTTCAAAACTGAACATTTTTTAGTTTCCTTTAATATATCGAGTGATGATGAATCCTCTCGTCCATTAACATGTTCGAGAATGAAAAGAGGAGATAATTCAAAAGTTCTTCTTGACCATGATCAAAGAGCACCCCAATGTTGAAGTTGTATAGTGTTCTGAAGAGCACTTTCATATCACACGAAGAAAAATGCTCACATCGGATCAAGGACACACCTCTTCGGAGAACAACAACAACAGCCATGATGGAGAGGATCATCATGGACCAATAAGATCAACAGATATTTCTTCGTCAGTAGTACCCTCATTATCATCAATGATGGGTGGTGGAAGTACTGATCTTCAATCATCATCAAGATCAAACAATGGGCGAGGAAATCCACAATCCTCATCATTATCGGATGGAGGAGGTCATGTTAATTCATCATCAAATACTGATGAGGAAGGACATCACAGCTACGTGAAACGATCCTCTTCAAAATATGACTTTGTCAAAGTCCGAGTCGGATTAGAAAATCACTACTACATTCTTTCTCGGTTCATTGTGAGCAGAATTTTGACCGTTATTCAAGTCAAGTACAAAGACTCAATTAAAATTGCGTTGGAATTGAAAAAGACACTTGTGGATTTGAATTTATTGAACATTCCTCAAGAAGAATTAGAGAAACAATTGTTTGATATTATGAGAAAATATGGTTACGGAGATCAAACAATTACACGATACAAGCTCATGTCTCTGTTCCATCACAAACGTATACCTTTACTGATTTTAGTATTTGGAACAGGCTGTGTTGGTAAAAGTACACTTGCCACTCAGTTAGGAGAGAGATTGAATACTCCCAATGTTGTACAAACCGATGTGGTTTTAGATCTCATCAATTCGTTTAATTTACATAGCAGCAAGAATGCCAAATCTTATGAAAAACAAATTCCAGTTTGGTTTTCGAAATTTCCAGACAAGAAATCCTTTTTAACACAATACAAGGAGCAATGTGTATTTATGAAAAAAGCACTACAAGGGGATATTGAAAAGTGTTTTGGCGACGGAAAATCATTGATCATTGAGGGAAGTCACATCGATCCAGAAATTTATAAGGACATGTTTGAAACTTACATTTCAAACGATAATCAAACAGAAAAGAAGGAAGGTATTATAATCCCGTTCTTCATATCTGTCTCTAACAAGGAAGAACATGAGCTATTTTTCGAGCAATGGCTTTCAAAACGAGAGCATGATATTAATGACAGTCGTACTCATACATTAGGAGCCAATTTTGAAGAAAAGCTTCAGACTCTCTCTGAAAACTTTCAGTACATGCAAGAATATTATGAAGAAAGTACTAGAAATATGCCTTACATCCATAAGGTGGTCATCAATCATAGAAGACTTGACGAAACACTGGATGCTCTGCACAATTATGTGTTAGATAGAATCTTCTCTGTTGTTGAAAAGATCAAAGAATAAATCTGTTCATGAACACAAGGAATGAAAACAAACTTTTGAACAATTTTATAAGGGCGATCATATTTCATAAAACCATTAAGAGTCAATTTCACATGAAAATCGATGCCAGTAAAATACCATTCAAATTAAATAGATTTAAATAGATACTCTTTTTACCATGTCTTAGGGATGGGAAAATCGAAAAAGTGACGCATCTTCTCTTTTTTAATCCTGATAATTGCCACTCATTATCACTTGCAAGAATTTTCATTCGAAGGCTGTCAAGATAGAAGCCATGATCCTCACAAAATTCCTTGGTTGTTGGTTATGGTTTGTGAGTCACATAAATTGCTTCTTCATTAAGTTAGGATCTTTCATGCCAGTTATATTACGAGATCAGTTTACAGCCCAAGATTTACAATGCCTCTCATTGGAGACACAAATTGTTTTGTTGAAACTTGCATGTTTCCAAGTGAAGGTATGCTATTCCCATTTACCAATCTATAGGATTGATAATGTGTTCTTCTCAAATTAATTTTCCAATACATAATAAGAGAATAGATTAATGACAAAATAATTCCAATTCCAAGCCATTTTAAAATTCCTTTCACTGTCTTGGGAACATAAACTGTAATAGTTTTGAATTTCAATAAATTTTTATCCAAATCTTTCCTAAACATGCTTGACGTTTCGTTTGATCCAACAGAAAATTCTAATTCATCCAAATGTTTCAAACACACTTGTTCAAAAAGGAAAGCAAAATAGGATTCGTTTGGTCCATCCAATTTCATCTGATTGATGATATTATTGTACTCCAAATATTTGAAGAGACTCCTAAACATCACTTACATCTTCTTCTTTCATGTTAGCAATCAAATTCAATAATTGATTCAGTGGTTCTGTTCTAAATTTCCGATCTAGCCATTGTTTTCTATGTTTAAGGAGTGCAAACATGGATCGTATCATATTTCGTCCTCCATCATCACTAATGTGATGATACAAGATTCCGAATTATCGATGGTTTGAAAAAAGATCAAATCTTAGCTTCCGAAATTAATATGTTCTCAAACCATTTCAAACCAACCTTTCATTTCCACTCGTCATTTCAATCACATGTTTTGCTGTTTTTCCGAGAGGTTTTTGAACATTTCTTCTACTACTGCTCCGATTGGAGAGGGTCAGAGATGATCTTCGAGAAGACATTTTTTTCAATTAGAAAAAATTATTATTATTATTATTCATTAGATGAATCTTGACACAAATTGAAAAGTCATTATCCACAAGACTCTATTCGTTCATAGAGAATCAAAAAAACTTGTACTTACCTATTCTTAATCACTACTCAAAAATACAGTTCTAAATAAACAGAGAGTCGCTCGAACTCTTGAAATCCATAGATGGCAACCATTTTTCAAAATCGCTAAAAACAGAACTGTCTCTTGGCATCCTGTCACACCAAAACTTTCAAAAAAAATTATCCAATCACCACCACCACAGAGAGTCTCGTCTACTTCTCATCACTTACTCATCATATTACAATGTCTTCTTCTTCATTCATTCCTGATTTCATCATTGACTTTGGAAGTTTTACTACAAAATATGGACTTCCAAGTGATGAAATTCCTTTCGAATTTCACACCATTGTTGGACAATATGAAATGCAAGGATTCTCGGGAATGTCCAAAATCTCTTGCGGAACAAAAGTACTGCAAGAAAAGTCAATTGGAAACTTTCGATTAAAAACATTGAGTCCAATGGTGTCTCGTGGAGTTTTTAATGGAGAATCCACACTCAATATGGAAACGTTGTGTCATCAAGCATTTCGTTCATTGTACACGTTGCAAGATGCCAAATATTCTGAACAGAGTTTGAGAGAGAAAAAGTTGAATGTGACATTGGCTGCTGTTCAGTCGCAACATCATGTGAGAAATCTCACACAATTAATATTTGAAAAGTTTGGAATTTCTAGTTTGCAATTTTTCACTCCAACTGAAAATATTGAAAGAGTGTTGATTGATAATTCAAAGACAGCAAGCCATACTTGTGGTGAGCATTATATTCTTGAAATGGGACATGGAATTACTCAATTGGCAAAATTGAAATCAAATTCTCCAGTTTGTCACATTCCACTCGGAGGAATGGACATTACCAAATACATCAAAGAACATTTAACAAATGGAGCAGAAGAAAGTATTTTGAAACTCACAGAATTGAAAGAACAAAATTGTCATTGCTCTCCTGTACCATCCTCAAACCTTCATTCTCCAGAAAATGTCTTTTCACAAGCTCCAGAAGTTCTCTTTTCCTCCAATCCACAACAACAAGACACACTCGTTTCGACCATTCACAAGTACATTTCCTCTCACCAAGAAGAATTCACTCATGAAGATCCCAATGTTCACATGACTACCATTCATTTAAGTGGAGGATCTTCCTTATTGAAAGGTCTTAAAGAACGATTAGAGTTTGAATTAAATCAGAATTTTGATAAAGCCTCTTTCAAAGGTTGGATTAAAGTGAAACACAACAAGATGGGAAAAGATTCTAGTTTCTTTGGAGCTTGTAAGAGAGTGAAGGAGAATGATCCATCTTCTAGAGATCAAGCTTGTTCACTTTCTGAATATAAGGAAAAGGGAATGGAGAGAGTGATGGCAGAAAATTACAAACATCTCTTTGCCAAGTGAAAGGACTCTCTCTTGTGGATACTTTTCTTATTGTAAATAAAAGACTTCCAGGAATATTCCATTTGAATCGACGAGTTCTTTCTCTTAGGATGACCACAAATTTGAGATACATTTGGATTTAAAACTTAAGGTTTGTGAACTTTGGTGGTCTTGAAAAAGGTCCATTGATGCCTTTCATGCCCATTCATTTTGATTACAATAAAAATTCTCTTCCAATTTTAAACAATTATTATAATTTTGTGCTGTCAAAAATCAAGAAAAAATGAGTGAAAGTGCCAAAAGTCAGAAGGCTTATGCCACGCTTGCTGTTGTCACACAGTTGGTAATGGCACTACTTTCATTGACAGCTGGTATATTTGCCATCGTTATTTATGCTCTTCCTCAACATCATGAAAAGAATCTCGAAATTCAATGTCCAATTGATCGGTATGTGAAATATTATTTCCAACAATAATTGATCTCGGAATTTGTTTCACACATTCTCACCACCACCACGTGATGTGTGGACAACATCAACATCCAAAATTTCACAACAACTCTTCTCTCCTCACATGTGATCTATTTTCACACATCAAATTGATAATGTACATTCACATTTCAGTATTCAAATTTTCACTCTAGTATTTGGTGTCTCGGAATTGTGTTGTTTTGCATTGGCTGTTCTTTCTCCTTTAATTTACTTGATTGAAGTTCGTTTAAGAGAGGGCTTCCATCCTGGACTCGTTTCTCAATGTTTGATTGTTTTGAGAGTTTTACTTGGATTTGTTTCTGCTGGATTTTTAATTAAGAACGCTCACTCGTTTTATACAAGTTTGTGTGTAAGTTATCATGTGTGAAATTATATTCATGAAATGTGTTCAAATGAATATGTACTTACTGGTTTTCAATTTTCCAATTATGGAAATTTCAATTTCTGTTTATTGAACTTTTATTATTGATTCTGTTATTGGATTGAAATTTCTTTTTCATTATTATTGAAATGATACATCATTCTACCACTCATTATTCAAAAGAATATCGAGTTAGCCACCAGAACTGAATACAGTGCCATGCTAATTACTGGATTGTGCATTGTTAGTATCTTTCTCTTGATTGTGGTTGCCATCTTTGTCTTGTTCCTCATTTATGGATGTTTCACCATGCAATCTCAGGAAGAATCTGCAAGTCGTATACTCCCAAATTCATCCAAATATGATCCAGTACAAGATGAGGACTTTATCGAACAAGAGGAGCATGATCATCATGATGCTGCTGTTGATGTTTCAACCGAAGACTCTAAACGTGAGAGTAATATTCGAATCAACCGAAATACTGATGGTCAATAGTTGATGATGAATATTATGCTTGTACAACATTGGTGTGTGTTTTTTGTATATATTAAATAAACAAATGAGTAACCACTTCTGGCGAAGGAGCATGTCAATAGTTGCTTAATATTTCAAGCAAAGAGATGATTCATAATTTCAAGAGAAAAGATTTGCTGGACCTACCTCTATGGATGTCATTACGGAAAGTAGGAGACCATTATTTCATTAATTAAGGCATGTGGAGCAATGAAACTATTTCAAGAACATGAAGGCAATGTGAGAGCTTACTTGGAGAGTGGCACTTCTTATGATGTTAAGAATGGAGCTAAAGAGTTTTGTTCTTTTCAAAAACGTCTCAAAAAAATATTTCGAAAAAAATGCTGAAAAGTTTCTTGGCTACCAACTCGCTTCTGATGAAGAGAATTTCATCATCACCAGCAGTATCTACAACAACAATAGCATCATCATTCACCAATACTCATCATATTTCACCCTATCTTTCAATGTGTTCCTCTCTTACACAACAACAAGTCAGAGAAAGAAAAAAGCAAACAGTCAGAAGAAAGCTGCCATCCGACAAGGAAGTCTTTGATAAATTTCTTGAAGGTCCAAAAGAAAAGTACTTGAATCCTCCAAGAAAAGTCAAAGATACATCAAGGAACGCTCTCCGCCCAGCTACTTTTGAAATCCTCATCATTAAAGATAACAAACTTACATTTGCCGGAGAGGTAGTGAGAATGAAATCAAGCAAAGCATGGAGATATTTGGCCTCGAACCCACCAAAGGCTGTAATGAACACACCTGAAAATAGAGAAAAGTACAAACATTTACTAGCTAATCCAGAGGAGCTCGCTCAAAAACGAGAGGTCTTTAACAGAAGATATATTTTACAACGTTGTGTCATCAAAATGTGGAGAAAGACCGAAGGAGGAAATATGAAATATTATTGGCCAATTACAAAACGTGATATTGTCAATTATATTTGGTGTGTTCATCATTTGGCTCTAAGAGAAGAGGACATTACTTTCCCTGGAGAACAACGAAACAATCCAAGCTCCTATCATCCAATTCAGGTGCCTGGATATTATTGTTTACATGCTGATTTGCACGATGGACAAGATCCGGTACTTTTGAGATTGTACTTACCACTTAATGATAAGGCCAAGACACATCGTGGAAATTCACTAATTGGCTACAAGTAATTTTGAACGGGATGCTACATTTAATTGTTCTACGTAACTTTTACAATTATTAAAACATCAACTTTCATGGTGACAAAATTCCCAGGTTTGTACGTGAGTCACATGTTCAAAGTATAAGGAAAGTATCATCAGCTTGTGTTCAGGAAAACAAAGATTCATTGACCTTTACATAAAAAATGTCCAGCTCGTCGAACGGCCGAGATTCATCCCAAGAGCCGTCTGCAAGTCAACAAGCTTCGACATCATCAACAACAAGTACACCCATCCAGATCATCAACTCACCACCGATGGACGAAGGAGATGATGATGACTATGCCTTTTCTGTTGTGAGCCGTCACGGAAGTATCAGTGAGAACAACAAACTTGATTCTCCAACTAATTTTCAAAACACCTCCCAAGATCAAGCCTTTCTAACAACAACAAGAAATCCTGAAACAATACGAGAGGATGATGAAGAGGCCGCAGCCTTCTCACAAATTATTTATAACGAAGAAGATAGCACTGCCACGAGTGAGGATCCATACGCAGTGAACGGAGCTATAAAACCCGAATTGAATGATGAGGAAAAGGACTTACAAACAGGTGTCTCTCGTTCCGAAGGATTATCCGAGTCATCATCAACAACGGATGCTGTTGAGGATGAGAACAATGATGAAGGAAGTAACTATAAAACCTCATCACCAAAAACTCCGTTTTCAAAGAATGAATTGATTAGCATGGAGAGCAGTAATAGCTCATCACCAGCTAGTGTGGATTTCCCCATTTCATCAATTATAATCAACAATTCAAAATATTCAGACAGCAATGCAAACATTACAATCATTCGGGAGGAAAAACCAAAATATATGAAACATTCAGACGAAGATCAAACACAAGAAAGATGGAAACAGCACCAAAAACACATTTTCATATTGAGCGAGGCAGGTAAACCAATATTTTCTAGGTATGGAGATGAAAATCAATTGAATACCATCATGAGTTTTTTCTTGGGAATAGTTTCAATTGTTTCAAAGGAAGGAGGAACTGTGAGAACTGTGAATTGTGGGAAATTGAGATTTATTTATGTTTTGAAAGGGTCATTATACTTAGTTTCAGCCTGTCGAACCTCAGAGTCCAATAAGGAGATTGCTAAACAGCTCGAAACAATTTACGAACAACTCGTATTCATTCTCACATCGAAAAACATTCAAGACATTTTACAAAAACGCTCCAATTTCGACCTTAGAAATTTATTGGGCGGTACAGACAAAATTATTTACTCTCTCATTAATCGAATGAGTAATTCTTTTGATTTTTCTTTTGATACTACTCATGTATTGAGGCTACCGAAATCACTACGAGGTCAGATTGGTGATATTATGATGAAGAATAGAGTACAGACCAAACTCATGTTTTCTCTCATGATTTGTGATAATATGCTTATTCACATGATTAGAAATAAGAAGTATAACATGCAAACCAAAGATTTATTATTGCTAATGAATTTTGTAGGATCAGCACACTCGTCCATGAAAAGTAGTGAAACATGGACGCCAATTTGTTTACCAGGTCTTTCAGAAACACAATATGTGTACGGATATATTTATTATTTTACGGAGAATTGGTGCTATGTCATGATATGCACAAGCACAGAGTCATTCTTCGATTGTCAAGAGTCTCAAACGCACACTGTACAAGATTTATTACAAACAGAATGTTTTCCCACAGTAGTTAATGCATCCAAGTCACCCTATCCGACACTTCCAGAAATATTTAATCAAAAATCTCCTCTTTTGCAATCACCACCTGTAACCATCGATGATCCGTCACTTCCTCAATCCTATGTCCGTCACTTCTCTTGCAGAATTAAGAGTACTGGACAATCATTTAGCCAAACCATTTCTTCCAAATTCGCTCCTCCTTATCACACCAAGAAAGAACGCAAAAGACTTTTGAGATTGTACAAATTGACAAGAGAAAAGCTCGAAGAAATACCACAAAAAAGCATTGGCTCTCAAGTAAGGACATATGTCGGAACCACACCATATGAATCTATAATGGGCTTATGGTCTGGAAATCTTGAAATTTATGCTTCGTTTTCTCTTCTAACCTCCAAAACTGACATGCTCAATGCCTGTGAAGTCATCAAAGCATGGGTCAAGAAAGAAGAGAACTCACTATTTATCCCCAACATTCAGACATTCTAATTCTCTGTGTGTGACACTAAACATCTCAACCTATTGCAATTTTTAAATCTCATTATTTGTGTTCACTTTGTTTTGCCCGGTTCAACTGACTGTCAAGAGTGTTGACTTGGCTTCTCGCACGTGCATGCAAATACCCATTCCCATTCGACTTCCATATTAAATTTAACCCAAAAAAATGTTGAAAACGACATCAACAGCAAACAATGATCGTTGTTTGACAAACTCACATCAGACGAGAACAACCCGACGGAAACACAAATTCCAAATACCCAGTAGTGGATGGATGATCATCATCGCCATGTTGGCTACTACTATTCTATTCCCTTCAAGCTATTCGGAGGCTAGTTCATCATCGGCAGCGTCCATGCTCAAGAGGAATAACAATTTTGTGAGAGTGATTGAAAAGTACAAGTATTTGCAAAAGTCATTGCAATTATCGGGAATGAAAAAGAAGGATGAGATGGAATTTTCAAGTGATTCTAATCAACGGAAAACATCCATCTATGAAGATATTTCAAATGTCTTTGATACAATCTATCAAAATATTTCATCTTATGAATACGGAATAGTAGTGGTTATTAATAAGCAGGGAAATGTTTTATTCTCAAAATCATATGGAACAAAAGAACCTTATGGCTCATCATCTAAAAACAGCAGCTATTTGGATGATATATTTGCAATTTCGGAAGTTTCTTCGTCGTTTACTGCCACCGCAATGCTACATTTAAGAGAGAGAGGAATTTTAGGTGATAACTTTGACAAGTTAGACGCAAATCTCTATCTGCCAGATAGTTTGAAGTTCAAGCCGGAAATTATTGGTAATTATGGCTCAGTGCTGGGTCACCCTGTAATATCATCAAATGACACTGTCACAATCGGATCGTTATTGACTCACACAACTGGTCTTGACAGTAGGTTGGTTGGATCATGCTCAAGATCAAAAGTTCACGAAGCAGAAGAGAGATCATCTGAGTTTTTGCTGAATTATTTGCAAAGTATGCGTGTTCCTCGAATAAGAAAATATGACTTTGTTTCTTCATTCTCTCATATTGGATATTCAATACTGGGTCTCATTTTGGAAAAAGCAACCGGAGAGAAATTTCATGAATATGTGACAAAGCATATTTTGCGTCCAATGAACACGAGTCACACATACATGAGATATTCGACGAAACATGTTGGCGAAAAACAAAGCTTTGTATTGCCTATTGTACCATCTACTAATTTAGAATCTCTACAAGGTTCTCCTCAAACGGTATATGACGTAATTCCTAATTACTGCTGGTATGCTCCTGGAATATTTAACTCTGTAGGAATGTATTCTACTCCCAGAGACATTGCAAAATGGGTTCTTACACATTTGAACTATGGAGAAATATTCCCATCTGAGCTAGACCCTACAGTTCAAAAACAGCGACTTTTCTCTGAAGAAACTGCTAAAATCATGTACTCTGAACATTTTAGATCACATCCTAATTGTTCGATTACAACAGCATATGGTTGGAATATCGAAAAGAAGCCTGATGTGAAATACTTGACAAGTAGCGGTGTTTTTATGGAGCCATTTTATACCAGAATTGGAGTATTTCATGAACATGACTTGGGTATTGCAATTTTAGCAAGAGGCATTGATACCAAGTGGGAACTTGGATTTGACATGTTTGTCGATAAGATTGTTGACACGATTCCATGCAAGGACCGAAAATCTCCGCTTGACAAGATTTACGTCGATAATGACTTGGGAATGTGTGTATTTGCATTGGAAATTAAGTCACTTCCTAAATTTTCTGATGATTTTAATTATATTGCCAAGTACAGGTAAGTTAGTGCAATGCAATTCATTCACATCAGCTGCCTCACACTCCCAGTGGTTGCTATGTAATGCACGAGTACGAACACACGACTTGGTTAAAATTTAAGAAGGAATTCTTAAAGAAAATTTGTGTCTCTGTTGAAGATAATCACTTGTACATTTCAACAGGAAATAGTGATATTGAATTTATTGCGTTGGAAATGCCAGGAAGAACCTTGCAAAATGATCCTCTCTTTATTACAGGAATCAAGGATGGAGATTATGTAATTATTGCAGATGGTTTCTCAGATATTTCTTTTGAATTTATTGAAGGTCAAGATGAAGCAGCATACATGACTCTGAGTAGTGTGCCATTTGAACGTGCAACACCTGTCAATTTTTATTCATTACTTCTCATGTTAGGGTTCTCCTTCCTTATTTGTTTTTCATTTTCGTTTTTACACTTATCTTTTTGCATTTACACATTTAGAGAACATACTGCCATGCAAAAGAAGAGGAAAGCTTCAATTTTAATTAATAGAGTTGCCTCTTTGCAGAGACCATTGGCACCACTTTCAAGCACTAATTCACAACAATCCGTGCAGGATGCAGACGTTATTGGAATTGATGAAGAGGGAAGAAAACTTTTATATTCTTATGAAGATGATGAAGAAGCCATGTCAAATAATTCTCTTACAGGAACATCTCAATCGACTCGAATTTATAGATTTATTCAAGTCAAGACCGTCATTGACGGCATTGCCATCTTTTTAATGACTTGCACCTCTCTCAATAATGTCATTGCACTCATTGGAATTGTCATGAATTATTCATTATTCAATCAGACAAAACTATTTAGCCAGAATGAATATGGAATCAAATTCTTCCTCTTCGAGTGCCAATTAGGTGTCTTGTTTGATGCTGCTTCCATATTGGCACTCATTGCAATGTTCATTGTTCAGTTAATTCATCCAAAAGGAAAGAGTCGACGAGTGTGGTTATGGGTGGTTATGTACATTATTTCAACCTTTATTCACTTGATATGGCTGGCATTTTGTCTCTATTTTAACTGGTTTGGCACAGAGTATACAACTGTGTGATTCATTTTCCAATCATAATTGGGATATGAATTCCAGTTTAGAGAAAAAATTAGGTGATGGATCGAGTGAAAAGGTTTTAATTGGAAGACTTAAAAAAAATGTTAAGAAGAGCAACTTTGTGGTTATCCAAGCCACCACAACCCATTGTGTATTATCAGAAACGTTTGTTTTCCACACACCTCAGCCATGTCTTTAGTGCAACAGGTCCACAGCCATGTCTTTAGTGCAACAGGTCCACAAAACAACGAAGGTCATTTTCAACCTGATGTGATTTCAAAGAATTTGCCCACTCAAGTCAACACAAGTATCAACCCATGTTCTTCCACCCAACATGTATCCTCAGTTGAAGAAATCTCCTTTGAAAAGATAACAACATCTAATGTTCATGAGGAATCCACCAAAGAACCAACGCGCACTGAAAATGCTCCAATGTACTCTGTAGAAAAGAAAGATGCAGTGGCTACATCTCCATGCTCAAAAACAACTACAGATCACGATAGGAGCAGCAATGAAAATTCCAATACCACTCATAATGATACGTCCATGAGTTCCACTTCGAAGATCACACTCCATGAGAAAAAGGATGAAGAAAAGACGCCTCAAAATAACATGATTGACCAACCGTTTGACCAACATCAAGCAACGACCAAACCAGCAGTGGAACATGTCAGTAATAGCGAAATGATGAAGAACCCTCACTCCGCTCAACACCATGACTCTACTCGATATTACGAAGAAAAGAAACAAGAATCCATGAATTCGAATCAAGTTAACACCAATCCAGAAGCTCATCAAGAAAATCATTCATTCAAAGAGGGCCCGCGGAAACGTATTTGGACATGGCTTATTGCCATCTTAATTTGTGTTCTTCCAATGATATCTATTGATCACTACAAACTTTACGACACTCACTACATTGATATTATTATTACATTTGAATACGTTCTAATGAGCCTTGTTCTAACGATGGTTTTTCTTTCATTCAAAACATCTAAAGAAATATATAAAGCTATTGCCGCTGCCACTGGGGGCGCCATTGGAATTTCCTTCTTCAACCATACACAGTTTAGAATTGACATCTCAAGACAACATATTCATTCTATCCTTAAGAATGAAATCGATCAAGTCCAGAAACTTAAACATGACTTTTTTTTGATATACTTGGATAGAATCAATGGAGAAAGATCTGACTTTGAGGATCTGTTGTCAAAACTTGCTGGTTTTATTAACGCTTTCTTCTATTGGCTTTGTTTATTTGATGAGCACGAATCAATCACTGATTCCATTACGTATGAAAATATTGTATGGAAACTCCTAAAAACAAACAATAGAGAGCAGAGCATACTGGAGATTTTATTAGAATGTACAAATGAAGATGAAAGTAAGAGCCTTGTTGAAAGCATAGTTGAAATTTATTTTCATCGCGATGAAAGAGTATTAAGAGCTTTAACTAACAATGTTGGAATTGAAGCACAAAACGAAGTCGACAAGAAGGATCAAATATTTAAAGATGCGATTTTTTTTTCGAACGAACAAGCAAACCTTACAATTGCATTTTGGAGAGATTCTTCATCCTCGCCACAAGAACAACATCAGGCTGGTGGTGCCTCATATGAGAATAATCCACAACAAAGTGCACTCTCTCAAGAACAACCATCATCTCAACAACATGCTGCTCGTCATAAAAAGTGGGCACTATATAAGGAATATAATGGAAAATTTAAAGAAATTGTCCCAAAAGATAACAAGTGCAAATGGAAGGTTTCGTTTTGGCTCCCTCCTCTATTCCAGTTAAAGAAGGAACAGCTGTACTACATTGAAGGCATTTTAAATGAAGAAATGGTAAAAAAGATTCTAAACGACCCGCAAGTATTCAAGAGGTTCGTACAAAAAGATCAAATTACGAAGTGAAGGTCATGTTTCGTAAACATTAAAAGAGTTTGGTTGAGAAACGAAAAATTGCGTTTTGATTTGCTTAGTGACTTCCCAACCACTTTGTTTTCTTAAGCTTTTCAGAACCTTATTCGCTCAGATCGGAATGTTATCGTGGTAAGGAAGAACATTGAGCATTAAAATAATAATTATGTTTATTGGTGAGCGAGATTACCAATGATGGTAGCAATGGAACGATACGCAAAGTCATATTGCTCTGCAGTTTGAATCATACCATATCTTTGTTTCTGTGGTCCAATAGAATAAGAATGTCAATCAATAATAAAGTACTTACTTTTAAGGACATGGCTCTCTCCATAATTTGTGTTGGGTTTAAGGAATGTGTTTTGTAGAAATCTTTCAAAATTGAATCAACAAGACAAAAAGTTCCTGTTCTTCCAATACCCGCTGAGCAGTGAACAAAAATAGGTGATCCTTGAGTGTTCACCGAATTGACGTGTCGCACCACATGATGAAATGAGGTCAAATCTGGTACTCCAAAATCAGGCCATGCTGTAAAATGAATTAAATGCACTCTATGAACTTGGTCTTCTCTAAATTGTACATCCAACAACCTGTGAATAATTTCTTCATTATCAACAAATTCTTCCTTAATATTTTGTATTAGAATGTCTCGTTGTTCTTTCTGATTGATATCTGTTTGTGTGTGAATGCCTGTTTGATCTGGCCAGTATTGAGCACATTTTGGCCTTGACTGCTCAATGAGGTTGCTGAGCATGAGAATGACAGAAACATTCTTTTCGATAATCGTTCGCCAAAAATCATAAATTGTTTGTGGAAGAGGTCCTTGTCCAGCAATATACAAAATTTCATTTCCAATTTGAATATTGTTTGCATTTACATAATATTCTGGATCATTTTCCAAAATGACTCTTGTGCTTTCATCTAAATTTGATCATGTCACACATTCAAATTTAGTCATAGGATAAGAATAAAAAAACAGTATCACAACGTACTCGCCAATACATTTCCATATCTATTCTTATTGGTATTCTTCAATGCCGTTGTAAAATCCACAGGTTCAAGAGATTTTTCAAAATTCCGCAATTCCATAAATTCTCGATGTGAGTATCGCTTTGCATGGCGCAGAATATCTTCTTTAATTTTCAAGACTGTAGTTGGATCTACAACACGATGATCCTTCTGTATTGCATTGGTTGTTTCCAATAACGTATTCGGAACGGAACCATCGGATGATGATATTTTTGAAGAAGAAACGCGACTACCCATGTACGAATGCTTTTTCATGAATTTTTTTTTCAAAAATTTAAAATTTTGTTTTTTGAAATTAATTGGAATTTTAGACATGAACAGATTCATTAAAATCTTTTCAACCTCTTGTAAAAAGATGAACAATAATTATGATTCTGAATATTTAATAATATTTGAATAAGAATTGAATCAGAGTAGCACTGGGGAGGAGAATTGAAGGTAGATAACTTAGGGTGGCATACGACGCGCGTGTTGGCATGTATTCAAAGTGTGTGTGTGAAATAAAAACTATTGTTGAATATTTACATCTAAATTTGCAGCAGAAGCAGCAACGGTGCTCATCATTTCTTTGAGCTTGTTCGACTTCTTTTCTAATTTTGAAGTTTTAAGATTCAAATATTCCTTTTCACGTTCAAGTTGGGAAATGGTCTTGTCACGATTCGAAACTTCTTTTTTGAGAGATAAATTTTCTTGTCGTTCTTGGTCTCTTTGTTTTTGTAATTCGAGAATTTGTGACGATTTCTTTTCGTTTTCTCTTCTTGCTTCTTCTAACTGCCTCCTTATTTCTGTCACGTTGACTTCATACTTTTCCTTATCAGAAAATAGCATATTTACACTCTCGACACTGTGATTCAATGTTTCTGTCATGGCCTTAATTTGGTTTTCAAAAGATTCCCTAGCTCGTATTGTTGAATCTTTTACATCCTTTTCGTATCTATTTTCTAACAGTTGAACCTCATCTCGGATATGGGTCAAATTCTCCACAATTTCTGCATACCGCTCTTCACATAAATTTTTCAACTTTTCATTTTCAAGTTGAAGCCTAGATTTTGTTTTTTCCAGTTTCTTGTAAGAGTCCTCACTGATTGCCATTTGAGATCTGAGGTTATTGATGTCTTCTCCCATTCTTTCAAGTTGAAGTCTTTGCTGCTCTCTTTCCTTTGTGAAATTGAGCATGAGAGTAGAGAGGTGGTTCATTGATCTTTCCACAATGTCAGTATGTTGTGAAAGAATACCTGAAGTAATATCTGAAGGAATATTCACATGTTCAGCCATTAGTTTAACAAATCTCTTCAAATCCTCCACTTTCTTCAAATAATTGTTCTTCTCAACGATTTCTGCAGACTTGTCTTGCATGACATCTCGCAGCTCAGCTTGCAGACTGTAAATCTTTTGATTGAGCTCATTTTCCTTAAGTATCAATGCATTTGACAGCTCTTGGTTATCTCTTTCGTATCTGTACCTCAATTCAGCAGCTTCCTTTTCATATTGTTGCTTCTTCTTCATCAGTTCATTGTCCTTTAGAGAGGAAACCTCATAACTCTTTTGGAGAACATTATCTGTAAAGGTTTGAAATTGTTGTTTCCATGCAGACAGAGAAAGAATTGTTTGTTGTTTGAGGTTATCAAGTTCTCTTCTCAAATTGCTCACTTCTGTTCGAAGCTTGAACTCGACGAGATTTTCTTTTTGTTTCTTTTTCTTGATACTTTCTTCAAGAGATTTAATCTCTCTGGAGTGCTTATCTTTCAGCTCTTGAGTTGTTCTCGAAAGATGTAATTTAAATTCTTCAATACTTTTACCGAGCTCTTTTGACAGGTCTTCAATGTTATCAATCTTAGAGGATGCCATCTTGAATTTTCTGAAATCAGAGGATGGTAGTGACAACAGAATGTTGTCCAAACTATAATTAATTGTGTCTGACATAATTTTGTGCTCCTTCTTTAAAACATCCATCTCTTGCGCAAGTTGTTGTTTTTCACTTGCCAATTCTTCCACTTTGTTTGTCTCTGACATGAGAGCCTCTTTGAGTTTTGCATTTTCTTGCTTCTTTTGTTGAGCAATCGTGTCCAAGTTTTCAGCATGTCTCTTCATTTCTTCTAATTGTCCATTTATCATTTTGACTTCTTCTGCCATTCTTGAATAGTAGTGCTCCAGTTCTTTTCGTTCGTGCGTTTGCTTATCAATGTAATCTCTCAAAGAGTCAATGTTTCTGTTGGACTCATCCAGATAACTACTCAACTGCATATTCTTCTTTTCAAGGGACTTGATTTCTTCCCTTGCGCTTCGAATCTCCTCTTCCTTTGCGAGAATTTCTTTCTTTAGCTTTTTAGTTGTTTTACGTTCCTCAATGAGTTCGTCTTCCATAAGTTTTGCTCCTTGCTTGAAACTTGAAAGTGTATTGTTAAATTCTTTTTGCTTTCGTTGTTCCAGTTCCTTGAGTTTATAGTCCAACTCGTATTCGAACTTCTTTTCCATGTCTTTCTTGTCATTAGCAAATCGTGTTTCAAGCTCTTGTACCTTTTTGTCGTAATCTGAACGTGGAAGGTAGTCTTTCTGGAACACTTTGAGCTTGCTTTCGTACAATTCCAACATTTTGTCGACTTGATCAGGTTGAAGAGTTTTCTAAGTGAATTGTTAATCGTCAATTTAGAAGTGAACAATCAAATACATACCATTCCATTAATCATTTGTTGTTGATAAATTTGATCGAATTGTGATTTTTGTACCAAAGCCTCCTTTTGATGTAGCTCCCGTTCTAGCGACAATATTTTGCTTTCATAAGTGTCTCTGATTCTCTTTTCGCTTTCTACTAATCGTTCATTGAGTCGTTTCGAAAACTCTGCTTGCAACTCGTTATGAGCTTTTCGCTCTCTTTCCAAGCATTCATCAGAATCTGTTTTGAGTCGTTTCAGATCTTGCTCCAATTTTTCTCTCTTTCGTTCTGTCTCTTCAAATCTCTCCTTATATTTGATAATTTTAGCTTGTACACGCATAACAATGTTGTTGGCCTCCTTTGACTGCTCAATTTTCTCTTTCAATTGCTCTTCAACTTCTAATAATCGTTTTTTAAGCATTTTACTTGTTATTTTGCTTGCTTTGCTTTCTTCGTTGTAAGATTCCTTGTATTTTTCGGTTTTTTGCTCGAGTTTTTCAATGATTTCATCTCGTTCTTCTTTTTCTATTTCCAATTCTTCTATTTTTCTTCGCAGCTCATTCATCTCCAACTCTTTTTGTTGTATTTGTTCGAATAATTGTCGATTTTCCTCTTTTTCTCTATGTATTGAGTAAATACATATCAAACCATCACTGTAGCCAATACTTACGTTGAGAGGGACTTTTTCTTCTTTTTTAACTCATTTTCCTTCAAAGAAAGTTCCTTTTCCAAATTCAAAACTTTTTCATACAGATCGTTAACCTTAGATCCTTCGGTTTTGGCTTGCAGTGACACAAGATCTTTTAGTTTTAGTTTCAGTTGATTAATTTTCTTCTCGTTTTCTGCCCTAGTGGTCGACTCTTGCTTGAGCGCGTTTTGACACCTTGAAAACTCTTCACTTGTTAATTTGAGCTCATTTTCTACTTTTGACATTTCCTCAATCAATCTCTGAATAACAGTTTCTTGCTCTTAATTCAGAAGTTTGATTTAGTTCGAACTCTGCTCAAAACTAAACTTACCCGATCTGAGAGCCTCTTTAATTATTTCGAGTATTCGTTCCTTCACATGTGGTGCCGTTGTTATATCTTTATCCATTTGTAATATGACTTTATCATTTTGTAAATCTTTTAAAATCTTAGTCAAGCCATCGGCAAGAAGCATGACCCGTTCTTCGTATTGTCTTCGAATACTTGCGATGGATGGAATGACCTCAGTGGTGGTCGGTGATGATGTTGATGCTGTTGTACTACCGCTTCCTCCTGATCCCGCTTCGCCTCCATCATGACTCGATCGAATGAAATGAACGCGGTTGTCTCTCCTCTTGTTCATTTTTTTTTCCTAATGATTTTCGAAAGCGGGAGGAAATTGTATTTTTTGGCGGGAAGGACATCTCAGTCTTGCTATATCTATGATAGATGACAGAGGCTTAAACTAATTCATGAACCACTTGATGACCATGTTTCAACAAAAGGAAGAGGGATTTAGATAACCAATGTTCTTTCCGAATGCATTTCTATTCTTTCCGTGTTCTCCAAAATGATGGTATTGACTTTTCTGAGTACCTGAAGTTTCTCCACAATAATTTGGTGTGTCATGTACAATGCGTGCTGTGAGTAATTTAATTAACCAGGATCGACAGAGATTGGATCGGATTGGTGCTCCAGCGATTGAACTTTCTCTTTCAGTCAATCCAATACAATCCTAAAATCCGATCTATTTGAATTTCATCAATGAAATGCGAGTTTGTTGCTCTCAATTCTCGAGCGTACCTCACCTCCTTTTCAAATTGTGTATTACTGTATCGAATGAAAATGAACGACACAAAAGTCTTCCATTTCAAAGAACAGTTTGACATTGCAATTTTTTGAATATATACTCAATTATGGAAATGGGCATACACATTTAGCAAAAGCCATCTCTAATTACAACCTTTGCGAATGGATTCAGCTGAATCACACAACAACGACAGCATCTCTCATATCACGATCGTTGGGTACCTCACCTCGTTGTGTGCGTTGTGGTAAAGTTCTTTCAAAAAAACACACACCAATCTTCACCGGTGAAGAGTGTGACGATCATGACGACCATCCACAACACAAGAATAACGTCCACCATACCTTTGACTCGACGCCGCAGCCACCACCAAGGATGGCCAAGTACCACCAGATCATCATCGCCTCTGAGAAATGCAATCATCATGATGATGACCTTCCTCTCGTCGTCGTCGTCATTCTTCGCTTGTTTGTTAGGTCTGCTGTTGTGTTTGACTCAATCCATTCATTCTTTGGAATTGCTAAAATTAGAATCGCTACCTTCCCTGAACAACAACATGTCGGAACAGAGAGAAGATGATGTTTCTCGAACTCGACCTTCATTCCTTCAACATTTGGATTCGATTGAAATACCTTCCTCCATTCAACAAAAGCTCACTTCTCATCGAGTGAATCATTTGAAGTCATTCCTGAAAGAGGAGTCATGCAACAATAATAATAATAACCATCCACGAATGATGGTCTCAAATCCACCACCACCACCACATCTGGATCGATGTCAATCGTCATCACATCATCCTCCTCGCATTCGTTCAGCAAACATTTTTTTAAATGATTACTTGGATTGTCAAACAAGTCCACTTCTGGACAATTTTGTCATGAATTTGCAAACTCCAACTTTAAGAATGGTCAATTCACAAAGTTGGATGAAAGAGTTGAGGCAAGAAATTGGAGAAGTGTCACTTTCACAACTGAAAATGCCAGCCACTCACAACAGTGCATCGTACAATGTGAGCTCGAATCAAGAGTATGGTGTCGATGTCAATTATGACAGTACCATGATGTTGATTCCTCAAATGGCCAAGTTGTTTAAGATGTATGGTGTGAATCCTGAGAGAATTAAGCAATTTGTTGCTCCATGGTTTAAAAATCAAGAATGTTCTATTTTGCAGCAATTGAAACATGGAATTCGACATTTGGATCTTCGTTTGTGCAAAGCTGAGAGTTCGGATGGAATAAGAAATAACAAATTCTGGGCCTGTCATGGATTATTGAGTGCCAAGTTTTCAACAATTTTTGAACAAGTGAAAAAGTTTCATTTAGAAAATCCATATGAAGTTGTCACACTTGATATTAATCATATTTATGGATTTAATAATGAGATGGATCATTTAGAATTTTTGAACATGACACATGAAATATTAGGAAGTGGCTCTATCATAGATCCATCAACAATCTCCACTAATGCCACACTCACTTCCATTTGGAATGCATCTTCGAGTTCAAGAATATTCATCTTTTACAATCATCAAGAAATCATTCGAAAATATGGATCCAAGTACAAACTTTTTGCAAGTTCATCCATTTCGACACCTTGGGTTAATAAGCAACAAATGTCTGCATTGTATCAAGAAATTTTGTCACAACTAACTGCTAGATCCCATTTGGATCGAAGATTTGTTTCACAGATTTTACTGACGCCTAATTTGGGCATGATGGTCGACGGCTTGTTTGAGAAACCACATTCTGTAAGAGAATTGGCTGAAATGAATTATGGAAGTATTCCTCAATGGATTAAGTTATCTGCTCCAAATTCAAAATTGAATATTGTGAACACAGATTACTACAATTTGAATGGAAGACAATTTATCACACAAGTGATCTCACAAAATTTTAACTAACTGTATTTTTATATTAAATCAAATATTTCCACAACAAATTGCCTATTAATGGTTTGTCATTGCTGATCTATCTTTTAGGTGATGAGGATGAAACCTCATTGAATGCATAAACCAAATTAAGGATCACGAACTGCATCCTTACAATCATTCTTTGACAGAATTGGCTGAAAAGAATGACAGCAATAAAGGTGTCAACTCTTATAAATATTTCATGATGGGAATTCTCGAACAAGAAAGATATTATAGCAGAAAATTTTGTTTCTTTCAAACTTGATAAATTTTGTTGTTGTTGTTGTTGATGTGGTCGTGAATCATCGAGAATAAGATCGACAACAAATTGTCATATAATTTATTATTCAAACAATTTTGTTGTTCACGCAAATTTGTTGTTGTTAACAGCTTTCGATCAATTCGAGAAAACTAAATTCCAAGATTAGAAAAAAAATGCTCACTCATCGTTCTTCATCTTCAGGAATCACCACATCTTCTTCGTCTTCTCAACAACAACAACAACAACTACGGAAAACTTCCCGAAGAAAGAAAAATCATACTACTTTGCCTCCGACATCACGAACGGAAGAGAACGAAACCACCAACTACGGATCTGATGTATTTTTACATCTTGAAGATATTCAGCAAGAATCGGAACCATCATCATCATCATCACGGACACGTCAGAATTCCTCCAAGAGAGGAAGTAAAAGAAAGAGAAACAATACGAATAGACACCGAAATAGAATTATTGAGGAAGAAGAAGAAGAATTTCAAACTCCTTCTCAAGTTTCATCATCTCAAGATTTTGAGCCAAGTAGACAAACCAGAAGAATTCAAAGCAATGATCACAATTACACGACACCATCCATGAGTGTGTTGCTAAATAATTCTAACATGAACAACATCTTGCGGGTACCTCCAAGCACAACAACAGATGATGTGCAAGTCGTTGGAGACAACAACAGCGCAGATGCTCCCATAGTGATTGAGGATGATGTAGATGTGTACAGACATCACGGAAATTCTGCAGATGATGCCATTGTGTTAGAAGAAACCGAGGAAGAAGTTCAACAACCAACCCAATCGCGAAATTCTCCTACTGATGATAGAATTGATTTAGTTTCATCCATGATTCCCTCTACATTGCTATTGTTTCAACAACATCCATTCATTTCTTCTCATGGACTTTCAAGAATTAGTGCACTAATTAGCTCAATAGCGAGATTACGAGCATCTATCATGAATGAACGTCCTTCAGCACCTGTAAGGTCCAATAATTTGACTAAAATCAAATATCAACCACCTACTTCAGGAGAGAAAGAAGAATGTACCATATGTCTCTGTGAATTTGAAAAAAACGAGAAAGTATACAAGACTGGATGTGGTCACATGTATCACGTTCGATGTTTAGACCAATGGTTTAGACAAAATACCAATCACACTTGTCCTAATTGTAGATCTCACCTTGTCAAATAAGCGACTTTTGAGTGCTTGAGTGCGGAACTGCTAGCACTTGCCACTAACTTGTGTTTTTGACACCACACACGAATCTTTCCAATAAACCCCATTTCAAATGGAAGAAATGGAATTGTAATTGAACGCGGGTTACAAGGTTTAAAAAAATTGTTTCAGTTGCAGTTGAATACATTCTTGTACAGTTCAATTCTTTAGCAGTTGATCCCGAGATGGTAAACATACTACAAAAACTTGGCCTTCGGAAAAAGAAATTAAACCTTATTGTTTGCGGATTAGAAAATTCGGGGAAGAGTTCGATTATTAGTCATCTCAAACCCTCATCGGAAAAGAAAGAGAATGTTCTCCCAACAGCAGGTAAATTTTAATTCAAAATAATTGTTGGGATAATTTATGTCACCCTTGATATAACCCACTACTTAGGTTACAAGCTTGAAGAATTCTCAAGAAATGGAGTATGTTGTTCTTATTGGCTTTTAAATGGAATGATTCATTAAGCAATCGGATCACACTTCTGCAATCAGTATCTATGCCGTGTTTTCGATTTGAGTGGAGCTGGAAAATATAGACCCATGTGGAAATACTTCTTTGAAAATCTAGAAGGAATTATATTTGTTGTGGATGTAAGTGACACCAAGAGATTGTGTGTAGCGAGAGATGAATTATTGGATCTAGTCTCCAACAAAGAGCTCGCAGGTGTTCCAGTCTTGGTGTGTGCCAACAAAATCGATGTCGACAAAAAGAAGGTTTCGCTTGCACAAATTCACAATATTTTGAGCTTGGATGGCAGTAACAGAGAATGGAAAATTGGTAAGTGGGATTTCCTTTCACACCAATAATTGATAATTATCTATTACAAACAGAAGGAACAAGTGCCAAAGAAGGAACAGGTATCGAAGAAGCATTTTCTTGGCTGGTGAATAGTGCTGCAACTTTTGTGAGCAAGAAGAAGGAAGCTCAAAAGCAAATCCTCATTTCTAGTGTGAGCCAAACAGTCACCCATCATCATGGTGTTTAAGAATAATTTTCCAATAAGTTATTCTTGTTGTTTATACATTAAATTATTACTGATAGCAGCAGTACTGACGCTATTCACTCTAAGGTGTGAAATAATTAAATCAACTTCTTTTTGATAAAGTATGATCTGAGATAGTAGAGTTGTCCAAAAGCAAAGACAGCCATAAATACAAAGAAAAATACTCCCAAGTACGTGATACGTTGGTTGATTGTCTCAGTTGTACGTCTCATGGCACCCTCTCTTTCTCTGAAATACACGTACTCGGCATAGATTGAATGCACAATATCCTCCATCATTCTGAGATTAACTTCAATTGGTTTCAAATGTTCCTTTCGTGCCAATTGTTCATAATCATATGTATCAGTTCCAGTAAGAACATCAAAGGTAATACGGCGACGCAATCCTTCATGATAGGTGGCTTTAGAACTCAATCTGTTATAGAAACAAAATGAATACTCTCCTCCTTCTTTTGCAACAAGACTGAAATCACCTTTTTTAATATTCTTTCTCTCCAAAACAACATTTCCTCTCGAATCAGTGACTCTAAAATCAACCTTTTGAGAATATCCTGCTCCGACTTGATACTCTCCATACACATCAAAATTGGTAACAATTTCTTCACGGAAACAAACATAATCTCTTGCTTTTAGATCAAATTGAAAAGCAAAAATTGATGAAACTAGAGCCAAGAGTAAAGAAAGTGTTGCAAGAATCATCATCAATAGCGACGTTGATGATGAGGAGGAGGATCGGAAAAGCTTATTGTATTGTATTTTCATTTTTTCGTTTTGATCGGTGAGAAGCCCACCATGCTCTAACCACGTCAGTTATAAAACTTTCTCTAAGAAGAAAAATTATTGTCCCAATATTCCATCCAATCCAATCATCATCATCATGATGAAGAATGAAATAGAGAGAAGGTCGAATATCTTGTTAGAAATGTGTATGGATGAGAGTACTTTTGATTTGGCTCTCGAATCCGTGCGGGAAAACAAGTGTCAAAGGCTTGAAGTTTGTTCCGAGCTCGGAGCAGAGGGATTTACACCTCACGAGGAGATGGTTCTCGCGTGCTTATCGGAGCCTCTATTCGAGCACACCAATTTAAATATAATGATTAGACCCAAATTACATACAAAATTTGGAACGAGTGCTGCCAGTAGTAACACTATGATTGATTCATTTTGTTACAATGATGAAGCGATAGCAATAATGAAGACTCAAATAAGGAAAATGAAAAAGTTATTGATGCAAGAAAAAGACAAAGTGAAGAATAGACAAATTGGATTTGTTTTGGGATGTATTGAGAGAAGGATGAATGGAAAAATTACGATTAATGTCAATGCATTGAAGGAATTAATAGGTGTCATCCAAGAGCCATGTAAAGATCTTCACCACACACAACACCGATTTTCAATTACGTTTCACAAAGCGTTTGATTTATTGAGCGATCCAATTGAATCTGTCACAATCCTAGCCGAGTTAGGTATTGATCGAATTTTAACGAGCTTGAATTTTGAATGTGAAGATTTGAAAGGAAAAGCTGTAAATTCTATTCAACAATTTATGAATGACAACGACAATACAGAACTCTTGCAGAGGTTCCTGAAAACAGTCAGTGATGTGCCAGACACTTCAAAAGTGATACTTTTAATTGGAGGAGGAGTGAGAGAAAATAATTATTTAGAAATTATGCAATTTTTTGAACTATTCCCAAAAGTTCAGTTCGAGCTGCATTCTTCCACTCCATTCAAAATCAAATAATACTATTATGCTCACAATCTCTTGAAAGGATCAACATGAGTCACATGTGCATATGAATATTTATTTACAGAGCGATTACTTCTTTTTCAAACAATACATTCGAAGAGCAAAGAGGCCCTTTTCCCAATGTTTTTGCTTCATTCAATTTTCATATCATTTCAGAGTACTTGAAAAATACGTAACATACCTTGACATTTTCAATTAAGGTAAATTTAGACTCAACTTTAGAGAATAAGTAGCAATAGTGATCATTACTCCTTGTGAGGGATCCATCATCCTCGTCCACCACAAAGCAGTCAGCAGCAATATTTTCCTTGAAACACAAAATTCCTCCGTCATAAAGTAAATCATAGAATAGCTCCATAAGTTTAATAAAGTCTCGGTCGGTAACGAAGCAACTGCACCATTGAATCCACACACACTTTCCAATATGTTAACAAATCAACTGCCTTTGACAAACACTTACATGATATTTTGGTTTTTTTGTGTCCTTGAAAACAGTATGCAACTCTTGGAGTCCTACCGCAAATGTTTCCTTAATTTTGGCGCACTCTTCTTTGGCCCTTATCAAAAACTCTTCATTAACATCTTCACAATCAATATAGTCAAAGTATTGTGATAATAAATTTTTTGTGACACGTCCATTTCCACTAATCATTTGAAATTTCCAAAATTGTTTAAAAATTAAATGTGAAAATTATTTAGAAATTAAATATGAATTAAATAATAATGTATATATAAGACAATTCAATGTTCATACCTTCCACATTCCAAACAATATAGGAATGGTTTTTCTCCCTCTCGTGCTGGTGTAACATCTTTCAAGACTTTCTTCAAAAACGATGAGCTCTCCTTCACGTCTCTCTCGTGAACATGAGTAAAACCTCCCAACATTCCATCAATATCATTGGTTACTTTCTCTTTCCAATATTCTGTTGCTTTTTTATAGAAATCGGCCTCGGCAACTTGCCAAAACTCTGTTAATGATGCAAATTTTCGTGTATAACCCGAAGTAATTCCTCTTTCTTTCAAACCAGCATAATCTAGTACTATCGGAGGAGTGGAATCAGCCGATGAAGAAGCGATATCAATGCTCGATGAGTTTGGTTTCAAAGACGATGGTGAGTTGCTTTCGGATGAATTTTGCATTTTTTTCAAAGTTTCTTTTTTTGTAAAACCTCTAACACGATTTGCTCTCTTTAAACACATTAATAATTACTGTAGTACCATACGTTAACTAATTATAATGTTTTATTAGATGAAATAATCCAATTTCATAACTTTGACTGTACAAGTATTTAAGATTAATAATAGTTGAACCAAAATGATGCGAAAAAAAGAATCTTCCCTCTCATATTACTCCCTTTTTACATGACATGTACAAACAAGACATCATTGTCCTTAAATCGAAGCATTTGATTATTAGGATCCACATTCATCAATACAGTGCTTCCATTCAGATGGAACTTCATCTTGATGGAAACAAGGCTTTTGAGGCTATTCTGATTCCACAGTTTCTTCTCACTTGCCATTCTCTCCGTAATCTTTTCCACGAGCAACGAGTAAGGTGCTTGTCGTGGCATACACACTTTGGAAATGTTGAGTGTGTTTTGAATGTTGGAATAATCGGAGAGTGATTTGATCTTAGAGTCATCATAGAAGAGAAGGAACATGACTGCAGGAGATGGATCAGAGCCAATTGAATGTTGTTGTTGTTGTTGGGATAGATAGGGAAGAGAGCTGCTGAATGGATTGAATAAAGTGGAAGGAGAGAAGCTCATGTTTGGAGAAACCTGTTGTTGAGTAGATGTAGTTGTTTGGAATGGATAAAAAGCGGAAGGTGGAGAGGAAGAAGAGGGTGATAAGGTTTTCATCTTCTTTGTTAAAGGCTCGATCGATGCAGTGGAAGAGAACGTATTAGTGTTGTTGTTATCGCCATTGTTCATAATCAAATCCACAAAGTAAGAGTGAGGTTGTTGATGCATCATGTTTTGATGAGAGGTACCATTGTTGTTGGTTGGGATCACCATCGGAGCAGTCATGGTATTGGCAGTGGTGGTGGTTGGATCAAACTCTGCAGAGGAAGAAGCTGTCTGATTCTCTTCGGTCAGTAATTGAAGAACGGAATCTGAGGATGCAGATGTAGAGTTAGAAACTGGTTGTGGAGCGACCTGATTCATGGCTCGCATGGACTGTTGTTGTTGCAAATATCGATTGGTATGATGATAGATCTGTTGTTGTTGTTGAGCCAACTCCACCAAGAGCTTTTGAACACTCGCAGAGGATTGAGCCACAATGGGTTGAGTATTACCAGAAGATGTGGATGAATGGAATGGAAGGTATTGATTGTAGTGTGAGGGAGTGAGGTAAGAGGGATGAGAAGGAGTGGTGAGCATGGATGGCACTTCTTGTGGTGTTTGTTGTTGTTCTTGGCTGGTCCACATCTCTTGTTGAGTAATGAAGAGAGAATCAATCTGATCCTCAGCACCCTCTTCCTCGTAGATGAGATCGTTGCCATGATGATGATGACTAGACAATGAGAATGGACCTTCTTCGTGATGACGTTGTTCGAATTGCTTATTGTCGTGTTCATTCAACTTTCTCTTGCGTGGGTTATTGTCTGGATTCCATGAGGAGCCATGTTGAGTCTTATTATCCACACTGTCAGGACTTTGAATGCATGTATGATTGGTATTGGACTGAGAAGATACTAAACGACCTCTTCGAGAAGAAGCTTTTGAGGTGGTGGTAGTGGTGGATTTGGGTGTTCGGCAGTTGGAGGTTAAGTTGGATGATCTTCGACCTCGTGAAGTTGGAGTGGAGACATTCTCCTCTTGATGTTGTTGTTGCTGTTCATCGTGGTGATGATGATTGGAAGAAGTGTTGTTGTTGTTGTTGTGGGTGGAAATGGTTGGAGGAGAGCTGATACGAAGGTTAGGAGAAGTGGAAGTTATGGTGGTTGCATTGGGAGAGGTGGTGGTTGTTGATGATGAATGGTTCAGTTCTGATGCAGCATTGGGATGGTTCTTGTTGTATCGATGCTGTTGTTGTGATGATGATAGTTCATGTTGAACGTGTACGAGAGCAGCATGATCACATTCATGCATGTCGCAGTGTTGTAGGATGATTTCATGATCATGAATTTTGAAAGAGAGATATGAAACGTTTGACCAAAAAAGAAGAAGGTTTACGGAATTGGGCGAGTAAAATTGTGCGACAAATGTTCAAACAGTTTGGATAACAGGAAGATCACATGCGCAGACATGTTTGAATTAAGGTTTTATGAAGGTGGAATCGGAGAAGGTGGTGTAAATGCTTTGTGGGAGATAATGGCCAACTTACCTGTTTGTTGTAGCACGAATTGCAGCACACTCCAAGAGGAACATCGAATTTGAATGCAGCCACATACTGAACCATGCAAAAATGTGAGGTTTGCATGTATGAATTCAAAAAGTAATCAACGCGTTGAGAGGTGGATACAGTGGTTGTATACAATTTCATGAAATTTCAACAACATCAAATATATTTACGCATTTGGTAATTACACCACGATCATGATCGGTTCGGTACAATTTTGCGCAATTATGGAATAGAGAGGCAATAGGAAAAGGTATTCGCGTTTGTGGAAGTGAGGAAAATTGAGATTTTTATACCGCGACATGATTCAAGGTCACACACATGGATATTATCAATTTTAAAATACTTACGGCACTCTTATTACTGGCATTGATGTTATACTTTTTGCTGTAATGAAGGTTGTATCGTTTGCAGCAAACACACTGATTGGAAAAGTCTTCGTTTGGAATGTTCTTATGTTTGGTCTTATCTCCAATGACTGGAGTGGTAGGAGAGTCAGTTGTGATGGACATGGTTGTGAATTTCAAGTGGTTGTTTCAAATACAGGGAAGGAGGATCACAATGTGATGAACAGGGCAGAGTGAAAGTGGAACGTGAGATAAGACACGTGGCCAGTCAGATGAACGATGATTCAGTACAAGTTGAGCACACACAAAATGGTCGATTGGTGTTGTTGTTGAAGTATGTATGTGTTGATATCTCGTTGTTAGAGAGTGTATGATGTCTCTTTTTTTTAATTATCTTCCAGATATCAGCTGTGGCGTCGTGGATTTAACGTGAAGCTGCACCAATAGGTTTCATTGTTAGTACATTTTGGGAAAGGCTTGCTCATGCTGCTCTCGGAGGTAAGTGTAGTGTTTCGGAAGTGCTCTCACGGATTGTCGCTTTCAGAGACACCGATGACAACAGACAAACGAATTTAACGTTTCACCAAGATCATGCCCACACCACAACCATTCAACAGAGTTGTGTTGATGCCGTAACGTTGTCAAAGTGGCGGCGAGCTGTGATTCTCTCTCTCTTAACATGTTGGGATCACATCATTGTGTGGAAAAATAACATTCGCTTTGCGGTATTTTGCGGGTCGTTCAGGAGATTTTGAATTGTGATTGAATGATGCGAAGACTCTTGCCTAACAGGTTTTTGACACAAACATCTTGCCTTTTTGAATGGAGACAGTAGTCTGTTGAATCTGATGAAAGGTCAATTTTCTTCTTGTAATCTCTATCTCTCTTTGAAAAGGCATGTTGTTGATTTGACCAAATATATTGTTTACGGTTTGTGTGTTGCTTTTTGTGTGCGGCTTGAATCTTCTGACCATATCAAACAGTGATTCGAGGTCCACGTTTATGACCCACCTTATCAAACAGCAGCGATTCGAGGGTAATTGAACGTTTCTCGATTGACATTGGTCAAAACAATTTGACCAAAGTACAAAAGTGACCAATGTTTTGATGTATTTGGAAGGAGAGACAAAAGATTCGATGCACCTTCATCTATTTTCGATTTAACTCCATTTCCCCTGATTTGTCGATGTGGAATGTTATAAAGGCATGAATTCAATGAATTGCAAAATTGACAAAGACATCCATCAAACCCTCTACTGCTGACAGTAAGGTTTACTTGATTTTAGTCATCAATGCTGTACATGTTAAAGAGATGTGGTTATTATTCGATATATCACGAAAGTGCGTGACATGGAAGGTTATCACTCTGTCAAAATTGTTACTTGAAATACAAAAAGTTTCATTTTCGGGAAGTGACAACCATTTCCAAGTAAGCTATATTATTTCAATCAATAATACATCATCACCTGGACAATAATTTACAGTTTGATGTCGAATCACTACTGTTGACTTGCTCGAATCTTCTCAAGGCGTTTCTCAATCCAAGATATTTCACTTGGAAAGATATCTGCATGCTCTTTGAAAAAGCTCAACATTTTGTTGTATCGCTCAGTTTCATCAAAGCCAATACAGTATTGCAATTTACGAAGATCAATTGGGCACAACTCGAGTGGTCTCGAGTCAGATTCATCCATGTGGTTGGAACCATTCATTGCACATTGATAGAAAATACAGTGCTAATCAGTGCGTGATGAACACAACACAAATTTCATTACCGTTCGTGTGTGTACCAAATATTAACACATACCTTAATACCAAACATGTGACCAATTTCATGCGAAGCAACTTTGCAACTTCTTCTCAAAAGAAGCTTTTCAATCTCAAAATCAGACAAGTGATCATCACCATAGAATGCAGGATGGTATCTTGCGAATGAAAAAACACCAACTCTATTTTCTAAACTTGCAATTCCAAAAACAAAGTTCCAAGATTCATCCGGATACAGGTCCACCATCGTCAAGCCCAACACACAATAAGCATCTTTGGGGATGATCTTTTTCAAATAATTCAAAATATCTCCTGTTTTGTACTGCATCACAGATCCATTCATTCGAGTGGTGAATTGAGGTGCTGACTTGGTCAATGAGGAATTCAACGCTTTAACCTCAACACCACAGTAAAAAGCTTGTAAAAACTTGATCAAAACTGTAAGTGAAGGACATTTTGTTGGATTCTCTTCTGAGAATTGCTCGAGAGGATAAATGTAAATGACGTTCTGGTTTGATTTTCTTGACTCCGAAATAAAAGTCACCAATCAACAGGAGTTTTCGCAACATCAAAGCCAACCATAATTTCGAAATTTCACCATTCCGTTTTGAGAATGAATACAAAGCCAAATCAGGTTCAAAAGTGGAAAAGTAGGTGCAGTGAGAATTGAAGATGCACGTCGTATCAAAGGCCCAATGGAAATTTCAAATATTGAATCATGACGAAATCCTTTGTATAAACATAAAAGTATTGTCCAAATCCATTTACTACTACTTACTTGATCCGATTAAAAGGAGTGTTCTTATAAGCAGTAAACGTTTGTCCATACTCCTTATGCTCGGCCAGCCAAGATCCTCTCTTGGGTTGAGTCTTGGGTTCGAAATCTTCATCCCGATAAATTGTTAGCAGCTGCTGCTTCTTGCTTGATTCAAGAGTGTGGATTTCAAGAGCTTTCTCTCTCAAGGCTTTTCCTGGTGGAACGAATGAAGACATTTTCTGAGTGTGTGATCGTGCTCTGGAAAGAAGGTTCTTGAGGAAGGAGTTGTTGTTGTGGAGTGGTTGAAATCGGTTGAAATCTCCCGCTTGGCAAGTTCTTGATTCATGAATGTTTAATTTGATATTTTCTTTGAAACACAGGTAAACGAGTAGTGATTTGAAAATTGTATTCTTAATACTTGTGAATTATACCACCTAGCCCAATGGAGTGATGATGGAATGCACGAGGAGCTTGTCCAATGAATCTCCGAAATATTTATCAGTTTACAAAAAAATAGAATCACCGTATTGTTCAACTCTTCAGAGAGATTCCTAAAAATTCCTTGTGGTGGGCACCCCTATCGGAACAACAACAACAACACCATTCATCATCGTTTCCAAAAACAATCCTATTTTTCAAGAAAAACTAATGAGCAATAAGAAAAACTTTAAAATTGTGTTGCTTGGAGAAGGAAGAGTGGGAAAAACGTCGCTTACTCTCCGTTTTATTAAAGATCTGTTTGATGAACATCAACAATCAACGATACAAGCTACCTATCTTCAAAAAGATTTAAAAGTGGGAGACCAAAATGTTTGTTTATCTGTTTGGGATACTGCAGGACAAGAGGTGAGTGATGATTCATGTTATCGGTATTTTATATTATAATATAATATATTATTATTGGTCTTTTATTGAAAATCCAATTCATCGTAAATATTGTTGTGGTATGCATCACGGTGATGAAATTCCATTCCAATGAAAACTTTGTGGAATTACTACATGTGGTCGGTTTGTCGAACTTGCACCACTCATATTGACAACATCAATTTTGAATCGAAACCGAATACATTCCAATATTGATGATACCACATCGTCATCATAATGGGTTGCTTTTTTATTTAATCATCATCAACGAATTGGAATCAAAATATCAACATTATAATAACAACAGCGATTCCATGCTTTAGGACCAATTTATTATAGAAATGCCGATGGAGCGCTTTTAGTTTACGATATAACAGACCAAGACACCTTTGAGAGAGCTAAAACCTGGGTGATGGAGTTGAGAAAAGTTCTCGGAGATGATATTATTATCACTATTGCTGGAAATAAGTGTGATATGATTAAACAACGACAAGTTTCGGAAGAGCAAGCTCTTGAATATGCCCGATCCGTAGGAGCAAATCATTTACTAACAAGCGCTAAAGCAAACAAGAACGTGGCAGAGGCCTTCCTGGACCTTACAAAGCGTATTTTAGAAAAGAAAGCACAAGGCGGAAATGTTCCTTCTCCTTCATCAAATAGAATGTCAACACGAGGTGTTAGTGGACTAACCATCGAGGACACGTAAGTTTATTTATAAGAGATGAATTAATATTAATTATTGAACTATTGAAATTTTTGTAATTTTTTTGTGAATATTAACATTCTCGACACTTTTATAGCTCAAGGCCATCTTCTCACAGCAGAATCAACTCACGAGTGAGTGGACTTACAATCACTGACGATACTCCACAAAAGAAACAACAAGATAATGGAACATGTTGTAAATAACATATAATTCCATGTTTGGATTTTGTATCATCCAAAGCACTGAAAAATTCCACAATCCAATTCATCCTCTAATCATTTCCTCCTATATGATTTACGAATTTCCAATGACTTGGAATGTATATAATTGAGCTCATTAAATTGCATGTTCACATTATTGTTCACTTTTTCATTGATTTAGTTGAGTTATCTGAGGTCTGGGTTGCTGTTTTGTAATTTTTTGTGAATATTAACATTGATTCAGTTAAGGTGCGAAATTGTTGTTGATTGAGTGAATTGGTTATATCTAGTGTTCTAAAATAGCTTTATTTCTTTTTCAACTTGTTCAGCAGACCAGAGAAGAGTTTGTGGGAGTGTTTGTTTGTTGAGGGGGATCCTGAAGATTCCAATTGTGGTGATAAGCATTTTCCTAAACTGGGTGAACCATTACTTGACGACATCGAGTCAGAAACATTAGGAGAGAGTTCTCCAACAGATAGCTCTAATTGTTGTTTTTTGAGGACTTTCCTAGCTTGTTCTTTTTGTTCCATTCGAATACCTTTGATGCAACCTCCCAAGTTATTGGCCAACTCTTCATGAGGTGTGTCTTTGGTGAAGAATTGTTGATAAATATTGGTATTCACGCTTTTCATGCCCTTATCTCGGACATGATTGAATTTTTGTAAAAGAAATTTCAAACTGTGTTGATAAGAATTGTCACCATCGTAATCCTCAAAGCATACATTGAGACTCGTGTGAGCAATCTTTTCATGAAATAAATCCCATTTTGAAAGAAGAAGAATAATGGGTGTGGATCGAAACCATTTGCTATTACACATTCGACTGAAAAAGTTCAAACTAAATTGAACATTTGAATATCATCCATAACATCCATAACATTTGAACATTTGTATATAACATTCATAAAGCAATTGTCACATTCGAGTTGTAAAAAATTCAACTCGTGTTAAACTCAATGTTGTAAAGACATACCTTTCCTTCACCACATTATGTCTCTCAAGTGATGTTGGTATAATATCATAATCTCCAATGGGACATACAAACATGACAATATCCACTCCTTGAAATAGAAAGAGCCATTTTCTTCCATCATTATTTTGACCTTCCACACAATAAATAATATATCGTTCTCCACTAAAATTAAATTCAATTTCTTCAATACCTTTCTTTTCTTCTTTCAAATGTTTTTGACAATATTCCACATCTTCATTGGTTGGTACATAATCTGTTTGTGCAATTCGATCAATGTGATCCATAAAATAATCCAAATTATACAAATCTTTGTAAAGTGTGAAACAATTAATTTCACCTGCATTGAATTGTTGATAAGAGTGTTGTTGAGTTTGAACGATGAGCTGAGGTTTTACAGCCACTGCTTTGACATCTTCTTCTTCATTATCAACCACATGTTGTTGTTGTGAATGAGAATCCACAGATAATGATCCATTTGTGACATGTTGTTGTTGAGCCATCTGTTCTTGATACTGTTGTTGCTGTGCTTGAAATTCTTTAAATTCGGAATGAATTTCTTTTGCTCCTCGTTGTTCCCAAAGTAATTTCATCATTTCTGCAACTTGTGGAACAATCACATGTTCACCATAACAAAAGTGAAGAGTTCTCAAATGATGAATGGCAAATTCAATTTCTTCTTTTCGATCCGAGTGACGAGGAACTATTGAAATATCTAATTTTTCTGATGCAAGAATTAATTGTTTAATTCCATTGAGAGCATGGAAGTGAATAATGTCACGAAAAGTTTTGTTGTTGAGTTGATGATCCGAATTGGGAGAAGAAGTGTCGTCACAAGTTGTTTGTTGTTGAATGTATTCTTTGAGTTTTGAAATGATTGTTGATTTACCTATTGGAATGTGTGTTTGCGTGTGAAACAATTGGTTTAGTGATTGAAAGATTTATGAAAATCATAATTGAGATTATCATGAAATCATGTGATGACCAACATCGAATGGCGAGGTCATCATCATCATGATCATTATAAAAATTTTCAGTGACATATCATTTAAAATTAATTTTCATTGATGATCAAAAATTCACACAATGCAATGATTAGTGTTGAACTCATAAAACAACATCGATGACCTACCAGCTCCATTTAATCCCAATAACAAAATCTTCACCGTGGGTGGAGTCGTTTGTATTTGCGGCGGTGATGAAACGACCGAAGAAGAAGAAGAATGAATCGATCTTCCCATCATCATTACTCCAGAATTTTGTTGTTGTGAGTGTTGTTGTGGATTCATACTATTCTCCGTTAATGAATGACAAGATGAAGAATTATTTAATGATGAGGTACTCAGTGTGGAAGAATGTTTGGTGGTGGTGGTTGATTTTCGATTACGAGGAAGGTTGTTTTCGGAAGAGGTGGTGAGTGTGTGTGGTTGGTGAGAGGATGAAGAATGATGAGAGGAAGCTCCATTGGACATGTCGACATGTGGTGGTTGTTTCGAGGATGACAATGCTCCGAGTGATAATGATGATGATGGAGTGTCCAGTGTGGAGGTGTTTTGACCCATTCTCTGTGTTGTTGAATGTTGTTGTGGTGTTTTTTTTTGATCTCGTTCGAACGTTGACAAGTGACGTCTTGTGAATTTGGCTAAAGATGAAAGGCATTTAGTAAGAAACCGTCCAATCACGAGAGAGTGCACGCTTTGGGAAAATACAGGTGCCAAACCAGGCCACAACCACAAACTACACAAGTTCACATTTGGGAGTTGAATTTCGTTGAATTTTGGCGCTTTGATTTTACAAATCAAATAAAAAAAATGGCAAAAATAAAACCGATCAATGAATTCCCACCAACAACAACAACGAATGCAACAAGCTCATCAGCAACCTCAAAGAACAGTACATCCAATAATCGACCAAAATCATCTTCCGCAACTTCAAAACCCACAAAACCCGAAGCTAAGGCTGTGATGAATGATGAAAAAGCATCCACTCTTGAACAGGGCGAAAAATTGGAAAGCGTTTCCGTCGTACTAAATCATTCTTCAGTGCCAACGGATACGTCAGGAAATGTTCCGAGAGCATCATCGCCGATGGCATTCAGTGATTCAGTGAGTGTTGTTTCAGGAATTAATGATGGAGATGAAACAGGAATTAAAGTGGTGGTGAGAATGAGACCAATTAATGAGAGAGAAACAAAGTTAAAAGCACAACCTTGTATTAGTATGAATAAGGAAACCAAAGAAGTGTTGATAAAGCGAAAAGATAAGGAGGAAAAAAAGTTTTATTTCGATGACGTATTTGATGACAAAGCCGCTCAACAAGAGGTCTTTTTGTCAACAGGAAAACGAGTATTAGATAGATTTGTTTTGGGCTTCAATGTATGTTGAGTTTATGCAATGTAAAACGGGCTAATATTTCTGTTCGCCATTTTCAAAAGGGTTGTATTTTTGCGTATGGACAAACGGGAAGTGGGAAAGTAAGTGTTTGAACTCAACTATTTCAATGAAGATATATCCTGGAATACCACATATTGAAGACATGGACCATGCAAGGTTTAAAGGGAGAACCAGAAAAAGAAGGAATTATGACTCGTTTTGTCAGAGAGCTTTTCAACTATGTCACAACAGCTCAAGAAAAAACAGATATCACCATTAAGGCATCTTATCTTGAAATATATAATGAAAATATATTGGATTTGTTAAATCCTCACAGCGCACGGGTTCAATATGACATTCGAGAGGATAAAGTCAAAGGTATCTATGTGAATAATCTCATTGAGAGGCCTATAACCAATGACGTTGAGTTAAACGACATTTTAGAGGAAGGTGCAGGGCGGAGAACTGTTGGAGAAACAAAAATGAATGAAGTTTCTTCGCGTTCTCATTCCGTGTTAACAATTTCTATGGAACAAATCGATAAAGGTGATGAAGATGGATTTTCATTAAGAACGAACAAAATTGCATTGGTCGATTTGGCTGGTAGTGAGAGAGCTGGTGCAACAGAGGCAACTGGAGATAGACTAAAAGAAGGCGCAAAGATTAATATGTCTCTGTCAATGCTTGGAAATGTGATCAACGCTTTGGTCAAGGTAGGTGCTTCAACAATGTTGTCCATTATTTATATGAACCGATTCAATATTACATTCCTACAGAAATCGAACTTTGTTCCTTACCGAAATTCCAAATTAACGAGATTGCTCAAAGATTCAATTGGAGGCAATTCTTACACCTTGCTTGTCACTTGTGTAAGTCCAGCAGATGTGAATGCTGAAGAATCATTGAGTACTCTATACTTTGCTGATCGAGCAAAACAAATCAAGAATAAGCTTAAAGTTAGCAGAGGAGATCCTAAATTGGAGAAGATTGCAGAGTTACTTGAATTAGAAAAGAAATTAAGAGCTAGAATATTGGAATTGGAGACTGAGCTTGCAAAATATACCAATGTTCCTCCACCTCGACCAGAACTTGCAAAAGAAACAATATCCATCGATATGGAAACCAACACGGAAATTGAATTGATGGAGAAACGAGCTTCTGCAAGGATGATGCCACGGCATGCTGTCAAATCAATTCAAACAGATCCTTTGCAAGAAAAAGGATGTTGCTTGATGATGTAATTTGCTGTTGATCTATTTTTTAAATTATTTTATATTGTTCAAAAATATACAATCATACTTCCTCAGACATCATCTGTCGTCTCACTATCCCATTTTATTTACAAAAAAATGATTAACAAGCTTGTGAACAAAGCACATAGCTCATTGATGCCTCTCTTACGGAAGAGAGTATTGTTTTTTGTGGTGTTAACTCTTGGAATTTTGATGTTTATCCAAGTCGTTCTTTTTAAAAGTTACTTGTCAAACAAAACTCAACAACACAGTGACAAGTTGAATTTACATAATTCGGAAGTTTTTGTGCAGACTGAAAACATAAATTCTGGACATGTGAACATTCATACTGATGCTCCGATTGACGATGAAGACACTCCGATGATTGAAAATACTCCAAAAACCAATCTCGGTATTACGGAGAGACATCAAGACGATCATGACAACAACGTTGTCTCTCAGAGTACAAGTCATTCCACTCAAATTACTCATAACGACATTCCTCAAGAGCAACCAGAAATTGATCCTGCTTCAATCAACTCTCTTTCTACAACAAAAAAGACAAACCTCGAGAAGGTCAAGAAGCAAGTGAAAAGACCATCATCATCATCAGGAGCGTCACTCATTGATTCTGAATCGGAATTGACATTACCATCTCAATCTCTCACCCCACCACCTGCCAATGATATTCAAGTAACTCCAAAGAAGGAAAAGAAGCAATTATCAAAGAAACCTACAAATATTCCTACCGTTCACTATCTCTTTATGTGTGATAGAAATGAACTCAGCAACAACAACAACTGTATGAGTGACGAGGAGTGGATTTCAAAAATTAAGAATCAAGTACCCAATGATGTCAAAATGCAACAGCCAACAGATTCATCAAGAGATCAAAATATCAAAGTGAATTTTGTCTTATTCAGTACCAGTGATCGACCTCCATCTCAAATCAAGGATGATTCCTCAAAACAAATGCAATTTGTGCAAATTGTGGAAAATAATATTCAAAAAACAGTGAACAATTATGTGAAAGAAATGGTTAAGGATGATTATGACATGATTGTTTTCATTCATGGCAATTCTTTTCCGATATCATTTAGTTACTATCAAACTTGGGACATGTTAGACGAGATGGATCAAGTAGGAAGTATTACCATTCTTTCAAAAACTGCCAAGATAAAAACTGTGGGTTGGAATATAAGAGCTCGATCGTGTGATGGAAAATCTAAAGCATTCTCTCTGGTGAAGCATCTTGCAGGATATGATGTCACTATATTCTCTGATTACAATTTAAATAAGAATGGAAATCCAAAGCATGCAAAATCAAGATTCGATGACGACGTTGATATTTTCCTTCCTGATTTTAATGGACTCTCCATGTTGAAAAAGACCTTCATTTCAGTTCAAGGATTCAATGAAAAACTTCATAAGGACTATGCTCTTGATTTAATGTTGAAGGTGTCAAAGAATTCATTCAGCTCTCTATTTTCTTTGGACAATATCATTCAAAGCTTTGATCATTCTGCTGAGGATGAGGAAATTGTGTTTAGAAATGAGAAAGAAGTGTCACAAAGATGTGGTAACAGTCCATCATCGGCCCGTTCTGCTGAAGCCTCTCTCCACTCAGTCTACTATGAAACGATGATGAGTACGTTCAATGATCGACTATTTTTGAGAAATGTTGAATTAGTATATACCATTACTTCACTCGACTCTACCATTCTTCAAGAGGCTGCAACAAATTTGGCTGCTCTGGAAGGAAAAGTAATGATTACATTGAAGGTACCTCAAGATCTTGAAAATAATGCAATTTCACTGTCCAAACAGATTGAACATCTTGCACCACATGTTAGAAATGTAATGAATAGAATTGAGAGCATGTCATTCGTCCAAGCACAAGCTACCAATACCAATCAAAAGGTCTACTTTAACCACGGAAATCCACCTCAGTTTTCATGCCCCACTGGTTCCTCATTGTGCATTGGAAAAACTGCCATCAAGCCATCCTCAGAAACAAAAATTCCAAGTGATTGGGTCAAGTCTTGCAATTCAGCAGTGGATCAAGTTTGGGTCTCTTCCAAATTTTCGTTTGAAGTGTTGAGGAGTGCTGGTGTTAAAAAGAAGAAACTTGTGTTTGTACCAACAGGAATTGATACAAAAATGCTTAGACCAAGAGTTAAATTTCCCAATTCAAAATCTGCTTCTTCTGGCAATATGTTCAAATTCTTGACTATATTGGATTGGAATAACAAGAGGTATGTAGATTTGAGAAGGTAATTTCAAGAGTTGAGTTAATGCATTCACAATTTTGAATGGTGACAACTTTTCGTTATCGTCCTTCACGGTAGTGCTCGAGATGTGTTATTAAAGGCCTTCATCGATGCTTTCTCTTGGAACGACAAGGTCTCACTCACCATCAAACCCATACAACCTCTTCAAACACGAGCAAGTTCACAGCAACTCTTACAAGACGTTATTAACTCGTTAAATGTCACCAAAAACGATATCACCACTCTACCACGAATTGAACTTCTCTCTGTGAATATTCCTGCATCTAAAATGCCAGAATTTTATCAAAGATTTGATGCATTCGTCATGGTAAGTGGTGTCCTCTGAGAAATTGTTGAGACTAATACCTCCTGATAACTCCATCATTGTCATGTGTGGCACGAATTTACATTCACAGCCTGGAGAGATTGAACAAGTATCTACCTTGTTAGAAGCCATGGCCTCTGGTCTAATCACAAGTAAGTACTCTCTCTTTGAGACTCTTTTTTAATGCTCAAACACACACTTATATATAGTTGCTCCTGAAAGCATGGACACTCTCGACTTTATGAATGAAGCCAATAGTTTCCTCCTTCCTGATGCATCATCTTCAGCAAGAACAACCACTCAATATACCACCACGTATTACCTCTCCGAAACATTTTCCTACCTTCTCAAGAATAGGAAGCAACTTGAGGAGGAGATGAGTCAGAGAGCCCGACTCGATATGTTGGATTTCTATGATCAGAGTACGGTGATTCGGGAATTCTGGTTGGAACGAATGGATCCATATGTTGGAGAGGGGCATGAAGAAGAAGAATCCCGATCTTCCTCCTTCACTACTCAACAAAAAGGAGAAGACAATATTCAGAAAGACTTGAAGGTTTCATTCAAACAACAACTACAACAACAGAACAACAACAACATTCAACCCAAAGTAGAATAGAAGAAGAATACACCCATTCAACAAGAAGAAGGAGATCAGCCAACCAATTCCCTCAATGGAGAACTCGACAACAACAACAACAGCAAGGAAACCTTCAACCACATCAACAACAAGAAGGAGTTTTAAGTGGTTGTTTTTATTGAAATAGCGTAAATATCAAATGGCGCCATTCGAGTTTACAAAATTTTGGCCAAAAAAAATGAAGCAAAACACTCGATATGCTTCTCCTCAAATGACCGGAACAACCTCCTTGGGGATTCTTGCAACTACTAGTACGGTTACTTCTCTACAACAACAACAACAACAACAGGAAGCAACAACTTTGACATCGGAAAGCATTTTACCAGCTAATCTGAATGAAAATCATGGCTTTGTAGCTCAAGAGGAAGAAGGAATGGTTTATGGATATTTGAGAGGAACTAATGAGAGTCACTATGTATTGGATAAAAAGAGGATGATCATTGGAAAGAATGCAGAGACTTGTGATATCGTTCTGCCGAATAGTAAAACGATATCTGGAGAACATGCAAAAATTGAATTTAGGAAGGCATCTAACAATTCTTATCTATGTATTTTAACTGATCTTCAGTCACAAAATGGAACGCTTGTAAATGACAAAAGATTGTACCTAGATGTCACCATGAAGCAATTAAATAGCGGCGATAAACTCAGATTCGGATTTGATAATATTACCTACACCATAGAGTTGCTTTATGATCCAGAACCAAAGAATCGAGAATCGATAGATGAGAGGGGATTTATTGGCGTTAATTTAAATCCAGATTTTAAACCAGGGAAAAGCAAAATACGAAGGAGCAAATCGTTTGATAAACTTCCAATGTCCAAAAAACCAGCTGCAAAAGTTTCAAAACAATTTAAGGAAAAGTTGGAGTCCCAACAACAAGAATTCAAAAGTTTACTGGAACAACGAAGAACTCAAAAGAAAAGCAAAAACGACCCTTCTACGATTACATTCCAAACTGCATCTGGATCAAAAACTGTACCCCTCTCGGAACTTGAAAGTGACGAAGAAGATGCGATATTATCAGAGACACCAAATGAAGATTCCAACGAAGATATACAACTAGTGACAGAAAAAAGTAACCTTCACAAAACGAATGGAAACAATAGAGAGAACTCTCTGGACAAAATCTCTGAGAGACTTGTAAATATCGAAAAAACAATCATGCAGGATCAAAAAAAGGAAGAGAAAGATCTCTACCATATGAACGTACTTGTAAATACTGTACATTTACTGGCACATAAGCTTTTAAACGAACAACAACACCTTGGTTCTCAACAAACTTCAGAAAAATTACTCGATCATGAAAAATCAATGAATTTGAAAGAAATTATGATCGAAAAGCTCACAGACATCAAAAAAACCTTAATGTCTTGTTTGGCACAAAATGAAAAAAAGGCAGGAGAAACAGAGAAGAAAATTCTTGAACAAGAATCTCTAAGAACACAAGGTTTAGAACGATACGTAACAGAGCTACAAAATGAGCTTGACAACATAAGGTTCGAGCTAGAACGGAAAAATCTTCTAATTGAGGAGTTGAAACGACAAACACAAGATCGAAAAAAAGACCAAGACACAATCAAAACGTTACGAGATTTTCTTGATATGAAAGATAAGGACATGAAAGAAATACAAGCACAATTAACGTCACATTCTCTTGTTGGATATACAAGTGAGGCTGCAAAATCAAGAATGCAAAATTTAATTGCAAATTTAATGAAAGATTTGGAGGAGAGTAAGAGAAAAAATCATGAATACCAAATTCGGCTCGATAAGAGATTATTTGAATGGCAGCAATTGAAAGAAGAGAATAAGAAATTAAGTTTTAGAGTTTCTGAACTGCAAGAGACTATTCACAGACAAATGAACGATTTACATGTGGTCTTGATGCATAAGGAACAAAAAATCAATGCATGGAAATCTAAGGTAGCGGAACTTGCCTCAGATAACAACGAAATGAGATACAGGGCTGCTAGTTTCTTACTTTCATTAATTAGTGAAGGAGACAGAAAAGATACGGAGCTCATGTTAAAATATGAAGAGGTCAAACGGAGCTTAAGCTTCACGCAAATGGAAAACAATGAATTGCGAATGGAAATTAACAATTTGAAAGACGTTCTCCAATACACTGACACTCACAGTACCAAACATACCATTGATATGTTAAAAGACAAAATTTATCAAATGGAAATCGAATGCTCTGTGGAAAGAGTGATTGAAATGCAAAACACCATAGAGGTGTTAAATTCGAAAATATCAGAAATGGAACGACTACAACTTCTCTATCAGCAAGAAATTTCAAAAACGAGACAAAAGCAGAGGCCATTCAACGAAGAAGCATGTGTTTCTTCGTTGGAAAGGAAATTGCAACTCTATGAGAGGAAGATCGAATCATTAAGGAAACAGTTGGATGAAAAATCAATCTCGGATCATGTGAGTAAGAATGATTTTTTATATTCATCTGAAACTCTTCCCACCAAGAGTCAAAGAAGGACCTCTGTGGAACAAGCACCAAAGGAGCAACTAGTGAGAGTGGAACCAACTGATATTGCGGGTAACATGTCAAACAATCATCGATCAGGATCAACAAAAGCATCTTCACCACGAGAAGAGAAACAAAACGAACCAAATGCCAAAGCTCTTGCTGTGACAGACATTTCTGAAATGAAACCAATACCCCCAGAAGTCGAGCAAGTCAAAAACGAGTCCATTATTCTTGACCAATGAAAATAATAATTTAATTAAATAATTTATTTTATTGTTTGTGAGCTGATTACATTCTTCGTGTGGCTTGAAGATATTCTCTAATCATTCTAATTTGTGTTTGTTGAGCTGAGTTTAGTGTAAGAATTGTAGCTTCATTTAGATTCAAAATTTGCTCTTTCTGTTCATTTGTCATTCCAGCCAAAACTGCTTGAATCTCGCTATTAGGTGGTGGCATTGATGAAGCAGGCTGCTGTTGTGGTTGGGCTCTTCTTGGGTCCATATTCATCCTAGGATCAGTAGCCATTCCCATGCCACTCATTGGTGGTTGCATTTGCATTTGAGGTGATGGCATCACCATTTGATTAGGTTGTTGCATTACCATAGGAACAAAAGGTTGACTGATCATTTCCAATATATATTGAATGTGTAAAATCACTACTGCTAAAGTTGGATTTTGTGCTAAAATTTGTCGAGCTAAATCAGGATTTGTTTGTACTAATTCTTTCATTTCCAAAAGACATTCATAGAGTTGTTGTTTCGGAATTTGTTTTAAAGCATCCATCACTGGATCTTGAGAAATATCCTGCATTATATCATAGCTTCCCGATGAAGGTACAGTCATCATGGGTGTATTCATCATCATGGACGGATTCATATCAACCATTTGATTACCTAGTCTAGGATCGCTTCTTGGTGGTATTCCTCCCATTGCCATACCACCCATACCAACATTAGACATCATGGGACTCGGTGTGCTTATATTTGAGCCAATATTTCCCGATGATGAAATCGGAGCCTCTCCTTCTCCTGGCATATTAATCTTGTTATTATCAGCAAAATCCACTCTCAATTTTCTTCCATTGAAATCTCTGCCATCCAGATTCTTCATAGCGGCCATTGCACTTGCCTCATCAATAAATTCGCAAAAAGCATAGCCTTTTGGCTTGTTCGTTTCACGATCATAGACCATCCTAAAATTTACCACTTGTCCGGCCTCATTGAAGAGTTGTTTTAACTTTTCAAGCGGAGCATCATAGGCAATATTTCCAATGAACACACACCGTGATGGATTTCTGTTGGTTTTGCTCATTTTGTTTTTTTTTGAATATCAATTCGAGAGTTTTGATTACTGTAAAATATTTGATGCCTATTTAATAGTATATTTAATTAATAAAATATAATAATATATTTACATATATATTATTGTTTAATTCTAAATAATATTATTAGTATTATTTAGAATTAAACAATGATGAGAATGTTTTTCACAATTGTTGAATCACAGAAAGTGAGAGAGCCATCACTGCACTATTCACTTGAGCTTGATAAAATTTGGAATTTAGATCTTGGGGAGGACCTTGCCACTGCACCGAAAATAGGTTCAATTCTTTCGTTCGAGCCGATTCCCACAAACTTTGTACAGAATTCTGCAACACGTTTTGAATTTTTGATAAAGAGTTGTCACTCTTCTTTGTAAAGTCGTTGAGTTGCGTGGTGAATAAAAATTGTAAATATCGAAATCCAATACCCTTAAATTGCATACAATCACTCTCACAGTTATTTCCATCAAATAAAATAGGTCCATTGTCAATCATCGACGATTTGGTATCAATCACTTCATGAGTGATCATAAAGTTTGCAATTTTCATGGCAATTTGTAAATAAGTTTCATTTCGTGTCACTTTGTATAAATTTGTGGCAGCTCCAATCATGAGTCCTTCATTATAAGTAAATCTCCATTGACATTCTTTGAATCCATTTTGAGCTGAGATGTGATCACACACCGAGTACATGTGTTCTCCATTCTTAAGGACCATATTCTCAAACCAAAATGAAAATACTTGTTGTGAAAATTCCAAATAATGTTCTTCTTGAGTTTCTTGATAAAGAAGTGAGGCCAATAAAGCAGGACCAGCATTAGAGGCTGTTGCTTTCTGAGAATGTTCATAGTCCCACCAAATTCCTCCTTTCATGGTGCCACAACATGTGACATCCCAATTCACAACAATTTTCGAATACAAATACAAACAACGTTCAAAATAGGTTTGATTTCTAGTGAGTTGATACGACCAAAATAATGTCAATGCCATCCAATTCATGTCATCAATGTAGGGTCGTTCCCATCCAATTTTATCTTGACCTGTATACAAGTCGGAAATTAATTTCACATATTGCGGGAAAGTGAGATCTGTGCGATTTCGACTTGTGAAATTTTGAGACACTCGAAGTGCGTTATCGACAATGGCATTAAATCCCTGTGCAAAGGTCCAATATGCAGTGAGTCCTGATGATGAAGAAGATGGTTGATTCAAGAACGTATAGTGATCCCGAAAATACTGATGTTGAGGATCGTAGAATTTGGAGAGGAAACTTTGAACGGAGAGAGCGGCTCGTTCGATCAATACTTCTTGTGGTGGAAGTGACAATGATGAGGATTTGGTTTTGATGAAAGGTAGCAAGAATAGACCCATAAGAAGTAGCAGCAGAATTATGCAAAGTAATTTTGGGAACATTTTTTGCTTTTCCGTTTCACAAAAGTTGTTTGTGTGGAATTTATGATGAGATGTAAAAAGTCCAAACGATTGTTCACATTAAATCATTCAGTATTATTCTTGAATGTATTTTTCTTTCAATGAATCAACTTTAGAAGGCTCTAATTCTGGGAATTCATAAAAGGTATTGAAAATAGATTTAACCATGAGTATCTCCTTGTCTTCCAAAAACATAATGATCATGTCGAATCTATTCACTTGTGAAATTTGATCCATAATGTCAAAAGCTTGGAGGACTAAATCCTTATCAAATGGTTTTCTAACAAAGTATTTCAATAAGCATTCAATGATCCCTGAGAAAATTTCAGGAGACAATGAGTCACGGAGTATTGTTATAAATCGTTTAGGTGGGAATGCTTTGAGGTAATTGGCCAAATCTTCTCCTTTCAATTCATTATAATATTTTTCAAACTCAAAGAATGATTTTGGCGCAGATTGAGGAATTGAAGGTTTAAGATGAATTGTGAGTGTCTCTGGGACCGAAGTTGTTGCTGACTTGGTGGAATTTGTTGCGGGCTGTGACGTTGGCTTAGATGGTTGTTGCACATTTTTGTTATCAACTGGCTTGCTCGTTTCAATATTTTGTGTTGGTTGCGAGGTAGCTGCCTTCTGTTGCATATCTTTCAAATTTGTTGAAGCTCCACTTGTTATTAAATCCTCAATAACTTCCTCTTCAACTTTAGGTGGTTTTTTTCCCTCAACTAGCGTTGTTTGTGGCTCTCTCATCGGTTCTTGCTTCGTGGAAGATGGTTTACTCGTTTGTGGTACTTCTGGACTAGTCTTTTCGGTTGTAGTTTTTTGGGGCTTTGGAACGACAACCTCCTCTTCTTCTTCTTCTTCCCCTTGGATGGTCACTTTCATTCCTTTTCCTTCCTCACTCTTTTTCAACAATTCGATAGCCTTTTGAAGCTCTCTCTCAGTTTCCGTATGGTTTGGATTTAGTTTTCGTGCATACTCAAAGTCATCCTTAGATTCCTTATATTTTTTTAATTCTCTTCTTGCCATTCCTCTTCTCATGTAGCTTTTAACATAACTACTGTTAAGGGAAATTGATCTTGTAGCGTCCAATTCCGATTCCTTAAAGTTTCCAAGTTTAAAATATGCTTGACTTCTATTACTATATACAACAGCATCTTGTTTAAATTGAAGACTTTTTGAATAATATTCTACAGCCTTATCGAAATTCCCTTTTTTAAAAAAAATCATTTCCAGTTTCTTTTAATTTTTCTGCTTCTTCGTCGGGATCAATGGAGGGTTCAGAAGTGCCTCTCACAGGCCGATATTTCTATGGGTTCATAAAATCGACAAGAATTGGTTATATTATATTAAAGAATCCCATCAACAACATGAATATTATCAAAATAACATTGTATATATAATTCAAAGAGTGTTGTATGAAGATGATGATGAAATGGTGGTTGTCATGTAAATATGATATTTTACATGAAAATCTTGATGAAAATCAAGCATACCTTTTTTTGTGATCCCTCTTGCAACTTTTTATCCTTCTCCGAAATGTCTTTGGTCCACTTTTTCAAATCCGAAACAAAATCACTGTATTCTTGCGCATTGTTTCGAATTTGTTGTTGCATTTTGATCAGGTTTGCAGCATGACTCATTTTTTTGCTTGTTGTATGAACCTTAAAGTTGTATGAGTCAACGCGTAATGTTCGTTGAGCAATTTACAATAATTCGGAATAACCCTGTTGCCATTTGTAAAACATGTGCAACGACTGTGTCGTCATCCTGAACCAGTATACTGCGATTCGGGTGTTCTTGTCACCTCAGGGGCAAGGATGCTTCAATTCCAACCCGCAATTCATCAAGGAAGTTAAATTAAAAAAAGAACGCTCAAGGTTCACGCCGCTTATTAATCCTTTAAAAAAAATGTTGTCCTCGTCATCCAACCACAACCACAACAGCAGCAGCCAGGACCGAATGGTCGATGAAGATCACCAGGAAGTCGATGAAAAGCTCTACAGCAGACAATTATACGTGTTGGGAGTGGATGCCATGAAGAGAATGCAACAATCCAATGTTTTGATTTGTGGATTGGGAGGTCTCGGTGTTGAAGTGGCCAAGAACGTGATTCTTACCGGAGTGAAGAGTGTTACTCTCCATGATCCAAAGAATGTAACCTTTGATGATCTTTCTGCACAATTCTATGCTTCTGAGAAGGACATTGGTCAAAATAGAGCAGAGGTCTCTCTTCAACAACTCAAAGAATTGAATCAATACGTTCCTGTTAAGATTCATAAAGGAGATTTGACCGAAGACTTTATCACACAATTCGCTGTGGTTGTGTTCACCGATACACACATTCCTCAATTGGTGGAAGTGAATGAAATTTGTCATAAGCATAACGTGAAATTTATTGCCTGTGAGAGCAGAGGCTTGATGGGATCAGTTTTCTGTGATTTCGGAACCAACTTTACAGTCTATGACCCTGATGGTGAGAATGTTGTTACAAATATTGTTACCGACATTACAAATGGATATCCAGCAACAGTAACAGTCTATGATGATAAACCAACTCATGGTCTCTATGATGATGAGTACGTTCAATTTGAAGGAATTGAAGGCATGGAGGAAATCAACAAGGTGTCAGAGCCTATCAAGATTAAAGTATCTGGAAAGCATACTTTCAAGATTGATTTGGACACAACAAAATTCGGAGAATACAAGTCTGGCTCGGGAGGTTATGTGAAACAAGTCAAGGTTCCAACATCACACTCCTATCAACCACTCAAAGATCAACTTGCCAATCCAACTTGTATCGACTTTGATTTTGCCAAATTTTCACGACCACAACAAATTCATCTTGCCATGCTTGCCTTAAGTGAATTCGAAAAGAGAAATCAAAGTCTTCCAAAACCTTACAACAAGGCAGATGCTGAGAGATTGCTTGAAATTGCTAAAGAAATCGCTCCAGAGGCACTCAAGGAACATTTGGATGAAAAAATTGTCAAGCTATTGGCTTACACTTGTAGAGGTAATTTGAATCCAATGGCTGCCTTTTTGGGTGGTATTGTCGCTCAAGAAACTCAAAAAGCATGCAGCGGTAAATTCTCTCCTCTTAATCAGTATTTCCATTTTGATGCCTTGGAGTGTTTGCCTGAAGATGAGAACTTGTATCCAGCTGAAGAGGATTGCCAACCAACTTCTACACGATATGACGGTCAAATTGCTGTCTTTGGTAAATCATTCCAACACAAATTGGCCGATGTCAAAGAATTTATTGTTGGTGCTGGTGCCCTTGGATGTGAATTTTTGAAAAATTATGCCATGATGGGTGTTGGTTGTGGACCAAACGGAAAAGTTTTTGTCACCGATATGGATAGCATTGAGGTTTCTAACTTGAACAGACAATTTTTGTTTAGAAGAAGACACGTGGGTCAACAAAAATCAACAACAGCTGCTGAAGCCGTGAAAGCAATGAATCCTGAATTTCATGTCATTGCTCTTCAAGACAAGGTTGCACCAGAAACTGAACAAACTTTCGATGATGATTTCTGGGAACAATTAACCGGAGTGACCAATGCTTTGGACAACGTTCAAGCTAGATTGTATGTTGATACACGATGCGTGTACTATGGAAAACCACTTCTAGAGTCAGGAACTCTCGGTACCAAAGGTAACACTCAAGTCGTGGTTCCAAAATTAACCGAATCATATGGTACAACCAGAGATCCACCAGAAAAGGAAATTCCAATTTGTACTCTCAAGAACTTCCCTAATGCCATCGAACATACCATCCAATGGGCAAGAGATGCATTTGAAGGATTCTTCAACAAGGTGCCAAATGATGTCAACACTTATTTATCAAAGACAGATTATATTAAGGAATTGGACAGTCTTGCATCCAAGAAGGCTGTTTTGGAGAATGTTTATGAATCGCTCATTACTAACAAACCTCTGTCTTTTGAAGACTGTATTACATGGGCTAGACTCAAGTTTGAACAACTATTCAGAAATAATATTATGCAACTCTTGTACAATTTCCCACTTGACATGGTGACATCAACAGGAACTCCATTCTGGGGTGGAGCTAAGCGTCCTCCAGTTCCATTGAGCTTTGATCCAAACGATCCACTTCATTTGGACTTTATTGTATCTGCTGCCAACTTGAGAGCCTTTATTTATGGTTTGAAGGGTCATTCTAAAGACGAATATGACTTTAAGGCTGTAGTTTCAAAGGTACATGTACCTCCTTTCCAACCAAAGAGCGGTGTTAAAATTCAAAGCGATGAAAAGGAGAATAAGGAACCAGAACAAGAGTTTTCCGATTCTGACGAACAAGAAATGCAACACATGCAATCACAAATTCCAAAGCCAAACGACATGGCAGGATTCCGTTTGAACGTTGCCGAATTTGAGAAGGATGATGATACTAATTATCACATTGATTTTATCACTGCAGCAAGTAATTTGCGTGCTAGAAATTACAAGATTCCTGAAGTCGATAGACACAAGACCAAAGGTATTGCAGGTAAAATTATTCCTGCAATGGTTACTACCACAGCGCTTATCACAGGTCTTGTAGGCTTTGAGTTTTATAAGGTATGTTATGCTTTGTTATTTTCACAAATTATTTTGACCTTTTTATTATGCGCATTCATATCTTTCGTGATGTGCTCTGGAGTCAACGCACTATTTCCTTGAGGTTATGATTGGCTAAAAGAACAGCTTTACGGTTAAGTGTTACACAATCGTAAAAGTTCACTCGAATAGCCTATATTTTTTCTCCTTCATTCCTCAAGGAATGGTGCTTGACAATATTTCAGAGCGCATCAATGAAAGAATGAACCATTCTTGCGCTTACACGTATTGTCACATTCATAACATACAGTTAATGCAAGGATTCGACAAAATTGCTCCTTACAAGAATGCCTTTGTTAACATTGCTTTACCTTTCGTTACCTTCTCTGAACCTGGAGAACCACCAAAGCAAAAGTATTTGGAGACCACTTGGACTCTCTGGGATAGATTCGAAATTGATGAAGGAAGAGACATCACATTAAAGGAATTTATGGATATCTTTAAGGAAAGATTCAAGCTCGAAATTACTATGATGTCGGCAGGAAAGTCCATGATTTATTCATTCTTTGGAAATAAGAAAGCCATCGAAGAAAAGATGAAGACTCCTCTTGGACAATTGGTGGAAACTGTTTCACAAACCCAATTCTTGCCAAAACAAAAGTATGTCAATTTCGAAGTTTGTTGCCAAGACTTGGAGAATGGTGACGATCAAGATGTGCCTTATGTAAGATACAAATTCAGAGGTTGGTAATGAACTGTGCAACCAAACACCACACAATTAAACACAATCTAGAATTATTATGTCAAGAATTTAATGTACACTATTGTTGTTCTTATCCAATCAATCCGTGATTAGATGACTGCTACGAAACTTTTAATCACAACCCTTTTTGTTGTGGTTGTGAAAAACAAAAGATAACAGAATTGTTGATTGCAAAAGTAATTGAATCAATTCCATGCATCATCATATTCTCATCTTTTTCATTATTGTCTCGAGCACAATTTAGAAGCAAATTCACGATAATCAAAAGTGCCATCGGAATCCACATTGGCCTCCTTCATCAACTCTTCCCAATCTTCATCCGACAATCCAGCAGCTTGTTGTAATTGATCTTTAAATTCCTTCGCATCAATTCTAAATGAATTTTTCGAATCAAACACACGCATGGCTTCAATCACATCTTCCACTTTGCTGTCATCACGAATTAATTTATTTACCACATTCATAAATCCTTGCAAATCAATTCCTTCTTTTCCAGTCAAATTTGTTTTCTTTGCTTCCGTTATGAGTGATTTTAAATTATCTTTTGCTCCCATTGCTTTCAGGAGGCCTTCCATTTCCTTTTCAGAGACAAGACCATCTCCGTTGATGTCCAGCAAAGAGAAGGCTTCTTTGAGTTCTTTTTCGTCTTGTTGTGAAATGATGGCCATTTGTTGATGTTGTTGGAGGTGTGTGGTTGTGTGTGACGACGGTTATTGTTACAGGAATTTTTTTGATTCTTCTTTCCAAGTGACAACTGGCATCTACTTTCACTCCGTAAAAAGGTTTAGACGAAACTCTCGATCATCATGGTACCTTTCTCATGATCTTTGGTTTTCTACTCTTATTTTCTCAATACGTGTGATGAAGTTTTCAAATGATCATATCTTTCTTCCTTCAACTCCAACACATCCTTTCATCTGTTTTATTTAATTTATGAATTATTATAAAATAAAAATGAATCCAAAGAAGCCTCCTTCTCTGTCCATTGTTGCTGCCAAGAATGCTTCCTCATCCTCATCATCGGGAAGGAACAACACGACACGATCGGGATCGGGAGGAACACCTCCTTCAGCAACATCAGCCTCTTCTACATCAACACCTGTGGCCATATCACCACAGCAACAACATTCAAGTGTACCATTACCAACCTCTACTACTTCTCTCGTGATGGCTGTGAGAGGCTTATCCTTGTTGTGGAGTAATTTTGAAGGCGATTGGATATCATCATCGGAACCATACAATCAAGATACAGAGAATAGTTTATTGGTATATTTGGAAAGATTAATTGAAAAATCCATGCACAGTGGTGGAGTCTTGAAACGACGGAAAGAGTACCAGCAAAATATGGATGAAGAAGAAAACGAGTTTGAGAATACGGAAGAATATATTAGTACGATTGATAAACGTGTCAAGACCACATTTTTCGAGATTGTACAGCACAAACGAAGATGGCTCGAAGAACGAAAATTTTTTGAAAATTTAAATATTTGTGAAACGGTTGATGTGATTGGCATGCCAAATCTTGACCCACATTTTCGATATAAGAATAGAATTAGATTTTGTAATGATGAGTCGTCTAATGGAGTAGTGTTTGATCCTTACACATGCTTTCTAGTGAGCTTGGAAAATAAGACCTCATTGAGAAACGAGATTGATTTTTGTAAAAAGGAGGGAAAAAGAGTGGGTGACGAAAGAGTTTACAAAATAACGTCTCAGTTAATCAGCACTGTACATTACATGCATTTGTTTGGCGTTTTCCATTCATTACTCTGCCCTGAACTGATTTGTATTGCTGACAATGTAAGTTTGATGCAAGTTTGAAGACTTCAAATGTTAACCTCCTTCACTTTTAAACAGGGAGATATAAGACTCAAAGACCCTTTTTATTACCACATGATTGCATGGATCAATGGAAATATACCTTCCACAAGTTTATATTTAAAGGAACCACGAGATTTTGAACTCTTAGTTCCGTATTTGGCTCCTGAGCTATTTGCATTAGCATGTTATGAGGATAATTTCTTTAAAAGCGTAAACAATAAGTGTGACGTTTGGTCCATTGGAGTTATATTGATGGAATTTATTCTCGGTAATAGAATTCCTTTTGCGACCAAAGTTGACACGAAATCCCAATCAAAAGAAGATTGGAAAAGCTCAGCAACAGAGATTTATGTAAATATCCACAATTTTGTAGAGTTTTGTAAAATCAAGAATGAAGAAAATTCAGATGAACAAAATACCTACACACAATTTGAAGACCCGTTATACAAGAATGCTTGGAAAAGAATTCAACGATTTGATAAGACATTTAGAGATTTGCTTTTTGCTTGCTTGGCTTTTTTACCAAGTGAGCGCCCAGATTTAGATTGGCTTATTGAACAACCATTTTTTGAAATAATTTCCAAAGAAAAACTGGCCCATATCTCCTGTAGAATTACCAAGTTCCCACATTTCAAAAGTTTTGAAGACAAGATTTCCAATTTTCCACATAACAACAAGGAGGTTACCATTACAACATCTCTCACAAATCCACTCCAAGAAAAACAAAATATTTTCAAAAAGAGATACCAAGAATGGAAAGCATTATATGAATCTAAAATAATGTTATTTGATTTTTTCTATAGAAGAATTTTTGATCTAAATATTACTCCCTTCATATTTAGGAATAATAAGAGGTCTCCAGGTACAAGATACTTTTCGAGTGGTATTTCACAATTTATATTCGACAGTTATGTACTGATTCCATTTTCATGCCTTGAAGATGCTGTGAATATCATCAAATCCTACAATAATAATGCACTTGGAATTTCAACAACAAATTCACCACAACTGCAGACCTCCAATGAAAGTCCAACTCCTTCTGAAGATACATTATGCCCATCATTGATTCACGTGTCAGGAGATATTGGCAAAAAACGAAGTCTCTACAACAATAAGGACACCAATATCACATGGACCAAATTTTCTGCGTTAATTGGAGAAAAGGATATGGACTTTGCCTATCAGCAGCAAAGAGTTCATACATTCAGAAAACTCTTGCTCAATTATCCATTCTCTAGGGATGAAATTATTAGGGAAGCAAAAATAGACATTCCCTCAATTTTAAGGTATGTAATGAAATAATAATGAGATGATTCAACCAATACCTAATTATTTATTTGAACATCATTTTCAAGGGGTGAGATTTGGGCAGCCATTTTGGGAACAGAAGATGACTTGGAAGCCGATTCCCTCTACTTTAAAATTTCACACGATCTTCAGAGGCAACCTCTCTCTAATGTGACTAAACGACAAATATCAGTCGATGTTCCACGGTGTCATCAATATAATCCTCTTTTGCATTCAAAAATTGGACAAGAAAAATTGAGAAAAATCCTTGAAGCATGGGTATTCTATCACAAAAACTCGAATTTGGTGTACTGGCAAGGTCTCGACTCTCTGTGTGCTCCATTCCTTTGTCTGCACTTTGATTTTGAAGCAAAAGCGTTTTGTTGCCTCAATGCCATGGTTAACAAATATTGTCACCAATTTTTCACATCTCACACCAATTCAACAGCAATGGAAGAGCGTTTGGCAATATTCAAAAAGTTACACATGTATCATGATCCAGAACTGGCTGGTCACTTGCACCATATTTCCTTCTCGCCAGAACTTTATGCTATAAGTTGGTTCTTGACCTTGTTTGCTCACTCTTTACCAATTGAAAAAATCTACAAACTGTGGGATGCCATCATTTTAGGATCATCTGATTTACCGATATTTATTGCAGTTGCAATTTTAAAGCAAATGAGAACACGAATTTTACAAGCTGATTTTCACAATGCCATGTACATTTTCCAGAATATTCAAGGTGTGAACATTATGCAAGTTTTGGAGGATTGTAAACGAATTGAGGAAAAGACACCTCGTGGCTTAACATGTCCAAAGTTCTTGCAACAATCACCATCTTCTCCCTACTTTATTTCGATTGAAGGATATAACAGAGATTGTTTATATCCAAGAATTACAATGCAAGATTTTGAAAAATCAACACTTCCTTCAATTTCATTCTTGATTGATATTAGACCAAAAGCTGACTTTGATGCTCACCATGAACCATCAGCATTTCACATTACAAGATTCAAACCTGATGATGAAAACGAAAGCAATGAAGGCAAACAGGCATCGTCACCTTCTGCAACTCGATTTCAAGACGCTTGGTCCTCACTCGAGCAAGAACAGGATGAATATCCACCAGAAGTGTATTTGGGCTACTTGAATCAACTCGCAACAGAGTTGCATTTCAAGAAAGGACTTCCCATTGTGGTCATTGCAAATAACAAGGACGTTTCACAACGTGACAAAGTATTCCAATTAGAGAATAAGCTCATGTTGGAATCAATTCCATATGTCTCAATCATTCTAGATTATGACCGAGACGATAATGATGCTGCTCCTTTACAATGATACCTTTCATGTGCAAAAGTGAAACACTTGAGCGGCGATACTACAATTCTAATGAGACCTCTCACTTCCATCTCGTTTGCCACTCTCTCTCAACAGTGGCTGAATAAATTTTCAAGAAAGATGTTTTACAACCTTAAAAAAAATGTTGAAACATAAAACAGCACGTTTCTTGATGACCATGCATTCTGCTTTGGGATGCAAAAAAACGAATACAACAAACATTTCATTATTCTTGCAGAAGAATAGCATGCAATTATTTAAAAACCCGATGAATGGCGTAATTGCTGAATATTCAAAGAGTTCAATCAAGAAAAAGAGTCTTAAAGACACTCCTCCGAGCCATCATCATCATGAAAAGAAAGCATCAATTTCCGAAAATTTGGCTTGTAGCAATGAAAATGCAGAGTTGCTCAAGAATTTAACTATAAATTCTCATCCTGATGGAGATTTTAATACATATGAACAAGAGGCCATCGTCTCAGAACAGCATCATGATATCAAATATACAAAAGAAGAAGAAACTGGAACACTTCAAGCTCCTCCTGGACTCTATGTTGTAGCCACTCCCATCGGAAATATGCATGATCTATCAGGTAAGAACTTCTATGATTCAATAGAATGATATGGAACACATCTCTTGAATATTTGCTTCATGAATCAAGAGAGAGCCAGACACATTCTAAAATCATCACAAATGATTGCTTGTGAGGATACACGAACCACTAGGAAACTTCTTCATTTTCATTCTTTAGAATCCAATCCACCTCAACATTTAATAAGTTTTGTCGAAAATAAGAACGCTACTGAAATTTATAGTCAATCCAGAAAACATTTAAATTCCATTTTGAGCAAATTAACCTCCTCAAGTCATGTAGTCTCTCTTGTGAGTGAATGTGGATCTCCCTGTATCAGTGATCCAGGTTGGATGTTGGTGAAGAGTTGGTAGGTGAAATAATAATTGAGAACAATAATCTAATTTCACACTTGTGTATTTATTGAACATCATTGGAAATATGATTTTAATCCATCTTAGTCATGAGCATGGTATACCAGTGTATTCCGTACCTGGCCCTTCTTCCATTATTACAGCACTCATGATTAGTGGTTTCAATGGCAATCGATTTATCTTTGAAGGTTTTTTACCAACCATTCCCAAAAAAAGAAGAAAATTATTGCAAGAAATGAAACAAATCCAAGGAAATCGTTGTTTAGTATTCTTTGAAAATCCAAATAGAATCAAACAAACTCTACAAGATTGTTTGGAAATATTTGGACCTCAACGACAGATTGCTTTGTGTTTTGAGCTGACCAAATTATTTGAAAGAGTTCAAAGAGGAAAGCTTTCAACGATTGCAAGAGCAATGATGAACGAAGATATTAAGGGTGAATGCACCATTATTATTGCACAAGATGAGGAAAAGGACCAAATTATGGAAGATTAACAGATGTTATACATTTGACAATCAATAGGAATTATTTCATTTTAATGATGTAAAAAGTTTCGAAACTTGCATGTTCGGAATGGTTGGACAGAGATTAGTAATCTTTCAAATAATCCGTAGAGATGTGTGAACATTTGTGAATTCCGACTCATGCCGAAAATAGATTCCTTTTAAAACTATATTCCAATTCAAGAAGTACTTCATATCGGAATTTATTATTATCATATCGGGACTTGAGACATTTAAATTGCCACAGTTTTGGTGCCTAATTTGATTTCCAAGACAAAACAAAATCTTATACAACTAATAGTAGTACAACTCAAACACATTCCATCTCAGAAATGGTTCGTCACAACAAGAACACACAACTTGCCAAGCCTCAACGCAGTGGATTCGGTTTGCTGGACACATTCTTTGATGACCCATGGTTCCGAGCATTTGATAGATTCGATGATCGTCTCGAACAGGTCTGGAAGCCAACCACAGATATTAGCGAGACTGACAAGGAATTGAAGGTCATTTGCAACTTACCAGGAATTACAAAGGAAAATGTCAAGATTGATGTCGATGAAGAGAATAGATTGTTGACAGTTTCTGGACACATGGACAAGGAAAAGAAAGAAGAAAACGAGACCTATCACTGTGTCGAGAGATCTCATGGTGACTTCTCAAGAACTGTCTATTTGCCACCAAATACTGACATGAATAATATTAAGGCCAATCTTGAACATGGTGTCTTGAGAGTCATTGTACCAAAGAATGTTCAAGAAAAGAAGACCAGATCCATCAGTGTCGAGTAAGAGTTTACAATATCATGGATCATCAATAATTGGTTGTTAAAAATTGCAGAAAACACATGCAATAAAGCTGTGTGAGAACTCATGTGTAAATAATGTTGAGTCGATTTCATCGTATGATTCACATAAATAATGCATCGATTTATAATTCAAAGGTTTCTTTGTGAAGGTGGAATCGTGTTCGGAAATCACTCAATTCTCGAGTAGCATTCAAAACATCCACAATCAAACCATTCGTTCCACAAACAAACACTCCAATAATTCGTTCATGATTTGATGCTTGTTTGACTGATTCCAACAATTTTTTCACATCCATCTTTCCCAACACGACATGAGGGTTGGATGTAATTGCAATCTTCTTTGAATCGCTCATTTCTGTTTGTTGTGTAGTAATGAAAAATTGTTTCCTAATATTTGCACACTGCTGGTTGTTGATGCCATCTTCTCTCAAAACAGGGAATAAATCAATCATGGCAGGTTGTCTCAATGACCACCATACATGCACCGTTTGATGTTTGTGATCTTCTCTTTGAATAATTCCTTCCAACACGGAATTCACAAAAGTAACTCCAATTCCACCTGCAATCAAGACCACTGTTTGATATTTACGGAGAGGTATCGATAAATTTCCGTACACACCCTCCACTCGAACACTCACATTCTCCACACTTGTGTTTTCAAGTTTTTTGGCCAATTCTGCCAATCGTTTCGAATAACCTCTTTCGAGATTTCGAACATGACATGTGAATTCATAGAGACCATTTTCTTGTAATTTCTTACAACTACTCATCGTGAATGGATGGAAACCGAATGGATTCACTCTTGGAATGTATACAAACACAAATCCACCTGCATTCATATTGGCACCGATATTTAAAAATGTCATGAAACGTTTTTGGAAGGTCAAAACAGTGACTTTTGCTTGATCATCATATTTCATTCTCACCAATTTGGTTGGAACTCCAAAACCAAAGAACCATCGAAAACTCAAATCGAACAAATATAGTAAAATACTACATGCCATATATGGAAGTGTCATAATCCATCCTCTTCCGTGTGCAATAACGAGAGCCACCACCGTCAGTGCAATAATGACATGTGAATAGTAAAACAATTCCCAACATTTTCTTCGAATTGTTTCAAATGTCATTAATCCTAAAATTCCCATTAAACACCAAGCAATAAATCCCAATAATGGATAACTAATGGTACTCATCGACCACAAATAAGCGGCATTTCCTGTCATTGCATTTTCAACCAACATGGCAATAAAGTGGCAAGTGACAAAAATAAAAGTCGATCTTCCAATCCATTTGTGAAATTTGACAGCTCTTTCAAATGAAATTCCAAAAAGTGCCAACAAGACTGAATATCGACTCACTGGAAATAGAATTAAACTAAAATTCCAAACATTCACATACGCAAATGCTCTTCCAACTGGAAAACTCGTTGCATTCAAACCTCCGTAGATGGCCCATGTGATTATAATCAACCAATAAGTCACAACGAGAAGAAATTCACCAATGGATAACTCTAATAATGGATTCAATACACTTCCAATGTATCGATTCTTAATGAGAGGTAAAAGTCTTCGATACAAAAATAAATCAGTAAAGGCATTGGGATTTGCCATAATTGGTAAAAATGTGAAAAGCAATCCAACGCCCAACATGGTGAAAAACAAGACACCTGTCACAATTAAATGGAAATTGATATAATTAGGAGTGCTATTCAGTGTTGGATTTTGTTTTTCTGAGGTACTATTCGTTCCCACATATTGCAATAAATTTGCTGTAAATTTATCTCGAGTTTCATGAACATCTGAAAAGGAATTCGAACTTTTCAAATAAGCATAACTAAATCTCATGGTTTCATTTCGAATGATTTTATCTCGTGCTGTATCACCAGTATTAAGTTTTCGAGAAAATTTCACATGCAAATCACCTCCACTCACAGCACCATCCTTATTTAGTAAATTGTCAATGGGGTCTGGAATTGGAGCATTTCCAAGACCAGTCATGAACATGTCAACAATGTCAATCTTGTTATTTGTAAACCGTGCCATCACTGTATCAGCATTTAACATTCCTGAGGATGGATCATGATCAATTCCTAAACCCACCCATCCATTAGAACATCCTTTCACAATGATTCCAAAATCAATCATGGATGAATCATTGGAATTGATTTTCCAATAAAGTGAAAAACCATCCATACTCAAGAAGGAGTTGATTTTTGGATAATCGGAAGTATTGACAAGTCCACTATTGGCTTGAACGAGTGTCAAGAATAGAATGAACAATGAAAGGATTCTCATCAAAAAGAGAAGAAGACAAGATGGAAAAAGTGAGGATTGAAATCTCACTTTGCAGAAGGTTCTGTTGTGGAACATGTTCAGAGAATGTAATGAATGATTCAAGATTCACACAGTATTACGAGAAAGAATGAGAATAGAAAATGAAGATCCAATGAATGAATATGAAAAGGACGCTTCTAAATGATCAATGAATGGTAAATTATTTCTTGTTGGTGACGATCGCCGTGAACGTTTTAACAATCTACACCCAAGTTGATGCGAGGAGGAATATCTGAGAGAAGTTGTTCCTCCTTGTCGCAGGCGAAAAGAGTGGTGGTTGAGTGTTTCTTTTTTTTTTGGAAGGTTTGATTGAAAACATTTTAATGATAGATGAAATTAAAGGCAAGACATTTGAATGGTGAAAGAGGATCCTTCATTTGGTGAAATAGATGGAATCGATTGAGTAGTATTAGGATTTGGAGTGATCACCTAACATGCACTTCTGAAACAACAAAGATTCGACCAGTTTTATTGTCACCAGTACTGAGGACAATGTACATTCAACTCTCTCTCTCGATGCAGCAGAGAGAATCATCACGTATGGGATCATCTTCTTGAAGCTCCTTCTCCGACAGAAGAGAGGAAGTACAAATCGTTTCTCCAAAAAAGTACAATGGCCAAGAAGAGAAAAATGTTCGTTTGAAAACTTGAATGTTTATTCATTGTATGGAGTCTTTCGCAAAGAGAGTCATTTTCTGAAAGTATGCGTGTTTGAACATGTGTTCAATGTGTTGACAAAAAACCCAAAGCGATGTTCATCTTTATAAAAGTTAAGATCCTTAAAAGAAGATGAAGGAGTTGCCATGAACGAACTGGAAAGTTGTCATCGCACGATCGTTTCGTTTACAGTTTTTTGAGAATATGATCAGAGGTGGTACATTCACCTTAAAAACTCCTTCTTTTGTTGTCAAGATCATGATCATTCAAAGAGGGAAGAAATGATCATTCAAAGACGAGAAGTCAAATCAGAAGTTGAAATTCAATTTTGAAAAAATTGTCAGAAAGACCACCATCACACATATGTTGGCGAATTTCAACAACAACAACAACAACAACAACTCATCATCATCATCATTCGTTCAAGCCTTTACTAGGCTTCATACGAAACTAGAGAATTATTATAGTTTATCAAAGGGACAAGGGTTAGAAATGATCCCGTTTATGGATCGGCTGAACCCATTGTTAGCTTCGGATAAGAGGATTTCAAGGCTTGAATGTTTACAGATGGTGAATCGAGATTTCCATAAAGTACTATCGGCGAATGATCATGATTTTTGGATGTACATGTTGAATGATGTTTCTTTGAAGAGATGTATTGAAAGTATTTTCAGATTGTTTCCGAGACCTTTTGATATTGGATTTAATTCTCTGATACATGATACTACGTTAACACCAAAAAGTGAACAACGTGAAGAGGCTAAAATCTATAGACGTCTTTTTATGATTTATTACAAATTATTTATGAATTTCTATTTGAGTGCAAAAGCTAATAGTAATGATGGACTTGCATACTCAGCTCAGCCTGTTCAATTAGATCAAGTTGATCCCGAGGAGTGGTTGGATGTGGGAGATGTCATTTCTCAGAAATCACTCTTCGACATTCCCAAACTCTTTGACCTTTCTGCATTATATGGTTACTCGAATACGATGCTCACGACCGAGTTACTCACGAAAATATTTCTCTCGCAACCCTCCTACATGCATGGGTTGAATGATCATGTGTTAAATACCATATGTATTAATTGGAGAGACCTTTTTGACAATATTTACAAGATGCAACCTGTCAATACTAGCACTGCCAAGTCACAAAACTCATCCGCTGATACCAGCCAAATCAGAAAAATTATTTATTATCTTTACGATGGAACTTTTTCAATTAGATCCTTATTAGATGTTTTCCCATTAGCATCCTATGCATTTATGTTAGACAATCGAGAAAAGAAGACGCCAATATCCTATCAATTTTCCTTCTTGATACTCGAGTGTCATGACAAGGTCATTCCTCAATTGCAGAGCATGATTGGAGAAGACGCAGATTATTCATTCCTCTGCAAACAAATCAAACTTAATCTTCTTTCAATTGCACACGTTCTTTTCAGAGAATACTATATGAGAAATATTGAAGATCTCGTTACTGGAGCAACTCACAGCAATAGATCAACTTCAAGTCATATGGACACTCTCCATTCGAGATACATTGAAACTCTGTTGACTCGAGAACAAATTCCCCAATCTAAACTCGAACTTCTTTGCAAGTATACACTGGATAATCAAATGACACGACAAACAACTGCCATTGTTTTGGAACTTCTCGATACCCTTCAATCCTATCAAAAGTTTGTCACTCCAGATCAACCTAAACTCAATTTTCTCCTATTCCAATATGAAAAATTATATGGACTTACAAAATGGATTGAACAAGTCATTGCTAATGACTCCTCTCTTATCAGTGTTTCCTCCGTTCAAAATCTTGTCAAGAACATTTGCAGCAAGCTTGTTGAGGCAGTGAATGAAGCAACATTGCAAGGTGGCGAAGAACAGCCAACCACTGATGCTCAAAAGCAACTCAAATCTCTCTTCCCAGACTATGGCTTAGGATTCCTCCAATTGTGTTTGGAACATTTCAAGAACGATCTCTCTGTTATCACAAACTCACTCATGGACAACCAATTACCATTGCAATTGAGACGTTTGGACACGAAATTGACCTTGAGTGCCTTAAAAAGCTCACATGTTCAATCAACAGCACAACAATTGGGTCTCATTTCGTCTGGAAGCAGTGGCACCACAATAACCACTCGACATGAACCTCCATCTCCAGTTGTTTCACCATCCGTATGGATGGATACTGATTTCTTCTCAGGTGCAGCTGCGTCACAAATGGTGCGAATTGGCAAAAAGAAAGATCATGGCACGAGCTCGAGGACCAACTTTAATGATATTGATGATTCAATCAAGCAACGTATTCTACTCGAGTATGCCTACGACGATGAGTATGATGATAGCTATGACAGTATTGCACAAGTGACTGGCGAAGGAGAGCATGAAGATGAGAATTTCAACAAATTGAAAACCTCCTTCAAGCACCAACACGAACCCACAGAACATGTTCATCATCACAAACACAAGAACTATCACGAGACACTGAGTGATGATCAGCATCACCAAGACTTCCCTCAATTTAATCCAAATAGGGTTGCAGCATCTGCATCAGAAAGCAGCACAAGTGATACTACTCATCAGGCAGTCACTATTACTGCCCACCAAAAGCCAAGAAAGCAAGAACATGCTCATCCCAAACAAAAGCACAAGTCCTCTCGAGAGGTGTCATCCTCCAACAACAACAATAGCACTCTGTTACAACACCAACAACCAACGACATCATCCGAGTCGAGCCCTCCAACCAATCAGCAAGCACCTCCCTCATCAAGAGGCGTTGGTTCAGCCAATCTTCGGGGAGGCAAGAGTTCGAGAGGATTCCATCATCATCAAAAAGGTTCTTCATCAAGGCCACCTTCTTCTCGAGGTAAGCCACCCCAAGAAAGCTCCTCCGGCAATCAAGAATCGACTCCTCCTGAAGCAAGCCAAAACGATCATCACCACATGGCAGCAGTATCATCATTGCCGTCCAATAATACATTGGAAGAAAATCAACAACAACCTTCCGAACGTTACAAGCAATACAAACAAGAAAACAAAGCTCGCATGGCCAATCATGACAGAAAAAAGAAAGGTGCAAAGAAGAGAATGAATTTGTAATCGTATGTTGATACTATGGCATCTTTAATACAAAATCCCTAATTTCTTGTGAGGTTTTACATGTAGTCGGGTGATGATGATGAAGGTACATGATGATGGATGAAAACGATGAATAAAATCATTTAATTTAGAGACCTTTCTTCTTAGCAGCAATAATTTGCTTGCACATTGCTTGACAATCTCTATCAAAGAGACCACAATCAAGGCATTGTCCCCAAGCATAAGTCTTGGCTCTCAGTTTGGCAAATGCTGGCTTTCCGTCAAAAACATAGACGGTTCTGATTTCATCATGTTCAACTTTATAAACCCAGAGAGGTGCGAGGACACAGGCAATGGCTCCCAAAGCGAAGGCTTGCCATTTAGCTCCCTTGTATGTCTTCCATGCTCCCTTGTAGTCGTAGACTGGATTTGTGTGAAGGGATCTCTGGGTGTTTTGAGTAAATTGAACAACGTTAGTCTTCTTTGCGAGTGTGCTTGCTCTGCTCAACATTTTTTTATTGTGCTTGGCTAAAAAAATTACAGTACTAATATAGACAAAATTAAAAGTCAACCTCGAAAGCTTTACAATTCATGGACTTGCTTGGCGCCACACAAGCAACACTTGAAACCAAAAATTCTCACCATATAATGAGTTGTTGTTGTTGTTTTGGACAATCTTATCATCATGATGACAACAATTCATCATGAAAATTGAAATCAATTTTTTTGAAATGGCTTCTAGAATTGAATATTATCAAAGATGTGCTGGCCATTCTGTTCATCCCGAGTAACTTCAATGATATCAACAATACAATCCACTGGTAGCTTGCCGTAGAGATGTGGAAAGTAATTATTTCTGGATTGGACCCAATCAAAGGAAATCCTTTCTCCGAGTTGTGGATTCAGCTTTTGCTCCAAACTTTTCAAATCAATTTTGAGTATGATCAAGTCGGAGACGTTGCTGAGATACAATCGACAAGTCTTTTCAACTTCTTCCTTCATGGACATGTGCAAAAAACCATCACGAGTATCACCTTGGAAGTATTCATTGCCGTGTTGAGCGACATCGTCATCAAATGCCTTCAAGCTGACCAAGTGATACACAAAGGTGGGAGAAGGCACTGGTGGAAGATTGGAAGTGGATTGTTCGGACATGGATGGTTTGTTTTATTCTAAGATTTTTATTCATCAATCAATGGAAGAGCATTGTTGAGAATGACTGAAGAACACATTCCGTGCAAGACAACAGCTTCCTCTGATGATATGGGGAGAATAGAATACTATCTGAAATTTAATGTAGAGCTGTATGTGAATTTTGAATTACAATACATCATTCCCAGTAGAATCAGATTGATTGTGGCGAGTGTGATCGAAGTATTTAATGCGAGTGGACCAACAAACAGATTGCTGTAGCTCTTATCATGCAAATTCAGCTTGGAAAAGTAAAAACTCCATCCACCCACTGCCTGAAAAATTCCACGTGCCACACTGGACACAATTCCATAATCTCTGTTATATCCTGTTTCATGTTTGATTTTTTGGGTTAAAAAGCATAATAATGGAGACATTAAGGTTGAGTTCACTAGCATACAGAGAGATCCCCAACGCGAATTATCCATTCCAAAATGTTGCCCTTGAAGTGTGAATGGTAAGTGCCACAACAAACCATTGAAAAACCCAGCCATAAGAGAGTTTTTAAAGAATTCAAAAGTACTCAATGAAGAATTTCTTCTCTCTGATTTGCACCGCTCAATTTCCACAAGTCGATTCCATAGAAAATCTCGCCAGCCTCGTTCTTCACCTAGCAAGTACATGGCATGGATTGTAGCACCAGCAGCAATACCTGTGGGAACGGAATATAAGAGCATGTACAAATAATCTCTGTTTTTTAGCTGTTGTACGAGAGAGGATGTTTTCTGTATGAACTCTGAGTGAGTTGAGGACCTGTCCTGTATTTCAGCAAGTTGATTGTTGTACCCTTCAATCATGAGTTCAGATGTTGGGCTAAAACTTAATTGAGGCATTAACCTATTAGAGACGAGTACAGTCCAGAATGGAATGAATGCTGTTGAGAGCAATGGCAATGAGTGGGATGTTTGTGTGAAAATGGTCTTGATAAATTTGGCGATCTTCTCCCAACGAGAGAGTGACGTACGTCTCGCAAGTGCACTTGAATTCAGAAGTGGCAATACCGTACTTTCGTCATCACTATACAGCGAAAGCTTATACTGTTTCTGACCTATTACATCTAAAATTTGTGAGATAATTGCTGGCGAGAAGATAGATAATATCATGAAAATTATTTTGGAAAATGATGATGGAGATCCCAAAGAGTTCATCCAGTCAACCAATCCAGAGCTTATTATTCCATTCCAGCTTAAAAATCGAATCACGTCTCGCTTCATCAAAATTTCGGTCTCACGTAATTGGCTTCCTTCGGAGCAAATCATGTTGTTTTCATTTTCCTCTTGTACTTTTTGTTGTTTAATCTTGAATGAAGAATAAATTTCATTTACAAGAGCTATCACTGCCGATAATCCAAGTATGGATTTAATTAGGGACGAATTTGAAATAATATTGGAATCACCACGATCAAAAAATTCAAATAGTCTCCCCATATTCTTCATCGATCCATTCAATACATTCCATAACAACAATAAAAATTGAGAACAGAATTTCTGCTGTTCGTTTGTTGGAGAATCTTGTTTGGAGAGAATTGCAGGCATTTTTTGTTTTGGTAATTCTGAAACGTTGATTCTCTTGTGAGAGGTTGTGCAACATATTATTATATAGAAAGTAGTAAGTAGACTTGATACTCACTACTCTCACACTTTTCCCTCCCTTCTAAATGTCCTTAATTGACAATAGGCTTTCTTCGTCATCAATTTACAAATATCCATTTCATAAAACTATTAATTTATAGTTTTAATATTTTTTAATTTGAAAAAATGTCCCAAACGATCGAAGAAGAGAATGTGGTGCCATCTCCACCTCCGACGAGGCACAACGGCTTTTCAAAGATACCTTCATCACCACTTCGGACACGACATCGGGAACCCACTCATTCCACCACAGCTTCATCACGGACTTGGGGATTTTTAGATCCGTTGATTGCTCTTGTATTACCGTCAGCAGCATCAGGTGGAAGGAAGAAAAATCCAACGTCCATCGTTTTTGACGAAGAATCAAATGATGAGATGGATGAGTTGTTGCAGGAAGATTCAATTCAAGCTCATGGAGGTCTTTCCGCATTCACAGATGACATTGAACTCAGAGAACAGTCTCAAGATGATATGTCTCCTTCCACTTCTCAACGGATTAATATTTTCAATCAGCGTGTGTTATATTCTATTTATGGATTTAATATTGACCCCACATTGATGTCAAATTATGTGGTTCACTCAGAGTGGGAGAAAATTCCTCAAGATGTATTATTAATTGTATTTTCTTTTCTTCCCTATCAATCATTAATTATATCAGTCTCTCAAGTCTGCAAAGAATGGTTCTACTTGTCACAAAAGAATATCGTATGGGAAAAGTTTTTTGTACAGCAATTATTTCCTTCAAAACATTCAAGATTTATTTTCTCTTCATTTAGAGACTCAAAATCGATTCCACAAGTAGAAAAGAATGAAAATTTGCTCGAGTCCATTCAAAATAGATTTTTCATTCCACTATTTGATCCAAATCCAAATAATATCACTACTGAAGACCATGAGGGAGATATTGAGGAAGAAAAGAGAATGCAAATTAAGAAAAGCATTGAAAATGAAATTGTACAGGATCTTGAAGAAAAGTTTATGGAAAACAATTTCAGTATCAAATCATTGGTTGGCCCTAACATCGTCAACAACGACCTTCAAATCAATCATGACCATAGCGACTTTTATAATCTATTGCATGCTTCCTATATATGCTCTTTTTACAAGTTGTGCTTCCAAAAACTCAATAATTTTGTCTCTACAGCTACTAAACAATTAGAGTCACATCAACAGAAAAAGCAGAACTTAGAGACTTTGTACGACATGTGTCACAACACGCAATACTACTTTACATTTTACTTTGGCGTTCCATTGTGTGCCATTTCCACCACCCTATGCCTTGCTCTTCAATTGTTTAAAATGAACAGTCCAACATTGAATATTGATAAGGACAACCCAAACGCAATTGATGGATGGTGGATGTTAGTGTTTGCATTTCTGTATTTGCCATTATTTTGTGGAATTATAGTATTGTTCCAACAATTTATCAAGACATTTCTGAGATTCAAGCTGAAATCAAGACAAACAGTTCAGGGAATATTTGTTGTCATGATCGCCTTAATTTTCATGTTGGGACTCACAGGATTCTTTTTCATGGTGAATTTGTCGTGTGTTTTCCCACTTCCGCCAAAGTACCTTGCCCCAGATGCTCCCGATACAGAATTCATTAGATTTTACGGATTTCGAAAAGTTGTGAATAACTACAGTTTTATCATGTCACCTTTCTTGGTCGCATTCGTTTTAATCACGGTATGTGTATTTTATTATTGTTCCAATGATTTAACACAATTCTTCATCAATGAACAACAACATGCAGTTTGTCTCATGGCTGTCTCAAACCATTACGATCTACGCAGCATTTAATGCCAACAGAAGACTCTTAATTATCAGAAATATTATTAATAGCGCCATTCACTTGTTTTTCTTGATCCTAGTTGCAGGTTCCTTTGCTCTGTTGCATTTAAGCCAAAAAGCAGATTCGTCACCAGAAACTGAAGAAGAATTGACTCAGACTCTTTCATACATTTTAATTGGTATGCATGTATTAATTGCTATCATGCACTTGGCAACCTGTATCTTGTTTGGATTTATTTTAAAGAGATTCTGTACGTTCTTCACTCCACCACCAAAACAGCCCCAAATGAAGAAGCTTGGTATTGGGTTGATGATTTGTGTCGTGATTATTTTATCATGTAGCTTGATTTTGGAAGTGGTTCTGGGTCTCAACTACAAATGGATAGCAGCACCGTTACTGCCAGCTCCAACAGTTGTGGCTGTTTCATTTTATATTATTGCAGCCATGTACAAGCTTTGGATCTCCTAAGTTATAGAAAGGAGTATTGAACTCTTCAAGGATCACTACTTGTATTTATTGAGCACACAGGACCAAACTTATAAGTTGACATTTCACAAAGGTACCAGACTATTCCTGCCTTGTAATATTCGAAAGAAGCTATGATGATCGTCAATTGTTGTTGATGTTTAATGCAAAGCAAACTAATAGATGTCGTACGCAATATCATCAGCTTTGCATTGTAATAAATCCCAAACTCTTTACAACTCTAATCTTTTGATATAATCATTAGAAAATACATCATTTGGGTCTAATGATTGCCTCAAATTCTTAAAATCTTGCCATTTAGGATACATGTCTGCAAAGTCCAATTTGAAATCTAATTTGGCCCAGTGTGGTCGTCCTCCCAATTTCAACATGATGCTGTTGTATTCTTCAAAATATTTTTGATAAGGAATTGTCAAGTCGTAAGGTCTATACATGATAATGCCAATATAACAGGTATCTCTTCCATAGCAAGGGCTTAACCAAATATCGTCAGCTTTCACAAACCGTACCTCAACTGGGAAGTGAACATTATGTTTGGAGTCTTGTATCATTTTACGAATTTGTAACAGCGCTTGTTTGGTGTTTTCAATAGGGATAGCCCATTCATTCACAAATTGTTTAAAGAGGCAATCAAAGTTGAACACTTTAAAGCTCACATCTGTCACTTCAGTTTTGGTGCTGAATAGTAAGGAAAACCATGTGTTATTAATCCATGGAACAAGGGGGGGGAAAAACTTTGAAATAAATAAGGCAAGTTCCAATGAATAGAAACCCAACAAACGATCCACGAAAAAGTTCTTGATCTTTCCAAAGAAACTAATCTTATCAGAGTCTCCAACAAAGGTCTTACTCGATTGAATTGGAATTCTAGTGGCGCTATTGGTTACACACTTATCATTCTTGGTATGAGGGAACCACCAAAATCTCCAATGGTCACTACTACCAATAAGATTTTCCAAATTATCTAACACGTTGTCAAGATTGGATGGTTCTTGAATTGCTTTCAAGGAAAATGCAGGAACACACTGAATGGTCACTGTAGAAATGATTCCCAAGCAACCCAGTGAGCAAACGAATGCATTAAAATTATCATCACCCTTTTTCACAGTAATAGTTTCACCCGTAGGTAGAATAACATCTAATTCAATGACAATCGTCGAGATGCATCCAAAATTAATTCCAGTACCATGGGTTGCAGTAGAAATAATTCCAGAAATTGTTTGAAATGAAATAGAACCCAACACGGGAAGAGCCATGTTGTAGTTATGATAAAGTTCCTTATTAAGTTGTTCAATAGTAACACCCGCTTGAACTTTTGCAGTCAACTTTTCAGTATCCACATTCAAAAATTTTGAATACTTGTCAAGAAAAATCATGTGATCCTTCGTGAGTGTAATGTCGCAAGGAGAATGTCCAGATCCAACCACTTTGATTTTTTCTTTTCTAAATGTAGCAACTTTGACAATTCTTTGAATTTCTTCCTCCGACTCTGGATGATGAACAAATTGTGGTTTAATTTTGTAAATGTTCGCCCAATTCCTAAACACAAAACTCTTATTGAGAGGATACCCAGTCTGTATTGTTGTGGATAAAAACAAATACCATATGGGATGTAGAGTATTGAATCATGTACTAACCTTTTGGAGCTGTTTGATAGCTTCGGAGTTAACGGAGAAGTCGTTTCCATGATGTTGGTGGTGATGATGCTGGCTGGTGGTGGTCAAAGGAGAAGATACTTGTGCGGACATTTTTTTTGATTTTTTGACCTCCGCGAGTTAACACGAGTCTACTCTACTCTGCTTTATTTCAATGTTATTGTTGCCGAAATTCAAAAAAAGGAAATTGGAGATGGGATTCGAATCCAATTATTGGTGAAATAAGGAAATTTTTTATTTTCCAAAAAATGAATTGCAGGAGGTGGGATTTGAACCCACGAAGCTTGCGCAGTAGAACTTGAGTCTACCCCCTTTGACCGCTCGGGAACCCCTGCTTACCTATTGAACTTCTCTTTTGCATAGTAATCTGTCGTTCGACAATGGTGATTTGCCATTTCGAAAACACGTGAAGGAAGTTTGGAAATGAGCTGATTGAAACAAAAAATGTCGAACAACAAGCTCAACTCACTCCTTCCAGATGTCCTTATTGAAATTTTCTCGTTCATCCCAAAAGACTATCGTAAACATTGGTTATTCCGAAAGGCTCGATTCATTTGTTCGGAATGGAATGATAAAATTCTTGCCACATGCAATATTTTGGTCCAAGTGCCGCCATCAAACACACGATCAGTCACAAATCTCTTCGATAGATATCAACACATGATCAACGCCTTTCGAGAGAGAGAATATTTTCATAATATTTCATCATTGAAATTTGGAACATGTTTTAATATTCAATCATTGTATCAATGCACTCATCCAAAGAGTTCACAAAACAATTCTTCCACAATGATAAATAATAGTGATATTTTGGATTCTCCCACTTTCATGAAATTCATCGATCCATTTGAGAATTTTTCAAATTTACAGCACTTGTGCTTGCATCATGTAGGAGTGAGTTCCAATGAATTAAACATGATGTGCAACCATTCGAAAAATTTGAGAACGCTGAAAGGTCTTACTCTATCGCACAACTCGTTGACGTGTAAGGAAGTCCAATTTATTGTGAATTGCCATTATTTTCGTTTGACAAGTTTGAATTTAGCAAAGAACAATATCGATAATGAAGGTTGCTTGGCAATTGTAATTGGAAAGAACATGGAAAATTTGGCCCATTTAGATTTAAGTTCAAACCCAATCCGTGATATTAATATATTTGAAAATCGAGAGTGCAAGATCAAACGATTGAGACATCTCAATTTGTCACAATGTCAGCTTGACAATAACGCGAAAGCATTTTCAAATAGTGAGAACATGAGAAATTTGATCTGCCAATCTAAAATGTTCCTTCTTAATCACAAAAAAAGTTCTCAACATGTGGTGTTCCAATCATCATGATGGGCCCACAAGCTTGACCCTTATTAACACCCCTTTGTCCAACAATCCTCTCGATAGACTGCTGAGAGAAACCATACAATCCAAAGCCAGATCAACCATTGATTTTCATGAGAGAAAATATGAAATGATCAAAAGGTTCCACTACGAAGACTCGGGTGTAGTGTTGCAATTGTTTCAACGAGCAGAAGAGGATTTGAGAGGAGATTTAGAAGTAGCACTCCATGCTCTCTCTGCAAATATTGAATGTATCTCGTATTGTATTGAATTTTTAATTCATCACGATGATGCGTATCGGAAATTATTAAAGATGGCCATTCGTGATGATGGGCATTATCTACAATTGGTTCAAAATACGGAGCTTGCCAAGGATCGTGAATTAGTCTTTTTAGCTTGTTCTTCCACGGCTGAGGCCATTCAATATGCAGATGAAAGTTTGCGAAATGATAAAGAGTTCGTTTTGAAAGTGATCAAAGAGTGCCCAGGTAATCCCAATGCTTATATTGGTGATGATTTGACAAACGACAAAGAAGTAGCTCTTGCCTGTGTTTCTGTGGATGGAGACGCTTTTCGATATTTTTCAGATGATATTAGGAATGACAGAGAGGTGTTTCTTCTGGCTATCAAAACTGAACCATGTTGGTAAGTTTCATGCTATGTGCTCTGATAGATGTAATTTCAGGTATATTATTATTATTGATGATATCACCGTTTGATTGTGGTAATTACCATATTTGACTTTTGAATTGTGCGTACTTTTTATGGAATGCGTTTTTAAACCTTATGGGCTATTTTCTGAACAACAACAAGTATATCTCATGCCGGTGATAATATTACGGGTGACAGAAATATGGTACTAGAGGCTGTGAAACGTGGTTGTGATTTGAGCAATATACCACCTGAGTTTTTGGATGACAAGGAAATTGTCAGCCTATGTCTCAAACGAAATGCTTGGTCCTTCATTATCGTTGAAGATGATTTACGAAATGATAGGGAGCTTGTGATGGAGGCAATTAGATGCGGCTGCCCTTTATCACAACTCAATCGTGAATTCATTGACGACAAGGAAATTATACTACTGGCCATTAACGTTTTGGGAGGTGAGAATATACGCTATGCCGATGATCGATTGAAAAGTGACAATGATTGTGTTACGGCTGCTCTGGCGAGCGAACCTTCTGCACTAAGATACCTAGGTCACGAGTTTAGATCGAATAGGAGCCTTGTGATGAACATTTTGCAAGATCATGGATTTTTATACGACTCAATTGCTGACGAATTGAAGGGAGATAAGGAAATTCTTTTAATTGCGTTGCAAAGCTCATTTCCTGATATTTTCATGTATGCAAGCGCAGAGTTGAGAGCAGATCGAGAAGTGGTCCTTGAAGCGGTCAAAATTAATGGTGATTGTTTGAGACATGCATCCATTGAATTTCAAAACGATTTTGAAGTTGTCATGGAAGCTGTAAAATCTCAAGGTTGTGCGCTTCGTTTTGCCAGTGCTGATTTGAGAAACAATTTTCAAGTTTGTCAAGTGGCAATCTATTCCAATCCCACCAATTATCACTATATTGGTCCTGTCATGAAGAAAAACAGAGAGTTAGCCATGCAAGCAATTGACCTGAGTAGTGTCAATTACAAATATATGGATGACAGTTTAAAACAGGATGAAGAGCTTGCATGGTTAGCTGTGAGCTCAAGCCAATCATATGGTTTGAACGTGACAGATTTTGATGAAATATTTCAACGCGATAGGAGCATCATGTTGGAATTTATGAAACGTCATCCTTATCAGCATCAGTTTGAGCTATTGTGGAAACCTTTCAGAAGTGACATGGAGTTTATCATGCCCTGTCTGTGCTCCGATGGAAACACATTACAACATGTTCCTATTGCTCTGAAAAAAGATAGAGAACTAGTCAAGACCGCAATAAGAGCAGGCCTATCCTATGAACATCTTACAATGAAGTACAAGCAAGACAAAGACATTATCTTGTTGTTTGGTTCCAAAAGAAATGGTTTACATTTCTATTCATCCCTAAACGATGAATTGCAAAATGACATTGAGGTGATTAAGTGTGCTTTGAAGTCAGGTGTCCCTTTTTCATTCATTCCAAAAGAGTTGCAAAAAGATAAGAACTTGGCCATGATCGCTCTGAAACATGACGTATCCAACTACAAATACTTGCTTTCAGAACTTGCTTCAGATCGAGAATTTATTCTTGATGTAGCAGCAAGAGCAGGCACACCAATCATTGAATATGGCAAAGAGTGGAACAATGATAAGGTATGTCAAACAATTTAATATGTATGTCTATATCCGTCTGTTGACGTTATCTGTTGAATATCAATTCATTGATTCTACAGGAAATCGTTATGCAATGTCTTGCAAGAAATGGATATGCGTTTCAATATGTTTCTGACGAGTTGGCCAAGGATAGGGAGATTGTTATCGAATCTGTTCGAAACGACGCCTCCCAGCTACAAAAGGTTGATCAAGTGTTTAAAAAAGACAAGGAAATTGTCAAAATGGCCATTCATAACAATGCACATTGTGTTCGATATGCTGACCCTTCGCTCAGGAGTGATAAAGACTTTATCATGCAAGTGATTATTGAAGGCACCACATCCATTTATAGGTACATTCATGATGAGTTACGCAATGACAAAGAATTACTTAAGAAGGTGCTGTTAAAGGAACCAAACATGTTCCGTTATGCAAGTAGCAACTTGAGGAATGACAAAGAAATGGCGCTTTTCGCTGTCACAACCAGTGGTTCATTATTGATGTTTGTTGGAGAAGCATTGAAAGATGACATTGAGGTCGTTGAACGAGCAGTTTTTCACACTGGAGAAGCAATGAAATATGCAAGTACCAGACTGAAGAAAGACAGAGAGTTTGCAATGAAGGCTCTTCGATTTTCACCTACATGTATCGAATATGTGGACGAGAAATTCAGGAAAGATAAGAACTTTGTGATGGAGCTCCTTGAAATTGATCATTTCTTCTCATATGTATATATTAACAGATTGGATCCTACCATGAGACAAGATCGAGATGTTGTAAAAAAGGCTATAGAACAAGAAGCATACAATTATCAGTATGCACATTATTCATTGAGAAAAGACAAAGAACTGACATTACTTGCTGTAAAGAAAAATGGATCCTCATTGAGCTATGCGCCTCTCTCTCTAAGAAAAGACAAACAAGTTGTTTTGACAGCCCTTAAAAACGACCCATTATCTTTAAAATTTGCCTCACCTGAGCTTCAAGACGATGAGGAACTTGTGGAAATGGCTGTAAGACAGAATGGAGATGCTCTCAGACATGCAAGCGAAAGACTTCGAAAAAAACGTGATTTAGTGTTAAAAGCATTCAAATATGGAACCGATTATGGCACTACTCCACTCATCAATCTCAGCCAAGAATTTAAAAACGATAAGGAGGTTGTATTGTTAGCTGTCAAAAAGGCTGGTCTATCATTAGAGTTTGCACATTCATCATTGCAAATGGATCGAGAGGTTGTTTTGGCAGCCGTGAAACAGAATGGAGAAGCCTTAGAATTTGCAGCTTCTCATTTACGGAGCGATCCTGAAATCGTTCGAGAAGCAATAACGCAAAATGGTCGGTCACTCGCTCATGTCCATGGAAAAATTGACAAATCATTAATGATTCTTGCACTCAAAACGTATTATTTCGACCATGTGGACATTGACATGGATTTGTTAAAAGATGAAGAGGTAGCGTTGGAGATTGTGAAATGTCGCCCATTTGAATTCCGTTATTTGAACAAAGCATTACGATACAATAGAAATATATTGCTTACTGCTCTCAAGTCGCAGCATGATTCCTATTTTTTCACATCACCAGAGTTGAAAGCAGATAAGGAAGTCATTTTACTGGCTGCTTCTCAAAATGAACAAGTGTTAGCAACCTGTGCTGATGATCTTAAGAAGGACAAAGCTTTCGCGTTAGATTTAGTCAAATTGAATGGTTCTGCATTTCGCCATCTTGATGCCTCGCTCAGGAACGATAAAGAGGTCGCATTGGCAGCTGTTAAACAAAGTCCAAATGCTGTGTTTTATCTTGGACCAGACATGTTAAAAGATAGAGAAATCATTTTTACAGCCATCAAGACAGGAAGTGCATTGATTTTACTTGCTGCAGATGAAGAGTTTAGAAAAGACAAGGAAATTATACTTCAAGCCATCAAAAGAGATCCTAAATCCATGATTCGTGTTAATGGCCTTGGTGTGTTCAGTGATAAGGAATTAATGAAAAGTATAATCTTGTTGCATCCTGAGGTGTTACAGTACGCTTCTGTTGAGCTGAGAATGGATAGGGAATTTGTGATGAACATTGTTAAACATTGTGGACGTGCACTGTTATTTACTGATCCATTATTCAGAGATGATCGCGAAATTGTATTGCTAGCTGTTTCCAATGATGGAAATGCATTATCGGGAGCAAGTGATCGATTGAGAAATGATGTTGAAATTATTACACATGCAATTCAAAAGAATGGTGAAAGCTTGCAGTATGTCACCTGTCCTAAAGTGATCCATGACAAGAAGTTTTTATTACAAGCTCTTGAAAGTGCTGAGGAAGCTTATTTCCTTACAAAATGGGACATTCATCAGCTCGATAGGGATATTGTGTTGGTAGCTGTAAAAAAGACTGGCAATGTTCTTACCTTGTTACATTTTGATTCACTTTGGAAAGATAAGGAAATTGTGATGGAAGCAGCAAGAAATTGTCCTTCCATTGTCATGCATGACCAATATTTCAACCTGAGAGAGGACAGAGAATTCATGACAGAATTGACAGAACAGCATGAAATGGCCATATCCTATGCCTCAGAATCACTTCAAAATGACAGAGACTTTGCATTGCAAGTCGTGAAGAAAAATGGCCTGGCTCTCAAACATCTCATTGCTAAATTCAAGCAAGATGGTGAAATTGTCATGACCGCTGTTCAACAAAATGGAAAAGCTCTTCCTGAAGGTCTTCTCAGCAGTGATCGAGACATTGTCTTGGCTGCTGTGAAACAAAATGGATATGCTTTGGCTCATGTGAATGACGCATCTTTATTGAACGATAGAGAGATTGTTCTGGAAGCAGTGAAAAGTTCAGATTGTGAAAGTACTTTGTACCATGCTCCATTTCGATTTAGAAAAGATTTGGAAATTGTCATGACTGCAGTCAAGCATAATCCGTCAGCGTTGGCCCATTCATTATTGAATCTTTCGGATCATGAAGAATTGATGAATGAGCTTATTCAAAAGAAAGAATGTGCACTCTTTTTCGCTTCCTATAGGCTCCAGCACGATCGTGAATTTGTTTTGAAAGCAGTGAAATATCATGGACTTGCCTTGAGGTATGCTCTTTCTAGTTTTGCTAAAGATAAGGAAATAGTCATAGAAGCACTCAATCAAAATATACAAGCAATAGATTATGTTTATTTGGATTTTTTAAATGACGAGGATGTACAGGAAGTTATTTTGGAGAAGAGAAGAAGCCAACAAGTACATCAAAAACGTTTAAACTAGATTGCACCTTCTTTTTGAAAGAACGCTTAATATTATATTCTATTCCTTAATTGTTTCAGGTTTTAATTTATTTTGTGTTTGGCAAAGGGAGCACAGAACAACCTTGACTTCTGGTTGATCACTGTTCATTAGGTAAGTTTCAAACACCTCATGAAAAACAAAAAATTCTTTTACACCTCACGGGGATCGAACCCGCGACCCCCGGATTCGAAGTCCGGTGCTCTAGTCCTCTGAGCTAAAGGTGCTTACATCTATTGAAATTAAGTTATATGCTAATAGTATAATGTACTTTTAATTCTTTCTATTTCACTTAAACCTGATTTACGGTACTATCTCTTATGCATGGTTTGACCAATTCAATTAATTTTTACAACTTGTCAATACAAAGTCAAACCACCTTAAATAAAATATTATTTGAATTATTAATAATAGTTTCTTTTGCCCAAGTGTGGAAATTAAAACACCAGAATCAACATTTAGACTCCAATTTAAATGATGAATCAAAAAATTGGAGTTGCCGGGTATCGATCCCGGTACCTCTCCCATGCTAAGGGAACGATCTACCATGTGATCTACAACCCCTGCCACATTATTTGTGATTGAATATTTCTTTAGTTAGCACAAGGAAATCGAAAGTTCAATCACGGAGTCGACCCAACTCTTCAAAGATGTCATCCAGATCTTGCTGCGCGTCATAGAATTTTGTGTCAGCATCTACATTCGAGTACATGGTTATGAAGTTGCACACAAGTCTACGCAACAGTGAAAGAAATTGGTCTTTGCAGGAAAATTTTTTTTTTGCAATCTTGGAAAGATACAAATATGTTACAAAAGTTTTTTTGAATTCCTACATTGTTATACATCACACTTTATCTCAATGACTGTCCTGCTGCAATTTGCGATAAGAGAGGCACACTTCTCTGAGAGGGTGGCGTTAATGATGATTTTGGAACGAGTCGAGGAGGACACAAGGGTGGAGATGGTTTGATCTTGGAAAGCGGAGGAGGTGGTGGAACCTTACCACCCTTCTGACGACACTTGTCAAATGCTTTCTCTACTTTCAGCAACAACCCGCCTAAATAGAGTACCGATCGTGTATCGTCACTTGTTGCCCATTTCATGATCAATTCACATATTTGACCCCATGTCATTATGGGGCAACAAACGCTCTCAACAAATGCCAAAAACTGTTCAAAAGAGAAATATGTGGAAAGGACATGATCCATGATTCGTTTTTGCAAGGGTTCTTCTCGAATTATGATTCCTGTCGTGTTCGGTGTATTCTCAATCATAGTGGTTGTGGTCGCATTTTCGATGCTTTCTTGATCAACACTCGAGTATTGTATTTGGACTTGTAATACCTGTTCGACAATCACCTCATGCATGACTTTGTAAAGAGATTGTAAAATGTTGAAAATTTCATTAAAAGTGTCATCGAGTACGGTTGTTGACTGGTAACCAGAGTCCACAGTGGTGTCACAGCAGGATGAATGTTGTGAAGACGAGCATGAAGAGACACTTTTCTCAGTGTTCTGAATCCAATTCAAACTTGAAGGATCTTCCTTCTTTTCATTTAGGGCTCTCTTAATGGTTTCTAACTTGCTCTTCCAATAGCTTAATTCTTGAAAACATCTCCTCCATATTAATAATGCAAATTGCATGTTTTCTGGATTGATTTCCTGTGACTGTACAAACATGTCTTGAATCCATTGTGCTGCAATTTCAAAAGCTCCCATTCGCATCAATAAATCAAACACTTGAAGAGCATATTCTTGTGTCAAGTCAAAGAGAGGAAGATCTTGTCCGTATAATAAGGAAAGAGCACTTCGAAAACAATCTTCTTGTATTTCATGTGGTAATGTCGGCGATAGTAATGTCATTAGAACATGTTCATATTTGTGAGTGTCCTCGTTATGATGATCATCATGGTGATCACCATCGAGGCACTTGTCTTGAAAAAGTGGCAAGACTGTTGATCCAATTGGATCATAAACGGAAAAGACATCATGCAAATGAATGAAACTCAATGATTCATGTTGCAAAATGTACTTTCTCAATCGAAAAGCTTGAATCAAGACTATTTTGTGTGCCGGATATTCAAAAAATCCTTCTCTTTCAATCATGTTCTTTCTGTATGCAGATGGTGGCATCCGGTCAAAAGAATAGTGATCTTGTTGAGGAGAAGGCAAAACACCAATCATGACATCGGACAACTGAGATTGCATGAAAAGGGAGTGCACATGACGATCTATTGGATTCTTCTTCTTTCCGTTGTTGTTGTTGTTCCGTGTTGTTGTTGTTGTTGTTGAGAGGTGATTCACCATTTTCTCTTGGCGCTTGGTAGGAGGAACATGGTACTTGATCGGAGGTGGTGGAAACATTTTTTTCTTGTGACCGCGGTGGAACCTATGAACTTGTGTTGTTGTTCTTACGAATTAAATCCATGCGATTTTCACGTTGAAAGCAACCACCTGAAAGCCATAGCTATGAGGTCATTTAATTATTAACAACCTTAGTAATCGTCAACCATTGAAATAAAGAAATGATTTCCATAGGCTAACACTCTTTTGGTGACGCTCGAGTTTAATAAATTGACTTTGAATATCTGACACACCTCAAAACCTATTAATGCCAGCCAAGACTTTCCAACACCATGCTCGAACATTAACTTCAGGTAAGTCATCTCACAATCCTCAATAAACCCGTTCCTGAATTTTTTCTTTAATATGTACATTTTCTGAACGGAATCGAGTTAAGGTGAAGAAGAGAGAGGAACATGTTGGTCTCTCAAAAAAAAAATGTCCTTCAACTATGTTGCTTACGCACACAAGCCAACAACCATAAGCTGTTCGGCTTCTGGCAATTTTACATCTGCCAATGATATTAATCTCATCATGTGGTATGTATATTCATGATCATGGTGGGAGGTGATGTATTGATACATTCCGTTATTTACTATTTTGGTCTTTGCACAATTCCGATCATCAGCAAAAATCAATTTATTCAAGTGAATACATTGAGTGAGGAAGGTGTCGTTTCTGTTGTGGAATTTGAAGTACCTGGAAGAGTAGATACCATGACCTCGTTCAGACCGACAGTATGTATTTTTCGTAGGCTTGGATTAACAAATTGATTTTGATGACATTTGCTGAATTTTTGTTATTTGCAATACATCATACTCATCGCATGATGAATATCACGTTAATCCAAATCTAATGCTTCTATTACACATACATGATATACCATGTTCATATTCAACTTAACAACAGGGTGAAAAACAAGATTTACTCTTTGTTACCATCGATGACACCTTCTTCACATTGGGTTATATTGATGGAAAAATTGAAACATTAGCAAGTGGCTCAATCGACGACCCTGTCGGAAGAAGAACAGAAAGCGGATCCATCACAATCATTGATCCTCTGTGTCGCACTGTTGCACTTTCATTATATGAAGGCTTACTCAAAATTATTCCTTTTGAAAACAACAAACACCAATTTAAAGAAGCGTTCAACGTTAGAATTGAAGAATTGAATATTATAGACATTATGTTTTTTGAATCTATAGGATCCAAACAAAAATCATGCAGATTACCAACATTTGCCTTACTCTATCAAGACAATCAAGGATCAAGGCATATCAAATCCTATGAAATTAAGATTCACGAAAAGGAAATTGAAGAGGCCTCTTTTAAACAACAAAATATCGATCATGGATCCAATATTCTCATTCCCGTTCCTGTACCCATTGGAGGAATGATTTGTGTTGGAGAATCTCAAGTTTCATATTTTGATGAAAATTACCATAGATCTGTATCCCCATCTTCAAACACTCGATTAGCTATTCGATCATACGGAAAATTGGACAACACAAGATGGTTCCTTGGAGACCAATCCGGACAGTTATACTTGTTAAGCCTTCAAGTTTCAGATCAGAGCCAAGTTACAGGATTAACATTGAAAGAATTAGGTGTTACCTCTATTTCATCATCCATTTCATATCTCGATAATGGCTATGTTTTCGTCGGTTCTCATTATGGAGACTCTCAAGTGATCAGAATTGTGGACGAAGTGAAAGAAGAAACGAACGCCTATTTTGAAGTGTTTCAAACGTACCCAAATATTGGACCCATTGTTGATTTTTGTTTTGTGGACACGGAAAAACAAGGTCAAGGCCAAATTGTGACATGTTCTGGAGGCTTTAAAGACGGAACGCTACGTATCATTAAGAATGGAATTGGAATTGAAGAGTTAACAACCATATCAGATTTGACTGGCTTGAGCCGCATCTGGTCCTTAAAATCAGAGAATGCCACAAATCAAAAATACTTGGTTATATCTTTCACTCAACAAACAATGATTTTTACTGTGGAAAACGAAGAATTAGGTCCCATTTCCATTCCTGGATTTGACTCTGAATCCATGACAGTGGCATGTAATACTGTGGTAGGCAATAACTACCTGCAAGTGACAGACAAGGCTGCTCGTCTTGTAGATTACCAAACATTGGAACTTGTCGATGAGTGGAAGAGCCCTAGCGGTACTACAATCAGTCTTGCTGCACCAAATCCAACACAATTGGTAGTTTCTTTGGGAGAAGGACGCCTCGTTTACATTGAAATTACAGAGAGTGGTTTCAGACAGGTGCAACAGACCAAGCTTGAATATGAAGTCTCCTGCATTGACATAACTCCAGAAGAAGGAAATTTCTCATCACCATCGTGTGCTGTTGGAATGTGGACTGAAATTTCTGTTCGTATCTTGAAATTGCCTTCCTTAGAATTATTGGCTTGTCAAGAATTGGGAGGAGAAATTCTACCTCGTTCAATACTGATGGCAACATTTGAAGGTATTTCTTATTTATTATGTGGTTTGGGAGATGGACATTTGTTTTCCTTCAAAATGGCAGATAGAGGCATGGGTATTCTAACTGATAGAAAACGAATCAATATCGGAAGTAAGCCAGTCATGCTTAGACCATTCTTGTCGAAGGACAATCAGTTGAATGTTTTCGTCACCTCTGAAAAACCAACAATCATATATAGTAGGAATCAGAAATTAGTATATTCAAATGTAAACTTGGGAGAGGTGACTGATATGTGTCCATTTAATCATGAGAGTTTCCCAGATCACCTTGCGATAGCCAACGAAAATTCCATTCTCATTGGACAAATTGATGAAATTCAAAAACTTCATATCAAGACTGTTCAGCTGCATGCACAACCCATGAAAATATGTCACCAACCATCATCAAAGTCATATGGACTTCTCATTACCCAATTTGAAGAACCAGAATCTAGTGCAGTATTTTATTTGGATGAACATACCTTCCAGAAAAAATCGGAGTTCAGACTGGACAATAATGAATTAGGCCAATCAATCATCTCATGTACATTTACCGATGACGACAATGAATATTTCGTTGTGGGTACAACCATTACTGAAGCTGACGAAGAAGAACCATCTAAGGGCAGAATCATTGTCTTACAAGCTCAAGATGACAAACTAGTGGTAAGAGCTGAGAAGGACGTAAAAGGAGCAGTCATGTGCTTACATTCTTTTAATGGTAAATTATTGGCAGGTGTTACTGGTCGCTTAATACTATTCAAATGGTCCGATCAAGCAGACGATGATAGCAAGGATCTTGTTCAAGAATGCTCGTGTAGTGGTGGTATTTACATTTTAGATGTTGATAGCCATGGCGATTTTATTTTGGTCGGAGACATGATGAAATCCGTTCAGCTTTTCAGATATGAAAAACCAGAGGATCAAAACGTTTCTGGAAATATCAGCCTCATATGTAAGGATTATCATTATTCATGGCTCAGCACTGCTGCAATGTTTAATGAGAGAGAATTTGTGGCAACTGACAATCGTGGAAATATTTTCACTCTTCAAAAGAATGAAGAGGCTTCAGAAGAAGAACGAAAACAATTACCTCGCATTGGAAAATTCTATCTTGCCGATCATATCAACAAATTCCAACATGGATTTATCGGCATGAGAATGAGCTCAGAGTTGTCTTTGCCAGGCCTCAATAATCCACTTCCATCTTCGGCTGAACCATTGTCTCAAGCAAATCCCCCAATCAAAACAATTCTCTTTGGAACCATCAGTGGAGGTATTGGCGTGCTTGCTCAGCTTCCACAAGAAACCTATTTATTTATTCACAAGCTTCAGCAAGCAATGGCAAATGTTGTAATTGGTTTGGCCAACATTTCTCGTGACACTTATCGTGCATTTAGATCTGAAAGAACAAGAGAGCCCTCAACAAACTTTATTGATGGAGATTTTATTGAATCCTTCTTGGAGTTTGACCAAGAAACTCAGCAAAAGGTTGTCGAAGAGCTTCGAGACAAGTTCGATGAAAAATACATCTCATTGGAAGAATTGCTCAAGAATGTGGAAGACTTGTCACATTTGGTTCACTAAGCTAACCTATTAAAGTGTGGAAATGTTCTCAAGAATGTCAGCAATCAGTGATGGCTTTAAATCATGCAATACCTTCGTCAATCGAAATATAAAACAATAATAATATTCTTTTCAAACAAAAATTCAAGTTTCGTTAATTTAAGAATTTTATATATTTATTTTATGAAAATTAGGTCGTTTAGAAGAGACCACCGAAAGCATCACCATCATCCTCGGATTCAGATTCCTTCTTCTTTTCTTCCTTCTTTTCCTCTGCAGCAGCTGGAGCGCTTGATTCAGTAGCACTTGCAGCAGGACCTGCAGAAGCAGCTGATCCTCCAATATTGGCCAAAATATCAGAAACAGACTTCTTTTGGAAGAACTTGGCAAAGACGGATGGCCAGAATGGTTCCATTTCAACGTTAGCAGCGTTGACTAAATCCTTGATCTTATCAGCAGTGATAGGAATACCCTCATCGTGCAAAATGAAAGCAGCATAAGTGCAAGCCAATTCTCCGATTTTATCCTTGGTGTAAGAGGATGGAAGAGCCATGATGAAGTGATAGAGTAAAGTTGTGGCGTATTTTTTTTCGAAAACTTTATTGTCAGACCGAGTCAACCAATACCATTACTTTACAATGACGAAGAAAAAATATGAATGCTTTTGTCATTTTTCTTCAGACACCAAATTGAAATCAAATTCAATATTGACGAACAGGTTAATCAGTTGGTTGAATATTATGTTCTTCTATACAACGACTCGTACAATTCTTAATAGTGGATTTCCGAAGCATGAAAGTGTATACTCGACTCCATGTAATGATGTTGTTGGATACGACCATACGATTAAATTCATTTTCCGTCAATAGATGGAACAGAGATACCTCAAACTTTAAAACATTGACCAAAACCCGAACGATTTTTGTTGTAATATTTGGAATGAATCTACAACTATGGCAAAACCCATATTCGTAAGACAGAGTTTGTGTAAACGGACAATGCAATGTACGATTCATTGATCAAGGAGCCATCGTCGCGTAAGTGAATTGTTTGTCCTTGTAAGCAAAAAGCTGTTCAATGAAGGGATGTGGAAATAGTCGACAATCGTTTCAGCCAAGAAGAATCTCACGACACAATGAGTTTGAATTGGACTAAATTTATCCCTAGATCATTCCCTTACTTATTCAGGAAATCTTCTTGTTTCGAAATTTCCCCAAATATGCCATGCTTTTAATCAAAAAAGAAGAAACTATTATTATTTCAGTGAGGTACTGTCGAATGTTTTGAACACTCTCCCCTTTGTACAATTCATCCAAAAGTGTATGCAATAATTGAAAAAAGAAAGATTCAATTGGAAATTGTTTAAAACAATAGACCTTGCTCGTGTCCCATCCAAGCGCTTAATAGAAATATTTTCATCATTTAAACATTGTGTGCATTCCTTGACTGGCTATACTTGAAAGTTTGCATCCTACCTCCTCCTCCTCCAACGACAGTGAACACTTTTCTCATTCACTCAAACACTCACACACACATTTGAATTCATTCATTTGTTGTTCCCTTGAACCTGCATTGCACACGATTATTATAGTTTCATATACTCAACAACCAATATTCAAAAAGAATGGTCAATTACGATTTCATCGATATGACTCTGGCTGCAAAGAGAAAGGTCCAATGCAGAACACAAAACAAACACTTCGATTCGTCAGCAGAAGATTGTGAGAATTCGCCTTTCAAATACTTGTACCCTCAACACATCTCCAAGAATAGAAAGATACAAAAGTCCATGAAGAACAATAAGAGGTTCCTAAGTAATTACTTTGTCTTTGACAAGACAGAGTGGGGAAAATTGTCATGGGAAATTCAAGATGGAAGTGCTCAACCATCATCCGTTCCACCAGACGAGAGAAGTAGTGAAAGTCAAAGCTTTACAAGACAGTAATTTTAAACCTTAGATGGAAGCTTTGGGACAAACTTTTCTTCAACTAGGCGCCTTCCTCTCCCTACTCGAACATGTCCCTTCTTATGGAGTCCTGAGTACTCTTCCGCGTACTACACCTCTTCACATGAGGAAGATGAATCCGTTCTCAATTATTTCCCATTTGTAAATAAATTGATTTTGGTAAATCGCAACACCCACTTTTTTGTCATCCTCCACTCGAGTAGTAAGGAGGAAGTACCGTCATCTTTGTGTATTCACAGCGCATTGCCAGAGAAATTCATGAGAGGACTTGTCTGAATTGCCGTAACCAAACACCACTGATGATGATGAGCTCGAGAGTGTGTGTTAGTGGTCATCTCAAAAACACTGCACATACATGACTTTCAGCCACACACGGTGTACCTCCCGAAAAGAACATGTGAATAAAAATGTCCTTGTTGTTCGGAAACAACCAACAACAACACCTAACTCGCTCTTCACGCATTCTCAAGCTTCTCTCCTCTCGCTTCTCCCCAACCAAAATATCGATCAAAAACATTTCCCGACCCTATGAAAATGATGGAGCTCACAACGAAATTGTGAGTTTGGCACATGGTGAATCTCATTTTCGAGTCATGATTGTTTCATCCGAGTTTGAGGGTGTTGGTCCTTTGGCTCGACATCGTATGATTCATCAAGTGTTGAACGAGGAATTTAAAAGTGGTTTACATGCTCTCACCATAACGGCCAAAAGCGTCCAAGAATACGAGAAAGCCAAAGAGCGAATGAAAAACATGAGAAAAGAGAAACATTCAATGAGCAATGAAGAATCGGTGAGAGGTGGTGGTTGGGAGCACAGAGACGACACGACTGATATGGCATCCGATTCTTGTTGCAATGATGAGATGGAGGAGTTGTTTGGAGTAAAATGAGATTGAGTGTCCTCACATCGCTTAGTTGAACGGGATAGATCTGATTAATTTCAATATTGAAACAACATTTGGGCATCAATTTTGAAGCATCAATATAGAACATGGAATGAGTGCTTTCAACTCATTATGATCCCAAAGACCATAGCTGGAAGACAATTACAAACAACAAGAAAATACTATTTCAAATGGAATTTATTACTCTGCTATCAAATAATTCTTGATTTTTTCGTATTCGATTGGATTAATAGAGGCTTCATCCCAGGGGCCAGTCAACACTCTTTCATGATTCGTATAGATGATTCATTTTAGGGATGAATAATAAATAATGCTAGAGTTAAAGTGTAGAATTTTGGGGACACTTACTGTTTGTAGTGAATCTGAGAGAAAATGAATAAATAAGGCATTACAAAAACCAGGATAATATTGACCACAAGGAAGGAGAAAAGAAGGAAAACTGAACTCACAAAATAATAGAGTACAGCAACTGTGATGCATGTCATGAGTAGGTAAATAGTGACATATGGAAGTGTTTTGTCGTTCTTTTCAAAGTTCACATAAAATTGGAAAATATAGAATTGAAATTTGATGTTAGCAACGAATTATTCAATTAAAACGTTTCACTGGAATAAAATGATGCAAAGTCGTACCTTTCTTAATTGATGTCTCACAAACGGGAACAAGAGAAATAGCTCTATTGCCACAAGCAGAATGACAAACGCATCTAAAGAGTGTCTCAGCCTTGAAGCAAACAGAGCAGAAATAAAAATCACACAATTCAAAGATAAGTAACAATTAAATTTTTCTGTCTTCCCATTCACAAAATAATAGTCATGTGTAAATAAATGAATAGTAAATAGTAGACAAACTAGGGCAATAATTGTATCCTGAGAGTAAAGTAGTGTCAACGTTCTTAGTATTGGAGAAGCACCTAATAAAATCAATACAACAATAATCCAATTAAATACTGTTGATATGAATGATGGAATATCCATAGATTGGTGAGAGGATACGTTTTCGTCAGTTACATTCACTTCAGAAGACCTTCTTAAAGTTCTGTGTATATATAAAAACGGTAAAATAAATACAAAATTAAAAAGTATAATGATAGCCATAATTTCGAAACTTTGAAATTTTCCCGAAGGTTCCCATTCATAAATTAAAAAGAAAATAAGGCAAAATAGACAACAACAAGTAAATTGCGTAGCCAAAGCGAGACATTCTTTGGATGTGTCCCAATAATTATAAATTTCTAAATCTTGATTAATTTTCAATTCTGATAAAAAGTTTTGATGATTACGTAATAATGTCATTGTTCTTTGATCCAAAGTTTTTGCCTCTTGATCATGCTCCCCATGTAGGGAAATATTATTGTTTTGGTTGTTTAATTTGAGATTCTCAATAAGTGTCTTGTAGAGAAGTTTTTGAGAAGAATTCTTTGTAGAATGCATTGGTACAGTAATTTCACGTTCCGAGGCATGATGACTGTTGCATTGTTGTGTTATCGTTTCCGAATAATCATCTGAATGATCATCGTGATGCGATGATTGAACAGGTTTTCGTCGGTTCATTTTTTCGTATTTGATTTCCTTTTATCTTTTTGAAAAGAGTATTTTTGTAAAGAATTATTTGAGAAAGTTTTATAGCTGATAAATAAACTTCTTTTTCTTCTTCTTTCTATTCTTACTATTTGTATTCACTCGTTTAATGGCACCTTCTTTGATGGCTCTCTTCACTTCAAATTCTTTCATGACATCCTCATATCGTCCTTCCTTAAAGTGACGAAGAGTTGGAGCATATTTGAGATCTTCTGAGGTGAGTGTTTTCGTTTGTTCCACTTTCTGTTTGAGGCGATTGTAGCTCTCAGAAAATGCGGCCACCATTTTCTCATCTTGTACATCTTTTTTAGTTGGACCTTGTTTTGTCTTTTTTTGCAAAATTTCAAGGGCCTTCCTTTTAGATAGTGCTTCAACTTTCTCTTTTTCAATCTCTAATTGATCCATGTATTTATCTTGCCATTTTCCTGGGATTTTTCGTTCTTCAATTCGTTGTGAAATAAATTGTTCCACTGTTTTGATAAAGTGCTCTTCATTGAGCTCAACCAATCGACCTCCTACGTGAGTGATGATTGGAACTTTAGCAATGAAAGAAAAAGCCATTCCTTCTTGACCTGCTCGTCCAGTTCTTCCAACACGATGAACATAATCTTCAGGTTTTGCTGGTACATCATAGTTGATGACAAATGGAAGATCAGGAACGTCAATACCTCTTGCAAGCACGTCGGTAGAAACTAAAATTTGGCATTCACTATTGTCAGGAAGAGAGAACGACTTGATTGCTTTGGTTCTGAAGGCTAAACTCTTTTCCTTGTGAATTCCAATTGCTTTGTATCCCCTTTTCGTGAGATTTTCGGTCAAACGTTCGACCTTGTCTCGAGTTCTACAGAAAACCAAGACTTTCTTATTCTTGAGAGAGCCTTTACGGCCAAGAAGATAGAGCAATAGTTTAAATTTCAATTCCTTCTTACTCACGAAATATTTGATGTGTTTGATTGTTTCAGGAATTTTGAACTCTTGATTGAGATTAATCATTTTGTGAGTTGGAGCAAATCTGTCGTGTATTGACATTTGTTTCATTGTTGCCAAGTGATGTATTAATCAAAGATAACAGGAGGTGTGAAGGTGTAAATTCAAATTTTTGAATTTTCCGATTCGTGTTTTGAAATCAATTCTGACTCAACTTACCTACACACTAAATCTTCAACATCTCTAGTAAGGGTGGCAGAAAACATCAATACTTGCATGGGCTCTTCACTTTCATTAGGTTTTGGAAGGTTCTCGTAAATTCGTTTGAGCTCAGGTAAAAATCCCATGTTCAACATTCGATCACACTCATCCAAAACTAAATAGCGTACAGTTTTCAAGTTACATCCATTGTTTGTCTTGAGCAATTCGACCAATCTTCCAGGTGTCGCTACAAGAATATCCAGACCTTGTTTGATGGTTTTAAGTTGAGAAATTTTGGAAGCTCCTCCAAAGATGACTCCAATTTTGATATCAAACTCTTCATCATTAATTTTTCCTTCATCATGCAACACTTCCAATGTGTACTTTTTAAAGTTATTTAAATGTTCATAAACTTGCTCCGATAATTCCTTGGTTGGACAAAGTACAAGAGTACCAATTTCTCTTTCTGCAAGAGTAGTATGTGAACCTCGTAGTTTCTCATGAATAATTTTCTGGAGTAATGGAAAGCCATAGGCAGCAGTTTTTCCTGTTCCTGTCTCTGCACTGGCTACAATGTTACTCTTTTTAAGAGCTTTTGGAATGACTTGTTCCTGAATTTCGGTAGGAGCAGAGAATTTTAAGAAGTGACTTGCAGCTTTGGCGATGGCTCCCATCAAATTAAGTTTTAAAAACTTGGCATAGGCTTCGGGATTTGTCAAATATTTATCATTTTGTGTGGCGGTTGCTTCAGGATTTGTTTTTGTACCTTGACTAATTCTCTTCTTTTGATCATGCCTAATTAATTCTGTCTCTAAAAATCGTTCGGCATTACTTTTTCGTGTGGTGGAGCGGATGATGGAAAAATTCCGAGCCTGTTGATCGGAATTGATGTTTTCATGCCTAACAAATAAATTGTTGTGGTTGTTGTGGATGGATATCGTTGCATGATGATGAATATTCTGCTTCCCGATCAACAATGATGATCCGAACAGTTTTATTAGTGATGATGATGATGGTTGAAATAACCCTTTCAACCTTGCAGTCAACATTTTTTTTGATTTTGATGCAACCTTCAATCTTTCTCTTGATTAGGAACAGCAAGCAGTTGATTTGCGTTGTCTTGTGAATTCAGTATTTGGGTCTTGTTGAGAGCGTAATTTTCGTTGAAATTCACCGGCATGATTGAAAAGTCACAGTTTTTAGGCAATGAAAAAACATGAATACATGCAGCTTGTTCGTCACAAACAAAGAGTTGACTAATAAATTCATCATAATGTAATCCTCGAAGGCCCATAAAATCATCAAGTTGAACAGTGAAAAGTGTATCAATATGTATGGACTTGTCTTGTATTTCTTGTTGTTTAAATACTACCAAACTTCGATTCAAAAAATTGGAAACAATAATGTAATTGTTGTTGTCGATAGTTCTCATTGTTTGTATTCCCCAAGGGCCTTCACAATCTTGAGAAAAAGTGTTTAACACTCTTCTGAAACGACAGCAATTCCAGATCTAAAACATGTAACATATATTGTGCCATCATGCTTATTAATAGCCATGCAACATGTAAGAGAAATACGCGGATCTATTAATGTCCATAAGATTTCCTTATGGATCAAATCATATTTTACCAAAAAGTCTGCACTTGAGATCAGTGAATTTTCATTTTGATCCAAAGCCAAAGCTCTCAGAATTACATTTTTAGAGATTGATATACCATACATAAAATGTTTGGTTTGATAATCGAATACATGAATAAAAGGTGATACTCCAACTAAATATATCTTTTCATTCTTTGCATCGACAATTAAATCATTCATTTGAGTAGTTACACGCTCATCACCACCAAGAATCTCTCCACACACTTTAAATTGTAAACTGAATGGTAAATACTTCCTCCTAAATTTTTGATACAACAATTCCGATAGTTCAATCACGACAGAAAAATATTCTAAAATCAAAATAGTGGTTGGATTCTCGTAATTTGTCATATTTTTTTGAAAAAAAATAAATTATTCTCAAATTTGATGAAATCATGCAATATTGAATGATCGAACGTTTAATGTAAGAGCGATGTCAAATCTTACACACAAGGTGATTTGAAAATATCATAATTTATATTTTGGTAATCAATTCAGGAAATGCACTATTCAAAAAATGGCACACCATCAACTTCAAAAAAATATTTTTTCTTTCCTTCCTTACCTGTTGTTGAGAGCTCCGAGAAGAAGTGGAGCGACCATTCAATTTTCATCATCATCACTATCGGATTTATCATCTGTAATTTTTAAAAGGATTGGAATTTTCAATAATAACCGGAAGAGCAATAATTATAATTTTTGTACCGAAGGAGCACGAAAGTATCATTCGATTTGTTGTAGAGCCTCTATGATGATTTCTGAAGCAAATGACGGAAATACAACGACCAATGAGAATGGTCTCACAAATGAGGTGAAACCAGTTTTGGAGAGGATATACAACACAAGCTACAAGAATTGCATTGATTTTTTGACCGAGGACGCCAAACTTAATGAAGAATTGGGTAAAATCGATAAACACGAAGCTGTAAAAATATTTCCAGAAAATTCTCTTCAAAAGTATTTTGTGTACAGCAATTTATATGAAGCGCTCATATTGGATGCTAAAACAAGGTGTAGATATTGCTGGATGATCAACAAACAATGTCTTTGTGGAAAACTAAAGCCATTCACGTTTTTACCAAAGTGGACAAAAAATGTGGAATGCTCTTCCAATACTAGTAGCGACTACTCACTTCACACTAAAAAGGTTGAGATTAATCTTCATTTACATTTTCTAATGCACAAGAAAGAATTCCACAAATCTACAAATAGTGTGAAAATATTACTACACACAGATGCAACACAAACGGCTCATTTATACATTGACCAACATGAGATGCATGAAGCGGTAATTAAGAATCTTGTGGAGGTGGCGTCACAGCCTGGAAGTAACCAATTTGTTTATATTCTCTTTCCGTCAGCAGATTCTCAGACAGTGGCTCAAGCTCTTCCTGAGGACATTGGATCACTTTACAAAAATTTAGACGACAGAAGAACTGGATTTATAGAATCAGTTAATGACTTTCATTTCCATGTTTTTGTGCTGGATGGTAGGTTTCAATGGGTGTTATGAAAATATTAATTTATTTTCAAAAAATCATGAAAAGGCACATGGAACGAAGCAAGAATGTTAAATAGGCGAGACTCGTTTGCTGGCTGTAGGCGGATCAAAATAGATGTACCAACAAATTACAATTATGTTTTCAAGCTCGTTCGTACAGGAAAAGTTGAAGGACGAATTAGCACCCTAGAAGCAGTAACTTTATTGTTGAAAGATTTTAACCAAGTTTGCAATTCTGAACTAGCTGTCAATGGGGTAATACTGAAGGAATGTGAGGAAAGCCCAAATTTTGAGAGTTCCATTCAATCAATCTATGAAAACTTGAACACAATGATTGACATCTCGTGTGTCAAATCAAGAAGGCATGGTTTGGTGGAAAAATCTTTAAAGAATTTTCAGTAAAACTTGTCGTTTTAAGGTACTATCAACTACATCAGTTTCTAGTTCAAATAAGAATCTATGTTTGCAAAATCATTAAAAGGCAATAATATTTTGCTGTGAGTGGCCATTATTGGAAAGGAATTGTTTGGTTTGTTGCACAAATTCATCTGTACCACATATAAAGAACAAGCACGAGTGATCCACTTGCGTATCGCTGGCATGTTTGCTTAGAAAAAGTTTATCCATTCTTCCAGCCTCATAATGTACATTCTCCGTGGAAAAGGTGTTCAGATAATCTTGAGGTTCTCGGCTAACTTTGTGAAATATCTCCAGAGAGAAATCTCCTTTTGACACCTCTTTAGAAATGCTTGTCAAGTTCTGTTCTAGAATGATATCTTGCATTGTTTTGTTTCCATAGAGAAGAATCATTTTCCTCAATTTCATTAGCGTTTTTTCCTCAATCTCTTTCGCCACATATTTAATAATTTGATACATGGGAGTGATTCCACTACCAATGCATATCATTATAATTTTTGTACTACTCAAAACTCGTTCAGAGAGCTCTTCCAACCCAAAAGGTCCCCTAGCTGATATTGTGTCACCAATCTTAATTTTGCTTAATTTTTGTGACATTTTTCCATTATTATAGAGCTTGATTGTCAGCTCAAAAAATCCTCTATTTTCAATACTAGTTGGAGTATATTTTCTTACAAGTAAATTGTTTTCGCTGTCCTTATCTGGGAAAGCAACCTGGATATGTTGACCAGGCTTGAGAGGAAGAAACTCAGAGAGTGACGGCAATTTCAGAGTAAATACTTTTGTGTCGCTTGTAATGTTTTGAACAAGCATTACTTTGTAATCCATAAACATTGATTTTGACATGACAGGTTTTGGAGCAGAGTTGTTTGTATTATTTTGAGCGAGTTGAGGCTCTTTAAATGTTTGAACTCGTTGTTGTTTGTTGTATGGATTCACCTCCACAGGTTTTGATGAAGAACTAGAGGATGATGTTGTATAGAATGGCGACAGCATATTTGGTGCAAAACCAGTCTTGATTTGGTTCGTATTTGCAAAATTTGTCAAATGACTCCTTCGTTGCGTTGTGGAGGATCCTAACGATTGATTCTTTTCCGTTAACAATTCTCCGATTAAATACTTTTTCAAAATATTTCTAGCTTTTGGGCTATGAAACATGGCTTCAAAATCTGATGTACAATCTTTCCCTGCGTTCTTCATCATGAGATTGACACCTCCAGGATGTTCATTCAAATAGGTCGTTACATCATAGACAAGTCCATGACAAATCATCCAACAATCATTTTCCGACGAGTGAGCCGCTACTTGTTCCCGACTGTAGTATGATGTCGTTGTTGGTGAGGGTAACATCGTCGAGGATGTCGGAGGAGGAGGCATTGAAGACATTTTTTGTTTGCGTTTTTGTAATCCTTCCTCTCTCTGAATAACCATCTTCAATTGAAACTTTCAAAAAAATAGATTTTTCGTTGAGCAATGATCTTTGAACTTGCTCCGATTGTGCTTGATTGTGGATCCTATCAGTCCCGAGCTGGTCTGGCATTAATCAACAACAACAACAACCACTCGGACCCTTTGCAACCTTCTCCGAAAGTGATCACCCGAACCATGCTGGGTCGATATCCACAAGCCCAATATCACACCATATTCCTCGGAGATGAAGTGTTGGATCGGAGAGGATTTATTAAACATTGTTTTCCAATACAGAGAGGACAGGTGACTGATTGGCATGATCTTGAGACATTTTGGGACTTTTTAATATTTAATCATGTGTTATTGAATCATGGAACCACTCGAGAGCATTCATATTCCTTGAATAATCATGACAAGGTGATGGGATTTCAAGAAACATGCACAGATAGAGCTCTCTTGCTTAATGAAAATCCTTTCATGGGTAATTGTTGTTTTTTGAAAAGTACTTCAACCAATCATCATTTTACAAACAATTTAAACATGCATCGAGAAAAGACCATTCAAATCATGTTTGAAAAATTGCAAATACCTGCTCTGTGCTTGGCACCATCTCCACTGATGAGTTTATATGCAAACGGAAAAACGAATGGTGTCGTTGTGGAATGTGGCCATGGAGTCACCCAAATTGCATCATGTTTGGATGGAAAAGTAGTGGCAAATTCTGTCAAGCAATTAGAGGTTGCAGGCTCTGATTTGACTCAAATTCTGGCACAAAACTTTCGTCAAAAAGGATTGTTTTTCAAAACCTTTTATGAAATTCATTGTCTTTGCAAAGAAATTAAGGAAACTCTGTGTTATGTCGCACTCGATTACGAATCAGAAATGAAAAAAGATTCATCTCTAATTTCCAAAGAATACGAGTTGCCAGATGGAACTCTCCTCAACACTGAGTATGAGAGATTCAAAACTTGTGAAATATTATTCCAACCAGAGTTGTATCAGTCAGAAGAGCTCTCAGAAGGAACACCATTTGAAATTGACGATTCATCTGGCATTCATCAATTAGCACTCGACTCCATTCGATCCTGTAGTGACATGCATGCTCGATTAGGTCTATATTCTAATATCGTTCTCGCTGGAGAAAGTACTTTATTACCTGGTTTCAAAGAAAGACTTCTGAAAGAGATGATTCAGTTAGCTCCCTCACAAGCTCATGTTCAAGTAGAACCCAAACGACACTCTCACTCGTGTACTCCTGCTTGGATTGGAGGCTCCATTCTTGCTTCTATGTCCATCTTTCCTGATTTATGCATGAACAAGCAGGAATATCATGAAGAAGGTGCCATTCCATACTCGAAGAGATGTTTACACAAGATGTATTCCTGAGTCGTAGATATCTCTAGTACACTAAGCTATGCGATACTTCAATGTACGAGATATATTTTGGTCTCCCTTTGTTGTTAACTCGAGTGAAAGCGAGTCTATATATATTAGGTAAAAAAAGAAGAGTGGTATCCTCAAAAAAGAAAGAATTTCACCCTTTTTATTATTATTGATGTGGGTTTATTTGATTCCTTGCAAGTTCTGATCTAGTTCATTCCGATTTAATTGTGGTACTGATCACACAGACCACTCTTTCATGAAGAGTGCTTCTCAGAAATAGATCATGTCGAAAACAATGATTGAAGTGAGTCATCAAACACTCCCAACAGAGAGGTTGGCTATTACTCTCAATTATTAAGGACCAATCCTGCTAAAAGAGTAAGGAATTCGAACCCGAAGGACATCAATCTCCAAGAAAACGAGAGTTTCGATCAAGATGCATTCTCGAACAATGAAGGATGGAGTCGAGGTGTTTGATGTTACCAAAGACGCTGGAGATGCATCCGTGTTTGGCCAAAAGCCTCTCTTTCACTTCACTACCATTAGATTTAAGGTGTTCCATTCAGAAACTTATCGTACCCATATCGATATGATCTTTGTTGGGGACATCCAATATGCATGTGTGTGCTGTGACCGAACGAGAGTGGAAGAAACCAGGTTATTGAAAGATTGGATACGAGCAAATAAGGATGCAGAACGGAGAGTGCCTTCGTTGTGTGCGGCCGATTTGTACAGAAAAGACTTTCTTCCTGATTCTACACTTTCTACCTCAATCGCAACAACAACCAGCACGAAAAAACCCATCCAACAGCTCTTCCTCCTCAAATCAAGTCATTACTGTTCGCCATTTCTCTCCATGTCACACCTTGGTTATCAGATTAATAAGCCTCTTTGAAAACATGTGCTCCAGCTCTCAGTTTGAAGTATTAAGCAGAATCTGCCAATGTACACCTCTTTCCACTATTTCAGAGTACAAGGAACTCGTGAACAAGCTGTCGCAAGTGAAGAATATACTATTTGTGGGACAATTGTTTTATCCCATTAAATTCATACTACGGTTTATAAGCTCTCCACCTTTGTCTGATTTTTTTGGAGTTTCCTCAGTGTTGAAAATTTATTTACCTGCCTACTTTGGAAACATAATTGCCCAAAGACAACTCGAATCTCTTTGTGAAAAATATGAATTTAAGCTTGAAAAGAAAAATATTTTTCTTAAAGGTGTTGAATATCCATTTACATCTAAATTCTTTCCGAGAAACGCCATGTCCAATTTGTACTGCAATGGAAAACACTTGGGAAATTTGTACCTATGTATTTAAGTATTGGACGTATCATAGACATGAGGACATTATGAAGTATTTGAAAAAAGCGTCTGATATGCTTTCATTTCAAAATCATACGATACCCTTCTGAATCAGTGGAGAGTAATTTGTTGCTACTTGTGTGCATTGTTAGATAAGGATAAGTCGAGCACTCTCTATTTGAAAACGATTGACTCTCCACTCTATTTTCATTATGCATTTCATTTAAGCTCTTTTACTGCGAATCCAGGGAAATACAACAAGGAGTAATTGCGACGTGGTTTATTGGAGAATGGGGTGTCAGAAGTGATTCGAGCTGGAAACTCGATTGTTTTAAAGCATCATCAACTTGAAAGAATGGCTCATGGAAACGAAGAATGGCTCAAACACATGCTGTCTCCTCATCTCACCCTCGAACATGATTATGAAAAACTGATCAACCACGATCTTCAATGTTTGAATAATTAATGGCTAAGGCTAAGACTCAACGAGTTTATAAAGTTATTGAGTTGTGCTGACACTTTGGTTTCCGGTACAGACGTACACCATCCATCCGACACCATACTTGTCCTTACAGGTACCGAAGCCGGCAGAAAATGATGTCTTTCCGAATGCCATAGTAACTTTGCCATCATTCGATAGAGCTTGGAACAGCTTTTCTCCTTCTTCGACAGATTTTGCTGTGATAGAAAGGGAGAATCCAGAATGTGTGACCTGACTGTTGTTTGGATCGTCACTTCCTTGCAAAACATTGCCAGAATCTAATTGCAAGCAACTGTGCATAACCTTTCCTTTCATGGATGGACAACGCTTCTCTGCTTCCTCATCAGCCTTTAAAATTTGGAGTTTACCACCAAGAATGGACTGATAATAATTCATTGCTTCATGGCAGTTGCCTGGAAAGAAGAGATATGGATGCAAAGCGAGTTGAGACATTTTGTTAATTGTTATTGCGAGTAGTTGTGCGAGAAACTTCTCACAATTTATGATGTAGAAAAAAGTTCTTGCGGCAGCTCGAACTGGTTTGACATCGTAATCAAAAATAGTGCTCGCGCTCAACTATCCGTTACGTCAAATTGTTGTGGGATTTTGTAAAATGGATTGCAATCAATTAAGTGAGATTTGATTTCGTTTGATCACATCAAATGGAGTGTTGTCCTCGTGGATGAAGAGCTTGGATAATATGGGAAACGCTTTTTCGAAATATTGACGAGATCCATGCTGTGTGATTGGTGGGAAGGTGTTTATGGTTTGCTCCTCTTCGAGATAGGCTCCAAGTTTCGCACACATCAAGTACTGCAAACCAAGAATTGGGTAAAATTCTGGATAGTATTTCTCCAAGAAGGCAAGTGATTCCACTGCGTAGGGATACGCTATTTCAAATTTACCCAATTCCACATAGTTGTGGGCAAGAGCATTTAGAGCAATGCCCATGTAAATATCGTGAAATAGTTTTGGTGAGGATTTTTTCTTGGAAACTATTCGTGAATAACAGTCAATGGCTTTATCGAGTTCTGGTTGTCACAACGGAAGAAAAATTGTTAGTATGATTCATGAGTATTTCAAAACATAAAATACCTACGATTCTTCTTTTTAAAATCATTCGCCATTTCTAACATGCCTTCGACAAGGGCGTTTCTCTCTTCAGGATCATCTGAAGATGCACACCGAGAACATTGGCATGTGAAATGGTACTGTTTTTTTAGTTTTTGTTGCCTATTTGGTGTCACATCCAGTAGGTCAATATAATTAATGGTGAGAGGTTCTCCAGCCTTAATGTTGGACTTTATGACTCTTGTGTAAATGTTCTTGTTCGAGTCGAAGAGAATTGTGCAATTCGGAACACAACTATGATTAAACATGGATGCGTGAAAATATAGTCCTGAACCAATAACGTTCATTTCATCGTTGCAAATAGAAAATGTGTTTCTTTGAACCTGATTATGTGAAAAGTATAATAGCGTCTCAAAAACTCACTTACCTTTTGAAACAATAAATAGAGATAATCGACATCTGTGTTTCGATGACCAATAAAGCATATTGTTGAAAGATCTAATTCTTTCACATAATCACAAAAGAGTATTGCCAATTGTTTCAAATCATCAATGCCCTTCAAACTTTCTTTAGGTGATAAATTCTCAATTTTTTCGACATCCTCAGCAGTCTTGCAGTTTAAAAAACATTTCAACATTAATCTCATAGAGTTGGTCACTTGAGGGTGTTTTTGTAAGGCTTTACATTCAACCAAATGTTGATCTGCATTCTATAATGTCACCATCATCATGTACAAAACACAAAGAATGAAACAAAAATTCATAATAATTCACAAATCATTTCGTTGAATATTATTTCCAATTTTTCACTCCTGATTTCGAGAGAATATGAAATTCATCATCATTCATCACTTACATAGCACTCCATCGAGCAATAATGAGAATATTTACAAGCTTTACATCTCGACAATTTCATCCCTTCCGATTTTTCTCTAAAACAATAATTACAAATTCTACTCCGTTGTTCCTCGGATACACAAAAACAAAAAGGCTTCTCCTTCAACAATAACATTCCTACAGGAATTTCTTGATGAATAATTACTGATGATGATAATTTACTCGAAAGAATCAACTCCTTCTTGTTATTACCTCCAACAACAACCTTTTCATCTTGTCCATCAAAACAATAAAACCTTCCCAACTCTTCCTTCTCGGAAATCTTTAAGGACGGAGAGAGAAAGAAAGACCTATGCAAAGACTTTTTCATTTTTCCTTTTGTGGAGCAACACAGAGTGTTTCATAGAGAGAAGGGTTTTTTGGAGGGTGAGTATATATCACATTCCAGAGAGAGCATAGAGAGGGTGAGCTCACTCGTGAATGAGGAATTGCTTTACAAATTCCAATGTAAACACATTCAAGATTGAAATACCCTTTGAATAGGAGGACCATCGACTTCTTTACAAAGTTTTTTCAATTGTCAACCATTGGCCGAAACAACCGAAATTCTTCTCCGCGCTGACTTTCCACATGCTACTTTTCAGCGACCTCTTTGGTTGCCACAAAAGCAAAAAACAACAACACTCTCTCTCTTCGTTCCCCACTCTGTGTAAAATTTTGTCGATCCTAACCATGATGTCATTCATATCGGTCCGACACGCAACACGAACGCGACTTGGAATGGTTTCGTTCATCATCGTGATGATAATCATTATGATGTTGACTCACGGAATTGATAAATCTCATCAGGAAACATTCGGTAAGTTAAAGGAGTTTCTTTACGAGTGATATTCATCCTCTCGACATGAAATTTCGTTTCACATGAAATTGACATTTGACTTGACATCATCACAGACCTCTCTCTTTCCAATAGAATTTTCTTCTTTTACGGAACTCCAGATCGTTTCATCAACACCAAAGGTACCTACACGACTAATTCAAATTGTACCTGTCAACCTTCATCACTCAGTCTTTCGAGTGATGCTGCCACTACTCAATATTGTTATTTCGATACTCCCAATTCGGTGACAATATTGACGACTCAACCTGGATTTTGTAATTTATCAATTTCGAATAATGTGGATGATTACTTTTTATACATTTCCGATTTTTACTTGACACCAAATGGAAAAGTTATTCCACCACCAAATGGAAATGGTTTTCATGACTATGGATTGAATTTTACAAGTGGAAATGTTCCTGTTTCGTATTCTTTGTTTTACATGTTGTTTGAGAGATGTAATAGTAAATTATTAAGGTCTTCTCTGAATCCATCGATCAGTGCAGCATTGACAAAGAGTGGAGTTTCAAATTTACTTTATAGTGCCACATTGAGTGTTGCTGATGTTCAATCCTTGTTGGATGTGGCGACATTTGACATTTATCAACGATATAAGAGATTGGATTTTGATGTTGTGATGGACACTTTGATTTATCCAGTGAGTGATGGAGTTCTCTATTATTCACCTTTGAATGCTTCCAAGATTGTTCTCTCACCAAGTATTATTCGATTTGGAGAGTTGACAACAATTGAGCTTGGAACAACTTTACACCCACTATTCACACCAAGTAATTCTCTCACTATTACGATATGTGGCTCAAATTTCACATCCATGAGTGGATCTGTCATAATGGTGACTGAAAGTTTAGTGAGAGCTCAAATTATTTGCACAGATCCAAATTATAGAAATGGAATGACCACTCTCAGTTATTCACAAAGTGGAAATGTTCCAGATGGAGTGAATTTGAATATTGCAATTTTCGAATTTGATTCAACTGTGAATATTGCTTATACGGGTTCAAGAAGTTCTTGTTCTCTCTTTGGACAAAATAATTTAAGAATTTCATTTCCTTCGAGTTCTTACTTTTCACAGTCCATTGCACCTCTTGTGAGATTTAGTATGGTAGAACAGAGTGATCCATCCAGTACGTCTTTCTATGATTGTACTTGGTTTCAAAGTCAAGTGTTGGAATGTCCATGTCCTGCTCTGTGGGAATTGATGGTCACACCACCACAAGAATTTAACTTTTTTTTAAGGCCAAGCAATTATGCAAAAAGTGTGCAAGACCAAATTTCCATTCGATCCAACAAAATTATTGGAAATCCTAAATTACTTTTTGGAGATTATTTAAGACCAGAAATTGTGGCACCTACTGCCGTGTATTCTTTCAATATTACTCAACCATCCGTTTACAATTCATCAAGTGGTAGCACAATTACTGTGACAAATATTGATGAAGTTTATATTAATTCAGGAATTGTGAATTATACTTTTTATTTGGTCAATTCGGTGGTAGATTTGAAACCTGAAAATCAAATTTCATGCACTCTTACAACAATCAACTCAAAGAATGGATTGAATTGTGATTATCGTGGTTTTTCCAATCGACCAAACTCTCTTTCTAATGTTTGTGGATGTTCACCTTATACAACAGACACTCGTTCTACTAGCAGTGGAAATTCTGGAAATTGTGAATCGAATTGTAATTTGAAAATCATGTTTGCCATTTCCAAGTCATCCATGACATCACCAGCAACCTATCTCACAAAGAATGCACTTTCAGTTCTTCCTCCATTGCAAATTCAATCCATCATTCCAGATTCAGTTCTCTTGGAAAATATGAACAGTGTTAATTTCACAATTATGACAAGCTTGGACAGCTTTGGAATACCACCACTTTCTCAAACCATTTATTACAAATTTGTGGAAGTGGATGGAAACTCTGGCGCTGAATTATCGAGACTATATCAAGGAACAGCATCCTTTGTGAATTCGAATCAACTCGCATTGTCCACTGTGTTTGTAAATAACATTTCTTCATCTGGATTTTATATTTTAAAGATTTCCATGGATGGTCCATTCGGTACTTTTAGTACAGATCATGGAATTCGAAGATTGAGCGTCATGGATGCAAATCTTGTGACAGTGACCAAATTTGAAGAATATACATTGGTCAATTCGACTGCAGTTTCTGCAGGTTATGCCGATGATACCATCTCTCCTGCTGCCAAACCATTCCGAATTCTTGGTTCAAATTTTCCAAAATCAGAAACGATCAAAATTAAGCTCACCTTAAAGAGTACGCCAACCAATTCAAAAACAAGAAAAATCATGGAAAAACTTTCAAGAAGCAATTACAAGTCACACATGAGAAGGGCCATCACTTCCTATCAAAAGAGAATGATTCAATATGCTCAACAAAAAAACAACAACAACAACAATGGAACTATTTCATTCCTCGCCGATTGCACCAGTTTCACATCGACAGAAATTCGATGCATGTCTCCCAATATTTTATCGTCTGGCGTTGCACTTCCATTAACATTTGGAGTTACAATTTCGTTTGATGGATTTTTCACAAGTGCTGTCTATGTACCAAAGAAGAATGGTCAAGATTATACAGTGACTGTTCGTGAATCTGAAATTCCAGTCATTGTCCAAGCCATTCCAACCAAGGGACCCATTGATCCAACCGATGATTCCAAAGGACCAGGTTTTCTAACAGTCACTTTAAAAGGTATTACCACCGATGTGACCAAATGCATTGTGGAATACACCAAAGTGATCGGAACCAATGTTCATGTCAATTATACAGTTCCAGTAGGAACACTTCTCACCAACGAAGAATTCAAATGTGTCATCAATACTGCTGCCTTAAATGACACCATTTCTCAGTACAATATGGGAGTTTATCCAAGTCAACGTATCACATTTCCTGCCAAAGATAGATTCAAGATTTTTCTTCAAACTTCAACCAATTTAAAAAGTGAAGGATTTCCATTTGAATTTTATGAACATCCAGTCATTCAAATGATTTCTCCACTCGAAGTGGATGCCAAAGGTGAAAATTCAATGATTATTTCTGCAGATCCAAATAATGCTCCTTTCAATTCTGAATATCGAATTTACTTCAAGTTGGGAGATTTCACTTCAGAGCATGATTGTCAATTCAATAGTGCATTTGAAATTAATTGCACAACTCCAGCTCATCCAGATGGACCAGCCAGTGTTGCCATCTCGTATAATAATTATCAATATGCATACTCGACGAATAGTGTCAATGTGAAAGCTTGTGCTGCAGGATTTTCTGCACCTGACTATATCAACACATGTGAAGCATGTCCATTGGGAACTTACAAACCTTTGGAAGGATTCTTTTCTTGCATTCAGTGTGAAATTGGAAGTTACAACAATCAAACTGCTCAACCTAAATGTGTGAATTGTGGTGCTTTTAAAACCACAGTATCTGTTGGATCATCTTCCATCTTTGACTGTGATTGTGAAAAGGGATATTATCGACGAAATGGTTCCTCTCCAGTGAGTGCTGATTGTTGGCCATGTCCAACAGGTGCCACTTGTCCTGGTGGATCTACTTTACCCATTCCACTTCCAGGTTATTGGTGGGATGCTGACAATCCAGAATCTCAAAATGGAAAAATTGTTCTTCTCAAATGTGATGAACCGAATGCAGCGATTCGTTGTCCAGGACAAAATTTAACACTCGAAGGAAGATGTGGCACTGGATACACTGGAATCAAATGTGTTTCTTGTGTTCCTGGATTGTATTTCAAAAGTGGAGATGTGTGTCAACAATGTAATGAGGATATTCAACTGCGTTTTTTGATTGTCATGGCAGTGATTTTGATATTGGCCTTATTGTTTTTCAAATTTGCACAATTGAAAGTTTCTCACTTGTCCAGTATTAGTATTGCTGTGAGCTATTTCCAAATTATTGCTGTTTTCACAGTTTACAATTTTGAATGGCCTCAAAGTTTACAACAAGCGTTTGACACTCTCAAATTCTTTAACTTGAATTTGAATATTTTCGTTCCAGAATGTGTGGCCAGTAAGTAGTACATATTGATAGTACACGATTAGTATGGATGAATTGATTAATTTTCATTGGAACACCACCATTACAACTGTAACTAATGTGACACCATCATTCATTAATAATAGTCATCAATTATGGTTTAAAGTGGGGATTAACATTGGCTCTTCCTGTATTTTTCGGAGCTCTTTTATTAATTGCTTTTGGATTGGAATGTTTAAGAAGTGCTATTCTCTCTAAACTTCCACTCGTTTCTAAAATTCGAAAACATCCAAAAATTGTTTCTTGGTATGACACGACTCACCGTCATTTGATCGTTCGAGTTCTCAAATCGATGAGAAGAGATATCATTCGATTATTCCTCGTTCCTCGATCGAAACGTGAATTAATGAATTTTGGAGACATGTTCATTCACACCTTTATTGTCATTATTAGTTTCAGTTATGTATTTGTAGTGACCAAAGCTGCTGAAATTTTTGATTGTCGTGAAACGACTGTGAATGGCGTGAAAAAGTGGTTTGTGAGTGCTGATCCAACTCTTTATTGTTTTGAAGACACTTGGTGGGTCTATTTCACATTTGCCTTATTGACCTTTATTTTCTTTGGATTGGGAACGATTGTATTATTTGCTTACATTTTATGGAAGAAGAATGACGAAAACAAGAGATTCAAATTCTATGCAAGATTTCGATTTTTATTTATACGTTTTAGAAATGGAAGATTATTTTGGGAAATTATTATCATTTTGAGAAAATTGAGCATTTCTGCTGCCATCATTTTCTTTTCAACATGGCCCATTCTGGTGATTCTCTTTACCATGTTCGTCATTTTCATGAGCTTTATTTTACAAACACATCATGTCCCTTACCGAAGAGTCTTCCACAACGTGATGGAATATCTCGTGTTGCTGTCCACTGAGTTTTTATTATTCTCAGGTTTATTATTTTATGTGAATAACTTCCCCAATGAAGAGACAGCCTCAGCACTTGGTTATTTGTGTATCATTACAGTGATTGTGAGCTCAGTTGCCATTCTCGTATTGGTCGCTTTAGACTTTTTATCTCAATATCTTTCCGATCGAAGAAAGAAACAAATGGAAGAATTACGAAAGAATCAGAAAGAAGCTCTTCAAGAGACCACACACGGTAGTAGCAACCACCACACACCTATGGGTGCATTCCTTGTGGAATCCAATCTTGATATTGAATTGAAAGATGAAAATCAACAACCATCCTTACAAAAACAATCCTCACATTCATCAGCACAAGCTAGCATGATGGAGAATGGTGCTGCTACATCCAGTGTCATCACTATTCCTGTTCAAGAAACTCCTCATCACGAGGAACCACAAGAAACTCGTTCTCGTTCTCGTGAGGTACCTTTGAAACAAATTCGAATCAAGAATCAATGTCTACACTTGTGGACTCTCTTCACTGAATACTTGAAAAAGATTGAAGGAGAGTCTCTCGATGCCGACCTCGAAGAATACGACGAGGATCGTTTGTGGGATATGGAACTCTTGGATCGAGGCCTTCCTCTTGTCATTAAGAAACCACAACAATATCATCATTCAAACAAAGAAGAAGACTCAACAGCAGATCTGTCCTCCTCTGCTGCAATTGTTGTTGTGGGTGGTGTGGGAGGTAGTAAGAACACAACGACGATTGCCGATCATGGCAGTTCCATGATTAATGAAATTAAGCTGGTGAGTGACGATTGTGAGGATGAGGATGCCTTCTCTTCCAGAACACATTCACATCGACAACAACCACCACCATCAAAGGGAGTGGATCCAAAGACTCTCTCACGACTCGTGTTGGCTCGATCCAGCTCTGATGTCAGATCTCAGATGAGTCATCACAGTAATAATAGTTGTAGTACCACTAATAGTCAAACGAATTTATTGAGGCATGATACTAGTTCAATAGGAAATAACAACAATAATTCGAGCATGACTGAGTAAAATCGCTTGTGTTTATTCATTCTTCTGAGTAAAATCGCTTGTGTTCATTCATTACATTGTATATTTGAAAAGGAATTTGAAGGATTGAAAAATCAAACGAAAAGCAAACAAAAACGCGCTCCCGCCAAATTTTTACAACATTTCATAAAAAAATGATGAACTCTGACAATAAACCTCAAGTGACACACGAACATCATCATTTCTATCATGGAGGGAAGAAGGTCGCCTCTACCAGTGTAAGATTATCGGAAGAGGGCAGCATTGAGGATGTTCGTGTGATGGATCATCATGGTCCAAGGCTTGTCTCTTTTTGGAATAACGGAACGAAAAGCTCCACTTTGGAGAATGGGGAAGCCAACAAGCAGCAATACACGACTCCTCCCATGTACAGCGAACGACTTACAAAATTGAAATCAAAATTGTCGGCAGTATCTTCATCGCTGGATGGAAAGAACGGTCCTCTCACCAAGGAAGAAGATAAACTCAAGAAAAAGATCAAGCAGCAAAAAAAGGAGATTGAATTGTTGACCCGCGAAGTCAGAGAGCTGCAATCGACCGCTTCAAAAACCATTTCTTCATCATCGTCATCACCAATACAATTACCTTCTTCGTCATCTCCTTTCAAAGAGAGTAAGTATGCAAAGGTTGTATTCATTTAGCAGCGCAACAATTATTAATTTCAACAAACTGATGGGATAAATTCTTTTCATATTTGCAATATTGAAAAACTTGATGATTGACAGGCTCGGACGATTCAATCTCTGATGATTATCTTGCATACACTATCAAAAGATATTTAAATGTTTTGAAACAAGGTTCCTATGGAAGCACCTACTCTGAACAAAAGAACTTTCTTGATACTATTACGTATGTTGAAGGAAAGGTAGACCGATTAATATCCGAAAAGAATAGTCAAATCGAAAAACACATTTCCGACAAAATCGATGCTGAAAGAAAGACGAAAATTCTGGAAAGCGAGCGTGATTTTAATCGAAGGGAGCTCGCCCAAAGAGAAAAAGAATTAGAAAATTGCACAAAAGAAAAGGAACGGCTAGGAAAAGCTTTGAAAATTGCCGAAGACGATGTGGTGCGACTTCAAAAAACTCTTGAACAATTTTCAAAGTCTAGAGAAGAAGACACCGAGCTCACACAAAAGATGGTCGATAAATTATTGGAAAAAGAGCGAGGAAGAATTCGAAAAAAGATGTCTGAAGAATACCAAAAAGAGATCGATGAGTTGAAAACCAAAATTTTAGATCTAGGAGAACAAATACACTGTTTAAAACAAACACAAGAGTTAAGAGATAGAGAAATTTTAGAATCTAGAGAAGAATCGAACATGTTACGAATGAAATGCTCAAAGCTTACTACCTTTTCAGAAAAGATTCAACAAATTTGCAAAAATCAAAAGAATTATCTTGAGGAGCTTGATAAACTTCTTGGTTCATGTAAAGACAAGATACCCTCCTTGGAAGATTTAGCAAAAGGAGCTCAACTCTATTCCAGATTAAGCAAGGGTTATGATGATCTTGAACTTGCTTCCACTGTTGAAGATGCCGGTTGTGTTTCTTTCAACTCAGATTTTGATAAGATTACACAGTTACTAAAGGCTTCCATCGAAAGGGAACGAAAGTTGGAAGATAATTTAACTTATACAATGAATTTGAATCAAGTCATGAATAGGGAGCTTGAAACCTGTAAAAAGAGTTTGACCGAAATGGAAGAGTCGATTTCATCGAGTGCTTACTTGGAGAAGAGTAGTCTCTATCAAAAGAAAATACAAGCTGCTGCATCTAATGTTACTACATCCTTCAAGGTCAAGTCAATCATCGAAATATGCGAAGAATTTGCAAAGGCAAACTCTAGTCTTCGAGAAAAAGTGAAAACTACTCAAGCAAACAATGAGCTTCTTTCGCAAGAGCTTTCTCAGCTCCATAAATCCAAATTGGAGACTGTGTCTTCACAGAAACAATACTACAAGGAGAAAGAACAACTCGTTCAGGATCTGGAAGAATTCAAACAAAAAGAAAGAGAGCTCGTAAAAAAGCTTCAAGCCGATTCAGAAAACTTCTCAAAGATAATACACGAAAAACAATCAGTCATTGAAAAGTACAAGGAAATTATTGAAAACAAGGGTGTGAACATTTCCTCACTCGAAGAGACATGCAAAAACACAAAGAAAGAATTGGAACAAAAGATTGAAGATTTAGAAAAGATTTTGAAAGAGAAAAAAGATTTAGAACAGCTTTACCACAAAACTTTACATGAATTGGAGGAAGCCAAGGAAGAAAATGCTAGTAACGAAATTTTGATTGCACAAATCAAGAATCAAAATGAGAGACTGACTGCTCTTAACAATGACTATTCGACCAAAGCTGAAGAATTGGAAATGCAAATTGATGTCGAAAAAGAAAAAGTGACAAAACTTGAATCACAACTGAAAGATCTCCAACTTGTCGTCTCTACCAAGGAAACGGAAATTGAAAGGAATAAGACAAACCTGGTATCTCTTGAAAAATCCAAACAATTGCTAGAAAAAGAGCTGGAACAGTTGAGAAACCAATCGCAAGACACTGAATATAAAGTGAAGGACAGCGAAAGATCGATTACCGATAAGCAACGGCAAATCTCTGATCTCTATTCACAAATTGAGGAAAAAGATCAAGAAATAATGAACTTAAAATCCAATCTGAAGGACCAAAAGAAAAACCTCTTTGAGAAGGAACAGCTTTTTGAAGAAATGAAAATCTCATACCAAGAAGCTAAGAGATCTATCGAAAAGAAGGAAACGGAAATAATGAACTTGCGACTGGAAATTGAGCAACTCAAGAGTGGTCAAGAGTCGCTTAAATCCAAATGCTCTCAGTTTGGAAAAACAAATTCTGAACTTGACGAACTTGTTGAAGATTTGAGAAAGAAGGTCAAACAAACGGAAGATAAATGGGAAGCAAAGCTTTCGGAAATTAAGGAAAATCATCACAAACAATTGTTAGAAATCAAGTCAAGATATGAAATGGACAAAACAAGTCACATTTCAGAGCTGGAAGGAAAACTTGAACAAAAAGAAATGGAAATTGAAGAATTACAGTTACAAGTGTCACGCTTGAACAAACAGAAAGATGAAAAGATGATCGACAAAGATCTCGAAAATGAAAGACTCTCAAAACAACTTGAAGAAGTTAAAGAAAAGCTGAGGACAAAAGAACGCGACCTTTCTGACATTACAAAGAATTATAAGAAAATTGAAAAGGAATATTTAATGATCATGCAGGATTTACAAGAAAGCCGAGAAAGTATTACACAAAGTATTCAAGAAAAAGAAAGAGAATTGCAAGAAAAGAGTAGATCAAAATTATCAGAGTTGAATTCCAGCTATGCATCATTGCAAAACAAACTTAATCTTACTCAAAATGAGCTTGATGCAATAACTCTGGACTTTGAACAGAAAACTCAAGAATATGAACAAACAATTCTCGATCTTCAAGGAAAGTTGGCAAAGGAGAGAAAAGAGAGAAGTCTGATCGCAAGTAACAAGTCCGTCATTGAACAGAAGGACAAACAAATTGCAGAATTGCAAAACGAGAAGATGCAACTCGCTAAAGGTTTGAAATTCTTAAATGACAATGTTTCTGTTTTACAGGATGAGCTGCGACGATTGAAGAAACAAGTTCTCTTGTACCAAACCAGCATGAAAAAAGAAGTTGAACGAGGTATCACCCAGATGGAAGATCAAATTGAACTCTTTGTCGCTAAGAAAGAAGAAGAACATCAAACACAAATTGATTATTTCAACAGATCTCTCGAAATGTATAAGGAAAGAACTGCCAAGTTAGAAAATGAGAAAAAACGTAGCTTGCAAAATATGTCAGCACATCTTGATTTGGTTCAACATTTGGGTAGGTCTGTAGAACAGGAGGAAGACAGCTCACTTTTATCAGGAATTCCAATTACAGATGATGAGGATGACGAAGAAATTTAATTTTTCAATTTTCTCGAATTTTGTTCTTGGAGAATAACATTCCTGACAATTGGTTCAACCTCTAATAATTTTCTTACTTCCAAAACGCTCTTATTTTCCCCTGAAGCCTTGCTAGCAGCAAGTAAAAGAGCAACTGGAACAACCTTGCTCACAGTCATGGCCTTCGAGATGTGATGAGAAACCAAATGACTATCTGGTGTTGTATCATTATAAATTGCCCTTAACACACATTCTTCGGCTACTTGTTCGCTCACTTGCATGATATTGCAAACAATATTGATGGCTCTATAGTAGAGCTTGTTATTGCTAACCTTCAAGTTGATCATTCGATTGCCAAATGTCATTCCCTTTTGAACATGAGAACCCGTAGTAATTGCATTAAGCATCAACTTTAAACTGAGCTCTGCATAGCCATATAAATAGGGAACAGGACTCAATGTTTGAAGTGGTACAACAATTGAATGAGTTTTCTTCTTCGTGAGAGAATGATCACACATTCGAGAAGAGTTATTGAGTAATTCTGATATTTTTGGTAACACAGAGGCATGCTCAGAACATTGATGATCCTGAGAAGTTACTGAATGTGATTGCTCAGTTACTATCAACCAACAAGTGGAGGCTTGTTTCGTATTTTTCACTTCATGATATAGGTCAATCATTTCATTCAACAATTCATCGCTCAATGTTTTGTCAATTACCAAAAAGTAAACAGAATCATTTGAATTGATTTGTTCCAATACTTTCTCTCTGAAATAAGAAAATGAAATAGAAAAGCTTTCTCCTTTGCTCTCCATAGTCACATTCGAGTCAAGATCAGAGTGTGTTTGGAAAATTTCATTCCATCCATTCTTCAAAAATCCTCTCACATCCATGGGATGAGCTCCATACGTTGGAACGCACTCAGAAGCATCAATAAAACCTAAAATTCCTGCATTTCCACATCCAACATAATAAATATGACCAATCTCTTTCTCGTTTCTTGGCACTGTGGTGTTGTCTCGTGTGGAAGCAGCATGTTTCAAGCTTTGAGAAGCCATGTCAATGGCATACGAGATGGGTTTTTCAAAAAGCTTGGGAATGATTGTATCAGGATTTAGAGTAAATGTCGAATCGTAGGTACATCTTGTTGCCATTTCAAATCCTTGAAGAGTATCGATTATAAATTCTCTCAAATGGTGTGTTGAGGTGTCTTTTGGGTGTCTGTTGTCCTTATTATTGTTGAGGATGGACAATATTGCTGCTGAAAAAGCCACATCAAGTAATAATTTTGATGTGCTTCCTCCTTTCATTCGGGTGGATCCAGTAATTCCTTCTGGTCCAACAATAGGATTGAGAACAATAAATTCGTCCTCTCTCGCTTGATTGTGTTGAACTGTGTCAACCACATTTTTGAATGATATCATATTATCCCTCCATCCTTCAATGGGTAATTCTCTTGCCAGTTCCACAGGATTAAATCCAAATAAAACCGAATCAATATTGAGGGATTTATCTTCGCTCAAACACATAATTTGTCCTGCAACATAGGCTGCAGAAAATCCACAAGTTATTCCAATAAACAATCCTCGCTCGGTATTATTTTTTGAAATGAGTGACAATAAATCATTCTTTCCAACCTCGGGCTTGTCTTCAGCGGCTTCTTGAGGACTCACTAAAGCGTTAACTCCTCCAGCAATAATATATTGAAAACAATCAATGTTTCTTCCGTCATTACCATTATCATCAAATAATTTTCGGATGCAATAATTATAATTCCGAGCACAAAAGTAGGCTATTCTACCACTTGTACCACATCCACTCATAAAAACATTTGATACAGGAGCACCTGAACGCCAATCTTCAATACATTGTTTCATTCGGAAGGCTATTTTACACAAGGCCTGAATGGTGGGCTCATCAAAACACGATGGAAATGTTTCATAACCACAAAACATTTGAGCATCACATGTCCGTAAGAGCCGAACCATTCCATCCATCGAGGCGATATCAATATCTTGTGTGAGAGGATTTGAACGTTCAGTAATTCTTTGTTGCTGGGACATTTTTTACTTCAAGCCTCTTTCGTGATTGCAATCATCTATCGAGACGATTTGACTCTATTCAAGGGCGATGATATCTTTCCATTCAACTTCCTAACCAAATCATTGCAATAGTGTTGTTTCATTAAAACTACACGACTCAATGACTGATACCTGATCATTCGTCTTCCGTTTTGAAAAGATCTTTTCATCTCATAGAGAACTGGGGCAAAATTTTTTCTTCTTTCTAGTCTTTGAGTCATACCAAATTTGTCATCGTAACCAACACAAAAAAAATCTGCAGCAACAACAGCCTGAATCATCATCATCACGCAAAAGTTTGAGATTATTGATCGACCTTTCATCGTCGTTACGGAATACTGGAAGTAGCAAACAAATTCCACACAGTCTTGGAAGCCTCTTCCCTGTGTGTTTTGAAGCTTACAATCTCCTATCCACTTGTTGTGTTTCCTCAATTTTGATTGCCGAGATTGTTGAGAGAGTGTTTTTGATTTCGGCGGAAACAAAATCACCACAATTGTACCCTAATCAATTGATATATTTGTATATCATTATATTTGGAAAATGAACTCACCTTCAGTTTTATTGGTATGTGTTGAATTCGTTACAAATCGTTTTTTATTCACAATCGGACACAATGTTGAAATGATTTCTTGAAGAAAAAACATATGAAGGAAAAAGTGGAGAATATGAGTGCAGCCAATGCTTCATCATCCCCTCGGATCAGTATAAACACCACCCCTTATGGCTCGCCAAGCAAATCATGGTTTGAAATGGTGGAAGGCGATGATGATGTTGAGCTGTATTCTGATGAGCATTTCCAGAGAATCACAACACCTGACGTCCTTCAGCCTCTTTCATCACCCACGACCATAAATGGTATTTCACCTCCCACAAGCGATGATGAGGAAGATGAAGCAGCTATTCCTGGTACAGATGGTGATGCAACATTGGAAGATGACTCATCGAGGCCTCACATGCTTAGAAGCCGTTGGACCATATTTTACGATCAAGGATTCAAGACAGGCACAAATCCCGAAGATTACGAGAAATCAATTAATCAAATCGGATCTTTTGATAGTATTGAAGATTTTTGGAGGTATTGGAATAATATTAACCTGCCCTATTACAAAATGCCTTCATATCTCAATTTGAGATTATTTAAAGAGGGTATTAAACCTTTGTATGAGGATCCAAAGGTTAGTATTGAATCAATTATTTTCTCAGAGTAATTAATTTAAAATGTTACATGTGGGGATTATTGTTTAATTTGTATTTAAAAATTTCAATCGGTGGAATACCCATTTTAATTCATGATTGATGAAATTTTCAATTTTAAACATATTTGCACGCACAACATTGTAAATTTCTTACAGAATATTGACGGAGGACGTTGGGTCATTCAAACTCATAAAAAGGAGTCACGCCAGGCCACATGGAATGAAATTGTTCTGGCTGTCATTGGAGAGAAGCACTTCAGCGACAAGTATGAGGTGAATGGCGTAGTATTAAGCAGCAGAAAAACATATGATGCCATTCAGATATGGAATGGATGCATGCTGGATAGAAAACACATTCAATACATCATGAAGAAAATTAGGAGCATTTTGCAAAGTATTGACACCGATGACACCACCACAATCGAATATCAAGCCAACAGAGGAGTTAAAAAATACAATGAAAAGGAGACAATTCGGAAATCAGTGTTGCAAGCTCTTCGCAATCAAGTCAGATTCACTTCGTTCTCTCCTCCTTCATCTCCGTCGTTGAATTCGCCTTCTTTCCCTCCAATTATGACCTCTACCTCCAAACACCTTTCTCCTCTCTCCAATCCAGCCAATATGTACACAGCTGCCGACTTTTTACCTCCTCTCTCACTTGAAGAATTAGAATCCGAGTTGTTAAAATCATCTGATTCGAAGAACGATGACATCGACCCTCCAGCAGCAGCATCAACATTATCCTCAACAACTAATACTGTACAGAAATCGAATGATCTGAAAGACAATAGCGACTCTCTTCCATCCAAACGCAACGATCAGGGATCCTCATCATCTTCTCAAATCACTCCAAATACATTATTCAGTGCTGGCCATTCCATAGGACGTGCAAGTGGAGGATTTGTGGTTGGAAGAGGATTCCATCTAAATAGCTCTAGATCAAGATTACAAAATAATAACTCTCACAAATCTTCCATTGTGAAAGCAGACACAATCGAAGACACACCACAACACATGGATGAAGAAAAGGTCTCTACTCCACCATCACAACCCACTTCAGATAAGCTCAAAGACTCCACTCATGAAGAAAATTACTGTTCGACTTCTTCCCATAGCGATGAGGAGGAAAGCGATGGCGATACAGACGTTTCGACTACATCATCAACTAACAATGCTCAACAAGAGAGTGACGAAGAAACTTCTACTACCGAAGAAATGCAAACAAAACCATCTTCTGTGATCAAAGGAAGTATTAAGCATAATGGTGAAGTTTTAAAATTAATTTCACTTTTTGTAATGGCAGTAATTTGGCAAATCATTAATACGACGAAGTAATCTCGTCGTGCCAATTTAATTTTCCACTTTGCAAATATTATTGTAGAATATTATTGTGTAAGTAAATGGTCACTGACCAGTCTTAACGTACAACAATGAGTGTCTCTTAGTAATGATCCAGCAGCAAGAATTATTCCACAAAGAAGCTGTGGTTGATGATTGTTGAAGACGACCTTCAACAAAAAAATGTCTGCTTCCTCTGCTTCGCGTCGTCTCATCTCGGTCTCCAAGTACAAAGTTTTTCTCTTCGATATTGAAGGTACGACCACACCAATCGTTTTTGTGGCAAATACTCTCTTCCCATACATTAGAAACACTCTCCAAAATTACCTCTCTCAAACATGGAACGAAGAACAAACCAGAAATGACGTCCGAGCTCTCCGAGAACAAGCAGAAAAAGATAAACACGACGAAAATTTCAAAGATGCTCCACTGATTGATCCCGAATCACAACAATCCATCATTGACAATGTCTTTTACAACATGAATAAGGACAGAAAGATGACTGCTCTCAAACAACTTCAAGGACACATGTGGAAGAGTGGATACGAGAATGGACAATTGCGTGGCGAACTCTATGATGATGCCTTTCACTTTTTTGAGAGAATTCGTGATCATTCTTGTAAAATTTATATTTATTCGAGTGGCAGTGTTCAAGCACAAAAGTTGTTATTCCAATATTCCACTCATGGAAATTTATTGCCTTTCATTTCCGATCATTTCGATACTTCAAATATTGGAAATAAGTTAGAGAAGGAGAGTTATGAAAAGATTGTGGACAAGATTGGAGTGAATAAGAGTGAAATTTTGTTTTTAACGGACAATATTGGAGAAGCTGAAGCTGCGAGAGAAGCAGGTGTGGATGCAGTGCTGTCAGTGAGACCTGGAACCAAAGCATTGCCTGAAAATCATACATTTGAAGCAGTGACATCTTTTAATGATCTTGAATTTTGTTAATTCCTTAATAGGCAGGCTCCTTGACTGAACAGGAGGAGGTTTGTGATGATTGATAATAATAAATGAATGGAAATCTCCAATTTCGCGAGTATGATTTTGAACTCGAGTTCCAATAAACTCCAACTTCTATTGAATGGAATCTTGTCAGAATGGAAGGATTTGTGATTTTTACTTTTTCACCTTCTCAATTTCTTGCCCGACATTTCAGCATTCAATGCAACGGGATAAATGACCGACTTGACCACACTCTGAGGAATCCAACCATTCACCAAGCAAAGACTTGCATCTGTCACAAGAATATCTGTTCCTCCCTCCAACATGACATAGCGCTGACAAATTCATTGGTGCCTAGAACAGTTTCCTTTGTGAGAGTATTAGTAGAAGGAGGATCGCAGAGACCATCAATACTTGTCGACACGAAAAAACTCTCAAGATTGTCATGCTGTCGGTGGTATTTCATGACATTGAGGAAATCACGATCCGAAACAAGAGGTGCTAATGTCAATTTGATGATTGTGAATTCATAGATAATATGTCATTTCTGTTGTTGTTTGTTTTTTTTTTCAATAAACACATTTTCTCCCGTGAAATTGAACCAATGATAGTTATTGACCACAATAGATAGGATTAGGACGGATTTAGAATATTCTATTCTGTGATGTTTGAATGGTGGTGATTGAGGAGAGCTGTATGATTCAATGTGGTGCTTATTAAATTACATCACTTCAGTTAACTTGTTTCAATTAATCAATTTGTTCATCAGGCAGACTCCCACAAGGAATGATCGTACCAATGTGTTCTTCCACATTAATTTTGTGTTCTCGATCAGGATTTTTCTCTCATTTCGGAATGTTCTGAAAGACCTTAATGGGAAAAGGTTTTTTTAAAAGAGGATCCTTGATAGAAACTTCGTTTCCACCCTGTAAGGACTTATTGGTCACTTTTCACAGAAGATCCACAATTACAAAACATTTCGAAGATAAAAACAACAACATGTCTGCATCTTCTGGTCCCACTCTTGATCAGGTTCTTGAAAAGCTTCGACAATATTTAGAAGGCACAGCTAAAAGTCGAGAAGAATCCACTTGTCCATTCACACCTGAAGAACGAGATCTCTTCATTCAACACTATTCAAAATCATTTCTTGAGAAATGTCCTGCCTTCTTCTCTCACCAATGTCCGTTTGTAAAGTTAAAGAATTATTCTCAATTTGAAGAAATTATGCATAAAATTCCTCGAAACAAGTTGAGTGAATGTCCTGTGATGCATTTGAATCATCCCAATCCTCATGGTAAGCTTGTGGATCAAGTGCAAAAAGAACTCGAAGGTCAAAGTGTTAATAAGAAATAAAAACATTAGGTTTTTAAAAAAGGTTCACAATAATCATGTCACTTGGCAAAAGATCTCGAACACAGTTTTATTGATTGTGATCATGGTTTTACTTCTTGATGAATGGAAATGAAGAAAAATATAATCCCGAATGTTAAATGATATATGAAATGTATTTTTTTAATTATTAAAGCTTCCACAAGTGACACAACTATTCAAGTCGTCCTCAATCTAGTTTTCCTTAATCTTTTGTTTCTTTTCTTGCTTGACAAGCCATTCACGATAACTTTTATCGGTTCCACACAACCAATCCCACCAAGTAAAAGTACTGGCATAATTTCCCGAGTAGGTCTTGTGATGATGATCATGATGAATAGCTCCGCAATAGAATGGAAGGAAATTGTTGACACTCCATGGGAAATGGAATCCAGTATGACAATCAATGGCTTCAATTTGACGAACGGTCATCCACACCCACCATCCGAAAATGTGAGGAACACCAATCAAGAGAGGTCCAATGAAAGAACCAATACCCAAAATAACAAATTCAATAACACTTGCATAGGATGAACAATATCCGATAGGAGTTTGATATTCATGATGAACACGATGGATATATTTGTAACCAAAATCAGTGTGCAAGAAACGATGAATCCAATAGAACCATGTATCTTCAATCACAAGGAAAATCAATGAGCGACCAATCATATCGGTCCATGATGGAAGAGCTAAATCATAGCTTACACCAATTCCTTTGAGAACTGGATGGCCAATCATCAACATGGGGTAAATGAGTAAATGGTTCACAACCAACTGAACGATACAACCCCAATCGGTTTGCCTTTCTTCCTCTTTTTCAGGTTGTAATTTATACTTGTATAGGAATGAAGGTTTGAATCGCTTGATGAGATACCACGGCAAGGACAAGACAAAGTACAGAACAAATATATAAACAATCGACACGAAGGTTGTAATTTCATATTCAGAGAAATTAGACCGAATCCAAAAGTAGAGTTGATGGTCCCAATTCATATGATTCAAGTCCACCGAGCCCACCCACTCTGGCAGTGATGAAGTCGTCGTGGTAGTCGTATTCAAATTCATATTCAGCATGTTGGATGAAGAAGACATTTTTTCAGTCCACGCCTTGGTTCAGAGTTTCGATTTGAAATTCCAAACGTTTTCAGAGTGTTCTCACTCCGAAAGTTAACGAACAGCGATCATGGCAAACGTTAGTGCTGTGTGAGTCAGAGTTTCACCAAAAGCATCATTCAACACAAGTAATGCCACAAGTATGTGATCATTTCAATAGGATGATGATGATAAGGGAGTAGTAGTAGTGCATCAAGTTCAGAAAGTTCAGTCAATTCCATTCCGTGGAATCTCAGAAAACCATTTTGAGAGAGAAGTTGCATAAAAATGAAAAGAGAGAACAAGGTGGAAGAGGGGAATTCTTTAGCTGAGTTCGTTGCTGCTTGTGGATGGCAGCAGGAGGAACAACAACAATGGTGGTCTTTTGATGGTCAGACGGATGTTACGATTACGGAATTACTTGTTGGCCAACAACAACAACTTTCAGAGAATTGTCGGGAATGTTCAACACAACGACATTTATCATCATCCATTGTATCGGATCCGGACTCTATTTCAACAATACGAACAACAATGAGTTTTGAAAATTGTAATTATTTGAAATGTAAATCATCATCACTGAAACCACCCTTCACTCCTCTTTTTCAAAAATCAAAAAAGCTTTACTCGTCCCTTCTCATATATTTATTATTAGTATTAATAGGTTTACTCATCACAAAACTATTAGATCGTCATCATCACACCACTATCATTTTAACTGTTGAGGCTACAACTGGACAGTTTCATATGGAGTACTCAAAGCGTATCCAAGAGGAATTACTTTCCGAGTTGAATCCCAGTAATATGTACAGTGAAACAGATGATTCAAATTCTCTGAAATTATCATATGCTGGATCTTTTAGATATGCTCTCAGAAATGATCAACCAATTTTGATAGAAGTTAATGAGCTGAATAGTGAAGAGCTGATTTTTGTTGCATTTATTTCAAGGTCGAATCATTTGAAAGTTTCTTGTGCAGCGATTCTAGATGCGGCAAAATCAGACAGCTTATTATACACCATCACGGTTGGCACTTATAACATTTTGAAAGGTAAAATAACATGGCATTCAAAAGAAAGAATTGTTAACGAATTGCTTGGAGATCCAAGTTTTGTTCAGGTTGGCAACAAAATATTTGTTACGTATCCTCAAGATTCAAGTGGTTTACGATATGTCATGTTCTCTTCCATAACAATTGGAGATAGCGTGTTCTATACGAACACAAGTTACAGCCTTTCTTTCACTCAAATCTATCGAAATATTATCAAACATGCTGGAGGAAATAATTTCCTACTTTTCAGAGATAGTTCTTCATTTGATATCTCACGCCAAGTGAGTAATAATTATGTCAACAGTAGAAAAAAGATGGCACCACTGGCCACAGTATTCAATTTTGATAGCGACTCCGGTAGAAAAGGTTCACCTTTCATCACCAAACACTTATTTGATGTAATAATAGAGTGTGAATTTTTCGAGCAATGCCCAACCATTGACAATGTATTCTACGATGACGGAATATTATTTTTCAATGTATTCGGAGGGAAATCAAAAATCTACCTCTCTAGTGGAACTCAAGCACCTACTGATTTTCAAACGCTGGAAAATTCAAACTTTGGCTCATTTTACATGTTTGAACTAAATGTTGAAAGCAGAAAACTTACTCTCATTGACTCTATTTACACAACACCTTTTTCATATATTCCTATCAATACAACTTCCTTCAATGAAACGTCCTTATCATATGCACCTATGTTAGGCATTAAGACTATTTCCAAAACACCGACCATGATTTATGGATTTGGATATTATGGAGGTGTTTTGAATCACAACTCGCAAGTGATATTTTCCCAGAAAGATCAGTCATCAACAGGAATTTTTATCGTTTACAACTTACAGAAAAAACAATTTGATTATTTGGGCAGCACCTCACAATATCCTTATGTGTTTAGAAATCCAACAATAATATCGAATAGCGGAATTTTTTATTATCTCAATAGAATCGCTTCAACGGTTACATTATTGGACATGAATTCCATGAATGCTCAGACATTTGTACTCAGAAATACTTTCATATCCAAGAGAATTTATATTGAGCTTAGATTAACACCATCCAGTAATCAGCTGATGCTTTTATCTTCCTTTAAAAACCGTGATAATACTACAATCATGGATGGCCAAACCTTGAATCTTGTTGATAGATTTCCTAATGGCCAGCGTGCTACTTATAGAGATGCTTACTTTATCACTGTATTCGAGTTTAACAAAACCAAAGAGGTAGATTTGAATTCATACTTGGTTTGTACTCGGCCAATTTGTGGAGAACAATTTGTCACCACCGACACATACTTATGTGGAGGTGAAGGAACATGTCTTTTTGATACAACAACAAATACCTCTGTTTCCTGTGCTTGTCCGACAGATATTGACCACTTTTTAACCCATGTGGGAGAGTTTTGTCAAGACAACAACTTTTATGCCTTCATAATCCCAATTATTGCTGTAGTGGCAGTGTTGTCTCTCCTTCTTGGTATTTCTCTAACATTTTGTATTATCAAATCGACATTTACAGTCAGTAGAAAACTTTCTCTGCTCAAAACAAAAGAACAAAAAGAAATAGAATTGCAAAAACGATTACTCGATTTTCAATTTATCCATTCTGATGCTGTAACCTTTAAGGATGTGAGTTATATCATTCACATGGAGGACTTAAAATTCCTCACAAGAGTTGCCGAAGGAGGTGGAGGCGTGGTATTCAAAGGTGAATGGAGAGGCGTTGAAGTAGCCATTAAGAAAGTTAAATATAGTAGTGACGATACTTCTTTTGAGAAGGAGGCAAGTTTGTTAAGTCGAATTCGTCATCCAAATATCGTTGCATTTTTTGGTGTGAGTGTGACTGAGAGAGAAAAGTTCTTAGTTACTGAATGGATGCCAAGTGGCTCCCTAGACAATTTAATTTCCAATGCAGCAAAAGGAAAAATTATTTTGAAGTTCAAACAAAAAATTGCCATACTTCTTGACATTTGTAAGGGAATGTGCTATTTACATGCTTCCTCAATTATTCACAGAGATTTGGTAAGTATTGATTTTAAAATTATTATAATTTTACACTAAAAAATTCAAGAAACCTGCCAACGTCTTAATTGGATCCAATGGAGAATGTAAAGTTTGTGATTTTGGTCTTTCTACATATCTCATGCATGGGGATGATGACAACATGGGAAATGTTGGTACACTGTTGTGGTCGAGTCCAGAAGTTTTACAAGGCCTACCCTGCGATGAAAAGGTTGACATTTATAGTTTTGCTATCATCATGTATGAAGTATTATTTGAAACTGTGCCCTACACAATTTCTGAGAAAGTTGATCCAAGTTATTTTGTTTCCGAGACTGACATGGTTGACGGCCATAGCACAGTCACTCCTTCCACTCAACAGGATTTAACTCTCTTCAGTACCCTGCTCAATCATAAAAATGCTGCAGAGCTGGGACGCTATATCGTTCATGGAGTAAGACCACTCGTTCCTTTTAATACCAGAGAACAGTGTAAAAGATGGATCAATATTTACCATAATCCAGAAAAGGAAGATATCAAATTGGAAACCTTGTCATCCGTAGTATTTCTATTTGTTCTCCTCATGAAGAAATGCTGGTCAGAACCTGAGGCAAGACCAAACTTTGACTACATTTTGAACACATTGACGACCATCAAAAAGACCATTAAAAGTGATTAAGCCAATGAAGAATTGCAGGACAACGAGTGTTGTCGACCGAGGTGAGAAAGATTCAATAAAAAGATGATTGGAGTCCAACAATACGAAATTTGTTCATTGGTTTTTATAAAAAGGATGTTCCATGATTTGTCGAACGGTCCATCTTCTGTCAGGATCTGGCTCGAGCAGTTTTTGAAGAATGTCTTTGCATTCGTCACTCATTTGATCCTCTTCTTCCAAAGGAACTGTCATGGCATTCATCAATTTGGCCTGTGCATTTCGGTAAGGTAAAAATCCAGTGCACATTTTGTACAAGCAAACTCCCAGCATGTAGACGTCAACCTCTGGCCCAAAGTATGGCTTCTTCATCAGCATTTCAGGAGAACAGTAATTGCTATTTCCTACAAAAAGAATGTGAGACTTTTCTTTCATGGTGAAAAAGTCAGCACATCCAAAATCACACACTCTAACGTTTCCATTCTTGTCAAGACAAACATTTGAGAGTTGAAAATCTCGATGACAAATGTTGTGAACATTGTGCATATGATATAGAGCATCCACCATTTGCTTGAAATATTTTCGGACCAACTCTTCTGGATACTGCTGATGCTCATCATAGGGTGTTTCTATGGCTCCTTTTTCAATATATTCCAAAATGAGATAGATTGTTTCTTCTGTCTCAATAACATCATAGAGCGCGCAAATATGTGGATGGCGGCCAAGAGTTTTCATAATTTGAATTTCTCTTCGTACCCAATCCATAATTCCAATTGCATTTACTTTTTGTTTTGAGAGCTCCTTAATAGCCACAAGCTCACCGGTCTCTCGATCTTGAGCCAGCGAAACACGACCATAGGTACCAACACCCAACAGGTCTTGTAACACATATCTGGATCCAACCATACGTTTTCCAATATTGACTTTTGGAGAAATGATAGAGGACTTTCGGTATCTTGTGAGGGCTGTCTCAAGTTTTCGAACTTGCTCCTGAAGAAAATTGTTCGTTGTAAATCTTTCAATACTTTCATAATATTTTTGCAAATAAACGACGACATTTTCGGTATACTCATCCATTAGATGGTCATCCACAATGTAATTGTCATAGTTTACAATACATTGCACTTTGACATTTTGTTCATTTGGATGATATGCAAGAATTACGCCCTCAATACCATCTCGCACACATCGAATGTGTTCTCGTCTGCAAACATGAAGACCTTCAAAATTCAAAACCAGTCTTCGGAGATGCTTATTGTATCGGATTCTGCTAAAGACTGTCTCCAGTGTTGGTTCTGAAGACATGTCCATTATCTTGTTGTTCATGATAAAATCATGATAGGAAGGAGATTTTGTACAGGTCTGAGGAATACATGACGGAAGTGAAATTACTGTATGGTTTCGAGGAGAGAGTTGGGGTTGACCGGTAGTATTGGAGAAAATGTTGTGACAACTCTTGTTAGGTGACACAGGAAGTTCGGAAATGGTGAGAGGAGATTGGAGGGATTGAGATGGTGGAGATGGTGGAGTGGCAAGTTGAGGAGTGATTGTAGGAGTTTGTACAGTAGAGGTGGTCGTAGTGGTAGCAGCAGCCGTACTGAGGGAAGCATTAGGGACTTTGGTAAAGGAAAATGATTCGGAAAGATAGAAGGGAGTGATTTGAGAGGTGGATTTGACTCGCTTAATCTTGTTGATATGATGAGGATGAAGGCTATTCATAGCTGAATGAGCCAATGAGGACGACGCTGAGGAAGAATTGGCAAGAAGCGAAAAGAGGGTTGGATCTTCCTGATGATGAGAAAGACTTTGGAGATGTTGTCTGGAAAGGGGTCTCTTGAGAGCACCCAAATTACTCATATTTGAGTAGATGGCTGTTGTGGATTCCTTTTGCATTGTAGCGTTGATTGTTTGATACAAGGAAGAGAGTCAATGATGATGATCAAAGATTTTTGAGAGATGTTTTTCCTCACTGATGATGAGGAGATGCTCGCGGGAGCAAAAGTTCAGGCAAGGAACAACAAGCTTCCAATATCCCAACCAAACGAAAGGAATATGAACTTGTATTCTGAAATCTAAAGAGGCCGCTGCGAGAGATCTCTCCGGTACGATACTATCGAGTAGCGGTGATAGTTGCTGTACTGTGTATTGTTGTTGGCCACCACGAACGTTCGATGTGATCTTGGATTTTTTTTTGAGTTGTGATTTTACTTGGAAGCGACTTGATGGACTAATTTGGAGAAAATTGCGAGAGTGCTTGAAATGGGTAGCTTATTGGCCAAACGACGATGCCAACCATATTCGCCACTTTGAGACAGATATATTTGATCTAGTTGGTTGCATGCATGTTTGAGAGCTTTTTTCAGAAAAATGGAAGATTGAAAGCGGAAAGTACCATTAGGGAAGAATCGCTTCAAAAAGACGAAATGGAAGGTTTTGCATGTTCACACGATGATGTTTTGAATATTGTACATATCACAACAAGACCAACAGCAAAGCACTATTGATATCTTTCATTTCCGATTTAATAATTCCTTCCCTTTTGGAATCATCTCTCCTTAATCCATCTCATCAAAGGTTCAGTTTGCAAACCGAATCGAAACTGCTTCATGTTGTCCATCCGCATTCTTTCCATACTGTCCTCACAGCACAGTTTGTTTTCTCATTTGCCAATTAATAATATGTAAGACAATATAATGGGGACTAAATCTCATCCTCTCAAGGTAGAAAGGTACCTTTCTTGTCTTACTGTCTCATATGGAGACCCAACATGAAAAAATGTCCTCATCATTTTCAATTCGTGCTGTAGAACCCTCTTCTGCTCATCATCAGGATGAAGAAGGAATTTCCTCCTCGACGTCGTACTTTTCCGAGATGGAACAATTGAGAGAGAAATACTTTGATCCGAGTGGTCAGGTCATTCATTTGGATCATGCAGGAAGTACCAGTAAGTGTAGTAATGGTTGATGATGATGAATGGTTTGATCACACCATTTCCGAACATTGAATCTATTTACCCTCTCATGGAAAATCAACCACATTTGAACGTGTACATGATATGGTGTACAAATTTAAAATTTAATCATTGACGAATAGTGTACAGTTCGGAATGTTTAAAGAAAGTTTTTGAAAAATTATTTAATCATCACGCCAATCTCCTCTCGAATCCACATAGCGATGGGTCATTTTCTGCCAATTTAACCAATCAACTCATCGCAGAGAGTAGACAATTTGTACTCCAAGAAATATTTAACACCTCTCTCAAGGAATATGATTTGGTTTTTACATTGAATGCTTCACATTCTTTGAAAATTATTTCTGAATGTTTTCCTTTGAGTGCCAAATCATGTGTGTCCTATCTCACACTTTCTCACAATTCTTTAATTGGAGCACTTCGATCTTGTTTAAATCCCAACCATGAGGAATTTCAACACGATCATGTACCATATCATTCGAATCGAGTAATTGTATGCAATAACTTGGAAGAGGTACGAGAAAAAGTGAAAGAATGGAGTGAGGATGACCATCATCTTGTTGGACTTACCGCAGAATGCAATAGTACAGGAACAAAATTTGATGATTTTACCATTTTTCCTTACCTTAACAGGCATCATCCAAACGTTTACACAATTTTAGATGTTTCAAAACACTCAAGTACCAATGTCCCTATTGATCTATCCAAGTACAAACCAGATTTTGTTGTCTTCAGTTTTTACAAATGGTTTGGATATCCAACAGGTCTCGGCGCTTTATTAATTCGTAAAATGAGAGTCTCAAATATTGATTTCAGGCCAAGAAATGGATACTTTTCTGGCGGTGTGGTTCAAGTCAATACTGCGAAAGCTCCTTTTTTCACGAAATATAGAGCAGATTCCTTCCATTCCATGCTTGAAAATGGTACATTGCCATTTCTGACAATTTGCGAAATGCTTTTTTATTTGAAAGAAATTCAACAAATGTATAGTTCGAAAAGTTGTAAAAAGAGTTCAAATTCAGAACAAAACGGGCAACAAGAATCGTTGATTCCCTTTCGAGAAATTTTTAAAATCATTCAACAGCATTGCAATCATGTACAAGAATATTGTGCTAAACAATTGAAAAATCTATGTCACTATAATGGAGCAAAAGTCGTTCACATCTACAATGAAGATAACATTGGAAAGACAAGTATCATTAATATGAATGTATTTAACAGCAGAGGACAAATGGTTGGATACTCTCAAGTTCAAGAAATATGTTCTCTCAATTTGTTCAATATCAGAACTGGATGCTTCTGTGTTCCAGGAGCATGTCAACAGTTGTTCAATATTTCGAGTGAAGAAATGATTGACAATTTCAAGAGAGGAGGAAAAATTTGCTGGGATAACTCTATGGACGTCATTCCAGGAAGTAGCAAACCAACGGGAAGTGTGAGACTCTCGTTTGGTTATTGTTCAATTTTGGCAGATGTAGACAAATTTATTTCCTTGTTAAAGTCACATTTTGTTGAGACGTGTCCCAATGTAGGAAGTCTTGTGAAGCCCAAGTACAACGTCATGGACGACAGAATCAAAGTGACACACTTCTATATTTATCCAATTAAGGGATGCGGAGCCATGAAACTCTTTCAAGAACATAGATGCGACAAACACAAAAATGTGACCAGTTGGAATTTACACAACGATACGGGAGCTTACTTGGATCGAGAGTGGGCAATTCTTGACGAAAAGAATGGAGTACTTGGATTGAAAAAGTGTCCTCGCCTTGCATTGATTGAACCATTCATTGATCTAGAGAGGAGACTTCTCATAATCTCTCTATGGAAATCTATGGAACAACAAGATGTACAATTCATTCACGAGCCAACAACTATTCAATTACCGTTAGATGAGTTTCCCTCCATCATGTTGGATGATGCAACTATTTGTGGACGGCATTATGAAACTTGCGTGTACTCGGGCGATGTCAATGAAAAATTATCATGCTTCCTTGGCCAATCGGTTCGCCTCATCCGAAGAAAAAAGAGTGACAATGAAATGGAAAGTACCTCTAACAAGTGTAAATCCTCGTTTTCCAATGAGGGAAATAAGGGATTGTTTTTGATTTTAAATGAGTCTTCGTTGATCGATCTAAACCAACGATTGAAAAACTCTCAGAGTGCCACTGCAAACAGCAACGAAAACTCAACGGATAGTATTGAGTGGTTAATTGATCGGATGAGACCAAACATTGTCATTCGAGGACTGGAAGCTTATGAAGAAGACCACATCAAATCTCTCTACATTCATGACATTCCTTTCCAAATTAACTTTTCATGTCCCAGATGTACCACTATTTGTATGAATCCAAAAACTCTCAAACAAGAACAAGAACCTTTAAAAACTCTCTATACATACAGAAAACAAGAACATAGTGCCATGTTTGGTGTTTTGGCCAATCATTACATCATTACTCAAGGAAGTGATGAGAAACCTGTAATGATGAAATTTTATTGAAAACAATGTACAATAAGACGAGCAGAAATTTAAACTTTTCCTTAAATTCCTTCTCCATTGACACTCAAATTCGACGATTATTCATATTCATCAATATTGTCGATAAATGTAGCAAATATGGGTGTAATGTCATCCTGTTCATCAAGTTTGATGAAAGCATTTAATGCTGTTAGGTTAAACATTTTGGGAAAATGTAAAGTCAGGCTTTCTGTTAATATGAATAATAGTTTTGTTTGTATTAACGGCTGTATATACTGTAGAAATTTCTTTTGAGAACAGTTTACTGAAAGCACTAAAGATGTATGAATCTAAATATCAAAAAAAGATTGAAATGTCAATCATTTCGAGCAAAATAAGGATGTTGTTGCTCGTGAACAAGATCACATTTCTTTGTAAGGAAAAAAAGTGAGGATCCATATATGTTGTGTCAAGAAGTGTGGTAAATCTGGTAATCAGCATAATACAGTGCAATGTTTTGAATGCCACCAACAGAGAGAATGAAATTCTGAAGCTCTTTATCTTTCTGTAGGACTGGAAAAGTTCTACAATTCTGAAGAGTTTCATTCGCTTAATTTTGTTACATAGGTAGAAATAGGTATCATGACCTCTCCTAGCTTTTCATGTTGCAGAGTTTCATTGCTTTCAAAGCATGGGTAGAATTTTTCTTTCAACTCTGCACTCACAAGATGACAGAAACAATCTTTGGAAATGTGAACTTGATTCACTTTGCCAGTAGCTTCGATGAGTTGTGTCAATTGCACACCTCGACCAAATAGGTCATAAGTTCGTTTCAATTTTCCAACCACTGCTGCGATGGTGTCATTACTTGTGTGAATACCAATTCGGACCTTGAGATTAAAGTCATGTTTTTGAACAAATTCCTGTACACGCGTGATCATTTCAAGTCCACATTTCACACAATTTTCTGCATGATTTCGATCTGCTTGTGGAATTCCACTAGCCAAAAAGTAAGCATCGCCTATCGTTTTGATCTTTTCTGTCTTATTGGCGTAGCAAATATCATCGAATGCACCAAATAGTTCATGTAGAATTTTTACAACTTCGTCTGGTTTTTTGCCTCTTGCCATTTCTGTAAATCCAACCTATTATGGAATGTTGTTTTGAAATATAACGATATCGAAAGAAACATTTTCCATGAGTTTTGAAAATGATGGCCACACCAATAGAACGACAAGACTTACAATATCAGCAAATAATAGAGTGCAAATATCAAGGGAATCGATGACTGTTTGGCCCATACTCAAGCGTTGTGCAATATTCTTTGGATATAATTTATCAGCAATATTGACCAAATGTTCTTCCTTGGTGATCATGGTTTTGGCATCTCTAAAAAAGGCAACAAATTGTGGTTGTGACGATCTAGGCGTGAAAATTTCAGAAAGCTTAATTTCCAATTTTAGAGACTCTCCAGTTTTTGTTTCTCCCTTAACGAACCTTACATGATCAATCATTCTCTTTTCTCTAGTTTTAAGATATCTTTCAATGAAATAATCATGTTTTTTTCGATGCTTGGGATTACACAACATTTTTAAATTCTTTCCCAAGACTTCCTTTTTGGAATATCCAAAAACAGTTGAAGCAGCTGCATTGAAAATTTGAACAATTCCCTTCTCATTACTTGACACAATGGGCATTATTGAATTTTCTGTAATGGTTTCACTGAGAGCTAAATTGGCCATTTCTTTCTCTTCATCTTGTGATAATTTAATTTTCTGCATGTAGGCACAAAAATGTATTTGGCCATACTTTTTCACAGTAATGATTTTCGTTCGACAATGAAAGACCTTTTTGGTGAGTGAAGATTTCGCTTTGAACATTCTTTCAATGGATAAATCTTGTTTCCGTTTTAATTTTTCAGAACGACTCAATTCAGAATAAGGTGTAATGAGAAGCTCTTCGTCGAGTTGCATCAAACAAGCTTCTGTTAATTCTTCAGATCCTAAAAATTGTAAAACTGCGTCTTGAATTTGAATGACAGTTTCTTCGACAAACAATTGACTCACATGTTCACCGAGTGCAGCAAAGGATCGCATTCCAAATTCTTCCTCTGCTTCTGGATTGAGATACTCGATGGCACAATTTCGATCAAAGATGACCACTGGGAATCCACATGTCATCATTTGATCCACAACATCATTGAGTTGAAGAAATTCACTGTCTTGTACTTCTTTTTGAGATTGTTGTTGTTTTAATTTCTTGAAAAAGGATTTTCCAAATTCACTCATCATACTTAATCGATCGGAAGAAGAGCTAAACAATGAAGATGCTTCTGACATGGTGTCAGACATGAGATCGACAATATTCAATTTGGATCGACTGGTCATGGAACTCATGAAACGAGAACTAATGCCTCTCTTGAAGGCAAATGATGTGCCAGGAGATTTAACCTCATCTCCTGTGGGTGATTTTGTTTCTTTCGATAGGGCCATTAAATTGTTACCTCCAGACAACACTTTGAGAGGAGCCAAGTCAGTAGATCCATTCATGTTATTGGTGTTGTTGTTGGTGACAAGTGACGACCTTCTGACACCAACAGCAAATGGATTTCCTGATTCTCCTTTGTGATGAATAGAGAGTTTGTTCGTCGATTTTAATCTTCTTCCTTTAGTTGATGTTTGGTTGTCTAGTTGTTGATACAAATCCTCCGCAGTGAGCATGGAAAGGTGATTCAGTTGATGATGACTTTCAAGGAAATGAAGGAATGATGTCAACTGCCGTTGCTAGAGTCAATGATTTGAAGGGAAAACGTGAGTGGTTGCTGATGTTTACGATTTTGTTTGTTTTTAAAATTGTTGTAGCTCGAGAATACATTCACAACAAATACTTGGAGACACAAAAATGATTACATTTACTTGAAGGAGAGAGAGATGTCACGGTGATGACTTTTGACAGAGATGAAGTAACCAAGAGCAATCCACAGTAGCGCCAATCTTTCAGAAAGATATCACATTGAAAGGACGACCATCAGCCTAAAATTGAATCAATGACCATGATGTTGGAGAGATTCAAAAAATGAAGATAATTTGAATAAATTAGGAAACCTTCGATCCAAACCATTGCATATCGCTACTTGTTGTCCCCATAAACACACACACGACCCTCATGTGCACTTTATTTCAATTGCTTCAAAGCTGTTGTCCATTCCTCCAAATGATGTACTTGTACAATTTGACCATTTTCTACCGTATGAATATCAATGGACATGATACGGAAACTTTTACTTCCATCGCATTCTATTCCCATGAAATTTCCCTTTGGATTACCAGATGCGAAACTTCTCACAATCACCTTATTTCCATCTTGCAACATTTCTTGAATCTCCCACTTGAGATTGGGAATGAGTTTCCAAAAGAATTGAATTTGTCCCATCAATTGAGACTTTCCTTTCGTTTCAGCCGCATTGATCGATTGGAAGGAATCAGCCAAAAGTTGTTGCATGAGTGGTTGGACTTGTTGCACATGGCCATTGGAACGGACCGTAAGACATTGAGTGTAGAAGGGGCGAACCAATTCTTTCAAATCCTCAGTGGTGGTGCTGGTGGTGCTGGTTGTAGTGAAGGTAGTGGACATTTGTTGTTTTTTATAATGAAATCTTTTGCCTTAATTTCGGAGCCTTAAAAAGGTTCGGATTACCGCTTTAAATCTCCGTCCGCCTGGAAATTTCACTTCACACCACCAACCTGGATGGTGAAAAATCTGGGCATTGTGGCGGACTTGGAACCTCTTATCGAACTATTGAATGATGAAAATTCTTGTCAGACGTCGATAGATCTGTTGACTTCACAATTATGAAATAGTTCAGAACGTTGATCAAGACAAGTAGTAACCAGAATAGAATCCTTCACCCAAAGATTATTCCAATTCATACTTGATGAATCTTCAAGGTTCAGAAATATTTAGAGATTCCAACTAACGAAATGACATTGAAATTTCGAAATTGTGGTTTCATATATTAAAAAATGTTCCAACCACAAACAAGAAGAAAAGACTTTTCATCCTTACTCTCCTCTCATGTCCATTCGTTTTGTTTGGATGATCATTTTGATCGTATTCAACAACAACAACAACAACAAGACTTTTCAAACATTTCGGAAAACTTTTTGGAAGGAAAATTCATGTTGGAGCTCGTGGTGAGTACATGCTCGGATCATCAGACAAATCAGATGGTGGATGAAGATGGACAATCAACCACGACAACCATCATGATGAATACGACGAATTGTTGGAATTACCTCTTGCACCCATTTACCTTGTATTTGAAATATTCGGAATTTTCAAATTATTGTCCCGAGATGGATATTGATTCATTGAATATATGTATTGAATTTGGAAGAGATTTTCAGCGGAATGGAAATGAGTGGACGAATTATTTGGATTTACAATTGGCTTGTTATATTCATCCAAGTAGTGATGACAATTTGGATCGATTTTATTTTGATCCACAGAAAGATATTCCTGAAAATTGTTTCGTGGAATTGTCAGATGTTGTCTCTCGATACTGCAAGGATGAAGATGATGATCAGCTCATCATTGAACAATATATTGCAGAACAACAACAACAACTAGAATCAGGTCAGAAATTAAGTATTTATTTGGCATGCAAGTATCGCATCAAGTTAAACAAGAATATCATTAAGGAAAAAGATGTTCAAGTCATCATGGTCCACTCATTCAATACTCCACTTTTAGATGCAACCTTAGGTGAATATGTGAATATTTTCAATGACAATAACTTTATCGAACAATTTGGACGAGTGGCAATCACGTTACCGAAACGAGCTGACTTGTTCTATGATGTTTATGGTAAAAAGGAAGATTCAAAAACATTTACCTTGTTAAATACAAGTCCTGACTGGAGACAAGCAGAGTCTTTAAAATCAGATCATTATTGGATTTTCATTTCTCCACAATTAGAACGAAATCATGGTTACATATTCAGAGTCATTTACATTCAAAAGGAAAATACTTGGGTCCAATATCCAATTTTGAAACAGGCACAACAACAACAACCACCACGCATGGAAGAAAAAGTGATGCGAGTGAAAATTTCTGACATTCATGAAGATCTTCAAAATTCATTCGCACTCGCTCAATGTGGATTGAGACTAGTAGAGTTCTACAACTTGAATCCAAGTCTTTTCAAGTCTTTGAAAGTGAACAGCAATCCATTGTTTCATTTGGACATTTCTCTCACGTCCATAGGTTCTTGTGATGACACATCTAACTCCAATTACACATTCCTTATGGAAAGAATTGCACGAGTCGATCAACACGATATCACCAAATGGAAAGAAATACCTCCTCTCATCGCTCTCGAAAACACCGAAGAAATGAAAATTCTAGAAATTAATCCCAAACTTGACTATTTGGTGCGATTCTATTGTGCCTCTTATTTCGACAGGCATCGAGTGTTGAGATCTCTTAATAGTGCCACAAAGGTTATTCCATCTTCATTGGTCATGTGGAAAGAATTGGCTGCATGTGGTGAAATATCGAAAACCTACGACACGACCATTCGTGTCACCACTCGCTCACCTGTATTCTTTATATTTGTGACAGGATTTTCCTCTCGATTTCCCAACGTTCAATACTATCATTACAAAGTAGAAGCCAAGAGAAAGGACTTGCCCTCCGAACAGTGGGTTTCCCTTAATTGTGAGCCACTCGTATCCAACGATGGTCTATTCATTCGAAATGTTCCACTCACCTATGTCTGTAAAGTTTCACCTCGTAGCAATGAGCTCATGGCATATGGCAAAACGTACATGATTCGAATTTCGTGTGTGAATCCCATTTCTGGTAATCAAGTAATTGTCAAGGAATTTCCAAAAACAATTCCAAAATTTAACTACATTCCACATCATGCTACTGAAATATTAGAAAGAAATGGAGGAATGTTGGCGTTTTATAATCCTGTGGTTTCCATGTATTTGTTCTTAAATGGTGAAATGCTTTGTTACAAACACATGACCTTGAGCAATATTGAAGAGAGACTCTTTGTTGGAAGTTTTGAATTTACCCATTTAATTTCTCGATCTGAATTTGAGAGAATGTTTCGCACCTCTTCAACAACAAGAAATCCATCGTCAACAACAACAACCACCTTGGAAGATGATCACCACACGAATACACTTATTGTCCAAACCAACTCACAAGTTTCACACAAGAAAACATCCATTGTTGACATTGAAACCATCTTTATGCATCATCCAAAGAATGCTCCACACTTACCAAAACAAATCTATGAATACACCTTCAAGATTGTATTCAATCATTCGACAAAGGAATATGAATTGTTAGACAATTCTGAACTATTCATCACACCAACTCAGAGTTTCATGACAAATCATGACGAACATGATAACCGTCGTCATGAACTCTGTTTGTTGCATCACCAATTGAATCCAGTGACTGCTCAGAGAAATATGTGTGGATTAAATTCAGAACGGGATCATCCAGAGAGATCCATTCAATGGTTTCATGCATTGGAAATTCATCGAGTTGCAACGTTTGACCTGATTGAATTCCAATTTCAAAGATTTTAAAAAAAAATGAATTCACAAGTGTTGAATGATCCGATTGTTTGGGTCGACATGGAGGTGTGTTTCAGGAATCATCATGATGAACCATTTAATATTATTAAAATTGCTATAATAACATGATTATGTTCATTAATCACACAATGTGGAATTGTTATTAATTTATTTATTTTTATTAATTTTAAAAAATATAAATATTATCCAATGAATTTCCTAAAATAGATGACTGGATTGGATATTGAACAGGATCATATTTTGGAAATTGCAGTAATCATCACAGGTTCGTCTTTGCAAATATATTACAATATATTGTTTTTTCAATCTTAAACAATTTAAAAATTGGATATTCATATGAACTATTTGATCATTTTCCGAAATGTGTTGTCACAGATGGTCAATTAAACACCATTTCTGAGATGGATTCTCTGGTCATTCATCAAGAAGATTCAGTTCTCAATTCCATGAATGATTGGTGTAAGGAACATCATGGACAAAGTGGTTTAACACAACGTGTGCGAGAATCTCAACAATCGGTTCAACAAGTGGAAGAATTAGTTCTTGAATTTGTAAAGAAGTATGTGGATAAGCCAAGATGGGCACCATTGGGTGGAAATAGTGTGTACATGGATCGATTATTTATGAAGTAAGTTCAAATCAGTGTGAACAACAATGAGAGAAATACCCATGCCAATATAATACCACTGAAACATTCTAATGTTAAAAATGTCATCTTGTTACAATGCATGAATTTGCTGAAATGACATTTTTATTAATTTATGGAAAATATATTTTAATGAAATGCACTGAACATCTCTTTATTTAGAAAGGAAATGAAAAAGCTGGATGAATATCTTCATTATAGAATTATTGATGTTTCTACTATTAAAGAATTAGCAAGACGATGGGCGCCTCAAGTGTTCGATAAGGTCGTGAAAAAGAATTCTCATCGAGCTTTGGATGATATTAAGGAATCGATTGAGGAATTGAAATTGTATAGAAAGCATCTTTTTCACCTGGAATAAGCGATTTCACAATGACCTTTCGACAGGACAAGATCATGAAGAATGAGCTAAATTAACGAGTTGTTTATCTTAAATTTTATTAAAAGAGTTGAGATGACCAGTGTTAGGTTATTACACAAATTTGATTCGTTTTTCAGAATGTATGGAATCATGAGAAGAATGTGAACGTTTCTTGGGATTAAAGCAAGCACAATGAACAAAAGATCCTGTATTGGGATCAAAGCATGCATTCTTTATCATCCATTCTCCAGAAGAGTCATCCAAAATTCTCTCAAAGGAGTCTCCACAAATCACACAGTCATCTTGATCGAGAGGAGCTAACACCTTGGAACTAAAATCTTTCTCTTCATCACTGCTGCTGTTTCTAGTTGGTGATGATGAGTTGATTGATTCGCCAAAGATGGAGTTAGCATTCAAGCACAAAATGGAGACTCGTTCAGAGTCACAACTTTTACTGGATGCCCATTCATCATCGCTTTGATCAAACCATGATCTTGAGAACACCTTAGGAGAGGTGGTGGCGTTTGAACTTTTAACTTTATGTAAGGCAGAGTAGTTTGTGTGTTGAGTCAGTAATTGTTTGTTTGGAAATCCAAAGCCACAATGCTTGCAAAAGTGACACTTCTTTGAGTTGTTGCAAGAGTACATGTACAACTTGTTCACTAATTTGTTTTCTACTACTCGGGTGTCATGTTCTTCTTTTGGGTTTGTTTGGGTGGTTGGTGTTGCTGTGGTTGTTTTATTAAGCAACTGAACAAGCCAATTCAAATCAGAGGAGGAGGAGCTTGTTGCAGGGACGGATGGACGAGCATTCATCATGGCGGAATTTGATTGAGAAGAGTTTCCTTGAACGAGAGAGCCACTTTGACTCGAATAAGGAGATTGAAAGGCTGGTGTTGGAGTGATGAGTGGATTCATGTTTCCCACCTTGTGATTATCGCAAGACGACGAATACGGATGGTAAGAATAAGGTTGCAAAAAAGGAATTGAATTCACACGTGTCAGACCATTGGTGTGGGAGGTCGTTACCGGAATTTGGTGTGGCACATTACAAGAAGGCATTGAGAATGGTTGTGAAATTACAGCAGAAGTGGTCGTAGAGGTTGTATTGAAAGTTGGGTTGGCAAAGGAACATGCATAGGGAGAATTTGGTTGGTGAGATGTGAACCAATTGGTTTTTTTGGATTTTCGAGATGTTTTTGATTTTCGTGATGCAGATTTGTTTCCATTACTTGTTTGGACACTGCGTTCTTTTTGACTACAAACCTTTGAAAAATCAATGCTTGTTTGTTTGGCGAATTTCTTAGGATTCACATAAATGGAGGCGTTTGAATGACTTTGTACAAGTTTTGCATAGTCTTGGACTTGATTGGGTCCATAAGCAGGTAATCGCATAATCTTTTCTTCAATAGTATGGGCTAACTGGTGTCCAAAAATTGGTTCCCATGTCTTGAGTAACTTTAAATATTTTGTTTGTGTTTCAACATTGGTCTGAGCCTTGAAAGAATAGTAAAATACATCCACTAAATTGGTTGTAAATTCTGTTATGTATACTCCTCCAACGTTCTTCGCGATAGAATCCAACAAATATAAGCTCGGAAGCTTTTCATCATCACTTGCTGTTTTTATTCTCGTACATATTGCCTTTGCAATGTATTTTGCGTTATGAATTTCCTCTCTCGCAATATTCGTTAAATTTTGAATATCATACAAGGAATTAATTTTTAAATCTCGTTGCAAAGCCAACGAAAATTCTTTCACGCTCTCGGGAATTTTTTCCTCAAATTTCTTTTCCTCCCTCATCGTTTGAGCCGAAGGTTTTCGTAGCAGAGAGGTCGTCGCGGATGAAGGCTTTGTTCTCATCAAAGAGGAGGTGTTCCTATCCTTTGAGCCTGTAGTAGCAGTAGCACTCACGTTTGGATTCATTTTTTTTAAATGTAATCTTCTAAAAATATCTCCACGCCAGCCTTTTACAACTTTTTTAAAAAAATATTCCTCAACAACAATTCCTCACCAACGAATTTCTTTTGTATGGAAAATTTCAGTATAAGGTTTGGAATTCAATACAAAGACATCATCCACTTGATTCTGGGAGAATAGATTTTTGCGAACAACTCGCTCGCAACGAACAACGAACTGCAGCAGGGTGGCCCTCTATTTTTTTCCGGGTGTGTCAAAACGAGTCCTGGCTTGTCGTTGTATTGCATCATAATGTTCCCCAAACGAAAGACCCCACAATGGCTTTTAAAAGCTTGTGGAAACCTCTCTCTCATCACTGACTCATCACTGATATGAACTTTTTAGGTCCTCATCATCCGAATCGTTTCAATTGCAACAAGAAAATGAGTCAACAAGCCTTGCTTTCTGCTCAAGACTATTCCTCCGATGATGATGATCAAGTGGTGGACCATCAGCAGCATCAATACTCGGGATTGGGTCTGCTATCGGATCCTTCAATCGTGGTTGCAAGTAGTAGGGAAAAAGATCTTGATAGACAACAACAACCACCATTGGTGAAAGGCAGTTCTGTTCCAACATTTCAAGATTTGAATCAATCTTCCTCACTTTCTGCACAACATCAAGAAACTACCACACACTCCGATCCAGCAGTTTCCTCTCGTTTTCAAGGAATGTCATCACATGCTTCTTCGGGCAATCAAGAACAAGGTTTTTTGTCCATTCTATTGTTTCCCTATATGTGTTTCATGGAAGGATTCTCGAAAATGGTTCGATGGGTGGTAGGAGGAAGGCATAACGAATTGAGTCCTTTCAATTCATCTTCGAGGCATCATTCTTTAGATGAGAGTGATGACCTCACTTTGCAATCAGAAGGATATTCACAAGTATGAATAGTGATCAATTTTCATCATTCATCATTTGTCATTCGCATCAGTCACCTCACTCCCACTAAAACAGGCTTTTCATCAGCAACATTGTACATCAAGATAAACACACTATGCTAAGTGCAACACACTAAATTATTGACAATGCAATCGATTTGACAGTCACATCATCAAGGGCGAATGAGGTTGTAAGAAGGAGCGCATTAATTCCAAAACGCCATTTCAGGTAACCCGTCGCTTCATGATAAATCATCTTTTCACACAGCAACAAAAAAATGCCCATCTTCAAACACTTTGGTTATGATCAGAGTTTCTCTTCCTCTAACAAGAAGTCACACTTGAAGGTCACCATCCTCGAGGCAAAGGATTTGATCAATACAGACCAAGGTAAAAATGGTAGGTCACTAACTTTGTGTTTGGACTTAACACCAATTTCTTTGTTTTATTGTGTGATGAAAAACATGTGTGAACATGATTGATTTTGTGGAATGTCAGACTTTTCTGATCCGTATTGTGTCATTTGGTTGGGCGGAAAGCATAAAAACAAATACAGAACAACCACCATCAAGGACAATCTCAATCCCGTATGGAATGAATCTTTTGAGATTACTCTCGATCACAATCCAGAGCAATACGTCCTGATTTGTCAATTATATGACAAGGACATTTTCACAAGTGACGATTCCCTTGGCTTTACAGCAGTGTCACTTTCATGTCTCAATTTGAAAGAAAAACAAGATTTTTACATGTGGCTACCATTGCAAGGTGTTGAAAAAGGTACACTTCGTATCAAATTAACACCTCTTGACTTTTCCATTCAAGATGGATTTGTTCATGACAATGATGATCAAATTCCTCAAATTGATTTAACCAACTTTTTAAAGGAATACAAGAATGAAAGAGGAAAGGGATTTAAATCACGTGGAAGAAGTTTGCAATCCATTCTTTCTGGAAATATCTCTGACAAAGAGTCACATCGATTGGATAAATTATTTGGAATTGTGTATTTGGAAGATGTTTACAATGAATTAAGAACTGGTGATATTATTTTGCATTCTGGAAAAGGAACCTTTTCAAAGGCAATTCAATTGGGTTTCTCCTCGACATGGTCACACTTGTCTTTGGTTGTGAAAAATCCACCCCGAGATTTATTGAAATTGTACAATGTTCCTGAAGATTCTTCAACCTCTACAATGAGTCAACCCTCATACTCGAGCATTTATGTGGTAGAATCTGAGACTGATACTGTGGATAACAAAGAAGGAGGTGGTATTCAATTTGTTGAATTGAGACAATGGTTATTGGATTATTTAAAGAGAGATCCAACCGATTTGTGTGTTTTGAGAAGATTAACAGTTCCAGGATCCAACAATGACGGCAGTCTCCAAGACTCATTTAGCAATTTAACTCCCTATCTCTATGAGGCCCATACCAAAAAGTATGAAACACCAAAATCAGAACTTTTGAAATGTGTCATTAAGAGAAACACAGCACGCAATGATTCCAATGTATTTTGTTCAGAATTTGTTGCGGAATGCTTTGTGAGAATGGGCCTTCTCCCCAATAACACCGTCACTTGTAATTATGGGCCAAAAGACTTTTCAACAGAAACCAATTTGGTCAATACTGTCTTATTGAAGGGAGCACAATTTTCACCAGAACGAAGAATTCGAGTACGGCAATGGGATGAAGAACATGGTTGGAAAGTTGAGGACTCTCAAGATGATGTCATTCCAGGCGCCATTCAAGTGACTGAAGATGAAAAGATGACTGTAAAACCATAAAAAACATGTCACAACAACAACTTTACTTGTTTCAATTGAAATGCCATGACGAGAATAATGATCTTCTATGAGGTGTATTGAAAAAGTCGGCAAGGTTTTCCATACATGTATGTTCAGCGAAGAAAAACAGGATTTTGTCGAAACCAAAAAACGTACGTAACACCTTATTCAAAAGTCAATACATGTATTTGTTTTTTAATTTTTTTGTTTTGTTCTTGAATATAGTGTAATGTGCAAATGCATCATCACGAGATGGCAGATACCATTACTTGGTAGCTGAGTCTTGATTCTTAACAATATCAAGCTCAGGAAGATGTTTGTGAATGGTCTGTTTCAAGCTGACATAAGCTTCATCCAAATCATTGTTCACAATGGAATCATCAAAGAGATGAGTGTCGTCCTTCTCGAATTGTTCCAACTCCTTTCGAGCATTCTTTAATCTTAATTGAATACTTTCTTCCGTTTCTGTGGCTCTTCTTCTCAATCTTTGCTCCAAAATATCCATGCTTGGTGGTTTAACAAAGAGAACAAGAGGATTTAACTCCTTGTTTGCTCTCACTTGTCTAGCTCCTTGGATATCAATATCCAAAACACAGCACTTTCCTTGATTTTGAACTTCTTTCACGGCTTGAAAACTTGTTCCATACAAATTTCCGTGCACGTTGGCATGCTCAATGAAAAGACCATCATCAATTTCCTTTTGCATGACGTCCTTTTGTGTAAAGTAATAATGAACGCCATGTTGTTCTCCTGGTCTTGGTGCTCGGGTTGTGTGCGAGACTGAAAAACCAAAGATGGATGGAAATTCGGCAAACAATTTCTGAATCAAGGTTCCTTTTCCAACTCCGCTAGGACCACAAATCACAATAGGTCTAAATTTCTGGACTGGTAATGTTGTACTGGTGGACATGGTTGAGCAAATTCCTCCCATATGAATCTAGTACTACTAAATATTAAATGATGATGGTCTTTAAATGATTTTAGAGAATTTACGAGATGAGACTCAACAACGCTCTGGCGGTATTGGATTCTTTGTTTTTAATTTCAAAGTGATGATGATTCAAATTCAAAAAGGAATTTGGCTCTCGGATGGTGATGGATAGTGTATGGGCGAGGAGGCTCTCTACGACTGTTTCAGAAGACACAATCGGGGCAACAGCACGTTCTGAATTTTTTTTTATTGCCAGAAGTGTTTTTTTGGGGCGGCTTTGGCTGTTTTGAGATCGTTGAAAGAATTTGTTTACATGTAATGGGGAAAGTGTTTCTTTGACAATTTTGATTGATTTAGGTGAAAGGAACCTTATTGAGTGGAGAGAATGTGAAGGGAAAGAAGGAAAAGAAATAAGGAAGAAATTTGAATGTTTTCCAGAAAGCATTTTTTCATGGAAGAATTGAAACTCACCTGGAATGAATTTGAACAACAATACGATTTTAATCCCAATTTCATTGATTTGAACAAGTTTAAACTATACATGAAATACCCACGACCATGAATAATAATTGAAATTTACAACAATATTTGAAATTTACACTAACCTTGATGACAAACAATAATTGAAATTTACAACAATAATTACACTAACTTTGATGACATGAACCACCTTTAACTGTACTAATTGCACACACAGCCATGAATAACGTTTGAATTTTCGAACAAATAAACGCATGGACAGTGATAAAAAAAAATGCTTTCATCATCATCTTCTTCGGATACCGAATCAATCATTCCTCAAAATTATACCTCCTATGAAACCTCACCGACCACCTTTAATCCACTCATTGCACGTAATATTGTAAATTTTTTGAAAATTGTGAGCAAATTGAAACACACGTTACGAACAGGATGGGTTGATTGCAAAGTTCAACATCCCGAATCGATTGCATCACACATGTATCGGATGGGAATTATTTCCATGCTCACTAGAAATCAACCAAACATTGATACTGATAAATGCATCAAGATGAGTCTTGTTCATGACTTGTCGGAGGCTATTGCAGGAGATATCACTCCTCATGCGGGAGTTTCAAAAGAAGAGAAATATCGATTGGAGAGAGAAGCTATTGAGAGAATGAGAAGTACATTGTTGGAGGGTGTAAACGACACAGATAAGGAGAGTGAGGAATATATTCAGACTGTAAATGAAATGTTGAATTTGTGGCAAGAATATGAAGATGGCACGTCACCAGAGGCAATTATTATGAAGGATATTGATCGATTTGATATGGTTCTACAAGCATTGGAATATGAAACTGAACAAAATTTACATCTCAAAACTTTTTATGAAAGTACCAAGGGTGGTTTTCAAACAGACATGTTCAAAACTCTAATGAAAGAGGTGTATGCTCAAAAAGATCAACTCGAAGAGCAAAGAAGAAAAAAGTAGAGTTTTTCGTACTTTTTAGACAGCCAAATAATATATCTTAAATTCGTTTTTCACTTCCTATTAGTATATTCTAATTTTTAAAGTGGTTGACAATTTATTAAGGTATTATTGAAATACATTGTGCTTTCTATTGTACAACTTTCCGCTCATCAAGCCACCAAAAATTGACAAGTTGTACTTCCTTGACATCATTTGACATATTTCCACTGCTCGTACAGAGTGACCCTTCTTGTCAACGAGAGGCGAGTAGATGGCCATTCCACACACATTGGGAACAATAATCATGAGACATCCACTCACTCCTGATTTCGCTGGTAATCCCACGGTGAAAGCCCAAGTACCGCTGTAATCATACATTCCACAACTGTACAACAAACTGAGACAATCTCTCACTGTGTGAATATCATTGATACATCTCTCACTGGTAATTGGACAAATTCCACTATTGGCCAATGTGCTTGCAATGATGCTCAATTCTCTCGTTGTACAACTGATTGAATTCGTTTGTACATAAAAATCTAGCACATCATTAATGTCACATCCATCATCTTGAGTAATTCCTTTAACACCATTACTTCTCAGAAAATAAACAAGAGCTCTATTTCTGTCATTATGCTCTGTTATTCAATATTTTCCACAATATTCCATTAATTTGGGTCAAATAAAGTAATAATTAAATTCAAAAAATATAGATCGCATTCAAATTTTCATAATATTCAATGATCATTTAAAATTCGACAGTGATTGCGATAAAATTGACATTTGTCAGATATTGTTCATCGTTCAAAAATAATTAAACTAACCTTTCTCGCTCAAATATGTACACTGAGAATATGATATCTGAGAACTATCCTCATTACTATCCAAAGTGGTAGGACATCCAGCCATTTTCTGTATAAATTGGTAAATATTCGTAAATCTCTTACTACTACTATTTTTTGGTTGAATTTGACTAGCACATACTAAACCTCCCGTACTCACAAATGGATTGTGAGGTTTCTTCTCTTCATTAAGGGAGAAAGCGTTAAATTTCAATCCAGAAGGCTCACGTCCAATAAATTGATGAATATCAGTTCCTTGTTCTCTTGCTAGACAATAGAGCATGGGCAAAACACTATGGTTGTTGTTGAAAATAGTTTGAAAATATTCATTTCACACACATTCTTAATATTAAATTCATAAACACCTACCAATGTTGAAGAGTGAAAACCTTCTTGGTGCCATTACCAAAATGAGCCACTTGTCCGTCAACACTACACAAAGATAATCCAAAAAGACTTGGATCTGCATTTGATAATTCTGGAATGTAATCTGGTAAAATTCCTTTATCATTTTGATGAACGAGAGCAAACATTTTCGATAGATCCTTGCAAAAATCTATTTTTCCAAATTTAAAATTCATAAGTAGTATTAATCATGAATCCAATATATTCAATCATCAAATATGAATTTTAAAGAGTTCTTTAATTCCAATATCAATCAATTCATACCTTGAAAATTCGGAATGGCCAATTGTCCAGTAAATGATTTTTGCAAAATATTTGGTTTATCCGTCGTCATCCATTGCGTAAATTCCACAAAAGACATTCTTCCTCCATGGCATGTGATCGGACATCTTGAAAGTCCAAACTTGGACAAGTATCGTTTCAAATCTTCTTGCGTAATGTATCCATCTCCATCCAAATCAAGTTCTGAAAATTTAGTTTGTAATTCTTGTCGTTTCCGATTCACAATATCTTCTAACGTTTCAACCCTCGGAGATGGTTGCAACATGCTTAATAAATTGGAGGATGATAATGAAGTACGTAACGATCCGGAATCTCCAAGGATTGTATTGTTTGATTGCAAAGAGGATGATGTTTGCGATGATGAGCCGAGTTCATTATTTTCTTGTGGAATCATTTTTTAGGTTTTTTTGCTGGAGCATGTGTCAACATGCCACAATGTTCGACATGACATGTACTTCTTTCAAAATATATTCTCTCGTTTGGTTTACAAATTTAAAATAGGCGATACTGTTCAAGTGAAGGAGTTTCCTTTTCTTTGAAATAATCTAGAATGAACGATATTGGTACTGCTGGAATTTCTAAACGTTTGATTTTCTTGGTAATGTCACTATCGCCTGCTTTAGCATTGTCGTTGACAACAGCGAGAGTCACATTCGAGTTCAGAGTCGTTACTACTGTTCCATCTCCAGCCTTAATAGTGTCAGATAAAATGTTTAAAGGTGAATTGGATGATGTGACATTAAAATATACTACCCAGCAATGAAAAGGCCCATGTTTGTTTTTTTCTCTGTACAGTCTCCATTTTCTTGGAATTCCATGCCACATGCCCTTGGATGTGAATTCATTAGAATTCCATTCATACTCTTCTTCGTCTACAAAGTTATTGGTTTCCAAAGAACGGTCTCTATTAAATAAATGATGGATGATTAAGGGGTTGCAGTTTGAAACAAATTAAGGTTAGATCAGTGTTGAAAAAAGGCAAGAATAGATCTGTATAAATAGTTGCAATGAAAATACTTACAAATAACTGGGTTCTAAAATCCAACCACCTTTTGCACATGCACGCATAAATTTGTGGGTTCTCTTGATCTCAGATGTGATTAGATGAGTCACCGATCCATGACAAGCTTCATCTTGCTCATCATTCACCACTGTTCCACCAAGTTGTCGAATAATCTCTTCACATCGATTCTCCTGGATGGTTGGTATTGAAAGTTGAAATACTTTTGAGTGTTTTTTCTTTTTTCGCATCTCTTCTGACGATATCGATTGATTGTGGACCATATGGTTATTGTGTTTTCTCTTTTTAGAGTCTCCTCCTATCAAATAGGGCTCAATATCTATCAACCTCCACTCAGCAATACTGTCGAAAATAAACTCCTTTTTCAACATTGGTATTCCCCATTCATTGGCTTTTTTAACCTTTTTTGAATTCTCTGTATTCGAAAAAGAATTCACAATTAAATAATGATTATCCTTTGACATGTCTCCAGTATATAAAGCTCCCGTTTGTTTAATAAGATATGCCATATCATTTCTCTCAATATCCTTAAAGCCAGTGACCGTAATTTTTATCCCTTCAAACTCTGGTATTGGTGTGTTAGATTTCAGAGGAGTGTAAATTGCTTTTGCATTTGTATCTATTATCTTATTTTCTCGGAGACAGTCATCCACCCATTGTGCTGTGGTTACATGTTGCACCATGAAACTTCCTTCATAAGGATAGGCATATCTTGTAATGAGATAATCAACTTTTGAGTTCTCATGTACAGCCTTATTATGAATCACTCTTCCACCTGCAATACATATAGCTCTCTGAAGGGAGGAAATAAATGTTGGAGGATAATTAATTACAATAAAAGAATGATTTGAAAATACATTTTTCGATTTGAAGTTGCTCTGGAGAGAGTATGTTGGAAGATATTTTCCGACAAGATAATTTTTCTCGTCAATGTATGCTCGCTTGGTAAAGCATTCTTTTAACCAAGCAATGGATAATAGCAAAATGTTTGAATTTTCGTATCGAGCCCACTCTGTTTCAGTGTCATCTTGCGATGAAATGATATGTGTATACGTTCTTGAAAATTCCTTATCAAATTGTGGCATAAATTTTCCGCCCAGATACTCAACCATGAACGCTATGGAAGGCATCAAAGTGGCAACCTTATTCGTACATGTAAATACGAAGTCACAAAATACAAATGGATAGCATAGTAAATACTTTTCTTCCATACCATATCCATTATTTTCGCTATTGTTTACACTATTATAAATAAATTGTGGACTCACAATAAACCTATCGGGCTTCTCAGCTTGATGTTCCACTAATGATTTCTCTCCATGCAGCTGAGAATAATTTAAAAATTTCAAATATTCATCCTTAGCAAATTCCATATCCACAGAAATTATATGCGTTACTTCATCAGCATTTTCCTCGAGAGAAAGGCTACCTCCTCGAGTTTTGATAATTTTTCTTAATTTTTCTCTTTCAGTTTCGGGAATGGATGGTGAGAGATAGAAACATAGAGATTTAAAGTTCAAGGAAATGACTCCTGAAGAATTATTGGATGATGATGACGAGGTTGCGGAGGAGGAAAATTGAGAGGCATTCAATGACGATGATGAGGTTGGTGTTGTTTTTCCTCGAGCATTCGAATCAGATTTTAATGTTGTGTTGCTCGTTCTTTTGGACATTTTTTTCAACGTGCAAATTCCCCAAATTTCTTGCATTTGGAAATATCTCTTTCATGATGATTTATTGTTATATGAAATCAAAAAGAGTTGTTAATGTTGTGAGAGGTAATCAACCAGGCAATAATTGGGAGAGATTTCTAAAATATTGTTAAGTATTAAAAAATGTCGACCTCTCTAAAACTGATTGTTGGTGTGGAAGGAGGGTAAGTGACTCTAGCCCATTTCTTCTTCTTCTTCTTTCGGACAGAGATCAATATATATATCGAAAATAATGATATCATTGGATCAACCTCAATGTCTGTTCAACCTCTTCAATCATCATCATTGGAATTTTGTATCGCCATCATGAATACCATCACCACCTTGATGATTGGAATGATCTTTCAAATTGATCAGAGGAACTTCTTTCAAAGTCGCCATCGGAACCAATGTCCATGATGCCATGAAGCATGTCTATATTGTTGAAACCAAGACAGTTGAAGAAACCATGCAACCTATCAAAGAATTTCTCGAGAGAAAATCTCAAGAGCTCGGTGGAGAAATTGCTCGGATCGGAATTGCAAATTTCGGACCCATCGATGTGAAGGCTGGTTGCATTTTACCTTCCACTCCAAAAGTTTCATGGCGAGGTTTTAATATTGTGGATTACTTCAAAAAAGCCTTTCCCAAAGTGGAGAAAATTCATTTTGATACGGATGTGAATGGACCTGCCATGGCAGAATATCAACAAATGGTATCCACCGAAAATATTGCTGTAAAATCATTGGCCTATGTTACTATAGGTACAGGAATTGGAGTGGGCTTGGTTGTCAATGGCTCCACTGTGAGGTATGTGCCATCTATGAATTTCATGAATTCTTTTGCAAAATTCACTCCATTCAACCATATAGTGGATTGATGCATCCAGAAGGTGGACACATTTATACTCCAGTGCATCCCAACGATATGCAAAATGGCTTTCAAGGTTTTTGTACCTTTCACAAACAATGCTTGGAAGGAATGGTAGGTTGTAATTTTCGGAATAACACATGATAAGGTGTTGATTCTATTTGGTCGAATGTTGTTACGTTCTGAACACATTGACTTTTTGATCCTGTGTACAAAACGTTGTGGCAAATCTATAATGAACTTCCACACAAATCATGAATAGGCAGCGTCACCTGCCATTGTCCTGAGAAAGAACATTTCCATTCATGATGTGAAAGATCTTTCTGATGACGACGAAATTTGGGATATTGAAGCTCATTACTTGGCTCACTTGTGCATCTCATTAATTCTCATTTCTTCATGTCAAGTTATTGTATTGGGAGGTGGTATCATGAATAGAAAAATACTCTTTGACAAGATACGAGATAAAACTGTTCAATTACTGAATGGATATCACGTGATGGTCAACAGCGAAAGCATTCGCGACATTATCAAGCCGTCCTTATTCGGGGAACATGCAGGTATTAAAGGCGCCTTGTATTTGGCCACCCAATAATAGCCTCTTGACACCTTATGTGAAGACATTAACCAAGTGAAAAGTGCCACAAGTTTCCGTTACGAATTTTAATTTTTTTAATTAAAAATATATAATGATCTTTTTCATAATTTTTTTTCATCACACAAATTTGAGAATTTTAGTTTTTATGAATACATTATTGATGGATTACACAATGCATGTATTTACACTCTAGTTTGGTTGTAATAATTTAATCGCTTTCTTCTTCGCTGCTTTCCTCCTCTTCTTCAGATTCCTCTTCCTTCTTCTTTTTCTTGGCAGAAGATGATCCAGACTTCTTGCCATGAGTTTCATCATACTTTGCCTTGACACCTTCATATTCCTTCTTTAATTTAGCTGCCTTGTCATTGTATGGTTTCTTTTCTTCATCAGACATTTTCTGCCAGAGAGCACCAACTTGCTTGGCAACTTCAGTGACCTTCAAAGTTGGATCTTTCTCGAGGAGTTCCTTTCTTTTGTCTTGAGAGAAGAGCATATAGGAAGAGAGAGGTCGCTTTGGAGCATCCTTGTCCTTCTTGGTTCTCTTTCTCTTCTTCTTGCCTTCTTCTTCGGATTCCTCTTCACTCTCCTCCTCTGATTCTGGCTTATTCTTCTTGTACTCATCCATGACCTTCTTGTGCTTCTCCATCTCAATCTTGTATCTGTCATTGTATGGCTTCTTCTGCTCTTCAGTGAGTTTACCCCACATTTCACCCAAAATCTTGCTTACTTCGCTGGCACTCTTGCCTTCACCAGCCTTCTTCTTAGCCTCTTCTCTATGTTCATCACAGAACAAGAAGTATGCAGTCTTTGGCTTCTTTGGTGCATTGGAGTCTTTCTTGGACTTTTTGCCTCCCTTCTTTCCTGCCATGGTGTGTTGTGTGGTGGTTGGTTGTGTGTGGTGGTGCGGTTGCTGTTGCTGCGGTGTGAGTCGATGATGGTTTGATCACGGCTGCTGCTGTGTTACTGCTGCTGTTTGTTTGCGTGGTGTTTTTTGTATGGCGTGTGTGTTGGTTGCTGCAGACCTTTGTGCGGCCGTTGGTATCGAGGACCGAATATTCTCTTCTGCTGCGCGTGCGAGTTAAAAAAAACCGTTACCGTTGTCCTCATCAAGCTTTTTGAACAGCGAAGATCGAGTATTGATTGGAAACTCGCTGCACTGGACCAATCAACGTGAGGCGTTCTTTATGGCGCCAATTCTCGAACGCACAGTGTGGCTCGAAACGCTGCTGCCTTACGCTCGAGAGAAGCCGTTCTGAGAGATTCGAGCCAAGTCGCCACCGAAGAGCGTTTATTTCTTGCTTCGTCGGTCAGAAGCGCGCGCCACCCAATGTCTATCACGAGGAGAGAAGCAACACTCCTCTCATACACTCGTGTGGCTACGAGATGAGAGAAGAAATTGGGTCAATGGATACAAGAAGAGAGAATATTTGGGTATTGCATGATCTGTACCATGTTGTCGTTTGATGAGAGTCGACTCTTCTCAGAGGTGGTGTGATCAGAGTGCATGGCAGAGACTGTTTCTCTGGTTTGGGCCAGAGACGTCTTGGTTTCATTTCCAAATTTCCAAGAGTGATGAATTCATTAGAGAATTCCTCATTCAACATACAACAGGATGTTTGACTTTACGAATTCGTGTAGCCTTAATCGGTGTGATATCACACCGATTTCCACACTCCCTCGATTAGAGACGGTCTTAAAAGAATGGTCTTCTCACAACAACATCACAGACCTGAGAGCGATTAGAGGAGTCTGCTCAAAAGAATGCCCAATCCATTACTCCCACCCGACAGTGGATGATGGAGATTGAAATATGACCTTTCATTCTAGTCACCCTTACTTTTAGCAATTTCACGAAAATGGATGGTTTCCTTTTGCATTTTCCAAAAACTGCTGTTTTGATTTTCACATTTAAAAAAGAATTTGCACATCAACATATATTTCCATTGACCACTGCAATTCGAACCACCTTTTTCCATTCTCTCTCACACACAATTATTGACTAACCGAACATTCTCAACCAAATCCATAGATTGAATTATTAACAAGTGTTCACACCAGCGACCACATTCGATCACCATGAGAAAACGCAACCACCACTCCACCATCACCCCTACTAGTAGAACTCTTCTAATTCTCTCGCTTTGTGTCCTTTCTTTATGGTGGTGGCTCAACTATCCCATTGTGATTGCTCAGAGTTCCATCAATGACTTGAATGATCCCACTTTGGACATCAAATCTTCCTCACCAGCAGATGACACGACATCCTTCTCATCTTCTTCCATCCACACATCCTCTTCATCACAAGGAGAATCTTCTTCTGCTGCGAGTACTTTGGAGAGTGTACCACAACCAACCCTCTCGTCCAATCATTTGGCATGGCTTGATCAAGCGTTCTCGACACAACAGAATCGACCATGTCTCGCTCAAGCCGTCAAGACTGAACTCGTTCGAAATGCCATCCAACGTTTGAAATCAGAAAAGTATTACTTTCCCACATCCGATGAAGAGAATATTCTCAAATTGTTGAATCACTATATGGACCTGAAATGTTCCACATCCACTTCATCTGACTTTTATACTCATCTAAAGACTCAATTGAAGGCCAGTGACTTGAATTTAGAACGACCTTCTGTCCATCTCTCGAAGGAAGAGGAAGAAGAACACTTAGTGACACCACCACCGTCTCTTCCTTTTGCAGCAACTTGGAAGGGAAAACTTCGCGGAAAGCAAATCAAAAGTTCCATTCTGTACACTCTCTTGGAAAAGTATTCCCATCAATTTTTATTTGAAAATTCAACTCTCTTTTCCAAGTTGAAGACCACTTCTGTTGGAGATAGTACTAAGGAAACACCAGTGGTATTAGGTCCCTCTCTGAAAGCCACTCTTCTCAATGCATTATCTCGTATGAAAATGATGATGGGTAGAGACAAGAATCATCTTCACTTGAAACATGAAGAAAATAGAGAAAATTTGATTCATGCACCCAAAATTCTTGTTCAAGCTTTGGTGACACCAAACATACTCCCCACTTCGTGTAAATATGTCTTATTTGAACAGTTAGTGTTCAATGAGGCCATTCAATTCTTTTCGAAACACATCTCTCAGAGTGGAAGTGAACTCTCGTTGAAATTGTACAACTCTGAAGCAAATCCCACCGATGTGGCTTTGTTTTGTGCAGGAAAGGATGGACGAGTGGGAAAGGTAGATCTCTATGAAGAGTTGAGAAAGTGGTTTTCTGGAAGGAGACATTTGATCGATGAAATGATTGTGTGGCAATCTGAATTTCAATCTGCTTTGAGAACGTCACAATCGCCTATTATTGGAACTGAAACAACAACAAGACCATCAACGTTGACAGAATCATCATCCATATTGCATAGAGAACGACCAGAAAAAGCTTCCACTAGAGGTACAGAAATTCCTGAAATTCCAAGAGAACAAAGAATTTACGAAAAACCTGAATCAGAGATTTCCACTGAAAAGAGTGAAAATATTTCACAACAGCAACAAGGAACTATCTATGAAACTCCAACAGTCATCCACGAAATAGAAAAACCAACCATTTCAACCTCTATTCAGGAAGAAATTCTTACTGTGGTTTCCACTCCACAAAAACAGACCGAGATTGAAACACCTAGCACATCACCTTCTTCTTTCGAAGTAGTGAAAGATCAAGATCATTATGCCACCATTCGACCTCATCACAAAGAAGAACCTCTCTTGACACATCCTCGAATGTCACGAATCATTTCACAATTTAGCAAGACATCAATGGTCTCACAATTTCCACTCATTCACTCCATTCTCGATTTATTTACCATTCCATTGACATTGAAAAGAGCTGCTTCTATTTTCTCATTGTATTATTTGAAATTGGTTGAAGGAATGTATCACTTGATGTGTTTAAATTGTGCTCCTTATCAAACACTAAGCATTCTACATTTGGAAAGTCCTGGGCTGGAGTTTTTTGCACATTTCGTGACCATCTTTTCCTGCTTGGTGTTTCTAATCCTGTTTGTCGATCATTTGAATATCATTTCCTTCACACTCTTTTGCGTTTCCTTCCTAATGTTGAATGTGAAAAATTTGTTGTCATTGGAGAGCTTGGCGGATGTTCGTGGCGTTTCTGTTCCATCAGGTATTGGACCTATTACCACCACAACGACAACGACAACAATACATCCACATCTTCATACGCCACCTATTCCTCCATCCATTCTGAGCACTCAATTTAACGTTCCATTTTCCTTATTCTCCTTATATAGTTCTGTTTCAGACAAGACATTATTTGGAATGATGCATTTCTTGTACCTTCCTTTATTGTCGCTGGCATTTGACAAGAAAGATTCATCCTTAATTTTTAAGGCATGTATTCTCGTGGCAGCAAGTGCAACCTTAATGGAACAAGTGAATGTAGTGTTTTATACATTTTTCAAACACATGGCAATGGTATTGTTGTTAGCAGGAGTGGCACGTCATTTAGTCACTACCATTGGATATACTCTCTTTAATGAATTGTACTCTTTGATTTCAGATGATTTGATAATGGATAAGGCCATCTTCCAAATACCTGATACTTTCACAGAGGAAGATCGAGAAGCATTGAAACAACAGATGATTTCTCATCCAAAATCGAAGGTGGTCATTTCGATTGATGCTCGTGAGGAGAATCCGTTGATTATTGAGGCACAAGCAGTTGCTGAGACTGGTGCTGCCTCTACTGTATTGCATAGTGAGATTGACACCAATGAAATGGCAAATTTATCGTATGAACAGCAAGCTGAAAAGAAATATGTAGAGGAACAGATTGAGATTTTAGAGGAAGATTTGAAACGAAATATGGGATGGGATGAGGAAGGAGAAGAGGAACAACCATCCATTGAAATGGCCAATGTACTGGCTTAGTTGTTTCAATGTGGTAGTGTGGTTGTTCTAATAAGTTTTCATTCTTTTGGAAAGTTTTCACTCGACATTTGCTGTCAATTGAATTCATGGATGATACTAAGCAGCTGTAAATTATATTCTACTAGTGTAAACATTTTAAGCACACTCCGATCAATACAAACGTGTTCGAATCCAAACACAATACCTTTAATTGTACAATTAATGGGATATAACTGTTAATAGTTGCAACAGTGTCATTGGTGCACGAAAAGACCATTCATTATAAATCCACGACATCTTAACATTGAATGGTGTAGTTGGTATCGACCAATGTACCACGTCTCTCTTGTTCATGTTCAATGGATTCGAAAAGTGCCTTAAAGTTACCAGCTCCAAATCCACTATTATTTTGTCTTTGAATAATTTCATAGAACAAGGTTGGTCTATCTTCCACTGGCTTGGTGAAAATTTGCAACAAGTATCCCTTATCATCAAAGTCAACCAAAATCTTTAACTTTTGCAAAACATCAATATCTTCCTTAACAGTAATTGGAGCATGAGCCAATCTCTTTCTCAAATTGTCATAATACGAATCTGGAGTTGGCAAAAAGCTCACACCACGAGCTCTCATTTGAGTCACTGCATGAATGATATCATTGGTTCTCAAAGCAATGTGTTGAGCACCTGCACCTCCATAAAAGTTTACAAACTCTTCAATTTGTGACATTTTCTTTCCCTTTGCAGGTTCATTGATTGGCATTTTGATGTTTTCCTCCTTATCAGTCATGACAATACTCTTCAAAGCACTGTATTCGGTGTGAATGACAGAGTCATCGACACTCCAGAATCGATGGAAACCCAATTTTTGTTCATACCATTCACAAATGTTCACCATTTCATTCCATCCTTGGTTTCCGACAATATGATCAATATTCAGCAATCCAACTTCAGGAGTAAAGCTTTGGAATGGATCATCACCATCTTGTTCAATCACCTTAAATCCAGGTAAGAACTTTCCCTTGAAGTTTGATCTCTCCACAAAGGTGTGAATAGTATCTCCATAAGTTTTAACACTTGCAATTTTGACACTTCCCAATTCTGGATCTGTCAAAGTTTGTGGTTCTCTCACACTAATTGCTCCATTCTCAACAGCTGCCTTATAAATGGCCTCTGCATTATCCACAGTGAAGGCAATATCACGAACACCATCTCCGTGTTCAGCTTGGTGAGCAGTCATCTCTCGTGCCAATGCACTCTTTGAAGCAGGTAAGAGAGGAGAAGAGAAGGCGAGAATGGCATCGTTTTGACGAACGACATGAGTGACAATCTCCTTACTTCCAGTTTCTAAACCACGATAGGCATATGGTCGGAATCCAAATCTGTTGAGATGTGGTGGTGTTAAAATGATGTAGTGATGTGTGTATCAATGAGATGTGAAGAGGTTATAGCCCGAAGAGTGATTGCGTCATCATCGGAAATTAGTTATTGTCCGATGAAGATTCATCGGAGGCAGAATTGTTGTAAATTCAGGTTCAGTTTATCATCACAGGCAACCAGAGGGGGAAAAGAGTAAAATGATCGTGATGATGATAGTTCATGATGAAATCAGTCATTATCATTATTAGTTTACATGATTTTGAATACATACCTTGAAATGTAGTAATCACGAGCTTGAAGGGCATTTCCAACCCAAAATTCAACGTAATCAAAGGACAAGAATCGACCAGCAGGGACTTGAGCGGACTATTATTGGATGATGATCACGATCATCATGATTCAAATTTGGAATGGTTTTTGAAAGGTGTTCACCATTAATATTGAAAGTTGTGAGTATTATAACTAGACACAATGAGAGAGATACGTACCATCATGATGACGACGATGAAGAATGCACTATTGATTGAGGAAGTAGTAGTAGTTGATTTTTTTTGTGGTTGGTTTTGGCAAAAACCGATTTGGATAAAAATTGAAGCAAACCGAGGTGGTCTTGAGTTTACAACGGCCTGATTCGTCCGCATGGAAAGTCCATGCTGCAACGTTGAGGTAATTTAATTTAACCAGGATGGGATAGGATTGCAAGTCCAGCGACTATTTTTGAACTCTCTATCAGTCAGATCCAATCCACCGATCCTGGTTGATCCTTGCAGGAACTCGCTGGCCAGCTAAAAAGTTTTTAAAAGTGTTCAAACCAAATGCCACTTCGACTGTCGGCAGTGACCATTAATATTATTATTACCACCACGGTACTTGTCTCTGCTTTTCTTTGTTCCAACCTCCTCCTCCTCCTAAACTCCTGTCTCTCCTTTACAAACTACTCTCCAATAACGAAGGATTACAAAGACTTTTACGAATTGCTTAACATTCCTCGTGACGCTTCTTTGGAGTTGATTAAAAAAGCGTATCGGAAGTACTGTCTTCGAATTCGACAGGAAACTCAGTGGATTTCAGAACACTATCATGAATCAGCACGTCAGGAATTTCAACGAGTGTTGAGAGCTTTTCAAGTTCTTTCTGATTCAACATTGAGAAAAATTTATAATGCTCATGGAGAAGAAGGAGTTCAAGATTATCAACAAGAGGAATGGTGGTGGGAGAGTATTTGGAAACAATTGTTAAATTCTTTCAATTCGGAATGAGAGATTTTGGAAAACTGAATGTTCTGTCGAAGCGACTAATGAGAATGAATGAATTTAAAACAAAAGATGAAAAGAATTTTGGAATAGATTTTTCAAGAGGAGGCCGAAGAGTTGTAGAGCATATATTCCTAACTTTATCAACCTTTGTTGAGCAAAAAAAACTCCAAAAAAATTCGACATTTTTCTTCCTACTCACTTTTGGTTAACTCAATAACGTTCTCGCCAAAAAGATTCGAAAAGTACCATTGAAACGAACCTAATCTATTGTATATATCAAATGAAAAATGAACGCAAGCAGTTGTGGCCGAGTGGTTAAGGCGTTTGACTAGAAATCAAATGGGGCGACCCGCGCAGGTTCGAGTCCTGCCAACTGCGAATTTTTGGTGTGATCCGTCTATGATTGTTTCTGCTGTCGACGCCGTCATCCGTCACAAAACACTCGGAAATCTTCCAGAACGTGCTTTTTATTTGTTTTTACATGACCTGTAACAGGTGCACAAATTGGAGAAACGTGGAATGGTATTCCTATGTGGATGGACAACAAGGAAATTTAAAGTTGTTTGTTGAAAATCAAGGTTTCCTCAAGTGCACACCAAACGAAGTTGCTCTTGCTGTCACCACCAAAGATCCTCCCAACAAATTCTTTCCTCGTGGTGTTGGAACATTGGACTACCTTGCTGTGAACGTTAGAGCCTTGAACGTTTTTTATCTTGATTATTTTGGAATGTTAGGCTCCTCTAAATTGAGCAAGTCGTCCTTAGATTCTCTCAAAGCGTTAGGGCGTATTTTTGCTATTGAACCTCGTTTACCAGCCACCCAAGGAATCAGCTTTTCCCATTAAAATGACTTGCAAAGAGAAGTCTTTCCGTAGGAATGGAGCAAAACATCGACAATAATGAAAAAGATGAGAACGTTGTACCTGGTTTGTGGACCAGACAATAGTTTGATCAGTGTCGCAGGTATTGATTTATCCTCAACAATTCGTTTTGGAATGTCAGTGGAGGAAATGCAAGGCATGATTTGTGACGTTTTATGCCAAATAGTGATATTAGAATCGAAGAACATGATTCATAACGATGTGAAACCTCAAAACATTGTTAAATATGACAATCATTACTATTTGATCGATTTTGAAATTTCTGAAACCTTCGATGAATGTATTGAAACGGATACGCGTTATGAATGCAAACGTGGTGACAAAGAGTTGACCTGTAAATCCTATTCTAAAGGTTATCGTGCACCAGAAAGAGAAAAAGAACACAAAATCTCTCCGAAAAGTGATGTCTATTCTTTGGGACTTGTTGTTTTAGAATGCTTAAAGTTGAACAAAGTTGATTGTCGCAACAAATCAAAGATTGAAGAATGTTTGAAACGACAAGAAGAAGAATCCTCTCGAACATTGTTGAAAGAATTTATTGGTTCATCGTTAAAAGAAAATCCCATCAAAAGGTCATCTCCCAAAGAGTTATTTCGGCTTTTTTCAACTGAAAAAACAAAAGAAACATTGCGCTATTTTAAAGATAAAGAGGCTGTGCTGAGAGAACATTTTCCACAACAAGAAGAGGAGACATCGTACGAATATATTTTCTAGAATTCATCAGTTGTTCATCTCAATATATTGCTTAGTAGCTCAAACCTTTTTAGATCGTTTTGTAAGTTGAACAAGGTCTCTCAAAAACATCTCACAACCTTCACAGCCAAACTTCAGAACAACAACTCCACTAACTTCTCTAACAACACATTAGAAAATTTACCATCCAAAGTTCAAGAATTTGTCATCATTGAGGAATTATTTAATTGTTTGATGGGTTTTGACAAAATTAAGGGAGAAATTGAGGATGTATTTGGGGAATTTTCTATCGAGAAGAACAAACAAATTGTGAAGGAACAACTTGCTTGAGATTTAAATTCACGTTATTTGGAGTCAAAATACAGCATAACAAGGGAGGTCCATTCTTCCTCTCCAAGATTAGCGACAAAGTTCTGGCAGGTGGAAGATATTTGACCTTGTTGAGCGAGTGTGGACAATAATTTGAAAAGAAGATTGCCCATATTAACCCTATCCATTATTGAAGAGGCCTATGCATGCTCATCTAAACGAATTATTGAATATTTCATTGGAAAATTCAAGTACTGGATCGGCTCCATTCTCTAAAACACTATTTCCTGTTCGATAATGGCGATTTCTTTGTTCATTTTATGGATACAGAAGAGCAAGAGAAAGAGATTGCCAAAAAGAGCACAGAAGTTTCCCTCTCCAAACTACAATCCTCCATTGATTTCGCTGCACGGACATGCTCCATTCCAAATGATGAACACAGGGACGCTCTCTTGCAGTTTGATGCCGCTGAATTTAGCTTTTATACATCTAGATTGGATGTGAATAAATAAGATTTGCATCGACTTCATAACACTTATCGAGCGGAATATTATGTGAAGACAAATTATTGGTGAGTGCTGGACCAAAACCATTACTATGTTGTCAGTCGCGACGCCAAACAGCTCGAAAAGGCGTCAATTCAGACTGTGGAAAAGGTTTGGTCATCAGAGTTTGAAAATAAAGTCAAAGCTGCTTTGAACGATTCATTGTTTTACTCTTCAAAAGTTCAAGTTTTATTAAAAGAGCGAATATTTTGTTGGTATTATTTTACGGTGGAGCATGGAAAGACATGTCATACATTGGATACATAGTTCTCAAAGCAAGAAGAGGAGCTGGTTCAAAATAGATATGATCTTTCCATGTTAGTTGTTTCGATCAACAAACACGAATGGATTCCAACAATGAGAAAAATTGGAGCTCTTGACTACGAAGAGAAAAACAAGCAGGTAAATTGTTGTATTGAATGTCCATCTCTAACATTTACACATACCCCAAAGCAATCCATTTTTACGGACCTGGGTTGAAGGTAAGAAGTAACTGGAGAAAAAGCTAAAAGAAATAAACAGTGTGACTTCATCCCGAGGCTTCAGGTGAGGTTGTTTTGTTGAATGAAGGCGAGTTATCACCATTATCTTATTTGAAGCTTATAATATTTAGAGAACTCAAATGTTCTGAAGGAGTATATATTTATTAATTCACAAAAGCAAAATTAATTTTTTGTTTCTTTGTGAAAATTTCAAATTTGAAGTGTTCATGAAGGTTTCGAAACTCTATGGTGTTGGGTATTTGTTCCAAAGATCTATTTCAGTCACAATTAAAATTTTAAATGGAAAAAACACAATCAAAATTCAGACATTCACGCACACATAAATCCAATTATATTCCCATCACACCCTAAATTCACCTCCTTTCTACTTACACTTGGAAAAGTAAATCATTGCAACAATGCTAGTCACTGCTCCCAATACGGTAGTGATGGTCTTTTCCGATTGTGCTAAAAATCGTTCTTTTTTAATTTCCTTTCTTCTTTGTTTGGATGAAATTTGGCAGAGTTCCTCATCCGTCTCGGAATCATAGGCTTGATCCGACCATTCCTCAATTTTTTCTTCAAACCATGATGATAATCCACCGCTACTACCAGTTTTAGACATTTTTTTTTGTAATTGTTTTATTGAATGATTGTTTGGCTTACTAGTATTTATTATGTGATTAAAACAATTCATTTGATTGAGCGTTTTGTAAACATTACGTTGGGTTAACAGAATTAGAGAAAGCACATTTTTTAAAATCCATTCCTCTTCATGTTGAAGATGACACCTTGCAATGAGGAAATTTGAATGGATTGCATTTTGGGGATTGGATTCGAAAGTTTCAAAACTAGTCAATACCTTGGCAAGCAAACCATGAATCCAAAAATTACCTCAATGTGACCAAGCTTTATAATTATAGCGTTACCCTTTTTCCTTCTCTTTGGTCCCTAACTTGTAATAAAAAGAGATATCCATATTTCCATTTTCAGCTGCTTACGACACCCAAAAAGAATCTTCTTCAAAAAAGTATGTCTTATAAATGAATTAAATATGAATTCCTTTTCCTCTCCTTTGTATTCTTAAAGCGAACTTGGAGTTAAACAAGTCTTGAAAACCTTTCCTCTCAACGTGATGATCATCATTCTTGGATTTAAAAGTTCGTGAAAACTGCTGAAGATAAATTTTTCATTTAAAAAAAAATGCAAAAACTTTCGCTTCGGAAACGGAAGGCCATTTCGTATGCAGAAGAAGAAGAAGAGGAGGAGGATAGTGGTAGTAGCAGTAGCTTTGAAGAGATATTGAAAGAACAACATGATGAGGAAGATGATGATGAGGAGAGATATGAAACGAAAAAAAAGAAGAATCATTCCAACAACAAGCGGAGGACTAGTAAGAGGTCTTCCACAAACGATACATCCCGAAAACAGCAAAAGTCAACCTCAAGAAAGAAGAAACAACAATCGGATGAAGATAATGATGAGGATTATATTGAAATTGGCATTTCGGAAAATGATGAAAGTAGAATGAGGTCAACCAAGAAGAAGAATCCGCGAACTAGACATAGCGATCGGACTAGTGCAAGCAACGATGGTTTGTCGGTTGCAAGTAATAGTCATACCAGAAATAGCGACAATTCTTTGAGAAATACTCGTCGTAGTAATACTCGCGGCAACAAACAGGTAGCAACCTCTCCTTCCTCAACTGTCGACAAGAACACCGATGAAGGGACACACCAAATGGAGAGTATCAATTCCACTCATGATGAACACGAGAATGAACACGAGGACAATCATAACGATGCAGATGCAGCGCTGTTTATTTCATCTTCCTCCTCATCCGAAGAGTCTGAAGATGAATATGTCGATCCAAGTGGTAGCGATGATGAGGGTTTGGAAGAATTAAGCCATTGGGTTGATGAAGCTGAAGATTTGGTTGTGACAATGAGTGACGAAGAGAATCAAGACGAAGATTTTGAGGAAGAAGAAAATGAAAGCAGTGATGACCAAGATGATGAAGAGTATCGCGAATCCAAGCGAAAAAACCCCCAAAAATTGCGCAAATCGACATCAACTTCAACCACGAAAACCAACAATGTGACAAAACGAAGAAGAGAAAAAAGCATTTCACCACTGTCTGTTTCAAGGAATGCTAAATCTGCTTCCAACAATCAACGACGTAAGAGTCCCACCACCAAATTATCAAGCCCTGCATCTCGAGGAAGTCGTTCTAGAAAATCTCCAGCTACTCGACAAGAATCACCCACCACAAGCGTGAATGGTGTGCCAAATTTGTATCAAATTTATAATGTCACTGGAGTTCAAGAACAATTACAAGAATACAATCGGTCAAGAATTGCAGAAATGAATCATGAGAGTGATCATGAAGAAGATGCTAACAAAACCACACAGCCTCAAAAATTGCAATCAACTAACTTGTCTACCCATCACAACCAGAATTCTACCCTTCCAACTCATGTAACTTGTCATACTTGTTTACCTTCTAACGATTCGATTGTCAAGAAAGTATCACCGAATAGTAATAATAGTATAGGTAACTGTAACGCACAACAACAGCAACAACAGGTATCCCTTGTTGAACCCTATTCCAAATCTAAATGCGAATTTTTCAAGCTTCCACAAACAACTTCCCTAACGAATGAAGAGTTTGATTTGCACATGAATGAGAATATAGAGTAAGTAGAGAAATTAATTGAAAGCAATCATTCTTTGACATGCCAATATTTCTGACACATCACTCATTTTCACCTACACGCACATACAGCATGGCACCCTCTATTGGAGTGAAATTGGCCAATTTTGATGGTTTTCAAAGTTTAATTGAAAAGAAATTACTTCTCAAGAATGCTTCATTGGATGACGATGAAAGTAAGAACCAAGAGGAAGATTCTGAAGAACCTTACGACCCTAACTTTATTTCTGAACATGTTTCTAACGCTGTTGGAGCCTCATCACATTACAAAATCAAGCCCTTCAAAGATGGACACTATATCAATTGCGATTTGCGGTATTTCACTCTTTCTTCTCTTGGAAAATTTGATGTCATTCTCATTGATCCACCTTGGAGAGTGGTTCAGAGTCGCCCCCAAGAAGCCATGATGTTTAGCAATACGAATTTTAAACTCAACTATAATACTCTCTCATACCAGGAAATTATGGACATCAATGTTGGATCATTGTGTGATCAAGGTTTTTGCTTTTTGTGGGTTCTAAATTCTTCTCTACAATTTGGCTTAAATTTGTTGAATCATTGGGGCTTTACGTATATTGACAAAATTGTTTGGGTCAAGAAGACAAAGAACGATCAAATATTTGCTGGAACCGGATATTACTTTTTACACTCAACCGAGTTATTATTGGTTGGTGTCAAACACGGTTCGACGAAAAAGAATGGTCAAAAACTACAGTACATTTCCAAAGTATCCAATGATATTTTATTTAGTAAGATTGGAATTCAATCTCAAAAACCAATGGAAGTTTATGAAATTATTGAAAACATGGTACCAGGTGCAAGAAAAATTGAATTATTTGCTCGAAATCACAACATTCGACGTGGTTGGTTGAGTGTTGGAAATCGTCTTGGTGAAGCATTCGAAAAGGAAATGACCAGCTATTCATGCACCAAGTGTGACAAGAATCTCTTTTCCCCAGATTTGATGGGAACCTCTAAGAATATCCCTAGGTATAAGAGCCAAGTGGACCCAACTGTAAATTTATGTTCACAATGTGCCAATAAGTATGAAAAACAATATGGACCTTATTTTGTAATTGAAAATAATTGTACAGAACCAATATTCCACGATTGGTATGCTTGTGATCATTGTGAAATGTATCCAATATGTGGATCTAGATTTTCCTGTAAAGAATGTGAAAAGGATTTTGATGTGTGTGAGGAGTGCTTTGATGCCATCATGACCCTTCCACCTGAAGAAGGAGGTCATCAACATGCTGCATCTGCGTTTACATGTATTGAATTTCCAGATCCAGGATGTGGCTATGCAGTTCATGTGGATAAGCGTTGCACTTCTTGTTTGGCATGTCCTATTGTTGGAGAGAGATTTATGTGTACTGAATGTAAGGATGTCAATTTGTGTCGAAAATGTTTCTTTTTACAAAAGGAACCCAAAGGACACAAATGCACGCATGAAATTTCACTTATTCCAGAGCCAAGACACGTTCATTCGAAACTCAAATGTGCTGCATGTGCCACTGTAGGACTCGAGGGCCCAATTCACAAGTGTAAAACATGCATGTCATTTATTCTGTGCAATAAGTGCTATCTCTTACACGAGAAGAATTATGACAGTTTGCACTTGGACAAGTACACGACACACAAACCCTTCCATTCGTTTATGCGTTTGAAGTGATTATTAATTTAATTGTGATATTGTTGTATTGTGATATTAAATTGTTGTATGAATTGTAAAATAAGCTGGGTTCTGATTGACAACACAAAAGTGTAAAATAAAAATGATCGGAAACCTTCCGAAGTCTAGAGAAAAGTCGAAGCATGGAAGAAGAGAAAATCATCTCATGCTTGGGCTTTGCACTCTCTAATCATGTCAATCTTGTCATACTCAACTCACTTGAATGGGAAACTTGTGTTTGTAAAAAGGAATTACATCCTTATTCTTCATGTTTTGGTGACAAGTTTCCATCCATTGGCTTTGGAATTCTTTTTTCAAAAAGTGGAAATGATCTTTTTTTACAGTGATGGAAAGTGATGCCAGCGAAAAATGATATGACCACTAAGTCGATCAACAGAGGAAATGCAGCGGAAAAGGGTGAACTGTGAACTTCCGAAAGCTGTGCGGAACAGTCCTTAGCTGAGTTGCGGAACAGCCTTACCATACTTCCCAAATGCAGCAAATAAGGTATTAAAAATTGAAATTTATTGTACAGTTATTGAAAACACAATTTTGAAATGGGGTTCGTGCAGTGTTGTCAATGGTGGAGCTGGTGGTGCTTGTGACAGAATTGAGTCTTTCGCTAATTTTTAAGGCTGTCTTTGTTGCTGTTTCTCTGTTTTCAGATTGATATCTATCAGCCACAGAATTGCTTGTCCAGTTTCCGTGCCTCTTAATATCTGCTTGAGTGACACCATCACAGCTTGCTAAAATTGTTGTGGAAGTTCTTCTTGTGAAATGGCATATATTCTGATCTTGTACCCTTGCACTCTCCAGTATTAACAACATCTGACTGTTCGATCGTCTCTCTCACCTTGTCCAATTCTGTTTTTCTCTTCTTTTTCTGTTGCTCCGTGCTTGAACCAGCAACAGGGTTGGGATGTTCTGACATTTTTTTCGTTGGAAATTGTTCTTGTGTTTGCTCGAGCAACCCGGTAAAAAAATTCTTCTATCCACTCGAAAACTTCTGCGAAACCTCCCGCCCTTCGTCTCACAGCTGCGCCTTCGATTCAGGTCGGAAGTGTTCCGCATCATTTTCCTCGTGGCAGAATAACTATCGGATCAACCAGAGCTCACAGAATGGCAAAAATGTGAGAGACGCTTCTATGGAAATAATCGAACTAATATTTCACGACGTATCGACCTGTGGTTTCTCTCATTTCCAATCAATGTGAAATGTTAGAAATTATTACTGGAATGGCTCAAGATCATATCCAAGTAAGCCCTTCTCTCTCAATTTTCTTTCATGCTCTTTTCTTGCATGAAACTCTTGTTCTTCTTGCTCTCGAGTTTGGATGGAGTTTCTTTCTGGTTCCATCACGAGTTGTTGATTCATTTCCAACATTTTTCTGTGTTTGGTCATTTCCTTACTGTAAAAACGTTCCTCTTTCTTGATAATATCTTGTTTTTTCTTGTCGTCCAATTTTCCACCACTGTTCAATCCTGAATGATATCTATGGTATTTCCATTGATCTTTTTTAACAGCTTGTTGTTCCATCATTAATTGATTCAATGTTTGATTGAGTTTTTCTTGTGATTCTTTTTTAAGATCTGGAGAGGTGAGAATGGAATTAATTTTGATGAGACTGCATGTTAATTCGACAGCTTGATGGAGAGATTGAATTTTCACTCTCATAGAATCCCAAATGCCCAATTGGAGAGGATCTACAAATTCGGCTGGATATTTCAAACAATTTAAAGTACACAATCGTGATGTTTGTGTAGAGGAGTTCTTATTAGACACCGCTTGTTGAGTCAATACTTTCCATTTCCGCATGACAAGGTTCACATTGAAACCACTCTTTTCGCAAAGAGAAGCAGGAATCGATGATTCGAGTGAGTTGGCAAACATTTCATAAATGCATTGTTCAGTGGAACTCAATTCAGTAGTGAGTGAGCACATTTCACGAATTCGACTAGCGAGCATCATTTCCAAACAACCTCCGCCAGGGGCAATGAGACAATCTTCGTAAGAGTTTCTTAGAATTTTTAGCGCTCCCTTAATGATACGAATGTACCTATGTTGAGTGATAACATTGGCTGTATGAACAATGATAGTACCAATTCTACTTGTTGAGCCATTTGTGACATTTCCTTGAATGTATACTGTAGATTCAGTTTGTCTATGATCTTCCTCAATTCTAATTTTTGAAAGAGAGCCCAAGTATTCTTCCTTAATTTCCTGTTCGCATGAATATACCTTAGTACTGGAAGTGAGTTCACATATTTTGTCGCAAATATCCTGTCGTACATGTCTCAATGCAATAATTCCATTCTTACAAAATCTGTCCAAACTAATGTCGTCCATGGCATCGTTGGAAACAACAACACCAACACCACTCTTAATGATATGATTAATCTGTTGATCGATTTTTGCTCTTTCATTTCTCAATAATTGTAGTCGTTCTTCTGCAGTACGAAACTCATTCTTCTTCTTTTCTTTAATCAATTCCAGAGGAATGTCACATAGCACAACAATTTTGCAACTTTCACGTTGACGCAACATGTAGGGATGTTGCAGCCCATGTTCAAATGCCAAACCTTCAAAGTACTCAGCTTTCCCACTGAGTGATGTGAGAGCAAGGACATGAATGTTGTGAAAATTGGGATTGAATTGCAAATTTTTCATTTCGTGAATGGTCAAATTCTCGTAGAGTGTCGATGAAGCTTTCAGACAAACATCCATCAACAGTTGTGTCTCTTTTTCACTCAATTTTGTTGAGAGAAACGTTTTTAAGAGTTCTCTGACCTTTCCTGAATGAAGTCGAATTTTCAATGAAAGAATATCCTTATTGTTCTTAATGCTTGATAAATCAATTTGCTCATTCTTCTCATTGACAAGCAAATTAAAGCCAAACTTTTTCATTTCATTCACACAAAACTTTTCGAGTTTGACCAATACTTCACTCATCATCATGGGTTCTACGGAACTCTTCATCAGTTCATGTGCTCCTCGAGTCAACTCCAATAACAATTTCAAAAAACTAATCGTTCCATCTCCACATCCCACATGCAATTGTTTCACTGCTTTCATGATCATCACTCCCACAGGATGTCTAACCGTTAAATGTTGCAAAATAAATGATCCTTCAGATGATAAATATTTTGGTTGTTGTTGCTTCTTGTGGGACAAGTCTACAATAATTTTCTCCCGAACATTTGCATTCGGTCCAAAACAATCCGAAACTTGATCCAGTAATTGTTGTACAACACCTTCCACAATTCTAATAAAAGGAGGTGCCGAAGAAGCCTGATCCAGTATTACATCTTGTTGATGATGATGAGAGAGGGAATTCATGAATTCAAAATTGAAATTTTTTTTTGTTTCAAATGAAATATAACGAGACAATGTTAGTAATTTAATTTAGAAGAAGAATGGTTGGTCTGACTTTGCAAAAATCCTTTCCTTTGGAATTTTGATCGAATCACTCTCTAATTCTTATAAATAAGTCTTGAGAGGATAATTGTTTTTTCGCTATCTCCTGTTGCAACAACACTTCATCTTCAACCAAAAAAAAAATAATCGAAGTGCTGAGGCGTGTGAGTGATCGTGACGAGCATTGTTTCCGAGAGAGAATAACATCCCGAAAATTGGAACATTAAATAGGTTGTTTCTTTCTGAAAACAAAGTTATCTTCAAGTAGCAATCTTGTTTAAAATATAAATACAAAGACAACAAGAAATTTATTAATTTATCAAGCCGATACGGATCATCATCGAATCGCAATCATGGAAAGATTACTCGAATTGCAACTCGTTTCTAAAGTTTGTAAAGAGCTGGAAACAAATGTGGGATCCGGAGAAAAGGCTCTTGCTGAATTTGTAATTTATTTGGCAAGAGAAGAATCCAAGAACGTTGATGATTTTTACAACAAATTAATTGATAATGATGCGGAATTACCACGAGACTTTGTAGAACGACTATATGCAATGATACACAGAATGTCTAACTCTAAATTATCTTCTTCGTTAGGAAACTCAAGTGATGGAAAATTTACAAGTGCTGGTCAATTCTCGGTGAGCTCGCTGGTTAAATCGGAAGAGAAAGTATCTGCAGATAGCTCGTACGATGGAAAATCATCGAAAGAAGCTGTTACAGTTACATCGGATCAAATCAACGATCGATTACATTCATTCGATAAGAGTATAAAAGAAGAAATGGAAAACAATTTGAGAAGGAAATTAGAGTTGACGAAAAAATTCCCAAGTTTATGTTTACCAGACAAATCATCAATATATAGTTCGACGACGAGTGTAGACAGTGACAAGAAGAAGGATACCTTCGATAGGAAAGTCACAAGCCAACCCAATAGTTTTGACTCCAAAAGTCAATTCATTGACAAATCTTCTGATTCTCGCAATAATCGGTTTTCAAATGAAGAAAGAAGTCGAAATGCATCAGCCTCTTCGTCCTCATCAGCTGATGGATCGGCAGCACGCAGAAATGCCAAGCGGGAGTACACAGATACCATCGAAGTCAATCAAATTTATAAGGCCCGAGTTTCTGGTATCAAAAATTATGGTTTCTTTGCTAGGCTTGAGGAAACTATTGACGGTGTCATTGTCCGTGGAAATAAGGACGGTCTCTGTCACATTAGTGAAATCAGTAATGAAAAAAAAGTATCCAAAGTTGACGAGGTTGTCTCGCGGAACGACATTGTTTTGGTTAAGGTGATTGTTGCAACCGATTCTAGAATATCTCTATCGATGAAAGAAGTCGATCAACAAACAGGGAAAGATCTATTTCCAAGGAGAGCCCTCGCTAAGAATATTGGAGTACCTAGCAGAGAAGAGGATTCCAAACTATTATCACATCACTCTGGAATTTCTCCAGCATTCTTAGATACAAGCAAAGATCCCAGAAGACCGATCAAAAAACAGAATCCTTACGATTTGTGGGAAGAAAAGCAACTGAAAGCTTCTGGATTTGCTAGTGGAGGTGGCGTCATCAATGAAGAAACTGGTGAGCTCAATTATGACGAAGTGGAAGAGGATATTGAAGTTGAAATGAGCGAGAAAGAACCCAAATTTTTGAGTGGTCAAACCATGAAAGGAGGAATGGCTTACTCACCTGTGCGTCTCACACAAGTCAGAGACGGCACTTTGGCCAGAATTGCAGAAAAACAATTAGAATTTGCACAAGAGCGTAGAGAAATCAAGGAAGAACAAAAGGCTAAACTGCAAGGTGACATGGAAGACTTGGAAGCGGACGATCCTCTTTCAGAATACTATAGACGTATCAATGAAGCCACTGACTTTTCAGGCCAGAAAGGTTTTGCTGGTCAAGGAGCTCCAGATTGGAGAAAAACAGCCATCAGTGGTGTTGCTCAACGAAGTTCTCCGTCAACTATCAAACAACAACGAGAGAGCTTACCAGTTTACTCGTTGAGAAATGAACTAATTACCTCCATTAGAGACAATCAAATCCTCATTGTCATTGGAGAAACTGGTTCAGGAAAGACTACACAAATTACACAATATATTGCAGAGGCTGGAATTAATGGTAACAAGATGATTGCATGTACACAGCCACGTCGAGTTGCTGCAATTTCTGTAGCAAGACGTGTTGCCGAAGAATTTGGATGTAAATTAGGTCAGGAAGTGGGTTATACCATTCGTTTTGAAGATTGTACCTCACCAGATACTGTAATCAAATACATGACAGACGGTATGTTATTGAGAGAGGCACTATTAGATCCTCTCCTGGAAAAGTACTCTGTCATCATGTTGGACGAAGCTCACGAGCGTAACTTACATACCGATGTTCTCTTTGCACTTCTCAAAAAACTCACTCAAAAACGAAAGGATCTCAAATTAATTGTGACCAGTGCCACTTTGGATGCAGAAAAATTCTCCACTTACTTTTACACCTGTCCAATCTTTACCATTCCTGGCCGAACATATCCAGTCGAAATTTTGTACACTAAGGAACCTGAAGAAGATTATTTGGACGCAGCTCTCATCACTGTCATGCAAATTCATTTGACTGAACCTGCAGGTGACATTCTCGTATTTTTGACAGGTCAAGAAGAAATTGATACAGCGTGTCAAATTCTCTATGAACGTATGAAAGCACTCGGTAGTGACGTACCAGAATTGGTCATTTTACCCATCTACGCTGCCCTTCCTTCCGAAATGCAAACCAAAATTTTCGAACCTGCTCCTGTGGGTGGAAGAAAAGTGGTCATTGCTACCAACATTGCTGAGACCTCTATTACCATCGATGGTATTTTCTATGTGGTTGATCCTGGATTTGTGAAGCAAAATATCTACAATCCAAAGACAGGTATGGATCAATTGACTGTAGTGCCAATTTCACAAGCTGCTGCTCGTCAAAGAGCAGGAAGAGCCGGTCGTACAGGTCCTGGAAAGTGTTATCGTCTCTACACTGAAGAAGCATACAAGAATGAAATGTTACCAAATACTGTTCCTGAAATTCAGAGAACAAACTTGGCCAATACTGTTCTCACACTCAAGGCTATGGGTATTAATGACTTGTTGAATTTCGATTTTATGGATCCACCTCCACCACAATCACTCATTGCTGCCATGGAACAATTATATAGTTTGGGAGCTCTTGATGACGATGGTCTTTTGACTAAAATGGGAAGAAAAATGGCAGAATTTCCACTTGAACCACAAATGGCCAAAACTCTTATTGCCTCAGTAGACCTTAAATGTTCCGATGAGGTGTTGACCATTGTGTCCATGCTTTCGGTGCAGGGCATCTTTTATAGACCTCGAGATAAGCAACAACAGGCCGATCAGAAAAAGTCACGCTTCTTCCAGCCTGAAGGTGATCACTTGACTTTGCTTTCTGTGTATCAGGCATGGGAACGAAGTAATTACAGTATACCGTGGTGTTTTGAAAACTTTATTCAAGCAAGATCAATGAAGAGAGCACAAGATATTCGAAAACAACTTTTAACAATTATGGATCGATACAAGTTGAATGTCATTTCGTGTGGAAAGAATTATACCAAAGTCAGAAAGGCAATTACAAGTGGCTTTTTCGCTCATGCTGCAAAGAAAGATCCTCAAGAGGGTTATAGAACTTTGGTAGAGAATCAACCTGTGTATATACATCCTGGAAGTGCTATTTTCCACAGAAATCCAGAATGGGTCATTTATCACACGCTATTATTGACGTCTAAGGAGTATATGCGTGATGTGATTACTATTGAGCCCAAATGGTTGATTGAGCTGGCTCCCAATTTTTATAAGGTTCATGATCCAGCACATTTGTCCAAGAGAAAACGACAAGAAAAGATTGAACCACTTTACAACAAGTATGGTGACGATCCTTTGCAGTTGTTAAAACGAACTAAGAGGTAATTGAAAGAAAAATTGAAAAAATTCTTTACGAAATTAAAAGTCACACACAGGTTGAACTCGAGTGAAAATTTGTAGACTTCATCTTAAAGTAAAAAAATGGACACCTTGTTGAGTGTATCTTTGCTTGTTCCTCTCTCCACTCTTTGCTTGCGGATGTTCATGGATGCCATGTCATTTCACACAACAGTCACATCACGATTGCAAAGAATTCAGAATATTTTCAAACTACTCACAGAATTAGATTATCGGAAGAGAACTCTGACTTTCAAGGATCGGAATATTTGTAAGCTTCGCCAAAATTTTAAATAATGAATATTGAATACCTAAATGGATTTGCACAAACAATTATTATTATATCAAATAATTATTATTTAAAATTTATTTAATTGATGACAAAGATGCCATTGACGAAGAAACTAGAAAAGCAGTTTTACTTTGTAGAAATATTTTACAATTCCTACAGTACGAACCAGCTTCTAATGTAAAATGTTCTCAGATTACATTTGATGAAAAATCAACGCTATATCAACCTAGGGCAATTACATTATTTCATTGACCAAACAAACTCTCAAAATCATCCTCTAAAATGTTCTCAGATTCAGAGACCATGTTAAACGATGCGAAAAATGAGTCTGTGTTAGTTGTGTTTCCGCTGTTCACTGTTGGTATTTCATCAAATATTTCAGCAATAGCACTATTTTCAAGAGCAGCATCAAATCCGGGATATTGAATTGCAGAAACACCCAATTCATCAATACATTCAAGTGCCTGTGAGACCCCTCTCTTGATATTGAAAGGCGTTCCATTATAAATAATTCTCTCAACCTCTGTCTTTTTATCCTTAAGAGCCACAATAAATACAAGTGGTCGGTCATGGTTAATGTCTCTGAAAGAAATGGCATACTCGACATGGAGTGACATTAATGACGCTTGAATATTGAAATTGCAACAATTCACCACATTGGTGTCAATCCACTGTTCTCCTGCAAATGTCAATTCTTGCTGAGTTTGAAAATCTAGAATTTTGAAACAAATATCATGATCCTCAGACAACTGTGTTGGAACATCTACGTAGAGCAAGAATTGCTCATTTGGTGAAAGCTCCTTAGGGAATGCAAAATTGGGGAATTTTGACAAGTCCACCGAAATGCTTTGATGAAAGACAGTCACAATAATCCATTGCTTGAGTTGATCGAATAGTGTTGGTGGATGTGCTGCCTTTTGTTTGGCATTAGTATTATTTTGTAAAGGAATGGATGAGGACTTGGAACGTTTTCGTGCTGAGCTTTCTATTTGAGGTTGGCCTACCTCAGATGATGAAGCAGCACTGTGAGCGTCATCGTCTTCCATTTCATTCTCGTCGTCATTTTTCTTTCTCTTTTTGATTGTGGAGGTTGAGGTACTATCGGACGAGGCTGCTTCATGGTTCGACAAATCCAAAACGTCGTTGCTCTCTTCTACTTCATGATTAGCTGTTTCACACGATGAATGAATATCAATATACATGGTGACAAGTTTTTCCTTCTTGCATTTCAATAAAGCGGTATAACACTTGTCACTCTTGGTTGCCTTATTTTTCTTTTTGTTTGCTAAAATTTCGAAAATTGCAATAATGTTTGAATTTAAAGAGTCTGCAGAGGGAGATGCATGTTGAGGCGTACCATTCCTACCATGACCGAGGAACTTGGTGGTTGCAGAAAGATCCTTTCCACGTATCTTCATCTCCACATGTGGCAGAATGTTCTTTTTTTTGGGTGACGCCTTCTTCTTGGAGGCCCTAAAAGTTGATTCGTCCTCATCTTTTGTTTCTTCCTCTAATTGAAACTCCAGATCTGAAAGACTGTAATATTTACTTGGCAGAACCAACAACAAGTAATAGTAGCAATCGGTGCCAATTTTACAGGTCGACTTTTCTGACAACTTGGTGGACGAAACCACATTGGGTGAGTGATGAATACTCTGAGGATTTGCCAACCGATGCCAAGGTTGTTCCGAAGTCAAGTGGTTTCCCTTCTTTTTTGGTGGAAAGCCTTTCTTGATAAAGACATGAATACTATTCGCAGTTTGTTCCATCTCAGTCATGGAGCTCAAACTTCCTGGACTCTCTACCATGTTCACCTGAGTGGCATGTGTTTGAGGTGGTACTTGCAAGAGATTTGTATTATGTTTGTTTGTTGTATTAGGAGCAACTGTGGAAGAACCAATCATCGCAGCTGGATCCAGTGCTGTTGCATTTGAAGAATTGCCCATAGTCTGACTGCTCCCACTACTCCCATTATTGCTTCTATTCATCGATAGTGGTGGTGGTGTTGATGTTTGGCTAATATTCGTATTCGCAGGGTGGTGATTTGGGTTATTGAAGAGTTGTTGCCACAAGGCCGAGGCCGAGTCATGGTTATTTTTTGCCGCCAAATTCATCCATACCTGTTGTAGTGGATGATTGGGCGCCAAATCTTTCAACAGGACATTCATGTTGGGTGATGAGGAGTTATTGTTATTATGATTGGAAATCATGTTATTGGGTGAAGAGTAGGAGGAAGTGGAGCAGGGAGTTTGTCCATGATTGGCAAGCAGCATTGTGGAGAGAGCGGCTGCCACTGGAGGTGGTGGCGGTTGTTGAGAACAAACAGCCATGACTTGAGCCAATTGTTGTTGGAATTGAGTGACATCTAATTGGAGAGGGGAAGTGACGTTCGATGGTTGCACCACTGAGGAAGAACGAAGAGAGGTTGTTGTTGCTGTGGGTGAAGAAGTGCTTGCATTGTTTTTGACCTCACTACTATTGGTACCTCCATTATTGGTAAATTGAGATCCTGCAGACAACAAGATGGAATGTTGAGATTGAGGTTGTACGTTCGTATGGTGGTTGTTGTTGTTGTTATTATTATTATGAGAGGATTCATTCATCATGAGTCGCATCATTTGCATGACCAGATTGGAATCGACCATCATGGAGCTTTGATTGAGCATGTTCTGTTGTTGTTGTTGTGGTTGATTCATCATCAGAGAGGTGTTGTTGTTGTTGCTGTGGTTGTCTCCATCCATGAGAAGCATGGTGAGAGATTGGTGATGATTGTTGTGGTTTGCATTCATGTTGTTGTTGTTGAGGGTTGTAGGAGAGGAATGATTCATCATGTCGTCTGCTTTTGTTTCTTCACAAGTTTGTGGAATGTTAATCATGTCGTGCGTTGATAGACTCTACTACGAGTATAATCAAGCAATGAAGGACACAATGCGAGAGGTGTGTGTGTGCTCAATAAACGCAGCAGGGATGAAAATACAACACGCGAATCAATTTGATTTGGGAAATTCAATGAAATTATTACTACTACACTATGAGAGAAGAGAATACGCGAACGATGATACTTTGTTTTGCAAACTCTGTTTTTCAATATCAGGAAGTCTTTGAGACACCACAATGCTAATGTTGTTATTATTATCAAAATTCTTCTTCCGATGAATGCTTGCGCCAAATACCTACTTTGTGTGGCAGGTGACAAGTGACTTTTTTTTGGTATTTTCCACCATACAACTCCAGGCCTTAGTCTGTAGATCCTTTGGAGGGCATTTGTATGCTAGGGCCATCAGCTGAATATGCCACTATTTTTCCTCTAATGGAAGAAAAGAATGAGGAGAGTTAAAATTGGTCTTTGAGCGCTTGCTCCTACTCGAGACCATATTTGTGTGTTTAGTGAATTTCTCAACCATCGATGAATTGATTTTGGAAACGTGTTGAACACTGATCAGTGTTTGTATATGTGGTAAATTATATTAATCGAAATTTGAGTGTTTGGGTGAACAAAAAACTTGTGTTTTTATACAAGACCATGATGATTTTACAACTCACCTTGAGGTTGTATGTTTTTGACTTTTCGAGAGCGAAATGCTGCTTAAAGAATGATGCATGAGAATCCTCCTGATGATTCTCCGTTTGTGAGTGCTGCGCTTCTACGAACTCGTTTGTTTTGGGAAGATGACGACGAAGGAGGAGAGGTTTGCATGGGAGAAAACGAAGCTGAAGTACCTGCCGGTGAGGTTGATTGCATGCTTTGGTTGGTGGCGTTGGGTGTGCTTGGATAATTTTCGTCGTCACCAAGGCCATCGCTCGAGCTGATTGACTTTCTCTTCTTTAAGGTTTCTTGCTCCTTTTCAGTAAGTGACGATAGAGTAGGAAGAATGTGACCTTCCTTTGCCTGATAGTAGCTCATTACTGATACACCCCTCTCGAATACGAGTGTTTTTAGTCCTGGATTGTGACAATTGGTAACATCCATTACATCTCTGCTGCAGAGATCGGCTGATGTCTTGTTCATTAATTTCACCCAACAATATCTTGCGTTGATCCAAAATATCTTAATCATGCCGTACTTGTAAAATGCATTTTTGATGTGTTCGTTGGTTATTTCTTGTGTTAGACCAGTCAATAAAAATAAATCGGATCTATCTTCAAGTGGGTTTGGTTTTAGCAGCTTGAAATTATGGTCACAGTTCATTACGTTGATAATGTTGACCATTTCCTTAATATGAGATAAATCAGAAATTCCATGGAATAATTTGTTTCTATTGGTACCAATGATTTGGCTTACTTTCATGAATACAAAACCTGTCATGAATGCATCAAAAGCGGCTACATGATCAAAGTCTTTGATGCCTTCATAAAACTCGTCAAAGTTCTCAAATTTTGGCCCACCAACATCTGTTTTGTGCAGCATGTAATCAAAAACTGTTCTCAGTGAAGTATCTCTAACCAGAGCCGAAGAGATTTGTGGGTAGGTTTCACAAATATACTTGGTATCAATTACGCTGATTTTGAAACAATTATAAATCGAAAGACCATTTTGATTGTATAAAAAAGATGTTCGTCCATTAAGCGGAAACACTCACACACTTACTTTTCAAAATTTTCTCTAACAATTGCCTTAAACTCTTCAGAAGATGAAGGAAGTGGTTTGATGAATTTGTGGATTACATGCATCATATCCAAAAGAGCATTGTGTCCAATGAGAATTAAATGCTTGTGTTTTGTAAGTTCTCTTACAAGTCTAGTAAAACCAAGCTCTTGGTTTACTGCCTCTTCTATTTCTCTGTTCATTCGTTCTTCTGTTGTTTCAGTCCCCACTCTCTTGATACGTATGAATGACAATCTCTTGTTACTTGTGTTGACAGTATTAAGTACAAGCCTGCCTTCATATCTGTTGAATCGAACCCATGAATATTATTGATGAAAGGAAATATATTGATTACAGAAAAATGGTTATTCTCTGAAAGGTATATCACTGCAAAAAATAAAACTTACAAAGAACCCAATTCTTCAAATAAGAATTTTCGTTCGAACCCATTGCATGGATCAAGATCAAGCTCTGTATCGGTAGAGTTAGCAACCCAATCTGCGACTCTTTCTTTGCAATTTTCCAAAAACTCTCGTTGTTCAGGTGTCAATCTGCTACTATCAATTCTTTCGCCTCTGTCGTTGGGTCTTTTCCTAGTTCCAGAGCCAGATGCTCTGAATTTAGCAATTCTTGTAATTTTTTCTCTTGTGGAAGCTTCTTCGACCTCATTCATGTACGTGATACCATGAGCAATGACCTTATTGAGATCCATCTTGTTCTGAACTAAAAATTGAAGGCACGTGTTTTGACAAGAAAAGACGCTAGAGCTTCGGGATGGAGCTTTAAAAAGATAAAAGTTATATGGCTTTGCTATGACTTTAGGTGAGGCAGCAGCAGCATTTGATGTGGTCTTTTTGGCCAATGAATTCTTCAGCAATTGTCGTAAGCGTTCGGCTTCGTCTTGAATATTAGAAAATTCATCCTCAGGCCTTTCGACAAACCAGAGACAAAGACCGAATTGTACCACTTCGAATTGTGACGCACTATCTCTTAATTTTACATATCTATCTTCAATTGTATCAAAGGGAAAGATTTTGTGCTCATCACTACATATTTGTGTTAAGAAAAACATGTTTTCCATTTTTAACAAATTTTAACAAACGAAAAGAAATTCTTGCCAATTAAACTTACTCTAATTCCAAGCCAGTCATTTCCAGATCGAAACTAACAAATGCTGTCTTGGGCAGCAATTCTTTGATTTCAGCCAATTTTTCTTCAAAATTAATTTTTGTAACATCGATAATGGAGGGAGATTTCTTTGTGAGTGCTGTAGTTGCAGGAAGTTGAACGCATTGGGCTGATTCCGACGTAATTGCTAAACCCTTATCTGAATCATCATTATTAATTCCTCCTAACACAGTATCTGAATCAGAAGATGTTAAAGTATTTGTATTTTCTGCTTCTGATGATGATGGAAAAGTATCTCCCACAGCAGAAACAGCAGGAGTTGGTGTTGAAGTCTCCAACTCATCGGTTTTATCCATTTCATCACTATTGCCAAGAGAATTTACATCTCGATTTGATTGGGTCAAAGATGATTCATCAGAGGAGCCTTGCAAGGCTTGTTCGGCCGTGATGGTGTTATCATCAGTCGCCATTTTGTTATTTTCTTCTTCGTTTTGTGCCATTTTTTTCAATAATAAAAAACGAAATATTCTGATGCACAATGTTCGATGATGAAAATTTCAAACAAGGAGAAGTTGCGTTCTTTCAAGCACCTTTTGGATGAGAATATCTCGAGAAAATCCTCGATCTCTTTCATGCAAACAAAAGTTCAATGTGTTTGTTGATTTTTGGCAGAGTTCAAAAAAAAATTCAAACACATTGAACAAGAACCTCTTCTACACATTACTCGAGTGCAATTATCATCACCATTGTTACATTCACCAAGTTCTAACTTTTCATCAATAAACTCTCCACAACATCATGATTAATACCAAGAGGCTCCTTAAGGAGATTGAAACAAAAAAGAAGATCTCCGATGTGAAATTCTTTAAAGACGATGCCGACAAGAATCATGGTAAATCTCGAGGCACATCCACTTTCAATAGTAGCAACATGAATATAGCCTCCAAAAATTATGGTGTTCTTGTCTATGATTTGGAAGGTAAAAAGTCTCTCTCGGATATTGTTCAAAATTCCAAACTCAAAGCAAAATACAATACCGAGGCCAAAAACTATTTCAATTTAATTGATGATTTGGAATTTCCGACAGCATGTAACAATATTTGTTTAGCTGCTGATGAGAATCACTTGTGGGCTTCTGGAATTTATAAACCACAAGTGAGGTGTTTCACTTTGGATGATTTAACCATAAAGTTTAAGAGACATGTGGATTATGAAATTCTCAAATTATGTCCACTTACATCGGATTACAAAAAGATGGCAACTTTGTGTGTGGACCGATATATTGAAATTCATGCACAATGGGGAAGTTATTACCGATTTAGAATTCCAAAATATGGAAGAGACATTACGTATCATGATTATAGTGCAGAGCTTGTCATGGTAGGATCAAGTAATGAAATTTATAGATTCAATCTTGAACAAGGAATGTTTAGAAAACCAACTATGAGTTACTCGAATGCAGAAGCTATTAATACTGTGAAAATTAATCCAGTTCATCAACTTTTTGGACTTGGATGTGACAATGGATTTGTGGAATGCATGGATCCTCGTTCCAAGAAAATTATTGGATGCATTGACGCCTTTGATTCTATTCATACCATGTTAGGATCTTCTTCACTTGAATCTTCTTCACACGCTGTTACAGCATTCGAATTTGACAATGATGGAATTGGATTTGCCGTGGGTACAACCTCTGGACAGGTTGGACTTTTCGATTTGCGAAAGAAAGGAGCTGTCTTTGTGAAGGATCACCACACTGATTTGCCAATTGTTAAAATTGCATACCATGAAACTTCAAAGAATATTTTCTCAGCAGACACTCAAGTGGTGAAAATTTGGGACAAATCCAATGGAAACAATTATACCAATTTGGAACTTACAGCAAAAATCAATGACTTTTGTATCATTCCACACAGTGGTATGGTATTGGTTGGAGGAGAACGATCCAAGATCAAACCTTTCTATATTCCAAGTTTGGGACCTGCACCAAAATGGTGTTCATTTGTCGATCAAATTACAGAAGAACTCGAAGATTTCAAGAAGAATACAGTCTATCAAGATTTCAAGTTCCTTACATTGGAAGAAGTTCAAGAGTATGTTTTTTATTTCAATGATACTTTTCAGATTAACCTCCTATCATTGTACAATATGTGCCTAATATTTACTAACTGACACATCATTGGTAATTTGAAATGTTCAAATTATCCATTGCTATTGCTGCCATGTTCTGTACTGTTTATATGTGAACCTTGTATTGACTCGAACACTTAGTCTCGGATTGGAGGATTTATTTGGAACAGATTTATTACGGCCCTACATGCATGGTTTCTTCATTAAAATGTCTCTCTACAAAAGAGCTCTCGAGTACAGCAATCAAAAACCAGAAATTGCTCCTTCAGAACTTCTCACTCCAGGACAAGTGGACAGCATGTCTGAAGAGAGACTTAAGGAAGAACGTGTTAGGGCTCTTGTTGACTTTATTACGCAAGAAGAAGGTGAAGAAGAATCTTTCGCACAACAAAAACCAAAGAAACCACAAATCGCTGCTGTCGATGATGAAAGATTCAAAGAAATGCTTGATAATCCTGATTTTGCTGTGGATGAATCCGAAAAGAAGAAGAAGTTTGAGGAACGAAAAGCCAAAAGAAGAGAAGTTTTCGACACCTCGAGTCACAGACGAGACAAAAAGGCAGAAAGAGAGCAAGAAGATTCCATCGGAATTTATGGTATTGAGTCGGCACAATCTCTCAATTACAATGATCATGCCGACTTTTTAGATTTTGGTTCTAAGAACAAAAAAGAACGAAATATGACCTTCCACTCGCGATTAAACCGTAAAGGAGAGAATGAAGAGGACAATAACGAAGACAACGACGATGGACAGAAGAGAAAGAGACGAGGTGGTGGTAGTGGCGATAAAAGATCCAAGCACATCAAAAAATACTAAAAATTGACGCATATTAAAAAGTAGAATATAAAGTTTAAATGTTTTTCCAAATATCCATAAATGTTCGTCACCATCGACAAAGATTCACAAGATGAAAGAAGAATATATCATGCATTGGTTTTTAATGTTTGTTCTTGTTGTGCTAAGGTGAGTTGTTGTGATCTAAAGGGCTTTCACCTTGTCTTTCAGAACTTGGAAAACCTCAAAGAAAGCCGTAAAAAACAGGATATGACAAGTTGACATTCAAAAAGTAATAAAAAATCTTCAATGATCCTTTCCAACGATCGCTCTCATCAAGTCATTGCTCTTTTTTCGATCCACTCATTCCTTTTATGAGAGTCATGACGTTTTTTACAAATTGATTTTTTCGACCAAAACTTCAAATATCCAAAAAAAAATCGCTAACTGTTCTTCTTTGCTCGCTCTCTCATAAGAATCGCACAAGGAGTTTTTATGGGGCTTTATTATTAGTCATCACCCGCACCAGTACAACAACAACAACAACAACAACAACAACGCACCTAATAATACTCTCTGCAAAACTCCTGGTAACCAACCAACGTTGTAATTTGAGAATCACGTACTTGAATAACTCCAAAAAACGTCCGGGTATCACTTTCCATGAATCTGTAGTAAAAGGCTCTTTGATAGAATTAAAACTGATAATAGGCCATCATCATCATCATCATCATAGTAATAACATCCTAGATACACAAAATTCATCTACAATCAACAACAGCAACACTCATCATAGCGTACAATTGTACTCCTCTTAATCATCACTGATTCGTTCAAATTAATTTGTTGAAATTTGTTGTTATTCTTCGTCTTTGATAATAGTTATTTGAGTTGTTGCTGAAAACAAAATCCACTCGCATACACAATCATTCACCCTTTCAACAACCAAAACAATATAACTTGTAAGACAATCATGGTTCTCTCTCTATCCGGTAGCAGCAGCAACGGTATACCAATACCGTCATCTTCTGCAGCTTCCCCCACCTCTCCAAGAGGAATCCCTTCCAGCAACATTACGTCCTCGCCCAACAATAACTCCAGCCCTATTCCCATTCCCAACTTGGGCAACTCTCTCTTCACCAAACGAAAAACCTCTAATGCCAAATATAAGCCATCCAATCTTAGTATTTCATCAGTGCGGGATAACAAGGTTTCAAGAACACCCAAACAATTTGAAATTCCTCAGGAATTCTACATGTATTCATCATCAGTGCCAAATCCAACAACCACTTCTCGACCTTCTTCAGTTTCTTCATCATCCATGATGATGTATGGCATGTCAGCAGATGAGTCATCATCATCCCATCAACCACCCCATCATCACTACCATTCTAGTAAATCTCTCTCTTTTGCTAATACGAGCCATCGTCAACAAGATTTGCCATTCTCTCCACCTTCCACCTCATCAGCCATGATGATCAACACATCAACCATTTCAAGAGGACAACATGGAATGCATTCTGTTTCCTCCTCTTTTTCAAACTCGTCATCTTTACAAGCCACTCCACATTCTGCATCATCCTCTGGTTTCCATCACCCTCATCATTTCCATCACTCATTTTCTCAACAACATTTTCCACCAAATTCATTGGGTCATAATCACTACACTTCAGGTTATTTCAATCCCAATAGTTATGGCGATAGTAGTAGTGTTTGTTACTCGCTGAGCAGTAGTGTGGATTCTAGTTGCTCTTTTGCAAGTCAATGTTTCAGCCCAAATGGAGGTTCGTTCATTCCCTACGACAAATTAAATAGAAAATTTAGAAAAATTAAACCATTGGGAGAAGGGTCATCGAGCACGGTATCTCTTGTACAACAAGAGAGCACTGGTCTATGCTTTGCTGAGAAGATCATTGAACATTATGAAGAACGAGAATCCATTGTAAAGAATGAAGTTAAATTTCTATCGATATGTAAACCCTGTCCAAACGTTGTGACGCTCTATGACTGTTTTCAGAAAGGAAATTCTATTCACTTGATTTTGGAATATATGGAAGGAAATTCTTTGGACATCATTGCCAAAAGATACGGTAAACTTTCAAAGAAACAACGTCAAGCCATTGAGGAAGATTTGGATGCACCTTTACCAGCTCATCTCTCACCAATGACCTATGAGGATTGTGGTGACTCAGAGTTAATTACTTATGACGACGATTTAGATGACTTGAATGGAAATGATGTTATGGAAGATGAAATGTTCCCCATGTCAGATGTTAACAGTAAGGCGGACAAACAGACAAAGAAACATCATTCAGCTCGCAGAAGGCTATTCGCAGAAGAGACTACTGATAGTGCTAAAAACAGTGCCAGTGACCGTTGCCGCGGTATTCCAGAGGAGATTCTGGGCTTAATGGTTGTTCAAGTTATAAGAGCACTTTGCTTCTTAGATGAACACAATGTAATTCATTCTGACATTAAGCCTAGCAATATTCTTCTCAATAGGAGAGGCGAAGTGAAATTGACAGATTTTGGGCTTTCCACTTATGCTGATGTTCCACAGAATAGACTAGGATCTTTTGCCTACATGAGCCCAGAAAAATTACAACATGGAAAGCATAGTCACAAATCTGATATCTATTCATTAGGTGTTTCCATGTTGGAATTGTCGAAATGCCAATTCCCATTTTCAGAGAGTGGTTTTCATATGCACGAAATTCAAACTCTGGATGTGGAAAAATTCGTTGGAGATTCGCATTCTTATGATTTTAAGGACTTTGTGAAGAAGTGCATCCAAATTGATCCTTCCTCAAGGCTTTGTGCTTCAGAATTATTGCAACATGAATGGATGCAACCTTTTAAGAATTTAGATAGTGACATTGTTTGTGCCAAAATTGCAAATTGGTACAATAAACTGTTTTCTTGAAAGGCTTTCCTTCATGAATTGCTGTTGTTTATTTGCCTTGTGTTGTGATCACTCACATTTCTATCTCGAACCTTGGTATTGAACGTAATCTAGAGTCATAATATTAATCCTCACGAACCCATTTGACCAACTTTTTCTCTTGTGCCGAATAGTACTTGATGAGTCGAATCTTTTTGCAATGATTGACAATTTGATTCTCAAGTTGAGTGATATTCATGGGCTGCCTGATGTCAAAAACATCGAGTTCTCTCAAAGAATTCGAACGAATGATCATGTTGCTGTCAAAAGCTCCATTGGATAAATTCAATCTCTTCAAATGTTTAAAACTTTCAATGTCCTTGGTGAGTAATTTACACATCGAAGGACCCATCATGGGCTTGTTTCCAGAAAGATCCAACGTTCTCAAATTTGGAAAAAGAAAATGCCAAGAGCAATAGTGAAATACATCATTGTCAGCCAAACTCAATTCTCGCAACGAGGGATAACAAGGAGCAGATAATTTTCCATTCTTGTGCATTTCCACAAACATGGACCTTAATTGAAAATACAATTCCTGAATCGTCTCCTGACTCAATTGACAATCAATCAATTTGAATGATTTTAAGTGATTATTGAATGTGAAAAATGGTAACACCACAAAATGAATATAATAATTTGCTTGATTCGAGCAATTCGAAAAAGTCACTGATTGAATGAATGGAATGTAGAAAAAATTTCGAACTTGATAAAATTGAATGGAAAATCGATGTTTGGATCGAGTCGAGTCCTGTGGTTGAGTTGTTGTTGTTGTTGCTGATACCAATGTTTGATTATCATCAAATCCCTCATGAATACGGCCTTCTTCTTCTTGAATATTATTATGATTCATTGTCGAGTCCTTAGGATTGTGTTCTTCAATTTTCTTTCGAATTTGAATAGCAATTTGTGCAGAACCAAGTGATTTTGATCTTCTTCGTTGTTGCTGTATTGAAAGAGAAGGGTTAGAATTCAGTAGTGTGTAAAATTGTTGTTGTTGTTGTGATTGTTGATGATATTCATTGCTCAATCGTTTCACACTTTTCACAACATGTCTCAAATGTTTTGGTAAATGTGAATGCAAGGAAGGAATCATTGAAGATGGTTTTGAAAAACTATTCAAAGGATTCAATACAGAGTCATGGCTCTGTTCTTCAGTGTCTTCCAATAATGATAATGAATGTTGTTGTTGTTGTTGTTGTTGACGATTCGAAAGTAAATTTTCAAATGAACTTGGACTTGCTGTGAGCATGCTTAAAAAGTCATCGTCATAGGAAATTCTCAATCTTTTACATGAGGAGCGAGGTGAAAGCATGGTATTCAAGAGAGGAGGATTGGAATGGTATGAATGGTTGGAAAATTGTTGTGAAGAGGATGAAGAGGAGTGAGTGTGTGTGAAATTGGTTGTTTCTTGTTGTAATTGTCGTCCATTTGGTGATGAATTTGTTTGATTCATTTGTGGTTGAGTTTGCCATGATTGTTGTGAATTTGTTTGTAAATGATTATTTGTAGGATTGAGTGGATGATTGTTGTTGTAATTCACAAAAATTGATGAATTATAACTCGTACTCGAATAATCTCTATAAAAGGAATTATACAGAGCCAACATTTGATCAAATCCAATAAATTTCAAATGTGCATAAAAATCAAAAAGAAACAATCTCTGATTTCTTTCCTTTTCAAAAACTCCAAATAATTTTGACATGACATTTTGTAATGAAAATGGAATGGATTTTGTGAGAGAGGCAGAAGAAGGTGAAATGGAACGTTTATGAAGACAAGAAGAAGAAGATTTTTTAAGAGAAGGAGGAGGAGGACAAAGAGAGGACTCTCCATTTGGGAGGGATGAAGAGTTATTGGTGTTGTTAATGGTGGTGTTTGGTTGAGAGTTGGATTGGGTTGATGAATGAGTGTCACTTGTCAATTCTTTTAAATTGGACATACTACTCGCAGTTTCTTCGTAGAGTAACATTTTTTCATACAGATCACTGTAATGTGCTGTTTCAATTAATTTCTTGGAATAGAAAATAATTTCTGGAAATTTAATAAAAGTTAAAATATATAAAATGACATCAAATGGTAATTTCTTAAAATCATCAAAATCAATATATTCCGAATATAATTTGTTATAGACAGTTATCATGTTTTTTGTTGGAGCAATGAACATGCCATGATCATAGTAATAGATGTGTTGCATTTTTTATGTGTGGCTGTTGCGAAATGACCAATTTGGAAGACAGTTGCCTCTTGAAATGCCAGATGTCAAAAATGTCATCCATTCACATGAGAAGAGGAGAGCAAATATTCTCATCACCACCACTTCCAACAATTGAATCAACTCCTAAAGTGAAGAGGACCACTCTCTGAGTTGAGAACAGGATACTAGCAGGATGGCTTTCCGTTCGATCGAATAACAAATTCCTTTTTTGTTTGAACATGAAAGAACGAACGTGATTTTTTCTTTTCATTCGAATTGAATTCCAAATTTAAAACAAAATCATCATTTACGCACACAGGTGAGGAGAAGGTGTTATGACTTTTATTGAAAATGATGCAACAAGCCACACGACCTTTCGAATCGGATGACTTGGACTCCACAACAACATCTTCCGAGATCCTTGTACCAAATGATCCAAATTTGGATTCATCCTTGAATAGGACAGTTACATCATCATCATCAAGGGATCAACAACATTATTTCAATTTCAATAATAATAGTAATAATAATAATAATAATAACAACAATAACAATATTAATTTTAATATCAATGAATTATTACAAGAAAGCCTCAACAACAGAGATGATATTCCATTATTGAATCAACCATCCATCCATAACCGTAGCCATCACCAAGAAGGAATTCCCAATGATGAAATCAACACTTCCACCACCACCACAACAACAACTAATTTTCCATCTCCTCCTCAAGAAGAAGCTTACGGAAAAGTAACTTCAGGATCTTCCGATGATGATCATCCCCATCAACCAACACAACCAACACAACCACCATCATCATCAACGTTTGAACAAACACCCATCCAATATTGGATTCCCATGCATAAACCTTCCTCCACTTCCTCCTCTTCCACTTCCGTATTATTGGAAGCATCCAATCAACAGGATCAGCAACCACCATCACCACCACCACAAGAAACACACGAAACATCATCCTCTGCTTTAACGATCATGATCAGTCCATCATCACTTGATGATTCCTATTTAATGGTCGACGTGAATGAGAGAGGAGATTTATATACGAGTCAGACCTTTCTGGATTCGAATGGAGTGAGACACGATGAAGAAATTCGTAAACTTGGTGATAGATATCCGAGTATGATTCCGAGTCGAGCATCTCTTCCCAAGTACAGCGTGTGTTTGGATTTGGATCAAGTGGCTAAGGAGATGGGAAGTGATATTGAGATTGATGTGAGCTCGTTTGTGGTGAATCCAAAAACCACCACAGCTCCAAATGTTTGTGATGCTGCTATCACCACAAATACTACTACTACCACATCGATCACCACAGAATCTCCAAATGTCATGATGGATTCATCTTCCTCTAATTTACAGTATCGGAATGAGGAGATTCATGCAATGACCATGTATCCCTTGTTAATTTCAGCAGTAGATTCTGATTCGTTATTTGGGAGTGCTATTGGCAATGGTCCATTGGTGAAACTACGGAGTGGTGGTGCTGGTGTTGCTGGAAGTAATTTAGGTCAGGCGTTAATGGTTTCTTCTTCGAACCATGGTGTCGATGCTGTCAATACTCAAGAATCGAGAGTGGATTTAATTCCATTATTACAGCCACAAATTGAATTAGGATATTTAAATAATTTATTATTGAATGAATCGATGGTATTGGAAAGTATGGGAAGAAGACAAATTGAATTTCATCATGATTTTTATATGCTGTGTTATGAATATTATAATTCATTCTGTAAAATCAAGAAGCTGAAAGATTCTTTTGCACAATTATTATCGGAACAGAAACAGTTACAGAAATCGATCTTTACATTCTCGACTAAAACTTTTCAGTCACCCAGCTGTCAGTGTGGAGATGGCTATCAATTGGTGGGATCGGTGACAGCTCTCAATGCTACACCTAACAAACATGTGATTGAAACTTTGAAGAAAAATTTTGCACAAACTCGAACACTCTATCATGATAACATTGTGGAGGCAAATTTACTGAACAAGTATGCCAATATTCGAATTAGTCATTACTTGGATGAAATTATTTCCAGTTCGAATTTATTTAATGTGCAAGCACCTATTGTGTTGACATTACAACACCATTCACGTTCAGAGTACGACAATGAGATGGTTGAAAAATTGAAAACCTGCATTCAGATCTTGTTCTTTTTTGAGCAGGCCACACACGGAATGGCGACTATAGTGACACCTTTAGGATGCTCAGAATTAGAGACCTCGCTCGATGAGACCATGAACGAACTCAAGTCGTTTAGGAGTGACATTCGAAATTGGATTTTGTGGTCAATCACACAACTCATGAAAATGTCCACCATTGAAGATAATCGATTTGTTATTTTTGAGCTTGTCAAATGTAGACATGTTGGTTCTTGGGCTTCATTTGCTCTCCAATTTCCAATAATTGATTCTGACAACAGCGTTGATCAATTTCTTGCCTTTCTCTCACTATTCCTAACTCCTACGTATATCAAAGAAAATGAGCTCATTCTCACTGAAGACGATTATTTAAGCCTGTGGCAACAACTACCATTATTTGAAAGCATGGATTATATATTATCAGGATGCACACAACAATTTTTCAAGGAAAAACAATCTTCCTATTTTACCTCCTTCTCGCGAGCATTTTCTTTCATTGATACTGTGCTCTATATTTTATATCAGGCCTTAATTAATTTCAGCAAGTCGCCCACTCATTCTTCTTTCACTCGAATGCTGTCACAAAATATGGCACGACTTGTACAGATGGCTTCCAATTCGATCAGTCAATTGGAAGGAGTAAGCACTGAAGATGTTGAATATTTATTTAACAGTTTCTATGTGAAGGTAGGTCATTTTGTTTGCCGGCGAACCAACTGTTTCAATGGTTCATTACGTTTCACTTATCATTATTGATCAACTCTGTACATGGAATGTAGTGTTTCAAGGGACTTCTCTCTTCAACGTCGAACTTGTGGTCCTTCCTTTCCGAGTTACCATATGAAATCATTTCTGAAGCTTGTGCATGTTCGATATTTTGGATCATGTTTAGAGATGAGAAAACAGTAGATATGAACATTTCATACGATATTTTAAGAGATCTTGATTTGTGGACGAACAAGTTGAATGAAAACAAAACGTTACGAAACAATTTTATCCAAAAGTTCCAAAAGAAAGAATGTGGATATTTATTCCCAGTATTGTCTCGTTTGGGATGCTCTCACTCTTTTGGTCTTGCGTCAATAATTGTTCATGAATTATTCTTTATTGGATGTAAGTGGCATATTCACTTGTGTAAGGTTTTGGTTGATTCACCACTTCTGTGAAAAATGATTTCTGATTATTATTACAATTATTCACTGGCTAGTTATTAACGATTCATCAAGAGATACTTACTTTAGAGATGCTACAAAAAATATTGTTCTCATATGTGAGGCACATCCAAGATTAATATCTCTAGTATTGGCGCTTGTCACAAAATATTTAAAATTTGTGGATCGATATTCTCTGACCATTTTCAAGCAGTTGCCTTTGAAGAGCTGGAAGATTACCAAAGACAAGGACTTGTCTCTACTTGAAGAGCTCCTTCTCAAACCAATGATAAGCACAGAACATGAATTAGCTCGATTTATCATTGAAAATCTTCCTTGGAGTGACGATATCAATAATACTCTTCTACCTTTGGAGGTACAACAAAGGTTGATGATTCTCGTTGCCAAAGCTGTCTCCTATCATAGAAAAGATTCTCAATATTCATTTATTAGAAAAGACCCATGGAATGAGCTTGAGGAATGGGGCTACTCAGTTTTACAACGAGTTAAACTTTATGATGAGATTCAAACACCACTCGTGACCATCCATCCAATTGACCATCCGTCTCTAAGTGGTCTCTTACACAGCGTCGAGGCATCCAAGAAGAATATTGATGGAGTGAGTGCATATACCTTGTTGTCTCTAAGTGAAGTTGGAGTCAATTTGCAAAGGTACAATGAAATTGCTAAAGGTTGGATCGAATTAATGATTAACACCAAACCAAATAGAAGAGCTCTCAGAATCATGTTGGAATTGAGTGTGAGATTTTCTGAGAGTGCAAAGAATTCCATTAATGATGTCTCTGCTCCTAACTATCTCACATTTCAACCACACCTCGATAATATTCTCAATCTCGATACAAACAAATCATTTCTTGGAAGATTGGTTAATTCAGAAAGGACTATTGGAGAGTACACATGCATAGTGTCCACAGGAGTTTGTTCCTTCATTGAAAATCTGTTTGATGCTAAAAAGCTTTCAACTCTAAAAAGTTTTTTAAGTTTTTGGTTGAATGAATTTACGAGTGTGACCTCGTGGACGACCAATACCTGCTGCATGTACATTCTTAACTCGATATGCAAAACTGTATTGCAACTACACCTCGTTGCTGAAACAGGACTTCCAAGTTTCTTTTCACAACTTGACGCCATGGAGAATTTTGGACTCTTTCCAAATGGACTCTTTAGCTCATCTTCCACAATTGTTCACGCTCCTTTCTTTTCAAAAGATATTCGACCACAAACACAGTATCCTCATCTTTCATTGTTTTATTTGCTTGGAATTGCATCACAGGAATTTCACAAAAGACAACAAATTGCCAATTTAACCCTCTCGAATAATTATCAAGTTGCCTCCAAATCCTTTGATCCCGTTCGTTTTTCAGTTTATAGAGTATTGAGCTATTGCATTTTTCTATCAGATATTGTGGCGGATCCTAATACGCCCTTGCAGAACGTTCACGAAATTCACGCATGTCTTCCTATCTATTGGCAACTCTTCTTTTATTTATATTTCGAAAAGCAACTCGCTTCTGCCAATATGGTCAGATTTTTTGGATATCAATTCTTGGACATACCAAACAAGGACAAGATTATTTCACAAATCATTGAAAAGTTGGAAAATCTTAAAACATTTTATGGAAAATCGACCATTTCCAATGCTGCTGCTTCCATTGAGCTTTATCATGCCATGGTGATTTGGTTGAACTCTACGAAAGACTCTTTTCACACTTTGATTAACATGATCATGACACAAAATATAGATATAACAGGCAACATTTTGATACAACCATATTTTCTACCAAGTAAATTGGTGAGCGTCATGAATGAAGATTTATCGAGAGATTACTCGTTCTTGTGGTATGACAATGTTGATAGCTCTGTACTCCATGCCATCCAAATCTCTCAAGTGTCACAATACCTTTCTCTGATTTATCCAAATTTGAGTCCACGTTCTCAAAAATTACTCACAAGAAAGAGCACTCGTTCTCTGATCTTTAACAATAGCAAAGTGGATTTAGCATACCTAAAGAAAAAAGAGAAGGAAACAATGAAACAAATTCCAATTTTACGAACCTTCTATGTGAGTAATATGAGAAAGGGATTTGTGGTGAATCTCGCGGATATAGATCCTGGAATCATTCTAAATTACACAAGCAAATACTCAACTAATAAGGATACTCATACCCATGCAGACTCGGAATTCATCTCTCTAATTCCTCGAATGTATGACAATGTTCGAAAACAAAAGACTTTAGAATTGAGGTGTTATAAGGGAATGTTTTGTAAATGGCCAGGAAAAGTGTTATTCTTTTATGATGAACCTGAAGAGAATAAGGCCATCACACAACGACTTGCTAACAATAGATCTCATGTTTACAAACTCGTTGAATCTGATGACATTGAACCCTACTTTTGCCACTTTCTTCTTCAGTTGGACATTACTTTGAGAAATGTCGAAAGTCAAGCATTAGGAAGTGCCATCTTTTACCATCTCTTACACTATTATCAAGCTATTTGCACCATATTTCCACCTTTTCGAAACAGTTTAGAAAGAATCTTAAAGAACTATGCTGAAAAATACATTCGAAATCAACCTCATGAAATGATGCCTCTCATGCGTGACATCATGATTGATCCATATCGAACGAGTCTACTCTCCTCTTTTTTCAATCCCATGCTCTGTCCTGAACTGTGGTCAACTTATTTGCAACATCTCTACATGGAGAAGCGAAAAATGTTTTCAGGGAACATGATGTTACTCTATTCAAAATTTAAAGTGGATGAATGGTTAAAGAATGATTGCAGTTTAGAAGCTCGACAATCAGTGATTGATCATTGCATTGAAGCTCTTGTCATGTACAGAATGGATATTACGAGTAAGGGAATATTGTCACGTACGGATGAAAAGGAAATTTTCAACTTTTATCTTCATCTCATTCCAAAATGTGTGAACCATCAATTCTCAGAGTTGTACATTTACTCAGTTCGTAAAATTCTGCAATTCACCGCCGATTTACCGAGTGAAATGATTTCTACGTTCAATCAGATGGTTTTTATTGAGGCCTCGAATGATGATATTCTCAGACAGCACATGGACGTGACACGCGAGTATTTATGGAAATCGAGGAAAATTGGTAACCCTGTTTATTCTGTGATACCAACTCCAAATGTGAAAGAACTTGTGCTCATGACTGAACGTATGATTTGTGCATGTCATGCGACGTCTCCTCTTGTCATAGAGAGTCAACAAATATTCGAAATAATTTGTAAGGTTTTTGAACCTTTAATTTTCCCTGTACCAGCAAATTCCATTTCACAATCTACTTCGTCTCTGAGCTCAGGACATTTCATTTCTCCATGGATGGACAAAGATCATGCCATTGCATCCTTTGTGGTGGGAAGTTTTGTGAAATGCATCAAATTTGTGCTTCAATTCAACAAGGACATTTTGAATCATTTGTGGAATTTGTATGCCAAGTTTATATTCCCAAATATGGAAACGAATTGTGTGAATATTTATAATCAAGAGCTGACACAAATCGATTGGTCCATGTGGAGTGTCATCAATTTCGATCAAATTGCTCAACTCAGAGAAGTATTGGATGAGCCTGTGAAAAGATCTCTCAGCGCCAACTCCTCCACACATCGAGTGCTGATCAAAACAATTATTACTTCCATACCATGGATGATCATTGTTGACAGAATTTTAAAATGTGGAATTGGAAAGGATTTGACCAGTCGATTGTATTCAGACATGCTTTGTTTATTTGTTTCTGCACTTCTCAAAATAACTCCATCGCAACAAACAGATGATGCATTTCTCAATCTTGCTGATCACACTCTATCAACGAATATCGAATGGAATAGAATGAATGTCGAACACTTTCATATGGTCTTGAAGCTATACAGCAAGAATTTTATGGATATTAAGGAATATGGTTACAATTCAATATCAAATCAACATCTCGATGTGGCATTTAGATTTTTAGAACATGCATGTCTTTGCAACTTGAGTGACTCGACACTCGTACAGAATCCACACACAACTCAACTACTTGATCATATTATCTATGAATCCACTACAGTTTCACATGATCCAATCCATGATGAGGAAAGTATTGAAAATCCAAATGCTGCAAGTGTCAGTGCCTCTACAAAACTTCTCATTCTCTATTATATTGATTTTGTTATTAGTACTATTGGTTATGTATTGACCACACAAACACAATCAACAAATGCACCTCCAATGATTGAGACATACTTTTTGAGTGATGTCACAAGACCATTTGTTTGGATCATGAATGAGATTGTCTCTCAAAATGATTTCAATGCCATCATTGAGCAGTTGCTTCAATTGTTAACATTTTGTAATCATCCTTATCCTGAGTTTGACAAGGTATTCCAATTCCTCATTTCGAAGGTTTTTGAACATCCTCAGAAACTATCTCTTCCTCTTTTCATTGCAGCTCAGTCCGTAAAGAATTATTCCAAATGCGTTCTTTTGATGGAATTTGCAATTAGAGCTTATTTAGGAACAAAACCATTGTCTCCATGGAATGAAATAATTTCAAACTTGTGGCTTCCTCCCAATGAAACTCTTATTCGTCAATTCTCTTCAGCATGCATTGAAAAAGGGTGTCCATTGACTTTCTTTGTTCATCATTTGAAACGATTAATGGTTGAGAGAGGATCTATGATGATTAATTTCGAAAAGATTGTTGAAGAATTTGTTTTGAATTCGAATATATTTTGTAAGGATCAAATCGATCTCATTCAAGTCATCAATGGAGGCAATTACATTGACGCATGTCATTTGAAATCTGAACTCTATCTCGTTCCTGTTTGGTCTCTCTATATTAATTTATTGATGGAAAATAGACCTTCACATTTGGTTCTTCTTGGTGACAATAGTGTTATGACCATGTATCCTCAATTGCAACAACAACAACAGTATGTGAATGCACAAAGTAAGAATGTCGTGTCCACACTTTGTTATTTGGATTCTTTAATTGATCGAACGGCCTTTATTTCTCCTCCACAACAATTTTATGTTGGATTTGAAGGAATTCTTGCCTTTACAAATTTACTTCTCACCATCAGTGAAGATCGAAGCACAGAGAGTACTCTCTCAAAAGTTGTTTCATTCTTTTCTAAAAAGAATGCTCTTGAATCGTACCATGAAGAGTTCAAAATATTTGCAAGAGCATTGGGAGTTTTCTTGTTATGTCACACTGCAAAGTTTCATCCTGATGATCAGAAAGCAGTGAAAGAATATCAAAAACTTAAAAACGTTCTGGACAAGAAATTAACAAAAACAAATTTGGAAGCAAAGGAGAAGAGATGTCTTGAAATTTTAAATCGATATCTATCGAGTGAAAATTATGGAGAAATGAACTTTTTAATGGGACTACAATCATTAATGTTTGAATTATTGAGTGTCATGTTTGACAACAAGCAAATTAGTGTGTTTCCTTATTTTTGAATAATCCATCTAAATCTCAAGAATCATCTTGACAATGGACGATGATAATGGTCAAAAGTGGACCTTTCAATAATAAAATCTATTCAGTTTTATTGTTATATTTGAGTTGTTGTTAGAAATATAATGTCACAAATTTGACATTTCTTTGTGGAACCTTATTGTTGCTGCACTTCAGTGATACTTTCTATGGCTGGTGGTTGATAATTGTCTTGATCTTGTGCAAGCAATAATTCATCATCCTCGTCCGATTCACTCTCTTCGTCTTGCAACACTTGAATTTCACTTTCGTGTTGGAATACATATTCACCAGTGTTCTTTCTCTCACTCTTGAGTCTCTTCAAACGTCTCTTACCCTTTCGAATGTAAACTCTAGTAAGTGTTTTCATTCGTTCAACAGCTTGTGGATCTCTGAAAACTAAACCAATGAAACACATGACAAGGAAGATGATGGAAATGCAAATTAAAATGACAGGTGAGAGGAAGAAAGCTCTATAAGAGAATCCATAATTATCCAATGCTGATTGAACATTTTGATTACTCTCTTGATATTTTCTAATTTCAACTGTGTACATTAATTCGACTCCCCATCTGACAGGTGACAAGCATACCAAAATCAAAGAATACCATTCCTTAGTCATTAAACGAACTGTTGGTTGAACACCTCCAAGAAGTGCTGACAACAAGATGTAAATTACACCAACAAATTCAGCATGAGTTCTTTGAACAAAAACTGAAATGAAATATCCCAAAGTGCTGAACACAATTTCATACAACAAGAAGAGACCATAATAAGTGTAAAATTCAGCTTCAGGATTCACCAAAATGTACCAAAAGGTGACAAAGACCAATGGATAAATCAACAAGGATGGAATTTCACCTGTCAATTTTCCTAAAAAGTAACTCATCTTGTTAATACCATTCTCTGCTTCACGTCGATACAAATCCTTATCTGCTCCAAAACATTTCAATGAAGATTGCATGGCTGCAATAGCAATGGCAGATACTGTAATAATACTCATTGGAGCAATTCGATCCACTCTTGGAAGTGCACATTGATTACTAATAAAGGTTGGACATAATTTTTGAAGAGTGTCACTCATTGGTCCTTGGAAATCCATATTGAAATAAAAGGCACCAATAATAGTAGCCAAAACGAAATGGAAGAAGAAATCAAAGAAAACTCCCTTGTAGTGACGAGTCAATTGAAGTAATGCACGAAGTGAGAATAACAAATATTGACCTAAAAATCCAATGGGTTTTCGTTGTCTTTCACGAGCAACTTCACTATTGACGAGAACTTGATGAGGATCAATGACTTGAGCACCAATTTCGTCGTCTTCTTCTTCTTGAGGAGTTTGTGAAGAAGCATCGAGAATGTCTTTACCTGCTCTTGATTTGGCCCATTTCTTGAAATTTTCCTCCTTCTTCAAATCCCACAAGTGTAACAATCGTTCAGGTTCAAAATTAGGATCACCAGGTCGTTCGACATTTCCTAAACAAACATCAATAAAGAAATCAGGGGGATTGGCATAATTTGGACATTTGAATCCAATTTCTTCAAAGAATCGAAGAGCATCTTTGGTTGGTCCATTATAAACAACACTTCCAGTCTTTCCCAAAATGATACAATCATCAAAGAGTTGGAAAATGTCATTTCTTGGACGATCCATTGTCACAACAACAGTCATACCAGATTCAGCAGCTGTTTTGAGTGCCTTACAAAGGAATTTCTTTCGTTCGAGTGAAATTTCATCAAATGGATTTTCAATAAAGAGACAAACTGGATCAGAAACCATTTCAACTGCCAAATTGACAAAAACTCTCAAATCCTCATCGAGTCCATGTTTCTTTGTGGAGCCAATCGAATCGTACATAAAGTTTTCAATTCCCAATACTTTACAAGTCTTTTCGACACGTCTTCCAACTTGACTGTAGGTGTAATGAGATGGCAAACGAGCGTGACCTGAAAATCTCAACAATTCATGAACCTTCAATTCCTTAGCCATATTCAATTGTTTTGGAGCCAATGAAATGACATTTCTAAATTCATGTGGATCCTTCAATTGTTCATTGACCAAAATTTTACCATGAACAAAACCAAAATGGTGACGACCAGCGAGAGTGTGAAGCAATGCAAGTGATGCTTCATAATTCACACCAATGATACATGTGGTTCTTCCGTGATAGATACGACCAGTGGCACCTTCAAAAATCACTTCTTCACTCTTCTTTCTCACATATGATAAATCTTCAAAGGAATAATCAATGGTAAAGTTTTTCTTTGAGAAGGGAGGTTCATTCACAATACCTCCAGTATTAGAGTCATACTGATTCAATGGTTCATTGCCTGAAATAAAATTGGCAATATTCAATCCAACCATGGTCAATGCATTTTGTCCTTGAATTTCCTTTTCTTGTTTCATCTTTTTTTGTTTCATTTTCTTCTTCTTGTAGGAAGAGGTGATGCATCGAGCGACAATGAAAACGATCAATACGAGAATGACCACCAAGAACATGAGTAGAATTCCCAAATAGAAACTTTGTTGTTTCACAGAACCTTGTGCACAATAGGCAAACCATTGACAACGTTTTGGATAAGTCGAACCAACAGCACAATAGTAACCAGATGGACACAAGAGCATGGAACTTGTCGTTGGACAATAGTTACCAGCAGTACAAGCCACAGGTTCTTTGGTACCTTCAGGACAATAATAACCATCTTCACACAATACTTTTTGAGTGAGAGATGGACAATAGTAACCAGGAGGACACAAATGTTCACCGTCACCAAAAGTTCCAAGAGGACAATATTGAGTCTTGTTTCCAACTTGTTGTAAACATGGAGTTGGTGTCACAGAATAGGTATTACTACAATAATTGAGAGCAGGACAAGCGTTGACAATGAAGGCACCATTCTTGTCAGAACCTTGAGTACCTAATGGACAGTATTGACCATTTCGACATGCAAAGAGACTACTTCTGGACTCTCGTGTGAAATAACCTGGAGGAACATAGAGTGACATCATTGGATTGACACAAACTTTACCATCAGGACATCTTGTTTCATCAATACTTCCTTCCACTTCACAAGTTTTGCTATAATCAGAAGAAATGGAACATTTGACAGGTGCCACTAATTGTTCACTATTACATTTGAAACCCACTGGACAAATTCTTCGACGTCCGTCCTTAGTGTCAGGACAATAGTAACCCTTTTCACATGCATAGACAATCGTTGGACGAATGACGTGATTTCCAGGAGAGATTGAAACGACAGGAGCATTGGTAGTAATGGAGTTGGTGATCATATCTCCAGAGTCACCAAATCTTGGACAATTGAATCCACCATTACACATCGAGTAGTATCCAATAAAATCAAACGCATTGTACTTGGTTGGATACTTTTTACAAATTTCTGTGAAAGAGCTCAATGCAGAAGGAGGATTAGCAGAGTTCAATAATTTGCAAATGTCATCCAATCGAGTTCTTCCATCAATATCAAAGGCCTTTCTTCCCAAAACTGCAAAAACATGTTGAGCATTGCTTGAGACAGAAATGTCATTCACTTTTGCGTCGCTATACAACACCGATGCAAGTGTATTCACAAATGGAACAGTAAAACCATTTGTACTGGTCGAATCTTGACATGCCTTCTCTTGGAAGAGATAAACTTCAATACTTTCTCTCATGGCCACAAAAAGAACATGATAAAAAGAATTGGCAGCATTTGGAGGTGAAGTTTTCACATCAGAAGAAGTTCGATACATTCCAACAGTAATTCGAGATGGAAGGGCAGTGGTTCCACTCAATGCTTTCATGACTGTTCTTGGTCTTTTCGTGCAAGATGAAGAACTGCTACCACTAGGTCTGTATTGTGGTTCATTGGAACCATCCCAAACAGTTGGACAAGCAGTGCTGGAACTAATTCCCAATGCATCGACATCAGTGGTTGTGGCAACATCAATAGAGGCAGCTTCTGGAAGCAAGATGGAAACCAAACCACCATTTGGAGTTCCACTTGAAGAAGCAAATGCGACCACCATCCAAATCATTTGTGACTTTTTCGCCCTGTCACCATAACATTCAGAAAAACCAGCCACACTATAAATATTTTCACCGGTGACACTGTGAGTGTAGACAAGAGTTTTCTTGGAAGTGAGATCAAGTTCGTCAGCTAAATCTCGATCGTAGAGTTGAATCAAATTGATCTGAGAAGGAGAGGCAATGAAAAGCAATGCTCTACTTGTAGCAATTGGATGACAATCTGCATTGTCGGAATAAGTAGCGTCAAAAGTTCCATGTGTGAAACCAAAAATTTTCTTTTCAAGAGTCTTTTCACTAAAGGTCCATTTTCGAATGGTTAATTTACCAGCTTTGAAGATTAAAAGTCCACTTGTGGAAGGTTTCGAATCGGTGGCAGAGATTGGACCATACGACATGACCATCATGGTACTCGTGGCAGCATCTTTATAGGAAATGGCTTGAAAATCTTGAACCACCTCCGAATTACCCATTAAATTTGAAGATCTCAAATCCATTGATTTTTGATTATCTGTGAGAGACAAGACGCCATTCGCAATTGTCAATGTATAACTATTCAATTTCTGATCTGCTGTGACCACATAAATCAAAGCGTCATTGTTTGAATTTTTTGCGACGGCCATCAAAGTGGGTCTTTCGATCATCTTTTGAATGGCAGTGTTACGAATGACAGCACTTCCAACTACCTTTTCAGTATCCATTGAAATGGCAAAGACATATTGATTGGTCAAGACGATCAATACTTCACTCAAAGTCGTTGTTCCCATTTCCACAGGTTTCACACCAGTCACGTGATAACAACGAGTGTTCTCTGGTGAAGTGGCAGATTCATCCACGATTTGAGAAACAGAACCATTGTTAGGATTGAATACTTCTCTCAACAATTTCATATTATTATCTCCAGAAACATCTTTCATACAAATGTAATTGTCATTGGTCATGGTAATTAAAAATTGTTGATTGGAACCAATGAGTTTGGAGAGACATTTGGATCGATCATCGGCACAATTGAAAATATCATTATCTCGGAAGGTAATGGGTTGAGAGGATTTGAAATTTTGTTGTGAACACCATGAAACTGTATTGAGAGAAGTTGTCGACGACGACGATGAGGATGAGGATGTTGAACACAAGGAAAAGGATTCGGCCGTTTGTTGGGCTAAAAGTTTTTGACACCAAGAAGGAGGTGGTGGTTGTTGTTGTTGATAGGTTGCATCAGAAAGGAAGAAGAGATTCAACAATAATAATAATAATATTAGAGGAGGAACTACAGTGAGGATGCGATTCCAACCAAACTTTTGAGAACGTTTGTTCATTCTCATGAGTCGCGAAAAGTGTCTCAATGAGATGAGGTGTTTTGTTTGTCTCTCAATTCTCTATGAAAGAAGAAGAAGAAGAATTGAATGGATCGTTGTGATGGTGGTCTCTCTTTTGGTCTTCTAAAAGAATTCTCTGAGAAGGAGCTGATCAGACGAGACTCGACGACGAATGACACAACAAGAAATTGTTGGCGATCAGTGATGATGTTTGAGCAAACGCGCTGTTCTCGCGAAAGAGTGTTTGACAAGGAGTGGTGCTGATTGGTGGGTGTGTCAGCAAACAACACTAAAAGCGCACAGCAAGTATTTTTTTGAGTGGTTGAGAGAGAAGTGTTGACAGCAGACGTCGATCAAATGTCACCACTGTTTTGTATTGTGAAATTTGCTACAATTAAAGAGAATTTCCATGGTTGCTGCATAATTCAACAGGTATCGAGTTTGAAGTCAAGAAGGATTCCCCTCCTTCGAATATTCAACACTAACCACATTCAATTCTAGAATCCATCCAACCCTATCCATCCAAACAAAGCCAAATCTTCTCAGAATGCATGACAATTCAAAATTGCACTAAAAAATGTTCAAACATTCATCTCTGTCATCGAATGACCTTCAAGAGGAGAATGTTCACATCAACAACAACACATTGGAGACATCTTCTTCTTGCGATTGTAGTAGCGATGGCAGCAGCGATGATAGTAGCGATGGCAGCAATCGTGGCGAAAATGATAAAACTGTTCATCATGAACCACATGAATCATCATCATCCACTACTGAACGACATGAAAGTCTTCTTGTCCGAAGGGTTTTGAAATTATTAAATTTAACTCCAGAACGATTTCCGAGTGAAAGGCTTGCATGGATGGAATTGAAAAGTGTATTTGATATGAATGCGGAACCTTTTGTTATGTTGAAAGGAGTAACATTTGAACAAGAAGTTTCTCATGATGATGAGAAGAAAGAAATCATTCCTTCCAATAATAATAATAATAATAATAACAACGATCATCATCATAATAATCATGATCACAGCAATTCTATGAATCATCATGAAGTAAATCATGCCGCATCACTAAATAATCATGATGATGGAAATACTTTGAACGAGGATCCATTCATGATTATTTCAAAACAACATTCGGAATATTTACAACAAATTGGAAGGACATTGAGTTATATTTTGAGTCGTGTGTTTAAGGAAAAGAAGTGTTATCATCGAAGAGATTTACCAACCATATGGATTGAAGCTAGGAAATTGTTTTTTGATTATTGCCATGAAATTGATCCATCTTTAAGTGAGGCTTTCAATGTGCCATCAGGAATGAATCACAAATCGGGAAATTCAGAATTTTTGGAAGGAGATCTGCCTTGTCATTATGATTTGAAATCATCATCACAATCGCTACTAAATTATTTGAGAGTCATCCATTTGGAAAATTGCTGGAAATTATATTGTGAAGAATTGTGGTGTCGACTCTATCAATTTACTGACTATTCAAAATTTAGTGAAGTACCTTCTCCAGTACAAGTTGTTAATCAAGAAGCTTCTAAAACACAGAATGTCAATTTGTTGGAGGAAATTATGCAATTCATTGAAAATGATTCGAGTGAGACGAACAAGAGTGTTGAAAAGATGAGTAAAAAAGAGATGAAGCGACTGAGAAACAAAATGCTTAAAGATGCTAAAAAACAAAACAAAGCAAGCTCCAGCGACAATCAGGAAATTTCTGAAGAAAAAGCTCTTATTTCACAACAAGATTGGCTATCAAAAAAGAATGGTTTCTTCATGTCAAAGCAATGTCTCGATAACGTGAGGTATTTCGTGTGGGGATATCATCACACTTTCGAAAGTGACTGGTACATGAAGGATATACTTGATTTACACTTTTCACAAGGGACTAATCCATTCTCAAGATATAACAATATTGTTCTTCTTGACTTGGACAATGTGGGACAATCCATCTTCTTGCTGAAGGAGAGAAATTTTGATTATGGAAAAGATTGTCTCATGATTGGAGTTGCAGGTCCAAAATACTCCACATCGCTACGAGTCTCTGAAGAAGTTCTTCGTGAGAGAGAGTCAAGTCTGCATTTTGTAAAAATTAGAATGCTCGAAGAGAATGGATGCATTGGAATGAATGCTTTTGAAAAGTACTTGTACGATTTCTATGATAGAGGATATTTCAAAAAGTATAAGGATGCAGCGGATTATTTACTTGGTTGTTTAGCTGGAGCATTGCATCGTGTGACCGATATACGGACAAGAATCTTTATTGTTAGCAAAGACGATGGATTGAGGCACATTCAAAAAAGTTTAATTATCAGAGGTAGACACTCGTATTTAGTCACCTCTCAAGAATCTCTAATGTACACTCTTGATAATTATTTATTCTCCAACGATGCCCAATGGGATCGATTGGATCGAGAGATTGAACCAACCTTGACGAAATTTCATTCACTCTCTCTCGATGATCTTTCCTCAGCCATTTCAGAACAAACCTCGAGTCACATTATCAAGAATGAATCTATTAATATTGACGAATTGAGTGACTCCAAAGTGAGTGAAGAAGAGAAAATGCGAGTCTATTGCAGCATCACTGGAGTTTCATTTGATCGTGAAGTTCACGAAAAGATTTTGGGAGATTATATTTTGGAATATTATGAAAAAGAAAGTGAACACAAGATGATTCGTATTGATTCTATTCGAATTAAGGGAAGAAGGTAAGTTGTCGGCAATCATGTAAATTTATTTTTATTGTGTACAACAACAACAATCATGAAAACTCTGTCAACTCCTAAGATTTTCATTTCAAGGATGGCAAGGAATTGGCAAAGTTTTATTCCTTCCTCACATAGATATTACCAGGATGACAGAAATTGATGTCAGAGGTTGTAGAATTGAAGACGATGGAGCCATTCAACTTTTTGAGGCAGTCAAGAAATGTCACTGTTTAACACTCATCGATGTTGGTGCATGTTTTTTAACAGACAAGTGTGCTCACGCTATTGCTAGTTATTTAACAAGTGAAAATTGCTCTCTACAAACTTTGGATCTTCGATGGAACTCTATTGGGGCGAAAGGAGCAAAAACAATCATGGATTCTCTTGAATTTAACACCTCACTCACTAGCATTTCATTTCGATTGAATCCCATTCAACATGTTGGTGCCAAGTATGTTTTACGAAAAGCATTCGAATATTCTGCAGGTGAGAGATTTGGTATCGCTGTGGATGTCCGACAGACCTGCAAGAATGATGACTTGGGATTTATTTTCCATGACATGTTTGAAAATGTTGTCATTGACACCCAGAGTGGAAGAAGAGGACCTTTCGCTGTACCTATTGCTTTGGACCTGTGTGGAGATGAGATTTATCCAAATGGTAGCATTCATTTGGCAAACTTTTTGAACAAGATCTCTCTCCATCGATTGCAACTTCATTTTGAAATTACACAACTCATTCTCGATTACAATAATTTGGGCGATCATGGCACTGAAATATTATCAAAGGTATGTGTTAAGGAGTCGTAGTGTGAAATTACTCATGGAACAATCCCAACAAACATTTTTAAATGTTTTTTCTTTCAATATTGAAATCATCATTCTTCACAGGGTCTTATGAATTCCCAGTCAATTCTCGTATTGACTCTAGGACGAAATTACATCAATGAGAAGGGAGCGATTTGCATTGCTGAATTCCTAAAAGCCAATCAGTCACTCACATACTTGGATTTACAAAAGAACAAAATTGGAGAATTAGGAGGATTTGCCATCGCCAATGCACTTCGACAAAATCAAGTGTTAACACATCTCAATTTGAAAAGTAATTACATTGGTGATTTAGGAGCGATTGCATTCGCAAACATGTTCTCTCCATTCAATTACATTTATAAGAGTGACATTAGCAGTACCTCATCAACAGAATCATCATCATCACCCTCACGTGATCAGAAACAAGCTTACAACTCGACTCTCATCCAATTGGATTTGACAAATAACAGAATGACCAACACGAGTGCCAAATATTTGACTGAATCTCTGAAAATGAACTCGTCTCTCGGTCGAGTGAATTTAGGCAATAATCCAGACATGCTCTCAGATTCCATCATTAATCTCGTGAAAGGATTTTATTCGCAACCCACAAGTGAATATCAAGATTTAAATTGTGGATCGTGGTGGCTTGAACTTGCTGATTGTTCTCTCAAGGATAAGGCCATGCAATGTTTGGAGAGATTTCTAAAAAAACCACTTTCACATTTATTTATTAGTGGAAATGTTATGGGAGATGTTGACTATTCACAAGACGTTCGTTCAATACTTGAGCAATTTTATCCGTACAGTGACATTTTTGCAAACAATAATTCCATCATTTTCATGAATAGCATGTTTCACAATTTGGCAGAGTCATTGGTTTGTGTGGATTTGAGGTCGTCTTCAATTGGAGACGATGAATTACCACTGTTGTTTAATGATCAGTCGATTCTACTCGATCGACTGCACCCTCATAGAAGAGCTTCAAATATTTACTACTTGAATCTCGCCGGAAATAACATTACAGCAAAGGGAGGAGTATTTCTGAAACGAATGCTTCAATACAATACATCAATTACGTGCCTAATTTTGAATTACAACTCACTCGGGGATGCTGGATTGAAAGACATAATGGAAGGAATTGCTGACCACAACAATACACTGACAAGTCTCTCCGTTCGGAAGAATGACATTACTGATGCTGGAGCCTTACTGATTTCAGAGTTCATGAAAACGAAGAAGGAAAAGGCCGTACTTGGCTCATTCGATTTGGATAGCAATCTCATCACCGATGTTGGAGCTGAGTATTTGAGTGCTGGCATTTCTGACCCAGATTATTCAGCTCTTTACTTTTTCAGTGTGGAACGAAATGCACTGACAGGACTTGGCAACAAGATTCTTCTACAAAGTGCTTCTCGAAAACTGACCTCGGACACAAATTCAGGTATTATCCAAACGATTCACTTGAGTCTGTAGGTTCAATTAAAAGTTGGTGCATTCTCAATGTAGTGCTCATTTCTCACTTGTTTCTTTCACTGCTGAACGCGTTCTTCGTGTTTAGGAATTATTTCGTCATCATTCGGTCCATTCGGTCAGGAAAGGTCTACAATACAATCATTCCAAAAATGTTTTTATTATGACTTTTTAAACTCTTCCAATAGTAATTGCCGTGATGATGCAAGATATCACTAGCACAGTAATAATTTACTGTTGTTGTTGTTATATTATACATAAATTAAATGGAGAATGTGGTTGTATGGAAAGTAGAATAATAAAAATTTGTGATGATCATAATCATGATGATAGAACAATGATGAAAAAGTAATAATTAAATCAATTGATGGTTATAGACACAAGTGATTATCCAATTAATTGCATGTTGAAATGATTTAAAAATTAGAATAGGGTTGATAGAGTCATCACCATCATGATGAAAAATTATAAACAAAATATTACTTACAGGCCAAATACCCAATTCATTGTAGGAGAGAGTAATCTTGTCAATGGCACTGACGTAGGCAGCAGTACGGAGATTGACATTCTTCTCACGAGAAATCTTGATAATTGTTTGCCAAGCTTCATGGACAGTTCCTTCCAAACCAGAGTAAACAAAATCTCTCTCTGATGAACCGTGAGTGAGTGCTTGATATTCGGACTCCTTCAATTCACGTCCAGTCAACAATTGCAAATGACGAACCATGTCCTTCTTACCCTTCTCTTCAGCCTTCTTTGTCAAACGACCGAATTGAACGTGACCCAAGTTCTTCAACCATTCAAAGTATGAAACAGTAACACCACCAGCGTTACAGAACAAGTCTGGAATGATGATAACACCTTGCTTTTCCAAAATTTCGGAAGCACCTGGAGTAGTTGGACCGTTGGCACCTTCAGCAATAATCTTGGCTTGAATCTTGTGAGCATTCTTCAATGAAATTTGACCTTCCAAAGCAGCAGGAATCAAAATATCACAATCACATTCCAAGATTTGTGTAGCATTTTCAATGACAGTCTTGCAACGAGGATAACCCAAGATAGTCTTCTTAGCTTGGACATAGGTCTTGACATCAGTCACATCCAAACCATTAGGATCATAGACAGCTCCATCTCTTTCACCAATACCAACAATGATAGCACCATTCTCTTCAAAGAACTTGGCAGCGTGATAACCAACGTTACCCAAACCTTGAACAACCACTCTCTTTCCTTCAATACCAGTCTTCAAACCAACACTCTTCATCAAATCAGCATCGGAGCAAGCCTCACGAACCGAGTAGAAGACACCCAAACCAGTAGCTTCAGCTCTACCTCTGATACCATTTTGTGAAACAGGCTTACCAGTAACAACACCAAAAGCATTGATATCATTTGGATGGAAAGTTTGATAAGTGTGAGCAATCCAGGACATTTCTCTTGGACCAGTACCATAGTCTGGAGCAGGAACGTCAATAGCAGGACCAATCACTCCACGTTGAATCAATTCAGCAGCAAAACGACGAGTAACTCTCTCAATTTCTTCAACAGTATGGGCAGAAGGATCAATACAAATACCTCCCTTTGCACCACCGAATGGAACATCAACGCAAGCACACTTGAAAGTCATCAAGGAAGCCAAAGCCATCACTTCGTTTCTGTTGACCATCTTGTCGTAACGGATACCACCCTTGGTTGGGAGTCTGTGGTGAGAGTGTTGAGCTCTGTATGCACGGATGGTTTCCACGACCTTTTTACCGTTCTTGTCAATTCTCTCGTGAGGGATGATGAATTCATAAACGCTATCAACCTCCTTGATGAATTGCAAAAGACCAGGTTCATGGAGAGTTGAGTTAGCAGCCTTATCAAAGTACAACTCTACTTGTTCCAAGAATTTTGGTTCATTGGTTTCTTCACTGGCAGATGAACGGAAAGCACTTGTAGAGAAACATCTCTTGGCGACGGAGGCTGATGATGATCTGTTATGGAGCAACAGCTTGGAAGCAGCGTTCTTGAGCATTTTATGATGAGAGAGAGGATCTAGTTGGTAATTTTTTTCAAAAAAATCGTTCTTAAAATTTTTTTGATTTTTCAAACGATGAAACCCGTTTTGGCGATTAAAAGGAGGACGTCATCGGATGCAATTCGATGAAGGAGAGATAGAGAGAAGAGTATCTGGGATCAAAGATGATGACACAATGCTGAGACCTGTTGCATGAATTACTCTGAAATTTAATATCAGTGATTGCTTTAACAGCTAAGCGTGTTCATATGAAGAAACGAGTTGTGGCGAACAGGTTCTTTTTTGGGCCTGAAGACCTCATAGGAAATGAACATTCGTTGGCGTTGTAAACTTTAGCGCAGATTCGTTTGGCGGGCAATTTGAAGGATCACGTAAATTCAATCAATTTGATGCAGGGTTTGTGGACATGTGGTCAGTATTCTAGAGTAGAGGAGGAACATAGCCAAGACCTGGTGGTTGGACTTTGTCTAAGCAATGATGGTTATGACCTCATTTCCTGTGCTCGAGAATTGGCTGGGTCAAGTTTGGTCAACTGTTCACCCTTGCTCGTATAAAATTTCTTAAAAGCGCTCAAAAATACTTTTGCTCGATCTAAGGGACATGTTAGATAATTCTGAAACGAAAAAACACATGCACCCTAAATATGAACATAAAAGGTCAGAACTCAAGGCTCTTCACTATTTCATTCTTCACACTCAAATGTTAGTCATTTCTTTTCCTGGTTGTTTCTATTCGCGAAACTTGTAGTAGTCTTGACACAATATTGACACGAGTTGCAAAAAAATTCGTTTTCACTGAAACGACGTCGAGTAAAAAAAACCTCCAGACAGCACTCTATACGCAAACCAACAAAAAAAATTGACAAACAACAACAACAAAACTTTCACCACCACATTTCTTCTTCACTCACTCTTTCTGCCCGACAATTCTTTTTCTAACATTTGCCACAATGTCTTCAAAAATAACTTTATCATTGCCAACAAGTAAATCCACATCACTATCACCATCATCATCACCATCGTTAACAACAACAACCCATCAAGAAGGCTCATCTTTCAAGAATAATAATTTATCATTATTGGGAAGGATACGACAATTGCGAAAATCGGAACAGAAAAGAAAGACTGTTGGAGAAGCGAATACTACCATCACGATCATCATCTCCTCTTCCTCCACCACTCGAACCACCACTATGGAAAGATCTTTCTCAACAACAAGCCTTCATTCATCTTCCTATCATCCTCAAGCCTTATCATCATCTTTCAACAATTCTATGAAAGAAGAGAAGGATCAACATGTCGTTTATCAAGGAATTAAAAAATCAAAGAGAAAAGCATTCACTCCGAAAAGAGATGCTGTCAAGATGCTGTCATCCTTCTCGTCACATCAGCACAAACGTCCCTTATTGAATTCAAAACCAATGATGGAAAAATTGACACAATTTGAAATGCCAAGATTGGACTATGTCACAAGAGAGTCCCTATCTTCCTCATCGATTGAACAAGATCAAACAAATTCGCTTGCACAAGAGTCACGAGAACATACAACGCATGGATATGTTTCCACAAATCCCATCATGGAATCATCCTTAACAACAACGTCAAAAATTAGTGAACTTCTTCAACCAACTCTGAATGATGAGGAATTGGAAAAAATGTTAGAAGAAGCAAATCGAATTGAAGATCCTTCTACTCGTCATTCACATCCTGAAAGGAATGAAAAAGAAAAGAAACATAACGACCCCTTTGTTGACACTCAACAATATTCTGAATATGAAGATTTGGAGAAAGAAATAAGTGAGACAGCTCACAGTGAGCATGAAGGTTATATTATTCTATCTGATGACGATGAAGATCATGAACAGGAAGATTTGGAGAAAGAAATGAACAAAATAATTGACAGTGAAGTATCTGACGATGATTTCATTTGCATGTCAAATTTTCCAAAAACACCTGTCACTCAGAAATTCAAGACAACTAACGTCACCATTCATGAAAACAAAAAGTCAGTACTTGTAAAAAGAGAAGGTCACTCTGACATGACATTATGGATTCCATTGGATCTCTCTTTTCAAAAAATCAAACAGCATATTTGTGAAACCCTACGAAAACAACCAAACGAATATATATTATCCATCTTTGACGATGACCAATTTGAACAACGACGATTTATAACTGTGGAAGATTTGTGTGAATGGTTTCAAATTGACAAGAAGGATGATTCACAAAAATTAGAATTCACTTTACGTCCAAAAAGATCACACTGATGTGATAGATTGGAAATTTAATAATTTGTAACAACAGTTTTACAACCTCGACTAATTGCTCAAAATAAACTCTACAAATTTTCAATAATGTCCATCACATCTCTTACATCAGTCCACATACCTATCACTTGATTTTGCAAGAATCAATTACCGAACCATTCATTGCTTTATTGACATTCATTTTGGGATGAAAACAACAACTCAGCGCGCTTGAACATGCACTAACTCTTTGTGAGTCATTTTCACCATTTCTGACCTCAATAATTGATCCATTTTTGGCGCGAAAGAAAAATGGTCCTTCTTGAATTGTGGGATTTCATATGTCCGACTATTCCACACATTTCATATGCATGCACCACAAACAACAACAACAACAACTCAATACCATGTTTAATATCATCATCAACAACCACAACCACAACAACAACACGAGAAGACTCTTCACTTTTTCATCTCATGACATTACTTTTTCAAAAATTACGAACACCTTGTCTGAAAAGTTTCTCCTATGCACGTTATGATCAATCTCGGAAATATAAGAGCCATCCAGCGTTTATTTTGGAGCGACCAAATGTGATTAGTAAATTTGTAAATCTTTATGATGTGAAAATATCACATCAATGTCAACTATTGTTCGTGTGTGATGCTGGGGGAGCTAAAGTTTATATATTTCACATCAAGACAAAGAATTTGATCAACAGTTTGAGCTGGTTTAAATCTGAGAATGATTATCCTCATCGGCTATGTGTGGAAGAAGATGCATCGACAATGACTGGCACTTGCCATTTGTTCATTTCCACTTCCAGAGGTAAATTGTTAAAATGTCGAGTTTCAAAAGAAGGAAAGTTTGACAAGAAGAATTGTGTGATTTGGGAGAAGCATGACTTTTTTGAAGGCTTTGCTAAGAGAGCTGAGATGACCATCTTGTACTCGAAACGAGATGGAAATCGTATTTTGTGTTGTGTCGAAAAAAAAATTATCATGTTGAATTCCCAAGATGGAAGTGTGATTACTACTTTTGAGACTTTGAATTTGATCACCGATGTTAATAAGCATTTCGTTTATGTCAGAGACGCATCCACTATCCAAATTATTGATCCATGCTCAATGGCCAAACCTCAATTGGTTGTGGGAATACGTAACTCTTATATATGTATTTATATCTATATTCTCGAAATGCAATTCAATGAGGAGCAACAAGAATGGAAACTAGTTGAAAAGAAACGTTTTACCAAACCCGGTTGTTCAGAAGTTAACGTGATTCTTGATCGAGGACATGGCTTGATGATGTTGTGCCGCAGAGGAGTTGACACTCAAGTGATTTCACTTCACACAGGACAAGAAGTACAAACTTTGAATTTCTCTGCAAAAAATGGTTGTTTGGATGAGGTGAATGGTGTTGGTTATTTCATTGTTGGAAAGAAAGTCTTCGTGTTTGAATGAATACTCAACACACGAATAAAAAGTTTAAATCGTTCGAATTCGAACTTTAATAGAAAGGTTCATTCGGGTGTGACATGCTGTTGTTGCTTCTACTAAGTTGTTGTAGGATCAATTTGTATGTTCATTTCTATCTTTTTCAAACATCTCATCGATAAATCTTAAAGTTAGGGCTATTATTCTTGACTGGAGAGCTTGTAATATTAGAATCCACTGTAATGATTGGAATTGTAAAACTCGAAGTACTACTATATTCACGATTGTACATTGCTGCCTTCAGCATTTCTTGTCTCTTTTTGAGGGATCTTTTGAATTGGATTTGAATGTGATGATATTGAAGAGTCTCAGTAGCGAGATCGAGAGCAACCTTATCATCGTCGTCTTTAATTGTAACGTCAGCTCCAAACTCAATGAGAATTCTTACACATTCTGGATAGCCTCGAAGTGAAGCCTGTTTTCATGTTATGGAAATCAACACAATGTGTGATGGCAATATTTAAACATTTCAATTCCAATTACATAAGGGATGCATTTTCACAGATCGAGTAAATTATTCAAATAGATTATCAATCACATTCATATGTGTCACATAATGTGTAACAAGGTCAAATAATAAAACTAGAAATATCTCAATACACTTACATAATGTAGTGCCGTTTTACCAGTACTATCTCTTAAATTAATATTTGCTCCATATTGCAAAAGAACTTGCAAAACTGAGGCTTGTCCTTTTGAAGTCGCAAAATGTAAACTCGACCAATGATGTGACAACTCGCATTGCTCATTCACAAATCTTTCCTGTTCTGATGGTGTTAAATTTGTATTTGCCAAAATATAGAAAACTGTTTCATCATGCCCAGTTTCAGCAGCAACCATTAAGCCATTCATTCCTGTGACAAGATCTTTCTCAAACATATTCGCTCCATATTTCAATAAAAGTGAAACAATATCTGTCAATCCTAATGAGCATGCCAATATCATGGGCGAGCTCATTGGACCCACGGTCAAGGATGCAGAATTTTGGCCATTATGAAGCATGGGAGAGGCACTAACACTCGAGTTTTCGCTAGCACTCGATCCATTGCTCAATGTTCTGGCATGCGACAGTCTTGGTAGATGCAAATTGTGTAAAATCCCAAGTTGGTGATGATGAGAGGAGTGAGAAGAATTAGTATTTTCATTGTGTGGTGTGTTATGAGAGAGAAGGGGAGATTGAGTTTGGAGAGCTCCTTGTTGCAGCAATAATTCACACACTTGGAATTGATTTTTCTGAATGGCCAAATGGAGAGGAGTCCAGCTCGAGGAAGGAAGAGTTGCGTTCATTGAAGCTCCATTATTGAGAAGAAGAAAGCACATTTCTGTATTGCCATTCTCAGCAGCTGCATGTAGACATGTTTTTCCAGCTCTGGTAGGTTCATTAGGATTTGCATTCAATTCGAGTAAAAGTCTAGCCACTGGTAAGTGATTGTTCTCGACCGCTCTATCATGATATTCAATAATTACAATTTTTTAACAAATCATGAATCATAATCAAGGCAGATCAAGGTGATGGAAAGCATGAAAAAACGCCACTTACCTATAAAGCGCTGTACATCCAAATTCATCTTTTTCATTAATGGAAATGGTCGTTACTTCGACGACTAGATTTTGAACAGTTTCAATATCTCTGTGTTATTGACCATGTATGATATCAATCGTGTGCACAAGTATGAATGAAAAGGATGATGAATTTGGATGTAGCATAGTGAGAGAGAGAATATTGAATAAATCATCGGAAATTTGATAACGATATCGTATGAAAGGAAATTGATTTCATCAAATGTTGATGATCAGTGTTCCATGCTTTGTTCAAATCATCAACCACAACAAATCAACATACCCGTTAGATGCTGCTTTTGAAAGCTTGTTTGCTTCAAAGGAAAAGTTCTTGGGCTCTGAATAATCCAATAATCGTTCCTGTTGATAACATAATTATTATTATTCCGAGATCAATTTTTGAATGACGAGATGGTCAAAGATGAATACAATGATGATTATGTTCATCATCATCATCATCATGAGGTGAATAGGTCGGAAAATTCTAAAAACATGATACTAACTTTTGATGGAAAGATGTAAATTTTCAAACATTGAACGCACTGTCCCATGTTGTTCTTGGTGAACTGTCTAGTTAGTGTTAGTGGAATGATGTATGATTAAATGTAGAGATCTCAAGAGTGATCTCTACGAAAAGATAACGTGTTGCCGTTGTAACGATAACACTAATCAAAAATTAAAAACTGAAACGAGTATTACTATTCGGAGGTTTTGTTTGTTGGTGGTGATCTGTGTCCTGTGTATAATATATTAATTAGCTGTGTTGTGTTCACTTGGTGATGATGGATGTAATGGTGGTAGGTTCATTCGGATGATTCTCACCGTGTGTGTTGTTGTTCGTGTGAGATCGAAACGAGGATACAGACAGAACAAATTTTTTAATTCGAACCTTGACACAAACCAATTAAGGTTGTTCCTTTGGTGGAGGAAATGATACCAAGCTGAGTCCTGCGCGAGCAAACTTTCAATCTCTAATCCAAATAAATTCCATGACCAGTCTCTTTTTTTAAATTGACATTGCTTTCCCACCTTGTGGACACAAGACCGCAGGTACTTCATCAATTTGAAGGAGAGTCCACTTGCCAAGCTTCCTCATCGTCATTCTCATCGTATTGATCCTCATTGTCCTCAGACGGCTCTTCGTGATGGGGAAGGAGACCGAGTTGCCGAATATTTAAGCGTTTGGCCCAACCTGCGCCGAGTGACTCTTCCAGTTTGGCTACTTCTTGTTTTTCCTGTTGGGAAAGTGTTCTCTCATCAACCGTGTAATCTTTTAAGGTTCCCCAAGAGTCACCAACTTGACACTTTACACCGAGTGGCACTCTCAGCTTGCAAGTGGATTCCATAATACTCTTCACACACCACGTGAATATTTTCACACTTTCCTCTTTAACCTCAAAGAGTAACTCGTCATGGATTTGAACAAGCATGTATGATCTCATTTCCTTTCGATTGAAATGTCTCATAAAGTTATAAATGCCAAGCATGACAATTTTCATAATGTCGGAAGCGGAGCCTTGGCTAACAGTATTGAGAGCAGCTCTTCTTGCCGCAGCCCTACAGGAAGAATCTGTGGAGGCAATATCGTGCATAAATCTCTTTCGATGAAAGAGAGTGGTGATCCAATGTTTTTCAACGAGAGTAGCTTCGACCTTATCTTTAAACAATTTGAGATGGTGATACTTTTCAAAAAATTGTTGCTTGTATCTTTCTGCTGCCTCTATTTTGTCTTCACCTGGTCTCAACAATTGATCTTCATTTTCGCTGTTAAACATTTTTTCAGAGAGAGTGGCAGCTCCCATACAGTAGGAAATTCCATAGATGATTTGTTTCACCAAGCTTCGATAGGTCTGAGGAATTACCTCCCCTTCAGGGATGTTCCAAAAATTTCGTGCAATCTCTTCGAAAATATCTCTCGATTCGTTTTTCAATATTTCAGTCAAAGCTGGATCTTTCGAAAAATGAGCAAGAATTCGCAATTCAATATTTTTGTAGTCCACTGAGAGCATGACAAAGCCCTTTCTTGGTATAAATCCACTTCGAATGCTAATCACAACATGCTCCTTATCATCTCCGTTAACTCCATAGTGTGGGTTCTTAATGGTAATGTCTTTTGGAATATTTTGAAGATTCGGATTTTTCACACTCAATCTTCCCGTCGCAGAAGTTGTTTGCATTTGAGTTGCAAATATTCGATATTCTGATCTATTGACACAATATTTGATATCATTGGGAATGTTTTGAATGTGATGTGTCTTGATATTCAGTAAGTATCGATACTCACTAATGAGTGACATAATATGGGCCTTATCAGGATACAGTTTTTTCAACTTTTCCAAAATTTCCTTGTTCGTTTTTCTTTCAGTTCCTCGCATCCTTAGCTTGTCAAAGAGAAGAAACGCAACATCATCATTGTTGCAAGTTTTTATGGTTCTTCCATCGAGAGCCGGTAGACTATTAAGCTGACTGTTAATCTCCTGTAGTCTTGCTTCAATGATTGAATTATTTCGTTTAATCCAGTCATAATCGAAACGAATTCCATTCTTCTCCATTGTGCTGAGTACTTTTACAAAGCTCATCTCAAAATCAAACATGCCAGATAAGTTATAGTTGTGGATACGAACTGCCAATAGAGAAATAATGGGCCAGCATTGAGCAGCAGTCTTGACAATGAAATGATCGTTGTTGCTTGGTGAAAATAAAAATTGTTTGGACGGGAAACACTTGACATAAATTTCTTCTAAAGAATTCTCATTCTCAGAATCGTCAGGATATTGAATCCATTCTGCAATCATAACGTCCAAAATAGGATCTCTAATTATAAAGTTCCAGCATTGTAGTATCTTTGTTTGTTGCTTCTTGAGGGAGTATGTAATTTTTTTACGAGTGCCATCCGAGAATATTTTCTTAATGAAGTCCTTTCTCTTTTCGCTTTTAGTGACATGGATAAAGTAAGATTTGGATGGAGTATTTGGGTTGATTGTCTCACAGCTATTGTTCATCAAAATAGTTTCGTGCTCTGTGTTGAAACATATGGCCAACGCTTTGACAAAATATTGATCCCTATTCTTGATAAATGATGTTGGATTATCTTTTTTCTTTTGAAGACCAAACTCGAAACAAAACGAAAATGCACAACAGTTCTTCCAATCATTTTCCAACTCCTCCATGTTGTTATCGTCATCTGCCTTAATTTCGATAATGGTGTCTTGTTTTTTCTTTTTCGGCGCATTTTTTGACCTAGACTTTTTCTTTCGTTTTCCAATATATTGATCCGGATCCTCCTCACGTCCATCAATCCAATCTCGCGGTAGAATGTTTTGTTTGACAATCTCTTTTGCTCCCTCTACAATATCGAATGCCCGAGATTGCTCTCCATTGTTGCAATTTTTCGAAATGATTCTCTCAATAATGTAGGGGTCTTCTTCTGCAACCTGACGGATACACTTGTAACCTTCTTTAAATAATAGTCTTGCTGTAGAGGAGCCGATGAAAGGAAGTTGCACAAGTGGTACCAGGTCTTGAGGAACTCCACATAACAACATTTCCTTAACTCTTCGAAATGATTCGAAAAAAATTGGAGATATGGAAATGTTAGAAGAAAAGGTCGAGAGTACGGAGGCCTTTGCAGCTGCATCTCTCTGAATGGATTGAACAATGCCTCTTTGATCGGCACTATTATAGTATGTTGTGGAAATCCAATCTATTTTGCACTCTCTCGTAATGTCATACAGAATAAAAGTTCTTCTCAAGGCATAAATTCGATTTTTCAATGCCAAAAGTCGAGTCCTATCGACCATGCAATAAGCAAGAGCTTCTTTGAATTGAGAGAAACCAATATCCTGTCTGTCAATAAATTGTTTGAATTGTTTTCGCGAGTGGCCAATCTCTATAATCCTCTCTGCATCCCCTCTCAATTTATGTTCGTCATTATATCCTTCAGGAACAAACGAAGCAAGCAAGAAAAGAATACCCATGTCATCTGCGAGATAAAAGCCTTGTTCACAGTGTTTCATAGCTGTATAGTATTCGAGCGCATCTTGCAAGTCAATGTTCGACACTTGTGTTGCTTTCCCAAGATCAGTACAAACAAAGGATTGTGTTTTCTCAACCCATTCGATGAAACCTTTTTCATGAAGAAAGTTTCGTGCATTCTTGGATAGTTGATGCATTTGATGGGGTGGTAAACACTTTGAAAGAAAAGTGCAACTCAGAACCCTTTCGATATCATCTGCTGTCTTAATTGTACCTGTAGAAATGTTTTCCAAAAGAGCTCTTGAAATTTGTTTCTCATTAAGGCAAGAAAACATTGAGGCAAAATGAGACGAAAGTAACCTGTTTCCTTGCTCTAGAGAAGGTACGAAAAGATATGATTCTCCAGTGATGTCAATTCCTGCTCTACCCGCTCGACCGGATGCTTGTTTGTAGGTGGCCACATCCAACGAATCTGTACCCATGCTTAGTGATGTAATAATGACACGCCTAGCTGGCAAGTTTACACCCTTACGTATGTTAGAATTATTCAGGTGGAGAAATGCATTTGTAAACATGTTGTATTCGTTCGTTTGTGTAAAACAACACAACACCATCAAATTATTCACGCACGCACACACGCATTAATGAGTAACTTACTGTTGCCAAAGTGGTTGTACATAGCAGTACTTTGATCATACCATTCCTGAATGATGTTTCTACAAGCTTCTTTTCTTCCATCGTGAGTGAGGAATAGTGAAAACCAACACCATGCTCGAGGCAAATTTTCAAGTCAGGATCCAATCCAGACGATGAAAAGCGTAACCTATTGATTTCTTCTTGCCTCTGTTGTCGCAAGTGTTCAGCTATGTTTTCTCGAAAGTATTGAGTTGCAATAAACTTCGCATATGATTTACATTTGGCTTTAGAACTACAGAATATTAGGGTTGAAAAATTGGTATCAAGTAGGGGAAGAATGAAAATTTCAAATCGTTCTGGTAATTTCATATTTGCAATGTTCGGCTTGGGTAACTCTCGAACTAGTAAAGCTTCTCCATGCTTCATATCATTGCCAGAATTACTCGAATGGCTCTTGCCATTTGACTTGCTACACACACTATACACCTTTTCTTTGTGAACCAGATATTCAGAGAGTGGCACAGGTCGATAGTCAGTGACAAACAGGTGTGCATTCAAAAAATTAGCCAATTTTTCTACATTGTGCAAGGTAGCTGACATTCCAATGATTTGAATTTTGGGTTTTAAGTAAACAATCTTTGTGAGAATGAGTTCGAGTATATAGCCTCTACTTGGATCAGTAATGTTATGAAGTTCGTCAATAATGATCGCACCAATTTCATCAATTTTTCCAGATGAGATGAGGCCGTTGAGAATGCTATTTGCTCTCTCAAACGTGCAAACCATGACTCGTTCATCGTCATCATTGAACGAGGCAATTTCTGAGATTTTTACAGCCTCTGAATGATAGGGATTTGCCTTCCATCCAACATCCTTGAATTTTCCGTTCAAATCTGAAACTTTCTCCTCAATAATGGCCTTAAATGGTAAAATGAAGATGACCTTTGATTTGTCTTGTGTAAGTCTTCGAACCATGACGATTTCACTCACGAGTGTTTTACCACCACTGGTTGGAGAAGAATAGATGAGATTTTGTCCTTCTAAAACTCCTGTATCGTGGAGTAAACTCACCTGCCAAGGATACAGAGTAGTGTGCTTGTAATTGTCAGCGATCTGTTCAGGTATATAATAGTAGAGAGAAAACTTGTCGGATGTTGTGAATGAGGTGTTATGGGGAGCATTCTCTATGGCATGTTGCAGTTGTGGATTAATCGGTGGAATGTCATCGACGTCTTGCCACATTATTTCTTCCAAATCGGTCAGGTCAATGGGCTCTTCTGAGGCTTGTGTAAGGGAGTGTGAGGGAGGAGGAGGAGGCTGAAGTTGGAGAGGCGGATTGAAAGACTCTCTATTGTTCGTGTCGACGTTGTTATGATTGCTGGATGAGGACTTCTCTAAGGATGACAGAGCTTCCACAAAATCGTCATCAAGATCCAAGACAATTTCTTCTTCATCCTTGTTAATAGAAGTTGTGGTGGTTGTCGTCTGCATGGAGCTTGGAAAAGTCTCAGAGCCATTATTGGAGGGCTGATTTTCGAGATTCCACTCAGTGTCACCAAGCTCTTCATCCACAAACCACAAATCATCATCCTCCAATTCCTTATCAATCTCCTCTGTTGCAGTTTCGTTGTATTGTTTTGCATCAAACATCTCACCTCCACTCTCTGAAGAAGTTTGGCTCAATGGATGATGAACGTTATGATAAGACTGGTGTTGTTGAAATTTGAGATTAGGTGGGTGGAACGAATTGGTGATGTTCGTGATGGTGGTCGCTGAGGAGGCCGATGAAGATGAAATCCAAGATCTCGTTGAATTTCCACTCAAGCTACTAATGGGAGTCGTGATAGCTGAAGCAGGCGATGAGGAGGACGACATTGAACTCTGCGAGCGAGCAGAAAGGGGTGTTTGTGGTATTTCTTTTTGGAAGGGTGAAGTAGTTGTGTTTGTTGGATTCATCACGATATTATTGGAACCATTCTTCTTCAGGGTCGCATCATGATGAGAGGAATTGATGGGAAGAAGATTTCCGATGATGGAAGAAGGTCGCATGGTGTGATGATGGTTTTTTAATTTTGAAAAAGAACGAAAATGTTGCCTTTGGCTTTCATCATGAATTTTTTTCTTGCTGAAATTGGAATTTTCATTTCACTTGAAAAAACAGAGAATTCCAACACTCCTCCTGTCATACAGACCATAGAAAACAACAACAACAACAACAAAGCATACATAAGGAATCCAATGACAACCAATTGAAAATGGGGATATGATGGGTCATGTCTTGTTAAAGAGAAATGTAGAACCAGTTGCAAGTTTTAAAACTCATAAAAAATAATAATTTAAAATTTATTAAAAAAATGCAGAAACATGAATATGAGGATGATGGCACAATGATGCAAGAGGATGATGATTCAGAGGAGCACTCTTCAGAAGAACGGATGAAGGAGGAGGAGAATGAGGAAAAGTCGGAAATCCACAACATGATACTCGGACAAGAGGATGATCATTATGAGCAAGAACATGATGACCATGATGATGATCGCTTCATGGATGAGGCAGAAATGAATCGACTCATCCGAGAATATCATAAAAACAAAAAACATCCACTCGAGCACCAACAACCACAAGACGAAAATGAATTATCGGAATTTAATCTCATACACTCAATCAACACTCAAAACTTAATTGAACAAATTACCAGAAATAAGATTTTCAACTCGGTGTATTACAAGGAGGAATGTTTTGGACTTAACGCAGCGTCCTTGATTGATAAGGCTATAGGCTTGGACTCCATTGGAGGTACCTATGGCGGACATCGAAAACCCAGCAATTTTCTCTGTCTTTTGATGAAAATGCTTCAAATTGAAGTTGACATGGAATCAGCCATTTCGTACATTCAGAATGAGGAATTCAAGTACTTGACTGCGTTGGCAGCTCTGTATATTCGGCTCGTAGGATCATCCATGGATATTTATCGATATTTAGAACCATTATTTGCTGATTTTAGAAAATTGAAAATGAGAAATATTGATGGCTCTTGTAAAATCATTCACATGGATGAATATGTGGAAATATTATTGAATGAGGATTCTTTTTGTGATGTAAAATTACCATTTCTTGTGAAGAGAAGTGTTTTGGAAAGGAATGGAAAATTGGGCCCTTATGTTTCACCGCTGGAGTCAAATGAAGATCTTAAAGCACTGCTTGAACAAAAAATTGGCACCACTTCTACAGTACAAAATGAAGGAGAGCCAACAACGAACGCACCGAGTCAGAGGACTGACTCTTCAGCAGCAAACAAGGAAAAGAAATCAGGAGCTTTCAAACTCAAGCTGAAAAAACCTTCAAAAGATGGAAAAAGCGAAACCATTAGTAGCAACAGCCCTACTTCTGCTAGACCTGAGGAAGTTCTTTCTATTGAGGCTACAAACGAGCTAAGAAAATCCTTAGGATTGCCTCTGTTAAAGTAGGTGATGGTCGGCCCTGTTGACAAACAGGTAATGTCCTCATCATGCAAAATAAGCCCAGGCTCAGTCTGACTTCATGTGATATCGAAGAGATACCAGAACGGGAGAATTGATTCTTAAAGATTTTTCGTCATTTGGGACAATTTCAAAAACTAAAAACATGCAGCAAGACAATGCTTTATTAAAGCCCGTTCACGAATCAGCCACATCAATTCTACAAATTGGACATACAGTTGATTGCGACTCTAGCCATGAATCAATGCAGGACCTGTGAAAGATGTGACCACATCTTGGAATCCATTTCAATTCTTCACCTTCCTCAAAATCACACATACATGTGACACACATGTCACCTTTGCATACTTGCGGCACTTCTTCCGCAACGGTGGACAATGACGATAAATGTTTCTCCTCAAATGATAAAATACATGTTGGTAAATTTGATAATGTCGAACTGCAAACAGTCTTCTTTTGCACCCTATTGTCTAATTGCAATAAAAGGTCATAATCCTTGTCTGTTAATTCCCGAGTGGTGAGAGCAAGTAGAATATTCATGTCCATGCCACACTCACGAGCCACATTTGAAATTTCATGATGTTCCATCGAGAGTGCAATGGCCAACTGTAATTGTTCTTCTTCCTCGCTTCTTGGTGCATGACGGGAATAGTAATGTTGATTTGGACTGTCGCTCGAAGAAGTGGCATATCGAATTGGAGGTGGCACATAAACTTTTGAGCTTTGCAACTCAATCTTGTTAGCTTCTTCTTCCAATCTCTTTTTATATTCTCTGTGGTGAATTCTTCGCTTTGGATTCATTCTTGTCTTCTTGTACTTGCTTTTGACTTGTTTCATGCCGTGAGTTCTGTGAGTGTTGTTACCTCCGAATAATCCATGCATGGAAACATAATCTTCAAAATTCAAATAATCGTATTTTGATTCAAGAGGAATAGATAAATCTTCCTCCTCCTCCTGTTCATATTCGGAATCTTGATCATCAAAGCACCAAGGTAATGAAAGGATTTCAATTTCCTCTTCGTCGCTTCCAATTTCGCCATCCTCGAGCCACAAGTCCTCATAGAACGACTCCAAACATTCATCACTCTCTTCGTCAAAGGCAACAATGGATTGGACATCATCATCAGACTTGTACAAGTCTTGATCTTGCTCCGATACTGCTGTGATCATACTAGGATTGAAAGTGGTGATTTTTTTCAACTTGTATTTTAAAAATAGATATTGTGGATTTAAAGTTGAATTTGAACATGTCATTGCCAGTTTGAGCTATCTTTTCATACTTTACAAGAACCATTCCCTCATTTTCACGAACGATATTTATATTCAATGCTGTTGTAAGAAGAGGCAAGTAAGATCTCGCCTGTCAAGAACGAAATCAATTAGTGTTGTTGCTTCAAGAAGGTTTGCTTTATTGTTCGCAAAATCATTGACGAATGTCCAACTTGTGAAGTGCTGCTCGACACAACTCTCTTACAATGGTTGAATACTCTTCGTCCTCTTCCTCCTCGTGATGATTCATGTTGATGGGAAGTGTTTGTTGTTGCTGAAGATATCTTCTCAAAAGGAATAAATGAGAATTCCAATCACCACCAAACATGTCATGCATGCCAAATATTTTACGTTGAACATATTCACATGCAAAGAGAGTGAATTGAGGTGCTGATTGTTTGAAGCTAATTAACACGAGCTCTGCAATAAATTGAGCCTCACATTCTTCATAGAGTTTCAAATGTTGTCCATCCAATATGTATGTTAATATAGTGTCAATATGAATCAGAGTGGAAGTGTAGCCATTCATGATGCAGGTACAAATAATGTCATTCATGGAGTCAGAGTCTAATAGAGTGGGTTTAGTCTCAGCAATGTACTTGATTCGATCGAGAGCCAATACATTCGTAGTCTTGTGTTTGACCTGAAGTGCAAATTTACATCCAAGTAGATCTTGTCCGTCCTTCTCGAATATAAATTTCACAAAGTCGTTACCTTTCTTTTCAGAGAGCAATTCAACGTGTTCGAGTGCAATCTCCAATAATACTTTGTCTTTCACATGATGCTTTTCGATGAGAGCTCTTAAAACTTTGAGAAGAAGAGATTCAAGAAATTCCTTATGTTGTTTTCCCTTAAACCAAATTCTCAATATAAAGCTCAAAGATCGATATTGTGCTTCAGTGGCTGAAATGTTGATTAATTCTTCTAATTGCTTTTCAAAATCTTCACTTGGTGGTGTACATGAATGAAGTAATGTTTTGTGAGATGGGAAATTTTCTGCCACAGTGTCACGAGTTTGATAGATGGCAAGGAGAGTCGTTTGATCGTCTTCATGCTTGCTGGTGATATTATTTGAACTTGCTTCAGTAGCAGTATTGGTGTCAGTGGTAGCAATGGCATGGTCTTTTGAAGACAAAGAAATTATTTCTTCTCCACCAGCTCCTGGCGATGATGTGACAGCCAAAGAGGTCGAAGGAGAGGACGCTCCAGGAATCGTTTTCTTAAAGTCTCTCAAAATACGAACCAAGGCAATTCGGGTTCGAACTGGTAAATCATCTTGATCCTTTGCAACAGAGTCAATGTAGTTGATGAGAGTGTTCAATAAATCTTGAAAGTCTTGTCTTTCAACGATAGATTTGAGAATAATTTTGAGATAAGCACATCCCATTTTGGCGTTCAAGGGTGGCCAATGAATGTCAACTTCTCCACTTTCGTCGTTGCTCTCTGCATTCAAGAACTTGTCTTCTTCTTCCGCATCATCCTCTTCTGAATCACTCTCCTTACTGATTTCTTCTGCATATTCGACGAGACATTGTACAATACCTTCGACAGTTTTCAGATAACACTGAGTGGTATCCAAGTGGAAGAAGAGTGGAAGTGAGATCTTGTCTGTCTTACTCACATCAAACACCTGCTTGTATTCTTCTTGCAGATCCTGAAGAATATTAGAGATGCAGGATGGATTTTTGGTGTATACAATGGTCTCAGATAAGACATGCATCAAATCGACATGATCTCTCAAAAACTTGTCCCATTCTTCCAATAAATATTCCAATTCTTGACGTTGGAAAAGCCTCTTGGCAACTGACATTTTGAAAATGGTATTCTTGACATAATTTGCAAGAGAGGAATTTTCCGCAATATCAGTGTTCAAAATGTTGCGCATAAACGACAATCGAACAGCCAAAGGCATTTTGAAAGCATTGTCGAAGGACAGTTTGTTGATGAGCGTCTTGATATCCTTTTGTATCAAGCAAGAAATGAAAGGCAAAACAAGTTCGGCTCTTTCTTTTGCATCAATTTTAGCATTACCCAATGTCTCAGTCACAACAAACGAATAGATTTGAGAATGATCTACTTTCTTAATGGGCTTCAAAAGATCTAAAACAATGCCCACAAATTTGTGATTAAGAATGGGTTTGAGAAGCTCAATCATTTTGCTAGTATCAGTTTTTTCTGAAATTAAAACGAAAAAGTCTACCCCTACATGTTCCCTTGAGAGAAAATCCACAAGATCCTTTTGTGGAGTATAGTCAGAGAGACCCTTATCCAATAATAGCTCCATCAGAAAACTAATTTTGAGCAAATTGGATCCTGAGGTAGCACGAGAAATAGGATTCAATTTGTTATGTACAATTGATATGACATTTTCTTTTGGAGTTGATGAAGCAATTTCATGGATAAACGACTTCTCTGAATCGAGCATTTCCTCCTTATTCAAGATGTGATCTAAAAAGTTCAAGTACTGCTTGCTTGTATCCATACTCAATTTTTGAGCAATATTTAGAGCTGTCTTGAATTGCTCCATATTTTGAGTTTTGGATAAGTCCGATAAAACAGTTTCTCTATACGTTTCATCGGTAATAAATTGTAAACAGCTCAATTTTTGCGAGCTAAATATTGACAATTCGCTAAAGTGGTTACATAAATAAAGCAGACCATTATAGAATTTCAAAAAGTGATACAATATTGATGTTAATTCATTGGTCTCCGTTGTGTTACCTTCCAAAGATTTTTCAATGTCATTCAAATTCATTTCGTCATAGTACTCGGTCAAGCTTTCAGGATTTTCTAATAGTAGCAAGCGCAAGGCAAAGTATAATGTAAACAACTCAATAAGCATTTCAACTGCTGAGATTGGAGTGTTTTGTGGTTGTGATGAGAGTATAGAGTCAAACAGCTTTTTAACACTGTCAATATGTTCAAGCGGAAGTTTCAAGAGAATACTGACAAAGGACATGATGTATCCATTGGTAAGCGACAAAGTCGCAAAATCAAGAAGGCATTGAGAATCTACTTTCTCTGTTCCAGAAGAGATCATTAATTGGATTTCGATCAGTTTAGTCCTGAAAACTTTGTCGAGTTCTTTTGTGGCAGAAATTCCAAAGTGTGACACGAAAGAATTCTCACTACATGAATAATAAATAGGTGTGACTCCACTCACCGAGATGCTGCTGAATAAATGAGCGTTTTCTTTTGCAAGCTTTGAAAATTCTCTATGTGCCACAAGGATTGAATTGCTGAGAGATAAATCATTTGTAGCTTCAGTTGTAGATAAGAATTGTTGTGATTCCACAATTTCATAGTTTGAGAGCATTTCTGAAAGCTCCGAAGATGGACAGTTTCTCACAGCATATGATGCCTGTCAATTTGACAGTGGCGATGAGTGAAAGGTTCAGTGATTACGAAACGGTATTCATAGTTGGTACTTACAAATTCCAAACGTTCCTCGTTAGATATTTTACACTTTGTATCTATACAAAGTCTTGCACAATGCTTGTATACTCCTTTGTGATTTTGTTTCATGAGGGTTCTCACTACTTCTAAATTACCAGACTCTGCTTTTTGGAGTGAGTCCTCAATGGTAAGCATCTTGACGCCCTTAAGGTCACTTTCATTGCCACCAAGAAGTCTACAAATGTTGTAGAATATTTCTAATGTTGTTTCATCGGTTCCAGTGTGATTATTCTCTATTAAATATTTAATAATGTCGACAATTGAGGTCTTCCTCAAAAACAGAGCAGGTTGATGGTTAGGAAATTCTTTACCAATAATTCGAAATGCTTCTAGTATTCCAACCTCCTTGGTCCACCTTTCTTCGTTGCTTGAAGGAATATATTTCCCAGACAGTAAACTTCGATGTAAAGAAATGCATTTATCTGCAATCATGATGGATGAATCGGTAGGTTCTGTGGAGCTGTTGATTAATTCTGCCGTGGCTTGATAAATAATTTCGTCAGCATCGATGCAGGGCAAAATCTTATCACGTGTAATGTATTCGTATGCAAGATGAGCATCTATATAAAGATTTCACATTAGAAACAAAACAGCGTACTAAAAAAATACTTACGTCCTGATAGGCAGCAATTTTTAAGGAACTGAGAATAAACTTCCTGTTGTGTTAAGTGATGCAACACAGTACTGTGAAGGGTCTTCAGGTCTGAATATAAGCTTTGGAATGATTTGTCTGATGCAGAGCCAGTTTTTATACATTTTTGTACCAACTCCTCGACAATCGTTTTGCCAACAAATTCAAATTCAGTAGTTAATGAAAGAGATGTAGAAATGGAGCTGATGGATCACGAATGAAGTGTTGTTTTGGTTGTTGTGTAACTACATTCTTGCATTTGTTAAAAATTACTTACTATTTTGACAAGACGGTGAGTGCAACAGTATGATCTCGAATATTGTTAATTTGTTGTTCAAGCTCCTCATGAATATTTCCAGTTGGAAGAGCATTAATAATTCGAATAATGTTCTCAGCGTTGTCACTGAAATTTTTACACGAGTAAATGCACTCAACAGCAAGCATTGCAAGAACGTCACTATCCGTGAATAAAGGTGTTGCATTCGGTCCGTTGCAATATTCAAAAATTTTAGCACATTGATAGAGGTGATGAGGAGCAAGTTCTTGAAGCATGTATTTGTATAGGAGAGACTCCTTGCCTGTCTTTTCGTCATCATCACAATGGCTTATAAAGTTTAGTCCTTTGTTCAAAATCTGAGAAACAATGTCCGTACTCGTCTTGTTAATGAGTAATTTAAACTTATCAAAATTTGTTAAATTGGATTCATAATCTTTCACTGACAGTAATTGTTTGTTAAGATTGAACAAATTTCCTCGATTATAAATCATGAGCGATAAAAAATTGAGTTCGTTCAACTTGTCTTCCAATCGCTTCACATTTCTTTTCATGCCAATCTCCAACAGCGATTCTGCATAGCTGACCATACCTGATACGGTATCGATTGCTTCTGCCCTAGAGAGATACCAATCAGTAATTTCTTGAGAATATGGATAGGCTACTTGTGGTTTTTCCATGAGCTTTTCACTGTAGTCTTGATCCTTTCGCCTCATGAAAAGATTGTTCCATTGGGTCATGTAGGTTCCCTTTTTTTCAACGCCAGGTAATAAATCCTTGTACTCGTGGGGTGGAACTGATTCTGGTATGCATGAAATAATATCAAGAATGTCTTGCGGATTCAAATTTCTACTGACCCAATTCGAGTCATTGAAAGGCAGGCAATAAGTAAATATTGCTTTGAGTGATGAAAAATCTTTCATGGACGCTCTTTCTTTGGCATAGGAAACAATGTTGCAATCCCTAAAGTAGTGGTATTGGTCACCTTTGTAGACTGATCCAAGTGAAACTTTTTAGCTGTTCTAGCACAATTTGAAAATTAGTAACATACCTTGTTGTGGAGCTAAATCCAAGTACAAGTCCAATCTATCCAAATACAGCAGCAACTTTCTTCGTATTTCTAAAATTCCCTTTGCCTTTTCAGAGCAATTTTTAAGTAAGGATGCCCTATGCGATAAATCTTCACAATTTGTTTCTTCACTCAGTAGGGTATTTGAAATGTCAAGACCACACTCGAGGAGATGTCTCATGACTTCTTCGTTGCCTGCAATTCTGCATGCACATTCATTGAGTATATACATTTTGTCTGAAACCAATTTTAGTTTTGAGATGGACTCTAATGAAATGACATGTCTCTTCCACATTTTCTTATAAACTTCATCAATGTCAAGGTTGAATGTTTTAGCCAAAGAAAGAGCTTCCTCAAGGCTATATCATACATGGAATGAACAAGTGTGAGTTCGCACATGACAAAATGTCAACCATGGCATAGAAAAATTCGAAAATAAACTTACTCTCCTTGATTAAGTTTTTCTGAAAATTCCTTCTCTGGAGTTTTTTGATAAAACCTGTAAACTCTATAGGCCAATGAGAGAGTGGATGGAATCATGTTTTCCTCTTTCAATTCATCGGAAGGAGGTACCACCTTTGGAAACAAAAATGAAAACAATGTACTAAATGCGCTTAACAGAGAACTGTCTGAGGAGTTTTGAAGTTTCTCAGTGAGTCGTTGTTGCTCTTGTAACAATAGCACTTGTTGATCAACTTTCAATTGTCTTGATAGATATTAATTTGAATAATTAATATATATCAATATAATGATATATATAAAATATATATTAAATATATAAAGAATTTAGAATAATAAAATATTGTTGTGTTGAGACCATCAAGATATGATAAACCTACGTAATATTTGGGTCATATTCCAAAAGAAAGAATTTTCCATTGTGAGCATTTGAAATGAAGGGAATTCCCTCAATATCCTCAGTCACATCACCATCGCCAAGAATATTCTTTTTGGATGAGATTTCAATGGCATACATCTCATTACTGTCGTTACATAAAATTACAGAACTAGGAGACAACCAATTAAATTCCAAAATATGTTCCAAGCTTGAAGATGCGACTACTCGTGAATCATCAATGAAAGGGAAGGGAACTCGATAAGTGAAAAATTTCTTGGAGCTCGACAAAAATGCACAATATAATCCATCTGGAGAGAAGATCATTTTGGGTTTTGGAGAGAAAAAGTCGTTCTGGTTTTTGATATAATCGAGAGATACCTTTCGTCTCTTTGTTTTTTTCTTTTCAGATGTTTGTATTGCAATCAATTTTGAACTTTCCTCTAGAGGATATTTCAATAATAGGCATTCTTGTTCCGAATGAGCAAGAACAATGGCAAGCATCTTTTCGCCATTTTCTGTTTCATACACATCAAATGCTTCAATTTGATTGGAACTGATGTCTAACCTGTATAACTGGATAGTAGACACATCTTTGGCCATGGGGATTTGATAAAGAGAAGAATCGTATTGAAATAAAATGTCATATCTGTTTTTTTTCGCAGAATATGAACGAGTTATAATAAATTCAGGTTATTTGCAATGTAACCTTGCGATCAGTAATACGTGTTACTCACTAACATACCTTTCGGTACTTGCAATAGTTTGTAGCTTTACATTCGAAATGGCTGATCTGAATAATGGAGATTTATCAAAGTGTAAAAAGGTGCTCAGATCAATCAATCCTATTTGTGACTTCAAATCAGAAGAATAAATTCGAATTGTTCCATCATCACAATTTGTGACAGAAACAAAATTGTTGTTAACACTCAATATTTTTCTTGCATCCATCCATTCCAAGGATTTGGCACTTGCAATAGGCACCATGTCCTCGTTGTGTAATTTGAGTGTGGAGTCTTTGAGTGTGTAAAGCCCAGTTGAAGAATATTCGATAGACCAGTTCTGTTGATATTTTTCAATAATGGCTTGTCTGTAATTAATATTAGAGTCATCATTTGCAAGCTTTTCGGACTTGATGTATGCTATAGCATCATTATGATGAGAAACAATATTAAGATTTAATTTCCAATGTAGAGTTCTTGTTCGTGCCAAAGTATATTGTTTAAACATCCACATACCATCATAAATTGTTGAAATGAATTTTGCCAACTTTGAAAAAACATGGCCTTTGCTTGATTCATCATTCCGATCATCATTAGTAAGAATATAATCTGTTAAAAATAATTTCTTTTTCATTTGAACGGATTGATCTTCCACTTCCTCAAACTCATAGAGAGCAATCGTTTCCTCATCGGAGTGGTGGTGTTCATCATCATCACGATTCACGACAGAATGACCAGCATGTTGTGGAGTGCTCATTTTTTTGTAAAGTTTTGCAAACTTGTGTTGTCATTTGCCAGCACACAACTGAGTTTCGACATGTATGCTTTGGGAATGTGATGTTCACTGCTCAAGTATGGATGGGCCATTCAGAGGCAACATCTCTTGTTTTAACAAACAATATTCACCTTACAAAAAGCTTCGGAAGATCCTTTATACTCATTCAAAGTTTTGATTTCAAACTGTACACACTCACCATTGTTTACTGTAAACCCATGATGCAATCTGCCGAGTTATATTTGCAAGTGGTGACCTCTCCTTAGACCAAATCTCAACCACACGAACAAAACAAGTACCCTATCATTCTTATGGATAATCCTTTGGACACAGTAGACACTTGAACATCACTGAACAAAGGGCGTTCTTCTTTGGAACCCAATTAGAACTCCAATTCCTCTATCTATGGATTTAGTTTAAAGCACTTTGCAAGGTGTCCAAAGACATGAACTTTTCAAAAAAATCGTTCGTTTCACACGCACCTTTCTCACTCACTCTACGCGCATGCTTCCAAAAAACAACAACAATAACTCATCCTTCTTTTCAAATCCAAACCTGATGCAATCCACAGGAGACTCCTCAGCTGAAAACAGTGATGTGAACTTTTATCAACCCATTACCATTCATGAAATTATTGAGAATTTGAAAAAGGATCGATCCGTAGATGCCTCTCTGTATAAGAAGGAGAATACGGCTGATATTATCAGTGATCGATTGCAATCGGGTACATCCATTGAAGCACTGCTTGTGAAACCTAATGTCGAGGGAACCAATGATGCTCTCATTCATCAAATTTTGGTAAGTATCAGAGAGAGAGTGTGTGTGTGTAATATATGTCTGTTCGAATGGGTGATTATTATTATGTTGATCTGTTCGAATGGGGTTTTATTATGTTGGTGATGATCATGATGATGATCCGTGTGTCTTTAAATCCATCGGACATCAATGAAATTGCAATTTCATGATTATATATATACCACTTGGAAAATCATGGAATTTTTGAATGATGCCCATCGATAGGAATTGGTCAATGACCAACAAGGTCTACCAGTCATTCGATCGGTTCTAGGTACCACAGTTGTGGAGCCTGGAAAGATCCGAGTAGTGGTTGTGAACGGTGCCATTCGCTTGGTAGGTCCAGGTATGTTTTTGTTGTTATTCTTATATATCTTGTGATCATCCTGTATCGAATATTCTCATACTCACATCCTCATCATTGGTAAATGATCTATAATAATTGAATATCAATGATGTGAAATATGTCATCTTCAATAACCTGATGATGACGATGATCGGAAATTGTGTTTTCAATATGAATTTCTTGTGTTTTCAAATGGATGACATCATGATTGAAACAATGTTGCACAATACGATGCTCACACCACATCAGGTCGTTACATGAACATCAATCCTCGTGGTCACTGGAGTTCCACCTATAGTATTGATTCTGACAGAATCGAACATGAAACTTTAAAGATTGTGAGAGTTCCAAAAGGTTATTACGGTCTCGCCTCAAACAATGGTCAACCCTTAATTCTCGGAGAGGGTGTCCATGTTCGAAATTCTAGGTTATTCAATTTTGTTGAATTGAAAGAAATTAATCAAGAACATATCAAGCATGGTACTATTGATATTATGAGAATTCCACAAGTAAGTGTGTTGAATCATTTTGTGACGAAAGTTTTTACATGATATTCTCATGCCTTTCGATTTGTGTCACAATTGAAATGTTCAATCATGTTCAATGAATGCCATTCATTCATGCATGAATCATTGATGAAACAATTATAATGAATTTCTTGGATCTACAATGACGACGACTACGACGACTACTATTCAAAATATATTGTAGGGAAAATACGGTATGGTGCTTGAAAATGGTATTCCCAAACTCTTAACAGCAGGCTACTATGTGTCTGATTCTGTCTTGTTCAAGTATTGTGGAACTGTGAACATTAATGAACCTCATATCAAACATTCAACCATTCAAATCATTAGAATTCCAAAATCTTCCATTGGTTTGATTGTGGTTGGTACAAAACCATTGCTCCTTCACGAAGGTGAGTATGAATCAAATTTGAAGAAAATCATTTAATTTTGATTCTCCTAATATTGCCTTAATATGTGCATAATTCACAATGTACTTTGTCACAACATTGCTTGATTGTTTTCCGAAATGTGACAACTAGGAATTTACACGTTCAACGACCAAAATATTTCCTTCTTGGGTATGAAGGATGCCAATGAACAAGTAATTATCCACAAACCAATCACCAGATTTAGAGTTAAGAATGGTGAGATTGGTTTATGTTGGTGGCAATCAAAGCCTCTCTTTATTCAAGATCCTGGAGTGTACGTAGTGTGACAATTTCAGAGTCTCTCTTTGTTAAAACTATCATTTTGAATACTTGTTTCTATATATATTTATATAACCATTCATTTTCGTATTGAATTCATACGTATTAATTCATTACAATTACTCATCCATGAACATTATCATCATCAACACAGCTATGAAGTGGACAGTATTGATTTCGTTTTCGAGCAATGTGTTCCAATTTCATCCAAACTAGTAGCTCTTGGAAGTTCCATGAGAATTGTCGTCTACGACGGTGAGATTGGTATCACTTACTTGAAAGGAAAGCTTGATGTGTTACAACCAAACACTTACATCTTCCACGACAGTGTGTTGCGTACTTTTGAAGGATATCTTAGTACCAAACTGAATACCATTCCTTTGATTGAAGATGGATCTAAAGAGAACTTCCTTCGTTGCGACACTAAAGATCTTGTGGAATTGGGAATTAAGGCCTCTTGTTCGTATCGTATTGGTGATCCTAAATTGACACTCACTACGGTTGGTAAGGAACCACAAATCATCAGGTAGGTATTGTTGTTGAAAGTCGTTCATGATCACATATTATGATTCACACAAAAATTACTCTTTAATGATCATTCTTGATGATGATTCTGCATGAACACAATCTACAGATTAATTAAGGATCAATCGATTGCCACCGTACAAGCCATTGTGAGAAGTACTGCTTTGAATCAAGTTGCACAAAGTAAGACAGTCAATGCAGGAAGCCAATCAAGTCAAAGTGATAAGGATGGGCACCCTCAACAACCTACTGCTCCAGTATTCTTTGAGAAGATTCATGATGAATTTCTTTCAAAGCTTCATGATGAATTTAAAAAGTGTTACGGTATTGAAATTACCAATATTAGAATTGAAGATATTCAAATCATGAATCAAGAACTTGCTAATAATATTTCCAAGCAAGGTATGTTGTTATTGTTGTTGAATATAATTCACATCCATTGACATTATTAACGGTTTTAATTTAACACAAAACATTTTCACTATTTTTGGTATTTCGAAAACATGTTTTCTCACGTCACTCGAATACCTACGTTTCGTCACCCCTCACACACCACCATTCAACACGACACTTGTAAAAATCTCGACAAATGGTCTCGACAAATGGTGATATGGAATCTTCTAGCCATCATTACTGCTGAAACTGAGACAAAATTGGCCAACTTGGGAGGACAACGTGAAATTGATCTCGCAGCTCAAGAACGTAGCAATGCCATTTCCTCCATTAAAGCCACTGCTGAGGCGTTTAAACTTCGTACTGAAACAGAGGCCAAGAACAATGCAGCCATTTTGGAAGCTGAAACTAAGGCTATGGGTATGTAATATTGTACAGTTTTCTTTCAAAGTATTTCATTATTCACACATCTCCTTTGTTCATTACTCATTCATATGATTACATTTTGTAACGAATGATGATCACCATTCTGCTGTTCACAGAAATTAAAACACTTGCCAAAGCTCGTGCTGAAGCCATGACGATTGAGGCAGAAGCTGAAGCAAGAGCCATTGAAATTAAGGCCCTTGCCGAGAAGAAGAGAGCTGAATACCTTTCAAGCACAGAATTTGGTAAACAAGATGCTCTCCTCACCAAACATCACGACATGGTGGTTCAAGCCATGAAAGGTATTCAACAAATTGTCTATCTTCCATCCGATGCGAATATGGGTTGTTTGCCATTGCAAATGTTTGGACTCAAGGGAGGAATTCCAACCTTTGATTCACTCATGAAGGAACAACCAAGCACTCCAACAACGATCAGAAAGTAACAGTTCAAAAATCATACCTAATCAAAAAGGTGTGTTTGAGTCATCGTTTGGTGGTTGACATGAATAAATTCGCACAATGAACATGGAACTCACATGGTTTTTTATTCATGAACAAACTTTAAAAAAAAATGGAACTTGTGTGGTTTGCCTTTTTGGCGTTTGCTGTGGTTATTGTCTTGTTCCATGCTGGAGAGTGGCTGACGCAATATGTTTATAATCGTTCCATGTGTTCTATTGCTTGTAGGTTTGTGGTGGCAAAATTTTGGAATCTCGGAAATATGGAATGGTGGTTAATTTCATTTATTGATATGAAATGCATATCAACATGATCATCACAATGAATAACAATTTAATTCGTTGCTGGAAAATTATAATTATAATTTCTTTTAATATTCATGAATGACGTTTTTCATTACATGACAAATGTCTTGGAATTATTTTGTTATGCACTTAATTGTATTCAAGCACTTGCCATTGAACGACATTACATCATTGCCATGTCTTGTGCTCTACTCGAGTTCATCATTGAATCCATCTTTTTCCCTTCTCTTAAAACCTACACTTGGATTTGTTATTTAGGAATTCTTCTTACTCTTCTCGGAGATGGAATCCGAAAATGTGGAATGATCACTGCCGGAATGGCCTTTACTCATCTCATTCAGGAAAGAAGACGTGAGGGACATAATCTCATCACTCATGGAATTTATGCTTATGTGCGTCATCCTGGATATTTGGGTTGGTTCATTTGGGCACCTGCGACTCAATTGATTTTAATGAACCCAATTTGTGTGTGTGTGTTTGCTTTTGTGGCTTGGCACTTCTTTTATGATCGAATTCCATATGAGGAGGAAACATTGGTGGATATGTTTGGAAAGGAGTATGAAGAATATCGAAAAAGAGTGCCTTCGTACATTCCATTTGTTGATGCTTTAACAGTCAATAAGGAAAAGTAGTGAACTATGTGTCAAGAACAATCGATTGAATATTTATGCCTGTTGTTTATTGGAGTTGAAAGTGTGAATAATCAAGGTGAATGATCATTCTGAACAAGTGTTAAATTATTTAATTAAATTATTTGAAGAATTGTTAAGAAATGTTTGCAATTACTTTGTGCAACCTCTTGTCGCACATACATGAAGAACAGAAGGGATAAATTATTGTACTATAATAAATTATTATATCAAAATTGTGATGCCATATTCTCCACAACAAAATTTCTCAAATTCAAACTCTAAATGTTCCACGATTAATGATAATTATTTCTCGCCAGTGAGGTGCTCTCATCGGAAGGAACAAATGAATAGGCAGCTCCAGCTTGAGTTTCAGAAGCTATGGAGCCTTCTTCAATGTCTTCAACTTCAGTATTGACCTTTTTGAATTTTCCACTCTTTCTTGAAATGTAATCTTGATATTTCTTAAAGGTGTTATCTTTCATGCATGGACAATAAATTTGTTTGAATTCCACATTGCTAGTCATTTGATAGATAATTCCAGAAACCAACACGCACATGGTCAAATCGAGGGTATTAAAGTTAATCGATCGATAGAATAATCCAAAGACCACTCTATGAGATCCATATTCGACAATAATGAAAATCATTTCAATGAAAACAATTGTAAATGTCACAACAAGGAACATGACAAACTTGGTAAATTTGATCTGGAAAATGGACAAATTGTTTGCCACCTTCAAGGTAAAGAATAATTTAGCACCAAACACAACAAAGAAAATTGTAAAGAGTACAGCAGAAGCAGCAGTCAGAGTAAAGAATACCAAGTTGAATATTTTGGCAACGCTCTTATCCGCTGCATAAATAAATGGAAGAATTGACATGCCAAGTAAAATCAAATAAACAATGACCAATAAAACTTTGAGACCGGGATGAATCACGAGAGCATCTGTGGTCGTTCTCATAGATCCCAACAATAAATTGACCCACATGACCAATGTTGTGACAAGGGCGGCAATGAGCCAAAGCAAACTCAGCGATCTGAAAAATCCATATCCTGATGAGTGTACCAACAGGAAAGATCATTGTGCATGATCAGGGTGGTTTTACATATAATTATGTAATATACATGAAATTATAAAATTCATCACAATTCAAGGTTGGATAAATAAATGTCACAGCACTTTTACACTTACCTAACGCTATTCTTGCGTCATAAACATTATTCAAAGGAATTCCCAAAATGTTCTCAAGTGTTAGAAAAACAAAGTATGAGAAGACAAAGAAAATGATCAACCAGTTCAGAGTAAACACCTCTTCATACACTGCTCTCTTGAGAGTTTTAAAGTGATGTTTGACGCTGGCACGGATTTTCTTATAATTTCTATAACACAATGGAACGACATTACATACAACCGTTACAATGGCAAGAATTCCGGAAATCACAAACGCAATGATTGGATATGCCTGGAATGTGAATGGAATAAAGTTTGTCGAAAAGTAGTCACACTTGAATCCGAACCGACTATCTCCACAAAAACAAATCCAAGGATTTAAAGTCTTTCCTTCCAACAAGGACTCTCCATGAATGAGAGGTTGATAGAAGGATCCGTCGGGAACTGGCTGATTATAATTACAGAAATCATCATGAACATATTGGAAACAAGTGGTCGTGTTGGCAGCGATTGCAAGTTGAGTGTGAAATTCCACAAAATCATCGCGCTGACAATATTGACAGTAATTCATCATCCATGCAAATTCTCCAACAGCAGTCTGTTTATCCCTAGGATTTGAAATACCATACGTCCGATTTAAATACGTAATTGAAGAGTTACTCAATCGAGGGAAATTATTACAATATAAACTCAAACATGAATCAATCGAGTACTTTTTAAACAAAGCAGAGACACTCTTGGCATCACACACTTCATAAAGTTTTGTATCAAAAAACGTATAGTACAGAGTAAATGGAACACTCTTTTCATATCTGAAGGCAATCGTACTCTCATTATAGGTTTGAATGGAGGTACATGAAACTGCCGTCTCTTGCTCCACTTCTATTTTGATCTGTTTACAGCCTTTCCAGAGTCCTGTATTCGGTAATGTGTTCTGAGCCAAGAT